TGAAATCATCTTTCTAGGTGATTCAACTTCCCAGCAAGTTTACTGGGGATTTTTCAATGTATTTCATGGCCTACATCGTAACGATTTCCCCATTCTTCAACAAACTCAAACAATCGTCGGGAATGTCACAATAAGACTTTTATGGGATAAACATCTCAACAATAAAGGTTTTAAACTGTTATCAGATATTGCAGCAAACGGAATAAATGCAGCCTCAAAAAAAACTGCCTTATCTTTAAACACTGACCCAAATTACACCCCTAAAACTTACCTCTTCATGACTAGTGGAATTTGGTACCTCAAAAATCATATCCCCAACTATAAAGAAAATATGGAAAAAGTCTTCACCACCATTGACAATGCTGTAGAGGGAGCTTTTGAAAAAACTTACTTTTGGCCACCCCTTATTCCTCACTTTGAAATGATGGATTATGATCATTCAGCTTCTATGAATCCAAAAAGTATGGGATATATAAATAGTGTTGTTAACTCTCTCTTCAATTATGATCCTCACAAATTCACAGGTGGTGTACGATATAGGACCCACCCTGACCATAAGGATGAAGTCTCAACCCATTTTGTCCCAGTATTTGACCAACTCAGTAGTGAAGATCACCCTCAGCAACGTGATTATGTTGGTGTTCACTATCAGGAACCAGCTTTCACTTTGGAAGCAAATATCCTGTTAAATCACATTTGCAACGCCAAGATTACCAGGGCCCAAGATGAAATCCCTGGAGGAGGAACATGTTGCGTTGACTATGCACACCACCATTACCGTCAATCTAAAGCATCCCGTATTATTGCCAAAATCATCCTGGCAATCCTAGCAATCGGACTTTTACTTTTGGCAACAAGACTCGCTTTTAAAAATGTAACCATTATTTTTGGTACTATTCTTATTATCGCGGGCTATGCAGACTTGACAAACCAGACCCATTTGGTTAGTAAGGTTAGCATTTTATACAATCAAATTGACTTTATTGTTTTATTACATTTATGGGTCTTTTTCACCGTGATCTCGTGGATCTATGATAAATCAATGACTATGATGATGGCTCCCAGTGTGCACTTTGCTGGAGGAAACTCTCTTCCTACTGTTGAACAGCAGTTGATACGTGAGTGGAAGGGCATAAGTGCATCCCTTTTCATTCTTATCCATTATGTTGGCTATGACTTGCTTCCTAAAACTATGGCAGGTGAAATCTTCTCCAGAATCTTGTTAGCCACTTGGACAATGTTGGAAGTATACTCATTTGCAGTCGATTATATTGAGTCTGGTGAAAGTTATCGGGACTCGTTGAAGGTTTGGATATTTTCTGTGGCCAAAGTGGCGGTGCTGCCCTTAGTGTTAGCAGTCGTTGGTGTTTCGAAATCATATCAAGGCGCTGTAGTAGGCTCTATGAATTATGCCAAGTTGCCGATGGAACTAATTTTTTGGTATTCCTTTGTGTACCTGGTTTCCCCCATGACGTCATGGAAGCAAGTGGGCCGATGGAACTTGCCAGTTTCCGCTTGGACACTCATTGTGGTTGCTGCCATCGTCTGCCGCCTATTTTTGTATCTCGGTGTTAAATTTTTCAACAGTAACCAACCAGGCGATTTAGACTTCCTCTTTAAAGATTACTGGGTGGTACTGGCTGTTGTGCTATTTTCAAGAATCCGGAATGTCTTGTTTGATATTAACAATAACTACACCAAACAAATACCTTCAATCGTATATATAACCGCAGGCATTGGCCTGTTTTCATTGGTCAACTTGGTTGCCTTTACCTTTTACTTTGACCTCCCTGATCAACCCTCGGAAAATCACTACCAATACCCATTCAGTTACTTGCAGATGCCCAAAGCTTTAGAGCTTTTTAATCTTCGCCAGAATTTTTACAATCCTCTTTTGCATTTCTTTTTAGTAATTAGCAGTAACGCCTGCTATGGTCTGCTACGCTACTGGATACTCATTAATACCAACTACCGTTTCAGTTGGTGGGGATCAAACTCGGCACAATTCACTTATGAGGCCCTTGAGCTATATCCATATGTATTTTTAAGTGCAGGTGGTTCTGTTGTTTTGGAGTATGTATGGACTGGCGCACATATAGCACCACAGACTCAGCGCTCCCAAAATGAACTCCCTGAGGGTTATAAGTTCCCATATCTACTGTGGAATATCCAAGGCAAGTTGCGCAAATGTCTGGCGTTTATTATATCAAGTTCCATGTTTGGACTTGTATCATATACTTGTGGACATGTTTGGGCTTGGGGTAAAGATGACAAGGAACTTGATGATAAGATGCCTTTGCCTTTGCCCTTGCAGGAACAAGATTAATAGTTGTTTGTCTTTTTTTTTTTTTTTTTTTTTAAAAAAAAAAATAAAGAAATGTGATTTGTTTAATATATATAAAAGTGATGTTTAAAAAAAAAAAAAAAAAAAAAAGGAATAGAGAAAGAGAGAATGAAAATTTCCCTTTTATATATTTGCAAGAGACCAAACTTACAAAAAAAAAAAAAAAAAATTATTATACAGTTTAAAGAGTATACATGCTCATGTTTTAATTATAAGCAAAGTCAAGCTGCGGGAGATAAAGATGCTGAAATGGTGCACAATTGGTGAAAAGTCTCATATCTTTAGTGTAGTCACGTGCTTAATTATTTTGCTAATTGATTGTAAATGCGCACATATATATATATATATATATATATATATATCAGTTAACAGAGATGTCAAAACGCGTTTTATTTGGCGCGTGCATAAAGTTAAAATGTTTTTTTTTCTTTTTTTCTTTTTTTCTTTCTTTCTTACTTTCAAAAATTTTGTAGAATTAATATTTTTAAACTTGCACATGTGAAATTTTCTTTTTTTTCAAATAATTCTTGATTCATAAATAAAATAAATATATTCGGTATTTACATTACTATTCTAAGTCTTTCTATCTTTTTTTTTTTTTTATATATATATATTTAAAGATTGTAATATGCCTATTTCCTTATTTTGTTTGGACATAAATATAAACCCATTTATTTTTATTAAAAGGTAGCTTTGTTTGTAGGTATCTTTTGTTTTCCCCCACTTTGTTAAGAACATTTGTTAATTTAACCACCTTAACCTAAGAACTTTAAAATAAAATAGTTATAATGCCAAATCCTTGGCTTAAAGCTAGACTAATTAATAAATGACTTTGAATCAAACCAAGCTTTTTGTTAAACTTTTTTAATTTTTTATTTTTTATTTTTTTTTCATTTTACAAATTCAAAACTTATTTAAATAATTATTATATATACTCTTTTTTTTTTTTTTTTTTTTTTTTTTTTTTTTGACAGATGTTTTTTATTTTATTTTTTTTATTTCTACTTTAATAAATAACTATTATTAGATTAGATTTAAGACTGATTTGAACATTAAATAATAATAATAATAATATATTCCTGATATTATTATTAAAAAAAAAAAAAAAAAAGAATAGTGCATAGCTATCCAATAATTGGCTTAATGCATGAAGTTTTTGTTAAAGGCGGTTAAGCCATATTAACTTAATAGTACTACTAATTATTATAATAATACTAATATGTTGGTTACCAAACTGCGTCATTGTTAACTTAATCAGTTACAATTATTTCTTGTAATATTTCACTTCCATCAATTAAATGGGTTAATCACTTTTTAAAAAAATATCAAGTTAAGCCACACCATATATAGATCTATTTAATTTTATTTTATTTTATTTTATTTATTTTTTTAGTTTTTAAGCAACAAAAAAAAAAAAAAAAATTAATCATAAACATGTAGAAAACCAAAATAATTATTTTATAATAATAATAAAAATAAAAAGTTCTTCTATTCTAAAAAACCGTATAAAAATTTAATGTATTTTGCTTCTATTTAAATCAATATATTTATATTTTTTTGTTGTTGTTGTTGTTTTTAAGACTTTTGAGGAATTTCCATGTCCTGGGCTTTATAATATTGAGTAGTACACGAAAATCCCTTCCAAGAAAAGTTTTTAGATGGATCACAAGTACAACGACCTTTACGACGCAGTTCCTGTGTAGTTGGGCACGCTGTATAGGGCCCGTGGTAATATCCAAGGTCTTCAAAATGATGGAATTGGGTTTTATTAAGGAAAAACGCTGCTGCTATCGAATGTACTGGAGCATCACCCCAACGTTCATAAAAGAAACCACCTGTTTGATCCAGGTAGTCAAAGTATTCCGAGTATGCCGGACCACGCCAAAATTCCATATCAGCCACCTCAAAGTTGGACCAGAAATGACAGCGATTGTAAGTCTTACCGCCATCATCAGAAACAAACTTAAGAAGATTGTCCTTGGCAACATATTCAGGATGTTTCTTAACAAACTCAAGAGTTGTGTTCCACAGCGTGGGGATGGTTTCTCTAAACTCATGCATAGAAATAGTGAAGCCGTACTTGTAGTCATTGTCCTGCATGTACTTGAACAAATCGTACTCAATATCACAGTAAAACTTCACACCGGGCTCCACTCGCCAATACCAGCGGTACTTTTGCATGAGAGGATGTCTCCAGAAAAAGCCCGACTCAAAGCGGCACATGTGACGGTATGATTCGGAGCCTGCATAGATAATCTTCTTGGCAGCCATGGCCTTACGGTTGCGAGCAGCCTTTTCCTGGTCAATGAATTCTGGGTATCCCCAGTGTTCCTTGGGAATGACACCAAAAGACACGTTACCTGAAATAAGGTTGGTCATAACAGACTTGAACTCATCATTGAATTCCTTGTCGTTCAAAAAAACCCAGTCGTAGTGATATCTGTGGTTGAAACGGTCCTCCATAGCCTTGACGGAATCCACAAGCGAGTACAAGTCCTTATTCTGGGCAAGAGTAACAAACGTCGCACTGACTCTTTCATCTTCTGGCTCCTTGATGCTGGAACCACCTGCAAAAGATGAAGGCATACGCTGACGCAGGTAGTCAAGTTGTTGTGAGCCTTGTTCTAAGAGTGTTTCAGGTTTGTTACCGGCAAACTTGTAGATGAGGAAGACGAGGAACAGCGTGATGGCTGTAAGTCGAGCCACCTTGAAAGTACTGCGGGCCATGACTGCAGATGTATTTTTTTGGGTGGGAGTTGACAATGTTTTTTTCTTTAGGTTGAAAAAGCCCAAGTCTACCTGTAAACTCCAGCTTTAAATATTGGGATATTTATTTAAATATAATTTTTTTTTTTTTTTTTTTATATAATTTATAAAAGTTTTTGAAAAGGGGAAAGAAAAGGTTCTTTTTCATTTTTCTAAAGGCAAGCATTGGGATATTTTTATTATTTTTTTTTTTTTAGGGCTGTGAGCTGGCAGAATTAGAGTTTTCACCCTTGGCTTATATAAATGTTTAGTCATCACCTAGGAAATATTTGTCAGCTATGCGGCTAACTTCAGAAACAACTAAATGGAGATTAAAAAAAAATTTATATATTAATGAATTTTATATTAATTAACGAATTTGAAAATAATGAATTTGAAAAAGTTTTAGAGAATGTTTAAATTTTTCTTTTTTTTTTTATCTTTTCAATATTATATATAATATATATATATATATATATATTTTTAAATACTCTAAAATAATTTATTATTCCCAAAAATAGCTTAACTAAGTTATACTCCTAAACCTTCTATTTTATCACCAAAAACTTTCTTTTCCTTCTTTTTCCCCTCATCAAATTCCTCCTCCTCTCTCCACATTCGGCTTGACTCATAAGCAATTACACCAAAAATGCCAAATACAACAAGCCCATTAACTACCTGACTCGTTTCGTACCACAGTCTCCCGGGATACTCAAACAAGTGGTATGGAGCATCGGCTGAAACTTTTTGTAGCGCTCGCTCCAGTAACCCAGAAATAACATGACCTGTTCCCCAAGGAACTACCCATAATGCAACTGTGCCTGCACCAGTCAGCGCAATGTGCATGCGAAGAACAACAGCTTCATAGGCACAAGACCCAAGCATCAAAATCCAACTACCTAAATATGTCTGTGGACCTAATCCTGCCCGCAGCAAGACCCACGAAATAACAAAAACAGAACTTAGTAAAAAGTGAATTTGTGGGGTATAGGCTTCCCCACGATGTCGAATTGCCTCGGAGTAAGCAGCTCCATTACACTCAAGAATTGAATGATTCACTTGAGACCCTATGAGCTCAGGAATATAAACAGGCACAAGTATATATGCGGCATTAAATACCATAGCCAAACAAGTGCCTCCTAATAGTGCAAATCGTCTTGAAACAATAGTAGTAACGCCAGCACTAATACTAGTGTCAGCACTAGTAGAAACACTAGTAGTAGTGCTTTGAATAGTGTTGGCGAATTGACTGGACCAAGCTGCAGCAACACTGGCACAAATGAGCCAGTAATCCCCAGATTGATTCTTGGGAAGGAAAAATAAATACGTAAGAAGCCCCAAGAGTGCTAAAATAGCCAGACCTAATCTGTGAACTTGCTGCTGCTGCTGCTGCAAGAAATGAAGTTGAGTTGATAAAATCTGAGTTATCAGGAGAGCAACTGTCACAAATAAATGCCAAAATAATAGCCTGATTACTAAAGGTTCAACATAAAACTGAGGGTTTAATCGGTCTGGGGAAATAAGAACCAGTGCTGTAAGCGTAGGCAGCACAAGAAGACGCAAAATCTTAAGCCCAATGAACTTACCGACTGAACCACATAAAAACTCTTTTTTAGCAGCAAGTTGTAAAGTATACTGATAGACCTCAAGAAGCAGCCAGCTACTTTTAAGCAGTTCAGCACAAATGGTACCATTGAAACTTTTCAGTTGAAAGTCATAGCCTGTAAACTCAATCAGAATAAGTAGTGCAACGCAAATTCCTTTAAACTCTGAAATGAAAGTCTCGCTTAATGCAAAATTCTTCAATATCAATGGCTCATCCACCTTTCTATAAAAAAAGGCTAAGAAAATCCCAATTTGTATAAAAATAACCATGTTGCGTGCATCAAAATAAAGCATTTGTGTACTTAAAGCTGGTGTTCGCTCAGCAACATGAACATATAAAATAGCCACAAGAATCGGTAATATTTTTATAGCTAAATTCACCCTGTGAATCTTAAATAAAACATAAACAGTGACTACAACTAGTAGCAACCCCCCTATAACAATCCACCCTGATCCTCCTGTATATTCCACACAGCAGGTCCCAGAAAAGGACTCCGTACCATGCTCTTTTTCATTCCCCCAATGTGCTGGAGCTACTTCACGGTTGCACATGTGGTTCAAAAATATATTGGACGCAATATAACGAGCTGTTGACGACAGGTACATTCCAGTGGAAGCATCACTATGGCCTGGATGATTTTCGCCTCCAAGATTTTGAATAACTGGCGCATAGTATATTGCTGGCTTAGATGAATCAAGTGTGCTAAAAAGAATTCCACCAGATCCTCGAGAAACATCTGATCTTCGTCGGTAACCAAAAATATCATCTACCGCAGATACCATAGAACCCACAGATGCTGGGTCATTTAAATTAGGGCTGAGTGAATAGTATGGCATTACAATTGGTGCAAAATATGCCGGTTCAATTGCACCAGGCTTGGCTGCACGAATAATATCAAAAAGGGCATTGAGGTTATTTGAATACATTGATACCCCTTCTTGTCCCATGTTTTGTGCAAACAAAGATCCACCTGCAAGAATTAAAAATGTACGCGGTGGAGTTGAATCATTTGGATGCACAAGTGATTTTGCATCTTTTTTGTATTCTGATTCTACGCCTTTTTCAGATATATCTTTGATGACTGAAATGCTTGAGTCATTAAAGTATGGTGACCACAAGAAAGTCACAGTGATATTGCTTCGTACAGTTGTCAGGCGATCTTGAGATTGAATTTCATTTGAATCTTTTTGTTCAAGAGTATTGGCTAGCCCGTCAAAGATTTGGCGACCACTTAAATCGCCAAGAACTATTATTTCATCTCCAGGTAGTAAGCAGGGATTTAAAGGGTTCCCCGACGAATGCTGATAGTACTTGTGTAAAGCGCATCCATCCGGCTGCCATTGTTTCGGACCAAATGACGGCTCATCAAGGTACCTGCCAGTTTTAAGAATTGCATCACATCGAGCTGTGCGGTCTCCGCCGGTGCGGTAAACTCCACGTAGTCTCACATTTGACAGAACTGAGGAGATCAACAAGAAAATAATAGTGCTTAAAAAGACTAGATGTGGTGTGTTCCAAATCTTCATTGAGAAGTTACAAAGAGAACAAGGCTTTTAGGTGTTTTTTTTTATTTATTTCTTTTTTCTTCTTCTTAATTTGAAATTGAAAAAAAGCCTTAAAATGAGATATGAAAAAGAAAGGTGTTTTAGAGGTTAGGGTTTCTTAGGGTGGTTAAAAAAAAAGGAGGTGGTTAAAGCTCTTAAAGCTTTGTATGATAAATACATATATACATATATATATATATTGTATAATTAACAAAAACTACAAGGAATAACCATTTGTTAAACTCATTTCTTGATATTATTATAACTAGTAATAGATTGACTTGTTTTTAATTGAAATCTTTGCTTTTATTAAATCTTATAAGTAGAAGAGAAAGTTCTCATGGTAAATTTAGTTTTAAAAGTTTTTTTTTTTTTTTAAATAATTTGAAACAGATCATTAAATCCCTATTTCCAATATTTATCTTTAGTTAATCCTATAAACCTTTTAATTTGTATATATTTATTCATTAAAACTTTTTCAAATTTCATTTTGTAAATTCATTTTTTTTATATATATATACCGAGGTACAGATATTCTTAACCTGAGCGTATTTTTAATTTTTTTTTTTATTGTTGTCATTTACTTTATTAAAAACGTATATAGTAGTTAAAACCCTTTTTTTATTTTTTTATTTCTTTTTTAAATAAACATCTCCACCTCATCCCTCCTTTAATTTATCATCTTGTTTTCTTAATCTACACATGATTTCTACATGGATCCGGTGGGCAGTCCATGGGATGGTCGTCCGATCGGCTCTTTTCCCAATATTAATGGCTTTGGCTCTAGTCATTCTGCTCACCTCCCACACAAGCTCTATTGTCTCTTCAACCCGTGCCCAAGTTTCTTCTCCATCAAGATTTCGTGACGATGCATTAAATACGTATTCTGATTCAAATTCTCCCAATCAGGAAGATTCCCCGCTTAAAATTTCTAGCGGTGAAATTTCATCTCGTTGTAACTCTTTATTGACTTACGGAAGATACTTTGACCAAGACAAATTCTTGCCCAAGGCATGGCAGCCCGACGGATGCACTCTACACCCTTACCAAGATATTTCTGGCTCTTACCAAGCTTGTCTTGAACCTGGAGATGAAATCATAGTCGCAGGCGACATGACCACCAAACAGGTCTTTTATGGATTTCTCAACGCATTATGGCCTGAGCGATATTACAACCAAGTTGAAGATGAGTTTCATAACTTTGACTTTACATTACCAACAGATGTGCGCGTTCGGTTTTTAGCTATGCCTTATTTTAACGGATCCAATGCAGATATTATTGCCGATATTGCTAAAAATGGCACCAAATCTCTTCACAAAGCTAATGCTTTAAAACTTGCCCAAAAAAATAATCGTATCAGCCATCCTCGATCATATCTTTTTGCATCTGGAGGACTCCAGTTTTTTTCAAAATCAACCAATGATGAACTCCCCCAGAAAAACCATGAATTCACTCAAAACTTAGGCTTATTCCTCACTTCACTTTTAGACCCAATCAGCCAGGATGGTCACTTGGCTTTTGAACGGATTTATTATGCCCCACCACTGATTCCCTATTATCCCATGCTTAACTCTACAAATAAACAAGCCTACCCACTAGGACTTATTACCAATGTTGTGGCCAATACTGATAACCTTATTAAATTTCAAAGGGACCCTGATGGCAGACCCTTATCTGGGGGTATAGTTTCGAAAGCAACTTTTGCTAAAAATTTGAACCTACCTAAACTATTTTATGTTCCAGTGATTAACGACCTTGTAGGAGCAAACCATGCCGAATTATATCAAACCGATGGAATCGGGTATATTGAACAAACACGTACTCTTATGGCCAATATTCTGCTTAATCATATGTGCAACCAAAGGCTTGCAGATGCTGCAGATGCTGGTGTACTTAATGAACCTTTTAAAGGAACTTGCTGCGTCGACTATGCCCCCGTTTCAGAATCTTCACGAGCTGGTCTTTCAATTCTTTTAATCTTGTCATTTATTTCCATTTTATTTTTTTTCTTTATTACAGTTAATTCTGCTTCAGAAAGTATGGGAGTTTCGGTTTTACAACTAGTTTTACCAGCATTTACTTTACTAATGACTCTGGTTGTGGTTTTCTATGTCTATTACACTGAACGCACCCACAAATTTGTTAAAGTTGGTCTTAATTATACCCCATATTTATTCATAATACTTATCCAATTTGTTGGTTTCTTGGGTGCAGCCTCATTTGGTCCTACAAAAGCTCACAACTGGCAACTTAAAGAATTTAAAGGAGGATGCCTGCTAATTTTACTTGCAATTGAAATATCAGGATACGATAATATTGACTCCAAATTTGAGGGCGCTCTTTTGGCTCGTTTAGCTTTGACATCCTGGGCAGCAGTAGATGTTTACATTTACACTACCCATTATATTTCTCAGTTAAGGATTAACCAATCTTCTTTTTACAAGGCTCTCAAGTTTCCCGCTATAAACATTTTGCATGTATTTTTGCTTCCCCAACTTATATCTTTACTTCTTATTCCACATGCATCAGAAAATCTTTCACACTTTCAGGTTCTTGCTACTGTTGCACCAATCTCTGCTAAGCTTTTATTTTGGTACATGTTTGTGGCCATTGTTATTCCTATTGTCTGTGCACTGACAATATCATCATTGGACTTTGTGACCAGACTGGGTAGTCACCAAATGCGCAATACTGCAGCTGTCGCTATTCAAATGACAGTGATTACTTCTATTGCTTTTGTTGTTTATATTTTACGCCGTCACTTAGTATCACAAATAGCTTTAGATCGAAATCAGACACTTTCATCATTTCAATACAAATACCAACGCCAACACCCTATTCTTGATGATTTTTGGGTGCTTTTTTTTGCTGTACTTACCGCTTGGTTGGCCCACTCCAAGGAAATTTTGAGCCCTGTTTTAACAGCAGAATCGAATCTTGGTGGAAAGTCAATAGTCCAAATTTTACAGGAATGGAAGTTCCCAGAAATATTTTCCAAGTGGTCAGGATATATTTCCGCAGTTCTAGCATGTTTACTTGGAAATTATCTTTTCTACGCATTTAAATTCCCTATTCCACATCTTAATGGGTCTGGAACGATTGCTACGTTTTCTGATTATAACCTTGAACTATATGCTGATTCTATGGAGAACCGCGGAGCAGCATATACACCCGCCATTCACACATTGGTTACTCTTTCAATCTTTGGATTATGGGCTGTGCTACGCTATAATGTATTTTCAAAAAAATATGCTGCCCGTGCTTACATTTTTGTATCATCTTGTGGGTTTGAGTTACTGGTGATGCGTCGTCATGTACTGCTTACGAATTTTGGGAGCAATTTCCTTTACATCTTGTCCGGCGGGACCGGACAGCAGCCTAGAACTGACCCCTCGTGGGATCTTTCTTACAGTCAAAACAGTGCTGTTGATACCATGGCAGAACGCTTGTCTCAAGGACCCGATAAATCATGGTGGATACTTTTTAGTCTGAATCTTACTATAACTTCAGGGATTTGTATTGTACTTGCAAAAGCATGTGCAATTGGTTGGGAGTATTATTTGGATTCAACTGAAACTGGTGAACCGGAAAAAAGAGATTCATTTTAAACCGAGAGGTTCAGCTATGTACATTTTATTTAATTAAAAGTTTTTTAAAATAATTAAAATAAAAAAAAAAAAGTAACTGAATTAAGATTTACTTGTCTATTTATCAAATTAAATTATAAAATAAATTTAGTAGTAGATAAAATTGATCAAAACGTTATGAATAGATCTGATATGATCATAGGTTATTTGCATGGATCATTATTGTATGAAAGAGAGAGAGAGAGAGAAAAAAAAAAAAAACAATAATTTAACGCTATCAGAAAGGAACTTAAGTAAAAAAAATCTTGATTCAATCCAAATACTTTTGATAAAATTAAATGAAAATTAATATTGTAAACCAAAGTGATTATGAGTCGTAAATTACTTTAAATGGCCTCAAATATAAAATTAAAAAATTTTTTTTTTTCCTTTATTAACAACCTTTGACAATATTTCAATTAATATTTTTAGAGTATCCTTTTCTTTATGGTCTTGCTTTTTTTTTCTTTTTTTCTTTCTTTCTAGCTTATCCTTTGGTTCGTAGTTTGTTTGTTATTTATTCCTTTTGTTTATCACTTTGATTATCTTCATGATTTCCCCCTTGGTTATCACTTTGATTGCACTCCCAATTTTTCTTTTATTTGTTATTCTATCATCTTAATTTTTACCTTCTTTCTTATCCTCTTTCTTATCCTCTTTCTTATCCTCTTTCTTATCCTCTTTCTTATCCTCTTTCTTATCCTCTTGCTTATCCTCTTTCTTATCCTCTTTCTTATCCTCTTGCTTATCCTCTTTCTTATCCTCTTTCTTATCCTCTTGCTTATCCTCTTGCTTTTCCTCTTGCTTATCCTCTTTCTTATCTTCTTGCTTATCCTCCTGCTTATCCTCCTGCTTATCCTCTTGCTTATCCTCCTTCTTGTCCTCTTGCTTGTCCTCTTGCTTGTCCTCTTGCTTGTCCTCTTGCTTATCCTCTTTCTTATCCTCATTATTTTCTTCTTTGTTTTCCTCTTGGGTGTTTTGTTGAGCGTCCTCTTGTTTACTCTTTTGAACGTCTTGTTTTTTGCTGTCTTCCTTTTCTTCCTTCTTATCCTCATTCTTATCTTCCTTATCCTCCTTCTTATCCTCATTCTTATCTTCCTTCTTATCCTCTTTCTTATCCTCTTTCTTATCCTCTTTCTTGTTTTCTTGCTTATCATCTTTAACTTCTTCAATTACTGTTTCACCGACACGTGGACTTCGAAGGATATATTCCATCACACCAGGCCCCCAGATGTTTAAAAACGAACGCTTGTTTGGGTGTACATCATCCATATACAACTCCCGTTTAGGCATACCTCTTGTCAATTGACCAATTGGCCAATAAACCACACCTTCATTTTTCATTACTGACTGAGCCACATGATTGAGCTGATCTACTTTCTGAGCAGCATATCTATAGTTCCGTGGCATATCAACTGGGGTATATCTGTACCTAGCTTTTAAAGGATAATGTGCTTCGCGGTAAACAAGTTGGGAATTAGGTAATCTGGCTTTAAGTTTTGTTGTAAATTCAAGAAGATTTTCTTGGTAGCCAGTGAGCTGGGTTAGGTTAAAACTCATTGTTTCTGGTAATTTAGCCCATGATGCAAGCCGGTCGAGACGAGCAAGTTCCCATAGACCGAAATTAAAGAATGCGACATCAGGGTCACCACGACCAAGTGATTTCATAGTTTCAGAAAAGAGCTCCAAACGTGCACGCCATTGTTGTGGTTCCCAAAACTTTTCTTTCCTGTCCATCCAGATACCATCAGAATCAAACCCGTACATGAAGTAAATGGCCAAGGTCAAATTATAATGAGGGACATGGCAAATTCGGGGGAAGCAGTTGGGAGCTTCTTTGGCGACAGTAGTATTCCAAGGCTTGTCATGATCTTCTTGGTAAGTTTGGGTTACGGTACCCTTGACAGTATTGCAGATTGTAATTAGTTGACGTCTATCAACAGAGTCGCCAAAAAAAATAGCAGTTTTATTCACGAGCTCTGGAATATCTTCCTTTCTTTTCATTTTCTGGAAAATATCTAAATAAAGAGGTTGGCACCCTGGGTTTAGAGAGTGATATGTAGTGTTCCAATAAATGTGATCTGAAGCATTAAAGTAACCTGGTTCATTGTAGGGGTCGCATTGTTCCAATAGTGGTTTTGATTGATCATGAGAGTACTGGAATGGAATGGCAGTATATGTTTCCACGATTGTTTCCACGATTGTTTCAACTGATTTCAGTGTTGTGGTTGCAGTTATTGTTGTTTTGACTGTAGCTGTAGCTGTAGCTGTAGCTGTTGCAGTTTGAATGAGTGTTGGGGTATCTGAGAGTAAGGTTTGAGGGGCCACTTGTTCGATGGGAGAAGGCTTGAGGGAGTATACTGACAAGGTGCGAATGAGCCAAAAAAGGACCAAGACATTTGCAACCAAAAAAAGGGCAAACTGTACTCCTGAGCTTGGGGGCATGTTTTTCACTTGGTAATTGAAGAGAAAGATTAAAAAAAAAATACAAATTATATATACATAAATATATATAAATATATAAGGTTATAAAGAGAAAACAAAAGGATGGATTTTAAGAATAATAATAATAATAATAATAATAATATAAAAAAATAAAAAATAAAAATAAGTTGGTGAGTAGATTTTAAAAATAAAACATGATAAAGTAAATTTAAAATATATATAGTGGGCAAAAAATCTACATTTTACAGTCAATTTGACATTATTACACACTTGAAAATAAATGGGTGGGAAAATGGAAAAGTTTCACGTGACAAATTAGTCAGGATTGTGTTGGTTTTTAGTAAGAATTGAATCAATCTTAGTAATGTTTGTGTGGATGATTATCAAAGAATTCCCAAGATGGTAATTTTTTATGATCGAATTAGGACGAGGAGGAGATAAAAATCAAAATTTCTTGCAGATTTATAAGAAATCGGCCATTTTGTTAGGGGCATTTCCCATTTCCCATTTCCCTCCCACGTATTTTCAACAGTGTTATTAGATATATAAACAATGTGTTACATTACAAACTTCTAGAAAAAAAAAAAAAAAAAAAAGTTCTTGTTCACCATCTCCTGTCAAATGGAATTCGACTTGTTAAATCAAATCAATTTCATGAAATAAAATACCCTCCATTCCCCAGCTTGTATATTCAATGTGATTATTATTATTATTATTTTTTTTTTTTAAGTATGTGTGGTTAGTATGTTAAAAGATATGTTTTTTTTTTCTTAAAGTATCAATATTCATAAATTGAAATGATTTGTCCTTGCATAGTTAAAATAAATAAGTTCGTTCTTGGATCACCAATGTATATATATTTAAAGACTCCTTCCTTAAACCAACAAGACAATTTTAAGAAAAAGAATTTTTTTTTTCTTTTATTGACGATATTTACAAAAAATGTCACAAGAATATAAGATTATAAGAATAAAGGAATAAAGTAGTTTGATAAAAGATTGTATATTTATTTAAATTTTATTAGAATTTTATATATAAAGTACACAGGATTTGAATCACCAAGCTTTAATATCTCAAGCTTGTCTTGAGGCTTTCTGAAGTGAAGATTTGTGGGTAAATTGAGTTCGTGGCCTTTTTTTTTTTTTTTTTTTTTTTTTTCAATATATATATTAGTTAAACTATTAAAAAATAAAATCCAGTTTAACAATTTCAAAAGCCAAAGTCCCGATTTGTAATTTTCTCCTTCCAACACCAAATAATAACACAAATCTATAGGCGTTATTTTAATTTTTGTTTTTTTTTATCTTGGCATGCATAATTATGGTTAATTATCTAAAAATGAAACCACCGGACCGAAAAAAAAAATAAAATATTTGTTACCTTATTGGGATTGGCGTTAGGCGGAAAGTTTTGCCTACTACGTAACGACCTTTAAAAATTACCTTTTTTTTTTTTTTTTTTTTTTTTTTTTTGTAAAAAAAAAAAAAAAAAAAAAAAAAAAATTTAAATTGTTACCCTACCTGTCTATAATTGTATGTAGGAATTCAGAAATTATTGAAAACAACATTCCAAACAATCCATCTCTATTTATTCCAAAAATTAGGAGTGGCGTATTTGATAGTCGACTTTAAAATGATAAAGGTTTTTTTTTTTTTTTTTTTTCATCATCATCATCATCTTCTTCTTCTTCTTCTTCTTCTTCTTCTTCTTCTTCTTCTTCTTCTTCTTCTTCTTCTTCTTCTTCTTCTTCTTCTTCTTCTTCTTCTTCTTCTTCTTCTTCTTCTTCTTCTTCTTCTTCTTCATGGAATACTGATTAGTAAATGAATTTCTAGATGTTCAGTAAATTAAAAAAAAAAGATAGAGCAACGTCCAACATATCATAATCAATTTACCAAGCATGTTTGGACCTTCTTCACCTTGACATTTCTACAATATCGATATCAAGACATCGTTTTATAGATTTATTTATATAAGTAAATTTTTTTTATTTTTTATTTTTTTTTTTATTTTTTATTTTTTTTTTTATTTTTTATTTTTTTTTTTGATATAACAATATATTATAATTTAAGAACATATAAGATTGAGAATATTTAGTAGTTTTTAAAATATTCATCAGAGTTAGGATATAGACTTTGAACTTGAAAAAGGAAGTTAGAAATTGTAAGACTACCTAGTCAGGTGTCTAATTTAAATGATTATGTAATTTTATGTTAAATAAAATAAAATAAAATAAAATAAAATAAAAAAGCTTTATTGAGCCTAGTTTCATAATGACATAATTACATAATTAAGCTTAAATATAGTGTGTGCTTGTAATAACATAATTATTGGTGCTTCGGTTTATTAATTTAACCATAAAGTAGTTTGGCTACCATGACAATTAAATATGAAATATATCCATATCCATATATATCTCAATTTGGGTAATAATTCACTTGTTCTTCTTCTCCCTCCTTTATTTAAAAGATCACGGCGTGTCAACTTGCTTTTTCTTTCTCCTGGCAAAAAAAAAAAAAAAAGACTTTTATGGAATGTAGCAGATCGGATAATTTTAACTTTTTTTAAGTTTTTTAAAGTACTTCTGGATAAGCCTTTGGCTTTGATTAATATCTATTAAATAAAATAAAATAAATAAAATAAATAAAATAAATAAAATAAATAAAATAAATAAAATAAATAAAATAAATAAATAAAATAAATAAAATAAATAAAATAAATAAATAAAATAAATAAAATAAAATAAATAAAATAAAATAAATAAATATAAAAAAAAAGTCAAATAATTAGATCCTGTTATAATATATATATATATAATAAATTTATAAGTATATACTTAAATATTAAAATCGAATTTGACCCAACTTAAAATCATTTGCTTATTATCTCAAATCTTAGATTAACTCATTGAAAAAACGTATTACTAGCTGGTTTTGTTGGTTTTATATATATAAAATTATTATCCTATACGCCCAAAAAAAATAAAAAAATAAAAAAATAAAAATAAAAATAAAAATACTTATTAATAACTTAGATATATATATATAATTTATTATTTTTTTTTAAATATTATTCATTGTTAAAATTTTCTTTAATAATTAATTTATAAATTATGCCTGTGTGATCCCGATAGTGGTAGTATACCAAGTACAAAGACAGGTAGACATAATAAATGAATTATTTGGATTGATTAATTAAATAAAAACCACAACAAATGTTTTTCCAAGAAGAAGAATAAGAAGAAGAAATTAAAATAAAATAAAATAAACAAAAATAAAAATAAAAATAAAAAAAAATAAAAAATAAAAAAAAAAAATAAAATAAAAAATAAAATAAAAAATAAAATAAAATAAAATAAAAAATAAAAAAATAAAATAAAATAAAACCTTCTCTTTTTTTTTTTTTATCCCATTTTAGTTACCCATAAAATAGATTTTTTTTTTTTTTTTTTTCAAAAAAAAATCATCTCGAAGATCGCCATTAGAATTCTAGAATCCTCATGTCATTCGCTCGACTTCAAAACAAGTGGTTACTTGTTATTGCAGCAAATGCTATTGTATTTGGTGGCATAGCTTGTTATTGGCTTGGTACTTCAGCTCCATTTGGTACTCCAAGAGTTCCATCTTCCTTCATTCCCAAGTTTGATACTTCAAAAAACTGTCCAACATTAGAATCAACTTCATCAGTTAGTAGTAGTACTACTACACATCCGTTGGGAGGCCCCGAAGTTCCTGACCATTATTGTGACCCATATAATGAGGCCGGATACTTCAATGCTACAGATATGGTCTATCCTGACATCACATACATTTCATTAAATCCATCATGCCAGCCTCTTGCCCGCAATATTTCAGCAAGAATCACTGCCAGAGAATACATCCCAGACCTTGTCAACAAGACTATGGTCTTTTTTGGAGACTCTGTGGATCGCTATAGTGTTAACCATATTTGCTCTTCTACTAACTCCTTTCAAAAGGAAACATACCAAGAAGATCACAACCACTTGTGGACCAACAAAAGCAGACCTGCCCCCAACTGTTTCCCAAGAGTTTGCCAAATGGAATACCTTAATACAACTATTGTCAACTACTTTATGTATGGCTTTGATGCGTCAAATGTTTGGGAAAGACAAAACGACAAGTTTTGGGAGCCGGTCAACTGGCGTGACCGTGTGAATTTGGCGTTTGAAGGTTTGAAAACTTTGGAGCGTGATGAGCCTCAAGTTACTTTTATTAATGCTGCATTGTGGGAACTGGCCCGCTTTGACAGAGTTGCTAAACTTGCAGGTGTTCCTGATTCCTTGAGTTTCAGCGAGGCAGAGTTGATTGAATATAGGGATTCATTGACAGAGATGGTTGGTATGATTAGAAAAAGACTACCTAGAACTCGTCTGGTTTATCGTGAGTCACATTTCCCCAAAAAACCATCTGCTGGATATAACTTGATTGATGTTCCACGACCTCTTCGGTACTCTGGCCAAAAAGTAAGACAACTCAATCAAGTTGCCTACCATGTAATTAAAGATGCTGGTGGAGATTACTGGCCTATTGGTGAACTGACCCACAGTTTTGTACCAAAACAAGTTTTATTAGATGATGGTGAGTATTATTATCCTATTCAACTAGTCAAGCTTCTAAATTTTTATTTTACTAACTTTTCAATTTTTTTTTTTAGTCCACCCAAATAGAGAAGCATTACGTGCTATGTGGGTTCCTGGGTTTTTGGAATATTTGATGCGCACATCACTTGATTATAAAATTGTTCCTGGATTTAACTAAATTTGATGTTAGGAATGAAACGGATATTTAGGAAAGTATAGTTAGACCCGTTATTACTGTTTATTTGGAAATAAGCATAGAAATAGTTTTTTTTAGTTAAAATCATAAATTAGCATTGTCTATCTTAGATGTTGTGTGTTGTACATTTTCTTATATGTAAGCTTTTTTCTCGGTTAATAATCAGATAAAGGATTGATGACGTGTCGTGAAATTAAAGGATGATTGCCAAAATTGAACTTTTTAAAGGTTCATTTACAAAATAGCCAGCTATAACAGATATTTTTTTTTGTTTTTTTTAATGATACAGTATCAGAAAAGAAAGAACCGAATGAAAAATGACAAAACTTTAACCTTTCCATATTTAATACAAGAAACTTAAAAATCGATTCATACAAAGTTAAGCAGGCATTAAAATAACCAAAAATAAACTCCAACAAGATCAATATATTGATCATATATATAAATAAAAAGAATTCTAAAGTATTTCCATAATTAATAAGATTTATAGAGAAATAGGAATTAGAACAAAAAAAAAGAAACAAGATTAGATTAAAGTAAAATTGATTAAATCTTAAATTTTTTTGTATTTTTTTTTATTTTCAAGTGATATGCCCATGATTTATAGACAGTTTCTGCTATATGATCATATATATAAAAGCTGAACCCATCACAGAAATATATTTCGTGCATGTAAAATGCCTTATGCCAAATTCTGAAATGCTAGACGTTAACGTACCTAAGCGAGTTAAGATGAACCGAAAATGGCTATTATTTTATTTATTTTTTTTTAATTTTTTTTTAATTTTTTTTTAATTTTTTTTTAATTTTTTTAATATACTTGTTATGGTAATAATATTTTATAAATAACTAGATACTTTTAAATACATTTCTTTCAATCAGAATGTTCTTGATACTTGAGCAAATATTACTTTAAGTAATATTATAACTAAGTTATATGCAGTTATAAATGTAGTTATAAAATAAGCTTATCGAAAAAAAAAAAAAAAAAAAAAAAAAAAACTTGACTTGAGTTTACCTTTTTGACTTTTTTCTATCATTAACTTATAATATATTATAGCATTTAAGTCAAAGCTCATTTTGGCGAAAGGTGGACGATTTTGGATAAATCGTTTAGCATTTTAAAGTTGGAAGAAACAACGCTATTTCTTTAGATAATCTTTTTTTTTTTACTTAATCTGCATGACTAGTCATGTAAAATACTTTTATACTCAAAAGAATAAACATAACCAAAAAAAAAAAAATTAAAAAAAGTTTAAGGGTACTTGGCTTTTTCTCATGGAATATTTGGTAGTGCTCCTTCTTTATGTTGAGCAAATGATCATTAATGGTGGTGATGGTGATAATAATAGTGTGGGAATGCAGTGATTTTGAAGTTGCAAAGCCCCAGACATCTAGATTTAGTATGTTACACATTTAATAAAGTGTAATATTTTATTATATTATTATATTATTTCTTAATAGTAGAAGTAATATTACATAAGTTCATCTTTGTTCATTCTGATATATACGTGCTATTTATTTATAAATAAATAGCACGTATATATCAGAATGAACAAAGATAATTATAAATAAATACTAAAAGAACTTTGAAATATCATTATTCACTAACTAATCCTTATTTATTGTCCTTCTTGAAAGGTTCATTAGATGTCTTCAAAATCTACTCTTATTAAGAAATTTATATAGATCTCTTTAAGTTGGTAGATTCAAAAGTTAGTCAAGAATATATATTACACTTATAGGTATAAATGAAGGTTATAGCGGAGGAGGACCAAGGACAATATATATATATATATATATATATATTCTCTAGATAAAATGGTAAAAGGAACAGGACGTGAACTGAGAAAAAGTATGAAAAATATAAGAAAATACAGTATAGCCCGTTAGAGTCATTGAGTTTATCAAGTATAGATCTTAGAGATCCAGTTGGATCGGACAATATAGTTAGGTTAAAGTAGTTAAAGTTGGTTAGAAAGATGGGGAATTAAGGATAGAAGAATTTTATTTTAAATAACACGTATTCTTTTTTACCATAGTCTGAACTATGTTATTTGTTAAACGTATATACCGGAACCTTAAATTTACCGTAGCATTGTCTGACTAGAGTACCGGCGTAACAACGGGTAGTAGTAACACTTCGGAGCATTGTGGGGAGGGTATCTGGCACATCTAATAAACACTTAGTGTCTAAGGCTTATATTAATATATATATTTTAAAAAAAAAACTCTTCCCCCCTCCCTCCCTGGTTGAGAAAGGCTTTTTATTGTTAACATTTTATTTACTTCTTTAGCAAGGCCAAGCAATAGACGCCTCTTAACCACCTAGTAGGTTTTAACTAATTATAACTAACTAACTAACTAAATTAAATTTAAATAAATAAATTTTAAATTAAATAAATTTATATAAATTAAATAAATTTTCGATTAGTAACATATTAAATGTCCAACTGGTAGATGTACATAAGTGTATATATAAAAGTTTGGTCTACGTCTTTCTTTTTATGTTTTTTGTTACAAGTTAAAAAAAAAAAAAAAAAATAATAATAATAATAATATGAATTAGTCTCCTTTCTTTTATCTTCCCATTTTTAATATATTTTATTTTTTTTTTTTTTTCGTCAAATAAAATATAAATGTTTTCATTTAAGAATTTACGCCTGCTGGTCCCAGCAGTAGCTATAGTTGTTCTTATCCTTCATCTTTCTTATAAAATCATCCCACATAATCCTATTGCAAATAAAGCAATCTCAACTTCGTTCATAGAAAATAATGACGATTCCAGCTTAGAAGAAGAACCATACAAAGACGATCTGCTAGAGCTAACAAACTCCACTCTTGGTTTCTCTAAACTTATATATCTCAATGTTCCCTCACGATACGACCTCGACGATACCATGACCATGCAGAGCGTGATTTCAGGCATTCGACCTGAGCGATTCGAAGGTGTGACAACTGACGATGTCACAAAACTTAACCCTAATAATGACGGTAGCAGGGTCATTGACCCCAAAGGATTCGCACCTGCAGCAAACCGATACCTAACAATGGGTCCCGGTGGTTTGGCTTGCTTCCGCTCTCATGCAAACATTTGGCGACTCATGATCAAAAATAATTGGAAAACCCTTCTTGTGCTTGAAGGTGATGCCGCATGGGACGTCAATATCCGTCGCATCATGCCCCACTTTTCAAGAGGCCTCGAGCAGCTCATGCATAAGCTTGGGAAAATTGATAACGACACCCATGTTTCACGCAATGATCCTTACCTATCTGATCATTGGGACTTTATTAATCTTGGTGGCTGCTATGCTAACCCTAAGCGCAAGGAATTAAGTGTGCAGTACTACGACCCGTATGCTCCTGAAGGCACAGAAAAATCACCTCTTATGATTCATGGAATGACTATTGAGAAGCAACGACGTCTTGTTAGGTACCAAACCGAAGAAGCTTGCACTGGTGCATATGCCATCACTCGACAAGGAGCTCACAAGTTGTTATTACGATCAATGGTTGACATGGGTAATCCTGTGGATCTAGTGATTCGTGGACTTGTTGCCAGCGGTGCATTGGAGGATTATTCAGTGTTCCCAATTCTATTTAATCAAGGGTCTTATCGCAAAGATTTAGGCCCCCAATCTAAAGGTTCTGAAACTGGTGATCCTAATAAAAACAAACAACTTAGTGAAGCAAACATCCCCTGGGATGATATTCACAAAACAATGAACATTTGGCGATATGGTATTCCTGGACTTTCTCGCTTCAAGAAAGGAATGTTGTTAAATCTTCAAGATTATATATTTACGAAAACAGAGCCAATGCTAGATACAGATTTAGGTGGAAAAGAGTAAACAAAAAAAAATTTGTTAATAGTAATAATATTCATGTAATCAGTTGTTATACTTTAAAATTTAAAATTTATATATGGAAACATAAAACAAAGACTTAATTATTAGAGCAATAATCCACTAATTAGCTCTATAATCCATTCCCTGTAGACTAATAATACTATTGTTTCAGCAATATACCTATAGAAGCTAGTTTTGTTTAGATGTAAAGTTTACAATACTCGTTTTTTTTTTGTTGTTTAAAATGATATTAACACTTTGATAGAAACCTAAAGGAAAGTCTTGTTTTTGTAGTTTGTGCAAACGTTAACAGATGCAAGCTTTGCTGGAGTTTATCCTTAACTCTAATAAAATACTAAAATTGATAACTTTTTTTAAGAAACAACCCCTTAACCTATTTATCCCTTTTTTTTTAAGGCCAAGAAGGCTTTTTCTTAAATATAAATAGTATAGAAAAATATAATTTTCTCAATGTTTAGAAAAAATTAATTATTTACTTTTTTAATGTTAATAAAAATGCTTTTGAAAGAGAATCTTTCTTTAGGTTTCTTAAAGTTACTAACCTTCTACTTTTTTTTTTAACTCCAATAAAACAATTTTTTAGAAAGACCTTCTAAGGATTAAAAAAGTTTTAATCAACAAACTGTTCTTTCAACGTCAAGAAAAATAATTCTTTAAAAAGATTTCTCGATTATATGGAAACTCCAGCCATAATAGAGCTTCTTTCAAAGAATAAAAAAAAATAAATAAATGTTTTTTTTAAGGATCGACAGAATAAACACATGCGTAAACAAATTTCTTCTCACAAGATATTAGGTTTTATGCTTTAAATAAAGCCATACTTAATATATTCAACTCAAGTGGTGTAAAAGTATATTTCGAACTGGCTAATAAAAATATTCTACAGTACATCATTTTAAACTCAAGGACAATTGGTTTGCCTTTTTCTAAAACTCTGAAACTCATCTGTGAAAGGCAAGCTTTGACCCCCTCTTTTTTTTTTTTTTTTTGTTACAAGTATTAATATCATTATCATTATTATTAATTAGCTTAATTATTAAGATTTATGGTTCATCAGTGTTCATTATAAAGGTGTATAAATATGTCCTGAAGGTGCTGGTCCTGAAGGATAATTGCGGGTTGCGTACTGTTCAGTATACTGGGGCTGTATTGGTGGAAGAGGAATGGAAGCCGGAGGTTGGTGATAAAACTGCGCAGACATATAGCCTGGTGGTTGTGGATGTATTGGAGGGTGGTGTGGTTGAATGGGTTGATGTTGAGGGACTTGCTGCTGCGGGGTGTGATATTGAGCGAACTGCTGAGAATACACAACCTGGGATGTTTGGGGATAGGTTGGTGACGATTGCAGTGGTGTGTGTTGTGATAGAGATAGCTGTTGTAGTGGTGATTTTTGTTGTTGTTGTTGTTGTTGTTGTTGTTGGTGTTGGTGTTGGTGTTGGTGTTGGTGTTGGTGTGGAATAGTATGGAGAGGCTGTGGTGTATAACCAGATACTGACCCAATAATCCTGCCTGAGTATAGATTTTGCTGGACAATAGAGCCATGTGAGTTATTGGGCTCTGAAACCAGCGATTGGTGAAATTGGGGAGGAATTTGTTGGGGAATTTGTGTAGGTTGAGAAGGTAGCTGAGGAGCAGCTAGTGTTTGGGACAGCTGCATAGGTAAGTGTGGAGGGTGTGGTTGAGTATAAAACGGATATCCAGATGGATTAACACGTTCAATAAACTGAGGTTCCACAGAAATGTATTTAGGGTCTAAGGCTGGTGGATAAGAATAATAAGTTTCTTCTTGAGAGGCTTGCGGTAAAGATGCTTGTGGTTGTATTGAAGGTAAAGGCATTGATTGTCGAGTTGAAACCTCTGAAAGCTCTACAGCGGGTTTTACTGATGGCTTTACCAACGGGTTCATTGTAGGTTCTACTAAATTCTTGGATGAAGGTACCTCAGGATCATTTGGAGAAGTTACTGTTGGATGATTTGCAATAGGCTTTTCTGATGGTTCAACCAAAAGTTTTGCTGGTAATCCTTGAAATGTTTTAATAGAGCTAAACTGTAAAGTCGGTGACACTGCAGCTTCAGACTTTGAAAATTTCAACGAGGCGTCTTTGACTAAAGGCGTGGTCGGTGGCGTTGTTTCCTTAATAGATGGTAGAATTGGTACTATGGTTGTTGACTTTGATGTTGGTGTTGACAGAGTTGTGCTTAAAGGTGCCTGTTGAAGTGGGGGGCCCATTTTGTCTTCTTTAGATTTTCGACCTCGTTTTTTCAAAGTCTCTCCAAGACCTTTGATCATTCGCCGGCGTTTCACTTTGCGGGAAATGTACTCCATCTCCCCTGCTTCACCAAAGAGCAAACGAGGATAAGGACAGAGTAAATCACACCAACGAACTTCCACTGTATCTGGATGAAAATCATCTGTTGAATTCAACCGAGTATCAGAAATCACAACCAAAACTGATTCTTCTGAAAAGTTATTTTCTTGAACAACTGCACCAAAAACTGAAGATATAGCCCGTGATTCAACACGACTCTTAAGTTGCACAATGTCTCCAGGAAGAAGTGAACTTGCCCAGTCCATAGCAAGACGTGCATACTCAGAGATGGGATGCTCCCATGGCTTTTTATAGCTCTCAGCTGCTTCTGGCTCATCAGTTTGAAAAGATTCTGTAGCATCTTCCCAGGCAGTCCTTTTATCTCTGTGGAAACGACAAAAAAATTTGAGCCCAGCCAATTCAGTAAAGCCATTTCCATTAGAAACTTTTGTAACAAATGGCGCCACCTCAGATCCAGAAACATCAACACATGTTGGATGGAAAGCACGGTTGCAAGTGGGATGAGCGCACTGCACACAAGCACCCGAACCGGTAGGGCTCAAGAAAGATTTGTTTGTACCTGAACCACAAAAACTGCTTCCATCAGCACTAAAAGTTATTCCGTTGCGTACCTTAGTTTGAGTGCAGTACGTGCATCGAAGGCGCCAGCGCTCCTCAGGAATATCTTGTACACCAGCAAGATACTCTTCAGGGTCATCACCATCAAACTCAGAGTAAGTTTCAGGAATATATAAAGCACATACTCTATGTGCAGAGATTGCCTTGTCTTTTGAATGAATAAGAGCAAATGGTCCAGAGTTTGGGCACAGCACGCACTCTGATTTTTTATTCTCACATGATTCATTGTGTGGAGGGGTAGGTATATTATTAATAGGCGACTCAGGGGTATTCATAACGATATTAGGAAGATGTTGATACTCATCATCATCTTCTTCTTCCCCATCATCATCATCATCTTCTTCTTCTTCCATTTGGGAAGCAATAAGTTGTGCGACATTAATGCCTACTGAATCGGAAATACACCGGCATTGCTCTGCTTTAAGTCCAACCTCAATCCATGAGTCAAAAGCAAAGTTAACGCTTTCCGCACAGTTATATCCAAAATTAAATCCTGCATGGTATCCATAAGGAAATGTAACGACAAACTCATTTTGATAGTGTACAAGCTTATTGACCTTGATTCCATGGTGCTTTAAAAACGAGGGAGATGCATTAAATGTCTTATGTCGCAAAAACTCGCGGCATGCCTTGTACTCTTCAGGCCAAACTTCCGTCATAATATCGTAAAATTTATCGCGATCCTTTTGCGCTATGCTATACCATTGCTTTGGCGCACCAAAATGTATGTAGTTGATGCTGTAAAGATCCATGTCCTCCAAGTGCCAGGCAAAAGTACTCTTCCACATGCCAAAGTATAAATAGGCGGTATTTACACCCGGAATATCTTCAGGAAGTGTGTTGAGAAGGTTGTCAAGATTAGCAACATTCCAATTTTCAAAATCGTCTGTAAAAAGTGAGCCCAGCATATCAGCACCGTACAAAGGCGAGTTATAGGTGATAGTTTTCCAGTAGGCCTTTTCAAGTTCAGAACATCGTTCGGTTGTGAAGAGTGAATCATCGTAGTCGGTAAGTTTGTTGTTGCTTATTTCTGGTGATGCCTTGCTGCTACGGCGAGAGCCGCGAGGGGCGGGCGGCTGGTGCTCTGAGCGTTCGCACAAACTGTGCCACTCGGCCAAAGTATAGGTACGTTGCTTTTCTACATTCTGTAGTCGAAATGCACCGGAAACGCCAGAAACGTGCTGAATAATGGGATTTTTAATTCGAATAGAAGAAACCAGAGACTCGTTCTTCATAGAATCAAAGCGATCAAGCCTAATTAAGTTAATATACGAGGAATACAGAGAGGAGCCTGTTACAGTACAACTTACCATTCCTGAGGAGGGATCACCTTTATTATACCATGAGTCATTCCATAGTGATTGACTTTTTGAATAAAAGTTGGGAAGTCCTTAAACTGATCCCAAGTCTATTGTAATTTATTAATGGTCAGCAGATGGGGCTAAAGGGCGCGTGAATGAAAATAACTTACGGGCTTGAATACGGGGACGCCGTCGGAATCAGGAGAAGAGATCGGAAGGATTTCTTCTACGAGGCCCATTGTTACATAGTTTGAACAAAACAGATGTATTTGATTCTGTGTTTATTGAGACTGAACGTGGCAATTTAAACGATAAAGTAAGAAGTTTGGGAGGGTTTAAATGGTTGATTGTAAAAAAAAAAAAAGCAGGCGATGTATCTTTTGACAGGAGGAATAAAAAAAAAATCTGGAGATTTTTTTTAAAATCTAGACTGAGCAACTGATAGCATAATTTGTTACGTAATGATGTTACAAAGGTTTGTGTAACATCCCCAGTCCTAAAAAAACCTCTAAACCTTTTTTTTTTGTCTGAGAGTTAACCAATTTTTTACAAATCTATTAAAAAATCAAATGACAACGGTAGTCGCGAGTAGAGCTTTTCGCTCATTCGCCAGGGCACCTTGGCTAGGGGTTTGTGTCCGAAATAATTCTACAGCTACAGCTAAGCTGAAACCGAAACCAGGAGCAAAAACGGAAACTCGTGTAGCTTCTAAAGAATTACAAGACCGAATCGCAGCTATTCCCATTGAAAATTACCGAAACTTTTCCATTGTCGCCCATGTGGTATGTAAGAACGAGTGAATTTATGGAAACAAGCTTTAACACGATGTAGGACCATGGAAAATCAACTCTTTCTGATCGTTTGTTAGAACTGACAGGTGTAATTACACCAGGCGAAAACAAGCAAGTTCTCGACAAATTAGATGTGGAACGAGAGCGCGGTATCACTGTCAAAGCACAAACATGTACTATGCTGTACAAATATAAAGGCCAAGATTATCTTTTGCATCTTGTGGATACTCCTGGACACGTTGATTTCCGAGCAGAAGTCTCACGCAGTTATGCTTCGTGTGGTGGTGCCTTGCTAGTTGTAGATGCAAGTCAAGGAATCCAGGCACAAACTGTGGCCAACTTTTATCTCGCATATAGTTTAGGGTTGAAGTTGGTTCCTGTGATTAATAAAATTGATTTGGATCATGCAAATATTCCTCGAGCAAAAGAACAGATTGAAGAAACGTTTGAGTTAGATGCAGAAGAAGCGGTGTGCATTTCCGCTAAAACAGGCCAAAATGTCGAACAAGTTTTACCAGCAGTTATCGAAAATATACCCTCTCCTAAAGTCCATATTGATTCTCCTCTTCGATGCCTTCTTGTTGATTCATGGTTTGATAGTTATGTCGGTGTTGTTCTCTTAGTATACGTTGTTGATGGCAGTGTTAAAAAAGGACAAAAGATTATTTCAGCTCATACTAAGCTAAAGTATGAAGTTAAAGACGTTGGAATCATGTACCCAGATAGGCTTACGACACCGGCTGGTTTGCGAGCCGGACAGGTCGGATACATTGTACCTGGAATGAAAGATTCTACAGATGCTCATATTGGTGATACATTTATGCATATGGATCAAATAGTTGAACCGCTTCCAGGATTTGAAGAGCAAAAACCAATGGTATTTGTGGGCGCTTTCCCAGCCGATGGTGTCGATTTTAAGTCATTAGATGAGTCACTTCGTCAACTGTGTTTGAATGACAGAAGTGTAACTCTCCAGAAAGAAACATCAAGTGCATTGGGTCAAGGCTGGCGTTTAGGATTTCTTGGAACTCTTCATGCTTCAGTTTTTAGAGAACGACTGGAGAAAGAATATGGTGCCAATATTATTATTACTGCACCTACTGTGCCCTTCAAGGTTTTGTGGAAAGATGGAACAGAGACCATCGTTTCTAACCCTGACAATTTCCCTGATAGCGGTGCATTGTCACAGAAAGTTGCCAGCCTTCAGGAACCTTATGTGGAAGCACTTATTTCTGTTCCCGAAGAATATGTGGGGACTGTCATTAAGTTATGTGAAGATAACCGTGGTGAGCAGGTTAACATTCAATACTTGTCAAATCGTCAAGCACTACTAAAATATCTTTTGCCTATGAGCCAGCTCGTTGACGACTTTTTTGGTAAACTTAAAGGTCTTACTAAAGGCTACGGATCTTTGGACTATGAAGATGCGGGATATTTACCATCAGCTATTGTTAAAATGGAGCTTGTGGTGAACGGGCGGAGCGTGGATGCGCTGGCGCAAGTTCTGCACCGATCGCAAGTGGAAATCAAGGGTCGAGATTGGGTTAAGCGATTTAAAGAGTATTTAAGTAAGAGTCAACTTTTCGAAATTGTGATCCAGGCAAAGACTGGAAATAAGATTATTGCCCGCGAAACCATCAAAGCAAAGCGCAAGGATGTACTTGCTAAGCTGCATGCTTCAGATATCAGTCGCCGCCAAAAGCTTCTCAAGAAACAAAAGGAAGGCAAGAAAGTGATGCGATCTATTGGTAATGTTCAAATTCCTCAAGAAGCATATCAGTCTTTCTTAGCAAAGCCAAGTTAATTTAAGAATAAATAAATCTTTTTTTGTAAATAGTTATAACAATGATAATAAAAAGGGTGTCATTAATTTTATTTATTTTTTCTATAATGTTTTTTGTTTCTTTTCACGGCCAGACTCAGTTGAAGTTTCTGGAGATTCTTGGCCGCGTATGCTGTTACCGACAATTTTTGTCAAATACTTTGTAAGTTCTTCCTCAGCATTTTCACCGTTGATGATAGTCTCAACTTCCTTGAACTGTTCTTCGGATAGCAGTGGCTTTCCAGTAGATTCATCATCAGGCATGTTTTCATAAGAAAGTTGGACGTTAGGGTTGCAGAAAAGTGTGTCTATTAGCGAAGAGGCAGGAGTAGCAGATGTAGAAGCCTCGGCAGAATCAGAAACAGGAACAATTGTACTTCCAGCAAGAGATCTGAAATATGCGATAAGTTCTGGGAATTCTTCCTCATCTTCGAGTTTTGTAAGAGGCTACAAGAGTTGTTAGCAGATGGTTATTGTAGACTTCCATTATATTTGTTATACATACTGTCTGACCCTCTTCATTCTTCGCCTTCCAATCAGCGTTGAACTCTTCTACAAGCATTTGCGCCGTCTTGAGATCTTCCACAATGTGCAACAAAGTATCTCCATCATTATCGGCTATGGAAATATCACCACCATTATTTAACAAGTATCGCAACAGATCTGTATGACCATATGATGTAGCCGCATGAAGAGGTGTATATCCGTTTGGGTCTTTATCGTTAGGAGTGTGTGCTCCACTTGATATAAGCTCACGGACGTAGTCCACGTTTCCGTCTGAAGCAGCAATCCAGATATTTGTAGGAGCCATTGAAAAGAGAAATATAGATCTTGATGAATAGGCCTTGAAACAAGGTTTGGATACGAAAAAATAAAAAAAAAATCTGGACAAAAAAAAAACTTTTGAAGGTTAGGGTTTCATCGTTCTAAAATGGGTGTAGACAATACGGCTTTAATATCTTAACAGCAGTGTTAATCAATTTCTACTTAACCTTTCAACATTTACAATATCAGCATTAGCTTAACTTTTGTCTTTACAAAATAATAAAAATATATAATTAAAAGAAATGACAATTTTGTTTATTTTTATATGAAGCATTCTGTTCGTTTATGTATAAATATATTTATTTTTAAACCTTCCTTTTCCTCAACACCTCAGCGCTTATCCAAGACAATACTAAAAGCATTCCTCCAGCAATTCCAAAAGCCACACATTTTCGAATTTTTTCAAAAAATCCCCACCAAAAATATGGAAAGTTCCAATCTGTCACCAATGGCTGTAAAACTTTCAGCCCTTGGGTTGCCGTTGTAGAGCCTGTGGGCACATACTCTAGGAGGACAGACCCACTAACTGCTAAAAACGCATATGGATGAAGTTCTAGAGCTTCATAAGTAAAGTCGGCTGATTTAGAAGCCCACAAACTAAATTTGAAATCAGTGTAACATAATAGCCAATAGCGTACTAAGCCATAGCATAATCCTACACTGACAACAACAAATTGATGTATTATTGTACCATAGGAGGTTTGGCGTAACCCAAAAAGATTTTTATCAAAAATAGAGGGGAAAGAATAACGGAAAGTTATTTCGGAAGGATAGCCAGGGAGATCAAAATAAAAATTAAAAAGCACCATATTGATACAGGCTAATAAGCCAAAAGCAGCACTCAAATACATAATAGCTGGTATTTTTTTAACAGCAGGAATTTTCACATCCCGCACTCGTGGTATTAAAACAGAAGCTAGCACTATCCAATAATTTTTTAAAAGCAAATCTAAGTCATCGGAAAGAGTTTCAAAACGAATAATTCCCATTTCTAAAAAGAAATGCAAAGATATTGCCATAAAGATGGTGGAAAATATTTCGAAAAGATTGTGGTTCCAATGAGAAATTGATTCTAGGTTTTTTGACATGAGTATTAAAGCGTTTGCCAGATAAATAAAAGTGTACCAAAACACCAAAGTGACTGGTAAAAGCACATAGGTAAATGTCCCCGGTATAGCACCTTCGTAGATTTTTGAAATGCCTGCAGCTCCCAACAGAAGAGGAAGCACCAGTGCTCGTGCCACAGCTTGGGCCCAATGCTCTCTAAAACTTTTATAATTCTTTTCGGATTCATGAAAATCAAGTGAATACAAGTAAACCTCGAGTACCACCCAGGTGGCAAGAAGGACCTTAACAAAAACTTCTCCTGCCATATTTTTGGGAAGCAAATCGTAACCCATATATCGGAAGATTATCAAAAGAGAAGCACAAATTCCCTGCCATTCTCTTACAAAAAGTCTATCAATGCTGACATGACTGTGAGAAGGTCCATAGATTGCAGAAACAATTGTAAAAATGGCCCATAGATGTAACAGTACAACGAACCCAAGAGGGCTGTATTGGATACCAATTTTGCTGACCAGATGGGTTTGGTTGGTTAAGTTTGCATAGCCTGCTATAAGCCCGATAACTGTAAATGCAAGTGCTACAAAATTTACAGGATAGCAGGCCAATAGAAAACCAAAAGCCAACGCAGCTAAAAGGAGATTTTTCCAAACTGGTTGTTTTTGTAAAGATTGGTTGTAATCAATGCAGCATGTTACGCCTCCGGATATGTGTTGCTGAAATTCAGAGATTTTGGCATTACACATGTGGTTCATCATTATGTATGATTCTAAAGTGAACCCTGGTTCTTCGAAATGTAAACCAGATTTATCGCGTTGCCATGGATGGTTTTCGGAGGAAAGATCGTTAAACACTGGTACATAGTATGCTGAGATTTCGTTTGTATGACCAGGAAGGGTTCGGTACCGCACACCACCAGTTTTTTTCTTTGGATCGTAGTCAAAAAGTTTGTGTGAGATATCAGAAATTTCGGCAATTTTGGTGGTTGTCATTTGTGGGGTGTGCTTGTCATCTAATACATTAAAATGTGGAACCATTGGCGGTGCAAGGTATACTCGTTCAAAAGAATCTAGCTGTGCCTTGTCAATTATTTCTAAAACTTTCTCCATTTGCTCTTGATAACCAGAGACATTATATTGAACATACCAAAGTCCACTGGTCAATATTAAATAAGTTTTTGGAGAATATGAAGCGTTTTTGTTAAGCTTTTTAGCTTTTGCTTTTGAATTTGCCTTCAGTCCGAAGGCCGCAATATCAGCGATTGTGTCAAAGCCTGTGTCATTGAGATATCTATCCCAAAGCAAAGTGGCAGTGACTTTGTTGTATACCGATCTTGCGTGTTCTTTGATATGGGGTTTCCCCATAAGATTCCCGCTCAAGGTATTGGTGACACCCCAGTAGATTTGGCGTGCTGTTGAATCTCCAACGATAAGGATTTCGTCTCCTGGTCGAAGACATGCACCCAAATTAGATGCAATAAAGGATTCGTATAATTTTAACACGCAACCATCTGGCTGCCAGCCGCTCGGTATGTAAGAGGCATCATTTAAATACCGACCAGATTTAAGCACAGTATCACAGTTGTTTGTTAGAGTAGACTGTGTTTTTTCCAGAGAAACTCTGTATCTGTTTAAATGAATGAGGTTGGATATGATTGCAATCACCGCAATGAGCGGTATAAACAGAATATGAAGCCTTAGCTCCATTCTAAATGATGTATAATGAATGTTAGTTTAAAGAAAGGAAAACAGATGGAAAATAAATGTTCCCCCTTTATTGATGTTATTTTTTTTTTTTTTTTGATTATGTCGAGACTTGTAACTATCTATGATAATTTACTTTGCATTCGTGTTGAACTTAGTACTGATGGAAATATATTTATTATGATACAATAGAAAAAGAAACCCACCAATGTCGAAACTTCCGAAAAAAAAAAATATATATATATTTTGAAAAAAGTCTTTCATTATATATTATTCTTATTATTTTTATTTATTTTATTTATTTTATTTATTTATTTTATTTATTTTATTTATTTTATTTATATTATTTATTTTATTTATATTATTTATTTTTTTTATTTTTTTTATTTTTTTTATTTTTTTTATTTTTTTTATTTTTTTTTTTTATTTATTTTATTTATTTTATTTTTTTTTGAAATAAAGTAATTCCCTCGACACTTCCAACATCTATTATTTCAAATCATTGCATTTTTAAAACTTAGGAACAAGAGGCTAAATCATCAAATAAAAAAAATGTTTTTAATTAACAATATATTAAAACTTAAGACGAACTAATTAGTTATATAAATATAAATATAAATATAAATATAAATATAAATATAAATATAAATATAAATATAAATATAAATATAAATATAAATATAAATATAAATATACTCGAGCTTATCATCCCTTTCTTCAAGTACACTTAGCTTTAGTTACTAAAATATAATATTTATATAAATATATTATTATTATTATTTATTATTATTATCAATCGTAAAACTTTGTTGCATAAATCAACCTAAATATCGAATGTAAAGTACTTTTACAACATTAAAAAAAATCAACTCCTAATATATATATATTTATATATATAACAAGTTATTATGATATGATATGTTGAAATTATTGCTACTTAAAAACTTTCAATGAATATTTTTCCCCCTCACATTCTTCTCATCCAATAACTTATTCACAAACCAGTCTTTTTTTTTTTTTTCATGATTAAAAGTTCTATGCAAAATGCAAAAATAATTTTATTGATTTATTGTTTAAAACCTTTTAAGATGACTAATCCACTAAATCTTTTGAGATCACGATATACCTAAATTGCCATTGTGCCTACTCGGTTAATAATCCTTTTTTTTTTTTGCACTTCCAACTTCTTTTTCCTAAAAACTTGCCGTACCAAAATTTAACAAGAAAAAAATAAACAACATCATACAATGTTGTTCATTTATTATAATAAATGACCATTTATTCTAATATACAAACTAATATAGTAATATTATACCAAAAATTGAAAAGAACCTCGATTTTTTTTTTTTTAAACATCAAAAACTTTTTCAGCAGCTTCGTTTTCTTCTTGTTGATTATCCGAAGGCCAGAAAAAGGTCCAAACACTGGCACTAAGTTGTGCAATTATCCAAAACACACCGGTTGATATCACTAAGACTAAGACTTTGCTTAATTTGCCAAAAAATCTCCATCTAAGATATGGGAAACTGTAATCGTCACTAACAAACCCAAAAGAGCGAGTGATGAGTGATGCGTGTGCTATTCCTGTAGGAAAATAATTAAGCCGCACGGTTCCTCCAACCGCTAAGAGTGTATAAGGATATAACAGCAGTAGCTCATACCCAGCGTGAGCAGCAGTGACTAAAACTGGGGAGAAAAAGCGAGTGGTTTTGTTTTGTGTTGTTAATTGAACAATTCCCAAACGAATAATTAAATAAGAGAATGAAACAATTAAAACTAAAAGTAAGTGTGTCAAAGTTCCATATGTTTCTCCACGGTGTGCTAAGACACTATTATACTCGGAAATATTACTTTGGATATAAGTAGGAGGCTGGGAAATATCGTAAGGATTGCTGGGAAGATAAAATGAAATATAATAATGCACATATGTAAATGCCGCAACTAAAGCAACGATTGCCGAAACAATAGAAAAGGAGGTGATTGTAAATTCTTCTTCACCAAAGAGAGATTTCTGGGCTATAGGAATCCATAAGCCGAATACAACTATCCAATAATCCGCGAGAATGGCGTTGATTGCTCTTCCAAATGTAGTGGAAGGTTGATTTTGGTGGAAAGACCAGCTAATACCTCGCAAAATTAAAGAAATAATTAAAATGAAAACTGTTTGGAAACCAATTCTTTGAACAAAAAGGCTAGATGATACTTTTTCCCTAATTGGTGTGACTATGATGGTGAATGCTTTATTTAAAAGAAAATATTCTTCCTTGGTTTCCCTTAGATAATAAACAGCTGGTAAAAGCAAAAAAACAAAAATAATTCCAAAAACTAGTTTTGCTGCGGGATCGATAAAAGAAGGAGCTGGAGAATTTGGTGGGTAATCTCTGAAAATATCAGTAACACTAGCATTCAAAAGTAAAGGAAGAGCTAAAGCACGAGCGAGAGCCTTAAAAGTCGTAGGGATGAGCCGAATATAAAGACCTAAAAAAGAATTTGTAGAATCGAGATGGGTTAAGCAGCTAAGAGTAAACTCATACACCTGAAGCAACAGCCATATAGAGAGCAGCAGGCGCGCACAAACCTCGCCATCAAAAACATTAAGAATTGTTGTCACACCTGAGTACTGTATAATGAGATACAGAGTAACACAGAGACCTTGCCATTCGACAAGAATCACAGAGGAAGGATTGGGTTTTGCAAAAAGACCAGACAATAAAACACTGATTCCCCAAACCTGTAGCAGACCCCAAAATTCAGTTTTGGAAAAATATAAGTCACTTTTGTTGATGAGATGGGTTTCGTTGGAGATATGGGCCCAAATGGCCACCGGAGACAAAATCCCCACAACCAAAACAGAGTATTCTAAAGTCTTGATTGAGGATCTAAAAAGAACATAAGAAAGTAAAAACACAGGGATGACAACTAAAGCTTTCGTTATTAAGCCGAAAAAAGTGAAATTCCCCTTTCGATCAATGTAAGGCACGCAGCAGGTTCCTCCTTCAATCAAAGACTCTTCAGCTATCTTGTCATTGCACATGTGATTGAGAAGAATGTTTGCTTGAATAAGACTTCCCATATTTCCATAGTGAACCCCTAAATCATCAAAAGCGGACATTTGCCATTCACTTGCTAGTTGCTGGAAAACTGGGACATAGTATGAAGAAATCTCAGTAGAATTGGGAGATTTTGTACGGACTCCACCAGTATACCTAATAGGGTTTTTGGTGGAAAGAACAGTATCTTCTGTGCGCAAGTAATGGAACTTTTCGTCGGAAATGGTAGTCATATTTCCATATTTATATGGTAGCATGGAATCAGCTCTGTAAGGTGCAAGTCTATCGTAAAATGGAATAAATGGTGGGGCAAAATAAACTTTATCAAAAGCTCCGTCAATTTGGTTGTCGAAATAAGAAAGAAATCTTGTAATTTCAAAATCGTATTTAGCTAGGTATACATCTGGTTTCAGCGTAGCAGCATGCCAAGGTCCCATAGTAGCATAAACATAAGTTTTTGGTTGATAGGTAGAAGATTTGTTCATTGCAATTTCCAAAGCGGCTTGTTTGATTTCAGATTTTAGGCCAGATTGTGCTATACTTCTAGTAAATTGAGCAGCCTCTTTATTTAAGAAGATATCCCAAACAAACTTAAAAATGATTCCCTCATGGGTAGCTTTTAAAGAACGTTGGGCCTTTTTTTCAGCGTTTCGAGATTCAAAAAGAAGAGTTATGAATCCCATAAAAACTTGACGGGCCGTAGAGTCACCCATAAAATAGATTTCGTCGCCTGGTTTAAAGCATTTGTTAAGATCTTTTTTGCTGTACTTTTTCAATACACAGCCGTCAGGTTGCCATTGAGAAGGGTCTTCATTGGAATCACTGAGATACCGGCCGTATTTAAGAAGGGAGTCACAGTTTGAAGATGTAGCAGTTTTTAGATTTTCAAACGGTGAGTAATTTGAAAGGTGGAACCAGTTGGCTAAAATGGCAATAAATGCTATAAAGATTATAATCACAAAGAAAGATGATTTTCTTAAAGTGAATAACAGAGATGGTTTAAATAGACGGATAGAGGATATCATTAAAAGAAAATGAATATAATGAATTAATAGAAGAAATAGAAGAAATAGAAGAAATAGAAGAAATCATAAGATATTGATGTATATAAAAAAAAAAAAGATGGAAGGATTTATGTTTCTGTTAAAGAAATTTAATAGCAATAAAAAAAATTGATAGGATTTTATCCTGTTCTATGGTAATAGAAATATATGTGACATGATATTACGTTTATTGAGTATATATAAATGCTAGCCAAGAAGTTATCCATATATATATATAAATATGTTAATTAATTAAATATCTGCAGACATTAATAACCAGATCAGGTTTAATGTATGGATTGTATGGATTGTATGGATTATATGGATAGTATTATGACGGTTATCACCAAAGTATAATACCTAACAAAAATGGGAAGTATTACCCAAGAACATTCTTAAAAGAATTATGTATATTAATTTTATAATGTCGGTTCTGATTTCTTTATTCTAGTGATTCTATCCCTGTTTTTAAAAATACTAAGAGACATTTTGTCTTTGTCTTTGTCTTTATGTTTGTGTTTGTGCTTGTGCTTGTGCTTGTCATATAAGAGTTGCTGAAATAAAAGGCTTGCAAAGTATTTATATGTAATAATTTTTTTTAAAAAAAAAAAAAAAAGGTTAGAGTAACAACCATCACCAATTAAAAAAGATTAAAGTTTATATAAACTAATTAAGCATTTTTAACGGGCACAAGTGATACAGTTTTTTCAAATAATTGGAAATATGTATATAATAATTCAATATTGTTCGGTGATTAGTATCGCATTATTTAAATGGCTCATATTATTATTATTATTATTATTATTATCCGAGAAATATTTCGTCAACTTTATTTTGAAAAAAAAGAAAAAAGAAAAAAGAAAAAAGAAAAAAGAAAAAAGAAATAAAAAAAAAAGAAAAGATAAGAATATGTTTCATTTCAGGTATTTGTTAGTTAATATATATATATATATATATGTATAATTATAGTTGAAACGATATACAAATGAATTAAATTAAGGTAGTAGTTTAAGTATATAATTAAATTCCATATTACCTTATCACTTATTTTGATTTCTTGAGTAGTTTAACTCAGTATGACCATTCTAATAATGGTAGTGATATATATTTCTCAAGTTCCTGTTATGTTGTCACGAAAAATACATAACCCTAACCACTTATCATAACATAATTATTTTATGGTGGGCTCGTGGCAAGGAGGCAATTACAATAATATAATAAAAATGCTGGAGAAGGGGGGTAGTTAATTATTATTATAATTATAATTATCGGATTCTTGCATTCTCAAGACTTTTTTTTTTTTAAAAATTCTATTTCCGGTTAGTAGTAGTTATGAAGTTAAATAAATGCAAATAGATATATCAAGTAAGTAGTACAACATCAAAATAAATTTCAAAATTAAATATGTTGAAAAAATAAATTCAATAAATTTAATAAATAACCAATTGTAATGATCATTATATTTTTGATTCATTTACTCAGATCAGATCAGATCAGATCAGATTTTAAAAGCTTTTAATACCTCTTTTCTATCTTCAAATAAAGTCAAGTACCAAGCGTATCGTTTTGAAAAGAATTTGTATATATTTATTATCTATATATTCAATGGATTAGCATTTGATTCAAAAAAAAAAAAAAATACAAGTCTGTTTTGTTTGAATGGATCAGGAGGACTCATCTGAAGGCGGCTTGGGTACTTAAACTACTGTCATAAATTTTATGGTTCAGTAGTTTTTCTTGATAGAAAACAAATTTATATTTTTTTTTTTTTTTTTTTTTTTGAATATATTCAGCCACTATTGATGTGCTGTCCTCTACTGTTTGGTTGGTTTTTCAACAAAAATAAAAAAATAAAAATATAAACTTCAAATCCCCGGTGGAAAAATATAAAATAAAATAAATAATCAATTACATAATCTGATTTTCATTTTCATTTTCATTTTCATTTATTTTTTATTTTTATTTTCATTTTTATTATTATTTTTATTTTTATTTTTATTTTTTTGGTAGCTATCCAAGCAGATTTTTACAGGATATTCTGGAAACTTTTATATTCAAAAGATAACTAATTGTCTAGTTGAAACAGAGATTCTCTAAGATGATATATTAATTGATATATAAAAAATTTTTTTTTCTTGTATTTTGTTGTTTATTAAAATATGTTAGATTTAAATTTACATGCCAAACAAAAAATTCACCTAGTCTAAGTAATATGCACTATATATATACAAGTATAAGAAAAACTTCAATTTAATACTTAATGAATAGTAATTGATATTAGTGAGGTAAATATAAAATACTTTTTAAAACAATAGTAAAATGAAAAGAATATTTAATGCTCTGAAGCTTAAGCCTTCTATATCTCTTTGAAGATCGGTCAGTCGGCTAAATTTAAAGCCCCCATAAGTCAAACAGATCGTTTATTATTTTGCGTATGTCATAATTTCTTTGATCTAATTTATTTAAATATTGAATAAAAAAAAAGTTATAAAATAATATGGTAAGTACTCAGAGCTACTTTTCATTCCAGTAAATACACAGAAGAAACTATCATCTAGATGATCTGTAGTTTACTGTACAGTATCTCCATGTAGATAAATCTATGTAATACGTAGCTATGATTTTGAAATTCCAAAGAACTTCAATTGCCTTGTTTTATCCCAATATTTATTTATTACAATTTGTTTTTTACCATAGAATCATTCTTCAAAAATACCATCCATAACCTTTTTTTTTCTTCGTTTAATGCAGTACAAACTTTAAACCTTGTAAACATTAATATTTTGACTTAAATTGATAAACTGAGATGTCACTGGAAAAAAAAAAGAAGAAGAAAAGATGTATATAAATTTCCATCTGAGGAATATACGTATATACGTAAACTGATATATCAGTTTTATGCATGTATGAAAATAGTAAATTTCCTTTTATAGTTGAATGATTTTTTGACAGTAATAAAATTATTTGACACTTCCATTGGGTTCCAATCTCCTAAACTGCTTATTTATAGTTGATGATTTAATATATATATATATATATATGGTGATAGTTTATCGTGGAGGTATTTTGCTAACAATAAAAATACTGACCATTATAATAAAATGATATATATATATATTAAATAGAATAAAATTGCACCTGGTAAAAAAAGTTTTATATACGGATAAACAATTCCCTTTTGGAATTATATAAAGTTTATATATATCAACGATCAAAAAATTTCTCTTCTGAAGTCCAGTTTTTATTTATTTATTTATTTTTTTTTGTCGTTTATATTTTTATTCGTAAAAAATAGAGCGGCTCAAAAAAAAGAAAAAAAAAATAGCCCTAAATTCCTATTAAAAATTTCTATTTTAGTATGCTTATATAGTTTTGATTCGAGACCATAATGGATTAGTTAGGACACATATATTCAAAGAAAATCCCAAGTTTTAATTTTTTTTTTTATTTTCTACTAACATTACCATATATAGATATCTATATCTATATATATATATATATATATATATATATATAATTATTTAAACTCACCCCTCTCTTTGTTCACTTTTTTTTTGTCCACACCATTTAATAATCTTATAACCACCATTTAAAAAACAAAACAAAACAAAACAAAATAATTCATCTCTCAGAAGATACATAGCAGCTAGTAAATGCCATCATTACGCTTTCTACTAGCTTCATTGCTCAAGCAGCTGCTTCGACTTCTGAGACCGCGTGCCATAGGGGCTCCGTCCTTATATGGCACGTTTGTGCTTCTCGTTCCCGCCCTTGCAGCTATTGCAATTCTCGTCAACATCAAACATATGGACCAGTACACGCTGGCCACTCCGAAAGGCCCAGCTAGAGATAAAATCCCTTCAACACTCACATCCAACTGTAACTCCATCCTAAAATATGGCCGCTATATTGACGATATAAACGAATCGCCGACGGGTTGGCAACCTGATGGCTGCACCATGAAGACTTATCGCTCCTTGCAAGCAGACGACCTGACCTCTTGCTTCAAACCAGGAGATGAAATCATCTTCCTTGGTGATTCAACCACACGCCAGGTTTTTTGGGGGTTTTCCAACATTTTACTCCGAGGCCAAATGCAGAAAATGGATTCGCACGCCAATGCCCAAAATGTCGTCAATGGTGTCACAACCACCCTTATTTGGACATCCTTTTTCAACGGTTCTAACGCTGATAAAATTAAAAATATTGCCCAAAAGGCTTACAAAGCTAAGGAAAAGGCAAACGCTTTAAAATTCAACAAGGACAAAAAATATAAGCCCAAGACTTATCTCTACATGACAGCCGGATCATGGTTTGCAGGCAAAGAACATCCTTGGGAAGTTGCGAATCGATATTCAAACAACACTCTTAAAATTCTCAAGATTATTGACGATCGAGTTGATGACGCTTTTGAAGCAGTTTACTTTGCTCCACCCCTTATTCCTTACTACGAATCACTAGACAAAAACCGCAAAAAGTCCATGACCCACAGCCAGATCCATTCAATTGAAAAAATAGCCGACGAGTTTTTCAATTATGTTCGCACAAACGAAACCGTGGCTGACAAAGTCAAACCTGCATTGTACACTGGTGGTGTCCGTTATCGTACCCAAAAGGGCCGCAAAGACCATATCTCAGCTTATTATATGCCCGTTGGAAATGAACTTTCAGCAGAAAACCATCAGGGATCTCACGACGATATGGGAATCCATTACTGGGATCGTGCTTTTCTTCTCCAGGCAAACATTTTGCTTAATCATATTTGCAATAATCGCATAGCTATTGAAACAGGTAGACCCCCAGCTGGTGCTACCTGTTGTGTTGAGTACAATGACTACAGATATGGAGGCCCAGCATCCTTTTTGCCCTCCCTCCGTCGAATTTTTGACAAGTCTTTGATCATTATTCCAATTTCTTTTCTTATTTTTTTTGCAAATGGGTCTCAGCGTAACCTCATTTTCCCAATACTCAAGGCTGTTATTGGAGTTGTCGTTGTGATTGGGCTTGTCACAGCATGGGCTCGAATCTCTAACGAAACACAGCTTATTTCCAAAGTTGCCATTTATTACAGCTCCAAAGAAATGTCGGGACTTTTACAAATCTGGGCAATCATTTCGACTTTTTCCATTTTTTCTCTTACCCAGTACTTTTCTTACGGTGTGGACAAACTACCAATATCATCAGATACCCAAATCTCCCGTTACCGTCTATCTAAACCACTGTTATTGGAACTTCAAGGTATTTGTGTTTCTTTGCTTCTTATAATCCATTATACCGGATATAATTTGATTCCGCATGTTTTTGATGGTGAGCTTCTCTCTAAAATTTTCATCAGCACCTGGTCACTTGTTGAACTTTACTTATTTTGTCTTGAATATTTTGATTCTTTTAAACTCATTCAAGTTGATGGCCAGGTCCCTATGGCTAAAGCCACTTTGGAACAATCATATAAGCTTCCATTACCTGTTTTTGCGAAATCGTTGGCTCGTGTGTCCACCTTGCCTATTCTTCTTTCTCTTAGTGTTACATATTCCACCAGAGACTCACTTTCAGGTACTATTCCACAGTCTTATATCGATCCGGCTGCAAAACTTGCCTTTTGGTTTTTGTTTGTTTATTTAGGATTTCCTGTCATCAATGCAGTGTCACAAATTTATCTCGCCACAACCACAAATTCTTTACTCAAGAAGGATTCTGCACCCAATGATCTGGAAAATGCATTGTCACAAGCTTATGCTCCAGTTACGAATGCTCTTCCTAAAATTCAGCTGGGCATCCAAACGTCATTACTTATTTTCGGATCTTCACTACCACAACTTATGGTGCCCATTATTATTCGCACGATTAAAATCGATATTGCTAATGACAATATCCGAGCTCTCATTTCCATTTCGGAGGATTATTGGATTATGCTTTTCGCCATTTGGTTTGCACTTTTTTGCTCTACACAAGTGTATTACTCTACAGAAGATATTGCTGATGAAACATGTCCATCACCTTTGGCAGTTGCGGTTGCTGGCCTCGGTTTGCTTGGCTTGTTTGACATTGGGAAATACGCATTTTCTTACTATCTACCAGAGTCAGAAGCTGGTGTTACTCACCCCATCTCTTACATTGACCGACACCAAGCTCCGTACGATAGGTTGCTAGATGCGCGAGGCCGGAGTTATACTGCCATGGCTCACACAGCTTTTGTCGTTGGTGGTGTTATATGCTATCTGGTGTTGCGACTAGCACTGTTACGATATACTCGAAAGGAAGAGAATCCAGAAGAAGAAGAAGAAGATGGTGACAATAATAACAATAACAACAACAACAACAACAACAACAACAACAACAACAATAATAATAATAATAATAATAATAATAATAATAATAATAATAATAATAGAGATCGTCCAGCACAATACTTCTATATTGATTGTTGGATTCGTGTTGCAAGATTTAGTTTTGAAGTTCTGGAGCTTTATCCTTATGTGTTTCTTTCGGTAAGCGGCACGGTTCGACTACATTATTTGCCTACGGGCGTTGTTTACTCTTCGTTACTCACGCGAACATATAGTTTTGTGAGTAAGACGTTTCAGTTCCCGTACTTTAAGTGGCGGGTGATTGAGAAGCTTCGCAAATGTACGTCTATTATATTGGCGCTGGCGATTCTCATATTGCTTGCAAGGTTATGTGCATTGGTGTGGGATCAAACTTTGTTAAGTATTGATGATAAAAAGGAGGTTAATAAAGAGGATCCGGAAGATCAACATGAGTTATTACTGTTAAATGATGCAGTTATAGAAAAAGATATTAGCTTTAAAGCCAATGAAGTGGGTGTTGAAGAGGGCGGGGATATTGTACATGATGAAAATGATGGAGATTCAAGGTAGCGAATGCTTCTTAGGAGCAGGAGGTTACTATGGATAAGTGGAATATGTACAAAAGAAAAAAGAGAAAAAAAAAGAGACATATTAAGGACTTGTATAAATATAATAGAAATAATAGATGGTTTTTTTAGAATTGTTTAAGAAGAAGGTTAACAAAATTGTTTATAAATTTAACTTTGAAAAAAAAAAAAAAAAAAAAAAAAAGTAAGGGATTATGTAGTGTGTGTGTGTGTTTGGTGTAGATATGAAAAGTTTCAACCCCCTCTTGAAAAAAATTGATTAATTCAAAGGTTGGTTGATAAAAGTTTAGTTAAAAATGGTAGTACAGATAGTTAAGTTAAGTTAAGAAATTGGTTAAATTAAAAATAGCCATATATGGTTGTATTAGATAATATATATATATATATATATATATGCAATATTTGAAACATTTGAAACATTTGCAGTATATTGCATTTATGCATGAGAAAACTAGCTGAGCTGACCAGAATTAAAAGTCTTTTTTTTTTTTTTTTGCTTAAACAATATCTTGGTTTTAAAAAAAATTGGCAAAAAAAAAAACTATAGGACCTATAGACTTTCATAATACAAAGTTATTATATATATATATATATATAAAATGGATGTACATTAGCCGAGGAACATTTGGGGAATACTTGGCAAAATATTTTTTTTCTCCATTAAAAAAAAAAAAAAAAAAAAATTCACATTTTATGAATTTGTTACAACAACTTTTTTAAGACTTTATTTTATTTTGTTTTTTAAAATAAAATCAATTTAACTAAAATATATATTTTATATATAAAAGATTTGGTTAAAATAACTGAATTAGTTATTATAAATTAAAAAAAAAAAAAACCAAATATTTTGAAATAATTGTCAAAGTTTTAAAATTGAAGAAATTTTCAAAATTTAAATGTCAAATGTCAAATGTCAAATGTCAAAAAGTTTTCAAAATTTGAAAATTTTCAAATCCAAAGAAAAAGACAATACCTGGTGAAATATTACTGGGGGATTTACTTATATATATATATATATATATATATATACTAATTAGTCAAATATATATATAAAATGATTATTGATGAAGATATCTTTAACATAAAATAAAATAACTGAAGGTACCATCAATTTGGGCAATTGTAAAAGTAATAAGAATACTTTCTAATTCCTAATTGCAAATTCCTAATTAGTATTAGCATTAGCAATCATTCTTAATATTTTTAATGCATATAAAAAAAAATTGAAAAATTGAAAAATTGAAAAATTGAAAAATTGAAAAAGAAAGAAAGAAAGAAAGAAAGAAAGAAAGAAATAAATAAATAAAAGAAAAGGTAGTTTTTGTAATGGGCCAAAATAGTGTTTGAGGTCATAAATCACTGTTACGGTTGTAACAAAAACTGAAAAATTAAAAAAAAAAAAATTAAAAAAAAAAAAAAAGAGCCCCAATCATTAAAAACAAAAGAAATCAAGTTGTTTATTTTTTTTATTTATTTTTTCAGTTTTTGAGGGATATAGATAATTATCTATGGTATCAAAAAAAAAAAAAAAAAAAAAAAAATGGTATTTTTTATAGCTGTAGTACAAGACAAGACCTTTCTTTAAAATTAACAATTTAGCCTCAATAATTATGGGAAAAAAAAGGGGGAATTCCAATGTTAATTAATTAATTCAACTTTTAATTTTCATTAGAAACCAATTAATAAATATATAAATATATATATATATATATATATATATAAATATTGTATCAACCGATATTCTAAAAAAAGAAAAAAAATTTGAAGTTAACCAAAGTAAATTTCAAGCGCTGTAAAAATCATTTCAAAAAGTTTTTTTTTTTTTTTTTTTTTTTAGAATATTATATTTATATATTTATATATCTTCATATACAAATCTTTTTTTGGTTTAAATTTTTTTAAGGTTCATCATAAAAAAAAAAAAAAGACTTTTATAAAATACTAAATGCTAATATATATATATATATATTTAACTAAATATTAATAAACTTATAGGTGAGAAGAACTCATTTTTATGTTGGAGATTGGCCGTATTTAGTTACATGTATAATCTATAACATGTTATATATATTATTATATAATTTATATATTAGCCGATATGCAGTCAATAACTAATTAGTTATAACTATCTTTGTTGTAATAATTTAATCAGAAAGACATTCCTATATATATATATATTTATAAATTAATAAAAAAAAATAATAAAAACCATTTCTATCATTCTCTTTTTTTTTTTTGCCAATTTTTTTATATTTTTATTTTTAAATTAAAATTTAATTATCTTTATTCTTTTTTTTTTTTTTTTTTTTTCATTTTTTATTTTATTCTTTTATTATTCTAAAAAAATTAAATGGGAATTTTCCCGATCTCATTTCCTTAACTCGGTTGTTTTTTTTTTTTTTTTTTCTTTTTTCATTTTTAAAAAAACCCAAATTTAAATAATAAATCTTTCATGTTCATTTCTTCTTTACGTGCAAAATGGACACTTGTTCTAGTTGCTAATCTTATAGTAATCGGTGGAATAATTTGCTACTGGTTTGGCGGATTGTCTGTAATTCCAGATTCAATCCCTCAGATTTCAGAAACCCCTCCCCCTCAAGAAAATATTCAAATCACTCAACAACCATCCCATACAGTAACAGTAACGGTTCAAGTAACTCCTACATCTTCCAGCACTGAACTAACCTCAATAAAACATTGCGATCCTTACCAGGAACCAGGATACTTTGACATTACAGATAAAGTGCATTCTAATATGAAATATATTTCACTTAACCCATCATGCCAACCAATGGCTTCAAACATAGTTAACCGCATAAAAGAAAAAGACTCCATTCCTGAACTATTAAATAAAACTATGATATTTATTGGAGACTCTGTCGACCGTTTCCATATTGATCGCCTATGTTCCTCTACTTTATCAAACGAATTCAAAACATATCAAGATGATCATAACCATATATGGAACACCACTGATAAAGTACCTAACAGCTTCCCACGAGTATGCAACAATGACATTTACAATTTCACAGTAGTCAATTATTTCATTTACGGGTTTGACTTGCAAGGCGTCTGGGCTGACAGAAAAAAGGTCTTCCCAGAACCCTTCAAATGGCGCGATCGTGTAGATCTTTCGCTTAATGCTTATCAGACGCTTAATAGAGGCGACCCTCATGTTGCATTTATAGGTATTTCATTATGGGAGCTTGCTCGGTTTGATATTTTATCCAAACTTGCCAATGATACTGAAGTTATTAGTTTTAACGAGACTCAATTAAATGAGTACCGTGATAATCTTGTAGAATTGATAACAACGTTACGCCAAAGGATGCCCCAAACTCGTCTTGTTTTCCGTGAGTCCCATTTCCCTAAATCAAATCCAAACCGGTTTGATGGTGATAAGTTACCACGAACTTATCGTTTCTCAGCACAAAAAGTGAGCCAGTTAAATCGAATTGCTTCTGAAGTGATGACAAAGATGAAAGCTGAGTACTGGCCTGTTGGTGAGTTGACTCAAAACATGCCTAAAGAGCAGATTTTACAAGATATTGGTGAGTTATTATTATTATTTTATTTTATTTTATTTTTTTGTTTTGTTTTGTTTTGTTTTGTTTTGGAATTTAAAAATGATTTGGTTTGGTATACTAACAGACTTATTATATATATATATATTTTTTATTTTATTTTTAAAAGTTCATCCTAGTGGAACTGCATTAGAACTTATTTGGGTTCCAGGAGTTTTTGAATATTTGATGCGAACAACCCTTAATTATCAAGTACTGTGAATTTTTTTTTTTTTTTTTTTTTTTTTGTTGTTGTGGTGTAATTTTCAACATTCTTTTGCATATATTTTGAACTTTTAGAATACCTTATTTTGGAAAAAAAAAATAAAATAAAATCAATTTTTTTTTTTTTTTGTTAATTTCTATAGTTTAGCCACTTATAATTATAAGTGGATGATTATATAACAGGATAGATTTAAATATATATATATATATATATGCAGGAATAAATATCTTGGAATATAACCAATTTTTTTTTTTTATCAAATACCAAATATAATGAGTTGTTCTTGAATATACAGTAGTATGATTATTGTTATCAATCAAAAACGTCAACAAAATCATAATTTTGAGCTTATTTACATCTCGTTGCTATTAAGGAAAAAAAAAAAAAAAAAAAGAAAAAAATAATAATGTGAAAAGTTTATATAAATCTATAGTTTATTTCAACTAATCCTTTTTTTTTTTTTAATTTTATTTTCAAAGTGTACTTGTAGAATTATTCCGTATACGTATGACTATGACTGTTAGATGAATAGCTCATGACTAAAAAGGAAATTTACATTGATCTCTCAAAAGGGTTATTAAAAAGGCTTGGAGTGAATTCATATATATATAAATCATCAATCTCTTACCTTTATCTTGAATTTTTAGAATTAAAAAATTATATTTCTAAAAGGATCAATGTACTTACTTCATTGTTAAATTAAATTTTTTTTCTATTTTTTATTTTTATTTTTTCCCTTTTATATATACTCTCAGTTTATCTTTTACCCAATTGGTTGAATTATATGGGGTTCAATGTTTCGTTTGTTGACCAACTTAATGAAATATCATTTTTTTTTAATTATCTCAATCTTTCATTTTCCATCAATTAAATTTGTACGAAATTCTCCCTTCTTCGTATTTCTAAAGGGGTGGAGTTAATTCATATATATATATATATATAGACATATATGTCTGTAGTAATTATAATGCAGTATAATCTAACATCCATCCCTTTATCCATTTAATATTTTTAAACATAATACATATCTTTTGACGAATAACTCGGAATTTACTCTATGGAACCCCACCTGCTATAAATACTCACTTTGTTCCCTTATCCCTTTTTTTCCCTTTTCTTTTTTTTTATTTTTTATATTATCCTACCCTTATACAAATATATATATATATATATATTCTTTTAATTTTAGATGAGATTTGATATCATTTTTTTTCTATTTTTAACTAGGTAGTGTTTATTTTTTATTTTTTTTATTCTTTTCCCCCGTTATTATAAGTTTTTTCCAAGGTTTCCGTTTTCAAAATAAACTCCTCATGTCTGTTTCGTCTTTGCGTTCAAAATGGATGCTTATTCTACTCGCAAATGTTATCATAATCGGCGGAATGTCTTGCTATTGGTACGGCGGATTGTCTGCAGCTTCAGAATATCTCCCTCAATTTTCAGATAAATCTCAAGATGATAATCAATCTTCTCATACGGTAACAGTGACGGTTGAAGCTAATCCCACACCTACTAGCACCGACTCGACTTTAACAAAACATTGTGACCCTTACAAAGAATTAGGGTACTTTGACATTACAGATAAAATTTACTCCAACATGACATACGTCTCCCTTAACCCATCATGCCAGCCTATAGCATCAAATATAGTCAACCGTATCAAAGAAAAAGAATCCATTCCTGAACTTGTAAATAAAACCATGATTTTTATTGGAGACTCTGTCGACCGCTACAACATTGATCGCCTATGCATAACCACCAATTCAAACCATTCTTACACATATCAAGATGATCATAACCATTTATGGACTAACACTTCTAATATACCCACTTGCTTTCCACGAGTGTGTCGCAATGAATTTTACAATTTCACAGTAGTCAACTATTTCACTTACGGATTTGATACACAGGAAACCTGGAAAATCAAAAATAGACCTCTCAGAGAGCCCTTGATGTGGCGCGACCGAATTTCTGTTTCACTTGATGCTTACGAGACTCTCAACCGAGGTGCCCCCCATGTTGTATTTATTGGTATTTCATTATGGGAGCTTGCTCGTCTTGATATTTTGTCGCAGCAGGCAAAAGATATTGAAGTGATTGGATTTAACCAGACTCAGTTAGCTGGATATCATGATAATCTTGTGGAGCTAATAACAACTTTGCGTCAAAGAATGCCCAAAACTCGCTTTATTTACCGCCAGTCTCATTTCCCCAGAACAGGTAAAAACTTTTTTGATGGGGATACAACACCACGATTATATCGTTTTGATGCACAAAGAGTTAGCCAGTTCAATTTAGCTGCGTTTGGAGCAATGGAAACTGTAGGAGCCGATTACTGGCCCATTGGTGAGCTGACTCAGAACCTGCCCAAAGACATGATTTTAGAAGATGCTGGTAAGTTTTATTTTGATTTTTATTTTGATTTTGATTTTTATTTTGATTTTGATTTTGATTTTGATTTTGATTTTGATTTTGAAAAAAAAAAAAAAATCAATTTTATTCGATTTACTAACAAAATTTTTTTTTTTTTTTTTTTTAAAGTTCATCCTAATGGAAGAGCGTTAGATACAATTTGGGTACCAGGGGTTTTTGAGTATTTGATGCGAACAACCCTTGATTACCAACTACTGTAAAATTTCTTTAACAATAGACAACAAATCCTCCCCCAGATTAGACATTTAATATCCTATTTTTGATATCACTTTGGAAAATGCTTGTAGAATGCAGTGTCCTGAGATAAGCATCAGTGTTTATGCTTCTCACGTTGGTACCAACAACAACAAACAAGAAGAATGCTAAACAGTGTTTATATCATATATTTATTTATATATATTTATAAAATGATGCCACGTCTTTTTTTTTTTTTTTTAAAAAAAAAAAAAAAAAAAAAAAAAGTCTTCATTACTAATAATAATAATTTCATACCATTGGACAGGATTTATGAATTCAAACAAATATATATTTTGAGAGTATTTCCACCTCTAAAAAAAAAAAAGAAATGTTTTTTACGAGGTTAAAGTTCAAAGTTCGACATTCCCATATATATAAAGAGAAAACGTAATTAGCATCTATTTAAGCTTGATTTGTATTATGCTTATTACTATTAATAATCTGGCAAACTTTATTATTTGGAAAACTTGTTCATGCCCACAATCATATCAAAGTCCCCCAAAACCTATCTAATAAACAAAATTAAAAAAAAAAATATAAAAAAAAAATAATAAAATATATTAATAAAAAGTAATCGACCCCGGTGAGGATTGAACTCACGATCTCACGATTAACAGTCGTGCGCCTTAACCAGCTTGGCCACGGAGTCTTTTAAGAATCGTTAGTGTACTAATTTTCTTGAGCCAATAATAGAGCAAGGAATTGAATTGCTTAAAAATAACTTTGGACAAAGCATTGGTTTGTTGTTTGTTTGTTTTTATTCAAGGGTTATAGAACTATATAACATCAGCATCTGCGCTATCCTTTTATTGTCTGACTATGTGACTTGCCGGTTTTCATTTGTACCTTTTTAGTACGGGTGGTTTCTGTTCTGTGCGTCTCCGGTAGCCCGGAAGATGGGCCCTGATGCCAGCTTACGAGGAACAGGGAGAACCAGTCTGTCGGTCCCAAAACCTTCCCAACCCATTTCCACTTATCTTCACGGACGCCCATGTATTTCTTAATCTCTTCCGTCAGAGATACGGCCCGCAATCACCTGCAGGCTATTTAGACTGTACGGAAGAGTCGGCATTCCTGTAACCAGGGTAGCCTATGGTTTTCAGTCTAGGTGTATACTCCCGTACACATCCTCAGGAAAAGGGGGTATTCTGGGAATCGAACCCAGTATCTTCCGCTATCGAGCGAACGTGTTACCCTTTACACCATCCAGCCCTTTCCCCAACCAATGCTTTGTTTGTTTGTTTGTTTGTTTTTATTCAAGGGTTATAGAATTATATAACATCAGCATCTGCGCTATCCTTTTATTAGGGGAAAGGGCTGGATGGTGTAAAGGATAACACGTTCGCTCGAAAGCGGAAGATACTGGGTTCGATTCCCAGAATACCCCCTTTTCCTGAAGATGTGTACGGGAGTACACACCTAGACTGAAAACCTCAGGCTACCCTGGTTACAGGAATGCCTACTCTTCCGTACAGTCTAAATAGCCTGCAGGTGATTGCGGACCGTATCTCTGACGGAAGAGATTAAGAAATACATGGGCGTCCGTGAAGATAAGTGGAAATGGGTTGGGAAGGTTTTGGGACCGACAGACTGGTTCTCCCTGTTCCTCGTAAGCTGGCATCAGGGCCCATCTTCCGGGCTACCGGAGACGCACAGAACAGAAACCACCCGTACTAAAAAGGTACAAATGAAAACCGGCAAGTCACATAGTCAGACAATAAAAAGGATAGCGCAGATGCTGATGTTATATAGTTCTATAACCCTTGAATAAAAACAAACAAACAAACATGCATGATAACCCTTGAATAAAAATAAACAATCAAAAAAACAAACAGGTTTGATTCACATGTAATAAGTATTATTATTTTAATTATAAAAACTATGTAAAAATAATGGTCTCTGGCGGGATCGAACCGCCGATCCTCGCGTATACAAGGAAGTTGCTTGTGTATTAGCACGATGCCTTAACCAACTGGGCCAAGAGACCTAAAAAAGTAAGTCACACTGGCTATATAAAGGCACGGGGCAGTCCCTAGTAAAAAAACGAAAATATTTTAGCAATGGACTCGTGCAAAAAATTAGTACTGGAATTCCGCAAGGCTCACCTATCTCACCACTACTTTTTTTGATATATTCCACACCAATGTATCATGCCATTAAAGAATGGGGTGGAACTCCTTTTGGCTTTATTGATGATGTGACTATTACCGTTGAAGGTAAAATTGAAGAAAATACCAAAAGCTTAAGCAACATATTAGAAAAATGTTGTAATTGGGCTAAATCAAGAATGACCAAAATTGATTTGGGTGATAAATTGGGTTTTATTCATTTTACAAAAAATGTGAAACCTAAAGATGAAAAAGTGCAACTTACTTTACCTAATGGAGAACTTCGTGAACCCCAGAAGGAAGTTAAATTGCTTGGAATTACTTTGAACAATCTGCTTGATTTTAAATCTCATATTTTGAATAAAATCAATAAAGCAAGAAAAGCTGTTGGTGCTATTTGGCATCTTGGAGGCGTGCAAAAAGGTATGCGAGGGTCTGCAGTCAGATCACTGTATATTGCTTGCGTGAGACCAATTGTTGAATATGGCTTAGAAATTTGGCATCATAAAATCTTGAAAGGAGAAATCCACAAGTTGGAAGTGATGCAGAACATGGCTTTAAGAAGAATTGTTGGTGCTTATCGCACAACTCCTATTGCGGTACTACAAAAGGAAGCTGGTATTATGCCATATAGTATTAGGCTAAAATTTATGGTGGCACGAAAAGCTATTCGTTTACACCTAAATATTAGCAAAACTAATCCTATTAATGGTCATTTGTTAACATTGATTGAGAAATCTCCAATTGCAAAGCTAACCACGCTTTACATGTTGGTGAAAGATGATAGAGACTATATGATTAAAAAGGATGAAAAACGAAAATGCAAGAGGGTTGAACCTCTTACGCTGAAACAACAACAAAATCAGACGATTGGAATTTTGAAGAAACAAGCAATGGAAGAATGGCAAGAAATGTATTGGAACAGCAGTAAGGATCTGTGGTATCATAATATCACAGTGGAGTCGAAATGTACTGATAATCTTTCCAAAATGGTTACGGGAGTGATCATGAAGAAAGATAGTCGAAGGATCTTGAGTAATATTACTCAGTTTCGCACAGGCCATGGCAACTTTGGCGCATGGTTTAAAAAGTTTGGAATTGAAAAGGATAGTTACAACTGCAAATGTGGAGAGCTGGAAACAGTTCATCACATTTTAGTTGAGTGTCCTTTGCTTGAAGAGGAAAGAAAAGGACTGAAACGGATATCTCCAGAGATGGACATGTCGACTCTCTTAAACAGTTTAACTGGCTTACAAGAGATTGTAAGCTTTATCTCTGCTTGGAGAGATTAAGAAATACAATTACAGCGTTGATGAAGACAAGTGGAGATAGGTTGGGAAGGTTTGGTTATTTTAACCCCCTGTTCCTCGTAAGCTGGCATCAGGACTTATTTTCGGGCTGTTGAAGATGCAATGTTGAAGCCAAAATTAAAAGTTTATTATGAAATGAAAATATATATAGTATGGACAAGAATGATAGCACAGATGCTGATGTTATATAATTGTATAACCCTTGAATAAAAACAAAAAAAACAATTTGTGATAAATTATGGCTTTAAATATTTTCAAATCAAAACAAAAAATGAACTATATTGTTAGAAGAAATCAAAAAAATAAAATTACAAAGTTGATAAAGCCAAATGTAAATAAATTGGAAAGGTTAGTCTTTGACCACAATTTTTTGTCAACATATAGAAAACGGACTGTTGTGATGCTTTATCAACTTGTGCTTTAAAAAAATGCAAAAATCAGTTTAAAATTAATAGAGAAATCAGACAAACTAACCGTAGTTCTGTTGTTTCAATTAGTCATGGGCTTCTCGGGTAGACTAAGAAGAACCAAGTAATATAATATTGAGTTCTTAAATGAATCACCCGTCAAAAACAACAGCTAAGTTGAAATCACTAAAACAAAGGCATAAATAAAAAAGTTTTTTTTAAGATAATTATCTATATATATCATTATAATGATATATATTATGGAAGTAACTTTTAAAATAAATTTGAATTGAAGGACTGAAATACTATAAAATATAGTGTTTATTTTCCATTGAAACTAAAATTATAGTAGATAAATAGATAGAAAAAAGCCAAATCTATTTTAACTCTGGATATAATTTGACAGTTCCTGGTTTTTAGAATATCTGATCATTAGATAAAATAAAATAAACAAAAAAGTCTTGCAATAAAAGAAAATCCTAAACAATTAAAATATTATTAAAAATATAACAAAATACAATTGAAAAAAAAATAAAATATTCAAATCATTTGGTTAAATCATGGGGTATACTTTTTTTCAAAAAAAAAAAAAAAAAGAATAAATTGCTAAAAATATTAATCCTCAAGACCTCCTTTATCTCATAAAGCACTGTTAATTTTTTTTGAGTGGAATAATAGTTCTTTGACTGCATCATTATTTAGCCGCAAATAATGAACGCCACTTAAAATGGGGTAATTCAAATATTTCTTTTTATTTTCAAAATTATATATATATATATATATTTAAGAAGATAACAACTGATAAAGTGCAACTTCATTTTTAATTTTTTTTTCTTAAAAATTCTTTCATAAATTGTTTAATTTTATTGCTTTTTTGAAACAATTTTTTAATAAAACAAAATCTTCTACGCTGTTTGTTATATTTTTTTATTAACAATGAAAGTCATTTATGTTTATAATCAATTATCACTTCAAGTTCTCCTAATTACAATGGATGTTGTTTTTTGGATTTTTACTTTTTTTTTAATTGAGCTACTTTCCATCATTAGCAACCCTGAAACACAAATCGCCACCGTCCTCACAAGCTTAAGTGGACTTTTACGATTCTTTGGCATGGAAGCAAGACGTGCAAAAGTTCGTAAAACTAAAAGCAATGCATATTCATCAAATCTTTCAGAATTAGACTCAATTAGTTATTCGTCTCAAAGAAATGTTGAATTTGAATTGAATAGCCTCAATAATGGGTTCCCTAACAACAAACAAAACACAACTGTTAATGATTGTTTAATTCCATTATTCCCTCAAAGAAAATTTCGATTTTCCATTTTATTGATATTTTTTATATTCATTTTAGCCTCAAGTTATGGCTCAAAAGTTTTAAATCTAATTATCTCCAATAATATTTATCCTTCTTATGAACCTACGTTTGCTCCTATTAGAGATGCTTTGAGAATTCATCCTGGTGACAAATCAAATACCTCATTATATATTCCTTCGGATTTTCATATAAATGAGCACTGGAGCCCCGCGCCTATTTTTTATAATCCAGATGGGGATTATAGCTCAGTTGATGAATTGGAAGAAGAACACGTTGTTCATGAAGAAGATCAAGTTGGTTACGGCAATTCATATTATATGTCGGGCACAGTTCTTTTTAACTATACTGATCCTTTATCAGGAAGCTTCTTAAGTTGCGGTTTGACAGATAAATGGGAAAATATCATTATTGATGCTAATGGTGCCTATACCCTGGAGATGAGTAAACCTAATGTCCCTATTTTACCTCACGTTTTATGTGTAAATAACACCTCAAATAACAATGACACAAAATTTAATATTCAATCTGATTCTCTGGAACCTTATTTTGTGATTAATCCTGGAGAAAATTTTACATTTTTTGGTGTGAACAATGAAACTAAAAAAATTTACGCCAATAATTTTTTATATTATGAATTTAATTATAATTCTTACAACCTTTTAATCGAACCACAGTTTTATTACGATCCCTTAAACTTTTTTAAAACCAATCTTAAATTATTTGATTCAAACTCATCTTCTTCTAACCACAACGTTCGTTTCAATATGGATTGCAATGGAAGAAATTTTACTATCGAAAATAATATCACACAAAGTTTGCTGGATTTTCATACTCTTTATGTTTTGGGAAATGTTAGTTATGTGCTAACATTCACTTTGGCAAAACATCTTGAAGGTAACCTTTCGTCTTTTGGGATTTTTCATAATAAGGTTGCACTTGGGTATTTCAGATATTCAAATGTTTTAACTATTACTCAATCTTTATATTTTACCAAAAAAACTATTTTTGAATTTGAGTATAATGACAATATTACAAGCACAACTACTTATCAAACTGCTAAAACTGTTGAAAAATGGGGTACCCATCTTATTCCAATTGTCCTCAACATCAAAGTACCAAGATTTGTGTATACTGTGCTAAGTGAAACTTTGGGTATAACTGTCAAAGGGTCCAATGAATTGGGGTTCTATTACCCAGGGAAAATTAGATATGAAGCAACTTCAATTGTTATTGCTATTGTTTCTGTAACTTTAGCTTCTTTGGTTTTGTTTTTCATTACAAAACTTATTCTATATAAATGTCCTCAAGGTATTCCAACATACTATGGTCTATTGCATGAATATCATAAGAATCGTTTAGATGCAAGTCCTCCATATGATGCTGACATTGAACGCCAGTCTATTTTTAAGATTATTGACAAAGCTTATGAAGGTGTAGGGTATGATGGAAGATTGCAAAGAAATCGAGTTGGAGTTCTTGATGAGGTCACCATTAGAACTGGTACTAATAAAAATGGTGTGATTAAGCGACGATTCATACACTAAAGCTTGAAATTTCTTTAATTTTTAATGTAGTATTAACGTTTATTAAATTTAATAGACTCTATAATTTTAAGAATAATAAATAAATAACTAACTAACTAACTAACTATATATATATATATATATATATATATATGAAGATAATTTAGTTCTAGGGTTGGATTGATTCAATAAAAACAAACAAAAACAAACCGGTTTGATTTTAGTGGAAATAAATTAGAAAAGTTTACTTTTTGAGTTTCTGTTAATTTTAAGCTGAAATCAAGACATATTTTAGGGCTGTTGAAGATGCAATGTTGAAGTCATAAAGTCATATTCAAAGTTTATTACAAAAATGAATATATATAGTAAGAACAAAAAGGATAACGCTGATGCTGATGTTATATAATTCTATAATCCTTAAATAAAAACAAATAAACTTGTTAACCTAGCTAGGTTTAATTCCTCAGATACTCCTCCATCTCCTTTTGAGGGAATGTACAGGAGTAAACGAAGACTATTTTTGCCAGTGGGAAATCCTACTCTTTAGTTCAGTATAATTAGCCTAGTAAGTGATTTCTGGCTGAGGGTTATAAAAAAATTTAACTCAAAGTCCGTAAAAACAAGTAAAAAAGAAACCGGTCGGGTATGTTTAGAACCGATTGACTAATGGGTTTTGTTTATGTTAAAGTGATATTGAGGACCCTTTTTTTTTTAAATTACCGGATGTGTAAAGATCGAAACAACATTATAGTGAAGAGGTGCACCCTGTAGGTAAAAAAAAACAACAAAAATTAGACAATGAAAATGGATAACGTTGGTGCGAAAGTTATATTAGTTCTATAACTCTTGAATAAAAAAAACAACCAATTTTAATGCTATTAAGACACTTTAATTTTAAAAAAAAAAAATTTCAATCAATGTTTATCACTCCAATTGAGTTTATAAACAGGTTTTTCCTATGGTAATGAACTATGTAGATAACCTTGTTTTCTTTTGATTAAGAATTAAATTAATTTTCATTTAGAAAAAAAAAAGTTCTTTTCTTCTTCTGCTTCTTTTTTTTTCCCCTTCTTTTACTGTCTTGCCAACTCTCCCACAGGTTTGATTAGAAATATAAAAACAAAAATACTACCGGGGAAATTGAATTTTCTGATAATCCTGGTTATTGAAATACTGATTGATACCAATTAGATAATAAGAAATCAATTTTTATTTTTATTTTAGATTCTGAAAAACGGATAAAAAAAAGTGTAGATAAAAAGAAAAAATAAAATAAAAAAATAGTCAAAATTAAATATCATTATATTTGAGTATTTTTTTAAAAAAAATAATAATAAAATAAAATAATAGTCAAGAAAAATGTATTCTTTACTTTTGAATTTGAATATTGAGTTTTTTTTTAAAAAAAAAATTAAATAGTATGCAAAATAAAGAAAGAAAAAACAAAAATAACTCATCATCATCATTCAATCATTCAATCATTCCAAAACAATTTCCCATTCTTCCCCCCATCTACATTAATGACTTGTCCTGTAATGTCCCCGCTCCAGTTCTCACTTGCAAGAAAAAGAACCGTTTTAGCAACCCCTTGGATACTTGTTGGCCGTTTCATTGCGGTGCTAATCTCACTTGTTAGTATCTAAATATTTAAATATCTAAAAAAAAAAAAAAAAAAAAATTCTTTATTATTCACTCACGTTGCTTGACAGTCTTCATAATATTGGTTAGGATTCATTGCGCATTCTTCATGAAACTTTTCTGTATCAACGGGTCCTGGTGCAACAGCATTAATTCTATTATTTTTTTTTTCGTCAAATCATTTTTGGTTAGTTTTCATCAAATCATTATCTTTTCTTCGCTTCAATACAGTATATCTTTAGTTCTGTATTCAAAAGAAAACTTTTTTTTTTGTTTCTTTATCTTTTTCTTACCTAGCTCGCGGATGGATCTGAACTATATCCTTCACCAAACTGTTGACCAATCCATACTGTACTGCACTTTTCCCGCTTGCATAATCTGCATTTCCTAGCTCACCAAATCTTCCCGATTCACTTCCAATAACAACGAGCGAGAGGTTTTTCGTATTTTGATCTGCCCCATCACGTACTTGTCGTAACCATTCTCGTGCCGTCAAAAATGTCCCATGCACATTCACATTAAACGTCTGCTGCCATTGCGAAAATGGCAAGTCAATTAGTGACGTGTGATGCGTCAGATACGAAAGATCCTGTGCCGCACATGTCACACACACTTGAATTAGACCGAAATGAGCAGAAGCCAATGCAAACCCGCGTGCAAGCTGCTCCGGTTGTGAAACATCAACACGGTACTCCATAAACTGTTCGCTCGGCGGCTGATCATTTTCAAACTCTAAAAGAATTGGGGGCATTGGGTCTGAGGATGATGTGGAGGAGGATACCGGAGACGTGGACATGATTGGAGGGGTAGTTGTTGGTGTTGGGAGTTGGGTTAGGACTTGAGATGATGAATGTTTTTCATGTCGGAGAACAAGTTCAAAGACAGAGACTCTGGCACCTGCTTGTAAAAATGCATCGACTATGACTTGTCCTATTGCTCCGTTGCCACCTGTGACTAGAACGTGAGTATTTTTGAGACCTAGGCTGAGGTCGATTTGGCGGTGGTTATGCATTTTAGAATGAGGATGGAAGGGGTATTTAAAATGAATGTTTTGAATTTCAGGGAAAGTATAAGGATAGTTGAGGATTTGATGAAAATGAAGAGAAAATAAAAAAAGTTTGTAAGAAAGAAGGGAAAAAAAAAGGAAGAAAATATTAAAGGGAAAGATTAAATAGAAATAGAAATAGGATTGAAAAGATTTTTTGTTTTTTTTAAAGATTCAACTGGGTTATTAAGAAAGAAAAGTAATAATAATAATAAAAAAAAAAGAGAGACTTCACGTAGGTCAATTCATAAACATATCATTTTACTATGTGAACACCAACCCTTTAAACCCCGAAAAACTGTGTGGTCTTTTTTTTTCTTTTTTCTCAATATCCAATCCAAACTTGTACCAGGTTAGCTAAATGATTATTATTCTTTTTTTTTTCTGTTCAGGAACAAATAACGAGAAACATTGTGTTGGAACAGAAATGTTGAAAAGAAATTTTGGCCTTTTAGTCATTCCGACGGACTTTAATCATTTTTTTTTATTTATCTATTTCTTCCGTTAACACAAATGGTCTGACAAAATCTTATAGGGGGAGATTTCTTTATTTCAAAAGAATGTCTACTGTTGATTTCTGGACTCTTGTCGTAATCAAATTCACAAAACCCAAATCTCGCCTACAATTTGGCATCATTTTTGTGTCTTTGGTTGCTTGTTTAAACAAGCAAATTTGGGGATCCGGCCCTTAACTTTTATCCAGTCCACTTCAAAAGAGGAACAGCAATAAAAAAAAACTTAATCTTATCTACACAACTTTTTTTTTTCAGACATTATTATTACATTTACTACTTTAAGTTATATATATATAAAAAAAAGAACGGAAAGGGGATGAAAATACTATACTAAGATACAAAATTGAAAGAAAAGAAAAAAACAAGTTATAATCAAACAAAAATATCCATTCTTAATGTTGTTGCTTCTCCAACAAATAATTGATGGCATTCTCAACGTTAAAATGACTCTTCTCCAATGCAGCATACGCTTCGGCTTGCGTAAATCCCATGCTAACAAGTTGCGAAAGCTCCTCAGCATGTGGACCAGTAGGTTTAGGGGCAATAGTAGCTGCAACAGGAGCAGCAGGAGTAGCAAAAGACTGTGGAGGATTCTCAGGGAATGCATTCACAGAGCTATTGACAAAAGAATCAAATGCAGCTGCTGCTTCTTGCTGTGAAGCCTGGGGCTGTTGCTGCTGGTAGTACTGCTGTTGGGGTTGTTGCTGTTGGACTGGAGCGCCAAACGCATTATCCACTTCACCCTGGGTGGGTGGGGCAGATGTTGACAAGTTAGCAAACAACGAATCCCACTCGTCGTTGGCTGCCTGGGGAGCTTGTTGCAGTGGTTGTTGCTGTTGTTGTTGTTGTTGTTGTTGTTGTTGTTGTTGTTGTTGTTGTTGTTGTTGTTGTTGTTGTTGTTGTTGCTGCTGCTGCTGCTGCTGTTGAGGTTGAGGTTGTTGGAATCCTCCAGTGGCAGGGGAAGTATAAAAGTTGTCTATAGGATCTGAAGGGAATCCAGTTGCGGCACCAGAAGACTCCGAAAAGTTTCCAAAGTCAAATGGCTTAGCGGCAAGCTGCGAAAACTCCTGTTGGATAGGCACCTGTGACTGTGCACCACGAATATCCTTAAAAGACTCGTCATTCACCTCCTCGGCATCTTCAAGACCTTCAAATGCGGCGGCAAACGGATCAATGTGTTTCTTGATGGGGGCTCCGTGGTGCTTAGAAGAACTAGGCAGTGGGGCAAACGGAGAGTAGATGTCTTCAGGTTGAGTAGTAGTAGTAGGGGCAGCCACAAAGGGACTAAAAGAATCAGTAGACTGAGTAACAGAAGTAGGCTGGTTTGCAAAAGCCAGAGGAACAGATCGGTTGTTAAATGACTGAGTAGAGGACTGGGCAACAAACGAAGGAGCAGAAGACTGAGGTACAGATTGAGGAGCAGAACGAGGAGCAGACTGGGGGGCAAACTGGGGAGCAGAACGAGGAGCAGACTGGGGGGCAGACTGGGGAGCAGAACGAGGAGCAGACTGCGAAGCAACAAATGGTGAATCTGCAGATTGGGTATCAGGCTGGAAAGCAGACTGGGCAGCAGTACCAAAGATATCGTTAGCATCAAATTGTTGTTGCTGGGGCTGTTGAATAGCAAGATTCTGCACAGGTGTAGGCGAAATAGACTGTTCGGCAGGAGTTCCGACTTCAGATCCAGTAGCCTGGGCAACTGCAGCAAAGGGGTGGGAAGAAGCAGTTGCAGAGACAGGTGTTGGGTGGTCCACAAAAGTGAATGACTGGGTAGATGCAGCAGCAGGACCCGAAAAGGATGGTTGTTGCTGTTGATTCTGAGAATCGGCAATAGCAGGTGCATGTACAGGGACAGGTGCAGCAATTGGGATATCAGAGGCGCTGGCAAAAGAAGATGCCTTGGCCAAGTTACCAGGGGTTCTAAAGGCAACAGGACCAGTGAACTGGGGCTGGCCAGGGAGAACCTCAGGGCCTTCATCGTCTGAGGATGAGTATCCATCACCATCCGGAATTTCAGTGGGGGTTTCTGCAATAGGAGAAACCGTGGTGCCGCTGGAAATAGGAGCAGGAGTCTGGGTGGTAGGCTTTGGTTGAGAAGCAGAAGGTACATTGACATCGTCACTGTCAAAGTCGCGAGCATCTTTAAAAACGTCCTTGGAGTCAACAGAAGAGGTTTCTGATTTAACTCTGTCAAGAGTTGGGATGGCAGCAGCTGCTACTGCTGCTGTTGCTGCACCGGCAGCCACAGGAATAGCAATAGAAGAGGTAGTGGCGGCAGTAGCAGGAGTAGTAGTTTCAGAAGACTCAACAGGAGTAGAAGCAGAAGCCAAAGGTTCGGAAACAAAAGAAACAGGAGGAACAGACGTAGTTGTCACTGTTTCAGTAGAGGGCTGCTCGGTAACGGGAGCAGACGACTGGACAAAAGACACTGGGGGCACAGAAGAAGCGGCAACAGGTGCAGGAACTTCCGAGGCCACCAAAGAGCCAGTGCTTTCATTAGCTCTGGGCACCATTTCATAGGACTCTGTTCCAGAAGACAAGCGATCATCAATAGAGTAATCGCCAGAAACGGGGGCCTGGGGGAGAGGCTTTTCTTCCGAAGGTTGTTGCTGTTGGGTGTCAGTGGTGCTGGCAGGAGCAGCAGCAGGAATCTCGGGGAGAGACACTGGGGCGCCAGTGTAAGTATCCTGTTCTCTAGAATACCCCAGGTTTGAAATGGGCTCAATGTCAATGCTCTCTGGAGGTGCCATACCAGCCACATGCTCCGAAGTGACTGGGATACCAGGAGAGTCAGGACGCGACATATCAAGGTCACCACGCACTGACATGGGTGGGTTATTTTGGACAGACGACGAAGTCGACTGAGGCCGTGAGAGGGGCAAGTGGAAAGCATTGAGGTTGCCTATAGCCGGGTTGTTTGTAAACTCCGAGTTGGGAGAGGTGTTTGGCGTATCATTGTAGGTAAAGTTACGGGAAGGATCTGTAACAGAGGGGGTGTTGAGACCAAAGTGATCCTCAAATGGCACCGAAGAAACCGTAGCAGTATCGGAAGATGGAGGAGGAGCAAATGAAGTTGCATAAAAGGGGTTAGTGCTGGCCGAAGTGGAAATAGGAGTTTCAGCAGAAGCAGCAACAGCAGGGACAGGAGAAGAGCCAGTTGCTGAAGAAGTCAAATGAGAAGCATCAGAACCAAAGGCAGCAATGGCAGCAGCACCAAGAGCCGCACCACCGGCAACGCCAGCAGCAATTCCAGTAACAGCAGCGGAAGAAGAGGTTTGGGCACCTCTTGAGCTATGGAGCTGTTGCTGTTCCTGTTTGGCTTGCTCAATTTGTCTTTGAATTTCCTGATTCTCGCGCTCGGCAGCAGCAGCGGCAGCAGCAGCCTCCTCAATGCTCTTTTTAAGCGAGTCACGTTCTTGTTCAGCAGTTGCAAGCTGCTGCTTGCTAATAGACAAAAAGTTGCTCTGCTGTTTAGCTTCACGTTGAGCCTTTTCAAGGTCCTTTTTCAAATTTTCAATCTCTTCATTGACCTTTTTGATATTTTCCTTAACGGTAGCAGCCTCCTGCTGATCAACATTGAACTGGTTGGTAGCCTCCTGAATCTGGGCCTGGAGCGATGCGTAGGTAGCTTCAAGAGTAGAGTATTCTTGAGAAAGTTTACCAGCTTCAAGTTGGTTCTTGTGAAGAATTTGGTCCAGTTGTTCATGATGCTTAACCTCGGAGCTGTGGGTGCTTCTAAGAGAGTTAAGTTTGGTTTCAAGGTCAGACTTGACTCCATCGAGTCTAGCAATTTCTGCCTCAGCCTTTTCTCTCTTTTGACGAGCAGAGTCAGTCTGAGATGACATAGAGTTGACTTGGTTTTGGAGGTTTGCAACGTCAGTTTTAATGGTTGAAACCTTATTATCAAGTTCATCAGGTTGGTGAAGCAAATTAGGAACCTGTCTGGGTTGGAAGGTAGAAGCAACAGCAGTTCCTGCAGTTCCTGCAACAGCACCCAAAGCAGCACCTGCAGCAAAACCAGTGCTATTTAATGATGAAGAAGCTTGAGGGGCAGAAGTTGCAGGGGCAGATTCCTTAATCAAGCTTTGGCCAAAGTTGGAGACAGGAGCAAACGAAGTGTTTGATCTTGTGGAAGTGCCAGAAAAGTCGCGTGTAGCAGAAATAGGTTGAGTAGGGGACTTGACAGTAGGAGAAATAAGGCTATCACCGAGAGAAACCAAGTCGTTGAGAGAAGAAGAGGTAGTTTGGATCTTGGGAGGTTGTTGTTGAGGAGCAGGAGCAGAAGGTTTTGGAGGGATAGGTGGGGGGCTAGTAGCGATGGGAGAAGAAAGAAGAGATTCTGAAGCAGGAGCAGCAGAGTAAGGATTTAGAGAGCTTGGTAGGTTCAAGGGGAGCTCTCTACCAATGAGTTTTTGCTGAACGAGATACATGGCAATAGCAAACTCTGGTTTACGGAATTGGCCAGTATTGTTAACATCAGCAAGATCCCAGACCTGGGCCAAGACTTCTTCAGGGAGGTTTGACTTTGTGAGGAAGGGGACGACTTCTTCTGCACCAATCACACCCCTGTGGTGTGTGTCGAGGCTGGCAAAGATGGCGTCTGACTTTGCGTGGTCTGAGGGGGAGATTTTCCACTCATTAGGGTTTGAGCCAAAAGTGGAGGAGCGGGATGGAGGGTTGAATTGTTGCTGGCCAGTGAACTGCGGGGCTGAGAGTGGAATAGGAGAGCCAATTGAAGAAGTCTGGGCACGAGGGGAAGTTTGCAAGGAAGCAGCGGATCTTGGTGCCGGGGGAGCAGGAGGAGCAGGAGAGGTAATAGATGGGACACGGTGGGTTGAGATAAAGGCTTCAAAAAAGCCTTGTGGAAGAGATGAGGGAAGTTGTTTAAGGGTTCCGCTGAGAGTTGAGCGGATAAGGTGCATGGCTAGGATAAATTCTGACTGGTCAAGCTTGCCTCTGTTTTTGGTATCAGAAAGGTTCCAGACCTGAATGAGGGTTTCATTGGGGAGTTTGCTTTTAACAAAGATATTGCGTGCGTCAGTACCGTCAAGAAGTCCAGTAGGTGCGTTTTTGATAAAAATTTGGCTATAACTTGATCGGTCTTGGGGAGAAATGGGAGGGATTTGGGTTGCTGAGGAGGAAGTAATAGAAGAGGGGCTTGTGGGGACTTGTTGCTGTTGCTGTTGCTGTTGTTGCAAAGGAGAGCTTGGGGTAGCAAGAGATGAGATTGTCTGTGAAGGAGGAGGTGAAGAAACAACTGTTGGAGGGGCAATTGATGATTTTGGAACCGTTGGTTGTTGTTGCTGTTGTTGTTGTTGCTGTTGTTGTTGCTGTTGTTGAACATTTGCAAACTGAGGCAATTGGCCAGCTATATCAAGTTAGAAACTCGCGTTTAAGAGAGTTGCCTTTTTGTTTGATTTTTTCAACATACCAGAATCACCAAGAGCTGTAGTCAATTGCTTACCACTTTGGACCTGACCAATGATACGGAGAGCAAGAAAGAAGCCATTCTTGTCGAGATATCCATGGTTGAGAGGGTCTGCTAGCTGCCAGATTTGGCCGAGAAGAACAGGCTGGAGACCCGATTGCATGAAAAGTCCGCGAGCCACGTCTCCAGTGACATAGCCAGTTCGGGCAGGGTCACATTGGGAGAAGAGAGCTTCGAAAGCCGAAGTTTCAGTTTGGGTATATTGTTTGGCTTTTTTTTTTTTTTGAGTTGGTTAGCACATTGACACAAAGTTGTCTGCGGGATTATTAAACATACCGGAGTGTCCGTCAGACATGGTGCGGTTAAAGAAGAAGATAAAAAGCTGAAGGTTATATAAGGGGTGTTTTTATTCTAAAGTAAGAGTTTGGAAATCTGTATATATTAGGAATTATACAAATTGAAGTCTTTAAGATATATATAAAAATAAAAATTTATATATATATATATACGAGAGTATAAGAAGAAAGAAAGGTAGAAAAAAAAAAAAAAAAAGGATTTTTGGTGGTGAAGAAGAAGAAATTAATTTTTTATTTTTTATTTTTTTTATTTTTTAAAAGGTCAAGTGGAGCGATTTGAAATTTAGCAAGGTTTATTAATTAATTAATTAATTTATTTATTATAATTTATTAATTTATTAATTTATTAATTTATTAATTTATTAATTTATTAATTTATTAATTTATTAATTTATTAATTTATTAATTTATTATTACTCAGGAGTAAAGAAAAAAAAAAAAAAAAAAAAAAGAGGAAGGCTTTTATTTTTTTATATGTCTTTTGAATGTCTAAATGTGTGTGTGAGAGAGAAAGGAAACTCGTATTGGCCATTTTTTTTTTTTGGAACGCGTAGGCTTCACAATAAGGTGGTGGCAGTGAAAAAAGAAAAAATAAAATAAAATTGAAATTTCACAAAGTCACGTGTATTATGTAACTTATTACATTAAATATTTGTAACAAATTTAATTTTTATATTTTTAGCACAAATAAACAAATGAATTATTTGTGTGTGCTAAATAAACCTTACATATGTATATATATTTATAAACATGAATTTATTTAAATAAAAATCCATGAAATCTAAAATACAATAATTGATCTTCTATGAGATAAAAAAAAAAAAAAAAGTATACACAAATGTGAAGAATCATAAAAAAAAAAAATACAATTAGCAAAGAGATATGATAATAGAAATAATTAAAAATATTTAATTAGTAATTGTCAATACATTCAAAAAAAAAAAAAAAAAAATTCAATTTGTTAAACTGTTCATCAACACTTGCACAATTCTCATTTCCACTCACATCCTCAACTTTTCAATTATTCAACTCTTCAACTCTTCCAAACATCTTACTTTTTTTTTTCTCTTTTATTCTTCTTCTAAATCTATTTTATATCTACCTACCTCAAACATCTTTTGGCGGCGGCCGAAAGTTACACTTTTTACCTTCCTTATATAACTGATGCAACAGCGCCACAAACGCATCCGGGCCTTTACTTGACACCCTCATATACTCCTTATACAGTCGTAGCGCCGTTACAGCATCCTCAATTGAATCATGGTTCCCCGTCTGCACATTTTCATGTAGCAACGCGTATGCCAAAAACTTGAGCGATAGTCGCCGCTTGTACTCAGGTAGGTAAAACAACCCAAGCGTATCAACCACCTGTGCAGACGGTACGTGAATCCCAATTGTCCGGAAATCATTATCAAGTCCATGACCAACAAATACACACCCAAGATTCAACAATAGCCACAACCGCTTATATGACGTTTGCTGCGTCACTAGCGACCCGCGCGTCGACGTCCAGGGGTCCAGGTCGCCCTGCTCAACGCCTGAATATTCTGTCAGGTAGTCCACTATGGTTTCAGACGTTGCTATAAAGTCATCAATAAACGGCACACCCTGCTTGGGTCCTGTTCCCCGCACAACAGACACTCGAGCAAGCGTCACCTCTTTGGGCCGCACTAGCGACTTTGTTCCATCAGATATGATTTCCGTCTCTTCATGTTGCAGCAAAACAAACTCTGTGTCCATGGCCACCAGGGTCCCGGGCTCAGGTGCTTCCGTAGTGGGATCCAACAGCTCATATTCGCGTTTGAATCCTGCACGGAACCCGGCAGCAAAGTGGTCACGGTAAAGAATTGACGTGTCGAGACTGTTTATCCAGGCATTATAGTCAAATGGTGGTGCCTCTTCTTCTTTCCGTTGGTAGAGCAAAACCACAGGCGTTTTCCAGGAAGTCACCTCCAGCGCCTCTGCCTCGGAAACAGGCTTGACCAGGAAATCATTGAATAGATGCCACTGGCCTTCGATTTTCACAAACGTAATCAGGTGCGTATCAACCGGATTGCGCGATGGCCGTGAGCCTGGGGCAGCTGACGAAGCCGACGCAGGTGCAGAATCTGTCTGTGCGTTTGTTTGAATCTCAACCACCAGGCCTAGGAGTTCATAAATATCGTCCCCTGGTTGAGCGTCAGCCACAATTTTAAGCGACGTGGGTTGGTTCTCAGCCTGCTCTGTGCGGACGGCAAATTGCGGCTCGGGCCAATTGCTTGGGGGTACGGTTTCGTCTGCAAGTGGGACATGCAGGTTAAGCACTTTGGGGAGCCGTGCACGGACAGTACGAGTTGCTGTTTGGGTATGGAACTTGCGGCATGTATCACACCATGCTTTAGAGCTACGAGAACGCTTGTCGAGGGATGCCTGGAGGGTCGGCAAAAAGGCAGATTTAGGCTGAACCAGCTCAAGAGAATATACCACTGTTTCGAGAACTGATCGGGACTGACAGGCGGGCGAATGAGTCGATGTTTCTACAACAATGCCCGCAATTTTTTCAAACTCACGTGCAGATGCATCGTAGGCACGCTCATCAATGGCCATGCGTTCCATTAGGAACCGCGCAAAGGCTTGTAACAGCAGCCCTTGGCCATGCCCTGGTGCGTACCCAGTGGCCAGCCCGAGGGTTCTGCTACAAATGGCGGCCAGTGGTGATCCTGGTTGGGGTTGTGTAGAAGAGACACTGAGCGATCTGGATCCCACGCGAAGAGGGTGGGCATCATCTGTGACCAATCCAAGCGCATTTGCTTGGGGGATGGTTGAAAGAGCCTTTACAAAATTTGCTGCCGCACAGTGCAACCCCTTTGCTTTATGGAGCATATCAAAGAGCAAGCCAAGCTCTGCCAGGAGCGACTTATCGTCAAGGGAGTTGTGTTTAAGTTGATTGAGTGCAAATTCGTAGATTGGCCTGGAGTAGCAGTAGAGTTGTAGTAGCGGGTTGCAGTAAGAGTTGACAAACTGAGGCTCAAGCCCAGAGTATTGCGTGTGGTTGTAGTAGCCAAAGTCAAAGTCAGCAATGCCAAACTTGGAGTACTTGATTTCCAGGCGTCGGTACGCGCGCGGAACTGGCGAGGTATCATCGGCCATGTCACTTGAAGAGGCTGGTGGGGTAGTTTCGTCGGCGCTATTACCACTGCCTGCACTTCCTCCAGGGCCACCGGTACCAGCAGCTGCGCCTGCACTTGCGGTACCACCGGCCCCACCACTTCTTTCTGAAATAAACTTGGGGCCTGACGCAATGGTGCGACGTTTAAGATCCTTAAAAGAGACGTATTTCTGAGCCACGTTGCGGCGCGCGTGATCTTGAGCAGAAATGCCAGTGAGTCCGATTCCACCAAGGGCCAGATCTGTTGGATGAATATCTGTTGAGGAATTGTCATTGATGGCTGCCTGGAGTTGCCGCAGAACATCTGGTGGGAGTTTTGCTGGGGGCATGCCTTCATCAAAGACCATGGGCATTCCAGGCTCGATTGACCACGATGAAAGAAGTTCGTCTTTGTAGTAGGGTAGTCCGATAGCACTAAGCGGCGTGGAATCATCGTCAATATCGATTCTGCGAGGTTGTGCAGGAATCATACTTGAGATTGGTTGGGTATAGACCGCTGGATCGACTGGGAAGTCTAGGGGGGCTGCAAACTCATTAAAGGTCGGGTCGTCTGCAGAATTGCTCCAGAGTTGGACATATGCACCGTCAGTGAGAGCCAGAAAATCGCCTGACGAGGACACCTCGAGACCCGACAGGGTTCCGGAAGATGCTAGAGCGGCCTGATGGAGTCTGACTTGAGTGGAAGCCGGGTTTGCAAAGTCAATGAGCTGGATTTGACCTGTTTGGGACGCAATGAAAGCGCAGGTGGAGAGTTTTGGGTGAAGGCGAACAAACCCGGCACCAGCAGGGAAAGGTACTGGAGGAAGAGGTTTACCTGCACGCAAATCAAATATGTTGACAAGCGGATCGAGAAGCAACTGGCCTGCGGCCCCGGCTTTGCGGAGCGAGTAGCCGCAAGTGAGAAGGGTAGTTTCGCGCGCATCAAGATCAGAGACAACGCTGGTATGTGCTTGAAACGATTTGACGACGCGGTTTGTGTTTGGGTCGATGATGTCGACGGCACCGTTAGATTTTCCAGCCACCAGGGCATGTGCTGTGCGCACAATCTTGACAGCTCCGGCAGACCCAGGAGAGAGCGGGATGCTAGAGGCCGTGGAGAACACGGAGCCAGCTGGAGCGTCCAAATTTAGCTTGAGAATTTCGTTGGTACCTATACCAGAGAGGCTTCCGGTGCTACCTAGGTAGAGCTCGGCATCACGCGCTGGGGCCATACACGCGAGCGAGCCGGCCAGGGCTGCAGGCGCGTCGAGGGTTGTTTTTGTAGTACCGCGGCGTGTTGCAAGTCGAAGGGATTCTGGAGTAAGTGCAAGCAGGGCCTTATCGGCAGCGGCGATTTGAAGAACTGGTAACGAGGAATGGACACGGGACGACGCATAAGGTCGTAAGGCTTGGGTATAGAAGGATGCGAGGAAGCCGTCGGACGCGCCTGCCCAAAGCAAGTCCTGAGCTGGGTCAAAGAAGGTTGCCGAAACTGCGGCATACGGCCGTGAGAAGACTGGTAGAGAGGTAATCTATGAAGTTGAGTTAGTATTAGAAGGGCAATTCTAGGATGGGTTTGATCTTACTTCGTTCCAGTCGTCCATGGTGGTGATGCACAAGTTGGAGGTTTTGGAGGTTTGGCAGAAAAAAAAAAAATAAATAAATAAAAAAAAATAAAAAAAAATAAATAAATAAAAAAAATCATAGCCCTTTAAAGGCAAACCCACCATTTTCTTACTCAACCATCCACTAACTAAATCATACATGACGGAACGCGTACCGGGCTTTTTCTATGCGGACCAGTACTTGACCCAGCAAGGAGTCCGGTTCGACCACTCGATACCGGCAACGCTGACTCTGTTTGCCACTATTTTTGGTGTGGCCGCCATTGAGGTAAGAAGCCTTTTTTTTTTTTTTTTTGTCTGAACATAAATCCTCTCCACCATATCCTTTCCTAACTTGCATGTAAGATTCACGCAAAAGACATCTACGCTACAGGTAATCTTGGACTCGCCAAGTCTGGAGTGTTTCATGGCCAGCTGCAATTTAACGATGTACGTGACTTGACAGCAGCTGCCGGGAGGTACCAACTGGTATGCCAACTTGTGGGCGAGGATCTGTACGTGTACCTTGTGCAGCCGCCAAATATGGTTCCGCGCGGGGTTCTTACGGTCCAGGTGGCCAACAACTCTGAAGACTGTGAATTTTCCGGGCTTATTGAGTTTAGCTGAATATAATTTTATTTACTATTTACCAAAATATATGGATCCCATGGTCTTGACGACGTTGAAGCCAAATAAACTAAGAATGTAGAGCACCGCAATGACCGGCACGGGTGCCAGTAGCAGCTCTGTGTGGGCCAGAAACGGCAATGCATTGTAGCCATAGAAGGCAATGACACAGTAGTGGGCTAGCGCAACGGCATACAGGGAGTTCCCGAGGAACATTGCAAACCATGCAGAACGAGTGAGCAGAGGGAGTAGCAGGAACTGGAGGACGTAGAGGTAGACCCAAATGACAAGGAAGGCATTGCAATGGACGTCAAAGCAGTATGCCCATTCGAGTTCGTCACGTCCCTGTGAATGTCCGTGTCCAGTTTTGCGCAAAAGTTTGCCAGCAATGAGGTATCCTGCGGTGGCAATGACAACACCTACAGCGAAAAAGTCCACAAGCACCATGTACCCAACGAGCCGGAAAATGGCAAATACGCCAGGAGAATAGGCCAATCCCCACGCCAGCGCAGAGACCGCCAGCAGCGCAGATAGCAGCAGGACGAAAGACGGGTCGTCACGGGCCCACCGGTTTTTGGTCTGCTTGTGATAGTAAAGGGACTTGTAGACTTTTGTTGGGGCTATGAGTAGGTATACGAGTTCCCAGACAGCGGTCTCAAAGTCGAGCGTTGGCGGCCGGAGCACACGCCTAATGACAGTAGGCAGCCTCAGTCCTGATCCATGGGATCCTGAAAGTCCCGACGGCGCTCTTCCGTTAGTCAATGGTAGGAGGGGCATTTTGAGTAGATGTTTGATGGTGGTGGTGGGAATATGAAATATTTAGGTGGACAAGAAAAAAAAAAAATATCTCTATGGCACTTACGTGTCTATCTAATCTTCTTCTTCTACTACTACTACTACACCAATCACGTGCCACCGGGCGGCGTGTCGGCTTGAGTCAAACGATCCAGCTCCGACATCAGCGCATAGTTGACCGACTCTGAAATCGCTGAGTCTTGTTTGTAATCCTCGTGGGAGGTCACGAATTGACGGATCCATGAGGCATTGGTGGGCAAGGCACCGGAGGCCCTCTTTGAGACCAAAGAAAGGTACTTGCTGAGCTCACACAGCGTGTCAAGGTCGACGCTGGTAGCTGCCAAAAAGCGGCGAATCAACGGGATAAACCCAGGGAATTCATCGGAGCCATTGACCAAAGCATCCAGCGAAAGCTTTGTGTATTCCTTGGGACTATCACGCTGGACGTTTTTGCGGAACCAAAAGGTCTCATTAAGGACAGCATCACGGTGATGAGCCACTCGCATGTTTTCGTCCACCTTGGAAATGGGCATGTAAAAGTTGAGTTTATAGGAAAGAATGACGCGAGTGAGTAGGACAATAAAGACTGTGAAAGCAGCGTTTTCAAAATCAGTGGCCTGGACCTCCATGGGCCGGAACTCGACGCGCCAGCCAATGTCGGATCCTGGGGGTGGGGGTTTAAATCGAAGAGTCTGCCAATTGGTGGACTGAATGTTTTCAAAGTGGTCTGCACTGGTGGAATTGTCCTGGTGAAGCAGCTCACGGAAAATGACAATAGGGTCACGGATAAAGAGATGAGCAAAGTGCTGGGCCAGGAGAGGATCAAAGCCGGCATCGTCGAGACGCTTGAGAGCACGCTTGTTGACGACAAGCTTTGTATCATTGTAATGGGCTTCGTCAGCAAGCAAAACTGGATCTTGGGCCAGGTACGAGTCTACTGAGTCGTAGCGGGACTTTGGGATAACCACATCCGAGTTATCAGTGGTGAAACCCTCTGGGGGAGGTACCAACCCGCGTTCCCAAGGCGTGCGGTCGTCGACGGCTCCGGAAATGACATTCCAGCGGGTATCTTGGTCGCTGAGGTAGCCTCGGTAAGCTGGGGAGGCTGCAGTGAGGGCCAGCATAAGGGGGGCCAAAGGGGCCAGCTGGTCGTACAAGGTTCGTGCTTCGGTGATGTTTGTGGCTTGGAATGTCAACTGAAGGCAACAGCAGCCCATTCCAAAGCCCATGGCGTCCATGTGGATATAATTCTCCGGGCCATGGTCCACAAAGGGTCTTGGTGTTTGGGAGTCGACGAAAATGGGGACGTCAATGGAGACTTTGGACCCACGGCGGGTGCGGATGTTTGCAGTGAGGGTTGGGAATCGAGCATGGGGGTTGATGACCTCATCGGGGAGAAAGTCAGAGCGTGCGGCAGGGCCGTTGGGTGGGTAAAATGGCTCGGTAAAGGGAGAGTTGACGACACCCAAACGCGGGTATGAGGTGACGGTAAGCGGGACCTCGTTGGGCAAGAGATTTTTGCGAGCAATGGAGCGCCGGAGTTGCATGTTAGGTTGGACATTGAGGAGGTCTGTAGGAGCGCCTGTGAAGGGGGCAGCTGGTGTGGCCTCCAGCATGAAGCGGCCGTATTCCGGGTGATACGTGACAGGGCCGAGGGATCCTTGGGCTTCCTTTTGGGCAAGTTGTTCAAGAATTTCAGCTTGTCTGAGAGATAAGCGGGCAGTTTTAGCGGACTTGTCTAAGGAGACTACCATGTACTCGAGCTCATCACCCCAGAGCAGGACATCGCCTTGTTTGTCTTTACAGCGGGAGTAGATGTTGATGAGTTGTTCGATTCCTTCGTCACGAACAAAAGAAGCGAGTGGCTGAGCTTCAGCCCAAGGGAGGGGAGTTCCTAGAGATCTATAGGAGAGGTTAATAGGGCTAATCAGGTAAATTTAGAGGTTTTGATCTTTACGTACAAAAGGCCCATTGGTGATGGTTATGGGAGGAAAATGAATTTGTCAGCAAAGGAAGATTTTTTTTTTAAAAAAAAAAAATAAAAAAAATGACTTACTGGGTAAGTTAATATTACCAGGTAAAACAAGTTACCATTTATTTTTTTTTTACTAAGAAAAAAAAATTTTGCCAGTAATTTTTTTTTATTTTTTTCACCACCACCATCAATCACCATAATCACATTAAAATAATGCCTCCCAAGAAAAAAACTGACGAAGAAGAAGGCCTCCAAGCCATTGTCCTGAGCGATTCATACCAGGACCGATTTCTTCCACTTACACGAGAGCGTCCAAGATGTTTGCTGCCATTGGCAAATACCCCCCTTTTGGAATACACTCTAGAGTTTCTGGCCACAGCACGGGTGGCCGAGGTGTTTGTTATTGGGAGTGCGCATGCACAGCAGATTGAAGAATACATTCAAGGATCCAAATGGGTTTCTGCATCTGCACCATTCCGCGTGGAGGTGATTCAATCGGACAGTTGCTCAATCGGTGATGCACTACGTGACATTGATCGACTGGGACTGGTGACAAACGACTTTTTACTCATTTCCGGGGATATTGTTTCTAATATTGATTTCAGCAAAGTACTGACAGCACACCGTGAACGAAATGACAGAAACGCAATTATGACGATGGTTTTGAGAGAAGCTTCAGCTAACCACCGGACGCGGGCCAAGGATGGAGCTGGACTGTTTGTGATTGCAGAACCTTCTGGACAGTGTGTGCGGTATGAGTCAGCGCCTCATGATTTAGGTACAGTTGAGATTGATTCTGAGGCACTTGCAGACTTTGAGACATTGTCACTGCGCAACGATTTGATTGACTGCCATATTGACATTTGCACACCGGACGTTCCTGCGTTGTTTACCGAAAATTTTGACTATAACGATTTACGGATGGATTTCGTCAAGGGGATTTTGACGTCTGAGCTGTTGGGCAAGACCATATATACCCATATTGTGGATAACCAGTATAGTGCACGGGTGGAGAGCTACCAGACATATGATGCTGTTTCACGGGATGTGATTTCTCGGTATGCGTATCCTCTGACGCCGGAGTATAATTTATTGGATGATCAGAGTTTCCGACACCATTTTGGACACATTTACAAGGAGGATGGGGTTGTTTTGGCCCAGTCATGTGTGATTGGCCCCCAGAGTGTGATTGGGAGTGGGACATTTATTGGAGAGCGTACCCAAGTACTACAGAGCGTTGTTGGACGTCGGTGTCGTGTGGGCGAGGGAGTGAGACTGGAAGGTGCTTATTTATGGGAGGATGTTGTTGTTGAGGATGGTGCAATTGTTGAACGGGCAGTTGTTGGTAGTGGGGCTGTGATTAGATCCGGAGTACGGGTTGGAAGTGGAGCGGTAGTTTCATTTGGAGAGGTTGTTACAGCAGACAAGCATGGTGCGCCGGATGATATGGATTCGTTAGTATATGAGTTGGAGGGAGTTGCATTATCAGATGGGTCGATTGCAAGTGATCATGGACGGGTTGATAGAGAAGAAAGGGGGAAGAGTCGAGGGAAGGAGGCTGAGGATACAGATGATGAAGATGAGGAGGATGACTTTAATTCTGAGGCAATTGCTTCGATTGAGAGAGCCATTACAGAGAATCATGATTTGGATATTGCAGTGTTGGAGTTGAATACTTTACGTATGACGTTGAATGTTGGGTATGAGGATGTGAGAGCTGCGACGGCGAGTGCTCTTGTTGGGTATGTTGGGAAACTTGTTTCTACTGGGACTTTAAATGTGAAGGCTGCAGTGGAACGGATTTTTGGGCAATGGGGGTTATTGTTTAAGAGACAGGCATTTGACTTGGAAGATGAAATTGATGTGTTACGTTTGGTTGGAGAGTTGTTTGAGGGTGGGAAGATTGGGGGCTCATGGCAGCAAGGGCTTGTATATGCTATGGAGAGTTTATATGATGAGGATGTGATTGATGAGGAGGCTTATTTTGGATGGTATCGACAGATTGCTAGTGATTCTGCATTACATGGTGTTGTGAAGGCATATGTTGAATGGCTTGAGAATGCTGAGAGTGAATAAATGAGTTAATAAATGAATGAATAAATAGATGAATAGAGTTTGGGTAAAAAAATAAAATAAAATAAAATAAAAAGAGAAATATTTTTTGTTAAATTAAGTTAAGTTAAGTTAAGTTTGGTTAGAATTAGGATTAGGATTAGGGTTATGTTTTTTTTTTTTTTTTTTTTTTCAAAAATTGTTAATTGTCAACATATGTTGCGTATTGTTTGTATTTTTCATTTTTCATAGGGGGGAGGCGCAGTAAGGGATATATGCAGGGTTCCAATTCAGTCACATGCGTTGCTGTCTTTTGTGTTTAATACAGTGGCATTGGTGACAGTAACAATAACTACAGTTATTTTAATTATAATAACAACAACAAAATGTTATTTAATAATTGTAGAGTTGTTGCTATTAATTTTGATTGATTTTTAAAAAAAAAAAAAATGTCGTTCTCACTATTAAAAATAAAATGAAATCTAAAGCTTAAATTATATAATTAACTAATTAGTTAATTCTAAAGAATTAAAAAAAAAAAAAAAAAAAGAAGAGTTTAAAATTCTTTAAGAATAGAAAGACTTAAAATTACACTTAAGTGTATATACTTTTTTATATGTCTAAAAGGCTTGGCATAGTTACCAAAATATATTTCATTTTTCCATTATTTATTACCCACAAAAATCACATCCAAATCCTTTCTTTTTTTTTTTTTCCTTAAAATTTCATCTTCATCTTTAAATATTGTCTAAATACTCCCAAAAAAAACACATAAATCTTGTTCACTTATACCAATGGTTTCTCTATTATACAAAACGAACTATTAAATAGGACAAGAGAAATTAATAGATTATGTAATTTAGATAAACAAACAAACAGACAAACAGACAAACAAATGAATCTTGTCAGGTAGCATTAATGCAAGTTGGTGCATTTCATAAAAAATCATAAGTTATAAAAGACCCTTTTTTCTTTTTTTTTTTATGTTAAAATCAACAACATAACATGCCATAACCTTAAACTTTAAGTTCTCACATTATTAACCATAATCTTCACCTCAAACTTTTGGTTTACCTCAAACTTTTGGCTTACCATAAACTTATCTCTTTTCCCCTCTTCTTCTCTGATTGCTTAAAGCAAATGGTTTCAATCCTCCCTCAGTTAAAATCTATATTTCAGTTTTTTAAAAGCAAGCCATTTGGATTTGCAATAATTTCCTTTGTGGCCATTATTGCCATTATTGCCAATTGGATTCATCTTTCTCAATATTCTGAACCAGACCATCCAACTTCCTTTTTTTCATCTAACTGCAATTCCATACTTAAATATGGACGATATCTAAATGATGTCCACGAAACCCCTTCAAATTGGCAGCCTGATGGTTGTGTGCTTAAACACTATCGTTCTTATTATCAAGATAATCTGCAAAGTTGTTTTAAACCTGGAGACGAAATATATTTCTTTGGGGACTCTACCGCTCGCCAAGTCTTTTGGGGATTTACTACTATTCTTTTTAGACAGAATTTACCTCTGAAAGGTGGGCATGGATCCTTGAGTTTTGAGCAGGACGGAATTACTCTTAACTTTGTTTGGGATCAATTACTAGATAGTATTGGCGCCAACATTACGGCCAATATTGCAAAGTTGGGGCTAAAGGCCAAGGAGAGAGAAGAAAATGCTGCTTTAAACACTGACAAATCTTACCAACCTAAAACTTACATTTACACTACTGTTGGTCCATGGTATACGACTACTGTAGAAACAAAATTTATTGCAAAAACCTATGATCATAATATTGGTCGATTTCTTGAAACACTTGAAAATCAAATCGAGGGGGCCTTTGCAGGAGTTTATCTTGCTCCAGCATTAAACCCTGCATACCCCTTTCTTAACGAGCTCAGAACTTCCTTAATGAAACCTGAAAAATATCATAAAATGTCAGCCCAATCTGATAAACTGTTCAACTATGTGCGCACAAACAAAACAGTCTCTTCAAAGGTAAACCCAGCACTTTATCCTGGTGGTGTGCGCTATCAAAAAAAATCACCTTCAAGTGCAGCAGCATACTATGTTCCAGTGTTTAACGAACTTTCTGCAGAAAATCATCGTGGAATGCATGATGGTATTGGTGTGCATTACCTTCATGATGGCTTTCTTACTCAAGCAAATATTTTAATCAATCACATGTGCAATGAAAGATTGGCTGAGGAAAATATGATTGAAGCAGGAACATGTTGTATTCCTTATATTGATCGTAAAGGCAACTTTTCAATTTTTGGGTTGATTGGAAAGATTTCAGTATTTGTTCCACTATTTGTATTGCTTTTTTTCATTTTTGAAGATGTTATTTTGGCTCTAAAGTATTCTGCTTTGTCTGTTGTTATTTTCATGAGTGTAGCCACATGGGCCCACTTGTCAAATGAGTCACCCTTAATAAGTAAAGTCGAGCTACTCTTTTCTTCAACTGAATTTTGGGGGATGTTGCAAACTTGGGTTGTTATTGTTTTAGTCTCTGCTATTTATTCTGAGCCCAGTGTCTTGTCACCTTCTTCTGCTTTTCTTGCTGAGTTACAGGGTACTTTTGCTACTCTTTATATTATTGTTCAATATTCAGGTGCTACTACATTGTTTTACAGTTTTAGGGGGGAGTTTTGTGCGAGAGTGTTGCTTTCAATGTGGCTAATTCTACAGATTTATGAGTTAACCTCAGTTTGCTTAGATCAGCTGGATCCCACATCTTTGGCCATAAGCTATTCCCAGATAATCCCCATAATTTCCAAAGCTTTTGCTCGTGCTTTAGCCCTTCCCTTGTTTTTAGGCTTAAGTGTTAGTGATATCACTCGCAAACTCCCACCAAATTCTCCAGCACCATCTTATGTCGATGTAACTTCCAAGATTATTTTTGGAATTACATTTATTTTTTTTATTCTACCTCTGGTTTCAATTTTGAAAGCAAAAGTGGCAGATCTATTGCAACAGGACGATGAAACCGCTATTGATTCCTTACCAATATTTAAAAGATTTTTCATGAGACGTAAAATCTCATGTACAATTATATCTGAAACAGCATTTATTGTTATGATTTTAATATGTTTTCATGTGCTCAGCTTATTTTTCCTTTATGCAAAGCTTTCAGGTGTTTTGGCACGGGCGCTGAACGCTATTACTGATGATTATTGGGTATTAATTGCAGGTGTATGGATTGCGTTATTGCAGCAATCATTTTCCATTAGTGATATTGTTGAGGTTTCCACCACTTCTATAATAGTTGCAATTGTGGTTTCTTTGGGTTTAATTAATATTGTGCTTTCATATGTTGACTTTTATTTGCCTGTCGACCCCTTTGACTTGTCTCTTCCTACTCCATACATTCAAGTCAACCGCAAACTATACTATGAGCTTCTTCTTGAACGTGGCAAAGTTTACACCCCCTTACTACATTTATTTTTTGTAGTTACACTTCTTGCATGTTATACAGTGATGCGCATAGGCCTATTGCAGAGGTTTTCGCGGGATGTGCCTGTTTTTTCATCTGTATTGATAGCCGCATCTGGAGTGAGTTATGAGATGCTTCTTCTTTACCCATATGTTCTGTTAGCGGTAGGCGGTACAGTGCGCTTGCATTATCTACCTACAGGAATTGTTCACTCATCACTTATCACTCGCACTTATGATTTTGTTGGCAAAGAGTTCAAATTCCCTTATACATGGTGGCATATTGTGGAGAAGTTGCGCAAGACTGGGTCTATGGTCATTGGTGCTGGGGTGTTATGGATGCTTGCAAGTATTAGTGCAAGTGTATGGACAGATTTATGGCCGGAACAGCTGCCTGTACCAGTTGAGGCCACAGAAATGAATGAAGAAGAGAATAAGCTTGAGGAGTTTGAATTGGTTTGAGAAGTAGGTATTTGTTAATAGACATATTTTATTATATATAAATGGATAGATAGATAGATAGATAGATAGATAGAGATATAGATGAATACCAATGAGTCTTTGAATAAAATAAAATAAAATAAAATAAAATGATAATAAGAACTTTAAACTTTTGTAAATGTTGAGGAGGTTTTAGTCAACATTTCTAATTTTTCAACATGTAAAAAATAATAAAAAATGAATAAATAAAATAAAAAAAACTCTTTTTTTTTTTTTTTGATTTTCCGTGATATATACTTTTTTATTAATAATAATAATAATATTATTATTATGATCTTTTAACAAATAAATTTAAGCACACTTGAAATATGCCAACCTGATTATGCCCATAATGATATATATATATATAGTCCCTGAAACCAAACTTTGTGAATAATAATACAAAGAAATGGTAAAAAAAAAAAAAAAAGATAAGAGACACTTGAGGATGAATTAAATTAAATTTATGAACTTATGGGATTAAAATTATCAACATGTTGATACTGTACAGTTTGTTATTGACATCGGTGTTAATAACAAATTATGGGTACATATAATTTGTTTTAGGATTAGATTATATAGGAATGGTGCTTTTTTTTGTTTATTATTATTAATATCGGGTTATTTATAAACAAGAAAAAAAAATATAAATATATAAATTAAATATTTTGTTAAGTTAAGTTACGTTTATTTAGGGTTAGGGTTACGTTTATTTATTTTTTATTTTTTATTTTTTATTTTTTATTTTTTATTTTTTATTTTTTATTTTTTATTTTTTATTTTTTATTTTTTATTTTTTATTTTTTATTTTTTATTTTTTATTTTTTATTTTTTATTTTTTATTTTATTTTTTTTTAGTTGATTGATTAATTAAAATGTGTTACTGTAGATACCTACTTATGCAGGGGTCCCGATTAGTCCACGTGCGTTGCCGCACTTTGCGTTTATGCAGTGCGCGGGTGACGGTTGTAGTGACAGTAACGATAACCACAGTTATTCTAATTATAACAACAAAAGTAACAAAAAGTAACAAAAAGTAACAAAAGTTGTTGCTGTCATTTTTTTTTTTTTTTTTTTGGCTGCTGTTGCTGTTGCTGTTGCTGCTGCTTTTTTTTTTTTTTTATTTTTATTTTATTTTGGATGGTGCCTTTTGCTGCTTTAAAATTTATTAGATTTTTTTTTTTTTTTTTTTTATATCAACAAATGAAATCCAAAGTTTAAAAAAAAAAAAAAAAAATAATTTAGAAAATAATTAATTTAGTTTAACTTAATATAATTTAACTAAATCTAACTTAATTAGTTAAAAATAATTAATAGATTTCTTGCGCCTGCCTGTATTTTTATTTTTTTTTATTTTTTTTAAAAAAAATTTTATTTTATTATTAGTCCTACTACCACCACCATAAACTACGCACTTTAAATAAAAAAAAGAAAAAAACTTTTTTTTTTTTTTTTTATCACAGCTAACAACAACAACAACAACTAAACCACCAACCAACCACCAACTACTAATACAACAACAACAACTATTATCACCACCACCACCACCACCAAAAATTACTATTAAAATAACAATCAACTATAACAATCACCAATAATTACTAGAAAACTACCCACTTAAAACCCATCTAAACCACTTTCAAATTCTTTTCAAATTCTTTTCAAATTCTTTTCAAATTCCTTTCTTTTCTCTCCTCAAAATTCTCCCTTTCAATCAATCTCTTACATCCCCCCCCCTCAATCTTTTCACAAATGTCCCGCCATATCCCAACCCCGCCGGCTTCGGGGCCCGGTACCGCTACTCCTTCTTTGGCCCAAGGACCTCCTCCTCCCATTAGACTCCCCAGTATCCAAGAAGTATGTTGTTGTTATCATTATAATTATTGTTATAATTGTTATTTATCATGGTTGATGCTTGTAGTTACTATCCAATAGGCTTTTAATGCTCTTTTCAAGTCCTTTTTTAAGCCATTTTAAAGCCATTTTCAAGTCCTTTTTTAAACCCTTTTCAAGTCATTTTCAAGCCCTTTTAAAGTCATTTTCAAATCCTTTTAAAGCCCTTTGAAATCTTTTGAAAATCTTTTAAATCCTCCGAAATCAATTAATCAATCAATCAATCAACCCTTTCATTGCTTCATTATCTTCTTTTTATAATATATTTATTAACAAATCTCCTCTTATTCAACTACCTTAGATGATGTCACAGCAACATCTCTCGGCTTCCTCGCCAACCTCTCCAGCCGTTTCGTCGGCCCCTCATACCCCCCTCATACCCGGCCTAAACCACCACCATCCTGGACTTTCTCACTACCCGGCGGCGCCGGCGCCGTCTTCTTCTTCTTCCTCGTCGTCTTCTTCTTCCTCTCATAGATCTCACCATCATCATAATCATTCCAGTCATCATCTCCATTCATCACATCAACAATCACATATTCCTTCATTACCAGCTGCAAATTATACCCTAGGAGCGCCTCCAATATCTTCGGACCCAGCAGCAATAATCCCAAAGGAGTATCCCTATTATCAACAACAACAACAACAACAACATCAGCAACAACAACATCTTCATCTTCATCAACAGCAATACCCTCAACAACATCATCAACAATACTATCAACAACAACAACAACAATATGCCTACCCCCTGACACCAGGTCCTTCTGCATCGGCGCCTGCAACCCAAGCGCGACCCCTGGATAGTGGTGGTGGTGGCAGGTCTTCTTCATCATCATCATCTTCGTCGACGTCATCATCGTCTTCGTCATCCCAATCTACTCCTAAAGATTCTTATTCTCATCATCAACGACTTGCATCTCCTTCAGCCGCAGCCGCAGCCTCAGCTTCAGCTTCAGCTTCAACTTCAGCAGCTTCATCAACAGCAGCTTCTTCTCCAGCCTCTGCAGCAGACCCAGCAGCTCCTGCAAAAAAACGTCGTGGAAACCTTCCTCGACAAGTGACAGAGATTTTGCGTCAGTGGCTAAACGATCATATTGAACATCCGTACCCAACAGACGAGCAGAAACAAGAGCTCATGCGCCAGACTGGCCTTACTCTTAACCAGCTCTCCAATTGGTTCATCAATGCCCGGCGTCGCCGGGTCCCTCAGTTGAAACGAGATACAACTACGACAACTAGTAAATAATAATAATAATAATAATAATAATAATAATAATGAGATGAAAAAAAAACTCACAGACTTTTTTTTTAAAGAAAAAAAATAAAAAAAAATTAAACCGACTTATTTCCCTTTTAGGCTTTTGTTTTGGTCTTGGCCTGACATTTTTTTTTTTTTTTTGAAAAACCTTCTTTTTTTTTTTTTTTCTCTCTCTTCTTTGCCATATTTTTTTCCTTCTTCTTTTTCTTCTATTTTGACCTTCTTGACTTTGACTTTGACTTTGACTTTGACTTGTCTTAAATGATCTCCCGTTTTACCTTATTGACTGCCCGCAGGACTTCCCGAGTCCCGGGCATCACCATGATCTCCCCTGCCTTGCTCCGATGCTCTAACATCCCCCCTCCTACTCCTCCTTTAACCCCCCGCATTACCAGATCAATTGTGTCTCTCCCAGGCGATACATCTCAAGAAGATGAATCAACATCATCCTCTTCAATCCTTTCAAAAGCTGCCGAATCTGCTGCTGTCATGTTTGCCTCAGTTGCTGTCATTGCTCTGGCTGGGTTTGCATACCAGCAATACTACAATGCTCACGCCCTGGCTAAAATGGAACGTGCCTTTTACCCGAGTTTAGCCTCTTGTGACCCTCCTGACCCTTGGGTTGAACGCTCTGATCAAGCTCTACTCGACAATATTGTCTCGGGTCAAACTGCAGGCAGATATTACTTGCTTATTGGTGAAAAGGGTACCGGTAAAACATCTATGCTACGAGAAGCTGTCCGAAGAACAAACGGTGCCCGTTGTGCTTTCCTTGATGCCCATCCAGACCCTGAAATTGTCCGCTTGAGACTTGGCCATGCCTTAGATTTTGCCTTTTATGAAGATTACCTTGGTGCAATGTTCCAGCTACGTGGCCCACGAGATACAACTGCTCTTCTAGACATTGAGCGTGCATTCAATAAACTCGAGATTGTTGCCCGTAGAGTTAATGATCATGACAAACGGCCCCTTGTACTCATCATTAACAATATCCACATGGTACGTGATGATGAGAGCGGCCAACACTTGATTGAGCTGCTTCAACAAAAGGCTGAAGCCCTGGCTGGCATGCTTACCGTCATCTTCAACTCGGACGACTACTGGGTCTATGAGCGTCTAAAGAAACTCTCGACCAAGCTCGAAGTCATTACTGTCCGTGACATGTCCCGCACACAAGCCGTCCAAACTCTTTGTGGCACGCGCAAAAAGCTTACCGGACAAGTGTTGCCACAGCAAGACGCCTCCGATATTTACTCTCTAATTGGCGGCCGCCCCCAGCATCTTGCTCAAATTGCTGCTGCTCAGGATATGCTCAAGGCATGCCATGAGCTCATTGACCGTGAACGCACCTGGTATTTAAACCAGTGTGGACTATTGGGCCAGGATATGGACGACGATGTTATGGAAAGTGGCAAGTTCTCAACCTCTGCTATGCTCCTGATGCGCGCCCTGGTTCAAATGGACTCGGATACTGGCTCCCCTGACCATGTTCTACCACAAGTCCCGCTATGGACTGCTCGGCGCATCATGACCCGTCCAGACTACATACAACGCTACGATGCCCTTAACATTTTTACCATAGACAAGAGCTCTTTTGTCAAGGCCGACTCGGTCCCCATGATGCAAGCGTTTCGTGAAATAGCTGCGATGCCAAAGTTTGACGAACTTCTTGAAGAAACGTGTGACCGAGTATCGGCCATTGAAAGTTTGGGCAGAACTCGTGAAATTGTTCTTAAAGACCTGGTTCAAGGCGGTCACTACCATTGGAGAGATGGTAAGATAACGCTCTCGGCTCAGCAGCAGGAAGATTCAGACGAAAATGATGATGACTCGGACTTTTCCAAATTGAATCTCGATGAGTCATCTAAGAAATGGTGGTGGCACCGGCGGTCCCAGGCATACTTGGGCAAGCAAGCAAGCAAGTAAATAAGTAAATAAATAAATAAATTAGCATATACTTTATATATATATATATAAATACGTAAGTATAGTCTGTTTGTTGTACACATAAAATAAATAAAAGCAAAAACTTTTCCACCGCACCGTTAAAAACCTCCAAAAAAACCAAATTTAATTATTATCACCACCACCACCACCACCACTTAACCTACCACCAATACAAAAAACTGACTAACCAATGCCTCTCCTGCCATACGACAACAACATGGAAAACTGGCTTAATAGTTTTAAAGAGTACCTTGACTCCCGCATGCCCGGGCTCAAGAGCTTTGTTTTTGATGATTTTGTTGATCCTCGTGTTCCTGACCTTCGAGTCAAGCTCCAAGCCGAATATGCCAAAATTCTTAATGAAATGGAGCAGGCCCCTACTATCAACAAAACAGTTGCTCCAGTTCTTCGGCGTTTTGAAAACTACCCGAGTGTTGGTATCGAGGCTCTCTGCCAGAATTATTCCGGAGGTACTCTTGGATCTTATATCTCTCTCATACGTGCCCTTGTAATCCCAAGAGAACCAGACCAAACTGTCGAAGAATACTTAAATTCCTTCTTGACCTGTATTAAAAACTTCGGCTCAGTTCCACCAACCAGAGAAATCCTTATTGCCATAATGGCAGCCGGTGCACGAAGCAATGCTGTTTTTGAAAAGGCCCAAAATGTAATCAATACACCCTTATCGGTCTTGAGCCAAGAGCAGATCATTAATGACCTGACCTCCATTGCCACTGGCTCTGACAAAATAGCTTCAAAAATCTCAAACAAACATACCCTTGAGATTGAGCCCATTCTTTGGCGCTCTCATGCTCATCGCAGGTCTTATCATAATGATATTATCTACGACCCACCACTCGGGTATTCCGACATTCAAAAATTGAAACACCCATCCCAAGCTGCTCCCTGGCGGAAAGCCATGACTCGTACTTTGACCAAACTTCACTCTGCAAAGGCTATTGAAACCTTGTCGCAGCCACCACTTGACCGTCCTAATACGGGTGTTGTGCGCTGGATATATGGCAAATCGCGTTCTACAAATAGTAGAAAATTAATCCCGTCAGCAAAGCTTATTGTCGATTCTGACCCTCGAGCCATCCAAGTCTTCCATGAACCACCACCTTCATCTGCCGTTGCAAAAAAATCCTCAGTCCGTTTAGCTCTTAGACTCTTCCCATCAAAATCATCCTACCGATACTTTGACCTGTCACAAGAGTTCCATTCAACCCGTCTCGAAACTCCCCTTATTGTTCGTCTCCCTGCTGTCGACCCGTTGCCCTCCCATCGTAGACCCTATGCTCGTATTGTCAACTGTATCCGTGGTGCAGATCTTACTCCTTGGACTTCAAAGGTTAAAGCCATTCTGGCAAAGCGTGGGTACATTCAAACTGACTGGGACCCAGCCGTATATGAACTGGACCGTGATGCACACCCTAAACGTGCAATGGCCCTGTTACTTGAAGATCATCTACTACTGCTTGATGACAATTCGGTTCCTCACTGGAAAACAGATTCGGTCTATGGGTTCTTTAAGCATGCAGAGCTCATTGGTGCTCCCAATACAATATTTGGTGCCAAGCTGGTCTTTAACAAGGAAAACATTCTTATTGCACTTTGCGGTTCCGACCTCATCACTGGTCTTCTCCATCAATTCGATCTCTACAATCTGCTCAGGACCGCTCAAGAGCCCCGGGTAATGGATTGGCGTGACTACGCTATTATTATCCGCAATCTTCAATTCATTGCCAGCTGGATCCGCCCAGATATTTCTGCCAAAGTCTTGCACCTTAACATTATCCAGTGCAAAAATACCGAGCCCAAACATCTCCCCATTTGTACCTTGCTCCATACTCTCCAACGTTCTCAAAACTATTCATTGAACTTCCCTGTCTACACTACCCTCAGGGAACTTAATGCATCTGTCTACGTTGACTACAATGAAGTTTCTGGAACCTCCGGCTGGGTCGTATCTCTCTTCGGAACCCCGATCCATTGGGAAACATACCGTCCTCACCGGTCCCTCAGAACCCACCCAGGACTCCCTTACTGTGAGATGCTTCGCCGTGCAAATGCAGCAACAAATACAATCCACGCAATTACCCGTGCTCTCACATCCTCTAAAACCCTTAATATTGAGAATTTTAACTTCCCTGAAACTGTCCCAGCAACAACCTCGCTTGTGTGGGCCCCGCGTGGTGAAATCCAATTCATTACTGATGAGCTTCGAAAACTTCCAGTCGCCCGCGCTATCGTACTCATGCGTTTCTGGCAAAACTTTACCGCTGACAATGTCTCCTTCTCGCTCAAGTCCGAGTCTCGTCTGTCCTACATGGTAACCCACCCGGGCCATATTCTCTCGGGCTCCCATACCGGAGCTCCAGCAAATATCATGGGCACTTTTATGACCAATGTAAATTAAATAGCAATCTCTCTACTTAGTCTTACGAATACTCCGCCGTGGCCCATCTCCGGAAACAACAATCGCACCCTCTTGGGTCAACCCCCGGATCGCCTCAGCAATTTCAAACGCTGATAAGCTCTCCGCATGGGCATCCCCTAGCTTGCGCACTACCTCGGCGTACCGAGCTGATCCATTATTTTCCACCGCCTCAATGGCTCGCAATACGTCTTCCCGTAACGTAGTTTGCAGCACCCGCTGCGCCGCAGATGTGCCCGTCTGCACCATGTTCATGTCAATACGTCCCGTCCGTGGATCAGTTGCATAGTCCTTGATGGCCGTCCGCATTAGACGTACCGCTTCCCGCACATCATCCGCACGAACGTGCTCATGTAATTGCATCCGCGCGTGCGCTTCCGATAATCGAATCAATGATTCCAGTTGTCGTGTCGTCGCCGTGATTCGCTTTTCCGATGACCGTGCGTCGTCACCCATCTTACGCATTTCCACGTACGCATCCACAAGCTCTTGTTTTGCCGCGCCCGTTAATTGCGGATGGATGTGTTCCTTAGCGTAAGATATGTACATGGTCAACTTTTCAATGGGAAGTACCTCATACCGCGACGCATTTTCCGGGGTATCGTCCAAGTACATTGACGCCAAATGTCGAGCTAGCTGCCGGTCGGCCCGCTCGTCAACCTTATCCAGCATTAAGTACACCAAGTCAAATCTTGATAACAACGGAGGCGGCAGGTCAATATTTTGAACCACACTCAAGTCCGGGTTATACTTGGAGCCAATGGGGTTGGCAGATGCAAGAATAGAAGTTCTAGCATTTAGTGTTGTAATAATCCCAGCTTTGGCAACAGACACTGTCTGCTGCTCCATGACTTCGTGAAGAACAGACCGCGTGCTGTCATTCATCTTGTCAAATTCGTCAATGCAGCACACACCACCGTCAGACAAAACAAGGGCTCCAGATTCCAACACAAGCTGTTTCGACTCCTGGTCGCGTGTCACATATGCCGTCAAACCAACTGCAGAGGATCCTTTTCCCGATGTGTACATACCTCGTGGTGCAATTTTGTGTACGTACTGCAGCAGTTGTGATTTGGACGTAGAGGGGTCGCCGCACAGCAGCACGTTGATATCGCCACGATACCGCGGCGATCCTCCCTTGGTAAACGTCTTGTTGGTCCCGCCAAAAAGTTGTAGCAATATTCCCTTCTTCACATCATCGTGCTCGAAAATTGACGGCGCAATTGACCGTGCTAAAAGTTCGTACAAGTCCGGGCGCTGAGACAAGTCATGCATTCTCTGAATATCGTCCACAGAGGCTGTCCGGATCTCGTCCACATCTGCTGAGGATGCCGCATACTGTGCTTCAAGCGTACTGGCATCAGCGCCAACTCGTCCAGAATCGGTTTTTTGAATGTGGAAAACATCCACATAAGTCTTGTATAAGCTCTTGACAACGCGTTGCTGTGGGTTGACTCTGACGGGTACCGACCGGAAAATACCAGTCATTTCCACGCGGTCTCCAGCTCGACACACATCCACAAGCTCGTCATATACAAGAACAGAAAGAGAGTGAGGGGTTTGGCCGTCAGGGACGTGCGAGGGTGCCTCTTGGATTCGAACAACTTGTTTATCACCAAAGGTAGATCTGACATGAACAATCTCCATGGAATTTACAGATTCGCACTCTCTACGAGGGCATCGAGTAGGTTCTGGAATCACACCACGATCAACGTCTACTACAGTGGTGGTTTGGCATACACAGCACTTGAAAAACGCAGCCTTCATATCGGGGATCACAGGAGTAGATCTAAGCACCAGTCCCTTGATACTGATTAACTTGTCGATATCATCTGGATTGAGATCACGCATTCCTCGTTCATTCCCAAGGTTAAAAGGTCGAACCTTGTAAAAATTAGGCTCAATCTCGGCAGTAATCTCTTCAGGCGAAAGCAAGTGCTCATCTCTTGCTAATTGTAGCAAACAGTCTTTGATTGTGGTATCCATAACTGGAATAATTTCGCCAGGATAATTAACCAATTGCTTGGCCAGTTTATGACCTTCAGGGAAAGCCTCCAGGTTGCGCACATCAAGGTTCAGGTTAGTCACACCCATATGTACCATGCTAAGCATCATGGAATGGTATGTAAGCTCCTCACCATCACCCTCTTCGACTGAGACTCCATCAGCAATCATTCGGTATCTCATTCGAAAGTTAAGCAAAAAGTCCCGAAACTTTTCTTCAACGTCGCGAAGATTCACATTTGTACCCCAAATTACACGGACCGTTGAACTAGAGCCCTCGCTAAACTCGCTCATTGGAACTGTTCGCGACCCTGTTGAAAATGGAAGATCGCCACGCCGCGACCGATCCGCAGGAGTAGCGTACCGTGATGCATCGGACGTGGGGTATTCCAGCGGCGACGATACCGATTCTACCAAAGGTTAGTAATAAAAAAAAATAACAAAAACAAAAATTAATCACATTAATACATACCTCTTAAACTACTAGATGGTCGCGGGTCCCGAGACCGCTCGGATGACGGGTAGTTTAGTGGCGAAGATATCGAATCGGACATGTTTGTTTATTTGTTTATTTGTTGGAGTATTAAATAAAGGGGAAGGAAGAGAGGAAAGTGTAAACAAACGGAAGAATTTAAAAATAAACAAACCCTTTAAAAAAAATCTATTTATTTTCAAAACAATTGCGTAATCCATTACTTAATCAAAGGCTGTCCAGACTGCCTAGACTGCCCAGGCTGCCCAGGCTTCCCATACTGCTCTAGCATGTCCCGGCGCACCTCCCACGTCCGACCCACCCTTTTTGCAAGCTCTGTCAGCGTCGCACGCAAAATTTCTTTCGAGTAGCGCGGCAGTGCCCGTTTCAGCATTTCAGTCAAAAACATTTTAGTTTCCGTAGACCCTTGGACGTGGTCTACAAATGCACTCATGTCCTGCGGCGCTATAAGTTTAGTGGGCCGCACTTCGGGTTTCACGTCCGGCGTCGACCAGTAGTCCCGGTACGGATCGATGGGACCAGGAACACCATTATAGCTAAGCACATCAATCTCCAGAGATTTGTACAAGGCTGTGTCGGTTTTCCCATCGTTCCAACTTACAAATGCTGTCAGAGGCCCCACAATGCGCCGCCGTGGAGCATCGCCTTCGTCGGATGATAAAAAGTCTTCCATGTCATCACCATCATCATCATCTTCGTCATCTGCACTGCTTTCCTCATCCAAATCTTCACCTTCTTCATCTTCATGTGTCCACTCAATATCCGAATCATAATCGTAGTTCATTCCTGAGTCTTTGAATAAAAAGGTCCCGCGAGGAATGTGAACATTGCGCCGCTGGAAAGTGCCCTGGTATGGTGGCCGAATGTTTTCAGCAAACTGAAGATGCTTGTATGGCAGCGTAGCCAGCGCAGCCGCTATTTCTGCTTCTGTTGCCGTTTCGCTATTGGCAAGATCCACAACCTCGCGAGCTGTAAATGGCACAGAATTGTCCCCTCGAAGCCTCCGTTGAGCCTTGAACCATTCAAATATGTCTTCACCTCCTTGGAAGTCTTCGTCCATCCGCTTGCATACTGTCTCAACATCAATTTTTGGTCTTGCATCAAGCGGTAGATGTATTGTGACATTGCTGCGTTGGTAGTATGGTAAAAATACTCGGTCAAACTCGCTCTCAGGGGTACTTGTCTTGGGCTTTTGGACTGTAAAGAAGTTGGCCAGGCGAGATTGCTGTCGGTCCTTGGCCTCTTGCTCTTTGCGCTTTTGATCTTCACGTTTTTTGCGCTCTTCTTCTTTATTGCGCTCTCGTTCTAGCCGGTCTTCTTCTTTCTTCTTCTCACGTTCTAATCGCTCTTCTTCCTTCTTCTTTTCACGTTCTAATCGCTCCTCTTCCTTTTTGCGTTCTCTTTCTAGTCGCTCTTCTTCCCGCTTCTTTTCTCGCTCCAGCTTCTCTTCTAGTCGTTTCTTTTCCTTCCCCAGCTTCTCCTCTTCTTTCTTTTTCTCCCGTTCTCGTCGTTCTTCCTCTGTTGCTTTATCAAATCCTAGTTGTGCCTGTCGCTTCCCCTTCTCGTCTTTAACAGGCCGCTTTTTTTCATTGCGCCGTTGTAATGCTTCAGCAACTCGACCTGCTACCAGCTCTTCGGCCAAGTTCAATGCCAGTTCAATAACAATGCCCTCCACGTGAGCAACTTGCGACTGCATCTCTGGTGGCAGTTTGCTCACTAGATCCCGTAGGATCTCTAGCGGGTCGTCATTACTCTCTTTAATTTTCTTATTTGCCTGCTGATTCGGCGCCGGCGCCTCGTTCTTGTCACTGCTACTTTGCTTTCGCTTCATGTTTGGTCGCGTTAGGACTTGCATTTATGTGATGTGGGTTTGAAAAGTAAACAAAAACTTCCCTTTTTTTTTTTTTTTTTTGCGTGGCCTTAAATTTTATTTATTTATTTATTTTCTATTTTTTATTTTTTATTTTTTATTTATATGTGTCCAAAAAATGCTTATATAAACATCACGCGACGTGTACGCGTACTTTTCGTTCCTACCACCGGTGTGCCTCGTCACCGCCAGCCCAGGTCCGCTCAATATACCCGAGCTCTTCCTTGACCCGACGAACTTCCTTGGGATCACCCATATTTTTGCCCATATTGTCGCTTAATTTAATTGCTGGTTTGCCGTTCACCGATGCCAGTTTAATGACAATATTCAGTGGCTCCGATTTCTTACCTGTGCTCGTGTGCACAAAATCATCTATATGGTTAGTACCAATCCAATCCATTCCCAAAACAAAGACTTACTTGTGAAAAACGTCCCGACGCCAAATAATGGAACAAGTCCAGCCTCTTTAGCGGCCGCTGCATATTTCTCGCACTTTGCCACATCCAGACTATCACTATAAATGATGGACTTGGTATTAGGGGCGTACCCTAATTTCTTGTAGTGTGCTGCAATTAGCTTTGTATACTCCAGAGGGTCTCCAGAGTCCTGACGCACACCTTTGTACACATCAGTGTATGGTGGTTTAAAGCTTTTGAGATAATCGTCTGTTCCAAAAGTATCTGTGAGTGCAAATCCTGCTGCTCCATCGCCCATGGTTTTGAGCCAATAGTCCATTGACCGCTGGTTGGCATGCACATAATCCTGGGTATAAGCAGCAATCCCCATCATCCATTCATGAGCCACCGTGCCAATTGGTGCTAGGTTAAACATTTTTGCAAAGAGGACGTTGGAGGTTCCAAGGAGACGCGAATCGCCATTGGCTCCATCAACTAACCCTTCAATCACTAGTTTTTGTGAAAGGAAAGACCGGCGACGGCGGGTGCCAAACTCTGAAAAAACACATCCATGAGCCAAAAGATCGCGGGCCTTATTTGCGGCTTTTTCGCGTTGGCCATCATAAGTCCAGTCAGTGTCAATGTGCTTAAAGTAGCCCTCAGAAACCAGAGCCAAAATAGGGATTTCGTAAAGAATTGTTTCGACCCAAGGTCCACGGACCTCAATGTGTAATCCAATGTCATCGTGATACTCTACAACAACCTGCGAATCCGGGTCTAGCTTGAATGTTTGGAGATACTCAAAGTAGTCTGCAGGAAGATAAGGAACAGCTTTCTTCAGATAGTTGATTTCCTCAGCAGTGAATCGTAGATTTCCAAGGCCTATTGGTTAGCAAGGAATTATCAATTAGAAGTTACTTACTTTTGATTTCCTTATCCAGCCAGGCAACTGCTGCAGGTGTGTATTTCATTTGCGGGGTGCGGTTTGTGTATCGGTATTCAACAACTGTCTGGTCAGCAAAAAAAAAAAAAACAATCCATCCACCAAAACATACCTGCATCTCGAAAGTTTTCATAAACACCGGCCTGCATGGTGATTTTATACAGGTCGGTGTCTAGTAAAGACGTGATAACTGCTTGTTCTTGTTCTTGGGTCATTATAAATAATTTAGTTGAAGTGGTGAAATAATCAACTTTTTTTTTTTTTTGAGGGTGTATATATAAAATTAAAAAAAGATAACGTCACGTGTGTCTATAATAATAATAATAATAAAAAAAAATTACAAATTATTTAATCAGTAAAGGCATACTTGGATTTACCGCGAATGCGGGCTCCTAACTTGTAGAATGCAAATGGGACAGGCGCAAGACCAACAGCAACAAGACCCAGCAAAAGACCGGACCAGTTCAAATGAATACCTTCAAACATATATGTGGCAAATAGAGGGGCAGATGCACCAAATAGAGAACGCAGCAGAGTTACAGATGCAAGGGCCGACGCTGCAAAAAACAGATACGAGTCAACAATGTAATTGATTGAAGGGACCAGAATACCCATAAGTCCATACCCAGTGAAGAGACCTGAAAGTGTAGGTACAATCCAATGACAATGCTCAGCATAATTGGCCGACCAGAAAAACCAAAAGAGACCAATGGGGAATACAAGAGCTGCTAGGAGAACGGGTGCTAGACGCATTTCTGGAGTCGCAAGGCCTTCCTTATCAGCTTTTGTATACTTGGGCTCAAAGTAAAAAACCATAACAATACAGGAAATAAACTCGCCAATTAAAATACCAATATACGGAAGCATAGCCTTTCCCAAAGACCATTTGTACTTGCCCACAAATGTATAAGGATAACTTGACAAACACAGATACAAAATCAAATAAGTGAAGCCATTGTAAATGGCAATCATCAAGATGATGGGCTCGCTAAACAGCATTTTAATGGGACGAGCAATAGTATTTGATACAATTTCGTGCAAGTCAATACGAACATGTTCATGAACAGCGTGTACACCCCAATTGCCTGTGCGCTCACGGATATCTTGGGCCTTGTCAACCAAAATAAGAGGGGCATAAGTTTCTTCAACAAAAAAAACAACAAGAATCAGTGACAGGGCTCCCAAGAACCCAGTCAAATACATTGTCCAACGCCAACCCAAATAAGATTGAACAACAAAACCACCAACAATAGGTGAAACCATTGGACCAGCAAAAACAGCCATTGCAAATATATCAATTGCAATACCACGCGTCACCTTGCCTTCATTGGAAAACATGTCTGCAAAAATAGCGGCAACTAGTGTCAAGGGCGAAGACCCAGACAAACCTGTAAAAAACCGCGTTATAATAATTGTTTGGAGATCCTTTGCAGTAGCGCATGCAAACGAAAAGCAAGTAAACATTAACAAAGAAACAACAATTGGGGGCTTGCGTCCGTAAAGTTCTGAAAGTGGGGACCAAATGATGGGGCCTGAAGCAAACCCAAGAACATAAAGTGAAACACCGAGAGAAGCAACAACTGGTTTAACTTGATAAATTCTGGCAATTTCATTCACAGTAGGAGAAAAAACAGAAGACCCCCAAGCTGAAGTGAACGTCACCAGAGACAGAGAAACTCCAATCACAGCCTTGCGCTTGCTGGACCAATTGAAGGGATGGCGAGCATCTTCGGGACCATCAAAAGCAACACGGTATCTGTCTTGGTCAGGAAGAGATGGAGGGAAAGATCGGCCACCGCCCATATTAGGCATGGGTTTAGATTCGTCAACAGTGCGTTTAGCAAGCACATCGGCAATGGTCTGTTGTTCTTCGACAGTCTGGTAAACAGAAATTGTAGACAACCGACGGCGAATATCAGCACGCGATTCTCTTCTACTGGAATAGTCATAGAATGGTACTGGTGCTTCATGAGGATCAAACGCAGATTCATTGGAGTTGAGGGGACTGATGTCGACCATTTTTTGAGGATTTGTTGTTGCCCCAGCCTCAAGGTCGTGATTCACCAGCGCCTTTTCGTTTTCGTTTACAGAGGCCATTCCTTTTTTTTTTTTTAGTTTGATTTATTTATAATTGATAAAAGTAAACCTTTTTTTTTAAAGGAATTTAGGCTCTTATATATAGTAGTTTTTTTTTATTGCTTTTTTTTTATTCTGGGAGATTACGGTTAAAATTTCTTGTTTGACTTTTTTTTATTTATTTTTTTTATGTTTTTTTGGGGGTCTGTGTTTATAACTCCAAGCTTCCCTACTACTGCTAGACACCGGCCCGGTGAGGGAATCTTGTTTTGATTTTTCAAAGTGGACATCACCAGACGACACTTATAGTCATCTGCAGACTCCATTCCTAGGTCTTCTCATATTTTTTTTCTTTCTTTCTTTTTTTGATCTTTTAAATGATTGATCTATCGCCTTTTCTTAAAATTTCATCCGCTTTTTCTATATAAAAGAATAAAAGATTACAAATTTGTTTAAACCATTAAACAAAAAGAGAAAAAAAAAATTACATCCGTCGTTACACCAAAATGCCCAAAATGCAATAATTCGGTGGTTGGTTAAAGTTTTTTTTAATAAGCTTTTTATACAGACGCTCTACACATTAAAGTAAATATTAGGCAGCCACTTGACGTTGTTGTTGCTGCTGTTGCTGTTGCCCATTTTCAATTTCGCGTGTTCCTTCAGCAATAAAGTCCGAGTATTCAGCACGAATGTCCCTCAGCCAAAGTGCAACTCTAACAAGACCTGTCGAAGAAATAACGTCTCCAAGAATCCATTGTTCAGACTCGCGAAGCCCAGAAAGAACATTAATAAGCATGACATATGTGTCTGAAATAGGGGTTCGATCAGAAAGTCCCTGAGCTTTTAGGTGCTGAATTTTCATGAGTAATGCAGCCGCAGCTAGAATTGTATGTTAGTAAACTTTTCATCTGTTTCTTTATTGTATACTTACCCCCACGCAAATCTTGATGCTCCACGTTCCACGAATACAGAGTGTGGTAAAAGACAAATGCGTCCTTTTGGATGGGTCCACCAGAGATAGCCTCGTCTAGACTTTCTTTGGCCTTTGTTTTAAAGTACTCCGTCACCAGATCCTTCAGTCCAATGAATGGGTATTGTGCCAGGCGGTCAACTTTACCTAATCGTGTTGCTAGAGTACAAATCTTATCAATATATGGCAAAATCAAAGTTTCTGTAGCAAACGGCTGACCGGTTTCATCACTAAACTTGTTGAGCATGTCAATTTCTATCAGCGCAGAGTACGCGTCGTCCAAAGACGCTGCCTCAATTGCAAATTTAAAAAGCGTATTTTGAATCTCCTCGTTAAGAGAGATAACCTCGTCACTTGAAATTCCATCAATGTCGGAAATAGGATCGTACAGATTGGTGCGTGCAAGCTTTGCAAGCTGTAACGCTCTCACAGAGTGCGCACCCCAGAGGCCAAGTGTTTTTGAAGCATCCCCAAAGTAACGAGACAAGCCATTACCAAAAGATGTATCCTTTTTCCATGCGGTAAAAGGAAGTGTTTTGATTACAGCTATCTCTTCACGAGAAAGTTTTCTGGTGCTGAGCTCAATAGCTGCAATTTTAAACTGATCCACAGCCTTTTCTGCTTCATCACTCCTGAGATATACATGTGCGGAAATAAACTTGGAAAAACTGTCTCGAGGAAGATGGCGTGTTGCAAACTCATTGGCAATAATGTCGTTATTTGAAACAAGCAGCTCGGCAATAATTTGGGCCACTGCAGTGGGCTCACAAGTGACATTAAGCCGCGACCACAGAAGCATTAAGACATTGGGGAATGAAGAGCTTGTCAGTAACAGTTCTGACTGCCGTTTCAAAAGCAATTGTTCGAAAAACGTCAGTGGCAGTTGTGCTGATTCTCCAAATGTAATTTGCTTTGTTTCAGATTGCTGTTGTTGTGGTTGTGGCTGCTGCGGCACATGAAGTAATCCATCAATAGCCTCTAAAGAATTTAAAAGGTTAAGGTATTTACTATACATTTGAGTATGTTTGTCGACATCAAACTCCCCTAGTGGTAGGGTAGCAACAAGACCAATTAGTACATCACCAACAATGGTTCTTGCTGTAAAAGAGGCCTCATGAAGAGCCGAAGAAAGAAGAACAGCACCTGAGATGGAAACTCCAACATTGGGAACAGATTTGTGTGCAGGAGCAGGGCTGGTAAGGCACTGATAAATTAACTCAAGATATTGGTAAAACAAATCACCAGTAGCTTCATTAATAGACTGAAACAGCGCTAATAGAGTTTCGCGAGATGCCGCTGCATCAATCAGCGTAGATCTAATATGCGAAATACGCTCAAAGGTAGAAAAGTGGGGACGTCGGTGGAAATCCTCGTTAAAAGTAGTGATAAATGTGCCATAGTGAGAATGTGAAAGTGAAGTGCGATAGGAATAAAGCACATCCACAAGCTTCAATAGCTGTGATGCATGAAGCCCGCTAATGGATTTGAGTTGTTCGGTAATAATGTCCACAAGCTTGTTGCTAGGCTCAGACGTTTTATTATGATAAATGAGTTCCACCGGCAGAGCTGGTCGAAGAATAGTTGTAAAGGAAGCCTTGGTGACCCAAAAAGTGGCAGCTACCGGATCCCATGTCATGGACAGAACTTCATTTCCTAATCGTTCCATCTCGCTGCACAGCCGATCAAACCGCTCCCATTCCTGATCCAGACTATCTTGATATTTTCGGTAATTAGGTTCAGCTTTGGAGTTGTAAGTAATGCTGACAGTGGAGCCAACTGTACGGCACACCCTCTCACGCAGAGGGGAATTCTCTTCAGTCTGAGTTTTGTTTATTGCATAATGCGTGCCGTAAATTTCAAGCGCTGCTTCAATAGTTGCTGGAGAGTATCCACTAGGCCCAAAAAGCCATCTGACATATCCATCGGTGTGTGTTGTGGCTTGTGAGGCTGATGCTTGCAAATATTTCCCATCAACGGGGTCGTCAAGAACAGCCACCTGCCAGGGCCCAGAAACGGGAAGTTGCACTTTGTGAATAGCTGAACTAGTGTTGCTCTTGAGCAAAGTGGTGATTGAAAATACATCTTGTTGTTTGGTGACGTGGAACGAGTTGACGAGCCAGGTCGACGTATCGTCCGGAATCAAGGGCTCAATATGGTACTTTTCGCCCAAGCTGGAAACCGTCAAGGCGATTTCTTCGCCAATAGTGACAATCAATACACTCCAAACCTGTACAGATTCTGGAGTATATGTCAAGAAATAAAACTGGTCATCTTCGTGACTAGGAGCCACAATGCTTAAAATATTGGATGGAGCAGGACCTAAAAGTGGACTGTTTTCGGAGGCCAAAGTTTCTTCGTATAAAAGTTGAGACGTGGAAAGACACCAGACTCTCAGCTTGCTATTGATAGAAACTGTGAGCAGAAAGTCTCCATAAGAAGCTATAGAAATAGCAGTGCGGATGGATATACTAGGATCAGAAGGACATTTGTCGGATTGGCCGCGCCATAATCTCGAAATTGCATTGGAGGTAGGATCAGTGATTATATCCCAGTAAAAATCTTGAAGCGGGGCAGGGCGGTAGACCTTCATTAAAGTGCCATTTTTTAGTGAAATAATCAAAAGATTTGAGCTGATGGCATGAATTAAATGAGGATTCTTTAAATCAAACGGGAAAACTGTTGAAATTTTGTGCCAGTTGGCTGCATTTTTTTCAGTCAGTGAGGTGCCAGCATCAGACATGGACTTTGCTGAATTGAAGACGAATTCTGAAAGAGGAATAGCGACGGTATAATAAGACCAATCTCTCGACACAAAGTCAATGACAATTTTATAAAGAGCATGATTGTAAGAAACAGAGATACAGTTCTCAAATACTGGTGTGGGGGATACGATTTTAATGGTCCGGAAACGGTAGCTTCCTTTATAGTTAAGGTCGACAGGTTCAAATTCAATAACGGTCGCATTTTCAAAGAGTCTCCAAGAAACTGAACGAGGTAAATTAGAATGGCCTTCAGAGTCACAGTGCACAATTGACCCTGCTGTTGCAACGTTTTTGCGATAGTAATTTGTTTCTGTGTTTGTTGCTGAAACACTAACTTGCTGGGTGGTAAGGGCCAGGGAGTCATCACCACCAATAAACTGCTGGGTATTATCTACTTGACGTGTAAGTCTAGCGATCAAAGGAGGAACGACATGAATATCAGCTCCTTTAGAAGAAACCAATGTTTCTCTAAAGGTTTTTGCCATTTTTAAGTAGATTGTTGATGTTGGAAAAAAAAAATTTGGGTGTTGTGAAAAAAATAAAAATAAAAATAAAAATAAAAAAATAAAAATAAACCCCTAACCCTGTGATAAATACTCCTGCATTCTCAAAACTACGCAACTCTATTCATCATGAAGACCAACCTCGCCCTTGGCCTGTGCCTCTGCGCATTTCTCTTATCTCTACTGCGTCCTAGAATGGCCCAATTGTCTCCTGAGGAACTCTATGGAGCCCGGGCAAATGAAATCCTTGCGTCCATCCCGGATTACATGCCTCCAGGAGAAGCAACTGGGCTTGCTATGCCTAAGGAAATTCTTCTTTTTGGCGATTCGTTGTTAGAACTTTCAAGTGACCCACTGCTTACCTTCCCGCTCTCAGCAGCTCTTGTACACACTTTCCGTCGACGAGCCGATGTTGTTTGTCGTGCATTGTCTGGATATACTTCAAGATGGTTATCGCACACACCGTTAGAACGCGTTGAAAAAGAGTTAAACGATAAGGAACTTTTTATGGCAGTATTATTACTTGGAACCAACGATAGTATTTTACCAGGGTTTCCTCATCATGTTCCGGTTGAAGAATTTGAGCGGAACTTGAGAAAGATTTTGGACTCTGTTATAGGGACCATAAAGTCTGAGTCGACTGGTAAGCCATTGATTGTATTAGCAACACCACCGCCTTGTTCTTTAAAACAACTGGCGAATTCCAAAATGTCAGATTCCGGAAAATCGAGATCGAACAAGGCTGTTGAGCAGTATGTTTCTAGCATCCACAAGGTTGCTCAGGAATCGTATTCTGAAGGGCCAGCAATTGTCCAAGTTCTCGATCTTTACAAGATTTTCACTGAGATCTCAAAGTCTTCACCTATCGAAAACTTTTTGTTAGATGGACTGCATTTCAACGGTGAAGGGTACAAGGTTCTTTACGTGGAGATTATGGATATTGTTAAAAAACTAGGCTCGCAGCTGCGGCCAATTCCCATGGTAGAGCCCCATTTTTCAGCTCTTATTTGAAGGTAGATTATAAAATCCGTTTCAATCGTTCAACAGTTAATCGTAGTTACGTAATTAATAATCTTAAATATTCTCTTGTAAGACATAAATTGCTAGATGACGTGAATCCAAGGCCAATTCCCAGCTATTTTTTTTAATGACAATATACTTGCTATTTTATATAGATATGTATTAGTTTACTTAAAATAGGGATACTGGTAAACAGGTTTTTCACACGACATTATAACCCAGCCTTCATTAGTAAAACGAGATATGACATTAGCCTCGGTAGTCCACGAGCTACCAATTGTGATTCGGTCGACAAGATGAGAGACAATAAAGGGAGCACGCGACTTTTGGCCACAAATCTCAAAGTCAAGCATTAGAATTCCAATAAAATCCGGGAGCTCCCCTACATAATGGTCCCATACTCCGGGGTGTAATTTTTCAATGTGGGATCCGGGTATGACCATAATAAACTTGCGAGCATTCATGCGATCTACTAGGCCTAGATGGATGAAGTTGTAAGGAGTCACTTCAGCATAGTATCCCTTGAAGGTAAATCCGGCATGGTTTTTCTTTTTCTCTGGCTTGGAATCTTCATCGTCACTGTAGCTTTCGTTCGATACGCTTAGGTCGAACTGTGATTTCGGGAAAAAGATTTTAAAATGGTATTCAAGTTCTATTGGTGACGCACCACGAGCTCTGAGTACTTCTGCGTCATGTTTTGACAGGTCTGATTCGAAAGGGGTTGCGCGTGGGACTTTAAATGTTTCTTTGTTTTGGGTCAATACTAATACTGTTTCCATTTTTGAGATTTGAGGATTGAGTTCTTTATTTCTCTTTCTCAGCCGAGCTTTTCGCCGGCGAACTGTGCGAGATATGCGTGGCTTTTTTTCATCATCTGACGGTTCGATTTCTAAATCAAAGATAATAGATGTTGTAGATCTTGACGGTGGTTGGTACCGACATTTTAATGGTTGAAGGTTGTGCATTTGGTGGTGGAGAAAAAAAAAAGGGTTGAGTTGGTTTGCGATTTTAAACTTAAATCATCATCTCAACTTATATCCAGCATTGCATTTTAATTTAAATAATAACTTTCAACTGACAAGGTTAAAAAAAAATGAATAAATATTTTTTAAAAATACGTAAAAATAACTATTTTTTTATTTTAAAAATTGTTATAAAAATCGCCATAGATGTCTATATAGATATAAATATTTTCTATTTTGTTGGCATACGAAGCAAGACTCCAGCTGTAAAAAAAAAAAAATTATAGTGTAACACCGAGTATTTTCTTAGCAGTGGAAAACATCCGTTAACTTGATTATTGAAATGGTAGTAAAAATTTGTTCAAAATTGGCCCATGAATGTCGAATATAGTCGATTATAATTGATTTTAAAAAGTATCACTGAAATCCATTTAGAAGTCCACTTTAATCCTAATATTTTTTTTTTTTTGCTTGTATATAACTTTTCGTTTTCACAATAAAATTTTAATTTGACTTCAACGTTAACACATTCAACCGTCTCCAAAATAATTTATGAAGTTAACTTACTAAAGCCAGAAAACCGAATACTTAACAAATTTAACTTTTTAAGTCAAAAATTTTACGATACACTGCAGATTTTTTGAGTACAGGAACTTATTGTAAAACCCATTTTTAGTGGCTTTCACGTGACTGACTCCGTGGCCAAGCTGGTGACAAGCGGTTTTGGCGCTCGTCGCTTCGCTCCTCGCGGACCCGCAAAAAGTAGAATTAGAAATTTTAAACGGGTAGCAAGAAAAGTTAGATATTACGTCTAAAATATTAAGTATATAGCACTGTTTATAAAGTAGATTATGAAGTTAAAAGATGTAAAAAACAAAATAGCTTGGTATTTACGATATTTCAAAAGGTAAAATTTCTTTGGATTAGAATATTCATGGTTAAGTTGTCAAAGTTGTCAAAGTTGTCAAAGTTGTCAATATTTTTAATATGATTTAAGGTGATATAAGCGTGGAGTTGAAATATTTTGTATTTTGAAATTTTCATAATATGAAAGACATTTAAAACAATTATTGTTGTAACTACATTTATTATTAAATAAGAATATATATCCTTTTTGATGTTTGTTTTTTACTTTTTAATCTTATTATATTTATCTGACGGTTATTAATATATATATTATTAATATTTTGGTCAAATTCAAATGGTTGAAATTGAATGGTAGAATAATTTATTGATGAATCAAAGAAAAATGAATTGATAAAGTTTTTATCGAAACCCTAACCCTGATGTAAATTTTGCGATTCCTTAATGTTTTCAATCTTGTCAGAAATTAATAAGATGAATAGAATAGTATAGGTTTTTTTATTTTTTTTTTATTTATATTTTTAATTTTGCACAAAATATTTGCATATAATATGGACAGATCTTGGAAATGAATTATGTTGTGCTTTAAAAATTTCAGAGATTTCAGAAATTTCAAAAATTTCAAAAATTGAAAAACATTCAAGATAATTCGTGGTAATTATTTATCACCGAATAAAAAATATATATCTTTTTAAAGGTTTACTTTTCATTTTGAAATAATGTTACAGATACTTGATGATAATTAATGTAGAAATTATTAATAGTTTCATCAGTTTTGACATGGTTTAAATAAAGTAATTCCATAATTTATTGATGAATCAAGAAAAATGAATTGATTGAGTTTTCATCAAAAACTTTAACATTGATACCAATTTTGCAATTCTCTAATGTTTTTAATCAATTTTATCACAATATAATTAAATGGGCAGGTAGGGTAACTCCCTGACTTTTATTTTTTTTTTTATTTTTTTTTTTTTCAATTCTGATTTAATTTTTTATTTTTATTTTCATTTTCAATTCTGATTTAATTTTTCATTTACATTTTCATTTTCATTTAAGATTTTTTGATTTTTTGATTTTTTAGTAAACATAAAATAAATGGATATATAATTTGTGTTGATATTTTCATTTTTATAAACTGTTTGATTTAATGTATATACATTCCTAATTAGTATATTTGCGGCTTTTATTTGTTTTTGTTTTTGGATTTTTTTTATTTATAAATTGAATACCATTTTATATTTAATTGATAAATTCAAAAACAATGATAATATAGATTTTGATATATGGATATATATATATATTTTCTAAGGGTGTGATAATTTTTGTTTATGGATAATCTAGTTTTGACAAATTGATGATTTCAATGTAAAGAATATAAAAGAATAATTAGAGCATGTGATTTTATATGTGGGGTGACTTTTTTTTTTTTTAAAAAAAAAAAAATTGTCGAACAGGAAAATATCACCTGGGTGAAGTCGTTTTTTTTTTTCCAAAAAAGTGAGACTTGATGGCCAAGTTTATAGAAGGCGCACGACTGTTAATCGTGAGATCGTGAGTTCAATCCTCACCGGGGTCGATTAAAACATTACTTTTTAAATCATTTATTTGATAATTTTTTTTTAATTTTTCATTGAAACTTCAGTTGATAATAAAAAATTTTTTTTTTTTTTTTCTTTCTTCTTTCATAGTAATAGTCCCAAATGCCTGATCCACCACAATTGCCAGGATTTTACTATGGTAAGTTTAAGATTAATATTTTTTTTTTTACTAAAGAACCAGAATCTTACATAGAATAGACCCAGAGAAAAAACGATACTTCCCAATAACAAAGGCTCCGCATGCCAACCCCAATGCGCAAACAAGTACTTACTACAGTCAGCCCAAAGCGCAGTCTTCAAAAAGTAAAAAGAATAAGCCTGTAACAACACAAGTAGGTCTAGACAAAGTTCATGAACCCAATTCGTCGGTGGTATGTACGTTTATGGAGAAATACACAGTCAGCGCACGCCCCGTGTGGATCCAAAAAGTGGACATGCGAACAGCATTGATGGCTGAAAGCATACGACTTGCAAAAGCAGGACGTTGGAACAATTTGACAGTGCAAAAGTTTTGCTATAGTCGGGCTCAGCATAATGTAATTTATGCGGGTTCCGGGTATTTGGCGACCACTGGAGAAAACCAGAGTGTTTTTGATGAGGACGATTTTCGATACGACAGTGATACTAATATAGAACGTGTCAGGTTTCTTAAAGTTCGTCCTACAAACGAGATTATGTGAGTCTTTTTTTTTTTATTACGATAATTAATGAAACTAATAAAACAGACTAATGGGAGATGATGGTGATGGAAAATGTCATTTAAAAATGAGTGTGGATAAAGAGACATGTTTGGACATCCCCGTCGATAAGCGGATATCTCGTGCAGATCATTTGGTCTGTGGATTAGAAAGTCAAGTATTTGCAAGTTCTGAGGAGATTTCGAGTTACTCATACGACTTAAAATTTAAAACACATTTAAAAGTTTCTACAGGAGTCCAGGCCTTAAGTTGGGGAAATAATCTTAGTGAAAAGACGGTTTATTTTGGACTTCGAAACGGCAAGGTTTTGCTGTGGGACATGCGTTCCCGTGGGGCTGCACAAAATGTGATTCATTCTACGGGACCAATCACACATCTGAGTAGCACCCGTTCGTGGGGGTTACTTGTTTGCAGCTTAAAAAGCCTTAATATGTATGACCTACGTGCAACTGGCCAGCCACTGGTTCGGTATTCTGGGTATAATAATGAGTACGATATGGGGCATGGGTTTAATGTAGACTCACGACTTGGGCTTGTGGCGGTGGCTAATGGGCGGAGTCTGGAGGGGGCCATTGTAAATGTTTACGACATTGAGAGCGGGAGTGTGCTGAGTAAATGGAACGATAAGAATTTATTCAAGGAAGAGGAGCCGTCGAAAAAGTACGACAAGCGTCTATGGAGATATGCCTCGGAGGTGAAATTAGTGGATGGAACCTTAGTTGTTGGTGTTGATAATGAGGCGTCGCAGAAGGTGATTGAAAGTGTTGGTGGACGGCTTAGGATTTAGCAATTTCACGGTCCAGGAAAGTTTCCGAGAAGTGTGAGAGCTGGCGGAAGTTTGTTTCGAAACCATCGACGCCGCCGTAGTAAGGGTCGCTGACAATGACGTTGAATTGGGTGTCTTCACGGTACTCGCCAAAGAGGAGGACTTTTGCGCGAGAGTTTTTAGGCTGGATTCGGGAAAGGTTACGAAGATTCTCGCGGTCCATGGCAAGAATGTAATCGAACTGAGAGAAGTGAGCAGACTTGATTTGCTGGGCTGCGTGGGAAACTGGGACACCATTCTTACGGCACACCTGGGTGGAGCGGTAATCCGGGTCCTCGCCAACGTGGTAAGCTGCAGTACCGAAGGAGGTGATGGTGTCGAACTGGTCGTCAAGATTGCGGGTCTTGACGGTATGCTTAAAGACGGCTTCAGCCATGGGAGAGCGACAGATATTGCCGAGGCAAACAAAGGCAACTGAGATTTGGTCAGACATTTAGATGATGATGATGATGAAAAAGAAGAATAAGAACAAGAATAAAAACAAGTTGGAAGGTTTACTATGAAAAAGGGGGAGGTAGAAGATAAATGAGAAGAAGGGAGAGAGGACCTTTATATTTACAAGACAAAAAACTTTTACAAAACTCAGATATATATATATACACAACATTCAAATTAAAACCGCTTCTGTTTAATTTCAGTCTCAAGCTCACCAACGTCGTGCTTGGTGGAGCCACGAACATAGTAGAGCTTAGCTCTGCGCTTGGGCTTCATAGGTCTGCGGACAATCTCGATAGAGCGGATGGTTGGTGAATAGACCATATATCTAGACTCAACACCAAGACCAGTAATTTTGTTTCTGAGAAGGAAGCTTGAGGCGAGTCCGTTACGCTTAATGGCAATAACCATACCACTAAAATGGGTTTTATCGTTTTTCAGCACACGCACAATGTCACCGGGCCGCAGACAAGTATCGGGCTTGGTACGGTCAATCAGAGCAGATCTCCAGCCGGCAGGGTCATGCTTGTAGATGAGCGACTTTTCAACAGCCCCAGTAAGATTGGTCTTGAGGGGGGATCCTGGGGTCTTTTTGGGCAGAGGAGCATAGACTTTGATTGTTTTAAATTGTTTGGTGGAAATCTGATAGGATCGTGAAAGTATGGGAGTAATGGGCTTAAGGGTTGCAGCACGGGCAAAGGCCACTGCCGGATGGGCTCTTGCGATGGCTCTGAACATTGTTGGTTTACTGGTTTGCTGGTTGGCTGGAAGGTTTGGGAAGTTTGGAAGGTTGAAAAAAATAAAAAAAAAAAGTTTTTGGCGGTGGTGGAAAAAAAAAAAAAAAAAAATTTAAATACATATCATGTGACATACACGTGACAATATTTTGAATTTTTATTTTTATTTTCTATTTTTTTTTAATAATTTTGTAAATTTGTAAATTGTAAATTAAATTCAAAAAAAAAAAACATCCCAAAGTGATTTTCATCACATTAAGAAAAAAAAGTAGCAACAATTATCAAACCAAATTCAAACTAAACAATGGCAGATCTCGCTCGATTACCCCGGTCAGAACTGACACCACAAGACCTTGCACGTCTGGAAGAATACGAGTTTAATAATGGTCCGTTGTCGGTACTTCAAAGTGCGGTACAGGACCACTCACCGGTACTCATTTCGTGCCGCAACAACAAAAAACTACTTGCACGCGTTAAGGCCTTTGATCGACATTCCAACATGGTTTTGGAGAATGTTAAAGAGGTAAGTAAAAAAAGATATACATACATATATTTATTTATTTATTTTTTTTTTTTCATTAGACTAACAAGGAATCTAGATGTGGACAGAAACTGTGAAAGGCCCTAGCGGCGGGAAACCAAAAACTGTGAACCGGGACCGGTTCATTAGCAAAATGTTTCTGCGTGGTGATTCCGTCATTCTGGTCCTGAAAAGTACTTAAGTATTTTTTTGAACATCTCATATATATATAAAATAAAATAAAATCAAAACTTGTCGTCATTACATCTCCCATACTCGCTGTGTACTGTAATCCTCGTTCTGTTGTAGCCGCGAAGGCTCACCAGACGCCACCTCGTCAATCTCAGGGCCAGGATCCCGGGTATTTCCAAAGTACACTGGTTTGATAAGTGGCCGTGACCTTTTCTTATTATCCTTGCCAGCATCTGGATCAGCCACGTACTCTGGATCCTTTTCAAAGTCGATTGGCTGTATTGGAGTTTGCCCCAGATCTTCTTTCCCAAAATTATCATCATCATCATCATAATCTTCTGGGTCATCCTTACTTTCCTCCACAATCACCTTATTCCCCCGTAAACTGATCGAAACTACCTGCCGACCCCGCCCATTCTCTCGTGCTTGCTGCTGCTGTACTCGCCGCAGTGACTTGGCCTGTGCGCGTGCCTGCGCAGCTTGTTCTTCTGGCGACGCCCATTGCGACACTGGAGCATGATCACTGACTTGGTCAATGATCTGAGTGCGTAACGCACTGCTTCGCTGGTAGCTCAGTAGTCTTGTCAGTGTACTATTTGCACGCGAATAGTCCTCATCTGTATCTGCGCTAGCATATTTGCTGAGTGGCTGCTGGCATGAAGGACAGAACCCGGTAGTGTTGCGTACGCACAAGACAAACCCGCAATTTAAACAGTTGGGCATTTGAAGGTCCAGTGGGTGGATCCGTGCATTGCACCGACAATTAGTTGGTTTCGGAGGCTCTACTGGTTCCTTTTTAACAATAGTCTTTTTCTGGCGCTTGGGCACGAGGATTTTCTTTTGTAGCATTTGAAGGGGATTGTTGGTAAACGTAACTTTTCAAGATTCTGGTGGTTTTCAATTTTAATTTTTTTTTTTTAAAACCTACACAACATATAATTTAATTTACAAGCCATACTACTACTACTTTTATAGTACCACCACTACCCCTCCCCCTATTACTCATACTGATTCACCCAGATTTACATCGTCAGGACTGTAGTAATCCAACACCAACCGGTACACAAAACTCGGTGCATATCCGCCCAAATTGCTCACCACAATATCCACATGCTCTGGAGGAACGTAGTCATATACAGGATTAACTGCATCCACACGGTCCACCATTTCTCCATCCTCAAAGTCAACCACTTTGCCTGAATCGCCAACCTCAATCAAACTCTCCACATCAAATGGGTACAATGGAGATAGCTTGTACAGTCCTGTGACAGCCAACACTGGCGCACGGTATTGTCGAGCACATTCGCATACATTGGCCACACCTGCAGATACAACGCAGCCGCCGTTGGCCAGCACGGCGCGGGTGCCCACAATGACCTTACCGACACGGGACATGAGTGCAAAGACCATTGTATCTGGAACAACTGCAGTTTCGATACCAGCCTTGGCGAGTTTCCCGGCAAACACGTGGGCCTCGGAAGTGCTGTTAGGGTAGCTTTCGGTGACAATGACTGCAAAGTTACGTTTTTTCTGGGCGCGCAGCAAGAACTTAAGTACGGTCCGCGAGTCGGGTGTTGCGGCTAGAATGATTTCATTTTCGTGAATCATATCCAACGAAAACCCGGAAACAGCCTCCTCGACATTGGTAATTTCATCAATGAGTTCTTGGATCCCCTCAATGATCTCAGCCTTGTAATTCTTTCCTCTTTTCGATGTAGTCTGGGCCGCTGCAAAAGTTTCACTCCGATTGCTTTCTGATAACAGTTCAAACATGCTACTGGATGGCGGTAAGTTATATTCGGGTTTAAGTTGTTGCTGTTGCTGTTGCTGTTGTTTTTGATCACTTGTGTTATTGTTACTAGGCGATTCGTAGGCTTCTCTGATAATGGCCAGAACTCGTCGCACAATGTTGCCACAGACCAGTTCTTGGGGTTGTGCGGCCTCCAGACGGAGACCGAGCGCTTTGACGTCACGTAAAAGTGTGTCGACTTTAGTCCATTTGTTTGCTGAGATAAAACGCAGCAGAAGGTTTGCAGTGTCGATAGCCACGTTATTTGCACCAGACAGTTCTCTTCGTTTGAGCTGCTGGATAAATGCCGAGATTTGGACGGAGATATCGCCGCTTTTCTGAGCAGCTTGCTGTGAAAACATTGGTGATAGTGATAGTGATGGTTGTGAAGGTGGTGGTAAAGGCTTTGGACTTGTTTTGGTTGTTTTCAAAATAAAAAAAAAATTTTTACCCGCCAAAAAAAAAAAAAAAAAAAAAAAAACACCACCACCACCAAAAAAATTTCACCATTTCAGCCACCCAACCATATATTTTAATAGTAATCATCATCATCATCATCCCCACCACCACCACCACCACTACCACTACCAACAATAACAATAACAATAACAACAACACCATCATGTCGATTGGAGTTCACAACATCGCTGTAAGCGAAATTACCCCTGAATGGGTCAATTTGTCGCTACTAGGAAGAGTCTTGGCGTATGACTGGTCTAAAGAAGGCTACATTTTCGCTTCCATTTTTGCGTTTGTGTTTCTACACTACTTTTTCCTGCGTCGGAATCAAGCCAAGGTGGCCAAATGGGTTGCAAGTCACAGACCCGTTCTAACTAAAGAGTTTTATCAGGTTGGCGTATCACCTAACCCAAAGGATCCACTTGTTGCTCCATACTCACCTACCCTTTACTCAACTTACGCTACAGGCCGCGTCGGAATTGATGCTGTCAAGATTGAGTTTGGACTCAAGGGAAGACATAACCCAATCACTTTGTCTTTGGAGTATCTCCTTGACTTGTTTTTTGGCCACAAGGTCACTGATGATTATGTTAATGTTACCATTGTCCCCAGCTCTACCTCTGCAGCCCCCATCCATCCTTGTGTTTTTGCTGTGATTAACAAGGAGGACATGAAGGAGGTTCGTGAAGAAAACTATTACTTGTCGATTACCAAGACTTCTGACTCTCCCAAACTTCCCAATACCTTTGTTTTTATGTCTGAGAGTGCAGAGTTGACTGATAACCTGTTTTCCACTGAATTGTCTGATGCCATTAAGAACTCTTCTGCTTTCCTTAAGTTTTTTGCTTTAGCTGATCTTCAAAAGGAGTCACCTAAGAAGCTTGAAGATCTTGTTTCTCACCCACGCGTTATTCTTTCATTCCGATTCCCTAAGACTGAGGCTGAGTATACTGCTTCTTCTGTTCTTTTACAGGCTGCCATTGACTTTGTGGACTCTGCTCCTGCAAAATCATTTGTGCGTCCAGAGGTTGCTAAGAAAATTAAGGCCACTCGTGACTCGGAAACCCGCAAGATTGTTAAAGCTTTGGATGAAGCTAAAGCTGAAGAAATTGCTAAAAAGAAGGCTGAGGAAAAGAGAAACCAGAGAAACGCCATTTCAAAAATGTCACCTGCTGAGCAAAAGAAGTATGAGCAGCGTGAGCGTGATAAGGAAATGCGCAAGCTTCGCAGCAAGAACGCACGTAGAATTTAGAGAATGGGAACGGTTTTGTATATATATAATTCAGAAAATGTTTTCAAAAAAAAAAAAAAAAGAACAATCCTTTATCTAAAAACAAAAATAAAACTGAAAAAGGAACTTGAAGCCATAAATTAATTATCTGCTCATAAAATAATTATTAACTGCTCGTAAAAAAAAAAAAAAAAAAGGCTATTATTTGAGAGGCGCAGTTTGTTATTTTTATTTTATTTGAAAATCCGGGGGTGAGAGCCGTTTTTGATGATACCATGATAAGAAATTTTTTTTTTTTTTTATTCCACCTAAATAGTTTAAATATAAATATGAGCTTGAACGGCTTTTATTAAAACTTTAAGTTGAATATTTTTCAATTTAAACAAAACTTTTTTTTTTTTTTTTCAATCAGTTAGAAAGAACTCTACTACTACTACTACTACTACTACTACTACTACTCCTTACTCAATTTCACCATGGACATTAATCAAATGATGACCCAGCAGAATATCCAACTGCAACTACAACAACAACAACAACAGCAAATTATTAACCAAAATATCTTACAAAATAACCAAATGATGGCCGCCCAGCGCCGAAGAAGACAGCGCTTGCAGAATCAAAATGCTGGTGACAATGATGATGATGATGATAGCCTTTGTGGGGGATTATTTGCTTCCTGTTTTAAGTAATTAATCCAACTCTAAGCTCTAATTGATTTTGTTTTTTCTTCTTCCCCCTCCCTCTTTCTTCCACTTCCTTCTAGTGGACAGCTATATAAATGGTTATTCTACTTGGCTTTCTTGTTTCTACACATATAGACTTATTTAGATAAATGTTTCTTCTTCTTCTTCTTCTTCTTCTTCTTCTTCTTCTTCTTCTTCTTCTTCTAAAAAATGCACACTTTGTTAATCTCCTACCTTCATCATGCTTCAAACCATTGCTTCACATCCTCATAAAGATCTGTACCTATGGCTTGATCAAGAAACGAGGTCGGATTAGGCAACTGCGAAAACATATCAAGAAACTGGTCAGTGTTGCCTGCAGTTGTAACTGTTGTAGGTGTTGCTGTACTAGACGAGTCTTCAATGTACGGGTATTCAAAAGGCTCAAATGTAGCAGGAGGAGGTGGCGGCAGTTCATTCTGCTGTTGTAATGGCTGAGAAGGAAGCTGCTGTTGTTGTTGCAGTTGTTGTTGTGGCTGCTGCTGCTGCTGCTGCTGCAGCGGAGCAATTGTTTGTTGCTGTTGAACTGATTGTTGAACAGGCTGCTCATGAGAAACAGAACCGTTATAACTCAATTCATCCTTTTTCACCACATTTGCATCACCATTCTCAGATCGCTCACTCTGCTGCTCTTTATTATGATTCGACTGCATTAATGACTCCTCTTGACCTTCTCGTTCCAACCGTTTAAACACTGACTGTCCCATCTTACCCATGGCTGCGGCAACCCACCACCGATCTGACATAGACTCCAGAAGCTTTGCACTGTCCATCCAAGTGTATCCGTATTGCAAATCCACCTGCGGGTATGTTCTTAAGAAAATGGTTAGCGTAAGAGACACGCAGTAAGGAACAAGGGGTAGTGGTGGTAGAGTGCCAGACATAGTATTAATGATGCGAAGAATTTTCCCCGTTGCTTCCAGTAAAATCCGGTTGGTCACTTCACTAGGCAGTTCCGGCACTCCCGTGGGCCTTTGCTGTTGTTGCTGTTGTTTGTTGTTGCTGTTGTTGCTGTTGTTGCTGTTGTTGCTGTTGTTGCTGTTGTTGCTGTTGTTGCTGTTGTTGCTGCTGTTGTTGTGGTTGATGTTGTTGGTTCATTGAGATGGTGCCTTGTAAAATGTGCCCATGGTCTGGTGGACTCTTGTCTTCAATACGAGACTCATCTGTACTTCTCTTGTGAGCTAAAATGATGGCAGTGTATTGGATCAAAGCAAGTACGGCCGATACCGGATCTTTAACTTCGATATCGGGGACTTGTTCGCCAAAAATAGCTGCAGAAACACGGCTTAAAATAGGGTTTGGACGGTAAAGGTAAATGACTCGTTCAAGATTTTTACACTGTTCAATGAGTTGGGCGAGAACAGGGTGCTGAGCTGAAGTAGTGTACTTGACAGAAACATCTTCTAAGTTGATGATGAGTGGACGTGCATTGACACAGGCACTGATACGGTCCAAACACCAAACAGACCACCAAATATTGCGTAGCTCGTCTTGGTCGGCAAAGGGCCGGTTGTGATGGAGTCCAAGGGACTGTGCGTAGTGAACAGATTTTTGCAAGTCACTACAACTATTTTCCAAGCCATCTGGGCCTTCTGAATGAAGACTAAGAAGAGCGTAGACTCTGACAAGGGTTAATCTATCTTGTTCGACTTCTGCAAATAAAAGAGCACGAATTTTTTCTGCAGTGATTGCACAAAACTCGCGCACAGTTTGTTGGCCTAGAAATGGGCATGCGCTTGGATGGCGGGCTGCGACAAGAAGAACAGCGTGGAGAAGTAAAGTAGGGGCCTGTCCAATGGAGTGGAGTTTGAGGAATTGATCCTTGTCAAGGACTGGAAGAATAGGGTGAATTGATTGGCAGTAGATGGAGATGAGGGCATCTCTATTTGGGCGCAGGGGCATGAGGTATGCTTCGATGGAGTTGAGGTAGTATTGGAGTGCATGGTTGATTTTCTGGCCATCCAGGGCACTTTTGACCCAAATGCCGATGGATTCTGATTGAGGTGGTTGCAGTATTTTGGGAGGATGTGATGGTTGGTTATATTGACCGTTTGAATAGTACGAAGGAGCTGTTTGTGGTATTCCCAGAGGCTGTTGTTGTTGTTGTTGTTGCTGTTGTTGTTGTTGTTGCTGTTGTGGATGAATATGTTGTTGTTGTTGTTGTGGTTGTGGTTGTGGTTGTGGTTGTTGATGATGTTGATGTTGATGTTGATGTTGATGATTTAAAGAAGCAGTTACTGGAGGTTGGTTTGAAGCAGCTGGAGGTTGAGCAGATGATGATGGTTTTTGTGCTTGATGTAGCTGTGATTTGGGTGGATTTACAATTGGTGTGTTGGTTGATTTAAATTTGACTGTGGTTGGTGTTCCGGGCCGAGAAGCCGGAACCGTAGTAGTAGTAGGTTTTTTATTAATATTATTGTTTGTATTGTCTGCTGATGGATTGGCCGATGATGATGATGCTTCAGAATCTTCTCCATTGACTTTGCTAGGGAAACTTCCTCTTGGAACAATGAAATCTGGAGCTAAACTACAGACAATATTTGCACGTTCACAGGGAGCACAACGGGTGCTTCCATATGGGAAACTACATCTTTTCTAAAGTTGATAATATGAAGGTTCAAATAGACTTGAGGTTAGTTTAAGTTTTAATTATATTAGAAATGTAAATATATATATATATATTTTTTTTTGGGGAGAAGGAAAACATACCCTTCGCCGGTTACATTGCTGACAAGCTTTATGAATCCTCTTGCGTTTACGATAACCGTCGTCGTTAGCTGGGAAGACGTACATTTTAGTATTGACTATGGTGATAGTTTTGATGGTTGTTTTGATTTTAGTGGTGGTGGTGGTGGTGGTGGTGATGATAAGTTTTTTTTTTTTTTTTTTTTTTTTAAAAGACTTTTCTGAAATGCTTTTTCAAGTGTTATTTTTGGCGATTTGTTTGGCGATTTTTTTTTTTTTTTTTTAAAAAAAAAAAAAAAAACCAAAAAAGTGGAATTGATCATGTGATTTAGCATGTGATTATAACACGTGATTATAACGTGACTATTAATAAGTAACATGATAAACACGTGATATTTAATTTTAGTGTTTATTTTATTTTAATAGATTTCTTTCCCTCCCTTCTCCTTCCCCCACCCACACAACTTAATTTAGCATAACATTTTTTTTTTTTTTTCTTCTAAAAGACTTTAATGTACACCTCCTTTGGAAAAACATCACCAACTTGACAAAAAAAAACCCCCCCCCCCCTCCAAATAAAACAAATTAAACAAACAATGCCAGAAAATCATCTGGAAGAAGAAGAAGACAATATTTCAGTCCAGCAAAATGGTCATCATTATGCTATTTTATCAACAGTTCCTGATGTTCAAAAATATCAAAGTGCAACTCCATCATCACCCTCAATAACCCCAGTCACTTCACAAAAACAACAACAACAACAATCAGTTTCTTCATCTCCAAATACCCCTCAAAACACTCAGAATAACAACCAACAACAACAACAACAACAACAACAATCTTTAAGCCCTAAAGCACCAACAACTGCTCTTTCTCCTTTGGAACTTTTGGAACAACGATCTAGACGACTTGCTAACCGGTTTGGCAAAAAACCTAATGATGATATTCAACAAGCAGCTCCAAATAATGATCATCATCAACAACATCAACATCCACAACAACAACAAACCTCATCATCATCATCATTACCAAAATCAACTCAAGACTCAACCTTATCTTCAGATAATATCCCTACTACACGTCGGGGAAGAATCGCTCGTAAAGCTTCCACAGCATCTATCACTTCCATTGCATCTCTTGGGTCCATTCTAGGGTCTTTCCGTCTATCATCTCTTTCGATTGATGATTCTGTGGACCTGACTCCTACAACTTCAGCTGCTTCCTTTTATCCCAACCAACAACAACAACAACAACATCATCATCAACATCATCAACAATATTCCAGCCAAGTTCCAACTTTGACTGTTTCTCAATCACAAGCAATTCCAGCAACTTTCTCAACTCCAAATCAATCCTCTCAGTCACTTGGTGGTGGTGGTGGTTCCAGGCGAGGCAACAATAATAATAATAATAATAATAATAATAATAGTAATCTTCATCACTACCCTACGTCACCAGGCTTCGTTCCACTTTCGTCAAAATCCTCCATCTCAACTACACTTTCTTCCACTTCTAGAACATTGCATTCCCCACCAGCTCTACCCGTTTCCCCTCCAGCTGAACCCGAACATCACCCGGTCTTGATTTCTTCGGGCTCCCACGGGTCTCTAAACTCTATCAATGAAAATAACAATAATATTAACAATAATATCAACACCAACATAAATGCATCATCATCATATTCATCTCTGGCTCACTCTCCAAAACTTAAAGCATTGCCTGCCCCCCGTGCAAAACTTCCAGCATTCCCACCAACAACCCCGGCCTCTATCGGTCTCCATCCTCGCACAGCTAACCAGCGTTCATTCTCAGGCTCATCATTATCTTCAATTGCATCTGGTAAACAAATAACAGCAACACCAACGGCATCAACCACAACATCAACATCAACAGCAACAGCAACTGCAACTGCACCATCAGCATCAACATCAATTACAACTACCAGTACCCATTCACGTACCCCATCCAGCAGTCACAACCATCTACCCAGCCACCAGTTGAGCGAGTTTGAGCTTCTTAAAGAAAAACGAATAAATAATACACTAACCCTCGAAGACCATGTTGCCCTGGGAATTTATTTCCATGAAGAAGGGAACCTACGAGAGTCCTCGTACCACTGGCAACATGCTGCATTCCAAGGAGAAACTACCGCGATGCTTCTCTATGGTCTTGCACTACGTCATGGCTGGGGGATCCGCAAAAACCCGGAAAGTGCTGTGGAGTGGCTATTACGTGCCATCAAGCCCATTCTACATGAGTACAAGCTCGAAGACATACTACAAAACCAAAACTCCACAGAACGGTTCCAAGCATTTTTAAGCTCGTCAAACGATACCAGTACTCAGACTGGAGGCAAAATTAAAAAGACCCATGTATCACTAGCATTTTACGAGCTAGGTATGTGTTATCTTAATGCATGGGGGATCGACAAGGATGAGGATCTGGCTTTGCGATGTTTCGAGCTAGCTGGGTCGCTGGGCGATCCTGATGCACTTTCAGAGGCTGCACGCATGTGGATGCATAATGGTCCAAAGGGCCGTAAAAAGGACTACATGCGAGCTGCAAAATTGTACCGCTTGGCCGAGAAAAATGGAGCAAATGTCGTTTCCAATAGCTGGATCTACAAGGACAAATATATGGATCCAGATGAGGACGAGGAAAATTTAAAAAAATCCGACAAGGACCGGCGCCGGTCGGGGATTCTAAAGAAAATGAAAAAGTAAGAAGAGAGGCATCAAATCCCAAATCAATCGAACAAATAATCAAACAAAAAAACACACATGTAGTCTTAGAAGAATAGAAAAAATTGCTTTTTTTTTTTTTTTTTTTTTTTTTATTCATGTGCTTTTTTAAGTATTACAACAGTTCTTGAAACCGTGGCCGAGATAATACAGTAGGCCTTGGTGGAGGGAGTTTAAGTGATGGAAGAAGAGGTTTTTGTGGGTCTAAAGATGGTGAAGAATGATGAGATGAGCTAGTTTGTTTTTGATGTTGTTGCTGTTGCTGCTGCTGCTGCTGCTGCTGCTGCTGTTGTTGTTGTTGATGATGATGATTTTCCTGTTGGTCATTTTGTTTCTGTTCAGTTTGTTGGTATCGTACAATTTGCTGGTTCGGGTGATGTGACGTCACAGTTCGGGTCGTCGGATAATACAGCTCCAGATCAATGCGCCGTGTCGTATATATTCGCTCGAGGTCTGCATCCGACTCCACAATGCGTCCAGTGTTAAGGTCTCGGATCTTAAGCACTTTATCGTCGGCCACAATTTTAAACGCTGCTCGTCCATTTTCCAAAATCTCAGTCACAGTTGGTGGGGTCGATGTTGTTGGCGAGTATGTAAAATCTAATTTTTGAGTAAAAAACCGAAGCGTCACGGGGACAATCCGTGGAACTGAGTCGCCCAGCGACACACTACACAAGCTGCCAGAAGCACTGGGAACAGGCGAAGGCAAAGATGTGACTGGAGGAAGACGAACTTGTTGATGATCCCGCGATTGAGTAGCAGCACAAGATAAGGCAGTGGCAGCGCTCAGCGCATCAATGGCCTCAGCAAACACCGTTGTGAAGAGAGATACGACCCAGTCGAATCCCCTATCAAGCGCGCATAGAGCGGTCTTGATGCACAGCGTTGGAATTACCATGTGTTCTGCGGCAGACGCAAGAGTCACGGGACACACTGCTCGTGCAACATCTCGCAGCCGCGTCTCCCGCAACAGCTCATCTTTGGCTGCTCCTGCATCACTGATTGAATTTGTTGTTTCACTTCGTGAAATAATGGCATTCAGTGCACTTGTTTCCAAAACACTTTGTCCAAGCAGCTTGTATGCAGTCCCGGCCCCTATACTTTGAATCGGCAGTGAGTACTTGTCCAAGTGTACGGCCTCGGATGAGTCCACACGCAGCTTGGGACGGTGATGATATGAAAAAGGAAACTGGGCGTCATCGCTAGAATCAGTATGACTTTGAGAAGTGGTATTGTTATTACCATCGTCTACTAATGCAGATATGGACATGATAGTGCGAGAGACTGCGGCTGGAGCATGAGGAGGAGGAGGTGGCGATAATGACGCATCAAGCATTTCATCGTCTTCAGTCGACGGCTCTCTTTTAGGTACAGATTCCTGTTGTTGCTGCTGTTGTTGTTGCTGTTGCTGGGTAAGATTATGACTGTGCCGCCGGACCCCACTAAAGCTATTATAATAATGGTATGTTTGTCCTGGTGTAGAAATTTTAGACTTGGGCACTCGTTTCCTATTTCTACGAACCGACTGGATACCGGCTCTCAGGAGTTTTTCAAAATCTGGCAGTGTATCTTCTGGGTACTTGTACTCGGTGCGTAACTGGTTTGCCACCTGCCGGATGCTAGCATCTTGCTCAGATGCCTTTTTATCAGAAAGTGCCAGCACGTCAATGAGTTCCAGCCGACGCGCGGAAAACCGTTTCCAAAGACCTTCATCAGTAAACTTGAGTTTCTGCCGAATAAGCTGCGTCATCCCAGACCCTTTAGAAGTCAATCCAGGTGACGTCACTCCCAAGTAATCGCTTCCTCCACCACTGATGTCGTCGTCCTCGTTCATCTTGAAAGTTGTTGTTGTTGTTGTTGTTGTTGTTGTTGTTGTTGGAGACTTTTAAAAAGTCCAGTAGATATTATTATTTAATATCGATTATTTATAATTAGTCGAGGTGGTCAAAAATAAAAAATAAAAATAAAAAAAAAAGGGCGTGTGAGAGAGAAAAAAAAAAAAAAGAAAAAGGGAGAGGCTTTAAAAAAAAAATACAAAAAAAAAAAAAAAAGCGGAGTCATCAATAAGTCATAAAGTTATTGTATAAATTACTAATTACTAATTACTAATTACCTGGGAGTAAGTTAACTACTATACTAATTAAATTACCAACGCAGCCACAGGTTGATACCGAGGCATAAAACCATCAAACACACACCCAGTACAAACAACACAAACGCCAGGTTCTTAATCACCCGGGATTTACTAAGATAACTGCTGCGTTCGCTCGGTTCGTCGGAGCCATAAAACTTACGGTTAAAGTCTGGTGCTGAGCCTGTGAGTACCAGTTTCTTAAGCAACGCATAACCAAAAAGTCCCGGCAGAATAAACGAAATGGCCGTGCTTCCTGTAGAACCAACAAAAGCCAGCATGACCTCCAGCGAAGTCACCTTAGAAGCCGTAATGAAACTGAAAATTATAATCACTAAAGTAACGCCCAAGTGCATCCCAAGGCTCAAATGTGATACATGCACTGACCGTACAGAATATTGAGATACAACCTCTAGCTCGGGCTCTTCACGCTCCAAAGTCGCAAAATAGTAGCTTCCATTATCGGATCGCACTCGAGAAATGACCCAGTGAACCACATTGGCAACCGATGCACGACATGGGTGAGCCTGTAGCGGGTATGAAAACAATACAAGAACAACAATTGCAAGCCGACCTACAATGGTGCTGAGCGAGTATGGGTACATAGCAATCACATTGCCGCCCACCGACGAGCCAAATGTCAAGTACCCAACAATACCAACCAGTAAGTACATGGCAGCCGCAGGGTAGATAGATGACGCGACAATAGTCACAAACACAGACTCGGTACGCTTACCACCCAGCTCATTAACGGCAGAAAACATATTTTGATGACATGTAAAACCGAAAATTAGCACAGGCAAAACAGACAGCACTGAAGAAAAGCTTTGTGGGTAAACAAAGTTGATGTCGCTTGTTGGCGGTAGAGGTTCAATAAAGAAACGTACAGCTACAAGAACAATCAGATACCCAACACTCAGCAGGGCAACCAGCGATGTATATTTGAGTGAGTCTAGTTTCCGCAGAAACGACAGAGGTCCTGAGATGGCCATAGCTATGGTGAGCCAAAAAAGACGGCTTTGGAAAACCCCTGAGTATCCGAAAAAGTCTGAAATCTGGGGCATCAGGTCTTCAATAATGATGAGATATGACACGCCAACGCCAAAGCATTTGACGGCAATTGCCAGGTCAAAAACAACCGACAGAGATGGGTATGTGATTTGAGCAACTGCAAAAAAGGATGCCTTTCCGCGCGGCAAAAATGATGAGCACAGGCCTTGTAGGTAAAGACCCGAAGCAGCCGCGCTGCCCGATAACAGAATCAATAGTGAGCCCAGCAGAATACCATTTTGTTTCATGGCAAATGGCATGGCCAGAATACCAGCGCCTATACAGTTAATTAGCTAAAGGATTATAAATGATATATAGGGAAAATAGGAGAGAGAAAAAAAAAAAAAAAACTAATAAATTAATAAATAAATAAAGTACTTACCAACAATTGTATTGAGGAGGTTAATAACAGCGGATATCCAAGATGCACCGCCTGAAGAAGACTCGTCGAAAGTATCCCCTTCACTAGGCTGGCTGCCTTCTAACGGGTCCGGTAGCGGGACCGGGTCGACTTGCTGGAGCGAGTCATGAGGTATAGCGTTGTAGGACATGTTTAGTTTATTGTTTAAAAGAATTTCAGTTTAGATGGAAACTAAAAGCAATCGAAGGAGACGTTGGCGGTTTAAAAATTAAAAAAAAAAAAAAAAAAATATTAAAAAAAAATATTTTTTTTGGTATTCCATCCACCCACGCATTCCACAGACAAAAATGTCTATAATTCACACAATTATGCAGTGAAATTGCGAACTTTTCACTCTTTTATATTATTAATTCTTTATTATTTATTCATAATTACCTACTACTACTACTTCTACAAAACCATTGTGTTTCGAGGATCGCACAGAATGCCGTCCAGCAGCGCGTCAATGTCCGTGGCTCCAGTGACCGCAGGATCCGACTCATCATCATTCATTAGCAGCGAGTCATTCATCCGAAACAACGGACCATTGACCTCAACAAAGCACGTCGGAGCACTCTCAATAATGCACGCCAAATCCTCCACCGTAATAGTGTCCTCATGCATCATGCCATTCCCACTGGACCCGCCCGCGTCGCCAGCAAGATCGCCTGCTACAGAGACCCCAGCACTACTTCCGCCAGTCACAGAACCTCCCAGTGAACTTGTGCCGTTTACCATAATGGCCCCGGTACTTTCGTTACGTATCGCAAGCTCCCGCCGCCGCTTTACCCGTTCAAACGCTTGCTGAACAAGATCCCGTAAATAATGTTCCAACCCAGCAAGCATCACCTCCGCTGCAGCTGGATCGATGCCTTGTAGTAGCCCATGCTCCAATGATACGCCCAACATACGTATACTGAGAGCTTCAGCATCAGGTAATTCATAAGTGTCTGTCGATAAGCTAGCATCATATGCATGCATTATATCCGCAGTAAAAGACTGCTGGGTAGTATTGGAAGTAGTAGTATTAGTATTACTGGTAGTACTACTACTATTAGCAGCCGTATTTGTAGTAGTGGCTGGTGTCGAAGCAGATGAGTTTGATTGTGTAGATGTCCCATTGGGTTTTTTGGTCTTGTCTTCTGAAGACTCTTCTTTGACCTCGGCAGTGGTATTGGCTGCAGATGGAGTCGATGTAGAAGAGCTCGGTCCCCCTGTAGATCCCTGGCCGTTTTGTAATAATGGAATCTTGGGCAAAAGAGCTTGTCGTGTCGCAATGACCGTAGGTGGAACCGTTACCTTAGGTTGTGGATCTTTGGCAATAGCCTTGATACGTTTACGCTCGCGTACGCTGAGTCCCATAATATCGTCTTTGAGCTTGGTGAATTGGCCATCTGCAGCCTGCACACCATAGGGATCGTCTTCGCCTGCTGCACCACGTCCTCCACGGTTCCCCCATCCTGATAGGTAGCGGCCGGCGCCGGGCCCGTCCTGGAGAGCATTGGTGAGATTTGCCAATAAAAACTTATTGTGGAGACGGATTGCAGACGCGTCTGGAAGTAATACTTGGAGTTCTTCTTGGAGTTCAGAGCGGGTCAAGCGGCCAGTCAAGAAATGCGTGATGACCACTCGATAACGGTCCCATTGAGACCCAAGACGGCCCCGGATCTGGGCCATGATGTCGTCGACCTCGACACGAGACGAGCCGTTCATGGTGTGTTTGTTGTTGATGAAGCAAAAAGGTCTGGCAAAAATAAAAATAAAAATATAAAAAATAAAAATAAATAAATAAAATAAAAAGCTGAGAAGTGGATTGGGCCAAAATGGCGGTGCTGTGGTGGAAAGGTTTAACAAAAGTTATTTTTACCCCTAACCCTGACAGTTATTAAATTAATTTAAATTAATTTAAATTTAAATTTAAATTTAAAAAAATACTCCACCCCGCCCCACCCCGCCGCCGCCGCCACCACCACCACCACCACCACCATCACCATTTAAAACCACCTACCCTCTCCGCGAGAAGCTTTCAATCAATTATGATCAATGTTCTCGCTCAAGTTCTACGCGGTCTCGTTAACCCTTGTTATAACGGGACATATTATGGTCCCATATTTTGAGAGCTGGCTGCTTGATTCGGTAGATTCTAATAATAACGACCAAGATAATGATAATAATGATAACAAGAAACATTCATCTAGAATAGATCTTTACGATGCTCTTGTGCAATCATCTCGACAATTTATACGGAACAGAGTAGATAGAAACATCATTTGCTCAAAATGTGGGAACTCCATTGTGACACACCCAATTTACCGGTGCCCACAATGCAATTACAATGCACTATGTGCAACTTGCGAAGCCATCTTGGATCACGATCGCTCACACGTTACCATCATTCAAATGTCTCAATATTTCCCATTTAACATTTCTTCTCATGATAAACGGTTTCTTCCGCAGTGGCCATTAGCTGCTCCATCTGAATTCCGGCGCACTCATACTTTTGCAGACTTGTCTCCTATGGTTTTCAAGGACCTTGTCGTAGGAACTGCCATGCCGTCACATGAATGCGAGGGTCTTTTCCACTCGTTTACTCTCATGGCAGATACCTCCATGCAACTTACCAGTGTATGTGAATATACCTTTCGTGATAAGAGCGTGTCTCTCAAAAAGGCCTTTATATATTGGTTTGTACGCGATACTGCTGATAATAATCAACTACCTATTCTCCCTGGTGTTTCGCGTAAGACATTTGTATTAATGCTCCCTACGGCTTCAACTGGAGACGAGTACTTGGAGAGTATATATTTCAATATGTATGATCTTCATGGTGACGGAATTGTGGATTTTTACGAGTTTGTAATTACAAATATTTCTCTATTTTACTCACCAGAGTACGTTCGAGTTGCTCGTTTACTACGCGCCGTACAACAAACCGAAGGATTTGTTTTGTCAGAAAATTCAAAGAAGGAATATTGGCTAGTACAGGAGTGCAGAATGACACCAGAAGTCGTTGTAAATGCCCTTCGACGCGTTTTATATGGGTATTATGACGTTTCGCGTGCCATGTTTGCTGACTCGAGCAATTTGATGGCAGCCGTTGCAGAATTTGGACAAGATAGACCCGAAGTTAAGCATACCCCTAGAAACAACATCATTGACATTATTGAGGGTGGAAACCAAGCCATTGATACACGAGCTTCTACCATAAATGCAGGCGACGCGTTGGGGACCGAAGCAATGATTCGGCTAGCACACACCCGGCGGGTGGAACAATTACTGGACTTATTATCAGAGGCCCTTGAAGAAATCCCCAACTTGCCGAAAACAAAAATTGGGGCTTTGGCAAAAACAATCCGCGGACGAGTCCCGCAAATGTTCCAATGGCTCCGGGCCGTAGCGGAGGTCGGTGTTTTATAAGCATTCGGGACAATGGGGTTTGCAAAGGCCGGGTAAAGCGCAAAGGCCTGTCCAATGGGTTTTCCGCGTGTGTAACAAAAATTTTCCAGAACACAAAAAAAAAAAAAAAAAAAAAAAAATTCTCTGCCACCACCACCAATTTATCTCCCTACCATCAACTCCAACAATAATAATAAAAACAACAACACAAACACAAACAAACCCAATAAACCAAACAACCAACCATGATGAATGCTGCGTGTTTGGCTAGGGCCCGGGTGGCTGCTGCTCGGTCTGTGGCTCAGAGTTTTGGAAAGAGGTACTCTTATTCTACTGCTCCTCCTAAGGAGAGCTTCCTTACAATGCTGCGTACCACGCTTGGTATGGACCCCCCACTGCCACCCGATTACCCCACTGAGAAGAACCGGTTCCACCCGTGGGACCAGTCCCCATCACAAGAGTTGCAGGCCCGTGCAGCTTTCATCAAGTCTCATGCCAAGTGCCCTATGACGGGTCTCAACATTGACTACACGTGTCCCAAGTCTGGTATTCCTACTCACCACTCGCGTGAAGCTTGGGAACAAGACAAGTATTACCACGAGTCGGAACTTCCGGAACTTCTTAAAAAAGCCAATATGTATGAACATGATTTGCGTTCTGGTCGAGCATTCCCTGAGTTTGATTTCCCTGGTGTCCAATACCGTGATGCTGTGGTCAATTATCTTAACTGGGACACGTTTTTCTACACACGCGAGTTTTACTCCATGGATAATGAGTTCAATCTTGCTGCTGTCACCAAGATGCTTACGTACCCTGTGACAATGGCCAGTTTGCTGGCTGAGTACTCTCCCTATAATCTGAGTCCCAAGGGACCCATTACCCTTGAAGGTCTCAAGTCTCTTGCCGCAATGCGCTACACTCTGTGGCCCAAGGATCGCACCAAGTCGTGGCAGGATCGTCCTGTGCGCTTCTTTTTGCTTGGTGCACGCTCAGAGTCTCAACTTCCAGCCCATGTATGGAAGCAGCTCTCATACCTGCTTCCCTATACTGAATTTGAGCTTGTGTTTGTGGGGCCTGAGGCTTACTATGACAATACTCGCAATCGCTATGTTAAGAGTGATACGAAAATTTCGCACCGCATCGATAACCGCATGATTTTCACTTACTACACGGATTATTTCCACGTGCTGCATGAGGCCAAGGATTTGTTCCCTTATGATCCTTATCTTGACATGTTTTTCCTGTTCCACCCTGGTTTGGGTGCCCCAGAGGCCATGGATCAGTGGGAGAAGTCTATTCCTGGTCTGCTTGAATCCAAGTGTGCTGTGTTTGCGACTGGTTTCCACGAGGCCGACATGCGCCGCGATTGGGAGTGGCTTATGAGCAAATATTCCGACGAACTGGATGTGCTCATGGAACCCACGCCTAATATTTTTGGATCGCTTAAGTGGGAGGTTAATGACCTGAACCCTCGTGAAGTGTATGAGTTTAATCAGCAGCTTTATGGGTTCCGTGGTAAGCGATACCATGCCATTCTGCGATAAAGGCCAATTTTTTTGTAGATATAATACTTTTTTGTGTACATAAAACATTACTATCGTCATCTTTTGAACGACACAAATGATTCTCTCGGAACTTTTGAATCCATGTGTTTTAATTTAAGTAAATCAGATTCCAATGTTAGTTTAAATACGGGACCATCTATCCGTTTTAGGGTTAGGGTAAGTGCTTTGAAAGAAAGTGCTCGTCCCCAATGAAAATGCAGCCAAACTTTTTTTTTTTTTTTTTATTTTTTTTTTTTTCCCTTTAAATTTCCGCGTCAAATAAAAAAGCCTCCCTTCGGTCATTTTTTAACAAACAGACACCTGTATATATATATATATATATATATATCAAATCAATCGACCACTTTTCCCTCTCAAAAAAAAGGATTACTACCTTATTCAGTAGATTCAATCGCAAAGTTATACAATGAAGCCAACATCTGTTACTCTTAGAACTCCTCTTATTCACTTTCTCGGGAAGCGCACCGTTCCTGGTAAGTTCAAATATATGCTACAACATGAAAATCTATATTTTAATCTATACATTACTAACCCCACACGCACACTTAATATAGTCAACATTGACCATACCCCGAGACCTCATCCAATGTCACCAACAGGAAAGCTTCCTCCTTCATTCTCTTCTTTCACTCCTTCTGCTGGCATTGCTGCCTCTTCCGGCTCTACAGCTACTGCTCTGAAATATACTCCTCCTGCTCCTGGTGAGTATGCGGCCATTAAGGACCTGCCTGCGCGTTTCCGTTTCAAGACCCTTAGCGATGCTGAAATTGAAAACATTAACGAGGGTGGTGCTTCCGTCTTGTTCTAATTGGAATGCGGAATATGTGATATGAATCTTTTTTTGATATAAACTTGTCTGTGTGTTTTTTTTTTTTGTTGTATGTATTTAAGAATAATAATGATGATAATAATATTATAAAAAAAATTAAAGCCCGTTGAATATATTTAATATTTAATTATTTAATTAATTATTTAATTAATTTAACAACAAAAAATTAATCCCCCCAATTGAATGTTGAAATTGTTCCGGTTAACGTAAAAAAAAAAACATAATCATGTGATACTCACGTGATCTTAAATCTCCAATAATCCCAATTGCCTATTTTTTTTTCTTCTTTCTAAACTATCATTTTGCCACCGCTTGAAAACATCAAAAACCCTCCCGCCATTCCACATTCTATCAAATATATCTACATTAATACTAACAACAACAACTATACACAAACAACACACACACAATGGATCATTTTCAAACAAACTGGGGCCGCCCTCGCGATGACATTTATGGTTCATACGATAAACGAATCCATGAAGCCAGTGATGCTGCTGCCGCTGCAAACATCCCCACTACAAATACCCAAGCTCCTATCGTCACCGGTACCTCAGTCATCGCCATTAAGTTCAACAAGGGCGTCATCATTGCTGCAGATAATCTTGCTTCCTACGGCTCGCTTGCACGGTTCACCGATGTTGAGAGATTGCTGCCTGTAGGCCGCGACACGGTTGTTGGTGTTGGCGGTGATATCTCCGACTACCAGTACCTTCAGCGAGTTTTGGAGCAGCTGGAAATAAATGACAACTATGATAATGATGGCTTGGAGCTGACGGCCTCTAACGTCTTCCATTATATTTCTAACATCATGTACAACCGCCGTTCGCGCATGAACCCCCTCTGGAACGCCATTGTCGTTGCAGGCGTCGACCCAGTCACAAAGGAACCCTTCCTCTCGACTGTCGATCTTCGCGGTGTTACTTACTCGGCCCCCACCCTGGCCACTGGTTTTGGCGCATACCTTGCGGTTCCTCTGCTGCGCCAACTTGTCGATGACGAAAAGGATGTGGAAAAGGTTACCGAGGAAGAGGCTCGCAAGATGATTGATACATGCATGAAGGTGCTTTTTTACAGAGACGCGCGGTCACTTGATAAGTACAGCGTCGCTACAATTACTGCTGACGGTGTCAAGTTTGACAAGAACGTGCGACCTGAAAATATGAACTGGAATTTTGCTGGAGGTATCAAGGGATACGGCACCCAGGACGAGTAGATTTGGAACAAGCGGTTAACGTGTATGTGCTAAAAATAATAAAGTATAATATAGTTTAAACAAAACAAATCAAAAAAAAATCATAAAAATAAACATTTCTGAAAGACTTTTCTTTCTTTCTTTTTTACCATTAATTTTTATGGCATAATGGCTAAATTACAGGGTATTCTTGCAAGGCTTCCTTTGGAACTCTTGGAGTTAATTCTAGTTCAATTGCTTGTTGAAGATGAATCTTTACATTGTGAGCCATTGCCACGTCAATTTATTGAAGACATTGAAACTTTTGAATGGTCTTCTTGGTACACTGGCTCAAAATCCCAAATCATTTTCAATTTATCGCCTTTAAAGCCAATTGTCAACGTTTGTCGTAATCTTCGTCGCGCTGCTCATTCCATCATTTACAAAAAAATAGAGCTTGAGAAAACGTACCCACTGAGTTATACTTCATCTAGACTTGTCTACAAACAAGATACCTTTTTCTTTCAGTAAGTTTACTTTTTTTTTTGTACCTTTTTCCATGAAATCTAAATCTAATTATAAAAGTAATGTATATTCTGATCTCACAGATATTCCTCTTGAAATTCTTAGCAATGTCACATATCTCAGCGTCTCTACTGAATCCTCTGCTTTTAATCGTACACCTGGTTCAACAGTTTATTCCTATTCTCTTAATGAAATTGCCAGTTTTTTTAATGCAAATTGGACTCCTGCTTTAAAATACTTTCGTCTTAGGATCCACACAAAATCCATTAGCCCAAACAGTGCGAGTCAGTTTCATTTAGCTACAAAAACAGCAGCTCGAAACATGCAATTACGCGGCTCTTCCACCCCAAAAATCCAACTTCATCTTTGTATTTTTGACTCAATTGAACCCCCAAGTTTTGATCCAAGCTTCCTTAAAAATGTATATTTTCTAACATTTTTTTTTAATGGGGATGCACCTTATTCTACATCATCACAATTCTTGACCTTCTGCACAAATGTCTGCGAAATACATGCAAAGGGATCAATGCACGCCGCACCACAAACTCATCATTTCGTGCGACCCCACAACATCAACTTAAATGACCCGTATTCTAATCAGACTCTAAAGATACTTTGTGCTAATGGTGATGGGTATATCCCTAATTTACCTTACCTTGATTTTTTACCAGATCTCCTAGTGTGTCCCAAAAACAAGGTACTCAGCTCTGTTTGCAACCTAAACAATATTACCAGTCTTCACCTTACAACTTCACTTTCTGAAATACAAAATTTAAGCGAGCTATCAATGCCAAAATTAAAGAACCTGGCAATTCAAAACATTACATTTGAAGACCATCAACTTTTGACAAAATTCTTGTCACAGCCATCTCTGGAAGTCACTCTTGAACGGCTTCATCTAAGGGCCACCTCTATTGGTACTAATGTCTCCAGTAGCTTCCCGGAATTTTTTTTCCCACTCTTGGCTAAACTAACTCATCTAAAAGCTGCTCACTTTTACTTAGCAACACACGAGTCACCTAAATCTAATCTTGTTAAAGCTGTTCTTAGTCATGTATGTAATCACCCTTCATTATCGACATTAACTCTTCCAGCAAGCACGGCTTCTCCAACATTGAAAATCAAACATTTGACTTATTTTATAAACTCCATGTATAACACTCGAACAAACAGAATTCCATCCAAACCTCAGTTTAAACTTCGATTTTCAGTTCACAGTCCTTCACGTTTAACGCCAGATCAGCCACCACAATCCATTATCCGTAACTCCAAATATTCTCCACAGTTTTTAAACTCATTGCTTTTTCTTCGCATTGAATGGGTACGGGTATCACCTTATGATATTTTTGGAGCCACACTTGATATTCCAGAATCTAGTTGTTTTTCATCTTCTTGTCCAAATATGACTAGAAGTATAACTGGAACTGATTTGGCAATAGCACAAAGAAGCATAAATATAGTACAATTTATGAGAGAAAGATTTCACATATTGTTATCGAGTGCTCACGTCGCAAACATGGCTTATATTTTTACAGTAGATACTCAAAAAGTGCTTCAAATAAAGGTTTAACAAACATTTAAGAAAAAAAAAATTGCATTTACAGTCATCTACTCTTAACAAATTATGAATTCTTGTATTTTTTCAACTTGCATTTTTATATGTTCGCAAGTTCTTCGAGCTTCTCTTGCCAGACCAACTTTTGATTTAATTGACAATTCCGTTTGTCTCATCATTTTATCAATATACTTTCGTGATTTATCATATCCATTACCTGGTTTCCCTAATTTTAATTCCTCACTGCAAACTAATACCAACCGTTCCTTGTAAAACTGCCACATGTTTAATGTTTGTACTGTCTTGAAATATTGGTCTATTCTTTTTTTAAAAACATCAAATGAGTTTTTGTAAAGAGCAGCTGTTAAGGGTATTCCAGTAGGCATATAAATAGTCAAATTCTTAATACTGTTCCATTTGTTTAAAGAATAAAACTTTTCAGCTTCACCAAAACTAACATAACATTCATCATAATTGTATGTGCTCATTTGATCCTTCACATATTTATTTATGATTTGGTTAAAATTTCTGTTTTCTTCATGAGGTAGTTTTATTTGTTTTTTGAGTTCAATTTCCCAAAGCTTGGAATTCTTTTCAGGTAAATGTTTGAATTTTAATTGTTTACGAGGAGATTTTAATTTCTTTTCTTTAAATTCAGGAATGATTTCTAATACTTTTTTCAAGACATTTTTTGGGGGGGGTATAACTGGAAGAATGGGTTCTGGTTTAATGGGAATACTTAGTTTAGGACTGATACTTTTGGTAACTCCACTTTGAGGTTTCTTGCTAATTGTTGGGAGAATAGGTTCAATTTTCCAACTCCTGGACTCATTAAAAATAATTGAAAGTTTTTGTGATGATGATGATGATATTTCAAAAGAATTATTTTTTAAAATCTTAGGCTCAGTAAAAGTTTGGGAGTCCAAATCATTCATATTTATTTCAATTTGGAAAGATTTGAGTGGTTTAAAATAGGGATTTGATTTTAAGGTAGTTGAAAGTGAATTTTTTATTTTATATTGAGTAATTTCATTTTCACTTGGCTTTCCAGCATTGTTAATAATGTTTCGAGGCTGTCCAGGGTTTAAAGCTTCTTGATCAAGTATTCTACTGTTTTCCATTAATTTCAGATTTAATGAAATAATGTGAGATTTGTTTTTTTTTTTCACTCAAGAATTTTATTTTTTTAAAACTAATTTTGAACTGGGTCGACTTTATTGGGAAGAAAGAGGTTAGGTCTCCTTTTGATAACTCTTTTTATAATACTTGGATGATATGCAATATAAATGAATACTAAAATATGATGGGAAAAAAAAATAAGAAAAAGAAAAATAAAGAAAAAAAAGAAGTGATTTTGTTTACTTTTATTGTACACATTTAAAATGTTGTGACCAAATAAGATGTTTCTATTTAAATAAAAAATCTGATCCTTGTTAAACTCAGCTTTTTATTTTGATAAAAAAAAAATTATGTCTTATTTGCAAAACAACAGCCTTATTTATATTTTTTTTTCTTCTTCTAACAATTCCAGTAAATTGAATCATAAATTTTAATAACAAAGTAAATACTTTGTGACTCTAACAGTAATGACCTTAATTATTATGTTTCGTTCTTAACTGTTGGTTGTTGGTTTTAGACATTTTAACAATGATTAAAGAAGACGGTTTGTGATTGTTAAAACCCTAACCTGAAGTGAGCCTAAACGGTTTTCTTTTTTTTTTTTTCTTCTTTCTTTCTACAATGGTGAACTCAAATAGCTTGTATATTTGAAAACAAAAGTTGCTGAGCCTTACTCACTTTATTCGTTTTCAACTAAATCAATTGTGTTTAAAGTAGATCAATATAATAATCATTAATTTTTTTTAATGCATTCTAACTCCCTTGTATGAGGGGTTTTTTTTTAATCTTTATTATTATTTTTCAACTTTTTATATCTTTAAATTAATTCTATTCTTTAAATTTACTCTTCCTCTTCAAACTCAACAAGAAGTGTGCCTTGCTTGACGATATCTCCAGCTTCATGTGCTACTCGCTTCACTATTCCTGCATGTGGTGCCCGAATCACAGTTTCCATTTTCATACTTTCAATCACAAGTAACTCATCATCCTTCTCAACCTTGCTGCCAACTGTGGTCCCTGGTGCCAGTCGCACAACTTTACAGGGCATGGGAGCAACCACACTATTCTTAGTCTCTTTGACACCAAGTGCTGTTTGCAGCCAAGCTGGTGAAGGTTGGGCAATAGAGTAATGTGTTCCGCGGTGAAAGACATGCACTGAACCACCCGTTGATTGCGCTGGGGCAGCAACCACTGTGTTGACGTATTGGCCTGTGGAAAATTGTATGTGCAGCTTGCGGGAGGGACCTGATGTAACAGCATTGGAGTCAGCAAAGTAAACACTTTTAACTTCAAGGGGTTCACGGGGTTCAGTATCGAGTGGACTACTAACAATCACGCGGAATGAGTGGGGTCCTGTTTGCAATGTCTTAACTGAAACCAAAGATTTTTCGTCACGAGTATCAATAAACTCAAAGGAACGTACTTGAGCCACAGACCAAGAGTTAAAAGCACCAGAAAACCGTGAAAATGCATCAAGAGGAGTTGCACGACCGGCAATTTGAGCCAGAGCAGCTTGGGCGTAAACCTCATCAGGGACTTGTTCTGGAGCAGTCAGAACTTTTTTATTTTTAGAAATAAAGCCAGTTTCCAAAGCTGATGGATCATCACCGGCAAATCCTTCATGTTCAACAATACGCTTAACAAATTCAATATTGGTAACAGGTCCAACGATTTCAAACTCTTGAAGACCACGGCGTAGTTTACGTAGAGCTTCATCGCGTGATTCGCCATTCACAATAAGCTTGCCAATCATAGGATCGTACAATGGAGATACGGTTGAATTTTGCTTGAAAGTAATGTCAAGACGAGGATCACCAGTGGTAGGGACTTGCATGTGAACAATCTTTCCAGAGGATGGCAAGAAGTCTTTAAAGGCATCTTCGCAGTAAATACGAGCTTCAATTGCATGACCAGTGATTTCAACTTCTTCCTGAGTCTTAGGTAGGGGGAATCCTGCAGCAACAAGTAATTGCCATTCGACCAGATCGGTATTGGTTACTGCTTCAGTGACTGGGTGTTCGACTTGTAAACGAGTGTTCATTTCCATAAAGTAAAAGTCACCTGAATCGTTATCAAAGATAAACTCAACGGTACCAGCTCCTTCGTAACCAACGGCTCGTGCAGCTAGCCGTGCCTTTTCCCAAAGATTTTGGCGTGTATCTTCATCAAGACCAGGGGCTGGAGATTCTTCAAGAACCTTTTGGTGACGTCTTTGAACGGAACAGTCACGCTCACCTAGGGCCACAACATTTCCGTACTTATCAGCAAAGACTTGAACTTCAATGTGACGTGGGGTTCTAATGTATTTTTCCACAAGAACATTTTCATCACCAAAGGAAGACTTTGCCTCTGATTTTGCGGAAGCCAAGGCAGCGGGGAACTCTTCAGCGGATTGAACAATACGCATACCTTTACCTCCACCACCGAGAATAGCCTTGATAAGAACAGGGAAGCCGATTTCCTTTGCTTGCTCGAGTAAAAAGGCAGCATCTTGGTTTGAACCATGGTAACCTGGGACGACAGGGACATTAGCAGCAATCATGATTTCTTTTGAGGTTGACTTGGCACCCATGGATTCAATGGCGCCTTGTGGAGGTCCCACAAAGATAAGTCCAGCTTCACGGACTTTGCGAGCAAAAGTGGCATTTTCTGACAAGAATCCGTATCCTGGGTGGATTGAATCACATCCAGCATTTTTGGCAGTGGCGACGACTCGGTCAATATCAATGTATCCGGAGGTAGCATCTCCAAGACTGAGATTAGTAAAGGCAGAAGTTGCAGAAGGTAACTGAGCATCTGGGGTAGTGTAGACTGTAGTTGTATCGATACCCATACGAGATGCAGTGCGAGAGATGCGGTGAACGATTTCACCACGGTTGGCGATATAAAGAGATCGTAGAGGTTTTGCTACTATAGAAGATTGTGACATGTTGGATGGATGGATGGATATAAAAGATTTTTTTTTTTTTTTTTCTGGTTATAGATTTATGAGTATATATAAATAAATAAATAAATAAAAAGATGAATGAATTAAAATGGAAAGAATAAACTCAGACTTTTAAAGGGACATTTTGGTCTGATTTTATATAGAAAGGTTTAAATAAAGTGTGGGGTATTTCATTATTATTTCATTATATTTAGGTAAGGCTTGTTTTGACCCCTCCTCTTCATATTTTTCTTCTACCTTACATATATACATATATATACACGATTAAATTATAAGTTCCGGTTCTTAAGCCCAGAGTTACTTTACACGCTCACGGATCTCTACCGGCCAACAAAACCCAAACAAACCAATGTAAATATAAATTAATTGAAATAATAATAAAAAAAAAACACAACGGAATTTTTAAAGGTGCGGAGTTCTTCTTCTTTTTTTATTTATTTTATTTATTTTTTAATTTTTTTTGTGGTCACGGGACTTTCTTGGAGGACAAAAGGCACTGGCTTGCGGTGACTGCAGTGACGGCGGTGACGGCGGTGGGTCGGTCGGAGCTTTGAACGGCGAAATGTGGGGGTGATTTTATTTTTATTAAGTTTAATAGGGGAAGGGGAAAGTTCATATAGTACACACAAACATATTTATATATATATATTTATATTATATAAATAATTTATTATATATATAAAAAACTATTTCCGGATTCCCGCTCAAAGCCGTCCGGTCGGACCCTGCGGGGGATCTTCCCCACTTTTGGGTTAGAAAAGCACCGGTGGAGGGAAAAAGACTTCGGGTCTTGGTTTTATTTACAAAATACCGAAAGGTGACCATTAAATGTCCGGGATTTTTCTGGAAAGGATGCCGTTTGAGTCGCCGAGTTAGAAAAAAAAAAAAAAAATTGAAAATTGAAAATGAAAATGAAAATGAAAAATTTTTGCTCCCCGCATTTTTTTTTATTTAAATTTAAATTTAAATTTACATATTTATAAATATATAATTATATATTCACGGTATTTTACTTGACACCGGAGCTTCAACCAACTATATATATATATATATATAGTATCTTGCATTGTCACCGAAAATATTCCGAAAACCCGACCAAAAAGTTTAATGTTTATTTCAAGTACCGATTGTCACTTTACTAAAGGATATATATTTGATTTCCTTTCCAAGGAATAACCATAGTAAATAACAAAGAATGATTATTGTCGGAATAATACCAAGAAATTAAAAGAAAAATAATTTAGGTAAACCCAAACCTATATTTAATTGCATTAGTAAAAAAAAAAAAAAAGATTGAAATATACAAAAAAAAACATGACTTGTTAACATACCATCCCATAAATCTTTACCATATCTTATCAGGTTCCCTATAACTCCTACATCTGTTGCATGTTTTGACACCCCTGTAACGAACCAACGTCCAACAAAAATGGAAATAATTAAAACTACTATACCAAATATCACGACCCAACCGTAGAGACTAAACTTTGACGGAGGCCGGCAAAACTATTTCTTGTGTTAGTTTAAATCAATTTCAAACAATATATATAAAAGAAATCACTAAAAAAACAAAATTACCCCTTTGAAAAATTTACAGGCATATGAGTCGTCAACTGGCATTGTAGCAGCTACAATAATCAATAAGATAAAAAGTCCTGCTACAAGAATATCTAAAAAGCTTGTATTGCGAACAATTTTCATTGATTCTTTTTTCTTTTTTTTCTTTTCTTCCTCTTTTTTACTTTTGTATTGAACTGTAGGACCAACACGAAAGGGTTTAGTTGTATCTGAAGATGCAAACTTAATATTGAATTGTTTCTGAACACCCTTTTTAAACGATCCCATTGTTGATTTGTTTGTTTAAAACTTTTTTTCTTTTTATTATTATTATTATTTTTTTTATTCTAATTAGAGGATTTTAATGGGAATTTATATATTTTTTTTTTAAAGAAGAATTTTTTTTTTCTTTTAGTCCAACTGACCTGTTTTTTTTTTTTTTTTTTATTAATATCCACAATTTGCAAATTGCTAAATACTTGAAGACCAAATTAGCAAAGCCTCAAAATGTAATTTTTTTTTTTCCAATTGTTCCAACCTCAAAAACTTTTAGAATCCTCATAAGTAACGGTTATAAATTTTTTATAAATTTTTTTTTTTTATTTTTCATAAAATTTTTTATATTCATTCTGCTGTTGACTGTATGAAACGTGATTTTTTTTTTTTTTTTTTTTTGATTAGTTTTTAATTAAAGCTTCAAGAGCTTTAAAAGCTTTAAAATCATTAAACATTGTACCTAGTTCATAAATAACTGGTCGAATAAATAAAATCAAATCCAGTTTACTTAAAATCAATTTATCTTTTTTTTTTTTTATTATCTATTTAAATAAAATTATTCATAAATAAAAATGCATACAGTTCATTGGTATATATTTTTGAACTAATCTTGTGGCATCCAGGTAAAGAAGCCTCACTACAAATGTTTAGATAAAAGAGGCCTCATATTAATTTAACAGTGCACTCACTAATGATATATATTGTATATAAAACTAATAAACACAGAGATCACATCATTTTAAAATATCTTTAAATAGTTAATTTAAATGGTATAACAGGCTTTTTTTTTTCTGACACTTTTTTTTTTTCTATTTGAAGCTCAGTTGGGACTTTATTTATTTATTGTCATGGAGTGCCTCTGGGCCCCGTGACATGAGTGGTTAGGGTTATGTGGGCTAAGTGGAAACATAACCAGTGATAACTCTTCATCACTACTACCACCACTACCACCACCATCAGCATAGCAGAACAAGACAACGATCAAGAGGGACTGAGTCTATCTTAAGATCAAAGGTACGAGAGATTGAACTAAGCTGATGGAACCTGGGACTAATAATATATGTATACTATATTACCCTTAATCAACAACTATAACTTATAATTCAAATACAACCAATTTACCCAGCTTAGCAGTCAATGAATTATTCCACTGACCTGTAGACGGGGTAAGTTAGACAGTGCAAAATTTGCCGAAACGGAACGGAGCATGTTATACAAAAAAAAAAAACCGAGGTGAGGCAGGGGAATGACTAGATGATGCGGTACCACGTGAAAGTCAATCAGCAGGTGCGGGATGGCAGGAATGTAATCCCCACCAAAGGTTGGGACGAAAGGTGAGTTCCGGATCTACCGATAGGCTGCAGAGTGTCGGAAGCACTTTGGGACGAGTGTGGGAGTCAATTGGATCGGATGGTGGAAGAGGGGGAGCTCTCAAAGCCAGATCCACCGACTCCATACGTGTTCCCATTGATGTGTTTAAGAAAGAAAAATGGGGATCTGCGGATGATTGCAGACCTGAGCGAGCTTAACTAACACGTTAAACCACAGCCTATAGATTTGATAAAGATTGAAAGCATACTGGCAGAGATATCCACATCAGATTCTAGAAGGTTTTGTGGGAGTCAATTGTTTGGTGTACATTGACGACGTGGTAATTTATACCAGTGGGTCCACACTGAGCCATATACAAGTCGTTAAGGGCGTGTTGGGGCGGCTAGAGGAATATAGGCTGAGAGCAAATCCGAAGAAATGTCAGTTTGCGGTGACAGACTTCGAATACCTAGGGTACAGAATTTGTGAAAGTAAAATATTCCGGCTGCCCAAGCACGTCAACGCATTTGCGGATTTGGCCATCCCGAAGACTGTGAAGCAAGTGGAGCGCATAGTGGGGATGGCGAATTGGTTCCGGAGATCGGTCATGAACTTTGCAGGGGTCACAGAGGCAATACGGTGTGTATTGGTAACCGCTAAATCTAGTGCGAATGCAGAGAGTAATTCCAAGACCGGTGATGGTTCCTACCGTGTTAAGAAAGGTATTTCGTGGACGGCTGAAGCGCAGAAGGAGTTTGAACATCTGAAGGGGATACTTTCGGATGGTTCATACTTGTGGATCTTTGATCCTGCATTGCGAACAGTGTTACAAACTGATGCATCTGCCCTCAGTGTGGGGGCAGTGTTGTTTCAGATAGATGAGAAAGTGGGAAAAAAAGTGATCGGCTATTACAGCCATCGCAATACGGGGCCAGAAACGAGGTACAAGGATTATGACCTGGAACTCATGGCTGTGGTTAAGGCGGTAAAGAGTTTTCATTGCTTCCTGTATAGGCGCAAATTCGAGGTTTGGGCGGATCACAGGGCGTTGGAGTTCCTGAAAGGAACTAAACTAACTGTGGCCAGGCAGTACAACTGGCTGGAATTATTGTCTCAATACTCATTTACGATTTCCTATGTTAGGGGGGGGAGAACGCCGTAGCAGACTTGCTGTCGAGACGGTGGTCTCAAAGAGAGGAATTCTCACCAAATCTGATTGACGAAGAAGGCCAACTCACGAAGGTCCCAACATTTACAATTACAGCAGGAGCAATAACAACAAAGAGCCACAGGCAGAGGGACGCGCTCTGGCAAGTTTACAGGGATTCAGAAGTCAAGCATCTTTGGCAAGCGCCAGCCAACAAAGCATCAGGGCTCCTTGAGGAGCTCCACAATATGCTCATTGGAAGCTACGCAGGATACCCAACTTATGAGGGAGTGAAGAAGAAGAGGCCGGGACCAGGCGAGACGGAGTGGGCAATTGAAAAGGATGTACTGCTTGCTAATTGGGGAAGAGTAAGAATTCCACCAAGTGCTAAGGAACTAATCAGAGCGTTAGTCAAATTGGCACACACAGCACCAATGGGAGGAAATGCTGGAGCAAAAGCCACAATGGCGATTTTGGCAGTCTCATACCGATGGCCCAGAATGGTGGAAGATGTGAGGACCATAGTGGCTCAATGCTTGACGTGCCAGCAACTTAATCCACACAAAAAACCGCCATTGGGGCTGGCGGGTAGAATACATGGTGGAGATTCGTGGACGCGGCAAGCCTCCCAGTCGGCTTGCCGGTGGTTATTATCACAGACCGGGGCCTGCAGTTCGCAGGCGATTTCGACAGAGCTAGTGAGAGAAATGAGGTGACGCGAGCGAAGACGACCACATATCACCCACAATCGAATGGTGGCACGGAAAGGGTGATTCTGTCAATCAAGACTTACTTTAGGAAGTTCACTGAGAACGAGAGTAGCTGGGTTGAGGTGCTACCAAAAGTTGAGGCGTGGTTCAATGCTATGGTTCACAGCGTAACGGGCTTCTCTCCGGACACAGAGATGAAGGGTCATGAGGTTGTGTTAGTGTTCGATAATGCGATTTTGAAAAGCGCCAAGCGAGCGAGAAACATGGCACTGGACTTAAATGAGCAGAAAGTGTGAGGCGAAATAAGGAAAAGGCTGGAAAAGGCGGCTGGAGTCAATGAAAAGACTTTCAACGAGAAAAGAACACAAATGAAGTTTGTGGAAGGCGATTTAGTCTGGGTTGACGGCAGCATCAAGCCAAAAAAAGGTTTGCGAGCGCTCAGGCCGAAGTGAATTGGACCTTACAAGGTGGCTAAGGTGATTAGCGAGCAGGGTTATGGTTTGGAAAGTTTGGCTGAGCATCCCGGGACACTTCATGGCCAGAAAGTGAATGTGGAAAAGCTGTGGCCGGTGAGCAGGGGTGGCGACGTTGAGGATATTTACAGTGAGGGAGCCCAAGACGGAATTTGGGCTGAAGCAGTTGCTGTGGATGCTAGGTCGCAAGAACCGTTATCCAAGCTCCTTCGGAGCCTGGAAAACCCGGGGGTGATGCCATGGAGTGCCTCTGAGCTCCGTGACATGAGTGGTTAGGGTTATGTGGGCCGAGTGGCAACATAACCAGTGATGAAGAGTCATCACTACCACCCCTACCACCACCATTAGCATAGCAGAACAAGACAACGATCAAGAGGAACTGAGTCTATCTTAAGATCAAAGGTACGAGAGATTGAACTAAGCAGATGGAACCTGGGACTAATCATATATGTAGACTATTAACCTTAATCAACAACTATAACTTATAATTCAAATACAACCAATTTACCCAGAGAACACGACATTTATTTATTTCTTGTTACTTGTAAAATGGTTATCATCATCTTTATCACGTATAATCAACATACATTATAATGTGAACATAATTATGTTCAATCAGATCAAAGGGTTAGGTTTATTTTATTATTGTTTTTTTTTTTTAGTTACAAGTCGTATACCTTTTTTTGTAACAAAATTTGTAACCCAAATTAATTAATCAATTTTTTTTTTTACTCCTTTTAAACAACAAACAACAAACAACAAATATAAATAATAATCACATCAAACCATCAATCAATACAATTTTATATCAAAAAAAAAAACGATTAATCTTATCATTTAAACACGAATTCTTATTTTAAAAATTATCTTTGATTATTTTATTATTTACTATTTTATTATTATTTAATATTTTCTACAATTTTTCTATTATAAAAATTGTTAATTAAATCACTTGCATTGCCGCTCGTGCAATCATAAGCTTTTTACACACCTCACTTGACATTGTCGCCACAGTTTGCAAATGATTCCTGCAGAAAATTCGCCTACTGAACCAATTCACCATGACATTACTTCCGACATTTTAGATCAACCTATATCTACCATTATGTCTCCTCTCGACTCTTTTGCACATACTGAACCCTCTTCAGCTGAAGATACTTCAGATCCCAGCAGCTCTACTAACAGTTCCTGTAACTCTTCTAATAATACCACCGACATTAGCAACAGTGCATATTCTCATGTAAAAACTCCCATAACTCTCCCAAATACAGAAATTGACTCTCCAATGGAGGAAGAAGAAGAAGAAGAAGAACAAAACAATAGTAACTTCAGCCCCAATAGCCAGTCTAGCAGTGTCGGGATTTCCTCAAGTAACAATAAACGACTAGTTTCAGATATGGATTTTTCTCCACGGCCTCAATCAAACGCATCAACTGGAGCAGCTTTTCAACAGTCATCTCCTATTACATCTACAAGAACTCGTTCAAATGGTAAAAATTTTTTTTTTTGTTATTTCCATTATTTTATCTGACATTTTTTTTTAGACCACCATAACTTTCATTCGCATCATAACTCTAGTGTATCTTCTATTTCGGCAATCCCTCCAGTTCCAGAACAAAATTCAGATGATGAAGACCTTAGCATGCCTTATACTGATTTGGAAATTGATCTCTCTAGTAATCCAGTCAAAATTATTTCACGTAAAGGGCGCGTCAACTATATTAAATACCAAAGCGCATGTATCCGACCTGCTGTTGGAGATATCCTATACCTAGTATCTGCCGCTTGGGTTGAATCTTTTGCAGATTATTCAAACGACGAGTTTGCTGAAACTTTTGGAAATTTAGACGTTGTTAATACTTCAACTCGACGACTATTTTCAGCAACATTGTCTAAATATGTGCCTCTTCCCAAGCCGGCTTGGGATAATCTCGTCCAATGGTATAACCCAGAAGGAAAAGATGGATTTGATTACTTTTCTCTTCCTCGTCAAGTCATCAAAACTGAACCTTTAGAATTTGATTTTTTCCCACTTACCGTTTACACAAAAATCTTTACTCGTCTCGCACTCTCTGCTTCTCCAAATACCAAAATTGTCATTTCCAACTCTTCTATAGGAAGCGATTTTTACAAGGCTATTTTCTCACTCTATTCCCTTCCTCAAAACATATTGTTTGAACAGATTCGCATTTGGGGTGTTGTCAATACTCCAGACACCCTCAGAATTATGAAACAAGATACGCCACTCGCTCAATATCCATTCAAAGCTATGACCTCCAACCTGCATTCCATTACTTTAGATCCTAATGAAGCAATTTCTAATTCAAGCCTTGACAGATTCTCATTCATCATTTTGGAGGTCAAGGAAATTAGTGATAATACTTCTCCATGGCCCTCAGAACAAATCAAGCCTCCTCTTCCACCACGTCGCAATTTACCGCCACCTTATGCCTTGGACGAAACCAAGAAAGATTTAGAACCTGAAGAAAGCAAAAAACAAGAAGGAGATAACCAAGAAGAAAAAGTTGAAGAAGAAGAAGGGGAAGAAGAAGAAGAAGAAGATGATGATGACAACAGTTCTGAAAATATAGCAACAGTCCCTCCAGCTCCACCACCATCACGACAAAAAATTACACAATCTTATTCTTATCGAAACCAATATTCCGCCCCAATCGGAACAATTGGTCTTAATAATTTGGGCAATACTTGCTATATGAACTCTGCACTTCAATGTTTAACTCATGTTCCAGAATTGGTAAACTATTTTCTTTCGGGTTATTTCAAACGCGAGATCAATCGAACAAATCCAATCGGCTATAATGGAAAAATTGCAGAGGCTTTTGGTGATCTTTTGGAACATTTATTTGGAGAAGAACGTTCGGGCTCTTCATATGCATGCCGACCTTTTAAAACAATCGTCGGTAGACTCAATTCTGCATTTGCAGGTTATCAACAACAAGACACCCAAGAATTTTTGTCCTATTTGCTTGATGGCCTTCATGAAGATTTAAACAGAGTTTTGAAAAAACCTCTTACTGAAAAACCTGATTTGAAAAAACATGGTTCTCATAGCCCAGAGGAAATAGCACAACTTGCTGAAGAGTGTTGGCGTTTACACAAGCTTCGCAATGACTCAGTAATATTAGACTTATTTGTCGGCCTTTACAAATCTACTTTGGTTTGCCCGACGTGCCATCTTACAAGTATTACATTTGATCCATTCATGGACTTGACCCTCCCTCTACCATCAAACGAATACTGGAGTAAAGATATGCTTGTTTTCCCCAAAAACAGTAGCCCAATTAAACTGGCTGTGGAACTTGATCCTAGCGCCACAATGAACCATTTACGAAAGTTTATTGCTGATAATACGGGCGTCGACCCTAGAGCTCTTCATTTTGCTGACATTTTAGACAAGCATATTTACAAAAACATCAAAGATGGTAATGTTAACGACCAAATAACAACTTACGATACCATATATGTTTACGAAGCAGATGCTCCTCTTGATCGATATACAGAAGTCCTCAATAATGAAGATGAAGAAGAGAAAGAAGAAGAGGAGGAAGATGATGATATACCTTTTGTTATTCCTGTCTATCTTTTTATCTCAGCAGATGGCCAAAGCCGCAAAGCCCCATTCCCATACTACATTACTTTGACTCAATCTGATGCTGAAAACCCTTCCATCATTATTCAAAAAATTTTGGCAAAACTATCACAATATTCTACTTCCGACTTTTTCGATGCAGCAATTGAGCGAATTAGTGATGGAACTTTGAACTGGAAATCAGTTATGAGCATCTTAACTCCACATATTTGCTACTCCTCTAAATATAATCATGACATTCCATATACTGGAGGGCCTACTGATACTCGCTGTACGTTTCTTGAGCGAGTCGAAGAAATATCAACCAATGTTTCTTTGGGTGCAAGACAAAGGGAGTTACAGCGACAAGAGGAAGAGCGAAGACAGCAGGAATATGCCAACTACAACAATTATCAAGAACCTAATATGGAACAAGATGATGATTCGCTTGATGATCTTCCTGCTTACGAAAATGCTGTCACCAACTTTATGGGAGATGATTACAGTTCTCAGTTTACTAAAAACTCACCACCTCCTCTTCCTAGCCGTGCTGATTACACTCCAATTGAAAATCCCAATGCCAATGAAGATTCATCAAGTAATCAAGCAGAGAATGACGAAGAGAGTCAGTCCAGCTATGATAAAAACTCTGATGATGTTGGGAGACTACCTACTCACAGCAGCTCATCTAATCTTCAATATGCAGGTAAAATGACTCCTGAAGATCCAATCGCTAACAGCGACCCTGCCTCAAGCTACGAAGAAGATAACAATTTCCCCAAGCCCAAGCAGCTCCCATCTTCAAATTACAGAGGAGGTCTTCCTGGAGGAAGTGGGAATGATGAGGAATTTGAAGAAAAAGCTTCTGAGGAACCAGCTAAAGAAAATGATGATTTTGATGCTTTAAATTTATCTGGTTTACCTGATTCTGATACTTCTTCTGTTTCATCTTTGTCATTTAACGGGCCTCTTGAAAATGAAAATACTAATAATAACCGTCCAGTTATAATTGTTAACGACGACCAAGCATCTGGAGACGATCATTATGGGTCTTCTCTTTCCCCTCCTTCTCCCCCCTCTACTAATAAGATTTACCACCATACAAATCGCTACGCACCTACAAAAATTAACAGAAACTATCAGCATAACCGATATGGTTACAACAATAATTACTCTCGTTTTTCTTCGCGAGTTCCAGACTTTATTCGTGACACTGATTTTGATCCTGATAATAAACTTATCGTCAGCCCCTCGGCTCTTGTTGCTATTGAGATTGATCAATCTCGTTATGATTCTTTGTTTGACGAGAAAAACCTCCCTAGATTGTTTGTCGAAGTTGTTTCTCAAGAGATTCAAAAGCGAAGAGAGGCCCGTGAAGTTATGCGTGTTAAGGGTGCCACTCTTGACGATTGTTTAGATCAGTTTTATAAGACGGAAGTTCTTGGAGAAGATGATTTGTGGTATTGCACTAACTGCGAAGGCTTTAAGCGTGCATCTAAAACTTTGGAGTTGTGGAAAACACCAGATGTTTTCATCATTCATCTTAAGCGGTTCTCTAGTTGGCGCGAAAAAATTAACGATACGATCAACTTCCCAATCACTGGTCTTGACATGAGCCACCGCATTACAGAAACAAAAACTAACAGCAGATTTCTTGATACACCTCCTGAATCGATTTCTGTTGACGAAGAGGACAAGAACTTGGTTTATGATCTTTTCGCTGTTGACAACCATTTTGGCTCTGTTCATGGCGGCCATTATACAGCCTATGTCAAAAACTTTGCCGACGACAAGTGGTACTACTTTGATGATAGTCGAGTCACGGAGGCCAACCCTGAGGAGGCCATTTCCGGTAGTGCTTATCTGCTCTTTTACCGTCGGCGTGGCTCCTCTCCTTTAGGAGGTGAGCATATGAGTGAAATTTTTACAACTATTGAAGCTGAACGGGAAGCTAATCAAGATAGCAATTCCTCATTGGACGCCCACATTGACCCCGCTGAAGAGGAAAAACGGCTTTTGGCCAAGCGCTTTCCAGGAGTTGGGCGCTCCCTTGGGGGTGGTAGCGGGAGTCTTGGGAGTAGTGTCGTCAGCAATTTTGGCAGTAGCGTTTGCGGAACTGGGAGTGAATTTTCCAGCACCTCTGAGCTTCCTAGCTCTGCTGAAGAGGGTACCAACATGGCTTCAAAAGCACGGTTTAGGAGTGGTTTCATCGGCCACAGAAGCAGCAGTAGCATCAATAGCAACGAATCAAACGACAGTGGTCACAGCAGTGTGGGCAGCAACCAAGGCGGCCTTGACCAAACTCCGTTCTCTGGTGAACTTGGTCCCACAACAGCATCCGCTGGAAACCTTACTCGTGACCGGGGCAGCGGTGGCAGTAGCAGTATGGATGGCAGTGCGCAGGAAGATTTGACAAGTGAAATTGACCGCCAATTTGTTATTCTTAATCCTGAAGACCAAGCTCCCAAAGATGTTGAGTTGGATTTAGAGGTAAATAATATGGATGAAGATGGAGATGACAACAATTCACTTTATGATGATGCTGGATTTCAAAACTTGGTGGATGGAGGATACCATGGTACACGTCGAGTTGAACGACCTCCAGTAATGGCGGTTGAAGTTCTTAAGCCTGATCAACTTTTGCCTAAAACAAAGTCAGAATTTAATATCGAGTTGAAGAATAGTAAAGAATCGCTGGAATATGCTAAAAACTCACTTCCAAGTCCTAAATCTGATGACTAAAATAATAGAACTAAAAAAAAAAAATGAATGAATGATGATGATGATGATGATTTTAACGACGAAATGACTTTAAAGATTTTTTTTTTCTTTAAAGTAACTCACTGATTTATAAGTTTTTAATTTAAATATCTGATGAAATTAATGAATTATATATACTAATTTTTATTATTATTTTACACAATTTTTTGTTTTTGAATTTAGAAAAATCACAAAAAAAGAAAAGGAAAAAAAGAAAAAGTATGCTATTATTATTCCAAGTCTTTAGTCCAGTCATATTTGTCCCATGTACTTTGATAATCCCAAATATCTTTTTCATTTTCAGAATTATCCCAACGTGGTGTGCGACGAATTTTTGTAATATCTGTTTTCAAAATGTTACCCAATATCTCACGAGCAAATAAATCGCCTCGAGGCCACTTACCGCGATCCTCTACAATGTGTCCAAGTCCACCATTAATATCAAACCAAACATGGAAATATGGAGCTTCTTTAGAAATTGATTGACGGAATGCATACTTTGCTCCTGAGCCATTACCAGATTCAGTAGCTCTGGTGGCTACAGCTTGAGTATCAATTACCTTTCTATGTGTACTCCATTCTTCGTCACTGGTAATCATTGCCTCTCGAAACATGGCCCGCAAGTCTTTAAAATCGTAAGGATCTTTTATAGGTACAGCATAAAGCATAGCATGTGCAGAATCTCTAGCACCTTGAGATGCATTGGCATCCTCATGTGCACTCAATCCTGCAGAAACAGCATTCTCATAAAAAGCTACGCCTGCATATCCTCGTCCATGAACCCACATACGAATTAAACATTTCATATAATTGCGCAGTTCTTCCCATTCGTCTTCATCACAGTGTAATAGATTAGGATAATGTGCGCGGGGGACTAAAACACATGTACCTCGTGATAGAGCAGGAAGAGGCGCACGAGCCATATACACACGAGGTGAAGCTGATATGATTTTGTTTACATGACTGTGTCGTCGCGAATGACTGCTTTGATCATTTATGGGTGGGTTCAAGTACTTTTCATGACGCTCACTTTCAGGACAAAGAAAACATCTTCGAGATGTGATATCATTAAGTAATTTGGTATGCTCTAAGACACGAGTGTTTATTTTTTTGGCAACTTCTTGTTGCCGCAGGGATTCCTTTTGTTTTTGTTTTTCTGTTAACTTGGTCTTAGAATCAGCTCCTGATGGATCTGTAAGCAGTTCTGCATTATCAAATTGGTAATCAGTATCGTTTTCAAACCCAGAATCTTTCCCAATCCGTTTTAGTTCTTCAATCCGTTTGGCAGAGCTCAGAACTGGTGCATTACGCTCAGCAAGTTCTTCTCGCATCATGTCTGTGATGCTAGCATCAGCAGATAGGGTTTTGCCCTTGGTGTGTTTGTTGAGTTCATGATAAGCACGCAATTCTTCTGAATCCAAAACTTTGAGAGTATCTGATGAGCTAGACTTTTGGCTTACAGAGCTACCAGCAGCTGCATCTTCATATTCTTTTTCTAGTTTTTCAATTTCTTCTTTGCTGGCACCTTTAAGCTTAGCACGTAAAACATTCGATTTAAGCTTATTGAGTTCTGACATGTCTATAATTTTAGAAGTCACAGAGGGTTCTTTAATGGCAGACTCTGCTGATGCTGATTTGGAACTTGAATTATAATTACCACTGTCCATTTTGATAACCCATTCACCTTCACTGTCATCTTCATCATCAGATTCTTCTTCAGAGGAATCTTGAGGTTTTAAATTTCCATGTTTTTGTTTTTTCGTAGTTAGTGAATCATAAATTTCATCTTGCTCATCGTCATAACTATCCTTTAACCTATCTCTTTTACGTGACGAATCATAATTACTTGACCGTCTATGTGATGATGACATTATATTAAACCCCTCTTATCTTATAAATTTAAATATACCAAGATAGTATATTCCCTGCGTTTGTATTAAATGGTTGCTGATGAAAATTAGTTTAAAACGCGTAATTTTTATTTTTTTTTATTTTTCAAGGTTTTTAATTTTTTATAAAAAAAATTTTTCTCCACCATCTCACAAGAAATAATAAGCATAGCAAAATGAAATACTGGTGCAAAACTTGTAAAATTGTAAGTATTTATCTATTAATTTGCAAACTTTTTTTTTTCTTCTTAAAAATGAAATTATACTCATTAACTGTTGGAAATATTTAGTAACAAAATGATATTTGATTTTTTTTTTTATTTTTTTTTTTTTAGTTTATTGCCGATACTAAGATTGATCGGACACGACATGAACTGTCTGCTCGCCACAAAGATCAAACACGCCGGAATTTATCATCGCTTCATCACACAAATAAAGAAGAAAAGAGGCAAAGTGATTCATCCAAGCGTGTTCTTGAGCAGATAGAAAAAGAAATTAAAGCATCTGGTAAGAGCCCTGGGTCTGGGCCTCTTCATGTATCTGATTCCATAACTGAGGTCACAAAAAGTACAGTTGCCACCAAAACTACAAGCAAAAATCAAGCCTCTCCAAAGCGTGATTCTAGTCAGACCAAACCTTTAAACCTCGCCACACCTGCGGCTCCTGTTAAACCATTGTTTACTAAAACAATCAAAGTTAAAGAAACAGAGACTACTAAGTGGCAAGCTAAAGAAAAGGTTTTAGCAGCGCCGGATCTTGAAATTGAAAGTTTAATGGGAGAATCGACACTAGAAGTGAAAACTAATAATACTACAGTTAAAAAGTCAATGTTTAAAAAACGACAAGGACTCAAGAAAAAGGAGTCTGAGGAATAATATTTACAACTTCTATATATAGAATTGAAAAAAAAAAGAGAGAAAGAGAGGGAACTGTACATGCGTTATCATCATTATTACATTAGCTCGTGATATGGTTTATATATATACAGGGTCGAGTGATGAAGATGGGTAAATAAGGTGAAATTTTGGGGAAAAAAATTCGTATATATACAAAAAAAAAAAAAAAAAGCATTGTATGTCGTCATAATCAGTTCATTCAACTGATGTAGGTTTGTTGATTGCGAATGAATTTATGTCCAGTCACGGGTCTGACCACGAACCAACTCTAAAATTTGCCAGCCCTTAGTTTCAGGATCCTCAATGTTCTCGGGTATCCGGGTGATGACCATGGCATATGTGCTTTGCTGAATGTGGTCCTCCATACCTGCAGCAATCTCATCAGTCTTGATGTTCTTGTACATGTGGACTTCCTGAGCACGGCATCCAATGACAAAGACAGGAACGTCTTGAGGTGGAAGGAGCTTAGCCTGAAGAATATCGACACCACGAATATCCAAGACACGACTAGCAGAGTACAAACCGGCCTCCTTGTATTGTTTAGTGGATGCAGCCCAAATGTTGAAAGGAGCTTCGGAGAGCCAGAGCTTGAGGGTTTCCTCATCACCCTTGACATATGCGTCCAAAACTTCAGGAAGAATGTAACCGCGGATCTCCTTCAAAAACTTTTCTTGGTTAAATTCAGGATCAAGCTCCTTGAACATGCGAACAACTCTGGCGTTTTCGGTTTCTTCAAAAAAGCCTCCAATCTTGTCACCAATGGTTCGGATGGTAGAGATGAAGCCATTATCGGTTTCCTCATAGGCAGTTTGCAAATCGGAAAGCTTCTTACCAGCAGCACTCTCAGCCTTCCATTTGGCCCAACTGTCACGCCAAGTCTCGACGGGTTCTGGGTTTTCGTGTAAGACAACTGCTTGACCAGCCATGATGTCTTCCTTGACAGGCTTGGCCTTCTTCTTGCCAGTTCGGAGTTCTTCTTCAAGCTCCTTCTCAGCTTCTTGTTGACGACGCAAGCGACGAGTCTCCTTATCTTCGTAACCACCGTAACGCATTGAGGAGCCGTCATCAATGACATCTCTGACAGTCTTGTATGCCTGTGTTTCACGAATGGGTTCTGTGGCCTTTTCCACAACGTCGGCAGTTTTACTTGCCACATTACGTGTGGTTTTAATCACGGGGGACTCCCATGCTTCATGAGCAACTTGGCCCACCACTTTAGAAGCCTTTTTAAGAGTGGCGGAGGTTGCGGAAGTGGCGGAAGAAGTACCTTCTTGAGCCTTTTCTAAGGCCTCCTTGGCTTTCTTGTAGGCAGCACTTTCAGCCATGCGGCCGGTTTCATCTTGAAGAGCCTTGATGTTACTCTGGAGCTCTTCACTCTTTTGCCATTCGCGCTTGAAGGTGTCAAAGAAGACTTGCAGAGGAGTTTTATCAAGATTAGCATCATCATCGCTGGGAGAGCTCTTCTTTTGCTGTTCTTGCTTTTCTTGCTTTTCTTGTTTTTTCTGCTCATCTGCACTGGATCGTTGAAATGATGATTGCGAAAAGGTTCTGGCACTGGTAAGTGCGGGGTATGCTAAAGCTTGTCTAGACGATGCCAGTGATCTAGAGGCCATAGCCATGCCTCGTGATCTGCTCATATTTGAGAGACGAAGCATTATGAATGATGGATTGGTATGGATGTGAGTGTTTAAAGTTGAAAAAAAAAATATATATATATTTGATGGGTGAAAAAAAAAAAAAATGGTAAGTATATAAATATATATAAATATGAGTAAAAAAAAAAAAATATTATTTATATTACAACTTTTATTTCAATTTAAATTTCAATTTAAATTTCAATTACAAGCGAGCCCTTTTTTTTTTATTTATTTATTTTTATTTTTATTTATTTTTATTTTTATTTTCCAAAGTCTTTGCCGTATTTATTTTGAACTTTGGATTTGCTTGTAGAACTGGAAAGAACACTACGGAAGAAAGAAAAAAAATTTTTTTTTTTTTTTTTGCAGTAGTGAAAATTTTGGCGCAATGTGATTTGCCCAATTAATAATGCGCAACCACCCCGCAGATTCAGTTCACCCACCTTAAAAACCGGGCGTGCCGGACCGTTGACCGGAGCTTGCTTTAATACGGCTGAATTGTAACAAAAATGTAATGTAATAAATTTGTTACAAAATTTTGTAACAAATTTAAACAAGATGTTACAACTAAAATTGTAATGTAACATAAAAATTTAGATCAAAAAAAAAAAAAAAAAACGAGCCTTCTCCTCCATTTTCACTACAGAATGTAAACATTTTTATTATTATTATTATTATTATTATTATTATTATTATTATTATTATTATTATTATTATTATTAAAAAAAAATTAATTAATAATTGACATGTTCTCTGAGTTAAGTTATAGTGGCACCTTCTCTTAGCAAACATCACCAAACAATATCATCATCATTATCATCATCACCACCACCACCACCACCACCATTATCATCATAACAACTGGTATTATCTACACCATCACGAGGTTTCTAGCCAAGTCTTACATCTTTGGGCGAATTTCGCCTTAAACATTTTCAGTTTTTTTTTTTTTTTTTTTTAGTTTTTTAGTTTATAGCTTCTGACGATCTTACAAACAAAAACTAGACTTTATTCTTTTTTTTTCTCTCTCCCTTTACCAGCCTCTAGTTCTTTGATAATACAATATCATATGCATTTATTCTGTTAAATCTTTGTCTCAGCTATTATCTTTATAAACCAGCAAGAATCTCTTCAAATACTATCTTTCCATTATATACCAGCATTTTGAAACTTATCTTAAATCTCAACCAAAAAAAACAGTGACTCGTATCTATATATTTACTGCACCATCAACATACATTTCACTTTTGTTTCCCCTTTTCTTCTTCTTCTTCTTCTTTTTCTTCTCCCACTCATTTATTATTCTCATTATATTCCTAAAAGTTAAACACTGAATGTGTATTTCTTCATCAATATTTATTCTGTTTTTTTTTTTTTTTTCTATTTTTGAGCCTTTTCTTTTGAGCTTAAGGAATGACACTTTTTATTTTGTTAATAGCACTCTTCAGCACTGAGATACTCCAAGTTTAAAATTTGAGTTAAAATTAATAATGAGCTCGCCAAAAAAAGCACGAAAGGTCAAAGAAACCAAATTTTTTCATTCAACCAAAAACTAGTATGTATTTTTATTTGTAACCTTAAGAAATGATAAATGTTCTAACTTTTTTTTTTCTAGTAACTGTTATAAAATGGCAAGTTTTGGTATAAAACCCAAGGATAACCTTAGCAATCCCAATTCAAAAAAGCATCCTTACATACAGCTATCAGCACACTCTCACATTTTCTCAGACGCCCAAAAACGTGAAATCCAAAACCATATTTCTTCTGACCAGCAATGTAAACGACCTCGACTCTCTGCTCCAATCCTTACCACCGATGTCGAGTATATGAGTAGAGGCACTGAAAAGTGTGATCCAGATACATTGAAGTCAAAATATGTTCTTCCCATAACAAGGTTGTTAATTAACAACTCTCAATCTATGACCGGTAATTTTCTTTTAGATATTTCCGATGATTACATATGGAAGTTTTGGAACATTTCATCCTGCGATCTCATTACAAAAATCCCCTTTGAACCATCAAAATCTACAACTGTATACTTTTTAGAAAAAGCATCTTGTTTTATTGCCAAAAATGGAAATGAAACTATAAAAGTATTTTTTGATCCTTCAACAAATGTATCATCATTTGTCAGTAGTTTAAAAGAAAGGGGGATCCGACAACCACAAAACTTTTCATCAAGTGAAAATGACTTAATACGGAAACCAAATAATGTTAATCGCCAAATACATAGCCAACTTTCTAGCCTAAAGAAGAATAATTACCCCTCTTCAAATACCTGGAACAATGATAATAACCCTTATCTCTCAGTTCAATTAGCAGATCGTGTTAATTCCAGTGATATGGATATTCTCCGAGATGCTGCACATAAAAATCTCGCACTGAGGAGTGCTAACTTAGCTGGTGAAAAAAAGCACAAGCGTATGTATTATTTTTTTTCTATTTATGTATTGTTGTTTAATCGTCTAGAAACTAACTTTTTTTCATTAGTATGGGGCACCAGTACTACAGATTCCAACCACGAAGAAGAGTACAATCAACAGCTTGAAAAAGAATACCGCTTAAATTCTCAAAAGCGCCAGTCATTACTTTCAAACTCTCAAAATGATATTACGGCATCTTCCAACAAAAAACCCGCGATTCTAAAAAAGAATTTACGTTTATCCAAGTACCCACCTCCACAAAGCTTGAAACCTATTACCAGCAATACTTCCAAGATATCTTCTACCAAAACTTCGCGCAACACATTGGATTCGATTACTTTGGACTCAGATGATTTGATGTCAGATTTGTCTATTGAAATCTCCAACCAAGAAAACCATCTTTTGTCTCACAAGTCTTTAGACAGAGATTCATCTAAGCCTCCAAGCATATTCGATCGCCCAATTCTTTCAACCAATAAAACGGTATCAACTTCCAAAACCAAACCATCTATGCCTAGTTGTTTTCATGAAATTAAGCAATCACGTCTTCAATCTTTAAATACACAAAAGCCCATAGTCAAGCCCGAAAATCCCCCTAAAGCTACTCCAACAAATCCTTTCAAAAATGGTACTGTTGATTCTACACCTGTACAATTATTTTCAGACGATAGTTTTACGTTAGACCCAGGTCCAATTTTACCCTTTAAGCCAAGGATTGTCACTGAAAGTAAAATAATCTCTTCAACTCCCACCATCACCACCATCGAGGCCAAAGTCAGGCCTTCCCAATCTGCAAAAAATATTGAATGGTTTGACAAAATTAAATCCAGTTTTAATGAATCTTTCAGTTTTGTTTTTAAGGATGGTAAATCTATGGATGTTGGTCCATACGATGTGGCCCGTTTAAATCAGGGCGAATTTTTAAATGATACCATTGTTAACTTCTATTTGAAGTTTTTTTTGGAAAAGCATCCAGAGCTTAAAGAAAGAGTGCATTTGTTCAATACATTTTTTTACGAAAAGCTCCAAGTTCCAAATGAGTATGGCAAGGTTTCTAATTTCGAAAAAGTACGCAAATGGACAACTAAGGCAAACTTGTTTTCTCGCGATTTTATCATCATTCCCATTCATATGAAAATGCATTGGTATGTTACCATTGTATACAACCTTCCTGCACTTTTGAAACCAAAGCCAGAAAGCTCGGAAGCGTCTAGTGCAAATGAAAGCAGCTCAACGAGGTCCTTGCGTTCTCGTGACAGAACAACAAAAAAGCGAGGCAATGTTGACTTTAATCCCGAAACTGATTGTTATATTTTTATTTGTGACTCTCTGCAGGGGTCTCGTTATGACAGTCTTGTTAAAAATCTAAAGGCATATTTTGTTGCTGAAGCAAAAGATAAGCTGGACAAAACCATCGATCCCTCCAGAATCATTTCGCGCTCTGTTTCAGTACCTCAGCAGACAAATTACAGCGATTGTGGTGTTTATCTTATTCATTTCGTTCAGTGCTTTTTTGATGCCCCTGATAAGTTTGCAAAGCTTATGTCAACCCATGACCCTGTGGCTGACAAGGAACTTAGTAGGGTTTGGAACCCTACACTGATGAAGCGCGAAGTTCTTCAGCGAATGCTGTTATACTATCGTCACCTACAAGAAAATAAAATCAACGGTACATCTGGCCCCTCTGATCCTGAAGATTTATCTTCGATAATCAAGGTTTCTTCTGAAGGTCTCAATAATGGACCTGTTACGGCCCTTCCTGTCACTGACAAAATAGACGTGGACCCACCATCTGAACCTTCCACTTTTCCAAAAAGCATTGACAAGCCTTTCAAACCACCAACTTTTGTCACTTCAACTGACACCACATTTGTCGACAAGCCCAATCCAGCTAAAAGACAACAAGAATTTTTCAGCATTAATAATTCACTGAAAAACAATGATTCCCTCGATAATGACACTGACATGCTTTCAGATAAAGTAGAGTTAGATTTAAAGAATCTTGAAATTAACAAGGATAATTCTCATAAGTTACCACCAGATGTTGAGTTTGAAATTTCGATTGATTCTCCCTCTGTATTCGAGTCAAATTCTCATAATGATGCGAGCCGTTTGACTGCACAGAAATCCCAATCTATTGATTCCCAGAATTCCTATGAAATCAGTTCAGATGAAGTTGAAAAAGTCAAAAACGGCAAATCTTTACAAAGAAAAAGCATTGCTAATTCCTCTACTTCTAACGAGATTCTACATAGCTATCCTGAAAAGAAGCTGCTGAGGAATAATCGGGTTGATTCAAACCATTTATTATCTGACGATGAGCATATTAACTCTTTTTCTGATGTTGAGAGCAAAAGTATTGTTTCCATCGATGACGAGACGTCTATTGTTGAAGAGCCAAAGCCCCAAATCACCACCAAAAGTCTTCAACCAAGCGTCAAGAAGAAGCTGGAATTTAAAGAAAAGGTCACCGAGCATTTTTCTAAGATAGTCAAAGGAAATAATAGCAAAAAGGATCTCAATGAATCTGAAAGTTTTATTGAACATGCCTACCCTCCACGCTCATCTTTTAGAAAAAATCCTAAAATTGAAAAGCCCAGCTATTTGTTGGAAAAGGAATCCACCCAAGCATCGACATCTTCTCATCATACAAAAAAGGCACACACAACTCGATTCCGACAAGTTTCTACAGAAGAAAAGCCTTTGGTTGCAAAACATCAACTACGCAGCAATATGGCTACGAGCGGTGTTTCTTTTAAAAATGCTCGAGAACTAGAGCCTGTTACTACCACCTTATTGAAACCGCATATAGCTCGAAAATCTGCTCCAAAGAAAGCGAAGGTCTCAGAGGCAAAGCCAACGGCCACGGCAAATCAAGCCGCTCTGTCACCTCAAGACAATGACGAAGATGATGATATTCAGATTGTAGATTGTCAATCATCAAAACCCCTTCGCAAAAAAAGGGGTTAAATTATAAATGCTATTTGTAACTACTCCATTTAAATTTATTGCATGCTCTTTATGTTGTACAATCAAATTAAATTATTAGATAAAATTAAAGCTTTTTGTCTAAGTCATTGTTGAAACATTTGGTTGGAATGATTATCGATAATCGATATCGTCTATACCAGTTGATCGGCTTTTCAATGACTTGGAATCGCGGTCAGGGTAACTGCCTTTTTTTATTTTTTTTTTTTTATTTTATTTTTTTTTTTTCAAGGCTATCAACATCAATTCCACATCAACTATTCTGCAAATATGGAAACAGAAGTTAATTTTCTATCAGAAGATAGCTTAAATGCTGAGGTATCGCCTTTATCAGCATGTCATCTTTTCGAAAGCTCCTCAATACTTTTTAAGCTGTCTCCACCTGAGCTACCACCAAACAAAGCACACCCACTTTCAATTGCTTTAAACCTGCGGCATCTTCAAACAGTACAAGCAAATAAACTTCTTATACCACATGTTCAAGAGCATACTATAGCTTGCCCATCTTGCGGGTGTATTTGGATTCCAGGTATCAATGTTCGAGTTCGTTTAATCACACACCGTACAAACATGTTAAGGCACAGGCTGCCCAAAGGAATACTATTAAAAGAACATCAAAACGAAGATCATAATGAACATGAAAATAACCCTTCCGTATCTAAAAGATTATCCAAACGTGCCAGGAAAAGGAAACTTTTAAAAATGAAGCAAAAAAAGAAAGCACTTGATCACAAGCTTAATACTGTATACGGTCTGGATGCTGAATACGTTTCTACCCGAGCCAAAGAGTTACGAAAAAACCGAAAAATATTAGCCTATGGCTGTGGCCAGTGTCACATTTATCATATTCTTGACCCAGAAATTACAAATCAATACCCAACTGTTTCCGTAGCAGCTTCAGTTAAAAAGAAGAGCAACAACGGGTTACAGCAAAAATACACTCTAAAAGAACAAGGTCCAAATAATAAAGGCAATCAAGACTTATCAGAACAGGAAAGTTTAAGTAATTTATCTCATTCTAGTACAACTACTAAGACCGATTCTATTCTCGCTTCACGTAAAGATAAACTTCCTTCCAAAAGTAAATCTAAGAAAAAAAGTTCATTACAAATGCTTATTGCAAAACAAAAAGAATCAAAATCAAACCAGCAATTTTCATCTGGCCTGGGTCTTTTGGGGCTTATGACAAAAAAATAAATTATGTTTATAATAGAATTAATAGATGAAAAATTTTAAAAATATTAATTTTTTTTTAATTATCAAAATATACTATGGCTAATTATTTAAATGTCAAAAATATAAGCGAAATACATAAATATTAAACAACTTTCTAAATGTCGAATATACATTGTTTTCCAGGTTAAGACCTTAACAAGTTTAGAAAAGCATAAACATAACAAAGCTCACACTCAAGTATGAAAGAATAGAGGTGGCGCTGACAGATGTACCGGAGTTAACTTGAGCAAGCGAGCTGGTAGTTGGTGCAGAGTGAGAAACATAGGAGGCGGTCGAAGATGCCTTGTGTTGAGCAGAAGTTGCAGTACTAGCATAAACTGAAAAGGCTGTTGTTGGAGATTGAGCGACCACAGATTTTGTGACGCTGTAATTTGGGGTTCCATAAACAACAGACGAGTGTGCAGTAGCAACTTGAGAAACTGTGGCAAAATCGCTAGCCATCTCTGGGCCATACGACTTAACGTTGGAACCAAGGACCACAGGGACATCACCATTAGCACCAGAAGAACTGGGGACAAATGGCATATCCATGGAGCCACCATAGACAGGAGCAACGGGCTTGAGATGAGTCGAGCCAATAACTGCACCGCCCATAGCGCTAATTCCCTTGGTATCAACAGAACCAACTTGTGAAGTAGGGTCAGAAGGACCACTAACAACTTGATGGCCACCAAACCCGGTGAATGTTTCAGCACCAACCTTACCATTAGGTCCAGCTGCTGCTGCGCCGCTTCCGGAAGCAACAAATGGTTGGGATCCTTGAACTCCGGATTCAGCACCGCTCTTAGCACCAGTTTCGCCAAAAGGAGTAAAAGAACCGGCAGCACTTCCAGCACCAGAGCCAAATGGAGTAGTGCTAGAACCAGCTTGGCTTCCAGAACCAATAGATCCGAAAGGTGTGGAAGATCCAGCAGAGCTACCAGCACCAGAGCCCAGGGGACTTGCAGAGCTTCCTGCGCAAATAGGACCATCAGATCCCATGACACAGGCTTTGCTAGAAGCACCATCAGGGCCAGAACCAGCAGAACTCTTAGCAGCAGTAGATCCAGAACCTGCAGCACTTCCTGCACCTGTCGCACCGTTTCCAATAATTCCTGCAGAACTGCCAGCACCGGTGGAACCAGTGGAGCTAGAAGAACCAGCACCAACGCCAATGGAACCTTGTTCAGAGGGCTTAGGGTAAAATGTGGCTGTAGTAGAGGTAGAGGTGGCAGTATATCCAATCTCAGATGAACTAAAAGAGGAGGAAACAGCTGTAGTAGTGCATGAAGTTGAGGTGGTGGAGCTAGTGGTAGAAGCGACAAATAAAGAGGATGTGGAGGTAGTAAAAGAGGTAGATGTGCTCAATACCGAAGAGCTAGAAGAAGTCTCAGATGGGTAAACGGTAACAATGACAACAGATGGCTGAACTGAAGACTGGGAAAAGGTCGAACTACTAGAGGAGAATGTTTTTGAAGTTGAAACCGAAGAAGATGAAGATGAAGATGAAGTAGTTGGGTACTCAGTAACAGTAACAATAACCAAATTGTCTGAAGAAGATGATGAAGAAGAAACAGATGTGACAACTGATGGAATAACAGAAGTTGTGAGAGAGCCGGAACCAGAGCCAGTACCAGAGCCAGTACCAGAGCCTGAGCCTGAGCCTGAGCCTGAGCCTGAGCCTGAGCCTGAGCCTGAGCCTGAGCCTGAGCCAGAGCCTGAGCCAGTGCCAGTGCCAGTGCCAGTGCCAGTGCCAGTGCCAGTGCCAGTGCCAGTGCCAGTGCCAGTGCCAGTGCCAGTGCCAGTGCCAGTGCCAGTGCCAGTGCCAGAGCCAGTACCACTTCCAGAGCCTGTGCCAGATCCTGAGCCACTTCCAGAGCCTGTACCAGTGCCAGATCCAGTGCCAGTGCCAGATCCTGAACCAGTACCAGATCCGGAGCCAGTACCAGATCCTGAGCCTGAGCCACTGCCAGAGCCTGTACCAGTGCCAGATCCAGTGCCAGTGCTAGATCCTGAACCAGTACCAGATCCTGAGCCAGTACCAGATCCTGAGCCAGTACCAGATCCTGAGCCTGAGCCACTGCCAGAGCCACTTCCAACACCTGATCCAGTGCCAGTGCCAGAGCCGGTGCCAGAGCCAGTGCCAGAGCCGGTGCCAGAGCCAGTGCCAGAGCCACTTCCAGAGCCAGTGCCAGATCCTGAGCCACTTCCAGAGCCTGTACCAGTGCCACTTCCAGAGCCTGATCCAGAACCAGTGCCAGATCCAGTGCCAGATCCAGAGCCTGAGCCAGAGCCAGTGCCTGAGCCAGTACCTGCAGTAGATGTAGGATAAATAGTGGTAGTGAATTCAGAGCTAGAAGCATAAGTGGGTGTGGCAGTAGTTGAGGGATGGCTAGAAGATGACAAAATTACAGTAGATGTAGCCGTAGAGAGGGAAATAGACGATGAGGAAGATGATGACAAGGATGTAGTTTGGCTAGCAATTGATGAGCTTGTACTAGGATACTCTGTGACAGTAACAATGACCACATTGTCTTTAGAAGTCGATGTAGAAGTGGCAGAAGATAAAATGGAGCTCGAGATGCTTCCAACGCTGGTCTTAGTAGAAGTTGAAAAAGTGAAAGAGCTAAAGAATGTGGATGACGAAGGAACACTGGAAGAGGCGGTAGATGAATGAGCAGTGAAAGAAGTAGTGGGTGAAATAGTACTAAACGAAATAGAAAATGAGGTGGTTTTGGAAGAAGAAGTATTAGGAGACACTGATGTAGTAAGTTTAGTAGATGAATTAACTGATGAGCTAGTGGAAGTAAATGTACTAGTAGATGGTTTAACTGAAGAGGAAATGACTGATGAACTGGAAATAGAAGAAGTGGGAACCAATGTTGATATGAAAGTGGATGTGAGAGAGCCGGAGCCTGAGCCTGAGCCTGAGCCAGTGCCTGAGCCAGTGCCAGAACCAGAACCAGAGCCTGAGCCTGAGCCAGAGCCAGAGCCTGAGCCAGAGCCAGAGCCAGAGCCAGTGCCAGAACCAGAGCCTGAGCCAGTGCCAGAACCAGATCCAGATCCAGTGCCAGAACCAGATCCTGATCCAGATCCTGAGCCAGTTCCAGATCCAGTGCCAGTGCCAGATCCTGAGCCAGTGCCGGAGCCGGATCCAGAGCCAGAGCCAGAGCCAGAGCCAGAGCCAGAGCCAGAGCCAGAGCCAGAGCCAGAGCCAGAGCCAGAGCCAGAGCCAGAGCCAGAGCCAGAGCCAGAGCCAGAGCCAGAGCCAGAGCCAGAGCCAGAGCCAGAGCCAGAGCCAGAGCCAGAGCCAGAGCCAGAGCCTGATCCAGTTCCAGAGCCAGAGCCTGTCCCTGATCCTGAGCCTGAATTAGTAGATGAAGGATAAACTGTAGTTACTGTAACGCTTGAAGATGTTGATTTCAAGGTTGAAGTAGAAGAAATTATAGCAGGCTGGCTTGTCGATGTAGAAGATGTAGTGAGAACAGTTAATGAGGAACTTGAAGTCTCGCTAGTGCTGGGATATTCAGTAACTGTTACAATCACAACATTACCTGTGGACGATGTAGAAGTGGACAAGAAAGAGCTCGAGGTTGTAACCGATGAGAAACCAGCACTGGTCTTAGTGAAAGTAGAAAATGTGAAAGAACTGGAATAAGTCGAGAAAGATGTAGCACTAGAAGAAGATGGTGAAGTAGAGGTGGTAAGTAAAGATGTGGTAGGAACAACTGAAGAGCTGCATGAGGTAGTTGATGGAACAACACTTGAAGAGCTAGTAATGGAAGACGAAGTTGTAACGTAGGTAGTAAAGCTGGTAGAAATGGATGTGGTGGGAAGGGTGGTTGAATAAATAGTGGATTTGCTAGATGAAGTTGTGGGAGCAGTAGAAGAACTAGCTGAGAAAGATGATGTAGGGACAACAGTTGAGGTATAAGTCGAAACGAGAGAGCCGGAGCCAGAACCTGAACCTGAACCTGAACCTGAACCGGAGCCAGTGCCAGATCCAGTACCAGATCCAGATCCAGATCCAGATCCAGAGCCGGAGCCAGTACCAGAACCACTGCCAGTACCAGTTCCAGTGCCAGTGCCTGATCCGGAGCCAGTGCCAGAGCCGGTTCCAACACCAGAACCTGAACCTGAACCTGAACCTGAACCTGAACCTGAACCACTGCCAGTACCAGAGCCAGAGCCAGAGCCAGAGCCAGAGCCAGAGCCAGAGCCAGAGCCAGAGCCAGAGCCAGAGCCAGAGCTAGAGCCAGAGCCAGTTCCAACACCAGAACCGGAACCGGACCCACTTCCTGAATTAGTCATGGTTGGCTTAACAATGGATGTGATAACAGCAGTACTACTTAATGGAACAGAAGTAGAAGAGGTTACCGGAATAGTGATCGATTTAAGGGAAGAGGTTGTAATAACAACCGGTGACGAGGAGGACGAGAATGTAGATGTTTGGCTTGTAACTGGGGACGAAGTACTAGTTCCTGGATATTCAGTGACGGTGACAATAACCACATTGTTTTGAGAAGATGAAGTAGAAGAACTAGTAGTCTGTTTGGAGCTTGAGGATGACAATGAAATGGCAGAAGAGGAGGATGACGTAGTGTAAGATGATGATGAAACCGAGCTTGAAGTAGTGTAAGTGGAAGAGATAATAGAAGAACTAGATGAAGTGGATACTGGAACAGTAAGGGTAGATGAGTAAGTGCTAGGAACAACGGAAGAAGAAGTTGTAGAAATATATGAAGGAGAAACGGTTGAAGTAAGAGAGCCTGAACCACTGCCATTACCAGATCCTGAGCCAGTACCAGATCCTGAGCCAGTACCAGATCCTGAGCCAGAGCCAGAACCAGAACCAGAACCAGAGCCAGAACCAGAGCCAGAACCAGAACCAGAGCCAGAGCCAGATCCTGAGCCAGATCCAGTACCAGATCCTGAGCTAGTACCAGAACCTAAGCCAGTACCAGAACCTGAGCCAGTGCCAGAACCTGAGCCTGAGCCAGAACCAGAACCACTTCCAACACCTGATCCACTTCCAGAGCCAGAGCCAGAGCCAGAGCCAGAGCCACTTCCAGAGCCAGAGCCAGAGCCAGAGCCAGAGCCAGAGCCAGAGCCAGAGCCAGAGCCAGAGCCAGAGCCAGAGCCACTGCCAGAGCCACTGCCGGAACCGGAACCGGAACCAGTACCTGAGCCTGAACCAGTGCCAGAGCCAGTGCCAGTGCCTGATCCAGATCCAGTGCCAGAGCCAGAGCCTGAGCCGGTACCAGATCCATATCCGGTATCAGTTTGAATAGGGTAAACGGTGATAGTGTAATCTCCGGAATTTGAAGTAGAGCTTGACACAATTGAAGGTTCGGAAGAAGATTTTGAAGTGGCCAAAGATGTGAAGCTACTTGAAACAGTGCTAACACTTGTAGAAGTTGTTGTGAAACTAGAGCTCGAAACTACAATAGAGCTGGGAGAAGATGTTGAGCTAGAAATAATAGAGGAGGTTGGACTGGTTGTTGCAGAGGTGATGATGGAAGTGTAAGTTGATGATTGCAAGGAAACTGAGGATGAAGGATACTCAGTGACAGTAACAACAACAACATATCCACTAGAAGATGAAGATGTGGTAATGGAGCTTGTTGAGGTTGATGAAGAAGTGGAAATAACGCTCGAGCTTGTAACAGCTGACGACGTAGAGGGAACAACTGTACTAGTAAAAACTGAAGACGAAATAGGAGCGGTTGAGCTTGTACTAGTGGAAATAAAAGATGAAGTAGGAGAAACTGTGCTAGAGGATACCGAAATAGATGTAGGAACAACAGAACTTGATTTTGTGTTAAATCCAGAGCCTGAACCTGAGCCAGTACCAGAACCTGAGCCTGAGCCAGAACCAGAACCACTTCCAACACCTGATCCACTGCCAGAGCCAGTGCCAGAACCTGAGCCACTTCCAGAGCCAGAACCTGAGCCACTTCCAGAGCCAGAACCTGAGCCAGAACCTGAGCCACTGCCAGATCCAGTACCAGATCCAGATCCAGATCCAGAGCCGGAGCCGGAGCCAGTACCAGAGCCACTGCCAGATCCAGAGCCACTACCAGATCCAGAGCCACTACCTGTGCCAGTACCTGAACCTGATCCGGTTCCAACACCTGATCCAGTTCCAGCTCCAGTTCCAGATCCAGAGCCACTGCCAGTGCCAGTACCAGAGCCTGAGCCTGAGCCAGATCCAGAGCCACTACCAGATCCAGAGCCACTGCCAGTGCCAGTACCAGTACCAGTACCAGATCCTGATCCTGATCCGGTTCCAACACCTGATCCAGTTCCAGAGCCAGTTCCAGAGCCAGTTCCAGAGCCAGAGCCGGAGCCTGAACCAGAACCAGAGCCAGCACCAGAGCCACTGCCAGAGCCAGAACCAGTACCAGAACCTGAACCGCTGCCTGAACCAGATGAAACTGGGGTAACGGTAGTAGTATAAGTAACAGGAGTGGCAATAGTATTATTTTTGGAGGGTGTGGTGTAGATGATTGTAGCTGCAGATGAAGGAGTCACGCTGATGGTAGTAACGGGTGTCAAAATGCTAGTATTGTTGAAGTTAGGGACATATTGAGAAGTAGAAGTGGAAACTGAGGCGGAAGAAGTAAGAGTGGCGGTGTAAGTAGCAGGGCTTTGAGTGAAAGTCTTATTGAAACCATTTGTGGAAGAAGAAACAATAGTGACTGTCTTGTTAAAGCTAGGAGCAAATGTTGTTGGACTAGGGGTGACAGTAACAGTAACCACACTGACCAAAGGAGTTGTGAAAGTTCCACTGATGGTTGGGCGGAAGGTAGTAGAAGGTGTGTAGGTGAATACAGTATTGTTCTTTCCCACACCGGTGTTGATTGAAGATAAAGTGATGGTCTTGTTGTATCCTGGAGGAGTCCAAACACTGGTAATCGGGTTTGTACCATTCTTCCATCCACTTTTAGTCACAGTAATTATAGTTGGAGCTGATGAAGTTGAAGTAGCAGTAGTAGTAGCAACAGTTGGGGCAGATGAGGTTAAAGTGACAGTAGTGACTGCAGCAGTTGGGGTGGAGCTAGTGGCTGTTGCAGTAATAGTGGAAGGAGCAGGGGTAGAAGGAGAGTTCCATCCAGATGGGTAAACAGTGACGGTAACCACCCGGTAGTTAATAGAAGAGCTAGAAGACTGAGAAGAAGAAACTAACGAACTAGACGAACCAGCAAGAGAAGAAGATGTTGAAGTAGATGTGGGAACAACAGTTACAAGGACAGTGGTGGGCACAGTCACAATAGGAGGAACGTAAGTAACAGTAGCTGTTGTAACAGAAGAAGATCCAGAAGGTGTGTAAGTTACGACAGTTGAAGTTGGAGTGAGAGTAGTAAGAGGGGGTGTAGAGGTAGTCGTCTTAACTTCGGTAAGTGTGACACCAGGGTAGTCTGAAAGAGTTCTGGTTGTGGTAGAATAAATGATAACTGGGGGAGGTGCAGTAACAACGACTGAAGCAATAGCAGTTGCATCAGCATAAGCAGAAGCCTTTGCAGTAGCAAGTGCAGTTGGGGCAGACTTATATTTAGTCGTAGTACTAGTAACAGTATCCAAACCAGAAGGTTCATATGAAACGTAAACGGTTGTGGGCTCCATTTCGACAGTAGTAACAACACCGGAAGCATCAACAGTAGTATAAGTGGGAGGTTCAAATTGGGTAATGGTGTAAGTAGTCTGAGGACGATTGGCAACAACCTTAGTAATAACAACAACCACAGGAGGTGCAGGGATTACAGTTGCCCAAGCAGAAGCGGTAGCATGAGCAGAAGCTGTAGCGAAAGCTGTCGCAGATGCAAAAGGTTCAGGTCCATTTTCAGTATTTACGATAGTAGTAGTGTTTCTTGGTCTGGTAATGTAAACAGTGATGCTCGAACGAGGCTTAGTGGTAGTTAAAGTCTTAGCCGGGTTAGTGTGAACACAGTTAGGTTCATTGGAGCAAGGAAGAGTAACATGTGTAGTAACGACAACAGGGATATTATCTGGGTAAACAGTGTACTCAATGCCAGTTGTGAGAATACCAGTCGTAAGCGAAGAAGTGGTAGTAGGACGAGTGGAGGTAAATGTTGAAAAAGTTCCATTGGTAGGTCGCGGAATAGTTCCGTTGGTAGGTCGAGGAATAGTTCCATTTAACCAAGTACTGCAGACAGTAGTATAAGGTGTGGTAGTAGTACCCGTTGTGGCAGTAACAGTTGAAGTGGTCCAAGTAGTTTTTTTCCAGTTCTTGGACTTTGGAAGGAACCAAGCAGAGTCATTCTTAGGAACACCAGTAGCAGAAGTGTTATTGAGAGGAAGAGGCGTAGCGACGGTTCCATTGTTATAAATAGGCTTGTTAGTGGCAACAGTTGCGTTAACTTTGAGCGAGGGAAGAGCGGTCCCATTAGTTGCAAGAGGGGCGAACGGAGCAGTGGTAGTCCAAGTGCCATTCTTGACAGGAACAAAAGTTGAGTTCTTTACACTAGATCCAATAGGAACCGGTGGGACTCCAACAGGAAGAGCAGTTGCTGTGCCATTTCTGAGGAAAGGTCTGGGAACCGAAGCTGTAAATGTTGGGATAGGATAAGGACCGGTATTTGTAAAGAAAGAAGACACAAAGGAGTTTTGAGCAGCAGTGTCGTAAGGTGAGGCAGTCTTGGGCAAAGTATTGTTGAAGTTTTGAGGGGCAACAGATGTGAAAGAAGCCGCAGTGTCATTAAATCTGTTTGGTGCAATAGGATTTGTTTTGTTGAACAAGCTAGAAGATTGAGGATCAACAGTAGTATTGTACTTGGGGATGGTAGTATTGTACAATGAGGGAACAACAGGAACAGGAGCACTGCTGGCAGGAACAGTTGTGTTGCGGTTAACAGGAGTAATAACGGTAGAATTCATCTTGCTGGGTGCAACAATTGAGGCAGGAGCTGTAGTATTCATCTTACTGGGTGCAATAATTGAGGCAGGTGCAGTAGTGTTCATCTTGCTGGGACTGATAATTGAAGTTGGGGCAGCAGCGGTGGAGTTCATTTTACTAGGAGCAATAACTGAGGCAGGGACCGTAGAATTCATCTTGCTGGGCGCAACAATTGAAGCAGGAGTAGTGGTGTTCATCTTGCTAGGTGAAATAATTGAGGCCGGAGCAGTAGTGTTCATTTTGCTGGAAGCAATAACAGGAACAGAGTTATTATAAGGAGTAGTCGTATTCTTGTTCACAGGAGTGTTAACGGTCGAGTTCATAGGACTGGAAGAAGCAACAGGGGTTATAGGAGTGTTAAGAGGTGAGGTAGTGTTGCGATTCACAGGAGTATTGACTACAGTAGAGTTCTTAGTAGAAGGTTCAGAAGCAACGACGGGGGCAGTAGAGTTCATCTTGTTAGGTGTAACAATAGAAGCAGGAGCAGGGACGGAAACAGGAGCGGTAGAGTTGCGATCAGTAGGCTTAGTGATAGTCGAGTTCATTGCCTTGGGTTCATCAGCAGAAGCTGCAGTATCAGAAAGAGGTTGCTGAGGAATTGAGGGCTTTGTTGAACTAGAGCCAGTTCCTTTTCCTATGCCAACACCTTCGCCATGGCCATAACCTTGACCTTTACCACCAGATCCGGAACCTGAACCAGAGCCTGAACCTTTACCAATACCGGTTCCAGAGCCATCACTTCCAGTGCCCTTGCCTACGCCAACACCTTCGCCAATACCTTTGCCAACACCAGTACCAGAGCCACCAGAGCTGGTTCCAACACCGGACCCGGAGCCTGAGCCCGAACCGTATCCGGAACCGCTTGCAGAACTTCCAGCACCTGAAGGAGTGGCAGATGGCCAAGTGGAAGTGGGGAGTGGGCGATAACTAGCAGATGTTGAAGGGACATTGACCGTCCAGGGAACAAATGTAGAAATCTTTTTGTTTTTCTTTACGCTTTGACCGTTATCAGAGGATGGGTTTTCAGCGGGTTCATCTGCAGCAGCAGCAGCATCTGCTTCTTCGCTAACAGGTCTATATTAAAAAAAAAAAGGGTTAGAAGAGAAATTAAATTTGTCTTAAGGTTGAGACAATAATGTTATTTATTGATGCGCGAAAAAATGATGATGATCTCATTTTAATTTTGAAAAAAAAAAAAAAAAAAAAGTTTCACAAAACTTACATGTCAGAATCAGCTGGAACAGTTGATGCGGCGGAAGAATCAGGGGAAGTGCCATTCCAAAGAGCAATTCCTGGGCCTTCAAGAGACTGAGCAGAAACATGTTGCAAAGATAAAATAAAGACCCAAACCGCCAACATGCGATTTTTTTTCTTGTCAAATTTCATATTGAAGAAAAAAAAAATATTATGGCAAGAATTAAAAAATAAAAAAATAAATATGAAAAATAAAAAATAAAAAAGAATGTTCAAAAAAACAAGAAGAATAGGCAAATTACCATGAGATCGAGTCAATTGAACCTGCAAATTGATTACGATCTTATTCTCTTGGGAAAAGAAGCGAATTAAAGAGTAAAAAAGAAGCGAAAGAAAAGAATGGGGGGAAAAAAAGATATTAAACTCTGTCAAAGAATTTCTCAATATCTCTTTTTATAAAGGAATGACGGTTTTGGGTGATGGGCTTTAAAGGGAAAAAAAAAATTTTTATCAAAGTCTAGGGAAAGTCGATTATTATATAGTTTTTTAAGGTTGAATAAAGAGCTAACAAGAATTTATTTTGTAGATCCGGTAAATGGCATTCAAGTATGATATTACGAGTTTCATTTGGGTCTGTCATATTGCGTAGAATATAGTTGTGAAAAGATCATGTTGAAAGAAAATATATGAAGAAATTTTTTCATGACAAAAAAACAGGGGGGCGGTAGATCTTCTAGACCAGAAAAACTGTTGTATTTTAAAACCTGACAAAAATTACAGGAGAGTGTATATAAAACCATTTGCATGATTTTGGAAGTCTAAAGGAAATGGAGAAGGGGGGGAGACTGTCAGGGCTAAGTGATATGTGGTATGTGGGGCTGAAATAAGGTATAAGGAAAAAAAAAAGAGCATGGATTGCATGAATTTCTCTAGTTTTTGATCTTTTGTTTTTTAACTTTGAATACTTTTAAGAATATGGTACTAATTATTCAGGTAATTTTTTCTTAGATTTTGGATAGCAATGTTACATGGGCAATAGAAAAAAAAAAAGTTGTAGTCGCTTGAATCTGAGTCGTGATATATTGAAAGTTTCACGACAATATTAAAAAATATATCAAATAAAACATGTTCCTAACAACCATTTTAATGAAGAGGGTTCTTAGGTATAATTTGAAGAATTTGATTAACGAAGATTAGAAGATTAGAAGATTAGAAGATGATGAAAGGAAAATTGTTTTAAAAAGTGAAGGTACATTTTTGAAGTAAATAAATTCAAAATTCAAAATTCAAAAAGCCCATAAAGCTCTAAATCAAATAGTTAAAAAAAAAATTTTTAACATTCAAAAAAAACCAGTATGGGAATATCATATTGTATGAATTTATTATTAGCGATATTGAAAGAAATATCGCTTGCCATATATGAGCACAAAACTGGTTGAAATTAGTTGAAGACTTGTTTAGAGATTTCAAAAAACGATCGATATCTAGTCTAATAAATCTAATTGCATCGCAAAAGAAAAACACATCTAAAAATAGAAGGCGTGATTGTTGAAAGAAAAAAAAAAAAAAAAATCTATAGTATATTATGATACAGGACCGTTGGAGGTTAATTTTAATGGGACATTTTTGTCTGTCAGAAAAAATGAAAAAATTTTGTAAGAGGGGTGGTAAAAAAATAAAAATTTAAATATCAAAAATTAAAAATTAAAAATTAAAAAATTAAAAAATTAAAAAATTAAAAATTAAAAATCAAAAAATCAAAAAATCAAAAAATCAAAAATCTAATCAAAATTAAACTAAAATAAACTAATTAGTTTATAAACTAAAATAAAATATATCGTATTACTAATATATTTGTCATAATATGTCATTAACCCTTACCCGTAAACGTTATTTATTAGTAATATTTGTGATGACGTAGACAGTCTTTATTTCACGTCCCAAAAAAAAAAAAAATTATATAAAAAAAAAGGACGACGTATACGTCCCTTCTAGCAGTCTGCCTTGACGGACTATGATGTTACAAAACAAGACACAACCCGTGGCTTAGCTTGTATGTGTGTATATATATTTATTTATTTATTTATATATAAAAAAACTACTTGCGCCAGATTTTTTTTTTAATTTTTTAAATTTTTTAAATTTTTTTTGTCCCAGAAATATTATATTATATTTTATATATATATATATATAAAGAAACCTCCAAGACTTTTTACTTCTTACCTTTTTCTTTCTTCTACTTTTTTTTTTTTTTTTTGAAATAGTTCTGTGTAAGCACTTCTTTTTGTTTGTTTTTTTTGGCCTTTCCTGCTATTTCTCAGGCTCTTTTTTTTTCCCCCCCCCCCCCCACAAAAAGATGCTGACCGACCCCATTCCTTGCGCCTTTTTACTACCAGAAATACACGCCCTACCCGCATCGCCCCTCGACGACAAGGTCGACGAAGTTTCTTTTAATAACCAGCTCGATATTCCATTCGGATCTACTGCATTTCTTTCTTCATATTCTTCCGCTTCGTCCTGCTCAAACCGTAGCAGCTCCGACCAGTTTTTCTCTAGCCCTGAACTCCCAAGTATCAACACCGATCTCTCCTTCGGCTCAGACTTGCCCAACATGGCTTTCGAAAGTCCCTCTTTTGCTCAACAACAGCAACAACATCATCATAATTATCAACATCATCAACAACAACATCCAAATTCTGTTTCAGGTGGTGTTCTTTCTTTCCCCATGGTAAACTACCCGATGTCATCATCTCCTTCCGCATCAACAGTCCAGGTAGGTCTTCAAGTAACAAATGCACTCTACCAGGCTCCTCCAAGGGGTTCTAAAAAAACTAAAAATCGCAAGCGTAGCTCGACAGATGCCTCCTCTAGTGATGGAACTGACGATGGAGAGGAGGAAAAGGCACAAACTGATTACGGCTATAATCATTCCATTACTTCAGCTGCTGTTAAAGCCCTTGGTTCTGAAGGTTCTGAGCTTGCTAAACAGTTTGCAATGGGCGTTGTCCCCAAGCCTGGAGGTCAGCCGGCTGTTCTCAAGAGTCTTTTAGTCCCCAATAACAATACACCTTTAAATTCATCTTTCTCACCTTATCCCTCATACATGAATAACTCGGCAGCTACTTCGCCAACTCCACCAGCCGCCTTAGCTCCATCTAGTGGGGTTCCTGGTCGCAAGAAAAAAAATATAAACGAAATGGATAACGATGAGCGGTTGCTTGCATCTGAAGATGCTAAGAAGCTTACTTCGCGCGAGCGCCGGCAGCTGCGCAATAGAGTTTCTGCTCGTCATTTCCGTTTACGCAGAAAAGAGTATTTGTCTCATTTGGAGAGTCTTGTGGTCAATATGACTGCCAAAATCAATAAGATGCAAACCTCAATTAATGATGCAAATCAGTCGCGTGATATTTTAGATCTCATTTCGAAAACAAATCCTGAAATTGTGCAGGAAGCTATGAGGGAAATTCAAAAAGTCAACATTGCACAAACTCAAGCTCAAGCTCAAGCTCAAGCTCAAGCTCAGGCTCAGGCACAAGCGCAAGCTCAGGCTCAGGCTCAAGCTCAGGCTCAAGTTCAAGCTCAGGCCGTAGCACAAGCACATGCTCAGTATGCCGCTCAACAGCAAGCAACTCCTCAACTTCGTCTACCTCAATCTCAGCAAGTTTCATTTTCAAACATGGGTTTCCAGTTACCAATTCCAACTCCGCCTGCTGTGACTGCGTTATACCAACAACCCATTTTATCTAGTCCTCTTAGTTTTTACGGAGGTCGGCCCATGGCCTCTACCACTGCATCACCCAGTGCTACTGGGATCCCTGCCCATGCTAATGCTTGGGGACAACAGCAACAGCAACAACAGCACCAGCACCAGCACCAGCACCAACAACAACAACAACAACAACAACAACAACAACAACAACAACAACAACAACAACAGCCTCAACAACCTCAACAACCTCAACAACCTCAACAACCTCAACAACCTCAACAACCTCAACAACCTCAACAACCTCAACAACCTCAACAATCTCAACAATCTCAACAATCTCAAATATATTTGCCCACGCCTCAATACCAAACTCACAGTCGCCAGCAAAGTATTTCCGACCCACCATTGCTTGTCGCCACTTCTACTGCTGACTCTATCCGCATGAAGCCTAGCATTGTTAATCTCCTTCCATCACTTACAACTCCTAGCTCATCATCAACTAATAGCACAGTAGGCTCACTTCCACCCATGTCATCTTCAGCAGTTGCTTCACCACTTATTGCATCGCAAGCTATTAGCACGACGTCTTCTCCAAATCAACACTCTGGAGCTATAGCTAATGGTATATCACATGATAAGTCAGCTGCAATGAATAGCAATAATAATAACGGAACTATGCTGGATCCTTCGTTACTCAATTTGAGCTTCCAGTGGAACGGTAAGTCTGAGTCTTCAGCCTCGTCATCAGCTTCTTCGACTTCGTCTTCTTCATCTTCTACATCGGTTTCTTCAGTTTCTACTGGTGATGGTGGGCCAAGCAGCGGTATTTCTGGGCCTGGATATATTCAGCTTCCTCACCAGCAAATCTACCGATCTGCTGTGCCTGACCTTGAGACTCTACTTCAGAATATGAAGATTAATCAGGAGTTGAAGGCAGCTAGCGAAAAGGATATTGATAAGGTTGAGGTCAAAGATGAAGTTAAAAAGGAGGTCAAGGACGAGGTTAAAAATGAGGCCAAGAACGAGGCCAAAGAAGAGGCCACGGAAAAAGATGATGATGCAAAGGCCTCCAACACCAATGATGATGATGGTGATGATGACAAAAACAACAACAGCAATAGTAAACCTAAGCAAGTCAGTGCGTCCTTTATAGCCAAGGGTAAATGTGTAACTCCTCCATCAGCAACTTCTCCTGTGACAGCTTCTCCTGTTTTTGCTACAGCAGGGACTAAAATTGGGGTTGCTACAGTTGACACTGGTGTTACGGATATCAACAACAAGAATAAAGAAACTGATATGGAACATATGAAGTTACCGCTTTTGACTGCAGACGCCATTTTCCGCCGACTGGACCAGCGTATGGCCAACATTAAGATTCACTAAATTATTTTTTTTTTTTTTTTTTTTTTTTTTTTCTTTCCTTCTTTCTTTATTTCTCTTCCTTGTCTCTTTATATTTTCAAAAAAAAAAAATAAATAAATAAATAAATAAAAAATTTAAGTATTATATATCAAAAAAAAAATATTGTATTTTAGTTGATTAGATATGAATATAAATTGTATTCTTTAAAAAAAAAAATTCTTTTATTTTTTTTTTTAGTTTTTTAAGCCTCGACACATTTAAATGAAGAACAGTTTTTGGTTAATAACCCGCTTAGAGCATTTATGCAAAAATATTGCAAGACCTTTCTTTGTTAATTATCATTGTCTTAGAAAAAAAAAAGGGAAAGTTATTTAAAAAAAAATAAAAACATAAAAATAAATGAAGTTTTCCATTAATCAATCTAATATCTGTAAAAAAAAAAAAAAAAAAAAAAAACTACAATTAAATGAATAGAGATAATAATAATAATAATAATAATAATAATAATAATAATAATAATAATAATAATAATAATAATAATAATAATAATAATAATAATAATAATAATAATAATAATAATAATAATAATAATAATAATAATAATAATAATAATATGGCTGATAATTTGAAGACCTTATCCGCCTGCCAAGGTGTGATTTTAGATTTGATCTTTAGTTTTTTCTATTTCTAAATTGTTATTTTCGAGATCCCAGAAAAACATTTTTAGTATATTACATATACAGTATATTTATTTAATCAGTACTGTGATTATTTATATATATATTAAAAGGAATCCACTAAAATGTTTAAATTAGTTGTTTTGGTCTACGTCAATAACATCTTGTTTCTTCTGTGAGTTAGATTAAAAGTATATTATGAGAAACACTTTTAGAGAATGATTAATTGATTGTTTAGAAATAAAGTCTTTAGTAAAATATCATTATAAATTAACAACAAACATTTATTTTAATGGCAGTGTAAGATTGAAGAAAAAAAAAAAAAAAAAACCCTCCCCAACGGAATAATGACTTAGTTATTCCATAATAATAATAATTTTTTTTATTATAATTAATTATAATTGAGTGGGTTTTTTTTTTTTTTTTCTTTTCATTACGCAAGCACTTTTTTTTTTCTTTTTTTTTGTAGAACACGCAGCAATATTGAGAAAAGGAGATCTTAAAGAAAAAAAAAAAAAAAAAAAAGGCTATGGAGGTTTTGAATAGTTATAAACTTGATATGATAATTATATCAACAACATTGAGATATTTATATAAGTTCATTAATAGTCTACCAATTTACCAATTGTTTTTTTTTTTTTTTTTTTTGTGTTAAACAGCGGCAATTTAAAATAAAAAAAATAAAATAAAAAAAAATAGAACCATTTGTTTTGTTTTTTTTTTTTTTTTTTTTTTTTTAGGAAGTTTTACCAGAGCAATGTCAACGTAAGCTTTTGGAGGGGTTTAAAAAAAGAAGAAGAGAAGAGAAAGAGAAAAAAAACAAAATTTAAAATTTAAAATTTAAAATTTAAAAAAAAAATTGAAAATCAGAAAAAAAAAAAAAAAAAAAAAAAAAAGGCAAAATGAAATATTTAAATCCAATTGGTTGAATTCAACATTTTATTAAAAGTCAGACTTTGTTTTTTTTTTTTTTTTTTTTCATTTAATTAAATAAATCAAATGGAATCAAATGGAATCAAAAAAAAAAAAAAAAACCCCATTTTGAATAACTTGAAAATAACTTTCAAAACTATTCCTTTTTTTTTAAACATGTCATTTTATCATCTAGATGATAAAGATCTTGGGAGAATGGAAAGTCAGTTAATTGGTATTTATATAAGAATATTATTATTATTATTATTATTATTATAAATTACTAATTAGTAATTTTAAAAGATATTTTTTTTTTTAATTTATAACATTAATACATGGGTTATTATTACAAGTAACAAATATATATACTTTGGACAATAGCAAAATTCTCATATTCAGTTACTCTTTTTGTAATCTTAACTCCGTTTTTTTTTTTTTTTTTTTTTTTTTTTTTTAAAAGAAAAAAAAAAAAAAAAAGAAACATTGAGTCAATGATTCAATGATTCAATGACAATTATTTTTTTATTAAAAAAGATGCTTCAATAATAACAATAATAAAAAAAAAAAAAAAAAAAACCACAGATTTTATTTTATTTTTTTTTTTTCTGTACAACTTTGTTTTTTTTATTTGAAATTCTTTAATAAATTAAGTAGTTTGCAATATACAAGTGGAATAAACAAATTTTTATTTTAAAATAAATAAAAATAAAAATAAAATAAAATTCTTAAAAGACATACGTATAACGGTTATGATTGACTTGAAAAAAAAAAAAAAAAAGTTAATATGCTTAACTGAATTAACTTAATAAAATTTTAATGTCAATACGAATGCTTTTGTTTTTTTTTTTGTTTTGTTTTGTTTTAACATGGTTCATTAAAAGTTAAATATCTTATCTGTGTGTGTATAACCATTCATTATACTTTACAAAAACCGTTATCATCTGTATCTTGTTTTTTTTTTTTGAATCTTTTTGAATCTTTTTAAATTGTTTTTATTTTATTTTATTTATTTATAAATAAATAAAAATAGACTTTAATTTTGTTTGTTAATATACTAAATAATCCCAAAATCAATTCAGATGAACCAAAAATTTTATTTTGGTAATAAATCACTGAGCAACACAGGAAACTATATATATATTATTAAAGTTGACCTGCTACTCTTCTTTCTTTTGGTTTGAATGGTCCCAAGATTGCTATCAGAAAAGAAAAAAAAAAAAAAAAAAAAAGAAACTTAACCATAATCATAATCATTTAAATATATATCATTCTTAATTCTTGCTATTTGTTATTGTTTTTTATAAACATTAAAATTTCAATCAGATTTTATCTATTTTTTAGAAAAAAAAAAAAAAAAAAAGAAAAAGAAAGAAAATACTTTTTCACATAAAAAAAAACTGTTTTCTTTTTTTTTCATTACTTCTACTGCTTTATCTTAATGTCCAATAATTGTTGCTTAATAAAATGTCAAGTATTTTTAATAGACTTTCTTGAGATATATATAAAAGATATTTCTTTTCATATAAAAAGACTCACAATCTTTCAAATAAAAAAGAATCCAGTAAAATAGAAAATTCTAAAAAAAAAATAAAAATAGAATGCGTATTAGATCTAAATTAAATGTAAACAATATTTTTGTTTAATTTCTTTTAAAATAAATATATAGTAGTGTATAAACAAACTTCTTTTTTTGTTATTTCGTCATTGAGTAAATTTTGTATCTGAGTTAAAATATTAAAACTTGATGGTTATGACGATGATAACAATAACTATAATAATAGATTTATTTATATATATATATATATGTATATATATGATTTACTCAAAAAAAAAAAAAAAAAGAGTTCTTTCTAAGCCACTTTTTTTTTATTATTATTTGTCATTATTTGTTATTTTTTTTAAATTATATTGTACCATATATATATATATATATGGTACAATATAATTTAAAAATACCATATTGTGTGCACGTAATCTTTTTTTTTTTTTTTCTTTTCCCCTTTTAAATTTTTTATCTTTTTTTTATGTTCTTCATATTTTGAACTTTACAAATAAATGAAATATTTTTTTTTGTTTTTTTTAATTTTTTTTAAATTTTTTCTTTAAAACTTCGCCTCTTTTTTTTTTTTTTTTTTTGTTAATTTTTAATAATCATTTTCAATTAACAATCAAATATTTTTTAAGTTAAAAATAAAATAAAAATAAAAAATACATACAAATCAACCATATTTTAAACCAATAATCTTGTAAAAAGAAAATACAATCCTCTGATTGTTCACCAATTGTTATCCAAAAAATAAAATAAAATAAAATAAAATAAACTTTCTCCAACTTTTAACAATTATTCATTTTTCAAATTTCTTTAAACCAACTTACTTTCTTCTTTATGGACTTTATTATTTTTTCAAACACCGCCTCCTGGATTTTCTTTTAAAAAAAAAAATTTTTTGGTCTACGCAAGACTTTTTTTTTTTTTTTTTTTCCCACGCAATTTTAAAAAAGGGATATATATATATATAATATATATCGATATATCCCTTTTTCTTCCATATAAGGAAAAAAATAAGTAACCACCTTATAAACAACCCCAAGTAAATAGTTACTAAGGGGGCAGAAAAAGTTAAAGCTTCCCTGCCAGGGGTCGAACCTGGAATCTTTCGCTATGTAACCATTAATGATCGTAGGCGAACGCCTTGCCATTGGGCCACAAGGAATAACTTGAAAATATAAATTTTTAAAATTATTTAGAATGATTATTTAAATTTTAAAAAATCTTTCATAAACCTGGGAAAATATTAGGGGTGGAACTCCTTTTGGCTTTATTGATGATGTGACTATTACCGTTGAAGGTAAAATTGAAGAAAATACCAAAAGCTTAAGCAACATATTAGAAAAATGTTGTAATTGGGCTAAATCAAGAATGACCAAAATTGATTTGGGTGATAAATTGGGTTTTATTCATTTTACAAAAAATGTGAAACCTAAAGATGAGAAAGTGCAACTTACTTTACCTAATGGAGAACTTCGTGAACCCCAGAAGGAAGTTAAATTGCTTGGAATTACTTTGAACAATCTGCTTGATTTTAAATCTCATATTTTGAATAAAATCAATAAAGCAAGAAAAGCTGTTGGTGCTATTTGGCATCTTGGTGGCGTGCAAAAAGGTATGCGAGGGTCTGCAGTCAGATCACTGTATATTGCTTGCGTGAGACCAATTGTCGAATATGGCTTAGAAATTTGGCATCACAAAATTTTGAAAGGAGAAATCCACAAGTTGGAAGTAATGCAGAATATGGCTTTAAGAAGAATTGTTGGTGCGTATCGCACAACTCCTATTGCGGTACTACAAAAGGAAGCTGGTATTATGCCATATAGTATTAGGCTAAAATTTATGGTGGCACGAAAAGCTATTCGTTTACACCTAAATATTAGCAAAACTAATCCTATTAATGGTCATTTGTTAACATTGATTGAGAAATCTCCAATTGCAAAGCTAACCACGCTTTACATGTTGGCAAAAGATGATAGAGACTATATGATTAAAAAGGATGAAAAACGAAAATGCAAGAGGGTTGAACCTCTTACACTGAAACAACAACAAAGTCAGACGATTGGAATTTTAAAGAAACAAGCAATGGAAGAATGGCAAGAAATGTATTGGAACAGCAGTAAGGATCTGTGGTATCATAATATCACAGTGGAGTCGAAATGTACTGATAATCTTTCCAAAATGGTTACGGGAGTGATCATGAAGAAAGATAGTCGAAGGATCTTGAGTAATATTACTCAGTTTCGCACAGGCCATGGCAACTTTGGCGCATGGTTTAAAAAGTTTGGAATTGAAAAGGATAGTTACAACTGCAAATGTGGAGAGCTGGAAACAGTTCATCACATTTTAGTTGAGTGTCCTTTGCTTGAAGAGGAAAGAAAAGGACTGAAACGGATATCTCCAGAGATGGACATGTCGACTCTCTTAAACAGTTTAACTGGCTTACAAGAAATTGTAAGCTTTATCTCTGCTTGGAGGGATTAAGAAATACAATTACAGCGTTGATGAAGACAAGTGGAGATAGGTTGGGAAGGTTTGGTTATTTTAACCCCCTGTTCCTCGTAAGCTGGCATCAGGACTTATTTTCGGGCTGTTGGAGATGCAATGTTGAAGCCAAAATTAAAAGTTTATTATCAAAATGAAAAAATATATAGTATGGACAAGAAGGATAGCGCAGATGCTGATGTTATATAATTCTATAACCCTTGAATAAAAACAAACAAACAAACAAACGGGAAAATATTATGATCATTTTTATAACCCTTGAATAAAAACAAACAAACAAACATATTATGATCATGAAGAAAGATAGTCGAAGGATCTTGAGTAATATTACTCAATTTCGCACAGGCCATGGCAACTTTGGCGCATGGTTTAAAAAGTTTGGAATTGAAAAGGATAGTTACAACTGCAAATGTGGAGAGCTGGAAACAGTTCATCACATTTTAGTTGAGTGTTCTTTGCTTGAAGAAGAAAGAAAAGGACTGAAACGGATATCTCCAGAGATGGACATATCGACTCTCTTAAACAGTTTAACTGGCTTACAAGAGATTGTAAGCTTTATCTCTGCTTGGAGGGATTAAGAAATACAATTACAGCGTTGATGAAGACAAGTGGAGATAGGTTGGGAAGGTTTGGTTATTTTTAACCCCCTGTTCCTCGTAAGCTGGCATCAGGACTTATTTTCGGGCTGTTGGAGATGCAATGTTGAAGCCAAAATTAAAAGTTTATTATCAAAATGAAAAAATATATAGTATGGACAAGAAGGATAGCGCAGATGCTGATGTTATATAATTCTATAACCCTTGAATAAAAACAAACAAACAAAATGGGAAAATATTATATTTACATACATATATTAACAAAAATCTCAATCCTAATAATTTTTTGTTCTATTTAAGCAAAAAAAAAAACAAAGATTTTGAAAACAAAAATGCAAAGTACATTAAAACCGACCCCCTATTGTGGGGGTATTTATATTCATTTTGCAAGTTTATTGTTTTTTTTTTTTTTTTTTTTAAAAAAAATAGAATCCAAAATAAAAGATTAAATTATATAATTTCTTTTCCAATTCATCTTGATATTCAATTCATTACTTAATTCCCCTTCTTTTTTTTCTCATCTTCATTATTCTATTCCAAATTTTATTTAAATTTATTTTTTTTTTTTTTTTTAAAAATCTACATGCTCCCCTCCCCCAAAAAAAACACACACACACACACACAAAATCATATTCCCTCATATCTTAGAAATTAAGCTCCCTTCTTTCCACTCTAATCAGTCTTGCACGTTGGCGTTCCGCATCGTTAAGTACCCAAGCAACACCCTCTTCCTCTTCAACATCATCTAGCCCTACAATCATCACAATCTGAGCCACTCGTACAAACTTCTCGCGCAAACTATACTGTCCAGCACTCACCGTCGCCACAATTCGCGAAACATCACGATCTAATTGGATTGCACCTAGCTCATTTACACGACCCTCCAGCGTCCACACACGCTTCTCCAGTGTTCGTGAAAGCAGTCCGGCTGCATGTGCCAGAAGCTTCCCGTACAAAGGCGGTGCCATGACCCGTGCAAACCCACTCTTGATCACCCCCCATTCCTTGTTAAAGATTGCAGTCACCGGCGACGATGACACTCCAGTAGTACTGTCCCGTGGGTTGGGGCTCACCATGTAATCGTTTTCCTTAAATAGGTTATTGGCCAGGTGCCTGATCCGCGCAGAAAGAACCTGCGAGTAAGCAACCTGGATTCCGTCCTCTGCTAGCTCGTCGCAACGGTGCTTGAAGCTTTGTACAAACGCCTGCAACTGGTCGTGGACATCTGCTGCATCTGTTTCAAACGGAAGCACGTCTTCGTAGATGGCCTCGCGTACAATGCGTGCTGTGTATTCTGCTGCCACGTAGAGATTGTTGAGGTACACTAGGAAATTGTGGAGGCGGACCTCTTCGTGGCCCGTGAGTCCAGAGATACCAGAACCAGCAGCCCCATGTGCTCCACCAAGCCCGCTGGCCGCAGCGCCTGCGCCGCTGCCGCCGCCTGATCCGCTGCCGCTGCTTCCTGGTGGAGGCGTCGACAAACGTGAAACAAGAGTTCCAGCTGATGAGCCGACACCTGATGTGGCGTTAAAAGTTGCTGTTGCTGAGACTGCACGTGGAGCCTCGTCACGGAGTTTTCGTTGCATGGCTCCAATAAAGTCAGATTCTAGGATGCGACGGACAGCAACAATAACTGATTTTGTAAGAGCCACTTCACCTGTGTCAAGAGCTTGCTGGAGTAGAATCTTGAGCATGTACATACAGTCTTCAACAAGAGAAGTTGCGAGAGGAGCTTCTGGAGAGTAAACGGATGTAACATCTGGCATTTCTTCCAGTTGGAGGGCTTTTTCAAGGGCTCTGCGGAAGGCAAAAGTGGAGAAAGATTGGAAAGCTGGCACAATTTTAGAGTCAACCTTTTTTTCAAAGTTACAATTGACAAGCATTTGGGGCATGAGCATTTCTCCAGAAGTTGAAAAGTTGGATTGGCCTGAGTATTCTGTCCACTTGAAGCCAAGAAACTTTCGGTAAAGTGACCAGCGGTTAAGAATAACTGAAAGCTCACGGATAAGGTCACCAATATGTTTCAAGTCGACGGTTTCCGAGTCAGCAGTGGCACGGTTAAAGTCAGAGGAATTTCTATTAGGACTAAATCCTGGGGAATGAGTTCTGTTTGATGCAGACGAAGATCCAGCCGGGGCTCCTGGGAGAAAGCTATTGACAAGATAGGGGAATGCATAGTTTTGGATATCAGCAAGGGTACGAGGAATGTTACGTTCGTCCCAAAGGGTATCAATGATGAGGCCTCCTTGGCTATCTGCCTCGTCTTGTGTTTTTTCAAGGACCTGGGCCATACGGCCTTTACCGTAATGGCGTTCGACAATTGGAGCATGTTGGTTGACAATTGTGGCCATGTTTTCAAAAAGTCTTGTGACTGCGATTGCATAAAACATGGGTGTATCTGCAGAGGATCTTGCTTGGATTCGTTGGCGGGATTGAGCCGTGATGATGCCACAAATGAACTTTGCATAGACTTGAAGACCTTCCTTTTCTTTACCAATAAGTGGGAGCAATTTAAAGTAACGAGTGAGAGTCTCCATGTTTTTCTCAGCGGCAGCCTTGCTAAACTCGCGTAGGAAAATAGTCCCCAAGGCTGTAGATGCTTCTGCAAGGGTTTCCTCTGGGAAATCTGGGAGGTCAGCAGTGGGGACCATTGCTCGGGCAAAGTCACCTTTGACAAGAGCAGGAGGAAGTTGTTGAGTTTTATGAATAAATGCTGCGGCACGTTCCCAATCGCGGACATCCATTGCAGCATGGACACCTTGGACAGCCTTTTTAAGTTCGATGACGTCTGTGACGTACTGGAGAGAAAGTTTGACTCGGGACTGTTCAAGATCAAGACTACGGACTTTGACAGCTAGAGAAGAAGCTACAAAAGCAGCTGAAGACAAAGTGGAAAGGAGGTCGTGAGAAGTTGATAAAGCGGACCCAAGCTGGGCCTTGAGCTTGTTGAGTTTGCGGGATTCGTTTGAATGGGCAAGAGATGTAGTGGAGACGTAACGTTGGAGAGATGTGTCGACAGAGAAGCGGGCCATTTTGACTTGGTGGAGGGCAATTCTCAGGTCATCAATGGAAGCAGCATGGTCGACGTCTCTTCGGAGCTTTTCAGGCTCGATGACGGGTGGAGCCGAAGAGACCGGTACTTGGGAAGGCATTGATTGTGATGGTGGTGGTGAAAAAGGAAAGTAAAAATAAAAATAAAAATAAAAATAAAAAAAATAAAAAAAGTGGCCAACACATACAAGAAAAAGCGGTAGGTGGTCAACAATGGATGGGAGATAAATATGGGAGGGTGGTGGAATTTTTGAATAAATTCATAAAAATGCGACATAATTCATAAGAAAAAAAAAAAAAAAAAAAGAGAAGAAAAGAAAAAGACAATGTATAAAATAGCAAAATTAACTTAAGACCGAAGAGACGAAGAAGACGGTCTAGAAGTAGACGATGATGCAAATGATTTCCTGGTTCTATGGGGAGACGCTGAGGGTTCCGCAACAGGCTTCCCCTGGGCTTTAAGGTACTCTTTATTCCAATACTCCACACGGTAGATTTCCCAGCCTTCAATGATATCTGGGTTAAAGACTCTTGGAGAGAGAACGAGTTTAACGATTTCACCTGGCCGGGCTGCATAGGCAGGAGCCCAGAACCAATCAATGAAGGTTTCTGGCCAAGACTGTGTGATTCGCACAAGTTTAATGTTGAAGCCGCGCATGCCCTTGTTTACATTATAAATGAACTTACGAGAGGAACCGATAGTTTTGCGATGAGACCCGGAAATATAAAAGAGAATAATCGTAGTTGCGAAGATCATGAGAAGAAGACGGTTGAAGAAATGAATGACCCGGTAGATGGAGGGCTCGATGAAAACACAATAAAAAAAGTAGAGTGTTAGAGCAGCCATGGATATGTTGAAGAGTAGGTATTTACGTCTGGTTTTGCGCAGAATCACGTATTCCTGTCGGAAAGAGTCTTCCATGATAAGCAGGTTGCGATAGATATTTGCAGGGTGGCCAGGCTGGGGTCGTGGAGGAGGTGGTTGAGGGGCACCGTCGTCAGAGCTTAGAGAAGAGATAGATGCTGTTGAAGATCGTCGCCGTTGACGCCGTGAAGATCCAGAAGTCTGTGGGGATTGTGAGCGGGACGAATGTCTGGATTGGGTCTGAGACTGGGGTTGAGGGGATATTGGTCTAAGAGAGTCATGGGAGGGTTGTGGGGTTGGTGATTGGGATGATTGTGTAGATGATTGGATTGAGGAAGAGGACTGAGAAGTTTCTGGGATGTTTAGTGAAAGTTGTGGATCTGTTGTTGGGAGAGAATCTGAGATAACAATCAACTCGGGTATGGCGGTAGTTTGGGCGGAGCTTTGAGTAGAAGCGATGATGGTGGTGGCGGCAGCCACTGTTAGTGGGATTGCATGGAGTGGTTTTTCTTGAGATTCTGGGGAGGGCAAAAGGTCCTTGAGGGGGTTTTGTGAAAGATTTTTAGAGTTATTTGAGTTCCGAGGTTTTGATAGATGTTTCAACGGTTCTTTAGTTGTTGGTGATGGTGATGGTGATTCTGGTTCCGGGACCTGTGGGACGTTTTGAAGTACAGGGTCTTTAAGATGGGGTTGTTGATTATGTGGAGTTGCATTTGCAGTAGTAGTAGTAGTAGTAGTTTCAGTTGTAGTTGTAGTTGTAGTTGTAGTTTCAGTTGCAGTTGTTTGATGAGAAGTTAAAAGATCTTGTTGTTTTAGTGTCGGAACCCGGTCGATGTCGGGATTTAATTGTTGTTTGGGTTCCGGTGGTGTTACTGGGCGGGTCTGAGTGTCAGGCGAGTCTGCAGACATTTTTTTTTTTTTTTTTTTTTTTTTTTTTTTTGAAGAGAGAGATGGAACTTTGCTATGTGAAGAAGAAGATTTTGGTTAGCAGTCAAGCATTCAGTTATTAAAAAATTAAAATAAAAATATAAAAATAAAAATAATAAAATAAAAATAAAAATAAAAATAAAAATAAAATAAAAATAAAATAAAAATAAAATAAAAATAAAATAAAAATAAAATAAAAATAAAATAAAAATGGCAGTTTACAGTTGTAGATTTTCTGTTTTCTGTTTTCTGTTTTCTGTTTTCTGTTGTCATAAAATAAAAAAATAAAAAAATAAATAAAAAAATAAAAAAATAAAAAAATAAATAAAAAAATTGCCGATTTCTGTGTAACAAAAAAAAAAAAAAAAAAAAAAAAATTTAAATCATTTTGGACTCTCCAACAAACCAACCAACTCTCAAAATATATATATAAAAAAAAAACTTCCAAATACATCCCCCACCCCCCACCCACTCATTCATTCATCCATCTAAATGTCTACCGAATCTCCTCAAAAAAACATTGTTGTGCTCATTTCGGGTTCAGGAACAAATCTTCAGGCTCTTATTGATGCTGCGGCTGCAAACAAACTAGGTGGTGCAAAGATCCAACAAGTCATTTCGTCATCTGCATCAGCATATGGATTAACTAGAGCAGCCAACGGGAATGTTCCTTCATATGTTCATACATTACAGTGTGATAAATACTATGGGAAGCTTGCAAAAGATGATCGGGCAGCACGTAAAGCAGCTCGGTTACAGTTTAACCGGGATTTAGCAACACACATTTTGGAGTTGAGTCCACGGCCAGATTTGATAGTATGTGCTGGATGGATGTTAATTCTGGCACCAGAATTTTTAGGACCTGTGGAAGAAGAGGCTGGAATTTCAATCATTAATTTGCACCCAGCATTGCCAGGAGCCTTTGCAGGAACACATGCGATCCAAAGGGCATGGGAAGCTGGACAAAAGGGTGAAATCACAAAGGGAGGTGTAATGATCCATAAGGTAATTGCAGCTGTTGATGAGGGGGAGCCATTGATTGTTAAGGAAATTGAACTTAAGAAGGATGAGACTGTTGAAGAGTATGAAGATCGGGTTCATGCAGTTGAGCATGAGGCGATTGTTGAGGGTACCATTAAGGCATTGGAGTAAAGACGAGATGAGACAATTTATATATATAGTGCACAATAACAATAATAATAATAATAATAATAATAATACTTTATTTATACAAGGAATTACAATCAACCATCAATGTCCATTGCATCTGAATGGCCTCCAACGGGGATAGTTGTCAAGGGTACATCGACTACAGAAACAATATTGCGTATACTTTGAGATAAGATACCTGTTGTTCCCTTTGCAAACTTGTAAGAACGTTCCTTTTTGCCACGTTCATTTGGTTTACGGAATCCGCGGTGAAGTTGTGCTGGTTGGTCTTGTTCCATGACACAAATGTCAACATTTGAACCAGAACCCAAATCATTCCAAATACCAGATTCGATTGCATCTGCAACTAGGTTAATTGCTTCTTCCTTGGAAATATCTTTATGCCAACGAGCCTCGAGAACTGCCATAGCAGCCATGGAACCTGATCCGAGAGAAAGATAAAACCCAACATCAGTAGAACCATGAGCATGAATAGAAAAAAGTTGAGGGCCTGTAGGGTCAACACCTGCAACAATGAGGTATGCACCAACATGACCTTGGTATTGGAAAAGGTGTTGTTTAAGCATAGTTAAGGCTGTGACGACTCTTGGTTTACGGCCTGTGTTAAGGGCATGAAGTTCAATGTTTGATGAAATAAGTTGAGTAACCATTTCTGTGTCTGCTGCGGTACCTGCACCGGCACACCAGATTTGAGGAGAGATTTGATGAAGTTTTTCACAGTTTTTATCTGCCACGATGGGACCTGCGGTGGCACGAGTATCTGCAGCAATGACGACGCCTCCATCGAAGCGACAGCCGACAATTGTAGTACCTGTAGAGGTTGCTCCTGGAACTGCAACACCATGGGCTTCAAGGTATTTGTTTCGCAGGTGATTATCGAATGAAAGACCGGGCATTGTTAGGGGGTTGATGTAATGGATGTGGTTGATGTGGTTGATAATATGTGATGATTGAGATGGTTGAGATGGTTGAGGGGGGCGTATTATTATTTTTTTTTTTTTGTAATTTTGAGTGTGGCGATAAATTGGGTGTGAGATTTAAAAAAAAAAAAAAAGAAGGGAAATAAGATGAGTAAGAAATGTTTATTAATGATTAGTCATGTATTTATTATATCATGTGACTTTTATCAATTCTTTAAATTTATATTAAAGATTAACTGACATAAAAAAGTCGATAGTCGACACTTCCATTAAAATCAAAACAGTATATATATATATATATATATATACTTTAAAAAAAAAAAAATTTTACATTAGCTGTATATAAGTGACAGATATTCAATAAAAAGTATGAAATTCCCTTCATCAGGTTTTTGTTGTTGTTATTGTTGTTAGTAGTAAGTAGATATTTTGGTCTACTGATATAAAGGACCACCACCTGATTATATAGGTAGAGTTAGTGCACACACACACCTTTAGTTAGTGGGGAAAAAGTATTTTCCCCCCTAATAGTTTTTTTTTTTTAGAATTGGTGAGTTGTCTATAAAAAAAAAAATTGCAGTTGGGCGGCTTTTTTTTTTGTTGTTGTTGTTGTTGTTGTTTAAACATTTTTTAATTGGTGTCCGATCATTCGGGTCTTTCGGGTCTTTTTTTTTTTTTTTTTTTTTTTTTTTTTTTTTTTTTTTTATTTATTTATCTATTTATATTTATTTAAATTTTATTTAATCTACAACAATAGCAGAGAAAAAAAAAAGATTTTTTTTTAAATACTAAAAGATTAAGCATTTATTGAAATTCAATTTTTAAAAGAAAGAAAAAAAAATGACAATTAAAAGAATGGTTAGTAAATAAATAAATAAATAAATAAATAAATCAATGTGTCATTTATAAATGATGATAGTCATAATAATAATAATAATAATCGGCAACTAACGGTTACTTTAAAAATATATAAAAAAAACTTTTTGAAAACTTTTCTTTTTGATTGTTATTGTTGATTAACCATCTTTTGATGTCGGGTCTTTTTATTTTTTCCCTTTAAATTATTGTTGTTGTTGTTGTTGTTTTTTTTTTGACTTGGTCGGTCGGGTTTCCTGTTAAGAACGTTTTTATTTTATTTTATTTTATTTTGTTATAAATTTCCAACTGTTTTTATTTCCAAAAAATGAAAAATGAAAAATGAAAAATGAAAAAATAAAATAAAATTAAAAAAAAATTAAAAAAAAAAAGACCCGAGTTAATTGTTGTTGATCAACATTAAGAAAAGGATTTTTATTTATTTAGTAGTTAAAAGAAACATTTTTTTTTTTTTAAAATTGATTTTAAATTGATTTTAAATTGATTTTAAATTGATTTTAAATAAATAAATAAATAAATAAAAAAGTCTCCTTATAAATGAAATTCTTTATTATTATTATTAAAAAAAAAAAATTGTCAACTGACTGCCTTCCTAAAACGAATTTTTTTTTTTTTTTTTTTTTCCCCCATGAAAACCTTTAAAGTGGCAGGCAATTAAATTTTTTTATTTCTTTTAAACTTTTTTTTTTTTTTTATATATAAAAATTTGGCAGTTCACAAGACCAAATTAAATTAAATTAAATTAAAAAAAAAACTCACAAGACCAGTTTTTTTTTTTTTTTAAATTGTATTATGAAGAATAATATTAATAATAATAATGAAAAAAAAAAAAATTAAAGTAAATGAAATAATTTATTTCTGTTATATCAATGAAAATTGAAAAATAAAAAATAATATAAAAATAAAAATAAATTGAAAAATCCTGTGTTTTTATTTTTAAAAAAAGAGAGACCCGAGTATATATATATATATATATTTTTACAATCATCATCATCATCAACTATCAATTATCAATAACTATCAACAATTATCAAAACTGGTTATATTCGGTTGCTAACGGCTTTATTATTATTTTTTTATATATAAATGATTTAAAATAAAAAAAAATAAAAAAAAAAACGTTTTACTTAAAAAAAATAAATAAATAAAAATAAAAATAAAAACGCTCCCAAATCATCTTATTCTTTTTCTTCTTTTTTCCATCCCTAAAAAAAAAAAAAAACCTTCACTTTAAATTTTTTTATTTTTTTTTTTTTTTTCCATATAAAAACCCCCCCACAATCCTTCTTATCCTTTTCACCCCTCCAAAAAAAAAAAAAAAATTTAAAAACCTTTTCTTTCTTTTCTTCAAATAAAATAAAAAATAAAAAATAAAAAATGTCCAAAATCCCAAAAGTCTCTCCACTTACAATCGACAAACTTAATGCAAATGTCGTAAACGCTAAATACGCTGTAAGAGGCCGTCTAGCTATCCGTGCTGAACAACTCAAAGCTACCCTCGCTGAAGGTTCATCTACCCTCCCCTTTTCTAAAGTTATCAATGCAAATATTGGAAACCCACAACAATTAGACCAAAAACCAATCACTTTTTACCGCCAAGTATTGTCCATTGTCGAATACCCACAACTCTTGGAAAAACCAGAAGCTTCCATCATCTATAAAGCTGATGCTATTGCTAGAGCTAAAAAAATTATCTCGAATGTAGGCTCTGTAGGTGCTTACTCAAATGCTCAAGGTATTCAAATCATTCGTGATTCTGTTGCTTCCTTTATTGAAAAAAGAGATGGCTTCCCCGCTGATCCTCATTCAATCTTCCTTACATCTGGAGCTTCCTCTGCCGTCACAATGCTCCTTAATGCACAAGCTACTGGAAACAAGGCTGGTTTCTTGATTCCTATCCCTCAGTACCCCCTCTACTCTGCTACTTTAACCCTCATGGGTGCATCTGCAGTCCAGTACCACTTAGATGAAGCTAAGAGCTGGGCAACTAATGTTGATGAAATCTCCCAAATCGTCAATAAGGCTAAGCTTGAAGGCATTGATCTTAAAACCATAGTGGTCATTAACCCAGGTAACCCTACAGGTACTGTTCTCCCTGAAGAAAATATTCGTGGAATTATTGATATTGCTGCTCAACATGAAATTGTCATCATTGCAGATGAAGTTTACCAAGAAAATGTTTACCTGGGAGAATTTATTTCTTTCAAAAAAGTCCTTCGCAAAATGCAACAAGAATTCCCAGGGAAATATGATACTGTAGAACTTGCATCTCTACATTCTACATCAAAGGGAATGATTGGTGAATGTGGTCATCGTGGTGGTTACATGGAATTAGTCGGTTTTAACAAGGAAGTCGTCGATACAATCTATAAGTTGGCTGCCATCCAACTCTGTGCAAATGTCCCAGGTCAAGTCGCTGTCGAACTTATGGTTAACCCTCCCGTCAAGGGTGATGCATCTTATGAAGAATTTACTCGTGAATATTCCCACATCTTTAACACTCTTAAACATCGTTCTTCTGTTCTTTACAAGGCTTTTGAATCCATGGAAGGTGTTTCTTGTCAAGCTCCAGAAGGTGCCATGTATTTGTTCCCTCAAATTACTCTCCCTAAAAAGGCCATTGAAGAGGCTCAACGTCTTAATGAAGTCCCCGATGAATTTTATTGTTTACAGTTATTGGAAGAAACTGGAATCTGTGTGATTCCTGGGTCCGGGTTTGGTCAAAAGGATGGCACTTGGCATTTCCGTACCACTTTCTTGGCCCCGGTCGATGATTATGCAGCTGCCCTGACAAAATTCCATCAGCGGTTTATGGATAAGTACCGCGATTAGGAGTTGTAGATAAGTGTTCCGAGATATCCGGGGTCAATTATTATTATTATTATGATTTAAATATATATATATATATATATATATATATTGCTTTATAGGATTTATTATGAATTAAAAAAAATAAAAAATAAAAAAAAAAAAGAACGCAGTAGCAATCAAACAAAAGGCAACCAAATTGGCTGCTTAATTAAACAAAAAAAAAAAAAAAAGAAGATGTAATTAGTAAATTATGATTAGATATATTGCAAGATTAAACAATTTTATTTTATTTAATCATTTAATCAATCAATGAAAAGAATATCGTCCTCGTTTTCTCGTCTTTTTTTTCTTTTTTTTTTATTTCTTTTTGTTTCTTTTTGGTCCCGTTCGACATTTCTTAGGCGCTCAATACAATTCTGGTTTGCTCGTGTGCCTCTCACGTGATATCTTTTTTTTTTTTTTTTTTTTATTTTTTTTTTTTTTTTTTTTTTTTTTTTTTTTTTTTTTTGATTTTTTTTTTTTTTCAAAACCTCCATAAAAACTTCCTTTTTTCTCTTATTTTCATCACCACCACCACCACCACCACTAACATCACTACTAACATCACCACTAAACAATCCAATGGATGAAGAGGTCCCTTCTGAACTCTTTCGAGAGTTCCTCTTAAACAATCCAGAAATTGTAAAAGATCTTTATGGGAATATGCGTGATAATAATAATAAACATAATCACAATACCCATGACTCTAGACTCGATGACCCAGATGATCATTACCCTGATCACAATCACAACCATACTCATAATCATCAACATCAACATCATCATCATTGTCATGATAATGATGATGATGATGATATTAATGGCGACGATCCTATTACTCAAGAAGAGTTAGAGAACCCTCTTCTTTCAGAATTCTTTGTAACTCGTCTGAAAAATATTATGGGGACTGTAGATCCCATGGGTTCCATGAACTCAGAACATCATTTACAAATGCCTACAAAAACATTTACCATCCCTCAAAGCTCCAATCCTCAACCACACCCAACCCAATCTAATATCTCTTTGGGTTCTCCACCTGATCCTCTTAGATCAATCACACCAACCTCCTTCTTTGGATTCGAATGCCGTGACCCTAACTGTACAGGTCACGACTCTTCACCTACAATAAGACTTAGCTTGAGACCCGTTGTTGAATTTATCATGCCTACTACACAATCTTTTGCTGCTCCAGCAAGATTCGGACCCCCACCTCTCCCCATGATTGCTCGTACCCCTCAAATTAAGGCGTGTCGTGAAGATTATACCCCAGGTTATACAATCACTTGGGATTTTTCAGCTTGTGATCAACTCCAATCTCTTTCAACAAACTCAACAAGGAAACTCGTATTTGGCTCCTATGACCCAAACCGGGTTGAATACTCTTATGCCCGAGGACTCATTAAGGCTGCTTCTGTTTGTCCAGCAAGTACCCTAGCCCCCCTCATTTTCCCCGTCTTTGATACCTGCCAAACCAAATGGCAACCGGCAATTGTGTTTGCAGACACTCGTGATGCTAGCCTTGCATTTTCAGGCACACTTCAAGATACATTTAAACGCAAAGTCAAACTTATTAACCGTGTTGAAACTTTACGTTTTAATAAAAACGTACGCTACCTTGAGTCCCAAGTATCCCGAGACCTTATGCGCAAATCTTATCGCTCAATTGCCCCCACAGCATACCGCAAAGACTCTACAGCATTACAAGAAGAAAATTATACAAATCATTTGATTAGAATGAGTACTGAACAAGAAGCTGCATCTCAAAATATTGCAATTCCACAGTCTCTTAGTGTCCGTAAATGGCGGCGACTGATTTTTGATAATGCAGAAGTTACAGCCAAGATTCACATGAGCAGACTATACTTTGACATTGATAGTGTTTTGCAAAGTGAAGAAGTCATGACTCCTCTAGTACAACGTCAAACAATCACGAACCCCTTTGTAGGGCCTTACTTTTTCCATAACCGAATGAGACAAATGATTTTCCAAGACCTCATGGCTGATAAGGGCAAAACCGCTGGCGGGATGCGTGGAGTTATCATGGTTCGTACTCGTGAGAAACTTGAAAATCCAACCCGTAACCCTTGGGTCTTATTGCCATCTACATGGGAAGGTGCCCCGCAACTAGCAACACTTGTACGCCGTGCGATTTTAGGAGAATATGGGACTACCATAACAGTTGATTCAGATGTCCCTGAATGGCCTGAGAACTTGACAGAAGTAATTGATTTTAGTTCGTCTTGGAAAGCATTCAAGTATGAATGGAAATCTTCAATTGCAAAGGGCACAGTTCCTCATATTGATGAAAATGAGCTTGTGGATTTGTTTAAACCTAAGTTTGCCACGGTAGCTCACCGACAAGATCCTAAGACAAAAAAGCCATGGGTTCCATCACTGGAACAACTCATGCTTATGACAATGCATGCTCAGCAGGTGCGAAGAATGATATTAGGGTCATGGGAAGAATTGGCAGATGAATTCCCACATTCGAATCAAGATGAAGATATTGTTTCGTCAATTGAACGCCGATTTGTGGAAGCACTTGATCCTTATACTTCACCAGAAGATCGGTTCTTGTCGCCAGAATTTATAGGACGCTTGCAGCGACAACCGTCACCGTACATGATATTGCGTGCTGTACGGAATCGTTTCAATGCTCGTGCAGAGGATGTAGCGCCGCTGGTGGCGCCGCAGATTGCACGTGTCTTGGCTACTATGGACCTTTCACCTTTATACTGTAACAGTGAGAGTAAGGTATGGGAGTTTGTAGGCAAGACATGGGACGAATGTTTAAAACCATTATACGTTGTGTTTTTCAGTTGTCATACTAGTCGTATTTCACCACAAGCATTTGTAGCTCTATGGCTTTATAGTGTCATTACTACAGGCTATGGGGTTGAGGAGAGTGAGAAAAAGGGGAATACAGGATCAGGTACAGGATCAGGAATTGGATCAGGAATTGGATCAGGAACAGGAGCAGGAGCAGGATCAGGATTAGGAAGTACAGGAGGAGGATTAGGATCTGTTTCGGCTGGTGGTGGTAGTAGTAATTTGGGGTCTACTGGAGGGGCTACGCATAGTGGGTTTCATTCAAAGAAGAAGAAGAATAAAAAGAATAAGAAAAAGACTCATGAACCTTCATCTGTTACTGCTTCTTCTACTGCTTCTTCTACTGCTTCTGCTTCTTCTACACCTGAACCGGATCAACCATCGATGCGTGCTAAATTATATCGCAAAATGTTTACACAAGCCGAATTGGCAGCCAAATACCCTGCACTTTCGCGTGTATTTACGTCATTATATGATTTAAGTATTGAACCTACTTCATTTCAGTTAAAGCTTCAATTACGTGGTAATACATCATATCAGAATTTGGTTTGTAAAGATTGGGATGAAGAAACATTTGGAAGAGGATGGGATTCTTGTGTTCAACCAGAGTATCAAGAAGAAAACCGGCCAATTACAGTGGAAGAATGGAATAGTAGTGGAGGAGAAGGAGGAGAAGATAAGAATAAGAATAAGAATAAGAATAATAATAATAATAATAATAATAATAATAATAATAATAATAAGAAAGAAGAAGAAGAAAGAGGAGTTGATAAGGATGAACCATTAGGATGTGCGTGTGAACTTAAGGCAGATATGAAGGAATATATTGCAGAACGTAGAGAAGTTATGATGAGCCGAGGACAAGCTGTTGTTTAAGGTGGGGGAGGGGGAGATAGGTAATTGTAATAAGTGTATATATTATAGGTAATAAGGAAAGAAAGAAAGAAAGAAATAAATAAATAAAGAAATAAATAAAGAAATAAATAAATAAAGAGAAGAGAAGGTGGGGGTGGGAAAAAAAAAAAAAAAAAAAAAAAAAGTGTTTTATTTATGATTTATTTATGATTTATTTATGATTTATTTATGATTTAAAATTGATGATTTAAAATTGATGATTTACAGATTGTGTGTGAGTGAGTGGGGAATAATAATAAAATAAATAATAATATATTAAGTGAATACAACTAAAGACATAATTATTAAAATTATTAAAATTATCAAATTATTATCAAATTATTATAAAAATTTTGAATTGTGGGGGTGAATTGTGTTTATATGTTTGTTTATATTATTAAAGAAAAAAATTTAAATTTTATTTAAATACCGCGGATTGTGGACAACTTTTTTTTGTTTTATTTTTTTTTATAAAAATTTAAAAAAAGTCACGTAATTAATTTTCAATAATTATCGAATTTGTTATTTATTTAACAAAAACAAACAAACAACTCTTTTTTTTTTTATTTTTTTTATTTGTTTTATTTTTTTTATTTTTTTTATTTTTTTTTAAAAATACCTCCCTTTTTTTTTTTCTATATTATCATTGATATCATTGATTAAATATAACTATATTCTAATCAACTACCAAAAAAAAAAAAAAAGAAAAAAATACAATTATAATATAATTATGGGAATTCTTGATCTTGAAGAACAACTTGCATTTTATCGCAAATATCATTGTATGTTTTTTTTTTTTTTTTTTTTTCTATTTCTTTAATTCTTTAATTCTTTAATTCTTTAATTCTTTTCAAAATCTAACATTTTTTTATTCCCCTTTTTCATCCTTCTTTTTTTTAGATAATTCAACAAATGTTGCCATACATATAATTTTTGTTCCTACAATTCTCTTTTCTTCACTTGCAATTCTTTCAGCTTTCCCACTTTGGCCTACACTTTCTTCAATTTCTGCTTCTTATTTAAATATTGGTCTTTTAACTGCTTTATCTTATGGTCTTTTTTATCTTTTACTCGATTTAACTTTTGGTCTTCCTACTCTTTTTATATTATTGGCTATAACTAGAGCTCAAGCTTCTTTAATTTGGTTGGAAGAATTACCCTTTTATGTACCTGGATTCTTGTTACCAAATCTTTTAATTGATTCTCCAATTAAAATAAGTATTATCTTATTTGTGGTAGGTTGGATCGTCCAATTTATTGGCCATGGAGTTTATGAAAAAAGAGCACCTGCTTTACTAGATAATCTAGTCCAAGCTCTAGTGTTGGCTCCATTTTTCGTGCTTTTCGAAATCGCTTACCTTTTGGGATTCCGTACACAAGTTATTGAACGGGTAGACGAAAAAATTCTTCCTGAAATTAAAGCCTTTCATAAAATCAAGTAATACTAAAAAATGAAAAAATGAAAAAAAAATTAAAAAGAAGTATAGTTATTTTTTATTATATATATATTTATATATCAAATGTGAATTATACAAGCAACCACATCTCGCTCAGTATTTTTTTTTTTTTTGGTTCTTTATATTCTCAGTTAGGATTTTTTAAAATTTATATATTAAAAGAATACTTAAGCAAAGTTGGCAGAGAAGGTGGCAGTGGCCTCCTTAAGCTGAGCAAGCTGTTCCTTGGTAAGCTCACCCTTGTCAGCAATGGCAGAAAGGATACCAGACTCGTTGGCCTTAAGGTAAGAAAGGAGCTCAGACTCGTATCTAGCAACATCAGCAACAGGGACCTTGTCAAGGAAACCGTTAACACCGGCAAAGACAACAGGAACCTGCTCATCAGCACCAAGAGGAGAAGACTGCTTCTGCTTAAGAATCTGGGTAAGACGCTCACCACGGGCAAGAGTAAGCTTGGTGGAGGCATCAAGATCGGAACCGAACTGGGCAAAGGCAGCGACTTCACGGTACTGGGCCAAGAACAGCTTGAGGGAACCAGCAACCTGCTTCATGGCCTTGACCTGAGCGGCAGAACCGACACGGGAAACGGAAAGACCGACATTGATGGCGGGTCTGATACCCTTGTAGAAAAGCTCAGCCTCCAAGAAGATCTGACCGTCGGTAATGGAAATGACATTGGTAGGAATGTAAGCAGAGACATCACCACCCTGGGTCTCAATGACAGGGAGGGCAGTAAGGGAACCAGAGCCGTGCTTCTCAGACATCTTGGCAGCACGCTCAAGAAGACGAGAGTGGAGGTAGAAGACATCACCGGGGTAAGCCTCACGACCAGGAGGACGTCTCAAAAGAAGAGACATTTGACGGTAAGCAACAGCCTGCTTAGACAAATCATCGTAGATGATAAGAGCGTGCTTGCCATTGTCTCTGAACCACTCGCCAATGGCGCAGCCAGTGAAGGGAGCAAGGTACTGAAGAGGAGCAGCCTCGGAAGCAGTGGCAGCAACAATGATAGAGTACTTGAGAGCATCGTTCTGCTCAAGAGTCTGGACGAGCTGAGCAACAGTGGATCTCTTCTGGCCGACAGCGACGTAGACACAGTAAAGCTTCTTGGTCTCGTCAGAGAGGTTGTTCCATCTCTTCTGGTTAAGAATGGTGTCGATGGCGACAGTGGTCTTACCAGTCTGACGGTCACCAATAATCAACTCACGCTGACCACGGCCAATGGGGACAAGAGCATCGACAGACTTAAGACCAGTCTGCATAGGCTCGTGGACAGAGCGACGGGGAAGAATACCAGGAGCCTTGACCTGAGCACGGATTCTCTCGGTGGACTCGATGGGGCCCTTACCGTCAATGGCGTTACCGAGGGCATCAACGACACGGCCGAGAAGACCAGGGCCGACGGGGACGTCAACAATGGAACCGGTTCTCTTGACAGTCTCACCTTCCTTGACGAGACGGTCAGAACCGAACAAGACGATACCGACTTGGCCGGCTTCCAAGTTAAGGGCCATACCCTTGACACCGGAAGAGAACTCAACGAGCTCTTCAGCCTGGACATTGTTAAGACCGAAAACACGGGCGATACCGTCACTGAACAGTGTTAGTTAGTTATTTGAGTTCAATTTTTTTTTAAATATTTGGGAGAGGGTTAGGGAAATATATTGAATTGGCCAATAGAAGAAGTAGTTGGATGAAAAGTGGTTGGCAACCTGGAATTTTGAAAAAAGCAGCCAATAGGAGTGCAGAAACCGTAGAAATTTTTTGAAATTTGTGCAAAAAAAAAAAAAAGCGAGAAAGCTGGCAATAAAACAAAATTGAAATTGAAATTGAATTGAAATGGATTGGATTGAAATGGAGATTGATTGATTGAAAAAAAAAAACAAATGATTTGAAGCATTGAAAAAAGGGAAATAATAGTAATAATAATTTAAAAATAAAACTTACCCAACGGAAAGGACACGGCCAGTCTCGTTGAGGTCGGCCTCACCAGAGACACCGCGGATGCGCTCCTCGAGGATAGAAGAGACTTCAGTAGGGGTGGCCTTGGCCTCAGCGAAGCCTCTTCTGGCAACGATGACACGGGGCTATAAAAAAAAATCAATTGATTAGAATTTATAAAAGAGTTTTTTTATAGGAAGAAGAAGAAAAATAGTCTTCAATTGAATTAAAGAAATAAGAACTTTAAAAGTTGAATTAATAAAGTCTTTTTCAACTTAAAAAGAAGAACGAGGTATTATTGTTATTATTATTATGAAAAACAAAATAAACATACAGCAACAGCAGCGGCACGCTGAGCGGCAACAACACCGGCACGGCGGGCGGATTGACGAAGGACAGTTCGCAACATTGTGAAGATGGAGTGGATGTGAGAGGATGATGGGGTGGAGATGAAAAAAAAAAGGGGAAGAGAAGGAAGGAAGAAAGGATGAAGAGAATAGAAAGGATGGAGAGGGTAAAAGGAGAGAGAGAGAGAGGAGAGGAGAGGGAAAAAAAAAAAAATAAAAATAAAATAGGAGGAGGAGGGCAAAGGGTAAAAAGCACGTATTATAATAGTAAAAAAATTTAATAAATAAATAAATAAATAGCCACCCACACAAAAGGACTTGCCAACTAAAAATGGCCAACCAGCCAAACAGACTAAAAGGGCCAACCAGCCAAAGAGGCCAGCCAAAGAGGCCAGCCCATACAACCAGCCCATACAACCAGCCCATACAGCCAGCCATACAGCCAGCCATAAAGCCATACAGCCAGCTAGCAGAGCCAGCAAGAGCCCAGACAAGATTTTTTTTTTTTTTTTTTCTAAATAGACTGATGGGTTATTAATTTAATTATTAATTTTATTAATTTATTTATTTATTAATTTATTTATTATTACTTTGGAAAATATAAATATATATATATATATATATGTCTACACACATACACATACACAAATTACAACTACAAATAAGGTGCCATACACTAGTCAGTTAGAAGTTATGATGACAGTTTTTTTTATATTCAAAAAGTCATTTATTTAATTATAATTAAATATTAAAGTAGATATCAAATACTATTTAGACGATGGAAAAAAAATTAAATAAATAAATAAAGATATAGTAGATCATAAATAATTGTAATAATAGTAATAGTAGTAACAGCCATTCAGCCTGTAAGATCAATCTACGACTTCCATAGGATTAGCACAGACATTTTGGCCAGTAGCAGTCCGAGAACCAAAAAAGAAAAAAAAAAAAAATTGTTGTAATTAATTAAGTTGTAACAAGTGGAAATGTATATATATATATATGTCATACATGTGGGGGCTACTATATATCATTATAATTATATTACAACATGAGCAAGTAAAAAAAAAAAGTTGTAACAAATAAATTAAAATAAAATAAATTAAATTAAATTAAATTAAATTAAAAAAAAGCCGCAGAGTGTGTTTATAGGCCAGTAAGAACTCTAGCCAGTCAGTCAGTCAGTCAACTAGCAAACCAGCAAGCAAGTAAGCAAAACCTCCCCAATTGGCTGTATAATATAATATAATAAAATAAAATAAAATAAAATAAAATAATAAAGCAAAGGAATAAGAAGATGAAGATGAAGATGAAAAACCTTTCCCTATGCTTAGTTGGCAGAGCAACGTTACAATAACAACAACAACTACATTTTAGGCAGTAGTAGTTATTTATTGGCTATACTAGTAAAGGGAAATAACGAAAGGCTGAATAGGGGGGAATTATACTGATTGGCTGGCTGTCTTGCTGGTTATCAATTTTAATTAATTTTTATGTAATTCAATTCAATTTAATTTAATTTAATTTAATTTAATTCTTATTAAATTTAATACTATGAGAGATTTTTTTTTATTTATTTATTTATTTATTTATTATTATTATTATTATTATTATTATTATTATTATTATTATTATTATTATTATTAAGCGCCCAGCATTGTATAAACACGACAGTTAACGAACTAAGAACTCAAAAAAAAAAAAAAAAAAAAATTAAACATTTTCTTATGAGAGCTATTCAATACAAATATATATACCAAAAATTGATGATATCACATGCCATCACATGATTTATTTATTTTTCAAATCACACTTAAATTACAACAACAAGAATTACAAAAAATGTTACAACAAATATTACAAAAAATGTTAAAATAAATGTTACAGCTATATTACACTTTTTCTATTTTCCTTTTTTTTTTTTTTTTTTTTTTTAAAACCTCCTTTTGCAACATCACCACCAAAGCCACCACCACCCACCACTACCTACCCACTCACCTATCACCACAATAAACCTCTCTCTCTCTCTCTCCCCTAAATTTTTTTTTTTTTTTTCACAAATTTTTTTTTTATTATATTATTAATAACCTCATCATACATCCAACATCTTAAAAATTCACCATCCCACTATGAACCTAATCAAGGCTCTCGAATCCATTGTCGCGAGCCCTGACCAGGACCTCCAGGTGGCCATCCTTGCAAACCCTCTTCCAACTACCCTCTCTTATGCTTCTTATGAAACATTAACCTTTTCAAACCCAACTTCAATCCAACCATCCTCTTCAACCACTTCTCATCTTTCAACACCTTCAAATACTCAACCTTTCTTTGCCCCCCATCTTCCAACAGCTACATATCATCACCCTGACTTGCCCACAGACAATAATGACCCCTCTTCTGATGGAATCAATCTCCCCCTACTCATCGGCTTAATTTCTGGCTTTGGAACACTCTTCTTAGGCATCTTTTGTGGAATCCTTTGGTTCACACTCCTCGGACGCAACGGAAGAATTAAACTTGGATCAGGTAATTCTGGAGATTATGACGATGATGATGACCAAACAGGTCTTGAAGAAGAAGTTGCTGAATTAGAAGCCATGGATGAACCTACCCGTCAAACTTACCTTCGTACTAAGGCCTTTGTGGCTTCAAACCCACCAAACTCAGCTCACGCTGATATCTCCCTTGCCCAATACTTAACCATCCAAGAAAAGGGTGTCAGCGCATGGGAATTTGAGGTAGATTTCCCTAACGCAAACTGCTTTGTAGAGGCCCGCACCGAAATTGAATTTTATGATAACAATGTCGGATGCACTCAAACAAACCTCCCACTTCCTAAACAAAATGAAGTCTACTACTGGGAAGCTAAAATGTTTGATATGCCCCCAACTACCCAGGTCGCAGTAGGCCTTACTACCAAACCATACCCTACCTTCCGTCTCCCAGGATTTACCAAACTCTCCGTTGCTTATGATTCAACAGGTACCCGCCGCATCAATAATGCCGCAGCCGCCACCCCAAACTACGGACCAAAGTTCCAACAAGGCGACGTGGTCGGTGTTGGATACCGCCCCCGTTCAGGCATAATCTTCTTCACCCATAATGGCCGCCGCATCGATGAACCAGCAGTCCAAGGTTTCCGCTATAACCTCTTCCCAACTGTCGGCGCTGATGGACCATGCAAAGTCACAGTCAACTTTGGCCAGGCTGGGTTTGTTTACATTGAAGCCAATGTTAAAAAGTGGGGGCTTGCTCCTGCTCAGGGTACTCTTTCCCCACCACCTCCCTACGGAGCTGAACGCGATAGTGTTCTTCTTGAAACTAGCCGCTTCTTGCCCGGATCCGGTGAGTCGTCTTCTTCAATTAATACTGGCGACCATATCACCTCAACTGTCGCTTCAAGCTCTAATACCATCTCTTCTCCTACATTAAATACCACTGCCGGATCAGTGTACTCTGAAAATACCCAGCCGTCCTCTCCAGTAGCCCCCACCTTATCATCCCAACACCAACACCAACACCAACTCTCCTCGTCTTCTGCTTCCTCCTCTCCTACTCTTCGTGCATCCCAAGCCCCCCTTCAATACCGCCAACAATCTCCTCCTCCATTTACTCCTCGTAATGATGCAGACATGGACGCAGACGCCCCAGTTGATTCTACCCTGGCTGCCGCCCGTAGACATAACTCATCAGTGTACAGCTTGCACACCCAGCACCCGCCACAAACCCCGGGCTCCCCGCCACCCTCATACTCAGACAATGAAGACGAAACGCATGGCGCAACCCAGTCAGTAGCTGCAGTTCTCGAAAGTGGGCCTACTCAGCAAGGACAAAACATAGAAACTGCAACAGAAACTGCAACAGAAGCTGCAACAGAAGCTGCAACAGAAGCTGCAACAGAAGCTGCAACAGAAGCTGAAGCTGAAGCAGACGCAACAGTAACAGTAGCAGACCCTCCTATCTTTGAACCTACGCCCCAACAGTCCGTTGCTTCGTCTTCCACTCCACTTGTTGACGCTGCTCCTGAAGGTGCTGTCAAAGATGTTAGTAAGGCTGCTACAGCTACTGAAAGCACTACAAATGATACCATTGAAGAAACCAGTAGTGCTGCTACTGCTAATGCTACAGCTAATGCTACAGCTACAGCTACTATTACAGATGCTGAAAATGTAGTAGATGCTACAGCTGAAGGTTCTAGTGAAGTTACTAAAGATGTTGTTGTTCCCTCAGCCCAGAATGTGAGTGAAGTTGCAGTTGCTGAGACTTTTGATGATGCTAGTCAAGCCACGACTCCTGAGACTCCTGAGACTCCTGAGACTCCTGAGACTACTACTGAAGTTTCAGGCCCTGAGTCCCAAGCAACTAACACCAGCACTCCAGTGGAATTACCCAAGACTCATGAACCAACTAGTAACGAAGATGCTACGGTTGCTACAGATGCTACAGATGCTGATGACGAAGAGTCATTGCTAATTCCTGTAGGTGCTCCTGGTTCTGCAGGATCCACTATTTCACGAACTGCAAGCTCAACAGGATCGATTAGCAAGAAAAAAACAGGAAACAAGAAACGTGGCAAGTCATACAAGCAGCGTCGCCGTAAAAAAAAAAAAAAAAAAGAGAGAGAAAGAGAAAGAAAGAAAGAAAGAAAAAAAGATTTTTAAATTTTTTTTTGATCTTTGATTTCTTTTTTTTTTTTCTACAAATGAAAACGAGTTTTTTTTTTTTTTTTTTTAACCAAGATGATGTCTTGTTTACTACGTTGTAGTTAATTAGTTAGTTAGTTTTTCTTCTTTTTCTTCTTTCTCTTTTTTGTACTTTCTTTCACTCGTTTTTTTCACCCCCTTCCACCACCCTCCCCTCCTCTTTCTCTTTTTTTCTTTCTTTTCTTTCTCTAACTTTGTTTTATTTTTATTTATTGAATTTTTTTTTTTTTTAATTCCATTAATTCCATGAATAAACTTTTTTTCTAAAAAAAAAAAAAAATAATGAACAACTCTCTCCATACTCACTCATAATATAGAAGAGGTGAGGGAGGGGGGGGGAAAAAAAAAAAAACCTGTACACATTAAACACAATTGCTACTAAAATTATTCTTCATAATCATCGTCATCGTCATCATCATCATCATCATCATAACCATAACCATAACCATCATCATTATTATTATTATCATTATTATCATTATTATTGTCAACTTTTTGCATTATACTTTTCACACACTTTTTTCTCCAAGCATTGCAGCTGCCAATCCCTGGATCGCCGTTTCCCCTTCACTTGCTGAACCACTTGCACTTGCACTTGCACCTGCACCTGCATCTGCATTTGTTGTTGATCCACTTGTTCCACCACTTACACTGCTAACACCTTGAGGTCCTAATGCCATCATAACACGACCCAATTCATTGACTCTAGTAAGTGAAGTTCTAAAACAAGCCCCGGAAATTGGATCAAAAGTTTTAACATGAACTGCAGTACCTTGACTTGATCCACGAGAAGAGTTGTCATTGGCGTTGGCGTTGTTGGCGTTGGCGTTGTTGTTGGCGGACCCTAAACATGGTCTAGGAACTGAGTGAGTGTATGTAGTAGTCACTCGAGTCTGTCAAGAAATAAAAAAAAAAAAAAGTTATAAAAAAAGAATAAGAGATAAATAAATATAAAGAATAAGAAGAATAAGAAGAAGAAAAAAAAAAAATAAAAAAAAGGGTTTTTCTTTTTCATTTTTTTTTTTTTTTCTTCTTATGTTTTATATAAATATAAACTTACAGTCTCGGGACGTGCAGCAATTAATAGCTGTGATTTCTCAATAAATTCATCAAGAGGGATCTTTAAACCTGGCATTTTTATTTTTTTTATGTTTGATATAAAGGAAAGTTGGCAGTTGTGAAAAAAAAAAAAAAAAAAAAAATACAATTTGAGCTTCAATTTTTTTTTTTAATGACACAGTTGTATTACAATTACAAAAAATATTTTGTTAACTTAACTTAACTTAATTTATTTTAATTAATTTAATATATTTTTTTTTTTTTCAACTCTAACTAAAAACATCTTTATACGCAAATACACAAATTTTTTTAAAAAAAAAACAAATTTAATCCCTTTTCCATCAAAATCCAAATGGATTCTGAGGTGTCGCTGCATTCAAATTGGCCCTCCGTCCAGTGGCTGTTGGCTGCAATGGTGCACTATTTCCAAATGCAACAGTGGGTGGCGCCGCACTGCCGGCTCCCACAGGCGCACCAGCTGCCATGGCCTGGAAAATGTTGCCTACATTGTTCGACGGTCCTGTTCCACTATTGCCAAACCCAAACCCAGTCGGCTGCGTTTGCAGCGGCTGAACATTCATCTGGTACCCGGACCCGGCAGCTGGCTGCGTAGCTGCTGCAGCTCCAAACTGTGGGAACACAGAAGGCTGTTGCTGTTGTTGGAACGTAGGTTGTTGTTGTTGTTGGAATGTAGGTTGTTGTTGAAACGTGGGCTGCTGGGGTTGGAACAATGTCAATTGAGGCTGCTGCTGCTGCATAAACAAATTGGGCGTACTGCCAGTCATAAAAGTGGGCTGCTGAATAAAATTCTGAAACGACGTGGCCTGAGGCTGAACCTGTTGCAAGTTGAGAGCCTGCATCTGGTTGTTCAACGTGTTAAGTGTTGGTGCAGTTGTAGATGAAACCTGAGGAGCCTGTCCAAAAGTTGATGTAGGCACTTGGCCAAATGTAGTTTGAGGAACAACAACTGATCCAAAAGAAGTCTGAGGGGCAGCTCCACCTTGCAAAAACGGGTTACCTGTAAGAGCAGGAGTCGAGGCAGCAAATTGTTGAGTCAAAAACGGGTTGGTGGTATGGGTGGGTACAAGACCACCAGTGATTTGAGTTCGCACCAAACCACCAGTGACTTGAGGAGCAACAAACCCACCAGTAACTTGTCCAGGCAACGACGTAGTTGATACACTAAAGGGTTGCTGAGCAATACCAGTAGCAAATGGATTAAGAGGCTCGCGCACCAATCCTCCAGTTGCTTGGGCACCAAGAGCACCAGTTGCAACAGGCTGGAGTGCAATGGGAATAGTAACGGGGATTGTGATGATAGAACCACCGCCAGTGCGCTGGGGGGCCTGTGGAGCCATGCCAGTCATTTGCTGCTTAATGTTTGCAGATTTGGCAGCTTCGGTTTGCACAGGGTTCAAAGGCTTAAAATCCATAAACTCCTTCAATGCGCCAGTAGGCTGAGGTTGAGCAGGAGGAGGATTGGCATAGACTGGAGCAGGAGGTGGAGGTGGAGGAGCTGCAACAATCACAGGAGCTGGTGCTGGTGCTGGAACCACAACGGGGGCAGAAGCTGGTGCCGGTGCTGGTGCAATAGGAGCAGGACCAGCACCAGCTCTAACTGCCCATGCATCATCTTCAAAGCCTTGAGCAGCAGGCTGAACCTGAGAAGCCAGGCTGGCAGTTGATGCAGCAGCTGATGGAACCGAAGTGGCTGGAACCGAGATCGGGGCCGGAGCTGGGGCCGGGCCAGCATTGGCTTGTCTTGTGGTATTGTTCTTCAACGTACCATCGGTATTTGAAAAAAGACCACCTGCTGCAGTTCCCACAGGGACAATTGCGGCGCCACCGGGGCCACCACCTGTCTTTTGACCCTCAAGGCGTCTGTTGAACTTTTCGTCAAGACGCTTGGTGACACGGAGAATATCACCTTCCTTAAGGCCCAAGGTACGGAGAACCTCAGGAGTAATGTCAGCAAGAATGGACTCATCCATTTGGTCTCGATTAAAATTGATAGAGTAGCGCTGACAATTGTTAATGTCAACACCGCAATCCAAAAAGAAGCCAAACCAATCAAACTCAGGGAGAGTTGAGGGTGCCTGGGAAACATGATTGCGAGCATTTGAATCAGCAGGACGTGACGATGATCTGGGCGAAAACGAATCCGGATCGTGGTCTCCTGTGCTGACACCTCCAGGAATGGTAAGGACCTGTTGTTGAGACTTGTTGCGGTATGAAGGAGAATAGCTACGTTCATCACCACGTGAGCTGGCTCTGCGAGCACCAGAACGGTTGGAGCCACGTTTAATATCAGCCAGGGGCTTATCATCTTCAAAACTCATTCCAGTGAGATTTTCGACATATTCCAAATCCTGAGTAGACATTTTACTAGCAGCAACAGCAATCTTGACACCATTAACCTTGTGGAGATGGATTTTTCCATCAACACAGCCCAAAAAGGCAGCATCGACTTTAAAAGCACCAGATCTATCTGTCCATGTGCGAACTTTTCTAGAATCTGGTTTGGGTTTTTCTTTATTTTCTCTGCCTTCTCTTTCTCTTTCTCTATTGTTGCTGCTGCTACCGCCACCATTGGATTGGCTGCGTTGTCTTCTTCTTGCGTCTTGTTGACGCTGGTAGTCACGTTCACGATCAGCTTCACGTTCACGTTCTTCTTTATCCTCACGTTCTTTTCTAGATGAAGAGGAAGAAGAAAATAAACTTGGACGACGGAGAAGAGACTTTTTGTTTCCACCGTCTGATTTTTGACGAGATGGGTAAAATGAGAGACGTTTCGAAGCGGTTGGTTCAGGTGCCACTTCGATATAAGAGCTTGGAATCATACCCTCACGACCTGAAGCGTTACGAATGAGCCACCATTCGCGACTACGTTCCGAGTCAATGACAAAAATGTTTTCGCCCTCCTTGACAGTAACTTCGTCGTCATGAGCGGCGTCAAAGTCGTAGAGAACCTTGCCCATTTTCTGACCTGCTGATTTTGCGGCAGCAATGACCTCTCTGAGGCCAATGGCTTTGTTTGCACCGGAGAGATCTCCTAAAACGGAAATGATTTCCTCAGCGGTTTCTTTTGAGCCAGCATGAAGATCTAGGGAAAGAGAAGGGTGTTGGAGCTCAAGGAAAACGTGTTTCTTTTCGCTATTATAATTAATGAGGTCGTCAATGGGCCATTGCTGAGGGTTTGAGTCTGTACGGGCTGAGGAGTACATGATTGAGCCATTTCCAATTGAAATAGTTGCCTTGTATTTTTTCCTTCCATCAACTTCCTGAACGTACCAATTATAGAATTGTTCGTTTTTCTTATTATTATTATTATTATTATTGTTGCTATTGTCATTGTTGTTTGAGCTTGACTCGGTACGAGCTTGATCTCTTGGACGTCGTCTATTATTATTGTCTGAATTAGTTGGTCTAGAAGGAAGAGGGGGGGCATCTTCATCATCTTCATTACTAGGGCGACTAGAGCCATAATTGTCTGAAGGAGGTGGAGAAGAGTCCTGGGGCATTTCTGGAAGGGGTTTATCTTTAGCAGGTGGGACAAAAGTTGGTGGTGGAGGTGGGGGGATGTAAGAAGAGTTTTTAGGGCCTTGTCCAAAAGTAGAAGAGGTAGCGGTAGCAGCAGTGACGGCAGCAATGGGAGCAGCATAGGCAGATTGAGAGGGAGGAGGAGCAGCAGCAGAAACAGCAGCAGAGGCACCTGAGCCAACTTCTATATAGTTTGCTGGGACAAAGCCATATTCTTGTGATGATTTTTTGCCAACAAGAAGCCAATCTGGGTCTGAAGAGTCGTAGACATCAAAGATTTCATCTTCTTGGAAAGAAAGTTCTTCTTCAGTTTGTCTATCATATGAATATAAAGCTTTAGCTATTGAAACAACTGGAGCCTATAATTTAAAAAGAAAAAAAAAAAAAAAAAAGAAAATTGGAATTGTTAGTAATAAGTTTTGGTTTAAGTGTGGGATGAATGTTGCGGTTTTTTTTTATTTTTTTTTTTTTTTGTAAAGTATGAATTTTTCAAAGAACACGTACTGGTTGGATGTAGGTATTAGGCACTAGGCCAACAGGTTCCTCAGTTTCTGAGCCCAAAACGCGTTTTTTAACTTTCCACCAGTCGTCGGTGGTGGATTTTTCAAGGAGATAGAGAAGGTCACCTTGAGCGAGTGTAAGTTCTTGGTCTGTTTGAGCGGCATAAGGATATAACGCCACGTAGACGCCAATGAAGAAGGATGGCATTATTTAGAGAGAAAGAAGAAGAAGAAGAAGATAAGCGAGAAAGAATTGGAGGAAGAGGTAGATGACGATGACGATGACGACTAAAAGATTGAGAAAAGAGTTGTTAGGTTGAATGAAGTTCTTTTTAAATTATCTTCTATTCTCTATATATATTAAAAAAAAAAAAAAAAAAAAAAAAAAAAAAAAAAAAAAAAAAAGAGGTCTTCAAAAATTAAAATAACTGGAGATGCAATGGTTATTTCTAAGAAGAAGAAGAAGAAGAAGAAGAAGAAGACTTTTTTTTTTTTTTTTTTTTTTTTTTTTTAATAGAGGGAGGGATTGAAAAAAAAAAAAAAGTCTAATGAAAATGACAAATTTTGTATGAATTTGGGTAGGTAGTGAGCAAAAAAAAAAAAAAAAAAAAAAAAAAAAAAAAAAAAAAGGGGGGGGAGGAAAAGAAAAGAAAATGGAAATAAAAAAAGGTGTGAGATTATAATAATTAATATAATTAATATAATTAATATAATTATTATAATTATTATTAATTTTTATTAATTTTTTTAGTTAGAAACGTGAAAAGTATTGGTGGTGGTGATGCAAAAAAATAAAAATAAAATAAAATAAAAAAAAGGTCTTTTAAAGTACTTTGGAGGAGGAGATACGAGGGGGGTCGTATTTTTTTTTTTTTTTATTTATTTTATGGTTGTTATTATATTATTAGATTGGCGGTTATTAGATAGATAAATGATTAATTGTAATTGTAATTGTAATATAATTTTAATAATTGAATTAAAAATGTAATTAAAAATGTAATGTAATTAAGTCACGTGTGTTGTTTATGTGAAATATTTAAATAAACTGTAACACCATTTAATTTAATTTAATTATTTAGTTTAATTTAATAATAACAAAATGTTATGTTAAAATAAAATAAAATAAAAAGTTTATTTCCAAAAAAAAAAAAAAGAAGGAAACAAGATCCTCGGGTCAATGTCGCCGTGGACATAAAAAAAAAAAAAAAAAAAAACAAAAAAAATTTCAAATGTGGCTGGAAAGAATTCTTTTTTTTTTTTTTTAAAAATATTTTTATTAATAATAACAATAACAATAACAACAATAAGAGTCACTTTGTAAAAGACCATCCATCCGTCATAATCATAGTCATAGTCATAATTGACTGGGGGGAATTTTTTTTTTTATATATATATTAATAAGAGAATAAGAAAAAGAATTAGTAATAATGAATGTGGCGCAAAATTACCATAAAGGCGTCATCTTCACCAGCGACATCGGCGCAGAAAATCCCGAGGCAATTGCAGATAAACGGTTGAAGAAGGCCGAGGACTGGTGGTTTTTTTATTATTTTTATTATTTTTTTATCATTATTTACTTTTGACCGTGGCAAATTTCAATAAAATAATAATATTAATATTAATAAATTTTTTTTTGTCCAAGACCTTTTTTTTCAATTTGAAAAAAAAATTTCAAGTATGTGTGGGGTGTGTGGAGATTTTTTTTTATTACGACCGTTTGTTATACGAGAGTGGAGTTAATAAAAAAAAAAATATATATATATATATATATATAAGACTTAAATAGCATACATAAAGTTTTAACAAAGATTAGTCATATTTAAAAATTACATAATATTAGTATTATTACGTAATTACGGATTACAACGAAAAAAAAATAAAAAATTATCTAAGTGGGAGGCGGGGAATTTTTTTTTTTTTTAATATTTACAGTAATAATAAATAAATAAATAAATAAATAAATAATAAACACTTAAACACCCCTCAAATTGTTAATTTTTTCATCATAATCAACCAACATCTTCAATAAATAAAAAAAAAAAAAAAAAAATCTGCTGCGGCTGGAACGGCCTTTTCGAACCTGCAAGGCTGAAAAAAGTTTTTTTTTTTTAATCATCAGATAAGCTTGGTAAGTAAATTGCAGCAACAACAAACAAGAAAAAGAATTTTAACAACAACCAAAAATTTTTTTTAACATGTAAAAAAAAAAAAAAAAAAAACTCAATTAATTAATTAATTAATTAATAATTAAACACACACACACACATACACAGCAACTTAAATTTTTAAAAAAAAAAAATTTATATAAAAGGCTCTGAAGATCCCACTATTTTTTTTTACTTAATTTTGAGTCTTTTTTTTTTTTCTATATATATTTAATTATTATTTTTTTATTTATTAATATTATATCACTTCTATTTTAAATCTCTAATACTATTATTATTATTATTATTATTATTATTATTATTATATTATCATCATCATTATTTACTATTACTATTACTACTACATTATACCACTCAACCAATCTCATTCTAAATATTATTATATATAAATATATATAATAACATCTAAATCTACCAACTTACATATATAACTCTCATAATACTACAATGGCAGCTGTCGCTCGAAGAAGATCATCATCCGTCGGCCTTTCACCAGTCGCCGCTACAGAACTCACAGATTCCGTCGTCATTGTTGTTTTTGGCGCATCCGGAGATTTGGCCAAAAAGAAAACTGTATGCTCTTTTTTTTTTTTTTCTTTTATTCACTTTAATTCACTTTAATTCACTTTAATTCAATTCAGTTCTAACATTCTCTTTTGCCACTTATTAAAGTTCCCCGCTCTATTTGGTCTGGTAAGTCTTAATCTAATCCCTCTCACCCATCTGTTCCAATAAATTAAACTCTCTTGTCTAACTTTTTATCCCAGTTTAAAAATGGATTGCTCCCTAGGAAAACTAAAATTGTTGGATATGCACGCACTAAAATGACCCACGATGAATTCATTGACCGTATTACCCAACGCCTCAATTACAATAAAGACGACCAAACTCAAGTCACAAAAGTTCAAAAATTTAAAGATATCGTTTCCTATGTCTCGGGACAATATGACTCAGATGAAGGCTTCATTGAACTCAACAAACACGTGGTTGCTCTAGAAGATGAAATGCAGGTTGAAACCCGCGACCGATTCTTTTATTTCGCCCTTCCTCCCTCTGTCTTTGCCGAGGTCTCGGTTCACCTTCGCAAAGAGGTATACCCACCAGGAGAAAAAGATTCAGTCCGTGTCATTATTGAAAAACCATTTGGTCGTGACCTCAAAACTTCCCGTGAACTTCAAGATAAACTCTCTCAAGTCTGGCAGGAAAATGAAATGTTCCGCATTGATCACTACCTCGGAAAGGAAATGGTTAAAAACATTTTGATTCTGCGTTTCGGTAATGTTTTCTTCTCTTCCTCTTGGAACAGAAATACCATCTCAAATGTTCAAATCTCATTTAAAGAACCCTTTGGCACCGAAGGCCGTGGTGGTTACTTTGACAATATCGGCATCATCCGTGACGTTATGCAAAACCATCTTCTCCAAGTCCTTTCCCTCGTCGCAATGGAACGTCCAGTTTCCTTTGACTCTGAAGATATTCGTGACGAAAAGGTCAAGGTTTTAAAGGCAATTGCACCCCTTGATATCAAAAACTGCGTTCTCGGACAATACGACAAGTCTATTGACGGAACAAAACCTGCATACACTGATGACGAAACTGTCAAGCCTGGCTCCCGTGCTGTCACTTTTGCCACCATTGCCCTGTCGATTGAAAATGAACGTTGGGAAGGTGTCCCCTTCATTCTCCGTGCAGGCAAGGCCCTGGACGAAGCCAAGGTCGAGATCCGTATCCAATTTAAGGACGTTCCACGCGGCATTTTCCAATCCATTCCTCGTAATGAGCTCGTCATTCGTGTTCAACCAGAAGAAGCAATCTACCTCAAGATGAATTGCAAGTACCCAGGCCTGTCAACCCGAACTCTGCCAACAGATATGGACCTGACGTACCACTCACGTTATGCGGACCTCCGCATTCCTGAGGCTTACGAGGCCCTTATTCTCGATGCTCTTAAGGGCGATCATTCTAACTTTGTTCGTGATGATGAACTGGACGTTTCTTGGACATTATTCACCCCATTGCTTGACCTTATTGACAATGACGAGTCCATTATCCCTGAAAAGTACCCCTACGGCTCGCGCGGCCCTGCCTCTGTTTCAAAGTTCCTCTCTGATAGAGGGTATGTCCGTGACACTGCAGGTCTGTACCAGTGGCCTGTCACCAGAGGTAATTTGTAAAGAAAAAAAAAAAAAAAACTTAAAACGAGATAACGAAAACTTTTAAAAAAAAAAAAACAAAATTAATTAACGCAATGAAGTAATGAAATTAAAATTAAGTACCTAAAACCATGATGATTTTCTATATAACCTACTTGAAATATTTCCTTTTCCTTTTCCATCTTCCCAATTTCTAATCCTCAGATGCTTGCTCGAAAAACTGCTGCTGTAAAAACTTAAGCCATTCACGCGTCCTTTTTCCTTCTTCTTCTTCTTCTTCATTTTCATTTTCATTTCTACGACAATGGCTACCATTTTGCACACACATTTGCTCAATATGTACCAATGCCTCGCACAAATCCACAACGCGTTTTTTTTGTCTCCATGCGGCACGCGTGGCCCCTCCAGCCGCTGCCTGTGCATCACTTGCTCGTTGCAACATGTCACGGATTCCCCGCGCAGATTTCAGAAATTGTAAGGGGAAAGGCAGCGCATGTGCTAAAAGAAGTCCGTACGATAGCCGATGTAGTGACATACTGGCATCAGAAGAAGAAGAAGAGGATGAGGATGATGAAGAAGAAGCATGGTGATGGTGGTGGTGGTGGGGTTGAGGGTCGTTACCCGATGGCGCCGGCCGGGTCTTGTCCGTGGCGATGGGCAATGCGAGGAAAAGCGAGTCAACAGCTTGTGCAGAAGTTTTGGTAGCCTTGTAGTGCATAGTCATACCCTGTTGCTGGATCTATAATAACATCAACAATAAAAATAAAAAAAAAAATTGAATTTTACAATCCATTGCTCTCGAGAGACGGGTTAGATGGTGCGAAGTAAATTTTTATTTTTTTTTTATTTTCCCTTTCCTTTTCACTTTTCTTCCCCCCTGGTCCCTCCCCGCACTTTAACCCACCCATCTCTCTTTGATGGATTGCAAAGGGTAATCAATTTTTTTTTTTTTTTTTGGTTAGTTAATCAAACGGAGGAAAAAAAAAAAAGGTTTTTAAAATTTAAACAACTAAAAAGAAAAAAAAAAAACGTAAGTCTAATCAATTGATGGCTACCAAATGGAGGAGTAGGAGTAGGAGGTTTATATGTTCGAGGTATTTATTCTTAAATCCGGGGTTAGAAGGACATTAGAATTTTTATAGGAGTGGAAAGGAGGAATTTGAAGGTTTCCCTTTAGGTATGACATGTCTAATTAGATAATGAGATAGTTATAACTAGCACGTGGAAAATATATATATTTATTTAATTTCATATAATATGACTTTGCACAGACACACATAGAAAATAAAAAATATATATACACAAAAATGAACGCACGGGTATCGTCCGTTTGCAATGGACTGAAAATCTTCTTCATCTTCTTATTCATCTTTTGATGCAACATGCAATTGATGATAAATTCCGTCTCCGCCAAATGGAGCTAGAAATACCGTCTGCAGCCCTTAATGCTACAAAAAAAATAAAAAAAAAATAAAAAAAAATAAAAAAAAATAAAAAAAATATATGTCCATCACCATCACTCTATCTTACTTTGGTATCTTTCTCTCAATTCTTCTGGAAGTGAAAAATAAATTAAAATAAATTAAAATAAAAAGGGACCCTTTTGCCATCATGCATGGTTTGAAAGAAAAAATAAAAATAAAAATAAAAAGAACATTCTTATTCCTGGGTATTGTACTCCGTCACTGACTTTTCTTACAAACCAACATTGACTTTGCACTTCCCGCTGGTCCTTTCGGGTATCAATCCCTTTCAAATTATCGTCCATTTCAAATCAAGTCCTTTCTTTCTCCTCTTTCAATTATCGTGCCCATCCGGGGTCACCTTCCCTTTATTTTTCCTCCCCCACCTTTTTTTTTTTTTTTTTTTCTTCTTCTATTTCCTCCACTGGATTTTGCAACAAAACAATAAATACTCACATCCGCTTTCATATTCAAAATGGCAACCCCGGGACGTGCCCCCATAGCTTTGGCCAGGTCCTGAAAGTGTGTCGACAAAAATGTCGTCACAACTCCTTGCCCTACCCTGCCTCGTCTCGTCGGCACCCGCACCAACCAGTCCGTAATTGCTAGTGATATTGCAAGCCCGTCTGCAACCCCAGACCCGCGGCCTAACTCGTCAATTAGCACAAGGTCCGGCAACCCTTCTGCCACCGAGCCTTCACCGGCTGCAGTGTTGGAGCTTCCAAGGTGATGCAGAATGTAGGCTATTTCTGTCATCTCGGCTGAAAACGACGATGCTAACATGTCATCATCTCCTGGATCACTCTGGATCCGTGCGTAGAGCCCCTTATAAATCGGGAGTTTTGCAAACTCTGCTGGGATACTGAAAAAAAAAAAAAAAAAAACCAAAAAATCTGGGGTTAGTTTCTCCGAAATTTCTCCACACAAAAGAGTATCACTCTCTCTTCCTTTGATCCAGTTTAATAGGTGACTTACAAACTCCCCACTTGAGCCATGATTACCAGCAAGGCTATCTGGCGTAAATACACACTCTTGCCGCTCATATTAACACCTGTGATTATATTCATCCGCGACGTGTCCGGGGAAGCGTAAATATCGTTGGGGACAAATGGTTTGAATCGCATTGTTCGGTCAAGAATCGGGTGCCGCGACAACTTCACTGCAAGTTTTTCGCGGGTTGCTCCCTCGGTCGTAAACTCAGGGCGCGTGTATCCTCCCGTCGAGCTTGTTGCTAAGTGCGCAAACGCACACATAAGATCTAGCATGGCAACCGCCTCTGAAACTAAAAACATGTCAAACGTGCGCTTCCCCAGCTCCTCAAAAAGCCCATCAACTATCCCGTCACTCATCAAAATAATCTCCTTGGTTATATTTTGAATCCTAATGTTGATCTTCATCACATCCAGCGTCGTCATTTCAATGTGCTTCCGCGTCGTGCGTCGGTGGATAAACATGTCTTTATCTAACTTGCCTTCCACTTCCTCGGCCAAATGGCCCGGAACCTTAAGAAAGTGTCCACGCTTGGTGTCGTATCCATGCTCAAATGGAATCCCAAATTCGGATACATATTTCCGTGCAGTGGCATAAAAGTCGTCTGTGTACTCGCGAAATAGTGTCCGCGAAATGTCCAGAAACCCATTCGAACCTGCCTTGACGGCATTGGTGCGCTGCAATCTTAATTCCTGCGAGCTCTTGGCCCACCTGGTATTTTCTTCAATGTATCGTGAAATCAATTCCTTCACTTCACGCACTTCTGCACCTCCAAGCTTTTCTCTAAGCTCAACCAACAACTCGCTTTGAACATCCACCAATACCTCCTCAGCAATTTCAATCGACATAGTAACAGCATCTTTGAGCATAATGACTTGATTAATCCTGCGATCCGTAACGACATTTTTCTTCTTTAACTGAAATGACATGGCTGTCAGCAATTTGTCCATGTCCTCAAACACATTGAGCTTTTGTTGGCACTCAGTGATGATGTCAACGTTGCGACAAAGCTCTTCTACGGCGTCTTGTCGCCTAGTCAGGTTTTCAAGTCGTGTCAAGGGCTGCAACAAGTTGGCACGCAAGATCCGTGCACCCATACTTGTTTTGGTATGATTCATAAGTTTATACAATGACATGCCTGCAGCCCCCTCAAGCAAGTTGTGGATAATTTCTAGTGACTTTATGGTTTTAGTGTTGAGCACCATACTATCTTCACTGGCCTGGATCTTGATACGCAACCGGTTCATGTCGAAAACTGCTGCATATTTGGTCTTGATGTGCTGCAACAACGCCGAAGCCGCGCCAATCATGTAATACTTATCGGTGATTTCATAATTAAGAGCCTCACGCTCAGGGCCAAATGTGTGGTCCAACACAAGCTCACGCTCGGCGTCCTGATTAAAGTGCTTGCGGGAGGTTTCCACAATCCGCGCACCAGGGAAATGTGTTTCGATAAGGCCACAGAGTTTAGATTTGATTGGGAGAATAGATGATGAAGGCATTAGGATTTCATCTGGATCAAACACGTCAAGTTTTTGCAGCGTACGAATGTACGTTTGCGAATCGACAATCTAAAGAAGCTGGTGGTTAGTAAAGATTGAGATGATGAAAGTTTTGAACAAGACTACGTTGCACATGATAAGCTCGCAGGTTGATGGAATAACGAAACAGATTCCAACAACAGTGGCAACCCCTCGACCCTCGGTCACTGCGCACAAAACGCGGTCGGTCGAGGGGCCCATAGACACTGCGCGCGAGCGCGAAACGGTCCGACTTTCTTCTGCATGGCTTGTTGCAGCTCGAGAACCTATTGAGCGAACTGCAGATCGAGCTGTAGGCTCCGAGATCATGCTCTGGAGATACGATGAGATTTCTCTTGAATCAGGGTTTGAGTTCATCTTGAAGTGGTTTAAGGAAGAGTTTATTGTTAATTTATAAATTTTTATTTATTTATTATTTTTTTTGTGATGCGTAAATTAACCAGTTGGTTTTTTCTCTTTTTTTTTTCTTTTTTCTTTCTCTCTACAAACCCCCCCATCACTACCGGTCTACCATGGGGGCGCCGTCGCAAGAGTTCCTGGCCCAGTCGCCAACATACCACAAATGGGTCCCGGTTTTTGGTTCGACAGTTTCTGAACTTAAGCTATATACCATTCCAGGCTTCCCCAGTGGTCTTTTTCTGTATAGGTCGCATCCCATCACCCATATTGAACTCACAGGCCATGCGTGCTCCGTGTCGCGCGTTGAGACCCCAACAAATAAAATCTCGTTTGTACTTGACGATGGATCCGGCATCTCAATACCCGTTTTCTGGTTTACAGATCAAAATGTCCCATTTGAGACGTTTGAAGGAAACATTGTGACGGTGCTTGGACGTCCGTCTGATTTATTTGGCCAGGTGGTTGTTAAAGCCAGTGATGTTTCTGTGTGTTGTCAATACAATGAGGTTTTGGCAAAAACCATGGCTACAATTAATGCATATTTGGGGATTCTTAGCTACAATTGGACCCCGCTGTTTCAAACACCTAATGAATGGACAGAGGATCTTATGGAGGAATTTCAGCAACTTGAGCTTTACTACTGCTCGTTCGATAAGTCGTTTGACCACAAAATACCCCAGCTATATAAGTTTGCTCGAATTAAATACCCTGAAGAAGGTTGTGTGGCATTGGAGTTAAGAGACCAAGATGATCTCAGCGACGAAGACAACGAAGACGACGAGGATATTGAAGAAATCTCCGAGTCTCAGTTTAGAAATGAGCATTTGATCAATAAGAGCCATGAGTCGATCATAGAATCTGACCAAGATTCTATTAATGAACTTATTTCAGAGTCTGCCATTGAACTTAGCTCAGAGCACATAGCTGTTAGAACTGAGTCTATGCCTGTACTTAGCGATGACTCGAATCTTGAACTTGAAGAGGAAAGTCTTGAGTTTAGTTTAGATTCCCGAGCTGAAGAAAGTTCTGAGTATGGGAATGAAAGCAGCAACTCTGAAATTATCATTGATAATTCGACTAGTTCTGAAATTATTGAATCTCTGACTACCCCTGAGTTTTCAATGGAATACACGCCCATGGACGGTGCATTTATTGAGAACCCAAACGAATTTCTTATGCAAATGTCTCCGCGACTTAGAAGTACTCCGCAAATGTCGCCGGCTAGTGGCAATACAATGTTGAACGACATGGGCGGTTCTGAGCCCCGGGTTCTTGATAACCCAATGGCTTTAATTGCGGATCTGTTGGATAATGACTAAGGGTTGAGATGGTGATGACTAAGATTTGTGATAAAATTTTTTTTATTTTATTTTATTTTTTTTTTTCTTCACACCAACAAACATCTTCAAACAATGTCGATATTCAAAGTTGAAGGCTGGGATCTTCCTCAGACAATTGCCGTTGCGACTTCTAAGGATAAGCAACGCCGAGATCAGAAAAAAAAGGACAAAGAGCAATATGAGCTTTTGAAGAAGCTGAACCAGACTGAAGAAAAGGAAGAAGAAACTCCAACTGATGAGCCCGTGCAACCTGAAAAGAAGCGAAAGGCGTCTGTTGACGAGGATGGATTTACACAGGTGAAATCTAAAAAGCAAAAGAAAAACAAAAAGACTGAGGTTAAGGAAGAAGCCCAAAAGCCAGAGGAGGCACTGGTAAATGAGGAAAAGAAAAACAAGGCTACTAAGGAGGCTGCCGAGGCTAAGGAAGAGGCACCGGTGAAGAAGGAAAAGAAAGACAAGAAGAAGAAAAACAAGGCTACTGAGGAACCCACTAAAGCTAAGGAGGAATCTACTACCCCTGCGACTACTGTTACGGCTCCGCTTAAGATGAAACTCACACCTCTTCAACAAAAGATGCTTGATAAGCTATCTGGGTCGCGGTTCCGATGGATCAACGAGCAGCTGTATACCACGACATCTGAGGAGGCTGTTAAGATTATTAAAGAACAGCCGTCCATGTTTGACGAATACCATGCTGGGTTCCGAAGTCAGGTTCAGTCATGGCCACAGAACCCTGTGAATGAGTTTGTGAAGCAAGTGATTTGGCGGATGCAGAAGCCAATTGGTGCTCCTGGAGGAATGCCTGGTGAGAGGGATGGAACAATTACAGTTGCAGATATGGGGTGTGGTGAAGCGAATTTGGCTCTGGAGCTTGCCAAATACCAAAGCGAAGCTGAGAGGGAGGAAAAGAAGCGGCTACGAACCAAGAAGTTTGCCAAACCAGGGAAGCTACCCAAGTTTGTTGTTCACAGTTTTGATTTAAAAAAGGCAAACGAGCGTATCACAGTTGCTGATATCAAGAATGTGCCACTGGAGGATGAGAGTGTGAACGTTGTTGTTTTTTGTTTGGCATTGATGGGGACCAACTTTTTAGACTTTATCAAGGAGGGTTTAAGAATTTTGAAGCCTAATGGAGAGATTTGGATTGCTGAGATTAAGTCTCGGTTTGCAGACAATGATACCAAGGAGTTTGTTTCGATTCTCAAGAGTCTTGGATTGTTCCACAAGAGCACGGATGACTCCAATAAGATGTTTGTACGATTTGAGTTTTTCAAGCCCAACAGACAGTATTTGCAAGAGCGAGAGGAGAAGGAGAAACGGTTAAAGTCGAAGCGCCGGACGTTTGAGGAAGCAGATGAGGAGGACGAGACACTTGCCGAGCGCCGATCTAAAGCGCCAGAAGGCAAGTGGTTGCTTAAGCCGTGTCTGTACAAGCGTCGGTAGGTTATGTAATTTAGTATGTAATTTTGAAAAAAAAAAAATTAAAAAAGACTCACAAGATCAAAAAAAAAAGGGTTAATTTGTTCCACCACCACCATCACCACCACCAAATTTTTTTTTTTGTTCAATTTTGTTCAGTCAACAACGATAATACCAACAAAAAATCATTTATAAATGGCTAGTTCGAAAAACAGATCGGTTGTTTTCCCTCCGTTTGATGAGGATCAGGTTTCATCATGGAAAGCGACGCGGTGGATTGGCATCATTGGGCTTGGAGACATGGGCAAGCTTTATGCTACTAAGTTTTTGAGTGCGGGGTGGAAGTATGTATGTTTGTAGAGGAAGAGAGTGTGCTATATACTAGGACTTGCACTCTTGACCTTTTATGGATTGAAGCTGACAGGAGGGATGATTTTGAAAATAGGGTTTGTGCGTGTGATCAAGAATCCAAGTACGATGGACTCGTGGAGGAATATAAAGGTGAGTCTTGTTTTTTTTTTTTTTCTTTTTATGAGTAAATCAAAGGCAAATAAATAACTAACTACTTAGACTCCGAACTTAAGATCCTGCATAACGGCCACTACGTGTCGCGAATGAGTGATTATATTATCTATAGTGTGGAGGCTGAGAACATTCACAAGATTGTTTCTCTCTACGGGCCTTGTAAGTGACTCTTGAATTGTTTTTTTTTTTTAACAAAAATGTTTGCTAACCTTGTTTCAGCAACAAAGATGGGCGCAATTGTAGGAGGTCAAACCTCATGCAAAGCACCTGAGATTTCTGCATTTGAAAAGTATCTTCCTGAAGATGTTGATATTATTACGTGCCATTCGCTGCATGGTCCCAAGGTTGCAACAGTGGGCCAACCACTTGTACTGATCAACCATCGGTCGCGTGGGGAAGACTCGTTTACATTTGTACGGAGTGTTTTCCGAGAGTTTGAGTCAAAGAATGTTTATCTTTCAGCAGAGGAGCATGATCGGATTACAGCGGATACCCAGGCAGTGACACATGCTGCATTTTTAAGTATGGGTGTAGCATGGCAGGGCAATAATCAGTACCCATGGACAATTCCCAAATGGATTGGTGGGATTGAGAATGCCAAAGTAAACATTTCGCTGCGCATTTTTTCTAATAAGTGGCATGTGTACGCTGGACTTGCCATTACAAACCCTCACGCACACCCGCAGATTTTGCAGTATGCGCAGTCTGTGACGGCGCTGTTTAAGCTGATGATTGAAGGCAAGAGCGATGAGTTACGGGCGCGGCTGTTTAGTGCACGGGAGGCAGTGTTTGGGCAATTGCAGAAGTCTCATAGTTTGTTGTTGCCAGATGAGTTACTTGAGCGGTACTCTCTGAGCAAGATTCCTCCGCAGGGCAAGCGGGCCAATTCACATTTGAGTTTGCTTGCGATTGTTGATAGTTGGTATCAGTTGGGGGTGAATCCATATGATCATATGATATGCTCGACACCTTTGTTTCGGATTTGGTTGGGAGTTACGGAGTATTTATTTTGTACAGAGGGACTTTTGGAGGAGTGTATAAGTGCAACAGCTGAGAATAGTTTCCGCGGAGATGACTTGGAGTTTTGTATAGCGGCGCGGACGTGGAGCGATATTGTTGCACATGGGGACTTTGCATTGTACCGAGCGACGTTTGAGCGTACGCAGGCATACTTTGCACCGATGTTACAGGAAGCCAACAAGATTGGTAACGAGATGATCAAGACGATTTTAAAGAAGACAAATTGAGGGGAAGAGGAAAAGGAAGAAGAGGAAGAAGAGGAAGAAGAAAAAGAAGAAGTTAGATTAGATTGTGTAGATTAATAATAATAATAATACTATGGTTATAAATATATATATTCACACACAGAAAAAGGGGACAAAAAGGGATATTGAATGCAGGAGTGCGTGTGAAGGTTTGATAAGTTAAGTTAATATAGGAGATTTTTCTTTTTTGTTTTTTTTTTGTAATTGTATTAATACAAATATTTGTATTTGGTGTGTTGCAGGAAATAGAAGGGATCAAAGAATTAAAGGATTAAAGGATCAAAGGGACTTGTTGCGGATGGTGATGGAGGATGGAACAAAGATTAGATTGGGTGGTAATTAGTAGTTAGTAGTTAGTAGTTAGTAGTACTATTAAGAAATAATAATAGTATTATTAAATAATAATTGTTGTATAGTTTGTTAGTACTAAATGAGGGATAAAGAAATAAGGGGGTGATGAGATTTTATTTTTTTTTTTTATTAAGTAGAAAGTGCTTATATAAGAGATATTAAGGAGGTTTTTTTTTATTTTATTTATTTTATTTAGGGCTACGAAAAAAGAAAAAGGGGGCGATTGATTGTTTTGTTTATTATATATATATATAATTATAATAATAAAAAGTTTTTTTTTTATTTATTTATTTATTTATTTTATTTTATTATTATTAAAACTATTACAAAATTATTTTTCAAACTAGTTGAGATTTTTTTTTATTAAAATAAAAAAAGGAGGTTTTTTTTATTATTTAATTTAATTTAAACGGTTTGAAAAGAATAAAAAAAAGAAAGAAAGAAAGAAAAACCAGATTGTTAAGTTGTTAAAAGTTGTTAGTAATTTTTTTTTTTTTTTTTTTTGTGTGATTAAGTGTGATGGGATTAGTATTAGTATAATTATTATTATAGACTAAATTACTTAGTTTGTTAATTTAAAACAAATAAAAAAATTTTGATTTGAATATTTACATGGATTGAACAATAATAGTTAAATTGCAAGTTGAAAAAAAAAAAAACAAAAATAAATAAAAATAGTATTAAGTGGAATTGTTTTTATTCAAAAGAAAAAAAATAAAGTAAATAAAATTAAAGGATATTTTTTTTGAATCAAATAAAAATAAAGTATTGAAAAAAAAAAAAAAAAAAAGTCTGGTAGTTTTATATAATGATAATAAATAAAAGTTTAGAATTTAAATAGAATAGAATTGAAATGAAAAGAAGATTTTTAAGAAACCGTTTTTTTTTTTTAAAAAAAAAGAAAGTATTGAGACTTTATGAGTCAAAAATTAAAGCCTTTTTTTTTTTTTTGGATTTCAATTTTAGAATTAATGGATTTTGGTTTTTTTTTTTTAAAAAAAAACCAAAATCCTTAAACTAATGATGGTAAAGCTTTTTTATTATTATGATTATTTTGGTAAATAAAATAATGGTAAAATCTCATTTAATATGAAGAGATTCAAAAAAAAAAAAATAAAAAATAACAAAAGAGTTTTAAGGATAATTTGAATATAACAAATTTTAAATAGTTTTTTTTTATTTTTATTTTATTTTTTTTTTAGAAAGTTAGAATGAAAATAAATAAATAAAATAAAATAAAATAAAAAGTAGAATTTTAAAATCGTCAAATTTTTTTTTTCTATAAATTTCAAATTCAAATTCAAGTATTTACATTTTTTCATTATTATTCAAAAAGAAAAAAAAAATATATCGTTAATGGTCGTATATATATATATATATATATATATTGTAAATTTTGGTTTCTTATATATTTTGATTGATTAATCGATAAAAATGTAATTTTTTTTTTTTTTGATGGTTTTCGCTTAAGTTTGAAATTTTTTTTTTTTTTTTTTTTGCATAAATTTAAAATATTTTTTATTTTTAATAATAATAATAATAATAATAATAAAAAAAAAAAAAAAAAACAATGGAGATTTTTTTTTTCTTTTTTTCTTTCTTTCTTTCTTTCTTTCTTTCTTTCTTTCTAAATTCACACATACAAAAAAAAAAAAAAAACATTAACAAAAAGAATTTTTATGTAAAAAATAAAATCAGTAGTAGTAGTAGTAGTAAGCCCTGAAAGAATTTTTGAATTTTTTTTTTTTTTTGTTTATATAAATATATGTAAAATATAAATAAATACAAGTATAAGCCAAAATTAAATAAATTAATAAATAAAAATGCAATCGAGACCTTTGAATAAAATCAAAGTGGCTATATGAAATATGCTAAGAAAAATTTAAATAATAATAATAATAATAATAAATCTGGAAAAGATAAGAGAGAAAAAAAAAAAAAATAAGAAAATGAAAAGAATGTTTGATTTTTTTTTATTTATTTTAAATTTAAATTTATTATTCATTGATGTTAATATATATTTGTTAAATTTAATTTAAATAAGAAAATAAATAAATAAATATATATCTTCGTATTTATTTTATTTATTTTGACATGCAATATTTTGTTTCAAAACAAATAAAGAACATAGTTTAACTGCATTTTTATTTTAAATTTATTTTAAATTTAAATTTATATTTATATTTATATTTATATTTATCTGCAAAAAAACTCTTTTATTTCAAATAAATCAATTTAATCAATTTATTTTAAAATTAATAAAAAAATAAAATAAAAACTTTGAATTCAAAAAAATTTTATTAAAAGTTTCCTTCAATTATTTCTTTAATTTTTTTATTTTTTTTTAAAAAATTCATTCTTGCAGTGCAAAAATAAAAATAAAAATAAATAAAAATAAAAATAAATAAAAAAAGAATTCCAAAAACCTCCAAAAAAAAAAAGAACCTCGTATTTTCTTAATAATAAAAAAAAAATAAAAATATTTGAGGGAAATTCAAATATATTTAGTTAATAACAAAAAAAAATAAAATAAAAAACTTCTTTACTTCTAAAAAATCAATCAATCAATCAATTATTTAATCAATCAATTATTTAATCAATCAATCAATCAATCAATCAATCAATCAATTGATAGTTAATTGACACATTTTTTTTTTATTTTTTTATTTTTTATTTTCTATTTTAAATAATAATTTTTTTTTTTTCTAAAAAAGACTCCTTTTTTTTTTTTTTTTTTTTTAAACAAAAAAAAAAATAACTTCTCCTTTCTTTAAAATTAATAAAAGTCAATTATTATTTTATAAAAAAGAATTTAATAAAAATAAATTATTATATTATTATACACTATATTATTTTGAAAATTTATAACAAGCACTGCACATTTTTTTTTTTAAAAATGAAAATAAAAAAATGAAAAAATAAAAAAAAAAAAACCACAAAAATAAAAAATAAAAAAAAAATTATACCATTTTTATAAATTACGGGGTCTTGAGTACAAACTCGACTCAATTTTATATAAAAATAATTAAGAAAATATTAATGATAAAAACACAAAGGTGGAAATTCCCTCTTCTTACATCAAAAGAGCACCGGCAACAGCCATAAGGGCAGCGCCAAAGGAAACACCAAATGAAGAAGCACCATTGACTTGCTCAATGCCGCTGGAACCAGCAGGAACAGTGGCAACAGGAGCCAAAGTGGTGGGAGTAGTGGCAACCACAGGAATGGTAGAAGAAGCAGAGACATAAGGCTTAGTCTCAACAGTCTCAACAACAACAGGAACAGAAATGGTCTGAACAATAGAAGATGAAGTAATCACAACAGGAGCAGTGATGGTAGTAGACTTGGAAACAACAACCTCCTTGGGAGCAGTGACAGTAGAAATAACACCGCTAATGGTAGTGGGGATGGTGGTGTAAATGGTGGAAACAGTCTTCTCCTCAGCAGTAGTGGATGGAGCAACAACAGGAGCAGAAGTAGTGGTGGTCTCGCAAGGCTGAGTGATGGTAATGGTGCGGCCCTCAGGAAGAGTAGAGGGGTAAGTAGTGTAAACGGTAATAGGAGCAGAAGAAGGAACAGGAGTGATGACAGTAGTCTCACAAGGCTCAGTCACGGTAACAACAGTGCCAGAAGAGACAGAGGTGTAAGTGGTAAGCTTGGTAATGGTGGTAGGAGCAGCAGTAGTGGGAGCCTCAGTGGTAGGGACAACAACAACAGGAGTTGAAGTGACAACAGTGGTCTCACAAGGCTCAGTAACAGTCACAGTAGTGCCAGCAGAGGTGGTGGCATAAGTGGTGTACTTAGTGACAGTGGAAGTAACGGGAGCCAAAGTGCTGGGGACAACGACAGGAGTCGAAGTGACAACAGTGGTCTCGCAAGGCTCAGTGACAGTCACAGTCTCACCGCCAGAGGTAGTGGCATAAGTGGTGTACTTGGTGACAGTGGAAGTAACAGGAGCCAAAGTGGTAGGAACAGCAGGAGTAGAGGTAACAACGGTGGTCTCACAGGGCTCAGTAACAGTGACAACAACACCACCAGAAGTAGTAGCATAAGTGGTGTACTTGGTGACAGTGGAAGTAACAGGAGCGCCAGGAGTAGAGGTAATGACAGTAGTCTCGCAAGGCTCAGTGACAGTAATGGTCTCGCCAGCAGAGGTAGTAGTGTAGGTGGTGTACTTGGTAGAAGTAGAGGTGATAGGAGCAACAGTAGCAGGACCAGTGGTGGTAATGACAGTAGTCTCGCAAGGCTCAGTGACAGTGATGGTCTTACCGCCCTCAGCAGTGGTGGTGTAAGTGGTGTACTTGGTAGAGGTGATGGTGGTAGGAGCAGCAGTGCACTTCTCGCAGGGCTCAGTAACAGTCAAAGTCTTGCCACCCTCGTAAGAGGTAACAACCTTGTCAACAGTAGTGGTGGTCTCGCAAGGCTCGGTGATGGTGACAGTCTTACCGCCAGTGGTGGTAGTGGTGATGGTAGTCAAGGTGGTAGTAACCTTCTCCTCGCAGACGTGGCAGACGGTAGAAGTGACAGTCTTGGTAGCACCAATGACATAGGTCTTAGTGGTAGAGACGGTAGCGGTGACGGTAGCAGTGGCAGTGATGGCAGAAGAAGCAGACTCGGAAGAACCAAAGAGAGCAGTCAGAATATCCTTAATAAGAGTAGAGAGGAGGGCCTTAGCGTGGGCAGTGACGACAGCAGCCTCAGAAGACTCGGCAGAAACCTCGTCAGCAATGGCCTCAGCGGCATCAAAAGTACCCTCGACTTTCTCCTTAGAAGCAACAACAGCAGCTTCAGGGTCAGCGTACTTCTTAATTTCAGAAATATCGGCAAGGAAAGTATCGTAAGAGTCAGTATCGATCCAAGCAGCCAAAACAGAGTTAAAGTTAGAAACGACAGCAATGTAGTCTGCGGCAGAGACATCACGCTTGAAAATAACACGGGAGGCAGAAACACCAAAGAGGAGGTTGAAGACTTCGTCGAGAGCAGTGCCAATGGCGTCAAGGAACAGAGAGGCAATAGCGTTAAGAAGAGCAGAGAGAGGAGAGTAATCGTCGGGAGTCAAAAGAGCGCTGAGAACGGCAGCAATGAGTGCGTCGATGAAATCGCCGGATGTGGTAGGGTATGTGACTTCTGATGGGCTCGAGCTGGAAGTAGTTGCTGGAGCAGTAGAGGCGATTGTGGAGTTGGAGTAAGAGCTGGTGAGAGTAACACCTGTGATGGAAGCAGAGTCTTGGGCAGCGACCTGACCGGCAACCATAAGAGCGACGGCGCCTACAGAGGCGATATTTTTGAAAAAGTTAACCATAGTTAAGCGAATGATTTAGAGGGTAGTTTAAGGGTAAACGAGTGACAAGAAATGGGTTAAAGAGAGAAAGAAAGAAAGAAAGAAAAAAAAAAAAAAAAAAAGAGAGTGATTAATTGAGGGAAGGGATTGGTATTTATATATATTTGGAAAAAGAAAAAAAAGAAAAGGAAGAATATTAATGACGATGATAATAATAATAATAATGATGATGATGATATGGAATGAGTCGATATGAAGTGGTAGTAGTAGTAGTAGTAGAATAATAATAAGCTTATTTCATAGTGCCAAACTATAGGGTGGTTACCGGTTAAATTAGTACCAACCTTAAATGCCTTAATTATTTGAAAAAAAAAAAAAAAAAAAAAAAAGGCACTTGTGGCTGATAAATAAGATTTATAGGGAGGTTTTTTTTTTTGTAGGAGATAACTCATTTCTTTTTCTATTTATTTATTTATTTATTTATTTTTGGAGCGCCTAAATAAATAAATAAATAAATAAATAAATAAATGAATGAATGAATGTACCTTGGCAGCTGAGTTTGTAGGCCCTCTCGCTTAGTGCCGCCACCGTTTGATTTTTTTTTTAGAATTTCTTTTTTTCATTTTTATTTTATTTTTTTTTTTTTTTCCGCCATGTGTATAAGTAAATTCCTAAGAATGCGATAGTTATTAGCCATTCACAAATTGTTTAATTAAAATCGGGTAATTTTTTTTTTTTTAATTCTTCTTCTTCTTCTTCTTATTTTGTAATAAATATATATATATATATAAATCTATACCTAAGACTTTTTTTATTTTTTTTTTTAAAATAAATAATATAAGGAAAATTACAAAAAAAAAAAAAAAATTTATCCTTATAATTATAAATAAAAGAGATAACAAGAAAAATAAAAAATAAAAAATACAAATTTTTCTTTTGATAATAATTGATTGGGAAATCTTTTTTTTTTATCGAAGTTGTAATAATAGTAATAGTAGTTGTTGTTGTTGTTGTTGTTGTTGGTATAGTGACGTCAGAATAATAAAAAGTCCTCTTTTTTTTTTGTTTGTTTGTATTTTATTTTTATTTTTTTTTTGTTTAGAATTCGCAATTCAATGGAGAACTTCTATTTGATTCTTCTGCGAGCCACAATGGTCTGAGCTGATTTGTTTAATAGTATTATTATTATTATTATTATATTACGGTGTATATTTATGTCCTTTCAAAATAGCAATCAACTAAAAATAGTCTTTATCTGAACAAAAATCATCATCACCACATCATTATCATTATTATCAACTCCAGATATATATATATATATATATATATATTTATATAAAAATAATAATAATAATATTAATAATAATAATAATAATAATGTTAATATCTATGCTACATGGTTTTTTTTTTTTTTTTAATTATATATTATTTATATAAAAGTAACATTTAATTATTTTAGATTTATCAGTATCATTTGATTACTATTATATACTACTTTTTGATATATATATATAAACCATCATCTAATCTATTGGATCATTCACTGATCCGACGGTCTTTAAGCATCGTTTTTTTTTTTCATGTGGGGGATAATAATAATAAAAAACAGAAGGTCTAAAATGAATACTTTATCACTTTCACTTTCACTTTCACTTTCAATTTCAATTCCAATTTCAATTGCACTATATCGAATCCAAAAATATATATAATAAAATAAAATAAAATAAAATAAAATAATTTCATCAAAAATAAGTCCACTTTAACCAAACCTTTTTAACCTATCCGTTTCTATTTACAGACTTATTATCCACAGAAAGAAAAAAAAAAAAAAAAACCTACAAATTGGTTCTCTCAAAGGCTTTTTTTTTCCCTTGGTTCTACTTTTATATATATATATATATATATACATTTATATAAATATTCATTTACCTATCAATATATAAATATAAATGTCTATATATATATATATCCATTTTTTACCTACAATGCGGAACCTTCCACTCCGAACCACTCGATATTGTCTATAGCACGTGCCTTGGATATCCATCAATGGTTGAAAACAAACAAACAAACAAACTAACTAACAAATAAAAAAAAAAGAAAAATTCATTCAAGCTGAATTGCATTTTCACATTTCCATCGCGTATACGTAATTTTGTAATTTATAAATAAATAAATAAATAAAATTGGGGAAATGGAAAACAATAGAAAAAGTCTTCAATTTCTTTTTCTTTTTTTAAATAAATAAATAAAAAAATAAAATAAAAAAAAAAGCAATTGGGTACAACTACTATGCCTGACTTTTTTATTTATTTTTATTTTTTTTATTTTTATTTCAAAAAGTTATATTTATATATATATATGTATATACAAAGCCCTCTGTACTCTTGCACTAGTCCACTCTTTTGTCTTCTTTATTCGGAAAATGCATTAATTTGAGTGAGTAAGTGAGTAAGTGAGTGAGTGAGCGAAATATTTATACATAGAATTTGTTTTTTTTTATTTTTTTTTTTTTATTGTTGACGCTTAAGATTTCTTTGATTTATTTATTTTTTTTGTTTGTTTGTTAAAAAAGAATCTTTTTCATCTTCATTTTCATAATCGTAATAATTTTCATAATAATTTTCATAATAATCTTCAGAATCATCACCATCATGATTGAGACTAATAAAGTTATTGGATAATCTTTAAGCGGGAACTCTCTCACTCGTAAATTGTCTTTCTGCACTTTATGTTTAACCTAAATTTTATTCAATTTATTTAATACAAATTTATTCAAATTTATTCAGTTTTATTCAATTTTATTCAATTTTATTATTCAATTCAATTATTTATTTATTTTATTTATTTTTCTTCACATTCCAATCTCAAAAACTTTATTTCAAGTTTGTATATATATATATTTTTTGTATATATCTTGTATATAAAATTCAAAAAGTTCTTAACTTGACTTTCTTGTTTACATTCCATAACTTTCAAACTCTTTACCAAGACTTAAATACAACTATTATCATAACCTTAAATAATAAATTTATTCAATATTAATCTAGACTTTACAACCTTCCCTTTAATTTCTCTTTTATCTATATATATATATATTTTTTTTTCTTCTTTCTATCTCTCTAATATAAAAAATATTGTAAAAAAAAAAATAAAAAAAAAGGAGGTGATAGGCAAAAGAGAGAGAGAGAGAGTGAAAAACCCCTTTTAGATGGGACAAAATCATCGCACGGTTTAAAGAATTAACCACCTGTTTATTATTATTATTATTTATTTTATAACCGAAATCCCCCTTCCTCCACACCACAACCATTTTATCCAAAATTAACCGGGAAAGGAGAAAAAAAATAATAATTATTTTTATTTTTATTTTTATTTTTATTTTTTTTTTAAATTTATATTTATATTTAAATTTATATTTAAATTTATATTTAAATTTATATTTATTTATACACAAATAATTTTTTTTATAATTTATAATATTTATTTTATATAATAAAAAAATAAAAATAAAAACCTCCTCCAAAGACCCCTACCATTATCTTTCTAAATATATATATATATCAAATATACTTATGAATAACCGTCAACTTCAAAAATCATCATTTGTAATAACAAGACTAGAAATATATATATATATATATATAAATAGATGTATCTTTCTCGTAAAATAAATGAATAAAAAATAACCTTTTCTAAATATATATATATATATATATATATATATATTGAAAAAAAAATACTTTTTGGTCACGACTTTTTGCAACAAAAGTTTAAACTATTTGACAATATTTTTAAAAAAAAAAATCTTCCCAAATAGTTTTTTTTCTTTTTTTTTTTTTATTTCATATCATTTTAATGTCATCATTTTATCTACACACACTGCTTGAACTTTTTTTTAAAAAAAAAATTTATGTCTTCTTTTTATTCGGCAATTAGGAATTAAGATAGGCCTTTAAAAAAAAATATCTAAATTCCCCAGACCCCGTTCTTATGACCCTTTTTTTTTTTTTTTATTATTATTATTAAATTTGTTTAAACACAATAGATTGATCAATGATTGATTGATTGATATAGAAATCTTACAGTATTTGCTTTTTTTTCTTTCTTTTCTTTCTTTAAAAAAAATACATTTCTCCATTCTATTTTCATTGCCCTGAATTAACCTGATTGCTCTCTCTGCACATAAAAAAAAATTGCATGTAATATCTTTTTTTTTTTTGTCTTTATTCCACTAATCAGAAGCCAAGAGTATTTATTAATATTTTTATTATTATTATTATTATTATTACATTCATAGACTTTTCAAAGAATAAAAAAAAAATGTCATTTAAATATCGCAATAATAATACAGTACTTACTCAGTTGGATCCAAATTTTTGTTTAAAAATAAAGAAATTAATAAATAAAAAAAACATAATTAATATATTAATATATATATATATATTTAAATATATTTATATGTAAATTTAAATTTATTTCCCTTGTTCGGTTAACTTTAATCTTTCAATTAATCAAAAAATAAAAAAAAAAAACCACTCCACCAATCTTGCAGAATATTCATGTAATTCTACTAACTTTTGGATCTTCTGCTGCCACTTTTTTTTTTTTTTTTTTCTATAATAAAATAATAATAAAATAAATATAAAATGAAAATCTAACCTGACAAAAATTTCTTTATTGTCTTTTTTTTTTTTTTATAATCTCCCTCTTCATAATCTTCATCTTCTCAATTATATCATGGTTTTTTTTTTTTTTTTTTTTTCAACAATCGTGACCGCCTACAAATAATAAAAAAAAAAACACACACATACTCACAGTTTACGTAGAAAAAACCTTAAATAAATAAATATCAAAAAAAAAAAAAAATCATATTTTCAAAAAATGCAAAAAGAGATTCAAGGCTTTTTGATAAAAATCCTTTTTTTTTTTTTTTTTTTTCTTCTTCTTCTTCTATCTCTTTCTCTTCTGAACTTTCCGCCCTTTGTATACATTTTTCCGTTTTTCGGTAACTTGACTTTTTTCCGCCTCACTTGTAAGTTATCAATTGGTCACTTTTTATTTTATTTTATTTTATTTTATTTTTTTTACTTTTTTTTTTTTTTTTTTTTGATCTTCATATAAAGTTTAATTAATAATGATATATTTTCTATCCTTATTTATTTTTATTTATTTTTTATGTATATAGTTGCGGGCATTTTTTTTTCATGTCAAAAGTAACCCCCTCAACTTTTTTTTCAAATACAAAAAATTATGTACTTCAAAGTAGCTGAATATTTATCAAAAAAAAAACAGGTATTTTAATTTTATTTATTAAAAATAAAATAAAAATATACTGTTTTTTTTCTGTATCTTTTTTCTATTCTTTTTTTGATTTTTTGTTGTATTTTGTTGTATCTTTTTTTTAAGTTTTTTCTCTAAATTGAAATAATATTCAAAGTCCAATTGTTTACTTATTTACTAAATATGATATTATTCCTCATCTTTTTTTTGGTTTTTTTTTGGCCCATTCCTTTTAAAAATTCATCCATTATTACCCATTCCATCACATTCTTTTCCCCTTTTAGGAAAAATAAAATACAAAATGAAAAATAAAAAAACATTTTTTAACCGTTAATGAATGTTATTATTATTATAATTATTATAATTATTCAAAAAAAAAATATATATTTAATTTACACATACAAACAAATAAACAAAAAAAAAAAAAATTAATTCTTCATCTTTTCAATTCATGCAAATAATTTAGCCCTACTAGCTCATTCCTTTCAGACTAACTATACCGGGTCTTCTTGTATGGTGACAATGATTCCCCTACCCCCAACTCTCTCTTAACGTTTCCACTTTCGCCTGCTACAACCCCCCCGCTTGACGACGATGATGATGATGACGACGACGTCGGAGACGACGACGATAACGATGACAACCGAAACCCTCCTTGTTGAAAGCCTTCTCGGGTTCCTCCTCCGCTGCCACCACTATTACCACTATTACCACCTCCATTAGCTTTACCACCATCTTTCTTTTCTTCTACCTTCGACCCATGGCCCATATTTTCATAAACAGACTCCCGAAGAGTACTCGAATTACTTCGGTACATTACTGTCCCAGATCCACTACCACCACCACCACTACCAATTACCCCCCCATTCCCAGAATGTTTCCCCTGCTTCTTCTCCTGCAGCTTTTCTTCCTGAATCATTCGCTGCAACTTCAATTCTTCCTCACTTGGCTTACTAGGATTCTCCTCCTTCCATCGTTTCCTAAACTCCTCCACCTCTGTCTTATATCGCCTCGCCTTCTCCCTATACTCTTCAGACTTTTTGTTATTGCTTTCCTTTATAAACTTGGTCTTCTCCAAATATGGCTTTTTCTCTTCTTCAGGGAGCTCCCGCCACATTTTCCCCAATGCCGCCCGCACTTCATTCCGTGCAGCCCTCACATGCGGGTCATCCATCTTCTTTTGTTTTTCCACGTCACACTGCTTCCTACACTTGTCCCAAAAATCCTTTTGGAAAATCAAAAATGGATTCGCACCAGACCGCTCAGGCTTAATTGGCCGCTCCCCAATCTCTTTGATCATATCTATCCGCATCCGGTCATTATCGGCATCCACCCGTTCTTCTCGAAGGTGACGCAGCCGAGCTTCAACTGCATTCTCTTCAGGTACTGTAGGTACTGAAGGTACTGTAGCTATTGTAGGTACTATGGCTACCGCTGTACTGGCACTTGAACTACCAAGCACTATTCCACCTGCAGAGCCTGTAGCCGCTTGAGGTGCAGACAATCCCACCGCAGAAGAATTAGAAGTTGATGTAGAAGAAATGTAGGCTGTCCGCCCAAGATACCCAACATTTTCACCGGTCACCGAAACCAAGCTATTGTTATTCGAAATGGCGTTACTGTTGTTACTGTTATTACTATTGCTGGGCGGAGACGTAGTAACCTGCCGAGAACCTCTTGCTTGATGTAATTGCTGCTGCTGCTGCTGCTTCTGCACTATTCCAACATCACTAAACTCACTTGTCTTAAACTGATGAAGTGAACTCGAAGCCCCAGCCAAGGCCGCAGACGAAGTCCCAATCCCGCTAGTTACATTTATTTGCGGCTTCACATACCCCGTCGAATCAACAACACCAGATGTCGTTGGAGTGGACACCATCGATGTTGCCGGTGTCACATGGCTCGTTAGCCCATTGGTACTGGCGCCAGAATTTTGTTGCATCCGCTTGTTTACTTGGTAGTCTTTGGTCGGACACAGTGGATGTGGAATCTTAACCTCCCCAATCATGCTAGTCAATACTTCGTTGGCTGCACGTAGCCCGGAAATGTACGCCCCATGTACCGTCGCAGGGTACGACCGAGACGTAGCCTCACCAGCAAAAAATAGAGACTCACCAATCGGTCGCGCAAGTAAGTCATAATCCGCAGGCGTTGCTTCCAATCCAACATATGAGTAGGATCCTCGTGAAAAGGGATCAACTTGCCATCGTGTTACAATAGACTCAACAAGCGTGGTGTCCCGGACCTCTGGATAAACTGACTCAATTGAAGCTGTAGCTGCCTCAACAATGGAATCGTCAGTCTCGTTGGCCATTTGAACAGCCGCCTCACCAGTAAGAACTCCAATTAAACAGGGTTTCCCAACTGCTTTGGAAACGTTCCAAAACATGTAGAACATTCCCCGGTTGTTTTTGTAGTTCTCTTGCTCCAAAACATCTATTCCACTATGGCTTTGAGAAATAGCAATAATGTGCTTATTCTCGTCCCAAAAAGGGCGCTTGTAAATCAAACAAACCTAAAAACTAGAGTTAGTAAATGAAAAAATAAAATAAATAATAAATAATAAATAAAAATAATAAAAATAAACTCACCTTGTTGACAACTCCAAATCCAAGCCGCTCAATACTATCTTGCTTCCATTGAGGTAAATCTGGAATAAATTGAATAGTGCGGTCCTTTAAAACTCCCAAAGGAGCCGTAACAACAACTTTATCAGCCTTGACACGCTCCCCATTTTCCAAAAATAACTCCACATGGCTATTATTGTATTCCAAAATTTTCACATTAGATTTAAAGCGCACTTCAAGTTTTTCTGGATACTGGTAAAGCCCACGAACAAGGTTCATGTACCCGTTCTTAATAATCGAATGTTGTCCTGTAAACTTTGTTCCTTCGTGCTTCCAGTTGTTCAAACTTAAATTGTCCAGGCATGTAGAATGGACATACTCCAAATTAGCATAATGCCAATTCAATAAACGAAGCTCCTCAGGGGTAATGTTGGAAATTTCTTGCAACTGCCTCAACAATGCATCCATGCTAATACCTAAACTCGGGTACATGTCGCCTTGAGGCTCTGGTATCAGCTGAATCGATGTGTCCTCTGAAACCTCCGGCTTCAAATTAAACCCAATGTCCCGTAGAAACTGGGCCTCAATCCGCCCAAGGCTCTCGCGATACTCATCATGATGCTTAAACTCTTGCTCCTCTCGGTGATTATTATCGTTCCCGAGCCGTCCAGAATCTTCCGCCTTGGCTAGAGTTAAAGTTGCTGGGTAATCCTCACGTGGTGGGTCCTTGGACACGCGAATCAAAACCTCATCTCCCTCTGCAGTTGCAGGTGGAGAGTATGTATTGTGAAATTGAGCCACACGCTCCAGCAAATGCTTGAAAAGCTTCTGCGCTCTTTCCTGTATTGCGGGATCAACAGCCTTTTTAGAAATCGAATCATAAATCTCAGACATTGGGTTTATCCGCGTCACTGGAAGCCCCAACTGCCGCCGACAAACCACTGCAAGCGGATTGCCATTACCAAACCCAGGGATAAACTGTGCCCCCATGTCAACAGCGTGTAAATGGTCGCTCTTAAGGTGTGCAGAGTAAATCCTACCCCCAATCCGTCGTCGGCCTTCCAAAACTATAATTCGAGGCGGATCTTGGTACTCAGAAAAATGTCTTGCTTTACGCTGGAAAAGGTTATCAAGCTGGCGAGCACAACTTAACCCAGCAATACCCGCACCAAGAATAACAACAGTCTGTCGCGGCTTGCGACACTCTTCTGGAATTGGATTGTAAAAATCCAAGCTGGGATACTCAAAGCAACCAAAATTTATACGCCCATGCCGAACAAGCCAATCGTAAGCAACCTCTGCAAGATTGAAAAACCTATCATCTTTGGCACACCCTGCTGCTTCTGAACGTGTTACATTAACTTTGGGGTTCGATAACCAAAGTCGCAAAATGCCATTTCGAATGTTGAGATATGTGGTAACATGCACGACCATGAGATACGGCCGAAGAAGATTATACTCTTCTGGATGAAGGCTAAATGGTGATAACCGAGATGAAATCGCAGCATACACACACTGCTCACCATAGTTTGCAGAACTCAAATCTGGTGGAATAGACGATTTGGCCTTATACTTTTGTCGGATAATCATCAGCTCAGCTTCATGTGGAGGAATAGGTGGAGAGAAATATGAACCGTGACCAGCATCGGAAATTGAAGGTGAAACCAAAGGCTGAGGCGACACAACATGATGCGAAGATGATGGCGCACTTATTTGGTGCGAGTTAGGATGATGGATATATTGATGGCTCTGCTGCTGTATTTGTTGCTGCTGGAGCTGCTGGCTGTGGTGAAGAGGCTGTGGTTGCTGGATTTGATTGACCGTTTGTTGAGACGGGTAATCTCCTAGTCCATTGGGTTTTGAGTTGACCACAGTGTGATTATCTGGTGAGTATGTGTTTCTGTTGGAATGCCCAAGGGTACGAGAATACCCATCGTAGGATTGATTCTGGGTAGTCGAGAGCCTGGATTTGTCTCGTTGTGGTTGTGTATGATGTTGCTGTTTTTGCTGGCCCAAAGATATATTGAAGGTAGAGCCTTGGGGAAGTGGCGAATTCAAAGAGTTTGGACTGGGATGCGTGCTACCAGAAGACATAGAAGGTAGCCCATGGGTACTTGTCCTATGTCCAGAATGTATCTTCGAGTTTGTATACTGATTCTGGTTTTGATTCTGATTCTGATTTTGATTTTGATTTTGATTTTGATTTTGATTTTGATTTTGATTTTGATTTTGATTTTGATTTTGATTTTGATTTTGATTTTGATTTTGATTTTGATTTTGATTTTGATTTTGATTTTGATTTTGATTTTGATTTTGATTTTGATTTTGATTCTGATTCTGATTCTGATTCTGATTCTGATTCTGATTTTGATTTTGATTCTGATTACGGTCCTGGCCTTGGAGCTGGGAATAAAACTGGATTTGAGTTGTTTGTGGCCGCTCAAGTGTTGATTGCAGTAGTGTAGATTGCTGGGGAGATTCTCCAGAAAGAGAGAAAAATGGAGACGATTTGTCTAAAGAAAAGATATTACCAGACCCATTACTTTCATTCATATTTTCATTCCCTTCGCAGTTGTGTTTGTTGTTGTTACTGTTGTTGTTACTCTTGCTGCTATTATTATTGTTATTGTTGCTCGTATTACTGGATTTATTGCCTTTGCCACCATTATCAACAACAGAAGTCTCATACAGGTTCCAAAGATTATTTTTATCAACATTTCTTTCAACAGACCTTCTCGAGTTTCTATCTACTATGCCGGAATCAAAATTGTTTATACTTTGGTTCTTCTGAAACGTATTATTTTGCTGGAGAAGTTGCTGGGCTGGCTGGGATGCCGACACCAGGCTATTTGAGCGCCCCATTAAGAACATCGAATCGGATATAGAAGGATTTTGGATATCTCTAGAGTCTGTACTATTGACCACATTGTTGGACTTGCTAGTGTTCTTGTCCATGTATTGGTTCTTGTTGGTATTTCTATCATTAATTGCACATTGCGGCTGAGTTTGCCGAGATTGTGGTAATGTAGACGACTCATTTGTGAAATTTAAAGAAGAGTTGGAAAAAAAATCAAACGTAGAAGGGGAGACCAATAGCCCGTCAGTTGCTTCGTTAAGTTTGCTGAAAGAGTCTGTTCGGGACTGGTCGGAAAAGGAAGTGTTAATGTCCACGTTGTTTGTAGTTTCAGTAAGCTGAACAAAGTTTTGTAAAGCAGAGACCATGCTATTGTCCATCATTGGATTTGAGTACAATGCCCTATTAGCAGTCATTTTATTGTTCTGGCCGACCTGTTGAGGAGGCGGAATTCCGTCGGACTTTTTGGATTGATCCGAATAGAACTGGTTCTGTTGGTTGGATGGGAAATCCGGAGGCATCATCATATCAGCAACCGAAAAGGGCGACAGGTTTTTGGAGGTTCTGTCATTGTTATTCATTTTGATATCGGTTGAAAAGAATTTTTTTTTTTTTTTATTTTTTCGTGATTTTTTTTTTTTTCGTGATTTTTAAAAAATTTTAAATGTAGTATTTCCAAGAGATGATGATGATAATAGTTGATATTGTTTCGTAATTGTCAAAAAGGTTCACGGTATTATCATTTCCAAGAAGAAAAAAATTGCTAACAGAAAACAAATCAAAAGTATTATTTATATATTTCCAAAAATCCCAGTAAAGTTTTTAGGTACTAAAAACAGGTTGATGAAAAAGTGGAATATATATTGTAAATCACCATTGAAACCTGTATACTCGATCAACAGTCTAAATTTTTTTTATTAGTCTTTAGCTCACAATAGTCGGTTTCTGGTACTCACATGGATAAATAAAAAAGGCCAAGATGTTTCCAATAGACACTCGAAATGCCATGAAAAGAAATGAAAGGAAATGAAAGGTAAAAACTGAATTCTAAAAGATGGTCTTAGAGATAAATGGACTAACGGTTTTTTTTTTACCGTACGGTTTCTAAGAAAGAGGGGAAAACTTAGGGTAGTAATGTAACAAACCAAGTTTATTTTGTTTTTTGTTTTTTTTTAATGACTAGAGTCTCGTATAAACAGAAACCCCAGATTTGAATAATTTTTTTATATAATGAACACAAACAGATATTCGAGTCTTTTAAAAGAATATGGGGGGTAAAAATCACTTTAAAAACTTTAGCAAAGCTATTCCACGCGGTTCTCTCTTGAGAATCTTCAATAGCTGATTTGTCCACGCGTATATATCGAATTTCAAATTTTCACCCAAAAGCAATAAAAAAAAAAGAGGTGAGGGACCCGCAAGTTAGGTAGGTATGTGCGTATATCTGAGAACGCAGTTTATCTAGCACTGGGGGTGTTTATGGAGAAGCAGAGTCACATGAGCTGTTGAAAAGCTCCTCCATCAAAAACACTAATCTTAATCTGAGTCCGGTGGTCTATTAATAAAAAAAAAAAAACCTCGCACTATATAAATATATGTATATATATATATAAACCGCTCATTCCAGTTCCGACACCATTTTTTTTATATATACCAAAACACATTTCCCTTAAAATATGAAAATCTCTACAAACATTTTACTTGTTTCCGCAGTTCTTTTGGTATCTGTTGAGGCCAGAGAACGACTTGTGGCTCCTGGCTCTTTTAATTTCGAAAGCAAAGATGCCATTCTCGACATTCATTTGAGCGATAAACTTCACGCCAAACGTGACTACCACCATTCAAAGTCCTTTTCCAAATGTGGGTTCTGGTCCGGTGTTGTTTCGTTAGCAAACAAAATCTCGTCTGTCGCAAATGATGCAGCCTCTCGTGTTTATGAAGAAGTTGAGGTTATTTGGATTGACGGCAAGGAGAAGCTTGATTCTGTCTTCTCTGCCTTAACTGAAGTTATCGATGAATCTACTTCTCCCAAATTCAAGACTGAGGTTATCGCCAATCCTTCGCACAAGGACCAGTCTGTTTTCAAGAACCAAGACCAGGAGAACTTTTATATGGGCGAGCTTCCCCAATCAGGACCAACTCTTCTTCAAACTGGCATCAACACCATTCCAGAGATTTCCTTTTTTGCAAAGTACTTGAGAAACAACAAGATTTATGATACCCGTTTTTCCAACTCAGAAAAGTTCACCACTATTTTTGCCCCCACAAACGAGGCTCTTATGACGTTGGAAAAGAAGCCATGGGAGTTTCCCCGCAAAATCTCAAAGCACCACAAGAATTCCATGTCTGAGAAGTCCGAGAAGAAGCTTGAAAGTATTATGAATAAGAACATTAAGACGTTTGTTAACCACCATCTCATTACCAGCCTGGACTCTGCTTACACTAGTACCTTTGGACCTGTCGATATCTGTGGTGGTTCTACAGTAATTATTTCTCCTTCTGCCAACAACAGCCCAGATCAACTTTACGTACACGTTGTTGATACCCGAGGAAAGACTTATTCTGCAAAGATTGTGGGCGAGTACTCTGTCCATAATGGCCACATTTACGTTATCGACGCTCCTCTTTCTCGTCCTTAATTGGCTCATTGTTTTTTAAAGCCACTGGTGGAATTAATTAACTTTTTTAAGATTTTTTGTGTTAAAAGAAGTTTCAGGCTTCTTATTTTTTTTCAGGCGTCACTATTTTTGCTTTTATAATTTTTTTTTTTTTTTTCAGAATCGTGGGTATTTCATTAAGCAATAAAATAAAATAAAGGATATTTTATTCAAAACTTTTAATTTTTTTTTTTTTTACCTTTTTAAAATAATGTGTCACTTGCGTAATTGAAGTGAAACTATTGTTTACGATAAAGAGATTAGAAGTTGGTTTTAAAAAAATATACAAATAAAAACTTCATTACTAAAAAAAAAAACTATAATCAACTTTTTTTTGAATAGCCTTTTTGCTATCCAACATTATTTAACAGATTTGACACTTATTGATCCTTAGGAACGTAAGGAGTAATGAGCATCTTGGAAAATCTAAGGATTTTGTTAGTAACAAGTAAAGATAAAGGGAAAAAATCAAATAAAAAAAGAAAACTTACTCTTTCAAGGCAGCAGCACCTCTAACTTCACTTGTAAGCTGGGGCAGCTTAACGATATGGAAGTCTTCATAAAGCTCTAATATCTGTTCCAGGTACTTTTGCTGTATTTTGTGTCTAGCGTTGCACTGTTCGCAATTAGAATCCTTCTTGGGGTACAGCAGCTGGTTAACGACAATGCAATGAGTGTCGATTTCGTAACTAGTAAGCTCCTGAATCATTCTTTCAGTCTCGTAAAGAGACAAAAACTCAGCGATACAGACGCAAACAAAACTAAGTTTGTTAGACAAGCAACCTTTTAAATGAGAAAAAAAAAACTTACGTAGTAAGATCAGGGTTCTTAAACTGCGAGTTAACCTCAGCAATGGTTTCACGGGTTTCATTCAGCTTGGCCATAAGATCATTAATGTTTGTGTTTGCACCAGCAGAGCCCATCAATGTGTTAAGCATGGGACCATACATGCCGGAAATCTCAGAAATCTTCCCCAGAGCCTTTTCAAGAACAGAGGGGAATGAAAGGAAACGGAGGGTGTGGCCGGTAGGAGCGGTATCAAAAACAATGGTAGAGAAAGAAGTAGACTTGACTTGCTTCATGACTTCGGCAAACGACATGGCCTCGTCAACACCGGGGATAGAATAAGCAATGTCTTGCATCAGACCGTTGATGGGGTTTCCTGTTGAAGCGTTGCCAGCATTTTGTTCAATCAGTTCTTGCATTGCTCCATTAGGATCGATTTCCATGCAGAAAAGATTGGGAATGCCTTCAACGGCACGGGGGTCCTTGCCAAACTTTTGGTCGAAAGCATCACTAAGATTATGGGCGGGATCCGTGGAAATCAACAAAACACTTTCGCGATGCTGGGCAAGCTGGACAGCAAGAGAACAAGAGTTGGTGGTCTTACCGACACCACCTTTGCCACCGACAAAGATCCATCGCAAAGACTTTTGATCAATAATGTTTTGGAGAGTAGGCTCGAGAGTATCAGACATGGTATATTAGAAAAAAAAAGAGATGAATTGGACGATTAGCACGTTGTTGATTCGAGTGATGGCAATGTATACTGGAAAGAGGACCAGGGACTAGATTAAAAGGGGGGGCAAGAAATGGCTGGTGGAATCACTTGGAATATTCAACATTCAAAATAAAGCCGGGTAATCTGTCAAAAATTTACACTGGACACAGGTTTTGTCAAGAACAAGCGTTCAATTCCAAGAAAGCAACACAATTTATTTTATTTTAATGTGCTAGTAGAAGGCTTACCTATTGGCTGAGTCAGCTATATATAGGTATTTTGGATACGTGTGATTTTTCAAACACAGAACCCTAAACCTGGCATTTCCCATGGAAATAGCAGTGAGCTGTACAAAAAAAAAAACACCCTTTGCTATCACCACTACAGTATTTGGATAGAGTTGTTATTGCAGCATCCCATTCCACCCCCCTTTATTCTTGTTTATATTGTTTAAATAACCGGTCTTCAGAGACTTTCAACAGACCTTATCAGTTTCGTTTTTTTTTGTTTGAAATTATCTTATAATGGTACGCTTTAATTTTTTTTTTTTTGAAGTAAACTATAAAGACATTTTCAGAATCTAACATTGACTTTTCATTGATGATCTTATGTATAGGTTGTTCTTGCTGCTTCTATATGCACCCGTGGTGGTAAAACAATCCTTTCTCGTCAATTCAGAGATCTTCCTAAAGACCGTGTTGCCGCTCTTCTTGCAACATTTCCCAAACTCATTAACACAGGCACTCAACACACCACGGTTGAAGATGACAATGTGAGATATGTTTACCAGCCCATTGAGGAGCTTTATATTGTCCTTATCACAAACCTCCAGTCAAACATTCTCCAGGACATTGACACCTTACGCTTGCTTTCATCCATCGTCACTTCTATTGTTCGGTCAGTTGATGAGCGCGACGTTTTGGCCAACTGCTTTGAGATTCTTTCTGCCTTTGATGAGGTTTTGTCTCTTGGTTACCGCGAGAACCTTACCCTGTCCCAAGTTACCACCTTCCTTGAGATGGAGAGTCATGAAGAGAAGATCCATGAGATCATTGAAAGAAACAAGGAAATTGAAGCTGCTGAGGAACGTAAGCTTCGGGCAAAGATGCTGGAAATGTCTCGAAATGAAAACAAGGGAGCTCCTCGCAATTTGACTTCCTTTGCACCATCTTCGCTTTCTTCCGCTTTTGGCAGCAACAACGCCGCCAACAACACTTCTTTCAAAAACAATTCATACAGCAGCAATGGCAACAACTCTGCCACTGATCTTACTGTCGACGACAGCTTTTCTCAGCCCAAGCCCCGCGCTGCTCCTCCTCGGGGCAAAGGTCTGCAGCTGGGCAAGAAGAAGACTGATGCTCTCCACGCGTTACGTGGTTCTATAGCTGATGAGTCTGCCAGCTTGATTTCTAACGCTGAGGAAATTAGCTCGATACGACAACAATCACAAAAGAAGCCAGCGGCGGCAAAGAGCTCAGAGCCTGCAAATGAAGGTATATACGTTCTTATTAAGGAAGAGCTGACTGCCCAGATTTCCCGCATGGGTGATATCCAAAGTGCCGAAATTAAGGGCTCCTTGCAACTACAAATTGGCAGTCCTTCTCTGACATCTATCCAGCTTCTTGTTGAAGCCGATGGTCCTCCAGGACAATACCGCACCCATCCCAATGTTGACAAGGCAGCCTTTTTGCAAAGCAAGACCATCAAGGTTAAGGACCCCAAGAGACCATTCCCTGGTAATAATCAGCAGCTCAGTGTGTTACGCTGGCAATCAGTTCTCAAGTCCGAGGTTGAGCGGGCTTCAGCTATTCCCATTGAATTCCACTGCTGGTTCACTCCCAACCAGGATGGCAACATTACTTGCATTGTTGAGTATGAGCTGAGCAGCACTACGGAGGAGTCGCTTAAGGATATCAAGATTCAAATTCCGTTAATGTCTGGGAACGCGTCGGTTGCGAGCGAAGACCAGACATGGAATCAGTATGATGACGAGATTGAGTGGATAATTCCTGAAATGGTTCCTGGCGAGGACAATGCTTCTGGAAGCTTGGAGTGGGTTGCTGAGGCCACTTCAGAGGACGATTTCTTCCCCATGATTGTTAGCTTTTCTTATAAGAATCCTGTCACCACATTTGGTAAAGTCAATCTTGTGGACGTTGCTGAGCTCGAAGACGAAAATGCTTCTGTTTTATTCAAAAAGGACATTGTTATTGAGTCTTCTAATGTCACAATTGTTTAAAAAAAAAATACATGAAAAAAATAGTAATTTAAAGGGGCAAATGGATTTGTGCTTTTTTTTTATATAAATAATAATAAAAAAAATATATATATAATAACAGGAGTGAAAAAAAAAAAAAAATTGGATTGTTTATATTAAAAAAAAAAAAAAAACAAATAATACAGTAACTAATAAATATAATTTAACATCAGAAAAGCAATTAATAAAATGGGAGAAATTGGTTGTATAAATAAATAACTAAAATAATGATCACTTCATATTGTATAATCTAACAAAGTGGAATTAATCATTTTCTCCGGATCTAAAAAAAAAAATAAATAAATAAATAAAAAGCATTTGACGATGGTGGGGGTTTTTTATCTTTTTTTTTTTCACAGATATAAGCAAAGACCTGGAGTTGCAATCTTAAAAGTGCATTCCAAGCCAGCTTCTCTGGAGTATGCAATGAGCTCTTGATAAATGAGGGAAGGAGTGCTCGAGGATTCTAAATTAGGATTGGGGTAGCCGAAAGTTTCATTTGAATGTCTGGCTGAATTATGATTTAATGGTGGTGGAACAGCTTCGAGTGGATCATCATCCTTGACATGTATAATAACAATGGTAAGACCCTTTAAAGATTTCAAATTTGGGTCTTGAACAAACTTAGAAAGTGTGACAAGTTCAGCAATTAAGTGACGAGTTGAAAAGTGACCAAATAATTCTTCGTGGGAAAACGGATATGAACATTCGATAAACACACCGGCCAGCGCATTCTGAGAAAATAAAAGCGCAGCATGCTTCCATACATAAATATTGCGCGGAGTTTGCGATACAGAGTCAGGCTCGACGTCACCCCAAATCAATATGTGTGACTTGGAAACCGTGTCTTGAATAAAGTAAGCAGTGGAGATGTATGTTGTTTTCGTGGTAGAATGGTGGAACGGCGAAGATGACGAAGAAGAAGTAGAACAAGAAGCTAAAGTTGTTGCAGTTGCATTTGTAGACATTGGCGGACAAATAGGAGCAGTTGCAGAGAGGGGAGAGCCAGGTGAACTGGAAAAAGAAGATGATGATGATGATGTTGTTGTTGTTGCTGTTGTTGTTGACGACGCAAGAGGGCCTTTGGGTGCAATGAGACTTGAGATTGGTTTGGTTGAAGCATTGGTCAAACCATTAGAAGACCTTCGTGGCACAATGCTACCAGCAGCCAATACCGATGAAACAGTAGCTGTAGCTGTATTTGATGATTGTGATGAAGATGTCGAGGGACTTGTTTGTCTTCCTGATGGTTTGTTGAAGGTCAGGAGTCCTGAGATGGATGACTTGCGGCGAGCAAAGCCCGACTGACAAATAGTTCCGTGGGAAATTGGGAACGGTAATACCGCCAGATTTTCTGCCAGTGTTGTATTTGAAAGAACTGGAATCTGAGGGGTCGTTGTTGTTGTTGGAGAGTTTACTGATGACGACTGAACCTTCCCTTCATTTTTCTTGTGCTCTTCAGGCTTGTCGTGGGATGATGGTGCTGTGGAGCGTTTTGTTATTACTACATTGGAACTGCAGTACCCACCTTCTCCGACATCCGTGACGCTGTTAGTGGTACTACTACCAATGGTGGTTGTAGTGCTGCTGCTAATACTGCTGCCACTGTTATTACTACTGCCGCCCCCTCCTCCGCGTCCGCCTCCACCACCACCACCACCACCACCACACCCTGTAGTAGTAGGAGTAGATGCAGAAGTTGCAGAACTATTAGCATGTGAATCGTGTCTGCTAATATCATGGCCACTAATTGTTCTTTTTGTAGCTAGAGAGTAAGATGGGGAAAAGGGTCCAGAAGTTTCATGACGAGAAGAATGAGCTTGTGTATAAAAAAAGGATCTTTCTGGATTGAGGCGCTTCATGGAAAATAGACCCACGGGGTCGACACCTTCTGTAGTAAGGTTCGGCCATATGATACCGTTAAAAATATGAGAAGCCAAAGCATCAATTGTAGAGGGCAAACCAGCCACGGTTTTCGGAGACTCGAAGGAGAAGTTGCCCGAGTTGATGACGAGCCCTGCAATGTGATCGAGATGTGGGTGCGTGACACATATGGTTGAAATAAGGGTGTTTATAATGTACCAAGTATTTTCAATGGGTTTAGAGAATGGCATTGTTTCAGGTGGGAAGATAGGAGTTTGGCGTTCCTCTGGGGCCAGCCCATTGCGCGCGTATATTTGTGGGGTTAGCGGGAGTCGGGACGCAAAAAGATTAGTGTAGAGGGCACGTAAGTTTGGATCGAGAAAGGGTTGGTTTATAAGAAGTTGGTTTGTGAGAATGTCTAAAATCCCAGAGGCTAAAGCGCCTGCATCAATGGCCAGTAAAGAGTTTTTGGACCAAGAGGCGCTGGTTGAATGGACGAGATAACAAGATGTTTTTGAATCAATGGGACCACCATGAGAACCCTAATTGAAGATGGAAATAAAAAAAAAAAAAAAAAAAAAAAAAAAAGAGAGAGAAGTGAAATGAAATGAAATGAGATTGTTAGTCTAATAGAACTGGAATAAAATAGCAACAAGTCCATTTATTATTATTATTATTATTATTTTTTTTTTTTTTTTTTGGAGAGGAGGGGTATTTGAAAGATGGTACCATCACGGGGTTCCTGAGAAATGGGAGAAATAAACGACTGAAGATGTGAAGATGTGAAGATGTGGAGAACTTGTATATTTTAATATATTTTTAAATAAACTTACAAGGATGATGACCTGAAAGGCGTGACGGTTGTTTAAGGTAGTAGCCATCTGATGATGATTATGATGATGATTATGAACAGAGAAATCTAAATCTAAGTATTGAAATAAACACAACTGTATAGTTATTTTTTTTTTGTTGTTGTTGTAGTAGTTTATTATTATTGAAAAGAGAAAAAAAGAAAATAGTGTTTTTGTGTATGAAGAGTTAATATTGTAGATGAGATTTTTATGAGATTTTAAAATATTTTAAGATATTATCGGTTATTAATTAAATGGATTATTAAAAATGGATATTTAAGAATTCCAAAAGTGATTAAGAAAGAAAGAAAAAGAAGATTTTTTGTTTTTTTTTTTTAAAAAAAAAAAAGCGTTTTATATTTTTAGGGTTAAAAAGAAGAAAAAAAAAAAGAAGAAAGAAAAAAAAAGTTTAAGAGAAGGAGGTTTTTTTTTTTTTTTTTTTTTTTTTTTTGGAGCGGAGGTTATTATTATTATTATTATTATTATTATTATTATTATAATTTGGTCCACCCAGATGTTTTTGGTTGGTTAGTAGTAATTGTAGTTTTAGAAAGATTTATTATATTTTGAAAGTTGGACTTTTTATTTTTATTTTTATTTTTCCCAATAATATAAAAAAATAGAAAAAAAAAATAGAAATAGAAATAGAAATAGAAATAAAAAAAGAAGAAGAAAAAGTACAATTTTTTTTTTTTTTTCTAAATCGTTTAATATTGTTATAATTTGAGTTGTTAATAAATAAATAAAATAAAAAATAATAAGAAAAGGAATTTATCTATATATTTTAGTTTAAATTTTTTTATTTTTTTTAATTTTTTTAATTTTTTTAATTTTTTGTTAGTTTGTAAAGTATTTTTTTCTTTTTTTTTTTTTTTATTTTTTTGTGAGTTTCCAGTTGTAAGCGATAAGAGACGTCTATTCCTATTTAGGTAATTACATAGAATGTTCCACGCATAGAAAATAAACTTTTTTTTTTTTTTAAAAAATAATAATAATAATAATAATAATAATAATAATAATAAAAAATAACATAAAATAAGAGGAGAGACGACTACCTTTTTTTTTTTTATTTTTTTATTTTAGTGCAGTTATTACAAACGTGCACTATTTCCTGGAACTTGGATAATAATAATCCATAAAATAAAAAAATAAAAAAATAAAAAAATAAAAAAATAAAAAAAACCAATTTCAAAAATTGCTGGTTCTTTGGAAATTTTGTATGATGATGTTGGTGATATCCTTTAACAAGCATTGATTTAGAATGTGCATTGATATGATATTTTTTGTAAATATATTTAAAAAAAAATCGATAAATAAATAAAAGCATTAATCTATCATTTTTCATTTATTCATTCATTCATTCATTCATTAAGATCAAGTCCACTTGCTTGAACTCCAATATTTCAAATATATAAGCATCAAATTCAAGTTATTCAACCTATTCAATCATGAATCATGCTGATATCCATAAAGACATGTATAAAAAGATGGAATTTCTTCTCAATATTGTTTTTTTTTAATATTTTTAAGTAATAAAATAAATTAATTAATCAATTAAATAAATAAATAAATAAATAAATAAATAAATAAATATCAACATGCTAATACGAAAAACATTCATCCTCTTCATCATCTGTGGCTGGTCAATTGCTGCTACTACTACAACAACAACAACAACAACAACAACAACAACAACAACCACTGAACCAGATTCTAGAACAAAGGCTCTCATCTCCCTACTAAAAACTCCTCCTGGAAAAGAACAACAACAACAACAACAACAACAACAAATCTCTGCTGTAAATGTCCCTTTGGTACCTAATGTCCATCCTGAAATCACACTCAATAACGGTGACTCCCTCACCGGTGTGGTTGACATCAAAGGGGTTGAATCCTTCAAGGGCATCCCATACGCTGAGCCCCCTATAAATAATCGACGCTTCAAACACCCCTTGCCCTATAACGGAAGTTACAATGGACTCCAAGCATACAAGTACGCCGCTAGCTGCATCAATGTCACCCCTTATGGGTTCTTTAGTCTATCTCGAACTGCAGTTGAAAACGCTGTCCCCCATCTGAATCGGTTCTTGATGACCACCTTCTTTAATCCCAACATTAATGAAGATTGTCTATACTTGAATGTGTTTCGACCAAATGGAACTGCTCCTGATGCAAAACTCCCTGTTATTGTTTGGATCCATGGAGGTGCTTTCCAATTCGGAAGTTCCTCGGCTTACCCTGGTGACAAGTTTATCCAAGACAGTGTTTCCATGAACCAATCTGTTATTTACGTGTCACTCAACTACCGTCTAGGACCTTGGGGGTTTTTGGGTGGGAATGCAATTAAAGAAGAAGGTTCCTCTAATGCTGGGTTACACGACCAGCGCTTGGCCATGAAGTGGGTATCTGATAATATTGAAGCATTTGGTGGTGATTGCAATAAAATCACCTTGATGGGTGAGTCTGCCGGTGCAATTAGTATAGCCCATCACCTGGTTGCATACAACGGAGACAATAGGTACAATGGCAAAAGGCTTTTCCATGGTGCTATTATGCAAAGCGGAGGGCCGTGGAGTTTTGGACCAATTACGTCGACCAAATCTGAGACACTTTTCCGAAGATTTGCACGGTACAGTGGGTGTTCGACTCAATCTAATAATGAAACTATGGAGTGTCTTAGAAGCAAATCTGTTTTGGATCTACAAATGGCCCAAAACTTCAACCATGAAATTAAAGACATTCTCTTGACAGATCCCTCGGACCCTGTGTTTGGTTGGAGCCCCCGTTATGATGGCGAAATGATTGGAGATAACCCAGCTGTATTGGCCAAGCTAGGCAAGTTTGCCAAAGTGCCGTACATTATTGGTACCCAAGAAGATGAAGGTACTGTTTTGACCTTGTTGTTTAACTTGAAGACCAATATTCAGGTTAACTCGTATATGATGAATCTGTTACCCAATCTTTCTGAAGACAATTTGTTTGAATTGATTAAAATGTATCCATCGGACGGTAGACTTAAGTCAATTCCTGGTGTTAAAGTGAATGGTCGGAACAAGGGTATATGGCGAGCAATAAACGAGATTCACCCTGGGTACTTGAGGTTTGCTCGTATTATTGGAGACTTTATGTTTGAAATTCCTCGGTTAGTTTTGCTCAAGAGTACACCTCCGAGTGTCCCTCATTATGTTTATCGCTCAGAATTTTTGCACAATGTTATGCCTGTAGTTGGGACTCCTCATGCTGGTGAATTGCTTTGGCAGTTTCATTTGGATATGCACCCTGCACCCGCTTATCGGCGGTACTTTATCTCATTTGCCAATAATTTTAATCCCAATGTTAATACAAGTCTGCCATATTGGAATGCATATGATTATAAAAAGAAGGAAACCATGGTGATTAAACTCACAAAGTTGGTTATGGGGGTTGATAAGACAGGCAGAAATAAGGATTTGAATTTCCTTGTGAATGATCCCAAGATTATTCAAATGTGAGATAATAGGTTGAAAGAAAGGAAGAAAGAAAGAAAGAAAGAAAGAAAGAAAGAAAGAAAGAAAGAAAGAAATGATTTTGAGTTTTTTTTTTTGAGTTTTCACAGTTTTTTGTTTTTATTTTATTTACATGTGGGCATTATTATTCGATTTTAGTAAAAAAAAATTTAATGAATGAATGAATGAATGAAATTATAAAATTATATGATAAAATGAGTAATTTTTCTTTTTTGTGTTGAAAAAAAAAAAAATTTTTTTATTATTTTTGTTATTTTAAATTCAAATTTATGACGAAGTAGAAAGGAAAAAAAAAAAAAAAAAAAAAAAAAAAAAAAAAAACGATGGTAGCCGTAACCGCTCGGATAATGTCCCGCCGAGGTTTGAGGCAGCAGCAACACCAACAGCAGCAATTACATTATTTTAATTTATTTATTTATTTATTGTGATGTGTGTGTATGTATGTGTAACAAACACCTCAAAGTATCACCGGTACTTTGGCCACACCCGATTAACGGTCCTTGCGTACTTCTGCTGTTGCTGCTGCTGCTGCTGCTGCTGCTACTGCTGCCGCTTGCTGAAAATTTTTCTTTTTCTTGAAAAAAAAAAAAAAATTAAAATAAACTAAATAATACTAATAATAAAGGTTGCTACTGTTGTTATTAAAATGTGGGCATTTGAACTTGAAAGACGGGTCGGAGATCGGATTAAATGTTTTATATATATATAATTGTATAAAAAAAAAAATTCTAAGGATCGGCTTTTGAAGGTAAAAAAAAATGAGATTTTTTTTTTTTTTTTTTAGTTTTTAAGTCATTTAAGTCACATGAAATTTGGACATTGGTATACTTGCCAGGTTTCTTTAAAGATTAAATTATAAAAATTATATATATAAATTATATAAATTAAATTATAAAAAAAAAAAAAAAAAACGCATTTTGCAAAGTAATTTCCACATGGCTTCAAACTTTAGGTCTTTAATGTTTAACAACTGGTGGTACCTTAAACCCCTATCCTTCTTTCTCTCTCTCCCACTCCCCCACTCTATATATATATATATATATTTAACCAAATTAACACAAAATACTCGGAGCCTCTCTTCAAGGCTCCGAAGAACTAAGCTCTGTGAAAGGCTGGAGCTATGTGAACCGGTAACGACGCTTGGTTCTGATGCCGTGTAATTTTTCCGAAATGTTGTATTTAGCATGTTTTATAAGGTAAGATTTTCCGAAAAGTGTTGCATTTAATAAACTTTAAGAATTAAATAAAAAAAATTAATCCTGATGAGCCCCCCTCCCCTCCCCTTTTCTAAATTATAAGCCCCTCCTCTGATTATAAAAAAATAAAATAAAATAAAATAAAATTTTTTTTAATAAACCAAGAAAAATAAAATAAAAATAAATAAATAAATAAAAATGCCGTCTTTAATATGTTGTGTGTGTGTGTGTATATACATCTTATCTCTCTTGGCCGAGTGCGGACTTGAAAAAATAAAAAAAAAAAAAAAAAAAAAAAAAGGAAGTCATATGCAGCAACAACAACAACAACAACAACAACAACAACAACAACAACAATAATTAACAATTTTCCTTTTTTTTTTTTCCAAATCTGGAAAAGAATATATATTTTATTTTATTCTTTAAAATACGTTTGTAAGAGCAACTTGGTCTAGAATAATAACAAATATATAAAATGTCCTACATCTGCTCTTTTTTCCGTTAATTTTTTTATTAAAAAAAAAAATAGTTTCATATTAAATTATTCTTTTAAAAGAAATATATAAACATTTTTTTTTCTTTTTTTTTTTTTTTTTACTATTCTCTTCATCAAATGATCCAACCTCAATATTCTTAATAATTTCGCCTAAATGATTCAAATCAGAAAACCCGTTCCAACTCACCAATTCAACCTACACTCATTATACTTTCACCAAATCCGAACTTACAACAAAATGGCTCTTAAAGCGAAAATTAACTCTTCTATGCTCCCAGAGCTTAGCACTCCCAATCCTGTCAATCCTCCAACCTACTCTAAATTCGCACCAGCTTATGACCCCAATGATATGCTTGCCTCTTCTAAGAAGGGCGTTTATAAAATCACCCTCAACAGACCAACTAAACTCAACTGTATTGACCAGTCCATGATTGATAAAATTATTCCTCAACTTAGAGAATGGTCAGCAGAAAAAAATGCTCAGGTCATTATTATTAAAGGTTCAGGGAACAGAGCTCTCAGTGCAGGTGGTGATGTTGCAGCTCTTGCCAAGGATAATTACTACAATGGACATGAGGGATCCGCTCGCTCAACAATTTATTTCAGAGATGAATACTATCTCAACCACTTACTTGCTACTTACCGTAGACCTGTCATTTCCGTTATGAATGGAATTACAATGGGTGGAGGCGTTGGTATTAGTGTCCATGCCCCATTCCGCATTATTACAGAAAAAACTCTTTTCGCCATGCCTGAAGCTGATATTGGCTTTTTCCCTGATGTTGGTGGAACATACTTTTTGCCTCGGTTAGATGGTCAAACCGGTATCTACTTAGGCTTGACTTCTAAGCGATTGAAAGGTTATGATGCCTATGTCGCTGGTGTTGGCACCCATTTCATTTCCGAGTCTCTTCTCCCAGAAGTTGAGGCACGCCTTGTGGAGGTTTTCAGTCACCGGTCAGCCTCAACCCATGATGCTTTTGAATTGGTCAATTCTGTTTTAATGGAGTTTGAGTCACCACCACCTGAAGGTTACAAGTTTTTCTTGACTAGCAAGACTCGCAAAATGATTGATGAATGTTTTTCGCTGGAAACTGCAGAGGAAATTGCCGCAGCTTTAGCCGCAGATGGCTCGGAGATTGCCCTTGAGGCTCGGAAAAATATGCTTGCTAGATCGCCAACCTCGGTTAAAGTGACACTGGCTGCCATGAGAAGAGCAAGACACTTGGGAATTCGACATGCATTGGAAGCTGAGCTGCGCTTAGCTGAAAACTTTATGTATGGCAAAGAGTTTATTGAAGGAGTCAATGCCAAGCTCATTTCTAAGCCTGCCCGGGATCCACGATGGAATCCTCCTAGGTTGGAAGATGTCAGTGATGAGCTTGTGGAGCAGTATCTTGGGAACAGACCAAATAGTGTTGTTGAGGGCAATAAGTTTTTCCATCCTGAACACAATGGACTTTACCCAAGGCATCACTTTGGTCTCCCCGCAGAAAGACATGTTAAGGAATACATTACAGGAAGCAAGTTTGGTAGAAAGACTAGAGTATCTGCTCAAGAAGTGTTGGACTTTTTCACCCATGAGACTCAATCCAAGTATGGAGTACATGAAAAGATTCAGGATATTCTTGATCGTAAGACCAAGCCTCATCCTTTGAACAATAATCTTTTGGAATGGATTTACTAGAGTCATTTATTATTTATTATTATTTACATGGGCGTATCTGTTTTGTTTTTTTTCATTTTTTTTTTTCATGATTAGTATTTATCATTGTTTTGTTTTTTAAATTGTTTAAATTGTTTTTTGTGCTTTTTCCATATGTTAATTGATTAAATTTTTTTGCATTAATAACTAGTTTTTTTTTTTCCGATCAACGTATTTTGAGAGAGTTTTTTATATTTTTCTTTTGTTAAAAATAGAATTTTTTGCGTGAATATCTCAACAAAAATATACATATATCTATATATCTATATATCATATATTTGTTGATTGCTTCAATTTTTTTTTTTTTTTTTTCGTTTTGAAGATTCAATGTTTTTTTTTTTTTATTTTTTAATTGCCCAATTTCTACGTATTCTTGCGTATATCTCGGTTATTAAAGGATAGTGGGCATTCAATTAAAGAAGAGGGGCAAATGATAACAAAAGAGTATCCATTTACTCTTTTTCAAAAAAAAAAAAAATAATAAATTAAAAATAAAAATAAAAATAAAAATAAAAATAAATAAATTTAGGTTGAGAACTTGAAATCCAATTATAATTGTTTGTCTGTGTAGTTAGTTTTTCGGGAAAGTGTAACTGCATTACCTCGGTTTATGGTGATTGGGGATTAAAAAAAAACTTGGAGGTTTTGTGTGTGTGTGTGTGTCAAAAGAAAAATTCAAAAAAACAACGACATCCAAAACAGCCTTACAATGGGTTATCTGATAAAAAAAAAAAAAATTTATTAAAAATAGTTATTTATTATAATAATTATTTAATAAATATAAATAATAAAAATAATAAAAATAAATAAATGAAAGAGGGGTAGGAGGGGTAGACGCTTCCGGCGGTCGGATAATCAACGGTGGCAACGAAAACCGACCTTAACGAACCGCATGCTAATGCCATAGATATTGTCATTGCCATTGCCATTGCCATTGACATTGCCATTGCCATTGCCCTAGCAGTAGCCATAGCCGTAGCCGTAGCCGTAGCCGTAGCCGTAGCCATTTACAATATATATATATATATATATAAAAGCTTAGATAACTTAGATGCATCACCGGTACCCGCCCATTCAATTAGATATATACAAAAACACAATCACATTTATATACCTTGCTATCCAAAGAAAAAAAAAAAAAAAAAAAAAAAAAAACAGGAGGAGAAGCCATCTTTAGGATTAAATGTAGTATTGTAAGAACTTATTTTAAAAAACTTAATGGCAATAGTAAAGCCTAACTAACACAAACATCAGTATTAGACAAATAAAATAAAAATAAAAATAAAATAAAAATAAGGGTGTGCCGAATTTGCGCCGTTTATAAACAGCAAAAAAAAAAAAAAAAAATACATTGAAAAGTTTCAACCTCTTTTGATTTATTTTTCACAAGTAACAAATATTGTTTTTTTTTTTTATTCTTTTGAAAGTTCCAAACGAGTAATAACAAATAATATAATTAAAAAAAAAAGGAATCTTAGAAATTATGAACTTGAATTAATATCAAAAAAAAAAAAAAAAAAAAATTTACTTATCCCCCGAAATACTACCGAACTTTATCAAGCATTTGAAACAATCTATTTGAACGTTAGAGTATATATATAATCCAAATAACGGAGCTGAGTTTTTATTTTTCTTATTTACAAAATACTTAGTATCTTAATTTTCTTCAGTCGCAATGTAGATGCGTATTCGGTCGTAAAGTAGTTTCTGATTTGTTATTGTTTGTAGTAGCTTGTAGTAGCTTGCTGCTGTTGTTACTTTAGAAATTGAACTTTTTATTTATATATTTCTATTGAATCCAATTGAGTTTTACAATAAAGATTCATAATTATAAGAACAAAAAGTATCTATTTTTTTTTTTTTTTTTTTTTTTTTGGGATACAATCTTGATAACGACTATTATACCTTAATTTAACTTTTCAAGAGTATTAAATTAAAAAATAAAATAAAATAACAGAGTCATCAGTCATTTTTTTTTATTAAACATTTCACTAAAGTAAAAATTTATGTCAACCCTAACCTTGAACTCAATAACCTATACTTTTTTTTTTTTTTTTTTTTTTATTCCTTCAGAAATGCCCACCTTTTAAGTATATAAAAAGATGTGTGCGCACATATTCCAATTTTTTTTTTCTATTTTTTTTTTTATTTTAAATTTTAAATTTTAAATTTCCTCTTTTATTTTTTTTTTTGTCTTTATCTTAAGATAATTATCTTTCTTATTCAATATACTTTATTAATAAACTATGGATTCCCTTTTTTTTTTTTTTTAAATCTAAATATTCCCACTAGTTCTTAGTTCTTATCATGCTTCATATTCAATTCTAAAAAAAAAAAAAAAAAATTAATAATAATAATAATAATAATAATAGAAATTTTTTATTTTTAAAAATACTCCTAAATTCAAATCCCCTTTATATCAACTTTTCATTTTTAAAAAAAAATTGTTTTTTTTTCCTATCTTAAAATCAATTAGATATACTATAAAACTAAATATTCCAGTACCTTTATCATTAAAACACACATACAAATGCATTCATTTACTTAATCTTGTCCCACAAGAGGACTAAATGGATGTACCGAAGACTCCACCGCCTTGGTGGGTTCTTGGGCTTGCTGGTAAGCCTGCTGATTCAAAGAAACATTACTTTGGTTAGGAGAAAATTGTTCTTGTGCAAGCTCAGGCGAAACATTCTCAGAGTGGAACTGCTGCGAAGCTTCTTGATACTGTTGTGGTGGCAGAGGAGCTACCTGTGTTGGCTGTTGTAGATGTGCCTGTTGCTGTTGCTGTTGCTGTTGCTGTTGTAATTGCTGCTGTAATTGCTGCTGTAATTGCTGCTGTTGTATTTGATGTTGTATTTGAGCCTGTTGTTCTTGGTTAATATACTGGGCTTCATCCTGCTCAGGAATGGAATTGGCAGCAGCTGCTGCTGCTGCTGCCGCACGACCAACAGCTTCCTGTTGATCAAGATGTTGCTGCAGAAGCGATTCTTGTTCCTTTTCAAGCTCTTGGTTTTGTTGCTGGATTTGGCGCCTGAGCTGCTCGTGCTCTTCAGTAGCTGTTGTAGCTGCAGATGCTGATCTTTCTCTCGAAAGTCTAGCTTCCATTTCTCTAAGCTCACGTTCTCTCGCAACAAGCTCCATCTTCTTTTCATTAATTTCACGCTGTACACGCAGCTCAATTTCACGCAACTTTTCTTCTTCTCGTTGGAGTTGTTCCTCCTTTAGAAGATAAGATTGGTTGGCAAGATCCTCTGGGTTAAGCAGTGCGCTTTCACGGGGGTCGGAAATATTTTGCGAAAGCTTTTCTGTGCGGTATGTTTCGTACAAAAAGTCGTGAGTAAGATCCTTCAAGTCAGCCATGTGAGAACCAAGAATGGCAGCACGAAGAGAAGAGTAATCAGAGTAATCAGGATTTTCAATGTCGACAAGCCCCCAAGGGTATTTACGAGCACGAATCGGGTGGCCATTATAATCCACAAATTCAGTTGCCGAAACAATGGCAAATGGGAGCATAGCCTTTAATGCCGAATTCTCTTCAATGGTTTCAGCATCATCCTCTTCGACATCGTAGGGGAAATTGTAGATAGGAATGTTGTACTGCTCGATATCTTCCATGGTAAGCTTTTTGGTAAGAGCAAGCTCAGTAGGAGTCAAGGAATCGGCACGTCCAATGACAGGGATGACATTGACACGCTTGGAAAGACGACGCATAAGTTCGACATCGATTTCTCTGAGACCATGGCCAGTGGGCTCAATGAAATACAAAAGAACATGAACACGATTGTCCTTAAATCTAGGGTTACGTCTGATTCTGGACTCTTCAGCAAGAATCTCATCGTATTGAAGTTCAAGGTATTTTAAGATTTCGTCAAAGCAAGGCTCATTATCGATATTATCGCCAAACCCTGGGGTATCGACGATTGTGAGTGAAATTCTGGTTCCATCTTCTTCGTCCATTTCGACTGTTACAGGGTTGATATGGATGCCGGGCTCAATGTGGGCCTTATATGGGTCAAAGACCTTGGGTGCGGGAGTTCCAGATATGTTGAGAGTATCACTGAAAAAAATAAAAAAAAAAAAAAAGACAAGGTTAGAACATGTAGATTTCAAAAAAAAAATAAATAAATAAAATAAAATAAAGAAGAAGAAGGATCGAATAAATCATACTTTTGGTACTTGTTAGATTTGTCTAAAGCTTCTGTGGAGGCCTCGTGAGCCAAAACGGTTTGTCCACAGAGGGTATTGACAAAAGTTGTGCGGCCAGTCCCTGAGGCACCGCAAACCATCATGGTGAACTGGATGCCTTTCTTGACATGTTTCTTGCGACGCATCTAAAAGTTGAAAGTGTTAATAATTGATTTGAAAAAAAAAAAAAAAAAAAAAAAAAAAAAGATATTAATAATAAGAAATAGACATACCTCATACGTCGTTGTGATTTTAGAGGAAACTGAAGAAGGTCTCATGGTGTCTTTAAGGTAGTGCTGTTCAAATCACACACACACAAACAGAAAGATTTTGGTATAATAAGTAGAATGTTGGAAGAAGAAAAAAAAAACAAATTGGAATGAAAAATTCCTATATGAAACTTTATGAACAAAAAAAATAAATAAATAAATAAATAAATAAATAAAGCAAATAAGAAAAGATGAGATGGTTACTTTCTTTTGATGAAAATACCCAGTTTGAAGGTTTTTATTTTTTTTATTTTTTTATTTTTATATATATTTAGGCTTTTAGGAAAGGAGGTTGGAATTTTGTTTGTTGTTGTTATTGTTGTTTATTATTGTTTGGATGTTTGGAAATGCAACTATTTTTTTTTTCGTTTGTGTGACTTCTTGTCACACCTTTTTGTAACAAAAAGTCCCTTAAAAAAAACTTTTTACCCCTGAAAAGGCCACTTTTTTTGTTTTTTTTTTTTTTTTTTTTTTAAAAATAAAAAATTAAAATAAAAATAAAAAAAAAACGTCCATCTGCTTGTTAATAACCCTTGTGATCACGAGTGATTTAAAAACAGATTAAAAAAAAAAAAAAAAAAATTCATTATGGTTTGTGTATATATATATATATATATATATATATGTAAAGGCCATGTGAGAATTATTGATATAAACTTTTAATGCACTATCAACATCATCATCATCATCATCATCATCATCATCAATACAAACTATGTATTTAAACAGTTATTAATTAATTAAGAAAATTGGTGTTGTAAGATTACTTTAGAATAATTTAATTACTTTTTTTTTTGAATACAATCACAATGATTGAATCTTTTGTAGTTTTTAATTCAACAATTAAACCTCTCCCCCCCCCCCCCCTTTTTAACAGCAACTTTAGTTTATCATTATTGTTGTAGAGAGAGATAATTATAAATTCCCAAATGAAAACTTGAAACTTTCTAAAATGGAAAAAAAAAAAAAAAATAAATAAAAATAATAAAAACTTCAATTATTTTTTATGAGAGCTATTTAAGAATCATATTTTAAAAAGTTTCTTACTTAAGACTTATAACATAAACTCTTTTAAATATTTAAAAACCCAAACCCTTTAGTTCCTTTCCTTTCCTTTCCTTTCCTTTTTTTTTTTTTTTTTTTTTTCATGAATAATATTAAAGCTAAGCTTAAATAATAAACTCATTCAATTCAAGAATATTAAATATATATTTAATTTAATCAATATCCTCATTTAATGAAGTTTCATTTTCCCCTTTTCATTTTAAACTATGTCTTTCTCAAATGGAATTGATTTCCCCTTTTCATATCCAGACTTCTCTAGTGGTGCACATTCAAGAGCTGAGAATTATCCTGGATGGCCATACTTGGACCCCCTAACATGGGCCTCGAAAAAAGATGTCAATGATTATTATAGAGTTGCACATTATTTCCGTCGTACAAACATATCATTCCTCACCTATTTCTTAATAACCCATCATATGAGTTCAGTCTGGAATGGCGATGGTGCTGTAATCATGGCTATTTTTTCCGTTGATGCGTACGGAGCTTGGGTTTGCAAGGATGCAGATAAGCCAAATGTTCAGAAAATTGTATACGACCATGTCTATAAACTATTCCAACTTGAAAAATTCCCAGATTATGAGCTCAGGTATACAAAGTCTTTAAGTATATTCCCCGTTCTACACATCAAGCCACGAAAACCAGTTCCGCCTGCAAGGGAATCACAACTGAAAAAACATGTGCGTAATATTGGTGACAATAGTGCTTTAAAGGATATCAGTATTTACATCAAACATAATGAACGGCTTTTCAATATTACAGTCATTGCTGAGCATGACTTGGATGTACGTACAAAAGGACCTGTTGTATCCTATATCATGAACCACTTAAGCGAGGTTTATAAACTAGAGGAGGTATCAAAGCGACTAAATCGATTATTTCCTAAAGAGTTTGAAGTCCGTATTACCATGCCTCCAATCTTGAAAAATGATACAGAATCAGCTGAACCCGTACGAGAAACTCATGGTTATACTGTACTGATAGCCGTTTATATTCCTCACGATTACAAGTTTGTCTCGAAAAATAAAAAAAAACACAACTCTTCTAAAATATCAACAAAGGCAATCAGCGCGAGTGATACAAAGGATAAAGATACAAGCAAAAATAACTCTTCAGTATTAAAAAAGAGCTCGAAACTACCCGAATCACGCTCAGTAGACGAAGTTATTGAAGGCTGCTTTGATTTAGTAGATCCAGTCTTTATCAAGGATGCCAAATCGTTATCTTTATACAACCGGCGATCCAAGTATAAGTATCAACCTTTAGACGCCTCAGCAGGACAAAAGAAAAGGAAAAATACAAAACCAATGATTTCCAAGTCGAAGGAAAAAAAAGATCTTTCAGACACCATACCTGAATCCTACGATGGGGGGATTCCGCTCACATGCTTGACTCCAGGGAAAATTGTTTTGAAAAAGCAGGACCCGAGAGCGTTTACTATGCAGGGATTTATAGCAAACAAACTCCCTCTTTGCTACTACTGTGGTGATTTTGGGCATTTAAAGAAAAATTGCCACAAAAACCCGGACCGGACCGGCGAGGCTGGGAAAAAGAAATGGAGACAGAAGCAGGAACAGAACTTAAAGGAGAATGTATTGGATCGAATTAAATAAATAAACGCGAATTAAAAATTTATTTTTATTTTTATTTTTGTTAAAGTAAACGCGCGTAACTGACACGAGAGAGAGAGAGAGAGAGAGAGAGAGAGAGAGAAAAAAAAAAGTAAACAATGACACAGACTTTTTTATTGTTTACTTTTTTATTTTTTTTTTTTCAATCCTAATTTTTATTTTTTTTTTGTTTACACTAACCAACTAACCAACCACCCATAAATCACCAACATGAGCATTTCACGTGAAGAACAAGGATACTTAGATCTGTGCCGTGAAATCATTGAGAACGGCGAGACCCGATCTGATCGAACAGGCACAGGCACCAAGTCTATTTTTGGGCCTCCACAGTTGCGATTTTCTCTTTCTGGTGACACTCTTCCCTTGCTAACCACAAAGCGAGTCTTTTACCGTGGAGTACTGGAGGAGCTGCTATGGTTTGTCCAAGGATGTACTGACTCGAAAAAACTTGAAGAAAAAAACATTCACATTTGGGATGGCAACGGGTCTCGCGAGTTTTTAGATTCCCGTGGACTGTCACACCGGCGTGAAGGCGACCTGGGACCTGTGTACGGGTTCCAGTGGCGACACTTTGGAGCCGAGTACAAAACATGCGACGACGACTATACAGGAAAAGGCGTAGATCAGTTGGCACAGGTGATCCACACAATTAAAACTAATCCATATGACCGGCGGATTATTCTCTCGGCATGGAACCCGGCAGATATCCCACTTATGGCGCTGCCGCCGTGCCACATGTTTGCCCAATTTTACGTACACAATCCCAACACTCCGGAGGCTAAGTTGTCATGTCTTTTATACCAGCGGTCATGCGATATGGGGTTGGGTGTGCCGTTCAATATTGCATCGTATGCGTTGCTTACCAAAATGATTGCGCATGTGTGCAACATGCAGGCCGGCGAGCTAATACACACCATGGGTGATGCACACGTCTATCTTGATCACATTGATGCACTCAAAGTCCAGATTGCTCGCACTCCTGGTGAGTTCCCGACGCTTAAGTTTGCACGTGAGATCAAGGACATTGATGACTTTAAGTACGAGGATTTTATTTTGGACAACTACAAGCCGCAGAGTAAGATCGAAATGAGCATGTCTGTATAAACATTTACATATTTATAAATTTACTGGGATTTTGGCTTGACAATGTATTTTTCAAGATGCTTGAATAGTTTCTCAATGACAGTTGGCGACGTTCCAATCACAGAAGGCGCTGCATCAAAAAGCGTTTTGACCAGCTCTGTATCGTCGCCCTCTGGGTCGTACATTTTGTATCGGTGTCCTGGTCTTAAGAGCTTCCCCATGTAGCGTGTGTTTTTGAGATCCATTATGGAACTTTTTCGCGGGATGACTGGATTTGAGAAGTGGTTATGTTCTTTAAATTTGCGAATGTTGGAGTAGTACAAGTTATTCATTGTTTGGGCCTTGTGATTCCAATACTCGTTAAGCGCCTCGTTCACCTGGGCCTCTCGTGAAGGTTCCACATCACCAGGATACTGAAGTGCGTCTGCGTAGTCTTCAGAAACTGGCATGTTTTCTTCGTTCACGTCTTCCCAGCCTTCATCATTATCTTTTTCTTCTTTACCTTCTTCTTCATCTGTATCAGCAAACTTTGTAAGCTGAATTTCGTAGGGAGTTGTTGTGGACTGAACTAGCTGGTTCACTTCAAGCAGAATATGGTCATCCGGTTGAGAAATTTTTTGTGTTTCTCGGTTATCTTCAACAGGAATTTCCATATCCTCTTCTCCCCGTCTATAGATACCAGTTTTGGTCTGTACAAATTCCTCAAAATCAGAATTAGAATCAGAAGAAATCTCCTTGTCTGGACGGTATAGGTTAGAATTTGAATTTGAAAATAAGTCTCTTTCCATGATGGGGCCAATTTTAGGGAGCTCTGTGCGATGCACTCCATTACGTTTAAGCTCTTCATCACTGTTTAATTCTTCGTCTTCTTCGTTTTCATCATCGCCATCGTCTTCTTGGGTATTATCAAAAGACTGCGAATTGTTTAAGGTTCGTTTTTTACCCTTTCTTGGTGGCGCCTTAAACAGAATGCTATCGTGAGGATTGTATGGTTTAGGGTCTCTCTTTTTTAAAGGAAATGTTTTGCGCATAAACCGAGTCACACCTTCTCGTGATTTTTTTTCATTATTAACCACCTCGTTTTCGTCATTATAAACAAGATCCTCTGCCCAATCTAAACACCGCTCGAGTCGTTCTGTGTTCCAATAAAGAACATTTGTAGGATCTATGTACCCAAATGAGTCAGTTTCAACCCATGTACGGTAAACCATGCTTTGCCACAGCTCCCAGTCAATAATTTGAGCACCAGGCTCATGAGGTTTAGGATGCCGAATGACATTATCGAACCCGTACAAGATTTTGCACATGAGAACAACTAAGGCGTATAATGTTCTATCGTCCGAAGAAGAGTTGGTTGTTGGGTCGCTTCTGGTAATGTCAAAGTCAATTTGCAAGATTTTAATGAGACGCAAAACGGCAGGGTATATTTCCGGAGGAAGATAAAGCATATATATGAGCTTTATGAGGAGTGGGTTTATGGATAAGTTTGGTATTTCATATTCGTGTTTTTTGCAAAACATGCTTCCCATTGTGTTGACCTGATCATACACAGAGGTATCCAGGAACTTGTTATCAAATTTGATGACATGATTATGTAGTTGACTGAGGTGGAGAGTTTTTTTGAATTCTTTAGGAAGAGAGTTGAATGAATTCATTTGTGGATATTCGTTATTGTAGAGCCAGCGCATGAGATCACTAATGTAGATTGGATACTGGACTACGCAACAAGCTAGGTAGATGCAAGCCAAAGGCCAAGCTCTTGGTTGTAGATTAACGTTTGTTCGTAGGGGAGGTTTGTAAGGTGCAATTTGTTTGTATCGACCTGTTTTGATTTTGGTCTTGAGCGGGGTTTTGTCTTTGAAACGAGTGGGCTTAATGTCATTTTCTGATCCAGATACTTCTGAGTTTGATTCGATACCACTGGAGTCATCATGGGCCTCGAAGGTTGGTCTATTTGTTATATAGTCGACCCAAAGTCCGAAAAGCGCTCTGGAGACGTGCTACAACAGGTTAGCAGGTACAATATTTACATTGCTTAAACATACCATAATGTCTGAGGGGGCACCTTTTTCTTTGACTAGGAACTCTGCTTGTTGTTTAAGAATGTATGTCAAAGCTTTATGTAGTGATTTGGTTACTTCTTTTGGAGAGGCCTCTTCGGGTTGGCTGGCAGCCTGTGACCGGCGGTCGGCGATCATGGATCCGGTCACACGCATATAACGACCCTGTTCTCCGCCGCCTTCATCTTCTGCCATTTCAATGTCACCCTCACGGACGTGACCATTTCTGCAAACATGCTGACCATCAATAATGCGCCAGTGCCTGCTGCGACAATTGTCGACTCCACAGACGGGGCCTACGGACCATCTGAGCATTTTGATGATGAAGATGAAGATGAAGATGAAGATGAAAATGAAGATGCTGGGCTTTATGGATGACAAGAAAGACCAGCATAAAAAAATCCTAAAAAAAATCCTTAAGCGAAAAAAAAGCCCTAACCCTCTAATAACAGCCGCGCGGAACATGTACACGCGATACCCGAGACCCGAAATAGAGCCCGAAACCCTTCTAGATGGTAGAAATTCCTTAAAAATTTAAGTGAATGGAACTAATTGAAATTTGATAAAAAAAAAAAATGAAGAAAAATTTGTTTTTTTTTTATTTAACAAAAACGCGAAAAAAATAAATGGTTGAAATGTTTTACAGACGCGACTTAAATTTTTTTTTTTTTTTTTTTTTTTTTTTTAATTTATAAAATTTATATTTTTAAAAGCCCGGATTTTTTTTTTTTTTTTGTTTACTTTTTTTTCACTCCCAAAAAAAAAAAAAAAAAAAAAAACCAGCCATTGCCACCACCACAACAACCATTCGACTGCTAGAAGTCTCCATACACTCTAGCCAGCAACATACACATGGACAAGCGAAAGACAAAGTCAACCGACGACTCCTTCGAAGTATACCGCTTCTATGTGGTGCCTACGGATCAGCCTGAAGAAGACAAAAAGGTGAGTGGCTGTTTATTATTATTATTATTATTATTTTTTTTTTTTTTAATTTATTTATTTTATTCCTCCAAAATGATGTATTAACTAACAACCACCCAAGCTCATCCAAGTTTTAGAAAAACACAAGGCCATCAATGTAGGCCCCCAGCGACTGCTTTCTTCGGCTGGCCAGGGGAAAAATAAGCCTGTGACGTCAATCGATTATGCAGCCATTGTGATCTCACCAACCATTGACTTCCCCGAGTATAGAGAGTGCGTCACCAAGCGGATCCAGGTCGTTACGCCGCTATGGGTTTGGGACAGCATAGACCGCAACATGCCGCTTATGTGTCGACCATACTCTCCGGACCCCAAGCACATTTTTGCTAAAGACTACTTTGTGGTGGCCGGGCTTGCGTACAACGACGTCGAGGCCATCCAGGCTGTTGTGCACTGTCTCGGTGGGCAATATAGCTCCCAACCACACACACTAACAACACACATCATCACCACCAAGTTCGACCATCCGTACTGCCAGCTGGTGCGCCAAACTAAGCCCAAGGTCAAGATTGTTCTTCCGCATTGGATTGATGATTGCCTGAAGTTTAACCGTCGCCTTGATGAAACCCCTTACTTGTTACCCAAGCCTGCTGTTTTCAACAATTCCGGCCTAGAGACTTATGATTATGAAAATGTTTCCTTAGGGGATGGTCCCAACAGTACGCGTGCCAACGATACTACAACGTCACGTCAGCAATCTTCTTCTGTGGTTGATTTCCCACACGATTTAATGAAAAACCGCAAATTTTACCTCGACGCGAACCTTTCTCTCTCCAACCGTCAGAAAACCTCAATTCAAAAGATTATTTGCCAGGCCGGTGGATCCATCATGGAAGATATGGACAAAGACGCGAGCCCCACGCCTTCGCTTAATGTCTACATTGGCGAATGGCGATCAGGGAGCTCCTACGTGACTGCATCGCGACGTGGGTGGGTTGTTGCAAATTTGCGATGGCTCTACTGGGTAATTACCAACAAGGAGTGGAAATCACCGACCAAAGACTTGCTACACTACCCCAAGGTCTATGGGGGGATGCCAGATTTGCACGGATACAAGGTAAGCATCACAAACTTCACCGGAGAACTGCGAAGCTACGTGAAAGAGCTGGTGGACTCATTAGGAGCCGTGTTTGAAACAGGGTTCTGCGACAACCACAAGCTTTTGATTGCTGGGTGGCCCGACGGACGCAAGTACAATGCGGCCAAGAAGTGGAACATTAACGTGGTGAATCTTCTTTGGCTGGAAGAGACCTATGCCAAGTGGCAAGTGCAGGCCTTTACGAGTCGAAAGTACTTGTCGTTCCCACGGATTGGCGACATTACAACAGCAGTGGGACCAATCGAACTTGATGCGCAAGCGCTGAAGAGGTTTTACATGACGCCGGAGGAGCTAAGCATGGATGAGGCGAGTCGCCATGCAAAACCTAATGGAGGGGTGAGGGTTGTTGAGCATGTGGAAGAAGAGATAAGGAGGAAAAAAAAGGTTGAAGATGAGGTTATTAATAAAGAGAAGAAACCGGTTGAGGATCCATCTGAAAAGCCTGTAAAGTCTTCACCAGTGATTGTTCAAGAGCCTTCAGTTCCTCAGCTTGCACCTGAGTCTGTTGAGCAGCCGCCGGTATCAACACCTTCACCCAAAAAGTCTGGGGAAAGCACAAGACCATCTTCTGGTAGACGGGCCAAAGATGCTGCACTATCGAAGCTGCATTTGGACATGAAAGATTTGAACAACTATGAGAAGACAAAACGGCGCAATATCCACAATCTGCCTCTGCCGAATGAGGAGGAGAATGAGGAAGAAGAGAAGAAGAAGAAAAAGAATAACAAAGGAGAAAGGGAGATTGATATTGATGAGGAGATGGAGGATGTGCATGAAAACGAGCGCAGTCCATCAAAAAAACGCAACCTCGGAAGTCCAAGCCGAGTGATGACACCACCGACTAAGAAACAGAAACATCATCAGAAGGTTTCGCCGCAGAAATCACCGTTAAAGAAGGAGGAAGAATCTGAGCAGCGCAAGGAGCACTCAGTGGCCGAAACCAAGCCGAGGGTTGGCGATGATGGGACGAGGGGTGTGGGGGACGAAAGGAGCAGCGATTCTGAAAGCAATAGCAAGGTGGTTAACGACAAGAAGAAGACGAGGACGAAGAAGAAGAAAAAGCGGGTGGCGACCTCAGGGAATGGTGGGGAGCATAAGGAGGAAGGGGAAGAGCAAGAAAAAGCGGGCGAAGAAGTAGAATCAGAATCAGAAGCAGAAGCAGAATCAGAAGCAGAATCAGAAGCAGAAGCAGAAGCGGAAGAAGCAAAAGAAGCAGACGGTGACGAAACAGTGGCGGCGACAACGGCGGCGACAACGGAGGCGCAAGTGTCACCACGAGTGACTACAATGGGAGTAACAGCCACAGGCTTGGCCAAAACGAACGGAAACGACGTGTTTGGAAGAAGCCGGCCAGCAGCACATGCGACGTACGGCAAGTCGTCCAAGTCAGCAACAGGAGCAGCAGCGGCAGCAGCAGCAGCACGCAGACGTAAGATGTCTTTACCATTTTCTGGAGGAGGAGGAGGTGGTGGTGGTGGTGGTGGCGGTGGGGGTTTTAGTACCGCGGAAGAAACAGGTGGTGGTGGTGGAGGAGTATCGACAGGTTCAGCGGTGGGAGGCAGTAATAGTAAACCAGGAGCCACTACGATGACGACGACGACGACGACAAAATCAGGCGATGCAAATGTACCCAAAACAATTGACTTGACGGACTCGCCGGGAAGTGTGGTTACGGTTCGTAGCACTCCTGAAGGACCACCATCTGGGTCTGCCACTAGACGTGGGGCCGGAGGATCATCGCGCAAATCTGCAGGGGCATCTACAGCTACAGGGACAGGTGGTGGTGGCGTGAGCAGCAAATCTGTGACACCTACACCTACGAATTCTGGGAGTGGTGGATCAGGTCTTGGAGCTGTGACAGTGTTACATACACCAATGAAACTATTACTGACGAATGTGGGGCTTGAGCTAACGGCGGAACAAATTTCAGGATTAGCACGGTTAGGTGTACATGTTACTCAGGAACCACGACAAGCAACACATGTTGTTGCACCACGGGTATCTCGTACAGAAAAGTTCATAGTGGCACTGGCAAGGGCTCCGCGAATGCTTGTACCGCAGTTTGTACGTGACTTACAGGCAGCCCTGGAGCCTGGTGCTGCATCACCTGAGGCGCCGCTTGTAATTGATCCGGAGGATGACAAGTACCGGTTACAAGATGCAGGGATGGTTTCTATGTACGGTGCTGATTTGGAGACTGTGCTTTTACGAGCCGAAGCAGCTCGTGGGATGTTTCTTCAAGGGCTTGTGTTTAATATGACACCGGACATTAAGGGTGGGTTTGATGTGATGGACCGGATTGTGGCAGCACATGGCGGGAAACCTTGTGTTGTTGTACGGTCTCCTGGGAAAATTGCACGCACGTGTAAGCCATCAAGTGGCGGGAGGATGATTTTAATTGTAAGACCAGAGCAGCATGAGTATATTGATGCGTTTTTAAAGGCTTTTGGTAATACGAGAGGAGGAGGAGGAGGAGCAACTACAACAACAACAACAACATCAACTAGCGGTGGAGAGGAGTCTGGAACTGGAGATGATCGTGCGCAATCGGTACAACCACCACCAGCGACTCGGTCTCGTAAAAGAACTGCGCATAATAACAATTATACGCCCATGATATTTTCGCAGGATTGGTTGTTACGAAGCATTTTGGGCATGTCTCTGGATTTTAACAACCAGCTTGTCCAGTATGAATGATGATGATGATAATGATAATGATTAAGAAGAAGAATAAAGATAAATAAATAAAAAAAAAAAAAGAACCAACCCGAGTTATTTTGATATATATATATAAATATATATATAAAAGATTATATTTGAATAAAAATAAGAAAATAAAGACATCAAGAGCAACCAACTACAAACCATTTAAGCATTGTAGGTTGAAGCTGAAGTGTTGCCACCTCTGCCAGTCCAGTTGGTGTGGATGCCGCCTTCCTTGGGGTACTTTTGTGAAACAAACTCATCGAGAACCTTAAAAGTGTGAGCACCAAAGTAATCACGCTGGGCCTGGATAAGATTTGCTGGGAGACGATCAGAGCGGTAACCATCGTACCAAGCAAGAGCAGTTGCAAAAGCAGGAGTGGGGATTCCAAGCTCGGCACCAAGGCCAATAATACGACGCCAACTGGGTTGAGCCTTATCAATGGCAGCATGGAAAAAGTCATCAAAGAGTAATGACTCAAGCTGAGGGTTCTTTTGGTAAGCCTTGGTAATATCGCCCAAAAAGACAGAACGAATGATACAGCCACCACGCCACATGAGACCGAGACCGGCATTGTTAAACTCCCATTCATGGACCTTACCAGCCTCACGAATGAGCATAAAACCCTGGGTGTAGGAAATGATTTTAGAGGCATAGAGGGCTTGTTCCAGATCATCAATGAACTGCTGCTTATCACCAGAAAAGGCGGGTTTGGGGCCAGTGAGAATCTTAGAGGCACGAACACGCTCATCCTTGATAGAAGAGAGGGTACGGGAGAAGACGGCTTCGCCAATGAGAGTCACGGGGACACCATAGTCGAGAGCAGCAGCGACAGTCCATTTGCCAGTACCCTTTTGACCGGCAGCATCGAGAATTTTTTCAACGAGGGGTTTTCCATCGTCATCATTGTAGTAGAGGATATCTCTTGTAATTTCAATGAGGTAAGAGTCGAGAACGCCCTTGTTCCACTTGGTAAAAACATCGCCCATTTCCTTATCCGAGAGACCTAGGCCACGTTTGAGAATATCATATGCCTCGGCAATGAGTTGCATGTCACCGTACTCGATACCATTGTGGACCATTTTAACAAAGTGGCCAGAGCCGGAGGGTCCGACCCAATCGCAGCAGGGTTCACCATCAGTTTTAGCAGCAATATCTTGAAAGATAGCTTTGATATGGGGCCAGGCATCAGGGTGTCCACCTGGCATGAGAGAGGGTCCATGGCGGGCACCTTCTTCGCCACCAGAGACACCTGAACCTACAAAGAGGAGGCCTCTAGTTTTAAGGTCTTCGTAACGGCGGATAGTATCTGGGAAATGGGAGTTTCCGCCATCAATGATGATATCACCCTTTTCGAGGTGGGGTTCTAGGAGGGCGATGAAGTCGTCGACAGCTTGGCCAGCCTTGACGAGAAGGATGATACGGCGAGGGCGTTTGAGGTTTTTGACGAGTTCTTCAATTGAGTGAGCTCCAATGATGGATTTACCTTTAGCTTCATTAGCGAGGAAGTGGTCAACTTTTGAGACTGTTCTGTTGAAGACAACGACTTCATATCCGTGGTCTGCGGCATTAAGAACGAGGTTCTGTGAGAGAGAGAGAGTTAAGTTAGTATTAAAAGATTAGATAGATAGATAGAATATGAGATAATAAAAAAAAAACAAACATACCTGACCCATGACGGCCAAACCAATCAAACCGATATCACCTTTTGGTTCAGACATTTTTTTTTTAGATGGATATATAGATAGATAGATAGATAGATAGATAGATAGATAGATAGATAGATAGATGGGATGAATTGAAGAGAGTGAGAAAGAAAAGAAAGAAAAAAAAAATGTTGGATTTAAAATAAGAATTTTTTTAAAAAAAAAAAAAAAAAAAAGGATGGAGAGGGAAAAAAAAAAGGAAAGAAGAAAAGAAAATTTAAATTTTTTTTTTTTTGGAGGGGCAAAAAGTTGAATATTTAAATTAATTTAAAAAAAAAAAAAAAAAAAATTAAAAAATTAAAAATATTAAAAGGAGTCTAGAATTGTTATAATCATTTATTAATAAGAAGAAGAAGAAGAAGAAGAAGAAGCTTTTTATTTATTTTATTTATATATTAAAAATAAAAATAAAAATAAAAAAAAAAAAACCATGGGAAGCATGGCCCCGAGGGTTTTTTTTTTCCCCAACATCAATACGCGGAACACGAAAAAAAAAAGATTTTATTTTATTTTATTTTATTTTATTTTATTTTATTTTATTTTATTTTATTTTATTTTATTTTATTTTATTTTATTTTATTTTATTTTATTTTATTTTATTTTATTTTATTTTATTTTAATTTAGTTTAATTTAATTTATTTTAATAAATATGAAGAAAAAGTTGAAATATGGAAAAAGTTTTCATTATTATTTAAATTGAATTGAATTGAATTGAATTGAAAAAAAAATAAATAAAAATAAAGCAACTTTTAGCTGTAAAGACTTAATTAATAAATTAATTAGTTGATGTTTATTAATTATTAATTATTATTATTATTATTATTAATTATTCCCCACAAATTGTCAATTAAATTATATTAAATTATATTATATTAAATTATATTAAATTAAATTCGCAAATACTCGGACGGTTGTCTTCCTTTTTATTTCATTTTATTGTATTTTATTAGAAAAAAAAAAAAAAAAAAGAGTATTTGAATTGAATTGAAATAAATGAGTCAATCACTTAAAAATAAAAAATAAAAAATAAAAAATTAATTCATTTCATTTCAATTTATTTTAATTTTTTAATTTTTATTTAATTTTTTTATATACAAAAGTCCATTTGAATTGCTTTAAGCAAAAAAAAAAATTAGGATTTTATTATTATTTATTTATTTATTTTGTTTGTTTGTTTGTTTGTTTGTTTGTTTGTTTATATACAAAGATTAGTCATCATTTATAAATGACTAATCAACAGCGGGTCCCTGGATTTTTTTTTTATAGAGCGGGGAAGTTGAAATTTTTCAATTCCAAATGGAAATAAAAAAAAAAAAAAGTTTTTAATTTTAATTTTGATTTTAATTCTAAATAAATATAAATAAATATAAATAAATATAAATAAATATAAATAAATATAAATAAATATAAATAAATATAAATATTTTAATTGAAATATTTTAATTGAAATATTTATTTATTTATTTTTATAAAATTCAATTGATTGATATCTGTTAATACCACCTTATAAAAAAAGCATATTATTAACACTTGTTAATTGACTTACTAACAAATTGACTCTAATTATGATCATGATAAAAAGTTATATTCAAACTTATATAATAATAATAATAATAATAATAATAATAATAATAATAATACCATTCAATTTCATTTACTAAACTCAATTCTTAAAGAAATATATATTATAATATGACTTTATCTTCTTCTTTATACATTGTGAGAATCTACTACTACTAGTCTCATCATAAGAAGTTCTAAGGTACAATAAACAAACTTAAACCCTAACCCTCTTACAAACTTTTTTTTTTTTTTTTTTTTTAATATATTGAAAGAATAAATTCATTGTTTTTTGAGTTGCCCCTCCATCCACACACTCCCCCCCACCAAAATTATTATATACATTCAACTCCTTTTTTTTTTTTTTTTTTTTTTTTTTTTTTTTTATTATTATTCCTCCCTATAAAACGATGGATTCACAAATATCAGATGCAAAAACTCATTTTGGAAATCAAGACGTAGACAATATTACTGAATATAATGGAACAGGTCCAGATGTAAGATCACCTTTTGAACGAGAACGAGATGTTCTCGTCACTCAAATTACAGAGGTATGTGAATATCCACTACTACTACTACTACTACTACTACTACTACTACTAATAATAATAATAATAATAATAAATCTAACAAAATCATTTTTTTCTAAAACTATTAGAGTATGAACAACGTTTTAAATAACCTTAACGCCCTTAATAGAGCCCTTGAAGGAGTCGTCGAAGTGGGAAAAGAGTTTGAAAGTATCTCAGCTCTTTGGAATAATTACTATGACGGTATGGCTAGAGTTCAAATCCAAGAGCAACAGCAACAGCAACAGCAACATCAACAACAGCAGCAGCAGCAGCAACAACAGCAAGAAGAAGAGGAAGTAAATGAAGAACAAGATCAAGAAGTAGAAAAAGAAGAAGAAGAAGAAGAAGAAGAAGCTCAAACTGGCATGCAGGATCATCCAGTTAATCAATCATAAATCAATCATAACAAAATCTATAGAATATAACAAACCTTTTAATATCACACGGCTGGATTACAACCTTTTTTTTAGCATTGTAACAGCTGACGTAATCTTTACAAATTTTTTTTTTTTTTTTTTTTCATTTGAAATTTTTTTATTTTATTTTATTTTATTTTTATTTAAAAACCTCCTAACAAAATCTCCCATTCAAATCACCAAAATCTCTCCCCCCCTCTTCCTCATTAAGCCATGCCTGATATTCTCGATCCATATAGCATAGCAGATCTTCCAAGAACTTCGGGGAAACTAGCATCTACCCTCACAGTTTCTTTTGGTGATTCTGCAGCATCTTCAAAGGCTTACTTTGGTGTCTCTCAAAGTGCGCTCTCAGCTTACAGCCTTAAAACAACTGCAAGACAACTTTGGACTCATCCAGTCTCTCCAGTTACTCAGATCTCAGCCCTTTGCGCAAATAAAAAAGATGCAACTCTATTTTACGGTGTAATAAACTCAAAGGGAAAAGCTTCTCTTCACCAAGTGGCTACCAAAAAACAATCCACACCCACTTCTAACCATACCCAAGTTATTTCAACTGAACCCACTTCTCAAGAAGATGAAGAAGAAAAAGAAGTAGAAGAAGAAGAGGAGGAAGAAGAAGAAGAAGAAGAGGTAGATATCACTCTTCTTGAAAAATGCAATTACATCTCAGCAATTCACAAATCTAAAGATAACTCTTCACTTGTGCTTTACCTCGCGTTTCAAACTGGCGAAATCGCGGCATTCAAAATCGAAAACAAAAAGGCAACAAAAGTTTGGGATCTCCCACCAACTGACCAAAACAATCCAGCTATCTTCACCAGGTTTATTAAAACAACCTCAAAAGAACTTCCAGAAGACGGCCTTGTTGTCACAGTCTCTGCAGCTAAAGATCCCACTTCTTTTGAAATTAAAGTCATCTCACTTGATCCCACAGAAGGCAGAGTTCTTTCTTCCAAATCTGTCTCCATCTCTGATGAAGTAAGTACTTAATTTTTTCTTTTTTTCCCTTTACTTTCATCTAACCCTCTTTAGATTGGCATTTTTGATCTTACAGACCATGATTTGTACAGATATGTCCCCTCCAAATCTACCCTTATCAAGTACTCTATTCTCGACCCAACAAAAACCTCTACAATGAAAATCCCCTCCAAAAAGGATACCCCGGCACTCCCAGCAACTGCCTCCATAATATCCCTTGGAAATGATCAAGTCTTACTCTCCACAGGTGCAGGTGATTCACTTAAGCTCGTTGATCTTCAGTACCGTGTCCTGCTCTCAGAGCGCACCCTCGAAAAACCTCTCCACCTCGTCGCCTACTCTAAAAAACTCGCTGTAGTCATTGGATATACCCCACAGGCTTCCGCAGGTTCCCTGGGCCCGGAAAAAATTGTGGCTGTTCCTCTCGATATTGGTCGCGGCAGTCTCTTTGAAAGCATTGGCAAGGGCATCACCAAAGGTGATAATACCTGGCGTAACACTTTTAGTCAAATCCCAATGACTTTTGGTGAATCCTCATCTTCAGAACAAGTCATTAAGGAAGAAACTTCACTCCTCAATAATACTAAAAACTCCGCGTCTCATGTCCTCAAGATTCTCCAACACTTTAAGGATACTGGCGACGTGGCCAGCTTTGAGAAATGGGGCCTTGCTTATCTCAAGTTCCCCAACAAGTGGATTAAGGCTTCCAAGTCCTGGACCATTGAGGAAACTATCAAAGCAACAACTGTCCCAGATGTCGACTTCAAGCGCCCCCACTACAAGTCTAAAGCTGACCGTCAAGTCGACTTTACCTTTATTTATGACCTCTGTTCAATCATCTTCCGTCACGTTGGCAAGGCCTCTTCAGCTCCTCTATCTTTGTTAAACCCAGCTGCTGCTTCATCTCCATCATCAACCTCCAACCCTACAATTTCTTCCTCTTCTTCTTCCTCTTCTTCTCCTAAACAAGTCAAGCTCGTCAAGTTGCACAAGGGCTTTGTTCCTGATCGCCTTCTCAGTTACCTCCTGACTCACCCACTTTTGCCCTCCCAGCAACTCCCTGGTTTGCTTTTGACTCTTAATCGTTTCCCGGACCTTGTGCGCAGCGCCATTAAGCGCGCTCCATCTCTCCGTTGCGATACTGTTGTTTCTGCTCTACGTGCAACTGATCGCGAGACATTTGTGTCTGCTGTCATTCGCCTTGAGCACGCGTTCGATACACGCCAAATCACAGCCTCTCTCAAACGCGTGTACCTTCTCGCAAAACCATCTTCTTCATCAACATCATCTACTAAAAATACTGAAAAATCATCTCAAAATGATGCCCTCATTGATCTCGCATACTCGGACAATGGTGTCACTCTTGAGGCCATTGTGCGCCGCATGGTCGAGCTAGATGTTGGCTGGGAACTCATGCCACAGTTTATCGATGCTGGTGGGCTTTTCGGCTGGGAAGAATCATTTTTGGATGAGCTAGATGCATGCATTTCCAAGCGCGTGGGAACTTACAAGGATGGCTACGAGGTTATTGCCATGCTTGAGGAAACTTTGCGTGAAACAAGTGTTGCTGGCGGTAAGCGTGTTAAGGAGGATTCCTCTGAGAATAAGGAAGAAACTGCAGCAACAGCTTCACCTGTTCTTTTATCTGCCAAGGAGCAAAAACAACAGAGAATGAAATCTGTGTTGCATATTGGGTTTGCAGACAAGTACGTTTACAGCAAGAAGGAAAGCAACTCGGCCATTGCACCATATACGGTTGAGCGCTTGTTGCTTTAGAAAGAGAGAGAAAAAAAATGTATAGAATTTAAGTATTAAAAAAAAAAGATTAAAAAAATAATAATAATAAATCAAGGTTGGATAAAGAAAAAAAAAACTAAAGACGACGATTCAAGGAAGGAAACTAAATGGGTGAAGATGTTGAATGGCTATTGGAAAGACAATTTAAGGGAAAAGTTGGAAGAGGCAGGTGAAGCGACATAGATTGTCAGCAATAAACTTTAAGAATGAAGAAAAGCTATGAATTGAAAAAGTTTAGAAATATAAGAGGGAAAAAAGGCATTTGACTATAAAAAAATTGGCAAAGCTAGTATTGAACAGTTAAATTAATGTTTGTGTAATTTGGAAATGATTTTGAAATACATTAATCCGAAAAGTAATGATATGATACCATTATACCAGATTAAAAAAAAAAAAAAGAAAAAAAAAATTTGAATAAAATATTAGAACTAGATCAAAAATGATTAAAAAAAATTTGATTTGAGATATTAATTAGGGGTATATTCATTTTTGCAATTCATTGCAAGTTTTATCTTGGCTTAGAATTAAAGCATCAATGAAGACAAATGTAGAAATAGTCTAGATGGGTTTAGTCTTTCATTTAGAGGTTGAATTTGTGGAAAATGGTCTTTTTCTTGTTGCTAAAGATGCAAACGGTTCTTAAAAAGTTTATGGACACGATAAGTTATATAGTAGAAAAAAAAAAAAAAAAAAAAAACAAGGATAGTATTGATTCTGATGTTATACACTTCTATAACCTTTGATTAAAAAACAAAACATGAAACAAACAAATAATAAACCAAATCTTCTAATTGACTTCCTGGTTATACTCATCCTCTAATTCGGTATCATCCTCAGCTTGTAATTCAAGCCAAGTTGCATAAGAAAGTAACAGAAATGCTGCAATAATCATGATTCCACCAATAAGCCCTGCCAAAGTGACGGGCACACTGAAGAGAAACCAGTCGACAATTGCAACTATAAAGATGGTCAGTAGCGAGGCTACCGACGACAGAACGGGGGATGTGAGCGACATGAGAACCAGCATGCCGCCAGAGAAAAGCATATTGGATACGATAGACGCACACAGAAGACCAAGGATTTGGCCACGAGGTAGCTCAAAGCGCTCGACCCCAGTCCAGTGAAGAATAGGCAGAGCGATCAAAAGCACGCACAGCGTGCAGAGACCGATTCCGCTACCGACAACGTTTGCAAAGACAGCCTGGCGTCGGGGCGATACTGCAGATGGTGGGCAGGCCAGTTTTTTATAGAGAACTTCATAAAGACCATAGAGAACGGCACCAACACCAATGATAAGGTTCCCCCAGACACGGAAAGGATACTTGGCAGCGTCGTCTTCGTTTTGGTCAGTACCACCGCCGTACGCAACTATAAATACACCGACCATGGCTAGTATCACACTAAAGGCCTTGTCACGACGGAGTGGCTCGTGAAGCAGCGGCACTGAGAAGGCGTAGGCGAAAAAGGCCGAGCAATTGTAAATTGCAGTAATGTCACTGGTAGTTGTCAGGTTAATTGCAATGTACCAAGAGGATCCTGCAACAGTAAGGGCGAGAAAGAGGTAAAAGCAAATTTTGAGAATTTGGGAAAGCAGAGCTTTGGCTCTGGGGAGAGTATTTTCTGGGGTAAACTGTTGTGGGGTGTGGTGGTGACTTCTTGAAAGATGGTCGCCTGTGTTATGGTCTAGAATCATTTCAGCTGTGGATAAAACTGTTTTAAGATGCAATCGGAAAAACGTTGAAAAAGGTAAATGGTACTTGACTAGACGAAGAATAAGAATCTGGAGAGGCCATAGTAGCGTCCATGATGAATGTGTAATGTATAACATGAAGATGGGCTTTTTATATTGCAATGTTGTGGCCAGGTATCCTGCAACTTCGGTCTGAACAACAAATGTAATCAAACAGACTAGCAGCGCGAGTCCTGAGTAAATATATCGTCGACGCTGACCAAGAGCCTTTTCAGAGCTCTCATGGGTTAAGCTTCTTGATGCTTCAAAGAGATGATCGTGTTCAGGGTCTTCATGGCGTGTTGTAGACACGTCCACGTAAGAAGACCTATCTGCGGTTGGTAATTGTTGATATGAAGCCATAGTTATGAAGAAAAAAAAAAAAAAAAACTGGAAAACAGGTAATAAGCTTAATGGTAAGAAGAAAAAAAAAGGTTTTTCACAGAAGATCTCAAAGTCAAAACAATGAGATGGAAGAAAACTTCTGTGAACAGCAAACAAAACTCTTTTTTTTTTTTTTTTTTTTTGTTTTAAGCCAGAAATTGTTGAAATCTTAAACCCTTTTAGCTGAAAGAATGTCAACATATCTAAACGTCATTCATGGAATGGATGACCCCAACGTAATTACTAGTCTGTATGCGTATTTATCAGACCAAATTCTTTTAACAAGTTCCCAGATATACTGTGATTATGAGCACATCCCATCATTTCTATTACAACCTCTGTTTGTTACAGCCATCCCCAAAATCAAAAAATTTTCACCTGGAGAAGCTCCAACAAAACATCTTAGCCACCGGATATTTTCATCACCACCAACCACATCACACATCCCTCTCTTCCCCCTCCTTTCAAAATGGCTGCTGAACGTATTGCTAGCAGGGACGATGACGATCTCCAACTAGATTACACCGACTTGGAGCGCAAGTATGCCGTCAAGGACTTTGGTCTTGAGAACTTCATTGTTATCGACAATATCCCAGCCAAGGTCCCTGAGTCCAAGCTTCCCAAGCTGACCAAGGTCTTGGGCAAGCTCTTTGGCGAAGCTGGCCCCATCAAGTCTGATGGCCTCAATGTTCCTCTTGAGGGTGGTGCAACCGCCGGCTACGCCTTTGTAGAGTACGAGACCCCTGAGGCTGCCGCAAACGCCATCAAGATTCTCAATGGCAAGAGATTGGATGCCAAGCACATGTTTGTTGTCAACAAGCTGTCAGACATTGAGCGCTACGCCACCGACTCGTCTATTACCGACACTTACAACGAGCCCGAGAAGACGGAATTCAAGCCCCGTGAGCATCTTCGCAGCTGGCTCACCGACGCCACGGGCCGCGACCAGCTCTTTATCCACGTCAAGGACGTCATCAATGTTTTTTGGTACAAGAGAACCGAGTCTCCTAAGATTACTGGCAAGATTGAACGTGTTGATCTGCCTGCCAAGTGGTCTCCCAAGGGTACTTACCTTGCCACCAGCTACAGCTTTGGCATCCAGCTTAATGGTGGTCCCTCTTTTGGCACCCTTGCTCAGTTTTTCCACTTCAATGCTACCTTTTTTGACTTTTCGCCAAATGAACGATACCTTGTTACCTTTTCTAAAGTCCCCATTGGCGACTCGCGCGAAAACGACCCGGAAAACCCCAAGACCCCCTTTGGTGAAAAGGACCGCGGCAATCAAATCGTCATTTGGGATATTCTTACCCAGCTTCCCCTCAGATCGTTCCGTCACCATGCAAGCGAGAACACAGCTATTTGGCCCATTTTCAAGTGGTCCTCCGACAGCAAATACTTTGCCCGTATCATTTCTGACCAGCTGGCCATTTACGAGACCCCCTCCATGTCTCTTTTGGACAAGAAGAGTGTCAGCATTCCTGGCATTGTTGACTTTAGCTTTGCTCCTACCAGTGTCACTCTTAAGGGCCGCAACCTTATTCCTGGTGCCCCCATTGACCCTAACAAGAAGGGTGACCAGGTCCTGTGTTACTGGACCCCTGAAATCAACAACCAGGCTGCTCGTGTGAGCATCATGACTGTTCCCTCTAAGGAGGTGATTAGAACCAGAAACTTGTTTAGCGTTGCTGACTGCCGATTCCACTGGCAGGATGAGAGTCAATACTTGTGTGTCAAGGTTGACAGATATACCCGTAACAAGAAGCAAACTTTTACCAATCTTGAGTTTTTCCGCATGACTGAGCGTGACATTCCTCTTGAGAACATTGAGCTTAAGGATACCGTTGTCAACTTTGCCTGGGAGCCCAAGGGCAACAAGTTTATTACTATTTCCAGAACAGACAACTCTGTTGCTAGCCAGACTGAAGGCGGGTCAGGCAACACATCTGGCCTCAACAACTTGGCCTTTTATGGTCTGGATGAGAAGAAGAAGGTTACTTCTAGCAGCTGGAAGCTTTTGAAGCTTTTTGAGAAGCGCAATACTAACTCCATTTTCTGGTCACCCAAGGGCCAGTTTGCTGCCACCTCTAACTTTGGGCCCAATGTTAGCACACCTGTTGTTGAGTTTTGGGATACTGATTTCCATACTGAAAAGCGTGAGGGCATTGTTGACAATAGCAATGGTATTAACAACATTGGATCTTACGAGCAATATGGTCTGGTGAACCTTGAATGGGACCCATCTGGCCGATTTGTTGCTGCTTGGTCCAACAAGACCCAGAGCAGCAACTATAAGATTATCAACTTTTTCGGTGAGGAGATTCATGAGAAGAATTTGGATCATCTGCGTGTTGTTTCATGGAGACCTAGACCACAGAGCCTGCTGACGGAGGAAGAGGTTTCCAAGACTATTAAGAATCTTGACAAGTATAGTGCTCAATTTGATGAGGAGGATGCCATGGATGCTGATGCTGCTACCAAGGAGCTTATTACCAAGCGTCGTGCACAGTTCAAGCAATGGAAGGAATTCCGAGAGAGAGCTGTGGCCAAGTTACGAGGCCTTGGTCTTGTCCCCGAGGAGGATTTGGTTAAGCAGAATGCCGATGATGGTGAGCTTATTGAGGAGACCTTTGAGGAGATTATTGAGGAGTCTGTTGAAGTTGTTGAGTAAAGCCAATGATAGAATGTGATGGGGATGTAATTAAAAAAAAGAAAAAAGAAAATAGTAAAATATATATATATTTTTTTTTCAGATATTTAAAGTTACAAAAAAAAAAAAATAAATCTAAATCAAAATTATACATTAAAAACAACAAAAAAAAAGCAAGTTTATAAGAGAGTCTTAAAAAAAAAAAAGCCATGAGATGAGGATATATACCAATATTTACAATAATTTTTTTTTTTTTTTTTCATTTCTCTCATATATCTAAAATTTATTTCTTGTACTTGTCCAAGGCCTTTGTTCTAAGCTGGAGTCCATGCCATTTAGAGATTTCATCTTTAAGCACAGCATTGACAGCCTGGTGTTGTTTAACAAGGGACATTCCATTAAACTTTTCAGAAACAATATTGATATAAAACATGGATCCACAACCTCCAGAAACATCTCGGACATCCAAAAGGGCAGGAGTAAACTTTGTTGTAAGCAAATTGTAAAGTTCTTGTTCATAAGGATCCATTGGTGGTTCTTCAGCTTCAGCTTCAACTTCAACTTCAGCTTTTTCTGTTGCTGCTGCTGTTGTTGCTGTTGTTGCTGCTGTTGCTGCTTGTTGTGACTGTTGTGTAGATTTTGTTTGATTAGATGCCGCGGAGGTAGAGAAATGGGCAATGGCAGAAGCAGAGGCAGAGGCAGAGGCAGAGGCAGCAGCTGCAGCTGCACGAGCAGCGTAAAAAGGACGGGCATTCGAGGCAGTAAGTGGGGTTGATTTTCTAACAGAGAATTTGAATGATTTTCGGAAAAGAATTGCAGGTTCATTTGTTGGTTGGGTAGAAGTGGAAGAAGTAGAATTTGAGGTAGTTGATGTTGAGATTGAGGTTGAGGTTGAGGTTGATGGTATTATTCGAGAAGACTTATGAAAAGATCGTAGCAGAACAATGTGTCGCGAAGAAGAGTTTCTAGAGATGGAGGTCGACACTGAGGCCGAGACACGAAGCAGAGAGCTTGTTGTTGCAGATGCACGGTTCATTGTGTGTGGCAAAGAGTGGTTTGGTCAAGGGACAAGGGGTTTTTTTATTATTATTATTATTATTTTTTTTTCGTATATATAAGAGAGAGACACAGGACTTTTAAGAAAGGGTAGAAGATAAATAGATGGATGGTTGTGAATAAGAAAAAAAAAAGTGTTGAGAAAGAGAAAAAAAAAAAAAAAAGTAAAAAAGTAAAAAATTAAAAAAAAAAAAGTCAGTCAGCGGAATATGGCAAGCTGTGATTTGGCAGGAATTTTTATTTTTTTTTATGATGAAAGGTTTGGTGGTAGGAGGAGGAGGAGGAGGAGGAGCAGAAGGGAGTGCAAAGAGATATTTTTATTATATTGTAATGAGCTGTGATTAGGTAAGCTAAAGTAAGTTTTTGGAGGGAGGGGGGAGGGTAGGAAGGTTGTTAAATAAAAATATATTTTATTATTATTTTTCACATTCATTTAACAAATGTAAAATAAATGTAATATAAAATGTAATATAAATGTAATATAAAGTGTAATGTCGTGTTCTCGGGGGTAAATTGTAAATATCCTCAAATGTGGTCACCCCCCTCTTTCACTGTCTTCCACAGCTTCTCCACATTCACTTTCTGGTCATAAAGTATCACAGGGTGCTCAGCCAAACTTTCCAAACCATAAACTTGCTCGCTAAACACCTTAACAACTTTATATGGTCCAATTCACTTTGGCATGAGCGCTCACAATCCCCCCCCCCTCTTCTTCTTCATTTTTTTTTTTTTTTTTTTTTTTCGGTTTGATGCTGCCATCAACATAGACTAAATCGTCTTCCACAAACTTCATTTGTGTTCTTCTCTCGTTGAAAGTCTTTTCATTGATTCCGGTTTGTGTTCTTCTCTCGTTGAAAGTCTTTTCATTGATTCCGGCAGCCTTTCCCAGCCTTTCTCTTATTTCGCCCAACAATTTTTTGTTCATTTCATTCAAGTTCAGCGCCATGTTTCTCGCTAGCTTAAAGTTTCTCGAAATTGCATTGTCAAATACTGACACGACTTCATGTCCAGTCATCACCGTGTCCGGAGAGAAGCCCGTCAACGTTGTGGACTGTAGTATTAAACCACGCCTCAACTTTTGGTAGTACCTCAACCCAGCTACTCTCGTTCTCAGTGAACTTCCTCAAGTAAGTCTTAATTGACAGATTCACCCTTTCCGTGCCCCCATTCGATTGTGGGTGATGTGTGATCGTCTTCGCTCGGGTCACCTCATTTCTCTCGCTAGCTCTGTCAAAGTAACCCGCAACCTGTAGGCCCCGATCTGTAATAATGACCTCCAGCAAGCCGACTGGGAGGCTTTCCACCTCCACAAATCTCATCCGTGATGTGGTCCGCACTCATAATCATTGCAGGCCTCAATGGGATCGGCATTCTACCCTCTACCCCCCCAACGGCGGCTTATTGTGTGGATTCAGTTGCTGGCACGTCAAACATTGAGCCACTATGGTCCTCACATCTTCCCCCATTCAGGGCCATCAGTATGAAACTGCCCAATATCGCCATTGTGGTTTTCGCTCCTGCATGTCCACCCATTGGTATTGTGATGGCTGTAATAACCAATCACTTTTCTCCCCACTTTTTCATCTAGCTGAGACAACACTGCCCTCACACCGAGGGCAGATGGATCAAAAATCCACAAGTTGTATGAACCATCCGAAAGTACCTTCTTTAAATGTTCAAATTCCTTTTGTGCTTCAGCCGTCCACTTAATGCCTCTCTTTATACGATAGGAACCATTCACCGGTCTTGGAATTATTCTCTGCATTCGCACTTGCTTTCGCGGCTCCCAATATTTTGCGCTATCTGACTTATCCCTCGTCTACAGGTCAGTGGAATAATTTGTTGACTGTTAAGATCTATCATTGATGGTTGAGGATCAAAGACTATTTGTCGTATTCTTTAGGGTAATTTGGTTGTAAATTGATTAAGGGTAATATAGTATACATATATTATTAGTCCCAGGTTCCATCAGCTTAGTCTAATCTAGCGTACCTTTGATCTTAAGATAGACTTAGTTTTTCTTAAGTGTTATCTTGTTCTGCTATGCTGATGGTGGTGGTCGTGATGTCTCTTCATCACTTGGCCCACACAACCCTAACAACTCATGTCACTTTGCCCTGCCCAGAACTTTTTTTTATTTTATTTCATTTAATTTTTATTATTATAATAATTATTATGTGTGCCGCCCCCCACCAAAAAATCACCAAAAAAATCACTAAAAAAAATACGACTGTTTATTATTATTATTACTACTACTACTATAATTATGATGATGATGATGATGATGATGATGGTGGTGGTGGTGGTGTTAAATTTTGTTTATATTTTCCTCCTCCAAAAAAATGAAAAACAGCGTGGGGAAGTTTTAAGTTTTTTTTTTTTTTTTTTTTTTTTTTTTTTTTTGTACACAAATAAAGTACATAACATAACATAACATAACATAACATAACATAACATAACATAACATAACATAACATAACATAACATAACATAACATAACATAACATAACATAACATAACATAACATAACATAACATAACATAACATAACATAACTTAACTTAACTTAACTTAACGTAACATAACTTAACTTAACGTAACATAACTTAACTTAACTTTAAATTATACGACATACCTTTGATGGATTTTTTTTTCCCGCGCTGTTTTTTATTTTATTTTATTTTATTTTTTTCTCGAGGTAAGACACACAAATACACAAAAATATACACACATACAAATGCTGTCATGTAAAAATTTTTTTTTTTTTGCTCGCGTGCCTTTAAATTTTTTTTTTTTTTTTTTTTTTTTGGAGAGTCGAAGAAGAAGAAGAAGAAGAAGAAGAAGAAGAAGAAGAAGAAAAAGAAGAAAAAAAGAAAAGAAAAAGGAATTGGGTCTTCGAAACAGAGAAAAAAAAATAACCAAGATTTTATATAATAATAATTAAATAATTAAATAATTAAATATAAGTTTTTTTTTTGTTTTTTTTGTTTATTTTTGTTTATTTCTTAAAAAAAAAAAAAAAAATTGGTGGTGATCTCGGGATTTAATTATTTGTTTTCAATATATATATGTATATATGTATATATATTTTTTTTTAGAACGGACATACTCTAAAAAGTAAATCGCCGACTTTATTTATTTTAAATTTTAAATTTTTATTTTTTATTTTTATTTTTTTAAATTCCTTAAATTTTCAGAGTTTCTTTTTTTTTTTTTTCTCTCTCTTATTAAATTTTCTTATTTATTTTTTTATTTTATATTTCAATATTATAAAAAAAAAAAAAATCTCATTTTAGAATTTTTATATATTTAATAATAATCTTTAAAATAAGAAAAAAAAAAACTGCTCATTTCAAAAAAAAATTTTTTCCTACTCCTATCTCTTTTTTATTTTATTTTATTTTATTTTTATTTTTATTTTTATTTTTATTTTTATTTTTATTTTTATCTTTCTATTTTCTATTTTTTTATTTTATATTTTAAAAAGAAAAAATAAAAATAAAAAAACTTTTAATAAAAACATATTCTCGGCATAGTTTCTTGTAATAATTCTCGATAATCATCATCATCATCAATCTTTTAAAGAAAAAAAAAAACCTCCTTTATCTCCAGTTAAAACCCTTTATATATATATATATATATATATATATAAATATAATAACTCAATCATTAAAACCAAAAAAAATAAAAAACTTAAAATCATAAGATAATCAATTAATCAATTAATCAATTAATTAATCACACAATCTTTAAACCTACCAAATGACGCCAACACCGTCTTTAATAAGTTCACAAACTTCATCTAAAACTGATTTTAAACAACAACAACAACAAAAATCTCAGCAATCATCATCTTCCTTTATCATTTCAAATAATGCACCTCGCAGAAGATCTGCATCTGCAGCATCGGCATTAACACAAGCACAGCTACCGTTACCATCTCCATCACTATCTCCATCAATGTCGTCGTCTCCGTCGTCGTCGTCGTCATCATCATCATCATCTTCTTCTTCTTCTTCCGCTACTTTGCCGGCCTTGCAACCGGCATTTTCTTCAGAGTTGTCAACAACACATACTCAATCAAAAGTAAAGGAACCCTCCCCGGCATTATCGGCACCACCCGCAAAATTGCAGTCACCATTCTCTCTACAATTGCAACAGCAACAGCAACAGCAACAGCAACAACAACAGCAACAACAACAACAACTGCAACTGCAACTGCAACTGCAACACAAGCAAAAACCAGCGCCCACACTATTACCTTCCCCGGCCAAGTCCGCAGCCTTACCTGCAAAGACTACCACTAAAACAATTAAAACAACAACTAAACCTACTGCACAACAACCAATACGCACAATTCAACGTGCTACAACAATCACACCCACTGTAAAGCCACATCCTTCAACAATTACCACACCACCACCACCTGCAACTAAACGCAGATCCAGCTATACTTCGGCCACGTCGTCTTCTTCTTTTTGTTCTCCTTCTTGTTCTTCTTCATCATCATCATCATCATCTTGTTCTTCTTCCTCTTCTTCATCATCATCATCATCATCGTCATCGTCGTCTTCTTCATCTTCTTCATCTTCTTCCAGTTTACGACAATCTAATCTCTTAAACTCTCCTCTTTATCAAAACTATCACTTTCTTCATAATAACCACCACCATGAAACTCTGCATAAAAACAAATTTCTAGCCGCATCTTCATCTAACCCACATCCTAAATTCCCCCCAAGAGACAACCACTTAGTTTCTCATAATACCACTACTCGTCCAAGAAGTTCTTCTTCTTCTGCTATACCCCCAAGCATAATGTCTTCAAATAGTAAACTAACTACTCCACAACAACCTCTGAAATCACAATATCTGCGGCCAGCAACACCTCTCTCTTCAACCACCAAAACTTCTCCACTTAAAACATCCCCTCCTAAATCTCTTTCAAAACGTATCGTTGGTCCTTTAAAAAGTCCAGTCCAAAATCTTGCCGCAGCAGCTTCTGCTTCTTGCAAAAAGGCTTCCTCTCCCTTATCAATGTGTCAAACTCAAAATCAAGATGTTGCTGCCGAAAGTTTATCTACAAACTCTCAAAATAAGGTTGCTACTGCCGCTCAGCCGAAAAAACCTCCGTCATTAAGAAATGACCCTCAGTTTCTTTCTCCTCATCAAAGAACTCACTCATTAGCTGCAACTTCTTACTATTTAAATCAGCACTCCAGCAGCTCTTCTTTTTCCTCTTCCTCTTCCTCTTCCTCCTCTTCTTCTACTACACTGGGGAAAAAAAACCATAGACGTCTTACTGTTAATACCCGTACCTCTCCCAAAAAAGAAGGGTCATCAAATACTTCTAGAGAGTTTCTTGGAAGCAGCGGGAGCAATAAATCAGATAATAATAACAGCAACAGTAGTAACAATAAACCAAATAGAATTAGCAGTAGTAGCATCAGCAGTAGTATCAGCAGCAGAAGTAGCAGCAGCAGTAACGAAAGTTCCACCCTGACTGACCGCAGTTGCACCTCCTTTTCAGACGAAGAGGAAAACAAAAACGTTGCACAGCCGCACGATCTGAGCCACGAATTCCAAAAACAGTCTCACCAAGAAAGCACTGGCAATCATTATAATAACCATAATCATCATCATCACCACCACCACCACAAGCGCCGTCAAAACATGGCCGAAGACTCCCCCCCTTCTCCTTCATCTCCTACTACTGTGGCCTCGGGGAGCTCACTCAGACAACTGTCAAGCTCTCCGACTTCCTCTCGTTCGCGTTCGCGCAGAAGCTCCAGATCCCTAAATACTCGATCATCTCCCTCTCGTTCTCTTCGCGAATCCATTTCCTCAGCATCCATTTCTTCTTACTTAAAAAAGAAAAAGGACCATCATCATAATCATACAAATGTCTTTACACACGCATGGTCATGGCGCATAATATTTATCGTCAGCATAATTTTACGCACTTATTTCTCTCTCTCAAATTCATATATCCACCCAGATGAACATTTCCAAGGCCCAGAATCCATTGCAGATATATTTTTTGGCTGGGCCACCAAAAAGTCTTGGGAATTTTCCTCAGAGGCCCCTGCCAGATCGTATTTTGTTTCATGGGTAGTTTATGGCATCCCCATGTACTTTATCGAACTTTTATTTTCTTCACCTGCATCTCCATTTTACTCCCCACACTTATCTCAGAATCAATTATCTACGACTATTTCCAACTCATCTCTAGCTTCTGCAGCCGCATCTTATGCCTCGAGATTGGACTCAAAAACAGTTGATCCCATTGCTGTCTTGATTGGCTTGCGCTTAACTTTTAGTTTAGGTAACTGGGTTCTAAGTGATATGGCCATTGAGCGGCTCACACAAAACTACGAACATAAACTCACCGGCCTCTTTTTCTATGCAACCTCATATGTTAGCTGGACCTACCAATCTCACACGTTTTCAAACTCAGTAGAAACTGTTTTGCTGCTTTGGTGTTTGGTCATCATTTACGAGTTTGAAACCACCCGTTCAAACTTTTGCACACGTGTATGGGACAGCTTCTTACTTGGAACTCTTGTTGCCTTTGGAATTTTTAACAGAATCACCTTCCCAGCCTTTTTGTTGATTCCTGCATGCAGACTTATTCCCTTTTTCTTTAAAAATCCCGTCTCTCTCTTGACCACTGTCACTGCATTTTGCATGACAGCTTGCTTGGCAATTTACTTTGACACAATCTGTTTTTCCTTTTATGATTCAGGGTCTGCTTCCTTTGCCCAATACCCATCCTCAGTGATGCGTGCGGCGGCTGCAGACTTCCCACAAGCTTATTTCCATTGGCTTTTCCACGATCATGGACCAAGCTCCGTTTTGTCCACTATCCTTGGCTACTTTTCAAAATCATCTTGCAAAACAAAATCCAGTTTTGTAATCACACCCCTTAATAATTTGCTATACAATCTTAATAGCGATAACCTGGCCCTCCATGGCATTCATTTTCAGTTCCAACATCTCTTTGTCAATATTCCTGAGCTTTTGGGACCTGCCGTTATTTTACTTTTTAGCACTCGATACTTTCATTCTATCCCCTTTCAATCTGCAATTTCCGGGCTAGTTATTCTTTCTTTAGTTAAACATCAAGAAGTCCGGTTTTTATTACCAATTATTCCACTTCTCTTTTGCTGTCTTGACTTTAGCATTTTGCCTAAACGGTTCCGCCGTATTTTCTTTTGCATTTGGGTCATTTTTAATGTCTTTATGGGTTCTTTAATGGGTATTTTCCACCAAGGTGGCATCATTTCCGCGCAAACCCATTTATCACACCTCACTGATCCACAACACTCATTTTCTATAAATAACACTTTACTCTCATTTGACCAAATTCCAGAAAACTTTACTACTACGAATTTTAACGACGCCAAGGTCGTCACAGAGTATGTTGTTCTTTGGTGGAAAACATACTCACCACCAATCTGGATGCTCGGGAAACCTTCAAAAACAGTGGATGTGATAGATCCAGATGAAAGAGTCCCTGGTGGCGGCGAAAATTGGGATCGATATACCCCAGTCTTTAACTATCTGGACTCTCTCCAATCCTTAGAGCCGTCCTCTGATAATACACCATCAAAAACCAGTGCAATGCACTCTAAACCAGCATCTTCATATGAAGGTGCCCATGTCAGTATAGCGATTTCAGTGGAAACTGAAAACCCGCAAATTGATATCTCTGAGCCTTTAACAGTTCCAGATATGAAACTCTTGCTCTCGCTCATGCTTTTTGCTCAACCACCGCATATTACTGTGGTAGATATGATGGGTGCTGAACGCCAGCTCATGCGTGAAACATTGACTCGTTTAGCGCATTCACCAAATCCTGCACCGTTTTCAATCTCGAGCAAAAAGTTATCACTTGCCGACGACGATAAGACTAAATTACAGGTGGAACAAGCATTAGGCGGCGGAAACAGCAACAGCTACAGCAACAGCAACAGCAGCAGTAGCAGCAGCAGCAGCAGCAGCGGCAGCGCTAAGACTAAGTACATTACAGCACAGCGTAAAGTATACTTGGTTGCCCCACTAGCCATCATTTCATTACATGCAGAAGACCAAGTACTCAATAATACGGAGTATGAGTTGGAGCGTGTATGGGAGACTAGAAAGCATTTATCGTTGGATGACATTGATTTAAGCAATTTGCAGAGTTTGATTCCTGGGCTTGGAATTTACGAAATGAAACTGAAACGATAATAATAATGACCCCATTTTAAAAGTGTTTTTTTTTTATTTTTTCTTTTTTCTTTTTTCTTTTTTTTTTGTGTATTATATATATATAATTTTATAAATATTTTATAAAGATTTTAAAAGAAAAGAAAAAAAAAATATGTCGTGTTTTTTGACATGTTTTAATAATGGAATTAGTTTTATTAACCCAGATATATGAAACTCATGCTCATCGCACATCAGTGTGGTAGACTAAATAAATATAATTAATATTTTACTTTCTAATCAAGTCTACTCAGTTCACTTGTTTCCCTTTAATTTTAAAATGGACTTGAATTTACTTTTAAAATATATATAACTTAAGTATAATACTTTCCAAGTTATAATTAACCAAAAAAAAAAAAAAAAAAAAAAAAAAATTTCTTTTCTTTTCTTTTCCCATCACCCTTTTAATTTATTTATAAGTATAGCCGCACTCAGTATATATATACTTTTTTATATGTATCGTTGAGTATTAAAAAAAAAATGATTCAACTTTTAAAATAAGATTCTCATTCTTTTTTTTTTTTTTTTTATTTATACAAATATTTTTATAAAACATTCTAAATTTTAATTTAATTTTTTTTCTTTCTTTCTTTCTTTCTTTCTTTCTTTCTTCATTTTGATATTCATAGAGGGAGAGGAATTTTTTTTTTTTTTTTTTTTTTTTTGTAGCATTTATTTCTTGCCATTCTTTTTAAGTTGGGCCTCAATCTTTCTCTTCTTCTTCTTTAACTGCTCAGCTTTAGCTGTCTTCTTGTCAACATCTCCCTGTAACTCATCATACTTTTTCTTTTGACGATTTGACATCATGCCAATCTTAAGCTTAGTCTCTTCCTCCTTTTCTTGTTCAGCCTTTGTGCGCTTCTTGATAGCAACTGCTTTAGCAGCCTTATTGGCAGCTTTGCCGTTACTCTTCTTCTTATCTTCAGAATATGAAACTCCCTTGGCCTCCTTCTTTAAACTGGTTTGTTCTTCTTTCTCCTCTTCCTCTTCCTCTTCCTCTTCCTCTTCTTCTTCATCCTCATCTTCCTCTTCATCTTCTTCTTTTTCTTCCTCCTCATCCTCAGACTCTTCGTCTTCATTCTCTGACAATTCAGCCTCAGGATCGTATCCTTGACGGTCTCCCCATGGTGACAAATGAGGTGGCAGTTTCTCACCAGGTGCATAGTCTGCAGGTGGAAGACGAGTACCCTTGTTAACTGAATCAAAGACCCATTGGGGTTGGACATAAACACGGCCTGGAACACGCGATGGGACACTTGGTCTATCACAAATTTGGTGTGTAACCTTAGACAAATCAGGTTTAGGAATGTTATTAGTTGAGGAACCACCTTCACGTTCATTGGCAAGAGCCTCGTCAAGCGAACTTTCCAAAATTACCTGGCCACCACACGACACAATAACAAACTCAGTGATCTTGGCAGGCACCTCACGGCCCACAAAAAAGACTAGTCCGGAGAAAAGGTTTGCCGAGGCAGTTGCAGCAGCAGCAGATTCTGCAGAAGGTTGATGTAGAACATCACCTTGAGATTCAGCAGACCCAGAAGTAGTGAAAGTATCAAGTTTGACTGTGTTAACGTCATCTTGGTCTTCCTCATCATCTGAATCAGCAGTGAGTTTGGCATCAGCCAAAACATCATCATCTTTTTCAGCATCTTCCTTTGCAATTTGAGCAATTTGTTCTTTAGAAAGAGTGGTAGTTTTTTCTTCTTCCTTTTCTTCTTCTTCTTCTTCTTCCTCTTCTTCTTTTTCTTCCTCCACATCCTCTTCTTCCTTATTTTCAGCATCTTCTTGAGTTACTGCAGAAAGAGATCGGATAGACTTGGCACCATCTTCTTCACGAGACTGCAGGATAAATGCAGAAAGACCACCAACACCCTTAATCTTTTGCTCGTCAACCTTAGGAGGATAGACAAGACCAGCCTCGGAGTAAAGTCTATAGAGAACAAACTGGACAAGTGTAGTGTAGAACTCCAGGAAAGAAAGCATTACTTTGAAATCAATGTCTGAGGGGACATTTTGAGGGAAATCAAAGGGGACAAGCCAAAGGATTTCCTGACCTTTGACCACAGCCTGGTAATAAACACCCTTGATGGAGACAAAGACCTTACGGAGCAAACGCTCACGGGCAACGTAGGCCATCCACTCGTGACACAGTCTGTTTGCGGTTTGAGTGACACGGAAAGAAACATCATCAGAAGCAGGCATGATGGCAAAAAGGAAAAGCATGGAGAGGGGGTCATCAATGTCACGTAGAGCATCAACAAAGGCAGGATAGCGTTCCTTGACAATAGTGTCTAGGCGGTATCTGGGTCTGTGAGAATCGAGACGTTTAGCATCATCAACTTCTCCGCGGACAAGAGCACGGGAGAGTTTGCGGGCAAAGATCTTATCTGCACGGAACTTGTTTATGATAGGCTCATGGAGCAGGTACTGAATGTCTTTTGTGTAATAGAAGATATTGGGAGTTGTTTTGCCCTTGTTTGCCTTTTTGCGGTTAGGAGGGTCTCTTGGGTAGATACCTTTGAAAATACAGAGTCTGCGGAAATCTGCAATAGAGATTTGGAGTTTTTTAATAGCTCTTGATCGAGTAATGTAGTCCTTGGAAGCTCCTTCCTCGTATTTCTTCTTGAGTTTACCCATTTTGTCTATATGTGTGTGTGTGTATGTATATGTGATGAAAGATTGAGTGAGTGTGTGTGATTGATATTGAAAAATTTTTTTTTTATCGGGAGGTTTGAAAAAAAAAAAAAAAAAAAAAAAAAAAAAATTTTAGAAACGCCCAAATAGGAAGTAACCCTAGCCCTGAATCACCGCAACAATTTTCTAGTTTATTTATTTATTTATTGCTAGAGGCAGCAGTAGTAGCAGAGCCGCCAGAAATTGAGCATTTGAAGATATCTAGGCAAGAAAGATATCTCAAAAGAAAAATAATGTAGAACCAAATGGATTTTTAAGAAAAAATCAGAAATTAAAGACTTATAATTAATATAAATACAGGTACAAAAGAAGAAGAAGAAAAAGAAGTTTAAAAAAAAAACACAAAGTCGACATTAAAAACAAAAGTAGCAGCAAATTAAAAAAAAAAAAAAAAAACCCGTCTTATATTCTCCTGAGCAAGCCAGTTCAAGCTTTTAAAGAAAAAAAAAATTCAAGGTATCACAAGGCTTGTCTGACAGGGTTCTAAAAAGAGATTCACTTTAATAAATTTAGAGGATGGGAGGAGATTAATTTGTTTTTTTTTTTTCTTTTTCTTTTTCTAACCTCTCATTCTAAGAATGAAGTTGACAATGACAGCAGCCAAGAGGAAGAAGCAGAGCATGGTAGGACCGAAACGGTCGTCGTAAGGACCGGCACCACGGCGGCGAATGGCAGCAGCACGCCAGTGGTAAGTGACGAGAGCGTAGACCATGGTGGTCATTGCGACAAGAGTGAAAAGGGCGGCAGAGATGCGGCCAATGCGGTCGCCAAAGTTGAGAAGGCCAATGGCAAGACCGCCAATGATGACGGTAAAGTTAAGCCAAGAGAGGAAAGTACGTTCATTGGCAAAAAAGACCTTAGGTTCGATACGGGTAGGAATGGCGATTCTCTTGCCTTTAAAAGAGACATGTTAGTTGATTGTTAAAGGAGCTTTAAAATAGTAGTAGTAGTAGTAGTAGTAATTTTGGACATACCGGGAGCAGCTTGCAGAAGAGCAGAAGACATTGTGAAGATGATTGAAGATTTTCCGAGTGAAGAAGGAGGATTTCAGATAAAAAAAAAAAAAAAAAGAAAGCTTTGAGAAAGCAAGATGAAAAAACTTAAAAGGTAAGAAAGTTTAGTAAAAAATAAAAAAAATATAAAAGAGAGAAAGAAAAGGGTAAGAAATAAAGAATTTTTTTGGAGGGGGGGTTTAAAATAAAAAAAAAAAAAAAAAAAAAAGTGTAAAGACCTAATTGTTTGTTATATACAACAATCAACTAAAAGTTACTGTTAATATTACTACAAAAGCCCTTTAAAAAGGTCCCTACAGCTGCTGCTTTTTTTTTTTTTTCTCTCTCTCTCTCTCTCTCTGCTGGTAATGCTGCTGCTGCTGCTGCTTGTTTTTGCGCAGTCTTTATTTTTATTTTTTTTTAAAAATAAATAAATAAAAAAAAAAAAGGCAGCACTCATCATGAACGCGTGCGCGTGCGCAGTGAAAGCCTTTTGGGTTGGCTGGACTGGCATTGAAACGGCTGGACTGGCTATGTGGTGAAGAGACTACAATAGGCGTGGGCAAGTTGGCTGGCCACCAGCAAAAGACGCGGTTTTAATATTTTATATGTGCGGCAAAACCAGTTGGCAGCAGCATTTAGCAGAAGCAGCAGCAGTAGCAGAAGCAGCAGCAGTAGCAGAAGCAGCAGCAGCAGTGTTCAACAGCCAGGCAGTAGTAATAGCAAACTTCACGTAAAGGTAAACAGACAGACAGGCAGCAGTTAAACAGTAAGGCGATCGAAGAGAAAAAAAAAAAAAAAAAATTCAAAGTTCCCCACGTGAAAGCTTTAAAGACTTTTGATTAGCTGTAACAACAACAACATCAATAATAATAATAATAATAATAACAACAATCATAGTATGGAAGCAAAAGAAAAAAAAAAAAATTTTAAAAGAAAAAAAAACAAAGAATGAAAACGTTTTTTTTTTTTTTAATTTTATTTTAAAAAAAAAAAAATAAATAAGAAATTTCAATTGAATTTAAAAATTTTGAAAATTAAAAAAAAAAAAATTGAAAGATTTTGATTTTATTTTTTTTTTTTTTTAAAAAATATGTCCTGGGTCTATTTTTTTTATTCATATATTTTTTTTAAATCTTCAAGACCCAATTGATCTGTAATTGCCGTGCTGTTTGTCTTGGCTGGGCCAAAAATTTTTTTTTTTTTTTTTTTTTTTTTTTTTTTTTTTTTTTGAAGAGCCACACTCCAAACCATTTTACACACGAGCCACTATTAAATTATATCATCATTAACTAATCATTATATTAATTATTATGACTAATCTTTATGTCATTTTTTATTTTTTTTATTTTTTTTATTTATTTATTTATTTATTTATTTATTTATTTATTTATTTATTTATTTATTTATTTATTTATTTATTTATTTATTTATTTATTTATTTATTTATTTATTTATTTATTTATTTATTTATTTATTTATTTATTTATTTATTTATTTATTTATTTATTTATTTATTTATTTATTTATTTAACTGTAACTGACTTTTTACACCAAAAAAATTAAAAAATAAAAAAATAATTAATGCTCCCAAAGATTTAACGCTCCAAAAACATCTCTGCGCATTTCACTCGGTTGGCGCATCTTCAAAAAAAAAAAAAAAAAAAACTCGGTTGGAGCAGATTCTCCCATAATAATAATATTATTATTAATACTAATATTCTCTCTCTATCTCCTTCCCGTCACTTCTATACGCGGCTTTTCCAGCTTTTGACTTATTACATTAAAGCCTTCAACTACCCTTAACGGAATTTTTATTTATTTATTTTATTTATTTTAATCGCATATCCACCAGATAGATAGATAGATCATCACCATCAAACATCCATCCAACATTTTAAAAATTCAACAAGAAAAAAAAAAAAAAAAAAAATGATCACATCTAGAATATTAAGAGCCCCATTTGTTCAAAAAACTCTAAGCTCAAAGGCCGCTATTGCAGACTACCTGGCAACTCCCTCTTGGGCATCATCCCAACTTTTTGCAACTAAAACAATCGCCCAACAAGACTCTTTAACTTCTCCAGAATCAACACCTGAAAATGAACCAGTCCTTGATTCAAAACTTGTCGCTAAACTCGTCCGTCAAGCTGGCCTTCCTCCTGTCCCTGAAGGTTCAGCTCGTGAACAAGCCATCCTCGCAGACCTTCGCTCACAACTTGTTTTCGTAGATCATATCTGTGAAGTCGAAACACAAAACTTGACCCCCCTAGTTCGTCTCGGAGATCCAGTCATTAAGCTCTCATTTGAAAATATGGCCACTCCTATCAAACCTAACCAATCAAAGTGGGTTCCAACAAGCCTAGCTTCCGAGAAAAACGCTTCCTTCTACGTTCTAAAAGAAGGCCTTCGTCATGAAGATTAAATTATACACAATAGATACTTAGAGATAGACTCCCTTATTATATTTGCTAAAACTATATACAAATCAAGAAGAAGAAGGAAAAAAAAAAAAAAAAAAAAAAAAAAGAGAGAGAGAGAAAAATGAACTAAAATACACGGAATGACGCTAGACGACGTTGTTGCTCTTGTCGCTGCCGACGAATCTTCTCTGTGAAAATGTATCCAAATACAATACCCGCTGCACATCCAGCAAAGTGACCCGCATAATCTGTGCGCGCCCAGTTATACTTGATGCCCAACCCATTGTATCCCATGGTCAGCAAAAACACGTACCACGCACCAATCGGCAGCGGTACAAAAAACAGCGATAGCCTTGTATATGGGACCAAATAAGAAAAGGTACCAAAGATGGAGAAAATTGCTCCGGAAGCACCTAAACTAGGCACGTTACTAGCACCAGCTGCAAAAATCCAAGGTGTAAACCGGTTCAACAAAACAGGTAAAGCAATAGAACCAAGAGATGCAACAACGGCACTATCCAAATACATCTCTAGGAAATTCTTGCTGCCAACCCATTGTGACAAAGGTCCTCCAAACTGATATAAAACAAACATGTTAATACCCAAATGCCAAAACTCTTGGTGACTAAATGCAGACCCAATCATCTGCCATTTATTAAACTGGGCATCCTTGTGTAACAGTCCATACCGGTACAACTGGCGTCCGAAACTGCGCGGTGTCTTCCATGCAAGAAATACAGCAACATTCAATCCAATCAACCCATAAACTATCCACTGAGGATGGCGCACCAGCTCTCGCATCCCGGGGATCTGAAACATATACGGCAATACAAATGCATTAAACGCACACACGCCAATCGTAAATAACAGAGGAACTTTCAGATATTGGAAAACACCAGACCCTCGACTGCTTCCTCCACTTCCACTACTTCTTCCACCACGATACCCCAAATCCCGAAACGTAGCATAGCTGCGCTGATGGGCCTTCCACGCCGAAGGATATAAAGCCCCTCGAATGGTATCCATTATGGTAATTTGGCGCCGTGGTCCCGCCTGCGTAAGGCTATTATAGTTGATTTCAGCCATTATCCCCATCTGTGGGTTTGTTGGTCGTCTTCCCATCAACCTCGCAATCAGGGCTCCTGGATTGACCCCCAGTTGTTGTTTAAGAGGAGCTACTGCTGTGGGGTTTGTAGATGCAACTGTTGCCGCAACTGTATTGTTGAAAAAATATCCAACCATTTGCGGTCTCTGAACAGCCCTTACAGTCCCGCGTAACGACGCACCGGGACTGTACACCGCCGCACTGTTGCTCAGGAAAAAGTATCGGCCCTTGGCCTGCACAAATTTGCTGGCCATTGCTTTGTTGTAATGTATAGAAGTTGTTGGTTAATGGTGGTGGTAGTGTTATTAGGGATTTAAATACGTCCTTATTCCGTGGCAAAGTGGAAAATTTTAGTGGCCAAAAAAAAAAATCAAAAAAAAAAATCAAAAAAAAATGTAACATAAAAAAATAAAAGCCTCTTTCATCCCCCAAAATGGGGTTGTCTCCAAATTTGGCAAAATCATATATACACAAAAGATACTATTGTTAACATTTGATTTTGATCTATTCTTATATACTCCCCCATCCAACAAATTACATCCCATCCTCGTCTTCGTTCTCCTCCAAATCGATGCTGCGCTTGCCTGCTCCCATCTGTAGCCCGGCAAGTTCCACGTTTGTGACCTGCTTGCGTACCTTGGCTTCCATCTGTGCAATCTCTTCTTCAGCAGATCCAGCGTCCACCTTGGCATACTCCAGCACCAAATGTCTTCCGTAGTAATGTGTACCTTGTAAAGTATTGAGCGCGTTTTCTGCGTCCCGCACGGTCGTGTACTCGGCAAATGCAAAACCACGCAATGACTTGTCGAACTTGCGAGGCACACGCACTGACCGTAACCCCCCAGGCGCGCTGAAAATCTTGTAAACACCATCCTTGGTAGCCTCGAATGGAAGATTCTTGATAATAATCTTGGTCGACATCCCACTTTTCTTCTTCTTCTTTGTAGTCGAATCTTTCTTGGTCTCGTCTTGTCCGCGAGTCGAAATCTTGAGCTGTAACTTGTGGCCATCCAAAATATGGCCGTCCATTGCTTGCACAGCAACCTGCGCAGCCTCCTTAGTCTTGAATTCAACAAATCCAAAACCCATACTCATGTATGAGCCAGGCTTCTTCGGGTTCAGCTTGGTCTTTACCTGTGCAACAACAAAACCGTCCAGGTCCTTGAATGCTTCTGTCAGCTTCGCCGTGTTGGTATCAAAGTTCAGGTTCTTCACAAACACTGAAGTACTTGGCATCACTTCCTCATCTTCTTCATCCTTATGTTGATCCATGCCCAAAATCTCTCCAGCCGAAATCTTGGCCTCCTTCGCAGGCTTCTCTTCACCCTTCTCAATGACAACTCCATCATCTTCACCCTCGTCACCCTCAAACAGACCCTTGGGGCCTTTCTCAAGGTACAAGATTGACGTCTTAAAACGTCGGTATGCCAGTCGTGAAAACGCAGCACGAGCTTGAACTGCATTCTTGAAAACAACCATTGCAATGCCTCCATCCGGTGGCATTAAAACCTTCTTCAAATCGCCATACTCACTAAACAGCTCTGCAATCTCCTCGGCTGCCGCTCCAAACGGAATGTTCTTCACCAGAATAACGGTATCACTGCGCTCCTTCTTATTAAATGCAAGAAGATCCACACCCTTACTTGTGAAATACTGTCGCACACTATTAATAACACTTGCTTCAGCAAGCGCTTGTGTCACAGCAGCATCCGAGCTATCAGGACTTAGCAAATCGGCCTTACGCACTCCTAACTTCTTGGCCACTGTCGCCATCACCGTATCATTGTTCATATACAGCGTGTTCCAGCTGAACTGCTGGTTGGAAGCAGCAAGCCGTCGCTTGATTTCATTTTGTTTCTTAAGAGGAAGGTTCTTCAGCTCTTGCTCCGTCAACAGACCCTGCTCCTTCTTTGGTGCTGCAGGTAAAATATGCAGTAAGCGGCCCTGGAAAATCTGCTTGTCCAACTCCTCATATGCTTTTAAAGCGTCTTCACCTTCAACAAACTGAATATATGCAAACCCCTTTGACTTTCCTGTCCGCGTGTCCACAGCCAGATGCACCTCTTCCAGCTCACCGTATTTGGAAAACAGATTGCGGAAATCCTCTTCCGTCGAAGTGTACAGCAAGTTTCGCAAAAAAAGGCGCTTGCTCTGCATAATCTTTTCTGCAACCTTTTCTTCAGGGCTCTTCTCAGGAACTTTAGGCTCCTTTTCCTTTTTTGCTGCAGCCTCCTTTTCCGCATTCTTTTCAGGAATTCGTGTCTGATGTTTCCGCAGCCAGTCCATATCAGAAATTTCTTCGTCATTTTCCTCAGCTGTCTCTTCTGGCTTCTTTTGTGTCCAGTCGTCAAGTGACATCATCATTTCATCTTCAACCTTCTCAGTCTCTGGCTTCGTCGCGTTTAGGTCTTCATACTCATCATCGCTATCACGCTCCATATCCTTGACCAGTTCGCGCTCTTTTTCTGCTTCCTCGTTTTGCTGTGCAACTTTGTTAACATCGTCCATCACATCGTCATTTCTCCACGATTGTGTATTTTGCTGTCTATTATCGTACACGGCCAAAAACTCCTTAAGCTTGGGATCCTCTCTTTCCTCTTCCAGTTCAAATCCCCCCTTTTTATTCTTCTTAGCCTTGCGATCTTCCTGAGCCTTCTTTCGCTTCATTTCACGCTCTGCCTCGGCCTCTTGCGCTCTGCGCTTTCGCTCCTTCCAAGGAATCAAACTGTCGTCGCTAAATGTCTTGGCTACTTCCACAGAAATTTTAAAAGTTTCCATAAACGAGTCGTTAAAGTACTTGACAGCATCTGCAGCATCTGAATCAGACTTAAAACCGACAAAACAAAAACGGCGCGACTTGCCGTCCTTGTTGCGCATCAGCTTCACGTCAGTCACAGGCTGTCGAGATGAAAAGTGGGCCCGGATCTTGGCCTCGTCTGCTCCAAAGGGCAAGTTCTTGACAATAACTCGAGACCTTCAACAATGTTAACTCTAGTATTATTAAATGTTTGAATTGTCTTTATTAAACTTACATTATCTAGTATGTTTCTCAAGTTTCTATGTTCTTTGATGAAAAACTTTTAAAAGGAAAATAAAAACATGAAATTCTTTTTTAACCAAAAAATTTTAGAAAAAAAAAAAAAAAAAAATTTACAGCCGTGCTTATACAACCCTAGCCCAGAAGCCCCCGAACAAAACTTTCACCAGAAAGCTCCAAAGATGTTAATCCCGGCGACGGCGACGATGACGATGATGAAGAAGAACCTCCGGAACTCAGCGCCCGCGCCCAGACCGGCTGTAGCGATTTAATTAGGAATGGATGCTGCAGCGCTTTTTGTGCTGTCCACCGTACCCGGTGATCCACCTGTACCAGACACAACACAAAATCCAATGCCAACATTTCTTGACGCGTCTTGAGGACTTTGGCAAGCGAAAGCACCATGGCACCTAGCTCTGAAACCAGGCCTTCACCAACAAGTGTGGACGTCTCGAAATCGTCGCTCCAGTACATTGTGTTGCGGTTTTTGTAGACATCAACTCCGCCGAGGTACCGCGTGAAACACGCGACAGTTGCCAAGCGCGAGTCTGCGGAAATTACAAGACGCCAGCGGTGGCGGAACGCACGGAAAATGTGGTTAACGAGCAGCTCTAGCAGAATGACGCCGATGCTCCACACGTCGATTTTTTCATTCATCTCATAGTCTCCTACCAGCACTTCAGGTGCGCGGTACCCAGGCGCTTGAATCTCAAAGTCATCGTGGTATATCTTAAGGTCCTCAAACGCAGTCGCGTTGCCGAAATCAATCAATTTGATTCGTGACGACCCGGCGTGGCTGTCCACATATAAAATGTTTTCGGGCTTGATATCGCAGTGCACAAACCCCTTGGCATTGATCTCGACCAGCGCTGATAGTAGCTGCACGCCAATTTTGGCCAGGTTTTTAAGCGGGTTCTGAGCACAAAGCGTGCCCAGAGACGGTGTGTAGTATGCCGGTGGTGGTATCAAGGTGAGCGGTCGCGTCCAGTCTAACAGCTCCAGTACAATTATATACTCTTCATTGAGGTAGAACCCAGAAAAGAACCGGATAATGTGTTTTTCTTCCTCGTCTTCGTCATTGTCACCCTCCTCAGCTTCTTCTTGTAGAATTCGCATAATCTGGGCTTCCTGCTCGCCATGTTCCTTGTATTCAGGTTTGAATCGCTTGACACCTATGCATCTAAGCGGTGAGTTGATGGGCTTTTGTGTGTTTTCTGCGCGGTACGTAGTAGAGAGTGATCCCTCTCCAATCTTGGAGATAATCACATAGTTTGAAAAGTCCTCTGGAGCAAATTCGACGCTCTGAACTGATGAATAGTTCTTAATTAAAAAATGTTAATTATCATGTAAGAATCCATTTAATTCTAAACTTACCATATTATTATGGGTATTAACAAAATGGAACGCGTTTTTTGTTTGGGATGTTTGGTAGAGTTTTTATATGGCAGTAAGGTTGGTTCATCACTAAAAAAAAAAAAAAAAAAAGTAAATAAATGAAATGGTCCACACACCCCACTCTCTCTTCTTTTCTTTCCCATCACAATAAAAAAAAAACCACAACATTGAAATCGGAATGAAGTATCTTGAAACCTTTAAAGAAAAGCTTGCAGGAATCAAGAGTTCCGGGTCTCAAAAAGCCAATCTTTACTCGCTGCTAATTGTTGCTGCCAGTACGCTGATTCTTGGAATCTACTACTGGTTCCTAACAAGCATTTCTAAAGCTGCGCCAGAGTTTATCAAAATCAAGTACGATGCCTTCTTTTCGCGTGTTTACTACACCGTATTGGGCTTTATGATCGTACCTCTTTAGAAACAAGTATAAAAAATTACTAGTTATCCTGTAGCTAACTGTTTAGTCTGCCGGTATTGTCAAGCTTGATGTTTCGGGAGATCACCTTGATCCAAACACAAACGCAATTCTCGTTTGTAAGTTAACCCCAAATTCAACTTCAATCTTCTAGGCTAACAATTTTGAAGCAAATCATCGATCTTTTGCCGATTACGCTGTTTTAGGACACATTGCAGAAAAGGAAAACATGCGTGGCCGTTACAATTTCTTTTCTTGGAAACGATGCTTTCGGTTGCCTGACTGGAAGGCTGGTCTCAAGTCTCTTCAAGTCTCACAAAACTGGAGTCTTTCGGAGTCTGAAATTTATTCTGTTTTTTCTGAAGCCGTTAATACCAAAAAGTCATTTTGGATTATCATATTTCCTGAAGTCAATATCATTTCCAATCTTAAAATTGAACAAGTATGTGTTCTCAAATCATAAGAGTTAACTCCGTCTAACATGTTTAATAGCACAAGAAGTTTTGCTTAGAAAATGGTCTTCCAGAACTAAAAAATGTCTTGTACCCAAGGTTCCCAGCTTTTGTCCAGGCTAGTACCGTTTTAGGCAGCAACGGCTACAAGAATCTCTACGACATTACTATTCTCTATTCAAAGCGAGATGACGAAACTGGCGATAAGCAATTTGTAACAGCGCCCAGTATTCTAGACTTTATTTTTGGTCAGCTCGCATCGTCACCTTGGTACATTGATGTTTACATTGAGCGACAGTCTCTAATGGCCATTAACCTCGACCGCCGTAACTTGGAAAAGTGGTTGGAAAAAACGTGGCTCAATAAAGAAACTGTCATTGGAAATTACATTGGTCAACAGGAACGGGTTGACCAGTGTACTAACGTCAATGACTCAGAAGAGCCTGAGGGTAAAAAGAACCCCTTCAAAAAGCTCTTTAAACGACGCCCAAAGGAAGAGCGTGTAGTATAGCTAATAGTAGGGATATATAGTCAATTAAATGCTTTACCCGTTTTATTATAAATACGAAAGAAAGAAAAAAAAAGAACTCCGAAAATCAAATCTATTTAGTGTCATGAAACGAAAGCAAGTTTAAAGGCCAGTTTTGGAAAGTTTCTTAGCCAGATCATCTACAGAAGCGCTCTTTTCTTGAGCAACCTCAGAGTCCTCGGCTTCAGTGTCGTCTCTAATAACAGAAGCAGCAAGATCCTCTCTCTCTTCCTCTTCCTCTTCTTCTTCATCTTCTTCTTCCTCCTCATCGCTGTCAAGCTCCATGTCGTCCAGCTCGTCCAGTTCACCAAAGCCTCTTTCCTCAAACAGTGCATTAATTTCGTCAACAATTTCGTGGTCTTCGGGGAACTTGTTGCCATTAAGCTCAAGAATCTTGAGATTAGGAACGCTGGTCTTGATGGCCTCTGTAAGCTTAGAAACACCGTCAGCCTCAATCTCATTGTACTGGAGACGGAGGTGCTCCAGATCCTCCAGCACACCAGCAGTAATAAGAGCATCAGCAAGAAGCTCACCGCCACGAGCAGAAAGCAAGCAGTCAGAAATTCCAATATCACGAATCTTGGTCCACTTGGGAAGGGTCTCAGAAAGAGCCTTAGCACCCTGGATGGTAAAGGTATTGTCCTGAAGGTCAAGTCTCTCCAGCTCAGGAGACTGGGAAAGACCATTCAGAAGAAGGTGCTCAATGCCCTCCTGTCTAATTCCGTTCTGGGGGAGTCTAATTTCCTTGATGCTTCCGTGAGCGGCAAGGAACTTGGACCAAGCCTCCATTGATCCATTTTCCAAGCGGTTTCTTCCACAAATAACAGTGACGAGCTTCTTGTTGACATTGGACTCCTTCTTGGCCTGGGCCAGCTGCTCAAGAGCGTTAGCAACTCTGGTACCAGCAGCAGGACCAAGACCATTGTTAGCAAGAATAAGGTGTTCCAAAGGAGTGTGCTGAGAAAGAAACTTTTCGAGAGGCTCAATGGTCATAATACCGAAAGCATTGTCAGAAAGATCGACAGTGTGGAGGCTCTTGCAACTCAAAAGGGCTGTTAACAGGTAGTCCAAAGAGTCAGGAATTTCCTCGCGAAGACGACCAGTGTAGATATCAGAGAAGTCTGCGTATTCAAGTTCATCCTGGTTTTCAAGGGCCTTGGCCAAAGCTTTGGAAGCATCAACACCAATAGTGTTGCCCTTAATGACAATCTTCTTGAGGTTCTTAGTGTTGTTAATTTGATCCACAAAAGTCTGGACATCATCAGCGGTGTCCAGTTTAAGACTTTTCCCAGCAATAGAAAATTCAGACATGGTTTATTTAGTTGTTTTAATTGAAAATAACGGGTCTTTGTAAAAGTATTATTTTAGAGAAAGAGAGAAAACAATAAAATTTGTCTGGCCAGATCACAGGTTTTTTTTCTTTTTCTTTTACAGTACAAAAAAAAAATTATTTATGGCGATGATGTGAAGCAGTTATTACAAGCTTGTGACAATATCACCATTATCTTGCCTCGTTTTAATTGTAACACAAAATACCCCATATCTCAAATTATCTCAAACCTAATTATTAATAAATAAACCGCCACATTAAAATAATTATTTTATTCTATTCAAATACACTAAAGTATTCTTTTTTTCAAAAAAAAAAAAAAAAAAACATCATGGAAAATGACTGAAATACTTAATCAAGTCAAAGAGATCTTGGATCCCTCTTATGAAAAGCTTTTTATTTCTACTGCTCTGTCAACAGAAATATTTACCAAGTTGGTCACAAATACGGCTCCTCTTACAGTCTTAATTCTTATAAACAGCCAACAACTTGGACCTAAACTCGAACCTCAAGACTTTGAATCGCTTACCTTAGAAGCTGCTCAAAAGGTTGTCAACTCCTCAGATATTTCGCATGAAGTTGCGAGTAAAGTTCCTCCTACACTCCTACCTGACAAGACTTTATTGCAAAAGCAAACCACCACAGGGTATTACTTCAAGGACATAGAACATGCCACTCAACTGTTTAAAGTTTTCTGTGGCGCTTTACTCGGACTCTATGCAAATAAAAAAAATGAAATTCTTGACATTCAACATAAATATATGTTGTTTTCAGACAAATGTATTGAGTCTATAATTGGAGACATGATTGATGGGCTGGAACCTGAGATTCCCAACGAAGAAATTGAGAAAACTTTCACAGCAAACATTAACCACCTTAAAGCATACCCTAATCTACTAAAACGTGCCAGTCTTTTTTTGCGCTATTGTGGAGATGCTGGGTTTTCTGAAGACCTATTAAACATCATTGATTCATACCATCCTGAAAACTTAATGGAACCACCGCCAAGTCATAATGATAAAGCAAATGAAAAAATATATGAACAGATTTATGAATCAATACCAGGTGACGATTTTCAAAAATTGGCACGCTCTACTATGGGAACTAAAAATGAAGATGCTGCCAATGCTCTTGAAACAAATTTAAAAAATGAATCAGGAATTCCCATAAAACAATTACCACTCTCCAATCTTAAGGAGCTTTCTAGTGCGACGTGGTCAAAAATTTATGCAAAATCAGTTGACTCTGATCCCAACACTCAGGAAATATTTCCCTTTAATTCATCGTCTAATTTTAAGCCTGAAACTGCAAATTTTAAACTGCAAAATGGAATTGACTCGGGCATGTATATTCGTCCTTCTTACGAACACCTTTATGATGACGAATCCGACCAAGACGAAGTGCAAGAAGATTCAGAATTTGAAATCCCAAGAAAGAGCTCAAATATTTCCCAGGTAAGAAAACGGAAGAGATCGATTTTTGGAAGCACTTATGAAAGTGATAACGGTGATCGAATATCTAGGTCATCTGGTTCAAGTGTTTCGCCTAAACCATACGGCTCTTACTTTTCATATAAAAGAATTTCAGGAAATGATCTCTTTTCTTGGTCAAGATCAAAACGTGAAAAGTCCACCCCTGAGCTACTTTTACGTTATCGTTTAGGATTGGGCTCAAATGCTTATCTCAGACAATCAACTTCCATATGGGATATTAATCATCGATTTGTACCTCAAGCAAATGCTTTAACGGCAATTGAAAACAGTACAGCTATTTATGTTGGACAATTTATTGAAGGTGGAAATTTCTACTATACAGCCGACCAAAATTTTGATCTTAAAATTTATAATACCGGGACTCTTAGTGATCCTGTGTTAAAAGCAAGTACAGACTTGTCGAGAATTGGCAACTGGGCCATTACCGACGTAAGCTACAATAAACGTTCCAGTATGTTTGTTGTCACTTCTTTAAGTACTCAGTTGGCAATTGTGAACTGGGACTTCTTTGAGCCGGACGAAATAGAAATAAATTCTACACCACACGTATCATCCGCTATGCACTCACCCATTTTTTCTTGTCATATTAACGAAAGCGGTGATACGGTAGTATTGGGCATGAAAAGCAATAAAGTTTTGTTTCGAAATCTTAATTATTTTTCATGCAATCAAACAGCTTACAGACACCCAAATGAAGTTAACTCTGTACGATTTATTAAAGCTGATGGAACAGAATTTATATCAGGATGCGATGATGGAATTGTTAGACATTTTGATACCAGGGTCCCCTCAAAAAAACCTGTCCATGCCTTAGTTGGTCATCGATCAGGAATAACATATGCTGAAGGAAATATGCAAGGGAACTATGTTATCAGTAATAGTAAAGATCAAACCATCAAGCTCTGGGATTTACGTTATATCACGACTAAGGAATCAGATGCTCGAAATATTCAAAGATTTGATTACCGTGTCCAAGAGTTTACAAACGACAATAAAGCGATAAGAGATTCGTCGGTAATGACTTACTCTGGACACAAAGTTTACCGCACTTTGATTCGTTGTTATTTTTCACCTTCTGAATCTACAGGAAACCAGTATATTTATTCGGGCTCATCCGATGGATCAGTTTATATTTGGCATATTGATGGCTCTCTGGTTTCAGTTCTAGACAACTCCCAAACTGACGATCTTTTTGTCTCAGGGAACGTTAATCAAAGTAGACATCAGCTTCAAAATGCTTTTGTTCGCGATGTATCTTGGAATCCTCTTTCCCCTGCGATTTATGCATCTAGAGGTCATGATGAAGGTGGAGAAGTTTTATATATTCCCTACAATCATCGGTACGTGATTGGAAATATGTCGTCTGATCAATTTGCTAGAAAAGAAGACGATGATTCAGTTAAAGATGATGGAATATTTGCTGGCCAGTCTTCTCAATTGTATCGTGATAAGATTCGCGAAAAGGCTCTTCAAGAAATGGCTGATCGTCGCAAAAATTCACACTCTCATGAACCTCAAATTGCACTTGCTAATGAAATCCTCAACCTACTTCGTGAACAAAGGCGTCAAGAAAGTACTGATGATGATGATGCTAATCAGAACGACAGAAATGAGGGTAGGAATGAAAATAGCTTCCGGACCAGATTTCTTCATGTTTGGATGTCTATGATGTTGCAAACTGCTGTTCAAAGAACCCCTCGAATTTTCAGCGCATCAGATCTGGAAAATGATTTCCAAAATACTTCAACCCAGGAACAAGAAGAAAATACCAATGAATATTTAGAACGAGAACAAATGCAACAACGAATCAGATCGCTATCAGCTTTAGTTCAACACATTGATGGTGCTAATGAAGATGAAGCCCTGGATTCACGTGAGGGAAGGGATACTAGAAGACCCTTGATATCTGCATTTATTAGAATCAATAATGACGATGACGATGATGACGATGATGACGATGATGACGATGATGACGATGATGACGATGATGATGACGATGATGACGATGATGACGATGATGACGATGATAACAATAATTACGATGATAACAATAATGACAATAATGACAATAATGACAATAATGACAATAATGACAATAATGACAATAATGACAATAATGACAATAATGACAATAATGACAATAATGACAATAATGACAATAATGACAATAATGACAATAATGACAATAATGACAATAATGACAATAATGACAATAATGACAATAATGACAATAATGACAATAATGACAATAATGACAATAATGACAATAATGACAATAATGACAATAATGACAATAATGACAATAATGACAATAATGACAATAATGACAATAATGACAATAATGACTATGGTGATGAGCAAGGAAACGGTGTCGTTTATATGTGCCTTTCGTATAGATGATGAGGCGCAAATCTTTTTTCTTTTCCCACTCCTATTATCTCTTATAGAGATAATCTCTTGATGACTTTATTTTTGAGAGATTAAACATACGAAAGCCATGATAGCAATGATGTCGATTCCTTCCGTTACTCCGTCGGCAGTTCGAAGTGTTGAGAAAATTAATATATCATGGTTGTTTTGGGAGGTAAACCAAATTCTGATGATGCTAATTCTAATTACTAGTATTGTGGGCCAATCTCATATCTCAATAGTACCGTCAAAAGTATGTTTGATTCAGATTCAGATTTGAAAAGCGAGGACGGGGAAAACAAAAGAGAAAATAAGGGAAGCGGCAGTGAAAATATAAATGCCAGTGGTGATAACTGCAATAAAAAGAAGCCGACTTTTAATGATTGATAGTTGCTGGTTAAATTAACACTAGATCTAGATCTAGAGTATTTTTTTTTTTTTGAAAATATTAGTCAACTAATTTGATCATGAAAAAATAGATCTATTTTATTGTTGAAAAGTTTAAATTTTTTAATTTTATTATTTTTGAAACTTCAGATTGGTTATTAATTTGGTTAGTTGATTTCTTAATTGATTTTTCACATTTAAATCATTAATTGCAGGAGAAGGCCGCCTTTCAATCTTTAGCTTATCCGCAATAAATATGCAATATCATCACCAAAGATTAATTTTAATCCCAGCAGTTGTTTTAAAAAAAACAACATTCCATTCTCGAATTGAGTGATCACATAGTGTAATAATAATATTATTGTTTTGTTTCCATTCAGGATTTGTAAAAATATATGTTTCATGAGCATCGACAATATCCTTGAAAATTGCCTAACTTTGGTGACACGGAATATTTTTTGGTCTTAAGTTTTTCGTATGAGTTGATTCAATCTGTAGTTCTCAAATACCCCATAAGATGAAGTCTGATGCCAGCTTGTGGAAAAGTGTGAACCAAACATGACCATAAATAAATTGTGTTTCTTTGTTCGTATTTAGGTTGCTGCGACTAACTAGCAAAGCATAGAGTAACTGAAAATATAACAAGTTGATTCTCCACAACACAACAAAATCGACAAAGAGGTTGCACCATACTTTCATCAATGGTGGGCGTGGTTCCTCTGGATAACCAAGAGGTGGTCAATAAGCAGGGTCAAGGTCGGCACTCCTTAATTAATCTGCGACCAACCATCAAAACATTGAATAACAGAAAGCATAATAAGTCGATTCATCACAACACAAAACAATCGTCAATCGACAAAGATGCTACCTCACGCTTTCATCAATAGTGGTCCTGGTTCCTCTTGATAACAATAAGGAGGTCAATAAGCAGGATCAAGGGCGTCAATCCTTGATTAATCTGCGACCAACCATTAAAACATTGAAAGGCTAAAAGTACAATGGGTTAATATAATGGTGTTGTAAGTAGTAGTGAGATAGTGAGATAGTGAGATAGTGAGATAGTGAGATAGTGAGATAGTGAGATAGTGAGATAGTGAGATAGTGAGATAGTGAGATAGTGAGATAGTGAGATAGTGAGATAGTGAGATAGTGAGATAGTGAGATAGTGAGATAGTGAGATAGTGAGATAGTGAGATAGTGAGATAGTGAGATAGTGAGATAGTGAGATAGTGAGATAGTGAGATAGTGAGATAGTAAGATAGTGGTGTGTGGGTGTGGGTGTGTATGGTAGTTGCTTGCAGTGGCAGTTGCAGTTGCAGCTTGTCACAAACGATGTTCACCAACTCCATTAGTTTATCCAACATGTGTCTTCAATGTTGTTTGCATGATCATTAACGATAGATGGATAGAGTTACTTAGATTATCATGTCGATAAAGAAACCTATTATGGAGAACCATGACAGTATAGCTTTGGAGTTGAGTGAATCGCATGATGATCTAAAAAAAATTAGTTAGCTAAGTATTGGGTGCATTGGAATAAGTAAACATACCAAAAGACCACTGCAACAATAACAAAATTAATGGTGGCAAAGAATGGCCGTATAATTGAGGTTAAGTGAATCGCATGTCAGTCTAAAAAAAATGTTAGTTCCATATGCTAAATACTGGATGCATTGGTATAAGTAAACTTACCAAAAGACCACTGCAACAATAACTAAATTAATGGTGGCAAAGAATGACCGTATCTTTGAGGTTGTGTGAAGATTTGTCCACTAAAGGGTTAGATCAATGATCTAAATATTGGTGCATTGGAATAGGTAGACTTACCAAAAGACCACTGCAGCTTGTTGAAAGTAATAACTTTAAAGAAATGTAGATGATAGTGTGTTTGAATATGGGATAGTATAGTATGGTAAATAATAGATCATAGTTGATAATAGAAATTGAATGTTGACGATAATGGTTGGTGGTTGGTGGTTGGTAATAGTAAATAATAGTTGATAGTAGTAGATGGTGATATAGTTGTAAAGGTATAAGTTAAAAAAAAAAATAAGTGCTGGGAAAAATAAATAGTAATTGAAAAAAAGAGGAGAAGGTCTTTTATTTATACCACCATAGTTCTTTGTTTTTTTAACTTGTGACTTCTTCATATTGGAATTTCTCAACCGAATAACATAATCAAAAGGGGGTCAATAGAGAAGAGCAACAACGGCACTCTTCAATTGATATTCCACAAATCACCATAATATTGAATAACTAAACAAAACCAATTTTATATAAATTTAGATATTTAGATTCTATTTAAATACTCAAAAGTTTTAAAATTTTTAATTAATTCATGCGTTAGTGGTTTAGCGGTAAAATTCGTCGTTGCCATCGACGAGCCCCCGGTTCGACTCCGGGCTGACGCAATTTTTTTTAAAAATTTTCTAAAAAGAATTTAGTTTTGATTGAAATTATTTTTTGGCATTTAAAGTATACTTTAAATGTCAAGTACGTACTTAAAATTTGATTCCAGAAAGTCATTTTTAAACTGACTCCAATTTTTCAGAGCGGTCGACCTTGTGTTGTTTTTGGTAGTAGATACCCTTTTTTTTTTCTTCTGAATTTCATTGCGCAATTCACCATCAAATGCCATTTTTTTTAAATATATAAAAATAACGCCAATAAATATTTGTAAACGCCATTTGAGAAATTAATATTTAATAAAGAAACAATAATTATGTCTGATCATTAGAAAGAAATACAAAATCAAATAAATCAATGACATTACTGAGATTATTAAAAATAAATTTCACAGATAAGTACAAATGGTTATAAAAAAAATATTAACAGTCGTTTAAAAATTCAATTTCAGGACATCCTCAAACTGAATTGAATTGAACAAGTATAGATCATGATGTTGGGGTAACGCATAAAAAGAAACCCCCGCAGGTTTCTTTCATCTGACAACTGAAAAGTGAAAACAGGACCTCCGACCCTTAATTTTGACTGCTTTGTTTGTAGCTGATGATGTTTGAGTTAATCTGTGTTAGAGATAATATTCATGAAAAGAAACCAACTAAATTATAAATAAAAACTAACTAAATAATTGTCTAAAAATTTGAAGTACCAATATTAGTAAATAAGCCTATCAAAAATATTGAAAAAAAACGAACTTCCAAATTGTCAAACTGACAACTTTTTTACTTCTTGCCAACCTTCTTTACTGCCTTGACAATACCTTGCAAACTCAATCGGCTAGCTTTAGGTGCTGACTCAGGCTCATTTTCAAGCACATCACTGTGCACATATCGTAAGTCGTGAGATGCTGGTGTATAGTTGGGTGCAAAATGTTCAGGATACTCCTGGCCCAATGGCTGGAGCAATGGAGGCTGCTCGTGGTGATTTTTCGTAATAGCAACATGATGAGCTTCCAACTTGTGTTGAGCCTCTTGTCTATGATAGGCTTCAAGTCTCTTGCGTGCATACTCATTATAAGCACCATAAGATTCTTGAGCGACTTGTCGCTGTTGTGTTCGGGCCTCAGGCAATCCTCCAGAAGAAGGTGGAACATAACCCAATGTGTTATCTGATTCTTCGGCAGCAGCTCTTGCCATAGTATAAGCAATGGCAGGTGTTCCATTGGCACTTTCGATCCCGCCATCATCGGGCTCTTTGCTCAGCGCCCGACGCAACTCTGCTGCCTCTTGTTCACTAGGAGAAACATATCCATATGCACGGGCAACATTTTCCTCATTAGTAGAATCAAAATGAAAAAACGGATCTGTAGTACCCGATGGTCCAGCAGCATTATTTGTTTGAGCTACCACGGGTGTCGGGGCGGATATTTCAGCCGTAGAATGGCGTCTAGTATTTGGGTGACTTCCAGTTGACAGTATTCGTCGAGCACGATCCTTAAACTTGGTCTTATTTGCAATTGCTGACAATGAGAGTGGGCTGCCAGTTGAAAATCGCTCACGTCGTGTTCGTAGCAGCGGAATTTTCTGAGGTTCACCTGTCGTCGCCTCAGATGAGGTAGAGGCTTCTGGGTTGCTCAACAAAGTTTCTGTAGGTGGTAACATCTGTCGCGAAATTATTTGTGAAACAGGAACACCACCTGGTCGGGTATTTTCTTCTCCAGAGGATGATGAAGATGTACCGTCAGCTTTAGAAACAACTATGGGTGGACGGACAACGCTACTCTCAAGAGATGAGTGAGGTGGCACGCGCACAACTTGAGCAACAAAGCTGCTAGTTGCAGAAGAGTCAAGCACGCCACTTTCAGGTCTTTCTTTGCCTTTATTAATTCCACTGGGTCCTTTCTCAAAGTGGGGAAGGGATGACGACATCATTGGTACATTCTGAGGTCCAGGAACGTTGTGCACTGCAATCGTCTTTACATGTTCACCAGTGACAATGGAGGGGTGTCGCAAAGCATCCTCTGTCTCATTCACGTACTCTTCAGGACTAATGCTTCCAAGTGTATCAGAAGTTTTAGTTTCAACAATGGGTGGAAGATAATCTAAAACGTCCATATTCTGAGACTGGCGCTTCATCTCATTGAGATTTTCTCTAACTTCATGCCATGACGAGTTAGAAATTCCAGTATCCGGGCGTTCTGCCGATCCAACATCACCATCTAAAATCAACCCATGAGACTGATCAGATTCAGGAAGTGAGTTAGTGACCGATCTATTTTGTTCAGTAGAAGAGCTTGAATTAGGAGAAGCGGTGCTAGCGCTGTTTCTATTATGTTCAGTTGATGTGCCAGAATACGAGTTTTCATGGCCCTGTGGAATTGTTGGTGTTGCTGAAAACTCACTCAAGTTGATAGCTTCTGGTGTACCTTGTTGAATCATGGAAGGTGAGTTTTCATGAACAGAATGGTGAGTGAGAGGCTGCAAGAGCTGTTGTTGATGTTGTTGTTGCTGACGGTTTGCAGAGGTCTCAACAAACTCATGAGAAAAAGCACTGGAAGGAGAAAGTTCCTCAGAAACAAAACTGCTGGTACTCTTGGAGTGCATTGAAGCTGTAATGCTGGCTGCATGTGTAGGTGCAGTTACCATAGATTCACCAATAGTGCAACTTGTCACAGCACTGTTCCCAGTAATATTTTCCTTTCGATTTCCCAAAAAAGCGGCACTGCTTTTTACTGGTTTTCGGGGGAGCGTGTTATTGAACAATTGAGGAGCAGATGGTTCCTTAGGAAGTATATTGCGAGTGGAAGGAACAGTCAAGGATTCTGCAGAAATCTCACTATCATAGCCCATCATCGAGTCATTATCCAAGCTTTTATTCTTTGAATGAAATGGACCACGGTTTTTCATGATACCGGGTGGATCAGGAGATGCTTTAGGTTTTTCATGAAGGTCGTAGCGGTAGCTGGTATCAGATCCATATGGCACATCTTTTACTGAATCGTTTGAACGATTTGGATAACTTGTGGGGACAGCATGATGATTATTGTGAGAAGGAACCTTAGCAATTCCAGCACCTCCACGCATTGGTCCACTATCAAACATGAAATCATCAACGGAAGGGAGATTGGAAGTGCTTCTGGCTCTTTGGTGTGAATGGCCTGGAAGTCTTGGTGGTTCAAGATCCATTTGGTCACGAAGCTTAGAAGGGTGCTTTGGATGTCTGGAACGAGCGACTGGTTGTGGGTTAAAGTTGGTGTTTTGAAAGTCACGCGGAACATTGCTAGTGTTTTTTGGAGGACTTTGACTTGTTCTGGGTGAGTTTCGAGACGTACTTCCACTGGAATGAGGTGATGGTCTAAACATTGGGTTTTGAACACGGCCTTGAAAGCCAAAAGGTTCTTGATTATTAGATCTGTCAAAAATACCCTCATCCTGAGGTTGGCCTCCCATAGGTGGAGCAGGAAGGCCTCTAGTCGCTTCTCTTGCGTTAGCAGAAATAGGAAATAATGGTGGAGGAAGAGGTCCATGAGCTTTGCCAGCTGGCGGAAGCGGTCCCTTGTTCAAAATAGGATGGTGATGATTATAGCGGCTGGAATTAGGAGGAGGATGAGGAAGGTGCCGCTGTAGATGATTGTCATTGTTGTAATCAACATCTTCATACTCATTATAACTACGACTACCACGAGGTTGGATATGGTGCCGTGAAGGTGAAGAGAAAACGCGTCTCTGAGACTGACCATCTATAATGGGGGAAATAAAAATTTCGGCATCCATTGGTGGTGAATACTTAGCATCCTGTGTTTGACGCTCTGCTTGTGCTGCCTGCGAAAGAGCTGCAACTCGAAGTTTTGGAATAACAACTGCATCGATAGGAGCAACAGATGGATCAAAAATAGGAGTGATGGCATACTCAAAGTCGTCTAAGTCTTCTGCACTAATATAAGGAATTGAGTTCCTCACATCTTCATAAGAAGACCCACGTCTAAGATCTCTCTGCGCTGGAACAAATTCTTTTTTTGTAGGAGAAACTTCAATGTTGGGAAAATCAACATGGTTTCGTGGTGGTGGCGTTAGGTTGCGAAGTTCAGCACGAGCTAATACAGGAGTTAAATCTGTCCCCACACCTATAGATTCTGAATTGTATGTCTGAACACCCTTGTTATTCGCATCGTCAGCTGAAATGGGCAACACTGGGGTAGGTTGTCTTGAAGCCTCAGTTTGAGTTGTGGAATCAATAAGCTGTTGCTTAAGACGAGCGGAAACAGCAGCAACCAACGGTTCAATGTTATCATAATGAATATGGATGGTTTGCGTTTGGGCAGGCACTAGTGCAGGCGCCGGTGCTGGTGCTGGTGCTGGTGCTGGTGCTGGTGCTGGTGCTGGTGCTGGTGCTGGTGCTGGTGCCGGTACCGGTGCTGGTGCTGTAGAAAGTACCTTAGGAGCGGTTGTAGGAACTGGAACCTTTAAAATAGGAGTGGAGATCTTTATATGCTTTGGAGGTACAGTAAGGTTTTTCGAAACTGGTGGTTTAGGCGTTGGCACAGCAATTCTTACTGGCTTCTTTTCTCTGATAGGTTTAGTTTTCTTTGTTGTATCTTGCTGTGGTGTTTTCAACGGTAAATCAGCTGGTGGTGGCTTTTGTTTCATTGGGGGAGGGCGAGGATACAAAATCTCTTCCACAATGATCCATCGACGTCCACTAGGTGTATTGTCAAGATTCAGTTCGACAACAATGGAACGACCAAACAAGGCTTTGCGACGTTCGTCTTCTTCGCTAGAAAGAGAGCACATCCAAAGCCAGATAAAGTAATCGTCTATTGCAACGTTAGAAACAACACAAGTGGCAAGGTTCTCTGTTGTGATTCTGCGGTCCTTGTTCCACTTGTCAATGTCAATATTAGTAGCATTGACTTTTTGCCATGTCGAAATGACCTCTTTCCAAGGACCAGTAGAGACAGAGCGAGTGTTTCCTATAGAAGGAAGAACATCATCTTCCGGGTATGGAACCTTTGGTTTTTCGCCAGTTGGGAAATTAGCGTTTTTGATGAGGTCACGCTGATGCTTTTCGTAAACGTAATTTGTGAGAGGGCGGTGTGGTTCTCCAGTGGTTGGGTCAATCAATGCGTGGTTATATGACTTAGACCAAGTTCTGCACCGAAGATCATATGGTAAATTGACTGTGTCCTTAATTTTAAGAGGATGATCACCAAAAATGGTATTTTCCTTGCTGATAATATTCAAAACACGCCGACTTTCTTCTGTAATGTGATCCTCAATCTTATTAATGTCGTGAAACAAAAAGTATAAACTATTGTAGTCGTCATCAGAGCTGAATTTTGAAGAATCTTCAAACTGAATAATTTTTGAAATGCGTTGAAGAAGCACGAATGGACTTGAAGAAAGTCTGCCAACAGTTAGTGTGACTTTGGGAACAGTAACAGCCTTTTTCATGTAGATAGTGGAAGGTGGAGGGTATGTAGTTTCACTTTGCAGAATCTTTTCCAAAGAGCTGTCAATGTAGGTTGACCCCCTAGTACGAGGGTCAGGATAAAAAGTGCGAAGATGAGCCAAAAACAAGTGATAGCAAGCTTCTGCTGCAACGCTCCAACATGCAATTCCCTCAGCAAAATCTGAACTATCTTTGTCGGGCTTATTAAGGTCAAAAGCCCAAAGACCTGCCAAACGAATAATCTTTTTGGGGTCCATATGGTTGTAGTTGGTCATTGTGCAAAACTTGACTAGAAGAGAAAAAAATGATTGAATGATTTCACGATGGGCTGTTGACTCAACAAGTTTCGGCATGAGAGTCTTGAAAGCATCATACGGATAAACACTTTTTTGTTGAATAAGCGACATTTCCTGCTCCTTATATTCTCGATAAAACTTCCAAGTGATTATACCACCAGGTAGTCTTGACCAGCACCATTTTAAAACACCAGAAAGGGTCTATAAATTTTGTTAGTAAAGAACAAGTATAGAAAGTTTTATCATTCCAACATACATAAATATCTTCGCTTCTAATCTCGCGTAAAATAGCTTGGGGACCAAGAGGACGCTGGCCACGAGGAAAAACGCGCAATATAACATCTTTAACGTCTTGGCCTTCTAAAACTTGGCCATTAACATCGTGTGGTTTTATATCGTCATTATATGGTCTGAAAGGAAACAAAAGAAAGGGTGTTTTATTGCCTTAATCCGATTAGTTTGGGGGGGGGGGAAAAGATTTGTCTTTTAAAAAAGCAATTCAGCATACCTCTACTAATAAGTTCATTGATTGTCTGCACAATAAGATCTTTCAAGACGATGCGCGGAATGACATTTGCGTTGTAGATATTGTCGATATTGAAAGTAAAAACTTTGAGAGATTCGCGCTCATATTCACTAAGATAGCTTTGCTTTTTCTTTGTATTTGGGGGCTGGCTCTTTTCTGAAGACTGAACGGGTGCTTTTTCAGGTTTGACCGCCGACTTTATGGGTTTATGAGCGCCAAAAGGGTCTCTAAAAACTTTTGAAGCCATTGATCAAAAGACAATGTATATGTTTGAAGAAAAGAGTTGAATAAAAGTGTAAATGAGTGAATGTATATTTCTAAGTATATTCTGAGTTATATGAAAGAAACAGAAGAAGAAATCAAAAAAAAAAAAAAAAAAAAAAAAAAAAAAAAAGAAGAAGAAAGGAATTAAACCCGAAAAAAAAAGTTTAAGGGAAAAAAATTATTTTAGCAAAAGGCCAAAAATTAATACGCGACATGAAAATCAACCATTGTTAAGCGTGATACTTTGTTATTTTAAGGGTGGTGAAGATCCCAGGTGCTTACAAAAGCTGGCTGGGCTGGCTGGGCTGGCTGGGTTCATGAGCTTTGTGGACCCATTGTGAGCTGGGGCTGGGCTGGGGCTGGGCTGGCCTAAGATCGACCGTGTACGCATGCACTTGTCCCAAAGCAGATACATTGGAAATCCCCCTGTGTAACAAAGTTGTAACAACTTTAAGTTCTCAAGCCTGTTGCTTGCATCGCAAACATTCAAAGGCTGGTAATTTGTGATGCTGCATAATTCATTTTTAATACAAGGGCCGATTTGAAAATCGTGGAAAATTAATTATACAAAGAAACTATTTCACAAAATGAAATATTTTTCATTTTTTATTGTTATTACTACAAAGGTGCTAAAGGATAACCCCATGTCAATTGCACAGAATATGTATCAGAACTCAGGTCATCACCATTTCATGGATCTGCACGGACCTAGCAAGCTAGCGGCGACCTAGACGGCGATGGTTTTACTGTTGAACGTTATTCTGGCTGCAACCGTTTATGCCAAAGAAAAGCTAAGGTTCCCTCGACCTCCGAAAAGGCCACGCTCCTAATAGAAAGTACATAAAAGTAAATGCAATCTATCAAGCCCGTTTTATAAAGAGATTGCGCAATTCCTGAAAACAGTCAGCAGCGATATTGTGGAGAAAAAGAAGAAGAAAGGAAAGAAAAAAAATTTTTCTGAGGCTTATAAATAATTTTTTTGAAGAAATAACGTGACTAATGCCCTAATTTTTCAAGTAGGGTAACTGTAGAATAATGCCATGATGAAAAAAAAAAATTAAACACATAACCCTTATATAACTTCCATAATCCAAATATCAATTTTCCAACGCCATTGCCACCATTATCGACTAAACCAAGTCTGGCTTTCAGTTTCATATCGATTAAACACATACGTTCAACATAAAATTTTATATCGACTTATCAGGTGTTTCACCATATATTGCATTTTCAACATTATTAAGTTTATTTTAATTTAAAAAATTTTGTATCATCACATATATTAGTTTTCATAAACCCAGGCACCGACACTCCAGCCAACACTCCAGCCAACACTCCAGCCAACACTCCAGCCAACACTCCAGCCAACACTCCAGTCAACTAGCCACCCAGCCAGTCAGCCGCCAATCATGTCGTCCTTAAGTGAACAGCTCAACTCCTTCAAAAACAAAGTCAAGTCTGCCCCTGTTATTCCGAAAAAGGTTGTTCCAAATACTCCTTTATCAGAACCTATAGCGGGGCATAAAAGAGACAATCCAGATGATAGCAACAAATCTCCGTATCCTAAAAAAAAATCCACCATCATATATTCGCAGCCTGCCAACACAGGCACCGGAATTCAGATGGGAACACAAATTGTCAATGCCATAGAGTACATCAAGAAGCAGGACCGACCGGTCCCATTTAAAGATATTGAGCGCTATATGTCAACTAAGATTGACTTACTGCTTGGAGGCTTACAAAAGCACGATCGAATAAAGATCAACATGACGCAGCAAACCGCCGCCTATGTGTCAATATACAATATTTATTCAAAGGAGGAGCTGCTAGCATTTTTGAGAAGTCAACAGTCTTTTCAAGGTGTGCCAGTGAAGCAACTAAAGGATGGCTGGAATGGGTGTCTTGCGGCGATTGAAGAGCTGGAGAAGGAGGGTGATATTCTGGTTTTGCGGACAAAGAAAGAAAACATTCCAAGATATGTTTGGGCAAACACTGGTGGGAAGCTGGGTGGCATTGATGAGGACTTTGTCAAGATCTGGACAAGTGTAAAAGTCCCCGATTCTGCGGATTTGCCAAAGGAATTGGATAAGGCAGGACTTAAGCCTACTAGTGTTGATCCAGCCACCATTAAATCCAAAAAGGGAACAGCTTCCAATAAGAAGCAACGTAAACCGCGTACAGGTAAAATTACAAACACTCACTTGGGTGGTCTTCTTAAGGATTATGGTGTTTAAGATATAATATAAAAAAAATAGCATTTTTAGTCATTCATTATGATGGCTTGTACTTTTATTAATAATGGGAGAAAAAACTACAATAACCTTCGGTATTCTTGTCACGTGGAAACCGTTTGGAGGGAGAGAAGAAGAAGGATATTTTCAAAATGAGGGGAAGACTTAATAATCCCTTTTCTGAACTTTTCTTGTCGATATCTACATATTCTGCAAGCATATCAAATATTGATTTTTCCATTAATAAATGTGTATTCTTATTGCTTCAACTCTTCATCCAGACTAGTAAGTTTATTTGTTTTTATTTTTATTTTTATTTTATTTTTATTTTATTTATATCTACTTTTGCTTTTATTTTTTTTTTATTTTTTTATTTTTTTCAAATGTTAACAGACCAGCTCTTTAATCCTACTTTCCAACAGAGATGAGTATCTGAAAAGGCCGACCAGCAAAGCCCGGTTTTGGGACCCTCCTCATGATAACATCTTAGGACCCTTTGATCTTGCTCGTCCGGAACATGGAACATGGATTGGTATCACCAAGCAAGGCCGTTTGGCTGTTCTTCTAAATTTCCACGAACCAGCCAGTCAAAGTATGATAAGCACGGCTATTTTCCGGACCTTTAACTAACAAAACATTTAGACCACAAGGGTGCCATATCAAGAGGCCTGTTTCCTCGCGAGTTCTTAGAGTCTGACATGGATCCTGAGGAATGGATCAACAGACAGCAGACAAAATATGGAGAGGCTTTGACAAACACGGGCGGCTTTACCATGTTTTGTGGTGTTCTTCGACGTCGCTTTGATGCAAATTGCAAAGAAGTAGGAATTAGGCCCTTTCACCTATTATCTAACCGAGGAGGAGATGCTGGCGTTCATTTGTTTTCTGAACAACCAAAGCCGTTAAACGGCCATGCAAAAAGTGCCACTTCTGTTCCTCCTTCGCCACTAACAAAACCAGCCACCGAAGAAACTCTAACTAACAAATGTGGCGGTGAGACCGAGCTTGACCCCACTAAGCCTGACCCCACCGAGGTTGATGATGATGGTGCTATATGTGGCAAGACAATAGGAATTTCCAATAGCCAAGTGACCCAGCCATGGCCCAAAGTCAAGCTTGGTGTTTCGTCACTTGAGAAGCTTATCAAAGAAGTTTCAGAGACCAAGCTTCCGGAACATGAACTTGTGTCGAAGCTTATCTGCCTCATGAACACTGACACTTATCCACGCGAAAACATAGCAAAAAACGAGAATTCTGATAGAATGGCGATTGGAACCATTGCAAGCTACAAGGGCTCGTCAGGTCATCAAGTCGTTGACCTCGACAAAATCTTTTACAATCTCCGATATTCTGTATTTGTGCCCACAATTAATTTGAAAACAGTGGGTGGTAATCAGGACGAATCCTCTACACAATCAACTACGGCGGCCGGTGCGACGGATGACGATGGAGTACATTACGGCACGCGTACAAACACAATCATTCTGGTTTCCCATACTGGCCATGTCAAGTACATTGAGCGCACGTTGCACTCAGAAGATACTCTCATAGAAAAAGATGGTGTACAGGAATCCGTTTTTGAGTTTGATATTGAAGGATTTTGATATTTTACGCAGCATTAATAAGACCTTAGTTAATTTATTTTTCATTTAATATTTGAAAAAAAACCTCATGTTTCCATATTATTTCTTGCTTTTCTTTTCTTTCTTATCTTTCTTTTCCTTTTCCTTCTTGTCCTTTTTATCTTTCTTTTCTTTTTTGTCCTTCTTTTCTTTCTTTTCGCTCTCAACCTTTTCTTTCTTGCGCTTCTTTTCCGGCTTTTCTTCCTCTTCTTCTTCCTCTTGTCGTTCATGCTTTAAAACAGCTTTAGGCTCTTCAGTAACGTCTTCACTTTCGCCGCCGCTATAGCCTGTGGCAAAGTGCTTTAAAACCATTCCAGTCAGTTGCTCAACCAGTGGCTGGGGCTGAATGGCCTTATCGTAATCAATGCTGGGGATTTTGACTGAAGGGGTTATCGAAATAACGCGTGAAATTTCCCTTGAAGAAAGCGAAAGCTTTTCTGTTGTGTGCGAATTCGATCTGAGGGCTTGTGGCAGCAGCAGACGCAGTGAAGAGTTTCCATCCTTGTCTTTTGAAAGAGTATTATTCTTGGTGTCGCTTGCAACGTTGTAGTCTTGACCGTCAATACTAACGGTTATGCTTTGGGTGGATTTTGTGCTGGGTTTTTTGGTACTCTTCTTGGAAGAGGACTCATCTCCAGATTCTGGTAAAGGTATATACGAGAGTTTGCTGGCATCAACACCAGAGGGTATCTCAACTAACCAGAATTCTTTATTTTCTAGTGATTGTTTTGGAAGAGCCTTAAAGCTTCGGACTTTGACGTATCCCTTTGGAGGTTTGAATGAACTAACCGAGATGTTAGAAAGCGTTTAAATACAAAAGAACCGGTCAACTCACAGATCGTAAGAATCGGAATCACTATCGGAATCACCGACAAATTCACTGGACTTTGGTTTCGGGGCCATTCTTTCTTTGTTTTATCTGTGCTTTTCTATAATCTATTTTTGAAGAAAAGTCTCTTGTAAGTTTTTCTTCTTCTTTTGTAAAATTTTTTTTTTTTTTTCGAAAATATCTTTTTTCATGGGGCTTGAAAATCCATATCCGGAAGTTACCCTCTTGAAACTTTTCATCCAATGTTTTTCCATTATTTTTTTGTGGGAGTAACAAAAAAAATTATCACTCCCACCCTTTGGACTCAAAAAAAAAAAGGCAGATTTTTTCTACCGCTGAACGCCTACAACACATTGCACGATGAACAGCATTGTTAAGAAGAGTCTACAGCTCAGTAGAGCGTCGCCTATAATAGCACGCAGCTCTTTGGTTCGACCATCATTAATAGCTTCTTATTCAACACAGCCTTCTGAGGACCTCAAGCGCCAGCGAGATGAGCATCTGGAACAGCTCAAGAAGTACTACCCACCATCTCTGATCAAGTCGATTCTTGCTGCAGAGTCTTCCGTTTCCCCTGAGCTTTGGGAGAAGCGCCAGCAGTCAAAGGTGGACTTTGCTCCTCCTTATACCGAAGATTTCTCGACTTACGATCCTCTGTACGATTTTGGCCGACATGAGTGGATTGAGAAGGACCAGCCTTACCAGCCCATTCCCCAGCGAATTCCTCCCGGTGTTTCTCTTGATAAGGATATCTTGTCGAGTAAAAGTGCTTCTGCCATCAACATTTCCAAGCTCCAGGAGCAGACTGGTTTGTCCGCTTCTTACATCAAGTCTTTGACTGTGCGCCAGCTAATTTCTAAGCGTGTTGTCAACATGACCCGTAAGGGTAAGATTCCCTCTTTCTACTCGCTGGCTATTGTTGGTGATCGCCAGGGTAATGTTGGTATTGGTGAGGGCAAGGACTCTTCTGAAGGTGCTCTTGCTTTGCAACGAGCCCACTGGAACGCTGTCAAGAACCTGACTTACATTCCGCGGTTCGAAGACAGAACTATTTACGGTTCCATTCAGCATAAATACCACTCGGTCGTCATTAAGTTGAGACCTGCTCCTCCTGGTCACGGTCTTCGTGTGAATCACATCATTTATGAGATTTGCAAGTGTGCCGGTATTAAGGATCTTACTGGCAACATTTACCGATCCAGAAACCAGATGAACGTTGCCAAGGGTGTCATTGAGGCTCTTTCCACCAAGCAGACGATTTTGGATGAAGCTGCTGCTCGCCGTGGTAAGAAGATTATCGATGTTACCAACACTTACTTCAATTTCTAAACGAGTAAATATTTTTGTAAATTTTGTAAATAAAGAAACGAAGAAAAAAAAAACTGCTTTGCCAAAATTCATGCATTTTTAGGGTTCATTATAGAATCATTGAAGATCATGATTAAATTAAAGGTACATTATACAAAAAAAAAATAGAAAGAAAAAAAAAACAAATCATTATTTATTGATTATCAATTTTTGGTAGTCGGGGGCTTTCAGGCTGGATAGGGAACTTCTCGTAACTGGCAATGATTGGGTTCTTTGGTGCATATTCCTCCACAACCAGTTTCTGGGCCGCATACATTTGTGAAATGATAGCTTGACGTTTAAGAACAGCAAGTTCCTTGTGGCCCTTCTGGATCAAAACTTGTGTTTCGCGAAGATCGTCAATGGCCTTGTTGGCACGGAAGGCATCGCGAGTCCGTCGTAGCGCATACTCGCGGAAGTTGTATGCAGCCAAACGAGAGCCCTGTCTCAGAAGGTTTCTGTAGAGAGAAAGAGATTCTTTAGCCAGACTTTGAGCTGACGATGGGGCGACTGCAGCAGACATTGGAAAGTATATATTGAACTAAAAATGAAGAAAAGAGTTGGATTTCAAACAGGATTGGTACTGAGAGAGAGTGATTTTTTTTTTGAAGGGTGGATGTGGAGGTGGATGTTAAGTCGGAACGATCACCGCAATGACTAAGATCTATTCAGGGTAACCTTTAGGGTTGAGGGTTTTTAAGAGATGAAAAAAAAAAAAAAATTCTGCAACCTTGTTCGGATAGGCTTTGTGCAATTAGACAGACCTCCCATCAGGTTGACGATAGTGTGCATCGTGTATAAAAAAAAGAATCACCACTCTGTTATTTCGATCTCTAATAACAATGTTGGGACAGAAATCAATCAGAACAAGTATTTGGGCTACCAAAAATAGTGGCAGGCTTTACTACGCTCAGCTTCTTCAGCAAGTTAAAGCTTCTGATACCCCTAGATATTTTTCTTACACCCCCACTTCTCTCCAAGCAGAAAAAGAGGAGGAGCAGCAGCAGCAGCAACAACAACAACAGCAATCATGGCCACAGCCTAGCGAACCTGTGATTTCAGTTACACAGGAATCCCTTTCAACAACAAGATCTTCTTCCAAGCCTAAAATGCTATCAACTTCAGGCATTTTTTCAGACTTGTTTACCTCGATTGTTGAGGACCCCAAGCCTGTTGAGGTTGGAATTCCGTTATACGACAGCAGCATCCAGGATGTTTCCAAGAATCCCTCATCTGAAGAATTGCGTGAGCGAATTAAGCTTTCACTGGCACAAAACCCTGAAAACATTTTCAAGTTTCTTTCTTCATCTTATCTGTCTAACTTTGACATTTTGGAGAATCGATGGAACATTTCACGAGAGAGCTTTGAAAACGATAATAAGGTGTTTCGTGCTGCAGATCACTTGACTTCGGAAAATTTGAGTATGATAGAGTTGGTAGAGATAAACAAGGTAATCATCTGGCAGTTCAAGCGATGGGTTTTACTCAAAAGAATTAATAACATGATGAAAGAGGCTCAGGAAGATTCTAAAGACACACCGGCCAATGATACCAAGAATCCTAAAAGACCTAGACTTTCTAAGTACAAATACTTGGATTTCTCTATACTAGATTTTCTTGGGCTGAGAGAGCGAGACCCCGTGCAACGGCTACGTGTGTCGGGCCACATTTTACTGAATGAAGCCCGTTACATTCGTGAGCTTACACGATTATACCAGTTGACTGGCATCCGTGAACTTCGTGATCATGTTCTTAGCACAGCACCTTTGATCAACCGAGTGTGCCACAGACTCCAGGCTTCCTATAATGATCGCACTGACAAGAACCTGGTAGCTCCGGAGAATTGCCTTTCATCCCACAAGATTGCCGATGCATCGTCACGCTCAACATTTATGTTTATGGCGAATTCTGCACGTCCATTTCTTGAAATCACTGATAGCGAGGGCCATCAGTTAAATATTCCTGAAGCTTACTTGAGTCCGTATAGATTTGTGCCCATCTACTGGCGGTTGCTTCATAACTTTAATGACATTGAAGCCGTGGCCCGTACCTTAAAGTCTCCACCCGAGGCGGACCAGATTGACTTTTAAAGAAAAAAAAATAAAGTCTGTATCTAACTGTGTAAATAAATAAGTAAATAAATACTATTAGAAGTATTTGAACTCGCTGATTGGACAAATGATGAGAATTTTAACAAGTGCGGTGTGGTAAGGCCACACAAAGCAGGGACCATGAGAATAGCCCCAAAGATTAAAGGGAAGAAAAAAAATTAATATATATCGTTCGATATTTACAACTTTTTTTTTTCTTTTTTTTTTTTGCCAATTTGCTAATTTGACAATTTACCATCTTACCAGATTAAATACTTAATTCTCTTAAAAATCAATTTTCAAAATGTGCAACTTGATTTTGAAAATATATGGGTGTGGCCATCGCGAAAATACAGGTGAATTTGAGTTATGTCATTTTGCCCAACGCGTGGGTACGGTTTGTGTTGGGGTCACGGGAGTTTCTTTACGCAAACCACGGACATGCTGCGAACAATGCTACGACCCTGATCTAGGACCTAACGTTGATTCCCCTGCAATTCAAGTTTTGAGCTCTGTTTATAACCACGGCAAGTCTCCCGAGACGCAGAAAGGACTTTCTTGGAGTGAGTTTTTTGGTGAAAGTGGTCCCGGAAGCACTGTGACAGATTCTGGACTAAGTTCTGGAAATGTTAGCGAGTCTCAAGGGGAAAAGAAAAAGAGGACAGGAATTTTTGGGCGACCGGGAACAGCCGACTTGCTGCGGGAGATGAACGAGAGCCCGTCATCTATTTCTGTTTCTGCCTCATGCAGGTCTTCACAGACATCATGAGAGTTTTAGACGTTTTTTTTTTTTTTTTTTTTTGATGTGGTACAATTGCAGTATTCTCCTGTGTTTATCTATGTCTTTAAATTTGAGGAGCGGCATTGGAAAAAACGACCATACTAAGTAGGATACTGTTAGATTTGGTGTAAATATTGATAATAAATGAGGATTTCAAGAATGATAGATCGAGATGGGTTAGGGCTGAAGGGCTGACAAGTTATGTCATAACCAAAGAATTGAAGGCTCAGACTAGATTCCAGTTTGAAATTTGACAAGGGTCCTGTTAATGAAAAAATTGACAAGATTGTGTAAAAAAAAAAAAGACAGGATATTTAAAACATCAATTGATCGTTTTTTTTTCCTTTCTTCTTTCATTCTTCTAACCTACTTTTCTTCTTCAAGTAAACTATCTCTAAGATGTGCACTGAACCTGTTGAAAGGTATGGATGCGGCCACACGTTAAGCGGCGGAGTCAAGACCTGCCAGGGATACATCATCACGGGCTACGCTTGCTCTTTGCCTCGCCGAACCTTGCACGATTATGAGGATCGAGTGTGCCCACGATGCCGGCGTCTCGGTATCACCAAGCTTCCCAAGAAAAACAAGCAATCTAGTTCCGGGTGTCTCTTATCATGAGCCTTTTTTTCGGGCCCCTGTTGTTAAAGTTAAAAGAGGGTGTCATTTTTGTGGGTAACTGGATACCCCACTAAGGTTTGCTGATACTATTGCGTAAGTTGAGTAACTGTGCAATTGAGTTTTTGTTTTTAAAACTAGCTTGTGTCTTTTTTTTTTTTTTTTTTTTTTTTTTTTTGAGAAAATGAGTTTCTTAATGCACTCACTGTCTTGGTTAACGATACATGCAACAGTTTAATCTAGCGATCAAGTTGGTTTTATTTGATAAAACATTTAGGCTCACGTCTTGATTTTTATTTTTTATTTTTTATTTTTATACCTTTAAATCTTTTGCTTTCAATTTTTCCCCTTCAAAATTTATCTTGATGACTCTGAGTAGAGTATAACTTAATGTGTTTATAGAAAAATATTAAATCAATTGATTTGTCAATAACTTTCAACATTCATTTTAGTTTGTTTGTTTTTATTTTGAATATAAAAAAAGTAAGCATAACCAGTTAACTCTTTTAAAACTTGTTAAAGATATGCTTATCCTGTATACCATAGATTTTTTTTTTTTTTTTGATTAAGTTCCGAGAAGTAAGTAGCATTTACATTTATACCACATTTTGGATATCAATGAGACCTTGAACCCAATTACATGGTTATTCATCCGATGCGAGTTTAACATATACTTTATCTGAATTCCCAAACATTTTTCTTTTTTTTGATAACAAAAATAGGTACCGTAAACTTTGAAAGACGTCTTTTATCTCTCGGTCCACCCCATATATTATGTGCATGGTACACAGAGGTCACCAACGCTATTTTTAAAAGCAGAGAAGAATTGCCATTAATCTGACCCACTGACTGCAGCCACGGGACTCTGATTTTTTTTTGCTACTGATTGCGTACTTTATACTGTCTATGTGGAAATACCACAGTATCTAAAAATGGTACTGTTTCAAGTGCTGCTGCTGCTGCTGCTTCTTTTACTACAGTTAAGTATATGGTGTACAGTACTTGTACAAAAGACAAGTCAGAAGATACCGGAGCCATTATTATCTCGTGTGTCAACCATTCTGTCTGACACGGTGGCTGGGTATTGTACAGGGACGTGACCTACTTAGTAGTTGGTATTAAGGGATCATATTTTATGAGCGCGGATAGGTTTCTTTTTGTGCCCATGAGTAAGACGCACGTGCGGCCGTGACGACGAAGAACCGCAAGTAAAAAAGACTTTGTATCTTACCAAGGGTCACGACGAGACAATGGAGCAGCAAGAACGGTACCGCTAATACAGCTACGGGTACCGGTACCCTTTAGAAATACACTCAGGTTTTTTTTTTTTTTTTTTTATTAAATTGTGTTTTAAAATTAAACTGGGATTTGAGGGGGAAGGAGCGGAACTATGGAGCAGGCGAGCAGTTTAACTATTTATGGGTGAGACGGCGAGGGGTTAATGTGGAGGTGAGTGATAAAAAAAACAAAAAAAACAAAAAAAAAAAAGAAAAGAGACGAAAGCACACAAGAGGTAATTATTGTACACAAGGAAGAAAGAAAAGGAAGGTTAGGGTAAGCGGAAGCCGTGCGAAGAATATGCACGTATGTACGACGACTAGAGTGAGAATTTATGATTTACCGGGTAGTACGGCGATGCGATTTAGAGTTGAAAATTAGTATTACGTGGTCCGTTGTTTTTTATGGCAGAGAGAAAAAGATATATCCGCGGAGGAAAAGGCACAGGGAAGAGATTAAGAAAAAAAAGAAAAGGAAAGAAGAGTTAACAAAGAGGAAAAAAGAGGAAGAGGAAGAAGAAGAAGAAGAAGAAGAAGAAGATAATTTATCACGGGGTGTTGTGGTTAGATGGGGATTTAGAAAAGTTAAAATGCAAGTTTTTCAAATTTGATGAGAAGAAAAAAAAAAAAAAAAACAGATGGAGCGAAATTACCGCAAAGTTGCAACTACGACAAAATACATCTGAATCACAAGGGAAGTAAACAGACTTTAAGGTACGAATATAACGGCAGCGTTTTTTTTTTTTTTTTTTTTTTTTTTAACATTTGAGTTTAGCAATTATGACCTAAGCAAGTCAATTGTAAGATACATTTGGATAAACGATAGATTTCCATTGTATTTTTTCTAGTAAAAGGGGAATCTTAATAACGTTCTACAGGCAATGAAAAAAAAAAAAAAGAAGGATACTATAAGTTGAGTTTACTGAAATTTCAAAAAAAAAAAAAATCATGATGATAATGAATTAGATGGGAATTAACAACAATAATAAAAAAAAATATTTTAAATCCAAGGTTTTTTTTTTTTTTTTTTTTTTTTTTAAACGATGGGTGTTTTCACGGGTGCGCATAGGTGCAAATATTAATATTTTATTATGAGTTTTTTTTTTTTTTAAAAAATGACGGGATGGGGAACCCGAAATATGGAGAAAAAGATGGGATTTTTTTTTTTTTTTGGGCTCGAGGCCTTTTATTTTTTATTTTCTGGAGTGCATGAAAATTGTACGGGAAGAAGAAGAAGAAGAAAAATAAAAAAAACAAAGATTTTATTTTATTTTTTTTATTTTTATTTTTTTTTTTTGAAAATTTAGCAAGGGAGGGAGGTTGTTTTCATGATTCAAAGAGAAGAAAGACTAAAAAAAAAAAAGGTTCAAAAATTAATTTTTATTTATTTTTATTTCTGGATTTTGATACCTTTTCTAAAGTACCTGAGGGAAGTGAGATCTTACATAAAAGTAAGGTTGACACATCTCTTTAAAAAATGTTATTATTTTTTTTAAAAAAAAAAAAAAACAATAAAAAAAAGATGTGAAAAAATATTCAATAGAAGACAAGAGGATTAAAATGTTTAATCAAAATACCCTGTTTCATTTTTGTGCAAACTGTGAAAAAAAAAAGAGGTAAAATGAAATTCTTTTAAAAATGGGGTTATCACGATGTTTTAGATTTGTTCATCTAAAGATTTTCTTTTAAACGATATTGCCAAGTTTTATTTTTTTTTTATTTTTTAAAAGACCTGGGGATACCTCGTACAAAAATTTTAAAACCTTATACACAAGCATATGACGATGGGAATTTTTTTTTTTTTTTTTTAAAAAAGAAAAAGGGGAAATGAGAATGACAAAAAAATAAAAATAAAAATTAAGATATTAGAGATGATTAAAATTTGGAGAAAAAAAAGGGAAATTATGAAATTTTTTTCTTTAATTCTTTTTAAAATATCTAATTATTTTTTCAAAGTGTATATTATTATGTTTTCTAAATTTTTTTTTTTTTTTTTCATTTCAGGAGATTTCAAAATTTTTTTTTTTTAATATCTTCTTTGTGGGACAATGAAAAGTAAAGAAAAAAAAAAACCGCGCAAAAGTTAATGCATTTTAATGATTAAAATGACCAAAAACAAACCTAAAGAGTTACATTCTGCATAATTATTATAATGAAAAAAAAACAACATCTACGAATGGCGTGTGTTTGACCAAGAAGTGGCGCACTTTATTTATTTATTTTTTTATTTTTTTTTAATTATAATTATAATTAAAAGTCCAAAGTATGATCATAATTATCAATTTGAGTATCTTTTTGAAAGGATAAAAAAAAAAGTATCATCACGCATTAAAAAAAAAAATGATACCCGCGGGATCTTTCATTCCCTTTTTTTTTTGACTGAGGATTCTTACCCCTTTTTTTTATTTTTATTTTTTTCGAGGGAAAAAAAAAAACAAAATCTTACGAGAAGAAGAAAGACATTTTTATTTTTTCTAAACTTGGGAAGAGAAAGCGTGGCAAGGCTTTAAGATGGGGAGAGGGAGGAAGGGAAGGATGTTACGTGTTTGTGTATAAATCTGTTGCAAGATCCAGGAAGACATATATAAACTAGTTTTGTCTGGGGGGAATAGATGGATGGATGGATGGATGGATGGACAGATGGACAGATGAATTAGAAGGCAAGGTTTATTATTGTTGTTATTTCCTGTTCATGACCAGACTTTAAAAAAAAGAAGGTTAAAGGAAAAGGGTAGAGAGAGAGAAAAAGAAAGAAAGAAAGCTAAAAAAAATATTGATGAGTTTTGATAAAGAAAAAAAAAGGAAGAATATTTAAGAAAGGACATGTGAATGGAAAGAAAAGAGGGACTGAGAAGAATTAATTCAAAGAGGTCTAGAGAGTGATTGACGATGATGATGATAATTTTTAAGTGGATTAAAATAAAATAAAATAAAATAGAAATAAAAATAAATAAATAAAATAAAAATAAAAAAAATAAATAAAAAAAATAAAGGATTTTGGTTTTGGATTGCTATTAGAAGAAAAAAGTTTGTCATGTGCATTTTTATTTATTTTTATTTTTTTTTTTGATGATTGCCCATCAATCGATTAATCAATTAATCAAATTAATCAAATCGAAAGTTGATTGGGAAAATAGAAGATGATCATGATGATAGGTTTTATTTTTTTTTATTTTTTTATTTTTATCTTTATACGAAAGAAACCAAAAAAAAAAAATAAATAACATGAGAGGAGTTAAGAACAAGGCAAGTTATGCATTTGAATGATCAGTTGTTATTATTACATTTATACACCCAAAAGAGCTTTCTTTCTTTTTTTTTTTTTTTTTTTTTTTTTTTCTCCCAATTAGGAGGGGGGCCAATTCAGTCTGGAGGTCATTTGTACATTGTTACGAGGTTTCATTAGAAAGAGGCATTGACAAGAATCATTTTAAAGAAAAAGAAGATGAAGAAGATGACAAAAACAAAAAAAAACAAAATTCTCTCAGTATTAGTAGTAACAAACGAAAGTACCGAGTATATATAAGCAAGAGTATAAGCTTAGGTGGGCACAACTTGTAATAATAAGTTTAATAATATACGGAGATGACAAGAAGAACAAGAAGAGAATGTGGGTCATATATATATTTAAATACGGTAAGACGAGACAAAAAAAAAAAAAAAAAAAAAAAAAAAAAAAAAAAAAAGAAGAGAGAAATGAATGCAATTTTTTGGCTGGTACTTGAATTATTGTATATATTTACAATTATTAAAGGAGAGGATGATTAAAAAAAAAAAAACAAACAAACAAACAAACAAACAAAAAAACAAAAACAAATATCATAGTAAAGATTAAAATGCAATTGAGAAGAAATTGAAAATGGAATTGAAAATGGAATTGAAATTGAAAATGAAAATGAAAATGAAAATGAAGAGATAAATTTATGGCATGTTTTGGATGGACTTTACATATAATTGAGAACTAGCAACAATCAATGTCTCACCACCATATTTAAATATATATAAATATCAAGAGCACATCGCCATTTAAGGATGCTTACGGAATATGATCCGTTTTTATTTATTTATTTATTTATTTATTTATTTATTTCAAAGGCCTTTTTTTTTTTTTTATTTATTTTTTGTTATTTGTTTTTTTTTTTTTTTTTTTTAATCCTAAAATGATCAAAAGTACCCAAAATGGCAGCATCAACTTTGAACAAAAAATCTGTATTTTTCTACTAGTTAGATTACCTATTCCATCCTACCCTCCCCCATCACCTCCATAACAACACTGTATTTTGGTACAGTATATATATATATATATATATGTATTCTTGGAGGCAACAAAAGTAAAAAAAAAAAAGCAGCACTTTAGGTGGTGGTACTGTATTTGATTAAAGCAAGTATTTATTAATATTCAGATTGAATTAATTAAAAAAAAAAAGAGTGATGATAATAAAAATAAAGAAAAAACTTTTTTTTTTTTTTTTTAATCAATTCAATTTTTTTTTTTTCCATCTTTAACATTGATAATAATGCTTACTTGATTCTTCTTCTTCTTCTTCTTCTTCTACTTTTAATTCTTAATTCTTATTTCTTTCTTATTCTAATTCAAATTCTTCTTTTATATAAATCATTCGGGGCGCACGGCCCGTTTGGTCCTAGGAAATCAAGTGCCGACCCATCCAGAACGCGTACGTGCGCGGGTTTTGCTGGCTTTTTTTTTTTTTGTCCCGCCAAGATGGTCTTTTTTATTTTTATTTTTATTTTTATTTTTTTTTTTTTTTTTCTCAGGTTGCCCAAAAATTCCAAAATTTTTTTTTACCAATTTTTGTTCCCCCCATAAAACTTTTATTTTTATTTTTATTTTTATTTTATTTTTATTGCCAGTCATTAGCAAAGCCACTTTTTTGAAATTTTCCTTTTTTAAAAAAAATAAAATCTTCTTCTTTTTATATTTTCATTTTTTATTATTTTATTATGCCGGGAGTCCATCGGAAACTTCTGCCGTGCGGGCCGCACGTGATATTTTATTATATACTTCTTTTAATAACTGAAAGGACTAATTGTTTTATTTGGAGATTGTAAATGAATGAATGAATGAATGAATGAATTGAAAATAAAAGAAATAAATGAATTGAGTTTTTTTTTTTTTTTTTTTTTTTTTTTTTTTTAAATGATGTATTTGGAAAGAGATCATATAGTTATATTATTATTATTATTATTATTATTATTATTATTATTATTATTATTATTATTATTATTATTATTATTATTATTATTATTATTGTTATTGTTATTGTTATTTTTAAAATAAAAGGTACTACAATACTTACTTGTTTAATTGTTTAACTATGCTTTAGTCTTTCAATTAAGTTCTTTAAATGTTTTCTTTTTATATATATCAAGAGATGAAGAAGAAGAAAAAGAAGAAGATTAATTGACTGATTGATTGACAGGTTTGTTCTGTATATATTTTGAGTATTGTAGTTACTGCTACTTGTAGTAGTAGTATTAGTAGTACATTGAAATGTCAATTATAATAATAATAATAATAATGTCTATAAAACCATCTTTAATTTTTATTTTAAAATTCTTAAAAATTCTTTAAAAATGGTTTCTATCGGGTCTGACGGGTTTTTTTATTTTTATTTTTATTTTTATTTAAATTTATTTTAATTTAATTTAATTTTTATTTCAGAAATTATTTAAAATAAAAATTCTACAACAAAGACGGGCCAAAATGGGATTTTACCCGACTAGGCAGCAACAGCCTAAAAAAAAAAAAATAAAAAAAAAATTTACTTTTAAAATTTCTTTTTTTTTTAGTTAGCAACTTATATACGTTAAAAAAGTTTAAAGGCTACTCTTACTTATTACTCTTTAATAAAAAAAAAAATAAAAAATAAAAAAAAGTACCAGATACTTCTTTTTTAATACATTTTTAATTCAAATTTTTTTTTTTTCCCTTCTTAGTATAAATAGTTTGCTTTCCCCCAAAATTAATTTTTTTTTTTTTTTTTTATAATCATTAAACACTTTGCAAGATTATCTACTGCAAAATATACTACTACAATAATAATCTTTCCACTTATAATCAATTATTAATTACTACAATATTATCTATATTCACAAAATATAATGTCATCAGAAAAACAAGATCCTTCAGATCTTCCAGCTGCTAACCAGCAATCACAACAACAACAACAACCTCAACCCTTTACAGAAGAAGACCTTGAGGCTCAACGTGTCATCAGTACTCACTCATCTCTAGGATCAAGAGTCTCACGTGCTGCAACCCATGCCGATAATAACTTTGGCCGCAATTTGGCCCTCACTAGAACTGAAACTGCAGCTTCTTTAGCAGAACTCGGTCTCTCAACAACAAGACCTCAAGTCGACCCTAATTTCCCCTCTTTACGTCCAGAAGGTGAACCAGAATTCCCAGAAGAATATACTCTAGAAACTGAAACAGGTCTAGTCCCTGTCATGTCTCTTCGTCAAATCCGTTCAGACATTTCCGGTACCAGTCTTTCCCGCCGTCGCACAAATAGACTTGCAGCCCTTGGTGGTGGATTACCTACCCATAAAGAAGAACCAGAACGTAGACCTTCAACTACTCCAGGCCCTAACGCCCCACCAACAGACGAAGAAGAGGAGCTCCCAAAAGAACAGCCCCTCGAGGGGGGTTCCGAGGAGGAAATCGAATTCGTCACCTTTTTAATCAACGATCCAGAGAACCCCCAGAACTGGTCCCACGCTTACAAGTGGACAGTCACTCTGATCGCTTCCTTTCTCGTCTTGGCCGTTGCCTACGGTTCCGCAGCTCCAACAGGCGGCCTTAGTCTCATTATGGAACGTTTCAATGTTTCCCTCGAAGTTGCAAACCTTACCGTCGCCATTATGGTTATAGGATTTGCTGTTGGTCCTCTACTTTGGTCCCCACTTTCAGAACAAATTGGTCGTCGCCCAGTTTATATCGTTTCCCTTACCCTCTACGTCATTTTCAATATTCCCTGCGCCGTGGCTAAAAATATTGGTACCCTTCTTGTCTGCCGTTTCCTCTGTGGTGTCTTTGCCTCTTCTGTTCTTTCCCTTGCTGGTGGCTCCATTGCTGATGTTTGGGAAACTGAGCACCGTGGCTTTGCCATTGCTTACTTTGCTGCTGCTCCCTACTGTGGTCCTGTCTTTGGTCCCATTGTTTCCGGATGGATCAATGTCGGCTCTGGACGTTACAGTCTCCTGTTTTGGGTCAATTTTGCATTTGCCGGTGCTGCAAGTCTTGTCATGGCTTCAGTCCCTGAAACTTATGCCCCAGTCATTCTTAAGCGCCGTGCTAAGCGTCTTAGAAAGGAAACTGGTAACCCCAACATTATGACTGAACAAGAAGCCCTTAAGCTTTCTTTTAAGGAACTCCTCGAAACTGTCCTCGTTAGACCCATGACTATGATGCTTACCGAACCCGTCCTTGATCTCATGAACCTTTACATTGTCATGATTTACTCGCTTCTCTATGGCTTTTTCTTTGCATACCCTGTTATTTTCGTCAAACTCCACGATTACAATGATGGTATCATTGGTCTCATGTTTATTCCCATTTTAATCGGAGCCATTTTCGCGCTCATGGTTACCCCTATTTGTGAGAAGAAATACATTCAGATTTGCAAGAAGCGAGAACCCACTCCAGAGGACCGTTTGGTTGGTGCTATGATTGGTGCACCCTTTATTCCAATTGCTCTTTACCTTTTGGGTGCTACCTCTTATAAGCATGTTATTTGGGTCGGCCAGGCTTCTTCTGGTATTCCCTTTGGCTTTGGTATGGTCATGTGCTACTACAGTGTCAACAATTACATTATTGACTCGTACACCGAGTACGCTGCTTCTGCCCTGGCTGCAAAGGTCTTTATGAGATCTGGCGGTGGTGCTGGCTTTTGCTTGTTTACAGGTATCATGTACAGCTCCAAGCGCCCAGGTCTTCAAGGCTCTTCGTACCTGCTGGCTGGTCTTGCCACTTTGATGGTTGTTATTCCATTTTTGTTTTACAAGAAGGGTGCTGCCATTCGTGCAAGATTTACCCATGTTTAAAAAAAAAAAAAAAAAAAGACAAAAAATTCCAAAAACAAACCTCCCCCAGCATTTTTTTTTTTTACTTTACTTTTCTTTACGATGTTATGAAGTTTTACTACTAGAAGTTTTATAATAATTTTAATAATTTTAATATACTAATAATTACTGACGCTTTCAAGAAACGAAACAAGATCGGCCAATAGCAGTTCCTGCCGGTCGGGTGTCTCGTGTACCATACAATGGTCCATATCTGCGTATGAATATAAACTGGCACGAGCCTCACTCCCATCTGCTCTTTTGCGAGACTCAACTGTCCGGCGCTCCAATTCCACTTTACGATTTTCATCGCTGTTCTCAGTGATGAGCTCCCAAAACTGTCGCGTGGCTTGGTAACTGTTAATCTCATCATGGACTCCTTGGAATAATGCAATGGGTTTCCCAGCTGGAATCCCACGCACAAACTGCGGGTCCAACAGCCGCCGGCCGCGCCACAACATGTCGTTCATCTGTGCAGCAGAACACACCACACGAGTACCTAAATCCGGGCCGTTGCGGAACAAGTTCATCCAATGTGAATTGTGTGTGATACGTACTGTTGATAACCCTGGGGGTCGGCGTAGAGTCGGAGCAACATATGCAAGCAAAGGTAACAAAACACATTCAACAAGAACCCCAGGAGAGGCTTCAGGAGCAGTGTGCACAAGTGGCGCAAGACACCAGAATGCAGATATCCGGGCACGGTGTGTACCGCATGCAGCGTAATCTAACACAATACCTCCTCCCATGGAGTGTCCGGCAAGTATGAGGGGTCGACCAGTGGGGAGTGTATCAAACACGGTGGCCAGAAGAGTGTCAAGATCTTTATGGATTAAAGTCTGGTTGGTGAGGGCGTAGAGATCACCAGGGGAGGTTTCGCCAGCCCCTCGTTGGTCGAAAATAATGACACGGTGACCAGCGGCTGCTAGAAATGGCAAGAACTCTCTATAGAGATTGACATTTTCTGCAAAGCCGTGGTTGTAGACTATAACGGTACGTTCCAGGGTCCCCTCTGGGACGTTCTTTAATGGGTTAGTCGGGTCGCTGAAGAGATGGGAAACAGAATCCATACCCAGGTTTCAATGTGGAGATTGAGCCCACCAGATACCTCTAAAGAAGATACCGTGGATGTCACGTTGGCGACCTTGGACAAGTCCATGGACGTTGGTTCTTGAGCTTCAGTCATGCTTGTTATCTTAAATGTTTTATGTAAAACAATAATAATGCTATAATGATAATCTAATAATAAAGATTAGAATAAAGAAAATGGATTTCTACAGATAATAATAAAAAAAAATTCCTCACCAAATAAAAAGAAAAAAGAAAAAAAAAAAAAGCCTCTCAAATCCTACCTACCGTCTCATTCACGTGCTTTTGGTCTTGTCATACTCAGACTCAACAAGCTCAACAAACTCTACCAAATCACTAACCACCTGGGCTACCCGGTCCAAAGTCTCACGCATCAATGCATGCCCAGAGTCCTCATACGTATAAAACTTCTTAACCGGGACCCGGTCCGGCAACAGCTCAAAGAAAGTGCGTGCTCCTGCATAATCATTCACCTTATCTGTTTCTGAATGAAACACACCTACGGGTCTTGCAACAAATCCACCCACATACTCTGCATCTTCTAACCGTTCTCCACGTACCAACATATCATGCATCATTCTTACACTAAAAACCCCAGGAGCATCGGCTGCAGTCGATGCCGCTGCCTCCCGGAAAAGCTCAAGGTAGTGCGCGTCGTGAGTCATATGCTCAGGCTTGAGCCCGGCGCGGCGTCGCAGTGTGGGCCAAGCTGCTGCTGCTGCTGCTAGTACTGCCCGTGTCAGTACTCCTGGTCGTGATGTCGGGTGCACAGTGACAAGAGGTGCAAAGGCCGCGTACCCTGCCACGCGTTCGCGGTATTTCCCCCTGATTCCGTAGTTAAGAATAATTCCACCACCCATTGAAGTCCCCCAAAGAACAAGGGGTACCTCTGGCGTATTTTCAGTTTCATTGAGTTCCCACACAGCCTCAAGAACACGGTCGAGGTCAGCGTAAACGTGGGTGTCATCAGTGAGAGCGTAGAGCGGTCCCGGGGACGTTTTACCGGCACCGCGTTGATCAAAGAGTACAACCTCGAATCCGAGGCGTGCTAAGTGGGGCATAAAGTTATCTGCGTTATCGACGCGGGACCCGAACCCATGGTTGAACAAGAGGACAGCGGTGCGTTTGGTAGGTTCAGGAACATGCCAGCGCTTGGTATAGATTTTAAGTCCATCATCGGCTGTCACAGTGAAGGTGGACGAACGGATGTTTGTGACAAGTTCTGGGGTGAGATCTGAGGGCTGGATGGTCATGGTATGGAGGTAATTGGATGAGGAGATTGGGGATTTTTGAGATTTGGGGGATTTATTAATGTGGAATTTTAATGTTGTGAGGTGTGAGGGATATGATGGCATTTTAAAGAGGGAAGAGGACCTCGAAAAGAAAACAGGTTACCTGGAGGTATGTTTGGAGGGTTACTGAAAGGTTATCGGATGGTATCTTCAAAGGGCTTTGAAGATTTTGTGTTTTGTGGTTTCTTGAAAGGTCGAAGATTGAAAAGATATTTTGATAAATACAGTTGAATATTATTAGAATAAACAAATAGTTTGAATTGTTTTAAGTTAAAGCTTAGAAATCAATTGAATCTACTGACAACCAAGTGAAATCTTACCAACCATCTATGCTTAATTAAGCATAAAAGAGTGTGAATGTTTATCTACCAACAAGTATTTTTTTTTTTTTTTCATTTCTATATAATCATTTCAAATGATTAATATCAATATTAATCCAGTAAACTAACAAAACTAAGCGTTGACCAATATATTTAAAATTAATATCAGAATGAAACTGATGTCAATTTGCTTTTAATGAGGAGGCTTTGGTAAAGTCACACACTAAAAAAAAAAAAACAAAGTGGCTCTTTGTGTAATAACAATTACTATTGATATAACACTAAACCCCAGTTTAAATAAATATATAAATTTAATTAAAATTAATTTGACAATTATTATAACCATTGTCGAGATGCTAATAAATTGTTTAAAGGGGGTTTGTTACCCCATAAAAAGTGCTTAATATTAGGTCTATCCACTTTTTACTCTTCACTTAAAAATGGGTTTACGAAAATCAACCAAAAAAAAAACAAACAATAATAAAAGATTAGTATTAATACTAATTATAATGAAATGATATATTTATTAAATTTTATATTAAAAATTAATGTAAATATATTTGTCCTTCATGAAAGATTTTTTTTTGTTTTTAAATTTTTTAAATTTTTTAGGTTTGTCACAAAACCCATGCTAAAATCATTGTAATAAACGTATTTTTAGTGCTATTCATCATCATTATTATTGTTATTATTAGCTTAAACAAAGCCACTATTTTCTTTCTTTTCCTTGGTACTATCATTTAAAACCTTTCAATTATCTCCAACTGACCCATCCACAACACCATCCACATACTCCAAAATGTCATGGAAAACCTGTGCTGAACGGTCCGGCGTCTCATGAGGCAGAGAGTGAGCCATATCCGTGTACCGGTAAAGCTTCTTGTACGGCACACTCTTAGGAAGCAAATCGAAAAAGGTCACCGACCCAGCAAAGTCATTAATATAGTCTGTTGTCGAATGGAAAATCGCCACCGGCTTACCCGCAACAAACTTTGCCACATAATCAGGGTCCGTCAACCGGGTCCCGCGTTTAATGGCGTCACTCATCTGTCCAGCTGAACATACAACTCGCGTCGCTTCATCGCTTGAAAACCGCTTCTTCCATCGTTCGTCGTGTGTAATGTAATCAATCGCCAACGGTGCCCGGTCACGGAAATTAGGCGCAACTGCAGACCCCACACGTAACATCAGCCGCTGAAAAACGTTGGGCTGTGACTTGGGGTGCAGCACAATCATTGGTGCAATAGCCCAGTACCCTGTAATTAGGTCCCGGTGTTTGCCCTTAATGGCGTAGTTAAGCGTGATACTGCCACCCATAGAATGTCCTGACAAAAACAATGGGCCCTTGTAGTCTTTAGTCACAGACTCAATCAATGTATCCAAGTCTGAAAAAACATAATCTTCATTGGTCAGCGCATAGAGTTTGCCTGGCGATGTTTGGCCTGCCCCGCGCTGGTCATACACAACCACCTCGTGACCTGCAAACGCCAAATGGGGCAGAAACTCGTTGTACAGCTCGGTATTTTCTGCAAACCCGTGGTTATAAATGATGACACTTTTACGAGGGGTTCCTTCAGGAACATGCTGTTTGTCATGATGTTAGAAAACAGTTTGTAGAGTAGAGAATGTGGGATGGGAGTATATCTGAGATCGGAACCGGAAACACAAACTTACCCAGGTCTTAACAAACAAATTGATGCCATCACGAACTGGAGTTGAAGAAGTTGTGAAGCTCAAATCGACAATATTCTGTGCATTAAGTAACGGAGCTGCTGTTGGACTTGAAGTCATTGTTATATGCGGAGAGTATTAGATATGTTATTTAATGTTATTATTTGAAATTATTTGGAATGGTGGTAGGTGTAAAAGGCAACAAGAAGCCCAGCATAAATGGGTGGGGGTTTGTACGTCTATTTATACTTGCCTTGTCTTGTACCCATTTCAGAATTTTTCGAACCTGATGAGCCCCTCAACATTTTAATGTTCCCAGTTAATTGACTGCAATATACTTTACAACCGCCCATAAGTTGAGCTTGCCACCTAATTTTTTGCAGTGGTTCAACGCTACTGACTACCTTGTCACCAGTTCTCTTCTTCATTTATTTTGAATTTATTTATAAAAATAACTTTGATTAAAAATGGCTACTATACTTTAGTCTAATCCTTTATAAAGACTCTTATCTCACTGCCTTATCCATTCCGGAAACCCAACGCGCTGTCTTAACTACTCTTACTGGCATTCCTTTGAGTAATGGTACAAACCGAGCATAGGCTGGCATATACACAGCACCTCCACGGCCCTTGCCTGCCCTTTTCACAACTTCTGCTGCTACTCGTTCTGGCCTTAGCACCGGTGCCAGTATTCGTGACGGTGTCTTTACGTCCTCAAACATAGCTGTGCCTATTTGTCCGGGACACACAAGTAGAGTTTTCACACACTTTTGTCTTGGTGGCCGCGTACGGATTGCAATCTCCAATGAGGTCACAAATGAAACAACAGGCTCTGTCAATGGCCCGGAACAAATCCGTAGCCATGTCTTCTGGAAAAACAACTTTGTGGCCGTAGTCAATGCCCGCGACCGAGTTCGTAGACGCAATAATGATTGGGGATGTGACGTGAGTGCACGCTCAGCCAAATACTTGAGGGGACTGTCGTCAGTGTGAAGCATACCATCATCGCCATTGAAAATCGACTCCTCCTCAAGTTCCATATTCTCTAGCTCGGCCGTCAGAGCTTCATGCATTGCAATAAGCCCAGCCTTGGACGCTCCATATGCACCTAAAACTAGTTAGCCAAAAAAAAACAAAACAAACTTCTCTATACTTAATCCAAAATCTTGTTTTATCCATTTACTCAAGTTGGCCGGTGATAAATGGCCCAAAACTGACGCTACAGTCACAATATATCCTCGTTTACCTGCGAGCATCCCTGGAACAAATGTTTGCAACGTGTTGAAGCAGGCAACCAAGTTGACCCTAATAGTCTTTGCAAAATCCTCCTCTGTTAGCTCCAGTAAGGGCTTCCCACGCATGATTCCCGCGTTATTCACAAGCACCGTCACATGGCTTGAATCCGGTGCCCGAGCGCTAGTCCCCTCTGTCAAACTCCCGTTTTCGTCACACCCGGAAATTTCACGGGCTACTTTCTGGACCTGCGACATGTCCGACACATCACATACAAAATACTCAACTCCAGGAACCCGCAACGTGTCTGTGGGCTCGGCAACATCCAAGCTCAGGACCCGCGCGACTCCCTTTTCTTTGAATTGGCGGCACAGTTCGCTGCCCAGTCCTCCACAACCACCAGTCACAAGCACAACATCGTCTGCACAGAGTCCTGAAAATTCTCGTGCTGCATACTTTTGTCTCAGGTAAGCTGATGTGCCCATTGTTTCTGGCAACACAATACTGCTGGCGGTTTCACTTAGGATATCTTCGTGAGGGGGTTCTTCTTTATCTGTAGCTGGAGAAAGGTTTTGAATTTCACCCAGAAGAATGCTTCTGGTCATTCTCAGAACTGAGTTTCGAAAGAGAGCCTTTTTGGGACGAGTTGAGGAAGATAAAGGACCAGAGATATGTGCACTGTAGTTCATATTGTAGTTTTTCATAGAACTCACTGAGGGAAAAAGCAGAATGAAAAATCTGGTGATAAGAAAGCAGGATTAGTTTGGATTGAAGCAAAAAATAAAATGTTTTGAAGATGAAAGAGAATGAAATTAAGAAACACTGGAAATCGTTATTTATATAAGGCCCACCGTTGTAAGGACTAACGACTGAGGTGTTGTGTGACGATAAGAGATAAGCGGTTGAATACTTATTTAGGATATATGTATATCATTTTTTTTGAGCCATTTTTAAACTTTTCATTTTTGGAATTTCAAACATGTGAAAAATATGGAATTTTTTTTGGTTAATTGCTTATTGGGGTAAATAAAATGATCCGGACACTGGCATTTTTTTTTTCTTTACAGCTTTGAAACCAATTTTCAATACATTATAGACACAAATGAGAAGACACATAATTTCTATAATAATAAATTGACTGCTAGATGTGAAATGGATTATGTTTATATGATTTCAAATAATAATAAAAATTTGTTCTCTTTTTTTTTTTTTAAAAAAAAATAGATTTGTGAAAGTGGCTTTGGTGAAAAATTTCAGGTCGGTAAAAAACTTATTAAGACAATCAGATCAAGGAAAATTTTACAAATACACTTTAGAATACCAAAAGCTTTTCAAAAAGATTTTCTTGAATCAAATCCAAAAAAAAAGAAAATAATTGCAAATCCTGTTTATCAAACACTTTTTAATAAATCTAAGTCTTAGCAAACAGCGTAGGACTGCAATTCAATTTTAAAAAAATCAAAATGGTTGGAGTTTCATTATATTATAATTATAATTATGTGACCTACAACAGCTCCTCTTTAGTTTTTTTTTTCCCAACTAGTCATAGAACCAAACCAGTAGCTTTAATTTTTTTTTTTTTCAGACCGTTTTAACTAATTATTTAAAATAATACTTATAATCGGCTTTTATTAGATTCTTGAACCCATCAAAATTTCTAAGCAACGTAAGCCTTTTTTTCCCCCAGTATCTTCACATGGGGAGCGAGTACTTATACACTTTATGACACCCGGGCCGACGTATCGGTACACTAATCCTACAGTCCGAAGATAAATTGAAAATCCAACTGAGATGAGAACAGTATCACAACTCTTCTTTTACTTTTTTTTATTCTTGAAAAGATGTTTTTTTTTATTATCAATTCTTTGGACAGAATGCCGACTTTATTCTATGCGGATACTTGTGAGGACTTTTCAATTTTAAGTTTCTTCCCCCCCCACACTTGTTGGTAATTTGTAGGCTATTAACTTGAAATTAAAAACTATGTAATCTTAAACGACAAACCAACTTTTTAAAAACCCTAAATTTCTGACACATTTCCGACAACTCAACTAGGACGGCTCTCTCCTCATCGCTCCTCAAATGCAACGAAGTTTTTTCTGGTGATTTTTTTTCTTTTCAAACTATTTTAATCAGTTTTTTTTAATAATTAATAGTACCTTAGATATATTAATTCTATTTAGATTCATTTCTTATTATTTCAAGTTATCGGCCCGAATCAACCGACTACTGAATAAGGAATTTCTTTTTTTTTTGTTTTCCATTTTCTTTTAAAAACCTTGGAATATCCTCCAAGTTAATTTTTTTTTAAAAAAAAATACCAATTTCATTTCTCTTGCTCAATTAAAAAAAAAAAAATCAAATGAATGAAAAGAGTTCTTCAGAATGCCTCAGTACTTTTCCAGCTGATTTGCCTACAAACAAACTTTCTCCAGACATAGAGACTCTTGAAGATGACCCTCCTCACAGCCTCACCCATTCAACTTCTCATATTGATGGGATGCTAGATCCAGTTCCTCCATATGACCAAATCTCCCTTCTACACGAAATTGCATTTGTTTTTGTCATCACATCGGCTCAGATTTTCACCCAAGCTTCTGTCGCCCAAACAATTGTTGCTTATAGAGCCATTGGAAATACCTTTGGCATCTCTTCAATTGGAGAGCTGAGTTGGTACAGTTCTGCTTACTCCCTCACTGTTGGTACTTTTATCCTAATTGCCGGCCGGCTGGGTGACATGTACGGCCTTAAACGAATCTACATTGCAGGAATGCTTTGGTTTGCTTTTTGGTCGTTAGTGTGTGGCCTTGTTCACTACTCCAAATCTTCCATTTTTTTCTCAGTTTGCCGAGCCCTTCAAGGAATCGGACCTGCTTTTATAAACCCCACAGCTGCCGGGATTTTCGGCTCCTATTACCCTGTGGGACCTCGTCGGGTTCTTGTCATGTGTATTTTTGGTGGAGCGGGTCCAACCGGATTTACTATGGGATCGCTTTTTTCGGGTCTCATTACCCAGCTTGGAGGTTCTTGGCCTTGGTTTTTTTATGCAGAATGCATCGCATGTGCTGTTTTTGCCTTGCTCTCCTATTTCTTCATTCCTGCAAATATTGGCCATGTTTGGACTACAAAGCAAACTTTTGATTATCTTGGAGCAATCACAGGAGTCTGTGGTCTCATTCTTTTCAACTTTGCTTGGAACCAAGGCCCCGTTGTAGGCTGGAGCACTCCCTATGTGTATGTTTTGCTAATAGTAGGCGTTCTTTTCCTCGCTCTTTTCCTTTATGTTGAGCACCGTGTTGATAACCCCCTTCTTCCACCAGAAACCCTCCGCGGAGATGCTGGAGCGTTGCTAGGATGTATTGCTGCAGGCTGGTCCTGTTTTGGCATTTGGATATATTATGTCCACAGATTTGGGTTTGAGATCGAGCACAGAACAATGCTGAATATGACGGCACGTCTTTGCTTCATTTGCATCGGCGGCGTATACGCTAGTTTATTTTGTGCGTATCTTCTCCCCCGTGTTAAGACTTCTTGGATTATGCTTATTTCCATGTGTGGCTACTTTTTCGGCAATCTCCTTACTGTTCTCCGACCAGCCAACCAAATTTTCTGGGCACAAATGTTTGTTTCCCTCATACTCATTCCCTTTGGAATGGACATGAGTTTCCCCGCTGCTACAGTCATTCTTTCACAAAACCTCCCACAAGAAAAACAAGGTGTTGCTGGTTCTGTAGTTAATACAGTTGTCAATTATTCTATTTCTATTGGACTTGGAATTGCAGCTACTGTGGAATACTACAGTGAAAAAAATGGCCATTCAGAAAAGCAAGTCATTCGAAATGCTCAATGGACAGGAACAGGTCTCGGAGGACTCGGAGTCCTAATAGCAGCTGCATTTGTTTTTAACCAGGTCATCTGGTCAAGGAAAAAGAAAGAAGAAAAATAACGTAAAATAATATTAATATAATTTGGCTAGTTGAATCTATCCGCACCGCAGATTGTGTCGTCGTTTAAATATTTTAATATCCCTCAGGGATTCCGTAGCAATTTCTGTCAAAGTCAATTTCCTCAAGTGCAAACTTGAGAGACTCAATAAAGTCGTCAAACGGACATAATCCCTCCTTATTAGCTGGGCATGCCTTCAAGCTGCCCAGAGGCAAAACACGGTTGTTAAGCTTGACACGAACAAACTTGCGCATAGCAAATTCATCATTATTAGCATCAGTTTCATCCTCAATCGTTTCCTTCTTGTTGTCTCGGTCAGCAGCTACTGCAATGTCCTCTTCACACGAAAGAACCTCGACAAACAGCCGTGCGCCAAATGGCGCCAACCGTGACACCACAAACTGGCGCGGCGCAAGAATCTTGGAGGACGGAAGGTCTTCCTTCAAAATGTCCAGACCAAGCGCCGTCAGCACAGATACAATGACACTATCATGCGACATATCCAAATAAAGAACTTGATTGGTAGGGAAAACTTCTTCGGACGATGTAAGGGTTGTGTTAACACCCCAGCCAGCTTCATATTCAGTAATGAGCTTGCCCTCAAGACGAGAAACCAACTCATAAACCCAACCAGCACCCTCAGAAGCACCAACAGGGGTACCATGAGAAGCCATACCATAAAAGACAAGGTCGGCAGCATACTCATAACCGCGCCATTCCTTTTCCGTAAACAACTTGCAAAAGGGTGATGAGCCGTATGCAGCAGACTCATAAACACAAATATTTTGCAAGTTATAAATGTCGGTAGGTGTGAGTTGGCCTTCCTCGAGTCCAGAAAAAAGCTTGGAAATTCGAATAACAGCTTCTTCCAAGTAAACGTCAATCCATTCGCGCATCTTACGTCCGCCATCAACATAAGTGGCATTATTGGAGTTGGGACAAGAATAGTAGCCAGCAAGAGTGGCATTATAGCCTGTGGCCTCAGTTTGCAAAACGAGGTTATAAATATCCTTCTTTGGGTTCTTAAGCTTTTCAAGAGACTCCTCAGAACGCTTAGGGTCATGGCCATAAATACCGAAAAACCCAGCAGCCCAAGCATCAGCAGACTGGTGAATGCGTGACTGAGAAGTAGCACGAATAACAACAGGAGGTCTATCTGACCCGTCAGGGTTAACATTCAAAATGGGGTCGTACAAAAATCGGCCCTTGTCCTTTGCGCCAAATAAAAGAACACCGTGAGAAGCCCAAAAGTTGGCACCAGCAGCAAACTCAGTAGCCAAACCGCGAGAGACCAAAAGTTCCTTTCCTAAAGTGTACTCCCACTGTTCCAACCAATCCATAGTCTTGGCCGCGGGCTCCGTCAAATTCTTAAGCTTCTCTGCAGTTTTCGCCATACTGTTTCCAGAACCAGTAGTAGGATACCGTTCGGCATGTCGATGCAAAATATGTACTTGCTTCAACGAGCACTTTGGAGGAAGCTCACTAATCCCCTCATTCACTGAGGAGTCGATACCAGGGAAATTGGCACCGGTATCAAAGTAAGGAGATAAAGTACCCCAATTATTTTTAATGTTAAACCCGGACGGATATGTAAGTCCAGTGGGTGCAACACCAGGAGTCACATTTTTAGATTCAGAAGGACTAGACCACTTTAGCAAAATGAAAAGTGCAATAACAACTAAAATAGGAACAATTATAACCATCGCAATAATAGAAGCCTTTGGGGGTTTAATCGGAGCCCGACGACGACGGTTGTTGCCCGAGGGGCCAAATGAGCTATTTCGGCGAGACTTGCTGGAACGCTTTTTTTCGCCGTTAAGTGGTAACTTTGATGAGCTTTCATAATCCTCGCTGTTTAAGTCGTCAAAAGAGTTTGTGCTCACATTGTATCCCTTCAAAGAAGACTGACTGTCCAAAACTTGAGAGTATTTTGAGTTGTTTAAAGTTTCAATATCGGAGTTGTCGTCACTGTCGATTCCGAATGGGTCCTTTTGGAGTCGAGGAAGCGCAGAGGTGGAATTTGAGCCGGTACGCTCAAGGTCAATGTCTCCCAGAGGTAGTCTGGTAGTCATTTTGTATTAGAAAAATAGAGAGCTATTGAGAATAGTTTGCTGGAATAGAAAGCAAGTTTCTAAAGATTGTTTTGCATTAACTTAAGAAGAATAAGAGGTTAAATAGGAAGAAAACAGGTAGTTATAATTTTTTTATTTTTTATTTTTTATTTTTATTATTTTGTTAATATTGGATGTAACAAGGAAAAGAATCGCCAAGTACTATTCTTTGAGGCACTTGTGCCACACGTGTGGATACTTACTACTTATGCTTACTTTATTTTTCTTATAATTAATATATATGTTATTATTAATACTAGTTACTTAGTCAGGAACGCCCTAACCCATATTATCATTGTTACATTATCATGAGGCTGAGTTGTAATATATAAAGCAATAGTTGTTACAATGAGCTTTTGTAATATTTAGCAAGGTCAAAAAAAAATAAACAAAACCGCCACTAACAAAAGAGAGATAAAATCAACATCATCTTTGGCCCAAAACACCAAAAAAACCATACTCTAAACAATCAATACCTTACAATTATATGCTATAGAATTACATGAATTGATATTATCCCGTTTTGTTTTTTGGCAGGTTTTAATTTATCTTGCTTGTACTTTACTCTGATGCCTCCTGCTCAAAACTCGTCTACAAATTACTACTCTGTCCTCGGAGTTTCTCCTAGCGCATCCTCCGATGAAATCAAAAAAGCATACCGCAAACTGGCACTTAAATACCATCCTGATAAAAACAAAAATGACCCTTCAGCTGCTGACAAGTTTAAGGAAATTCAAAGTGCTTCAGATAATCTCATGGATTCGACGCTAAGGCGGAAACACGATGAAACACTATCACGACCTACTGGATCATCTACAGGATCATCTACTGTCCCACCAATGTACCAACACCGTCCAGCAGGTCCATACCCACACCAGCAACAACAAAATGCTCCTCGACATTCAACTTTCCATCCTAATCCTCAGTTTAAAAGTCATAACTCTAATGCATACCAGTCTCAACAACAACAAACCTCTTCTCGACCATCCCAGTTCCAATCAAATCCCCAATTTAGAGGTCACAACTTTGCATATTACGAATCTTCTCCAGGTGGAACAAGAAGCACATTCACTTCTAAATTTTCTAGCCACTTCCCGTTTGGTGATTCTGCAGAGTCAATCTTTCAAAATATGAGGTTTGCAGATCCATTTAACATGTTCCCATCAACAGGATTTGCTGGTACTACCCATCCAAACTTTGGGGTGGGTAAAGGACAAACTAGGTGGCAATCATATGGAACCTCTAGACCTAGGCAACAACAGCAGCAGCAGCCTCAACAACAACAACAGCAACAGCCTCAACAGCAACAGCAACAGCAACAGCAACAGCAACAGCAACAGCAACAGCAACAACAGCAACAGCAGCAGCAGCAACAACCACAACAGCAGCAGCAGCAACAACAACCTTATGAACCAACTACGTCAAACGAAAGGACTCAACCATATCCAGAGAAAACAACAAATTTTACCAGTACACGTTCAAAAAACGAGTCAAAAACAACGTACTCATATGTTTCACAAAGTGTTCCATCTTTTCGCAAAGCATCAGAATTTGTAAATACTGCGTCAAGTAGTTCTAAATTCAACAGTACATTTACATCTGCTACCCCTTATACCCAATCATCAACTTCATCACCAAATATTCAGATACCTATTCCAAAAAAATCTTCAAAACTTCACACAAAAGCATCTTCAGCTTCTTTAAATTCAGAAGATGAAGAAGATGAAGTGGTAATCACAAAACAGCAGATTCACATTTCAGACGATGAAACAGATGACGGACCCCTTTCCGAAAATGAAGCTGAAACTCAAGGACAACATGGTTTTGATGAATATGAAGATGATTATTTCAGCGAAGAATCAACCTCCCCCTATCCTGTTCAATTTGATTGGGGAGATGAAGAAGATGATGATTATCTTTACGAACAGGATTGTCGTGAAAATTATGAATTTGAAGATGACGATAATGTTCATGATATTTACCATTCTGATTCTGCCACTTATGCCAAGGAACCCCCTAAAAAGACTCATAAACAACGTGCCGAAGAAATCATTGATCTTACAAATGAGGACTCAGATGCTGCTCAACGATCTCGACGCACTTCTGCTCAAGAGCCTCAAGAAAACTGTTCAACGTCAAAACCTTCAGCCACAAGAACCCGAGCAGATTTTGAAGAGTCTTATCAAGATAACCAATTTAAATCTTATTCTCATCAGGAAAAGCGAACCAGGGTTGGAGAAGAGCCAGGAGAATTCAACCAGCCTAATCTTTCTGAACAAAATCAGCAAGCGCCCCCTTTAAAAAGGAATCGAAGTGTAAGCAAGGAGGAAGATATTAATGCTAGATTTAACAACATTCGAATGAAGGCTAGCAATGGAGCAGCAGCAACAGCAGCAGCAATGGCGACAGCAATGGCAGCAGCAGCAGCAGCAGGCAGGCGAGAAGAAAAAGAAAATAGGTCAGGTTCTCCTGTTGTCAATCAAGAAAACATAGCTTCTACTTTCAAAAAAGTTCGACTTGACCCCCCTAATAGAGAACAAGATAGAAACTCTATGTCTCCCGAAAATCCATCGGCATATAATGCTGCTCGAACTGCTGCAGCGGTGGCAGCCTCTCGAGACAATATGAGAGCATCCAATAGAGTTGGAAACAAAAGAGCGACTGAAGACAAAAGGTTTAAAGCTTTTGGTGAAGAAACCAATGGCACTTCTTCATCCAGAAACACATCTCCCAGCAAGGGTGCTAAGCGAGCTCGGACTGCTGATAATAATGGGAGCGATATCAAGTGGTATCCTGATATTAACAATGTCCCTCCATTCACTGAGACTTTGGGAAATTTTGAGATGGATCAAATATCCAAAACAATGGAAAGTGAATTTCCTACTGAAATTTCTAAAGAACAGCAGGCTGAAAACAAAAGAAATGCTTCAAAAATGATTGAATTGCAAAAAAACTATATCTATGGGGAACCAGCCACTCAAAGGCAGCTCATGGGGTTTACTCAAACTTTGCAACGATTTAACGAGACATTATCAAGGAGGAAAAGGGGAAATTTTAGCATTGATAATCTTCTTAAACTGGCATTAGAGAAAGAATCGAGTTCTAATATCATGAGTTATGATTTTGGTATCAACCCAAATATTCTATCTATTGGTCCACCAGTTCCTCCAAAACAACCTCGAGTTTATGCCTTAAAAGACCTCTTTGAACTATTCAAATTCTCTGCAAAGTCATTTGATGATGTCATACCTAATGGGCCTAGTGAATTCCCGAAAAGAGTTTATGATCCTAGAGAGGGAAAAGAGTATGGACTTAGCTGGGCGACAAATCCTCCAAACTACTTTTTTTTGAAAACTGAGGAACTCCAAAATTATGGAGTTAAAATGGTTGAATATATGGCTGAATGGAAAAATTATGCCAGGATCGTTTTAGAATATCAAACCAATCGGTTCAATTCCGAAGAAAAAGTCTTTTTTAAATCCGATGATAAAAGTAAAGTTTTGACAGAACGGCTTGGTTCGACACATTGTTCGGTTCAATATGTTGAGGCTCTTGAACAAGACAAAGTTGTTTATAGGATTTATAGCGATGCTGTTACTGCTCATCATGCTGCGTTAGATAACTATTCGCAGCTTCGTGCGTATTTTTAAAGTTATCAAATTAAGGGAAAAGAATATATAAATGTTCATATAATAAATGGGTTAACTTGGGTGTATTTTTTTTTTTTTTTTCTAAAAGAGGTTCATTAAAAATTTTATGTTTCAATTTACGAACCCTTAGCCTTAATTCTAGTGAAACCATGAAAAGGGTGCTTACTTTCATGCAAAAATTTCCCCCTATAACCTGCCAAAATTTTATACCTAAATTGGAGTATAATTGATACAGTGAGAAATCATGCAACCGTAACCTGAGACTTTTCTGGGTTTTGTATTTTCAAAATCTGGGGTATTTGTAACATTAGATTTCGAATGATGATGAAAAGAAATAAAAAAATAATCCAAAAAATGAATAGGAACAAGGATTATGAAAAATCATAACCATATATTTTTGGCTATTGATATGAAAAATTTGCTTGAATGGTTTAAAAGAATAAATAGAAGAACAGTTTATATTAGTTATAATATTATTTCAATTAATACAAATTAGTTGATCAAAGAATGTCTCTTGTTTCTTTTGTTTCTTCTTCAAACGCTGGAACTGTGTTTCACTAATGCAACCGAATTAATCTGTATCGTTCTTTAGACAATTACCGAATATATTTTAAAAAAAATCAATGTTTCACATTCTCTTATTTTTTTAATCAACAAACCAGTTGGTCATGAATTTTCTAATCAAACAGTAAAAATCTTTTGATTTTGGCTGAACTCTTTCTTTTTTCCTCAAACCCGGAGTTACTATTGAAATTAAACGACAAAAAGACTGTTTTTAAAAACTGACATGTTTCAAACAAAATAAATAAAAGACAATGGTATTTGTGGGTATAAATATTATCAAAAATGTACCAGTTTGATCCCATTTTTGTTTCCTCAAAATTTCTGTCATTCGCTTTTTATACTCTTAGTCACTCGTTTATATTTGTTTTCCTACCCCAGTCATTCGTTTGTTTTTAATCATGAAATTTACTACTTCTGCTGTTATCGCTTTTGCCACCTTGGTCTTAGGTGCCCCAACAAGAATTTTTCAAGAAGTTGAAGATGGAGATGATAATATCCCTGGTGTTTTGTCTTTGGACATGACTAAGTTCGAAACCCCTCCAGAAAGTGAGGCCCTTCGTGCTTCAATGCTTGCCCAAATTCAAGGAAATGAAAATTATTCTGGTCCTCTTGCTGCCGATTTGATGAATCAAGTTACTCATTATTCGGTTAACATAGGTATCGGTTCTGGCAACAAAAAGTATCCTCTCTTAATTGATACTGGATCGTCTGATTTTTGGGTTTCAAATGTCACTTCAGTTGTGGAAGTACCTTATGACTATTTTGGTGATCGATCTAAAACTGTATCCAGCAAGCCATTTCACATTGACTATGTCAAAGGATCAATGGATGGATTTTGGGCAAAAAACTCTATGTTTTTAGGCCGTCAGATTGACAATATTGATTATGCAATTGTGACGCATGGTCAAGATGCACCCAAAATTAGACAGAGCTCGGGAATTTTGGGAACTTCATATTCCTATAAAGGAGCAAAAAACTTACCAGAACGTTTGGCTTCTGACGGTGTTATCAACAAAAATGCATACTCATTGTCACTCGTTGACTACAATGGAGCAAATGGTAATATTCTTTTTGGTGGAGTTGATCATTCTAAGTATACTGGTCAGCTATATACGCTTCCTCGAGCTGACATTCCTGATTACAAAGTCAAGACCTTGTCAGTTAAACTGTCATCAATTACCATAGATGGTATAACAACAAATTTTGACAATGGTGGAATTGTGACTCCCCTGGACACTGGAACTTCCGTTTCTTACCTGCCTCCTAATATCTACAATCAGCTTGCACAAGCTTTTGGAGTCTCTAGCTTTTACTCATCTATTTATGGCGCCCCAAGCTTTGACGTTTCCCGTTATGGAAACAAGGAAGTGACATTTGATTTTAACGGAGCCAAAATCAAAGTCAAAGGATCAGATTTGGCTATTAGTTTCCGAGATTTGACAGGTGTCGATAGAGGCAACATTAAAATCTTTGGCCTTTTCAGTAATGAAAACTCAAAAGGCATTAGCATTCTTGGTGATACATTTTTGAGATCAGCTTATATCGTGTATGACCTTGATGGTGATACAATTTCCTTGGCTCAGGCAAATAAGACCCCTGGCAGACCAATGATTGAGCCAATTGTGGACGCTGTTCCTCGTGCCATCAAATTGACCAAATCTATATAATTTTTGTTTTGTAAAGTTTTATTCAGTAATTAACTTATGACTGTACCCACAAAAAACAAATATCACATTTTTAAATAAAAAAACATTGTTCTTTTCCTGAATGACTTTATATAAAAAATATTATTTTGGCCATTGATACTATTGAAAATTTATAAAAATCTTTAAAACTGCAATTTTGAATGCAAATCTTCATTATGTTTTTTTTTATTTTCAACTAATCAAATTTTAAGATATCAGGGCTTAGAATAATGTCTCACTTTCTTCTCCTGAATGCAAAACGAATTATTAAGAAAAGTGTCATTGGAAATTAAAATATGATGATCCGTTTCAGATATTTCTCTAAAAATTGTGTGCGACCCTTTAAATCGAGGATAGATAAACGATATATCTGACTCTCTGCTGTGGGAGCTTTGAATAATAAAACAAGTGGCTTTTCTATAAAAAAAAAAAAAGAATACTACAAAACCTTTAATTTCAAGAATTGTTTGAAAAAAAAAAAGACTTTTTAATTATACTTTTTACATTTCAGAATTATTGTTATTGCGACCTATTCAAATAGAGAAATATATAAAGACGTAGTTTCCATATGTACTTAATTTTTCTCCCAATTACATACATCTAATCTTTTTAATGAAACTATCATCTGGACTTGCTGCCGCTGCATTTTTTGGTTTGGCGCTTAGTGCGCCTGCTCATCGCCCAAAATTTATGAGAAGTCGGGAAAACTCAGCAGGCATGCTTTCCTTAGACGTTACCAGACGCGAAACTCCAGTAAGTGTGTCTACTCTTAAAGCTGCCATGCTAGCTCAAATGAACGCTGATATTGGTAATAAATCAAGTTTGGATGATTCGTTGTTTACAGTTGACTTGATGAATCAAATTACACACTATAGTGTGAATATTGGAATTGGAACCAATAACAAACAGTACCCATTACTTATTGATACCGGGTCATCAGATTTTTGGGTATCCAACTCAACGGATATTGTTGACATTCCATACGACTATGCCAGTGATAAATCTAAAACCTTGACAACTAAGCCATTTCATATCGACTACGTGAAGGGATCCATGGACGGGTTTTGGGCTAAAAATACAATGTACTTTGGCTCCCGTATTGACGATGTGGACTATGCTATTGTTCACAAAGGCGTTGATTCACCCAAGATTCGTCAAAGTTCAGGTATCTTGGGTACATCATATTCTTATCGTGGTAATAAAAATTTGCCTGAACTTTTGGCTTATCAAGGACTTATCAACAAAAATGCATATTCTCTTTCATTAGCCAACTTTAATGGATCTAATGGAAATCTATTGTTCGGAGGTGTAGATCATTCTAAGTACACTGGTGACTTGGTGACAGTTCCACGAGCAGACTTTGAAAATTCGCGTCTTAAAACTCTCTCTGCAAAGTTAACTTCTCTTAATATTGACGGTAAGAGTTACACTATCAATGGTGATAAAGGTATTGTAGCACCGTTAGATACGGGCACAACATTAAGTTATCTTCCGAGTGATATTTATAATCAACTTGCATCAGCTTTTGGCGTTAACAGTGTTAATACGCTTGTCTATGGTGCCCCATGTTTTGATGTATCAAAGTATGGAGATAAGGAGGTGACTTTCAACTTTACTGGAGCTTTAATTAAGGTCAAGGGATCCGATCTTGCACTTGATTTTAAAGATTATACTGGTGTTGATCAAGGAAACATGAATATTTTTGGTATTTGGAGTAACACATATACGCGCGGGTATAATATTCTTGGAGACACATTTTTGCGATCAGCTTATATTGTTTATGATTTGGATGGTAATACCATTTCTTTAGCACAGGCTAATCGGAACCCTGGTGCACCCGATATTGAAGTTATTTATGATGATATTCCTGGAGCTATCAGTGTTTCTGAATTGTAAGGTAGAAATATTTCATTTCGAATTTGATTTAATATATATATTTTTTCCTTTTTTTTTTCTTTAAAATAAATCATTAAAATTAAAAAGCTAAAAAAGAAGCCAAAAATTTTTTTTTCCCAAAATGGACAAGTTGAAAAGTTGAAAATGATGCAAGTACCTCGGCTCTTTAAAAAAATTTTTTTCATCAAAGATAATTAATTACCTCACAATCGGTAGTAACACAGCCAATTACTAAAATCAATAGACTAAATTCGGACTTTGAAAAAAAAAAAATTTAAAAATTTAAAAATTTCATGAAAAAAAAAATTAAAAGAATTTTGTGATTATTTGAATGAGAAAGAACTTTTTATTTATTATTTCAGTTGAGTTTGCTTTCAAATTTATTCTTCGGGTCGTCACGTAACTTGCCACTGTTAAACCCCAAGCTAGAGTGGCTTATATAATCTTAATTTAGAAATTAACAAGTTTAAAAACCTTAACAGTTTTTTTTTTTAAGAGCCCCTCTTTTTTTTTTTTTTTTTCCCTCTCTTTTTACCTCCTCCTTTTCTTTCCTTTCTCAAATCACCAACTAGGACCTTTTGTTCTACTACCGCCACCAAATATCCCATTCTTCTTGTTTCGACACACCAATTCTTTGTCTTGAAAAAATCACTTTTTCTTACTGATGCTGTCATATAGACATACCGGCAATTGAACCTGTTTGTTTTACGAGCGGCTCTGCTTTTGTTTTTCCTAATACATTCCTCCGCAGTCTCCCCGCACCCCGCGTGTGCGTCCCTGAATTCGGCCCGCTATACAGTATAATTACAAAAACTTTGAATATTCGCCACCAACATTTTTTTCTCCATTAATTCTTTTGTGATCTCGTACTACACAAATGTCTTTATCAACTAACTCTGGTGCCGCGTCCACCGCTGCAGCAACTTCAAACACCCCACAACAGCAAGATACATTACTTACTCAACAACAAAAGGCTTTTGATACATTATCCCAAAACAATGCAGGTATTTCGAATTCTGATGCAAACTCTGACTCCCAAACATATCTACCAGGAGAGTCTGCCGGTGACACACCTGCTACTTCGAATGGTAAGAGTAGCTTTCGACGCGTCAAGTCGCGTTCTGCCCGCGCTTGTGAAGTGTATGTTATATTTTAAAAACTCAAAAAAAAAAAAAAACATTTTATCTAACATCTTGAAGATGCCATGATCGCAAAGTTCGCTGCGATGTCATGGTTCATATGCCATGTACCAACTGCGCAGCTTTTGGTGTCAAATGCCGGATACCTGAAATAAAGCGCCGTAGAACTTCCAAAAAAGGGTATGTGAATTTCTTAATTTTGTTTTGTTAAAATCACTAAACTTACTTTTTTTTTTTCAATTTAGAACAAAAAAGGGAAAAGATGATGAAAATATACAAGAAGACTCTGCTGACACTCCTAGAAGCTTCAGCGATAATACTTCTCAGCAAACCTCAACAATACCTGTTGCTGGAGTTACCAATGACAATTCTACCGGACCCGCTGCATCAGAAGCTTCATTTGCAGATACTACCATACCCACCCCTACAATTATTGCACCTCCTGTTGCTTCTACTGTTACCGCTTCCCCTCCAGTTCCAATCTCAGACATTATTTCCTCGACTCCGGTAGTAGCTACTGCTCAAGAAAAGCAAAATAAACACACTTTACCTTCTAACAATGTCATACCTCCATCTACAGAGCCAAAAACTAATAACGATACTATGGACTCGAGTAAATCATCAGTAACACCAGCTCCAGAAGCTGACAAATCCGGAAAACCACAGAGAACAGATGGAAAGTTTAATGATGCACCACCTCGACCAGCAACTCTTTCATACCTTTTACATGCTGCCTCTCTTCATGATTCTGGTCGCGTTGCCTTTCTCGGATCTTCTTCAAATATGAGTCTCCTATTGGAGCCTCAAGGTTACGACACATATCATTTCCCCTTACCTGAAGAAATTTCAGGTACCTCCTCTCGTCTTAATGAGATGGATAATGAAGAAATTGAGATTCTTAAGTTTAGAGGTGCTTTTTTACTTCCACCAAGAGACTTGTGTGATGATATTGTTGAGGCATACTTTGAAAAGATTCATCCAACAATACCATTGGTCAATAGAACTCAATTCATGCGACGCTATAACGATCCATCCAATCCACCATCTCTTTTACTTCTACAGGCAATTTTACTTGCAGGTTCCCGCGTATGCCGCAATCCTGCACTTTTGGACTCTACTGGGTCATCAGAACTTGCAAGTTTGACATTTTACAAGCGAGTAAAGGCCCTTTACGATGCCAATTATGAAACTGACCGTATTGCAATAGTCCAAAGTCTTGTCTTGATGGGCTGGTGGTGGGAGGGCCCAGAAGACGTTACTCGCAACTCGTTCTATTGGACTCGAGTTGCACTTAGTGTCGCACAAGGTTTTGGTCTTCACCGGAGTGTTGAAAAAACATCTATGGCACTTGTTGATAAACGAATGTGGAAACGAATATGGTGGTCATTATTTCTTCGTGACAGATCTGCTGCTGTGGCTTTGGGTCGTCCAGTTCTTATTAATCTAGAAGACTCCGATGTTCCCATGATCACAGAAGAAGACTTTAACGAAGATGAGCCCGGCATGCCATCACCTTACCCACCAAATCGTATCCACTCTCTCTTTTTCATTCATTCCGTAAAGCTTTCTGAAATCATGGGCTTTGTTCTTAGGCAACATTTTTCTGTTGACGCTGAAAATATGCGTCGCCGCAATAAGGTTCCCTCTGTCAGTCACTGTGATATGGCCATGGTAGCCTGGATGCAAAACCTTCCAGAAGAGCTCAAATATAAAGTTCGTGACAATGCCAATCACAACTTTTTTAAGGCGTTGCTTCATGCTCAATATTACACTATTTTATGCCTAGTGCATCGCTCCAACATTTTACACGAAAATAGTGCACATTCACCATATCCTTCATGGGGTATTGCATTCCAGGCGGCTCATATGATTGCCAAAATCATGGAAAACATGCTCGACTATGATGAGCCTCGTGATTGCCCTGCATTCTACGTCTACACATTATTTTCTGCAATGATTATGCTCATTTACCAAACGGAATCTCCAATTCCTGCAGTTGTGGAGTCTGCTCGAAAAGCATTGGCCATTTGTTTCCGTGCTCTTAAGGAGCTGGGTCGCACATGGCTGGTTGGTAGAATGGTGTTAAAACTGTTTCACCAGCTTAACGAAAACAAAAGTTTGCGCGATCATTTTGTTCGATCTGCCCGTGGTGCTTCTGGCTCTTCAGGGCAGCGTTCATCTCGAAAACGTGACGCTGCTCGTCAAACAACTAAAAATTCTACTGCCACTCCTATTACCACACCTGCTACTGCTGCTCAATCTTCTGTTCATGTACCCCCAACAGCTGCTACATCTTCTACTGCAACTGCAACTACAACTGCTACTGCTCCTGCTCTTGCCGTACCTCAACAGCCACCTACGGCTACCAACTCAGCCGCTCCTACATCTCGCGGAAAACGCAAATTAGAAACTCAAGGACCAAACGCCACCTATCCATCAAAAGCTTCAAAGTCAAAATCAAGCCTTGCTGCACCAATTAACTCTGTGGACCAAGGAGTTGCAGATCTCAATTCTCAACCAGGATCTAACACTACATGGACGTCGTTTGATGGGAACTCTGGCTCAAAATCCTCTCCAGCAGCTGCTGGAGCTAATCACGTCTCAACACCCCCGGTTGGCGCTGCAGCTCCAATGAAGGCAGTGTCTCAGTCTTCTAATAATGCCCACCGGAAACCTTATAATCTTCTTTCTGGAGAACATCAGCCTGCCTCACCTGATTTTGCCTTTGTAACCAATACACCACCACAAGCTGCGACATTTTACGAAAATTTTCAACCGTCACAATTATTCCCGGAGCCACAAGATTCGTCTGATGGTGGCGCCTCCGTTGCAGGGCCTGGAGGGACTGCTGTAGAAACAATGGCATTGGGTGCAACATCTAATATAAACGTTAGTGGTAGTGGACCCGGCACCATCGATTCTACTGCTGGACCTGGGGTTAAATCAATTGATAACGACATGTTACTTGGTAACTCTGGCTCGCTTTCTGGGTTTGTATACGACCAAGCAGGACTTACTAATAATTTGCCACCTAATGTTGGAACAAGTGTGTCGCCAAGTGACTATAACTCCAGTGATTACAACAAGTCTTCGCCCAGAGATGATTTGGGACTTAACGGACTTGCTGGGCTTGCTGGCTTGAGCGGTTTTGGTGGTTCTTTTTCACAAGGTCATAATGGCCGAAACCCTGGCAATGGGAGTAACGGCTCTGGAGGAAATGGGTTTTGGAATGGCAGCGGGCCTTCGTTTGGTGCTGGAATTGGGGGAGGTGGCTCCAATGGAGGTAGTACCGGTGGGTTTGGTGCGCCGAGCTCGCTCAACCTTGGTGACTGGTACACATACCTGGTTTCCACTTTTCCCGGAGTTGAAGACGTTGAAGGAGGGACTCCTGCGACCTTTAACAATACTACTCATTCAACAACAGCTCCATCGAGTACCACGGTACCTGATTCTGGGGTTTTACTAAAAGCTGAGACGGGTTCTGATGAAAATGAATCCAAAAAAATTGATTAAAAGAGTTTTTTTCGCCCCTCTTATCTTTTGTAGATATTTGACACTTCCATCCATAATAACTGTTCTCCTTTTTCGCTACTTAACTAGTTTTCCGCTACTTAACTAGTTTTCAGAAGAAGGAAAAGGTGTTAAATAGTCTTGCTTTTATCTTTATGATGTCGAATTCAATGGAATTATTGAGCAGACTAATAACGCTACGAAAAGGAAGTTTTTGAAGATTTCTAAGCGAGCTTCTTTGAAAACACGTTATGAAAAGTGGACTGGTTATTTAAGGCATTTGTATATAGATTTTTTTTTTCCCTCGGTGTTTCTATTTTTCTCATGCATTTTTAATGACATTCTTTACAAAAATTTGATATTTGCTTTCTCCTCCAAAAAAAAAAAATGAAAAAAATTCAAAAATACTTTAAATTTAATAAAACTTCATCATTATTCTTGCTGAGTTTACAAGCAAAGTCAATTTTTTTTGGCTGAGATTTGAAATTTACTTTTAGAATGCTAATAGGATATTACAAATATTTAGCATTAAAGCTTATTGTCAAAAGCATTGCCATTGCTAGAAGCTATTGAACACTTACTTGGTTTCCAAGTATTGCTCGTATTGACTTTAAAAAACAGCACATCCATAAGAATTTTAATACTGAGATCAGTCAAACAGTCACAACATAATAATAAAAACCTATAACCATATAAAAGAGGAGGGACTCGATCCTTTTTTTTTTTTATTCTTTCCTAATCTTTCTTGTTATCCTCATCGTTCAACCCAGAACTCTGTCTCAAAAACGGATTGTTACTAGAAAACGAAGACACTGAGGAAGTAACTCCAGTAGAAACCTCGGGCACAACCTCGTGGCCTTCTAGATATTCCACATGCTCATCCTCGTTCATGTCAATCAGATCATGATGCGCCGATGGCGACACAGCTTTACCGCAAAACTCATCGGAAGAGTCTTCAGAAACTCTGGAAAGAGTTCCAAAATGGTGGCTGGTCCCAGTGCTATTGCTGCTCGGGGTGCTTACTTCGCCTTCAATGCTCTGGGTTGCAGCTCGGCTTGCCATGTTGTCTCGGTTAGCCTGTTGCTGCATCTGTGCAATGAGCGAACGCCGATCCCGCTCTAAAAACTCAGCTAGCCCAGCAGGCAGATTTCGATTCAGTGTAGTTCCTGCCCATGCCACGTCTTCTGTGGCATAAATCAAAACAGTTCCTACGGCATCCGAGCGTGTAGAACCCCGCTTCACAATATCAAGCATCTCAGGAACTCCAATGCGCGAGACGTTTGGCACGCCAGCCAAATTAGATTTAGGACCAGGACTAGTGTCATACACATGGTACCACTCGTAATCGTTTTGCGATAAACTCACTGCAGTTTGTGTGCTGTCTGAAGATACTGCTGCAGTAGAAGCTGCTGACTCGGCGCCGCTGTCATCCATAAGCATCAAGTCGTCGTTAGTAGCATCAGTAGAAGCAACATTCGATCGACGGAATGGATTGTTGCTACTTGTGTTGTGGGTGTGATCCAAATCATCCATGTCCTCAAGATCTTCATCTTCGTCCTCGTCAGCCATAATGAGATCAGGAATCTCGTCACAGTGTGGCCGTGTCTTGACACAGAAAAAGTACTCAGTAGGGCTCATGATAATTCCGCTTAGGCGATACATTCGGAGTGCAGGAGGATCTAGCGACAAGCCTGCTGCTGCTGCTGCAATGGTTTCGGTATTATCATCGATGACAGGAGTGGAAGACTCTGAAGAGGAGTTAGAATCTCCTTTATTGTTTACATGATTTGGAATGCCACCAAACACAACCTTGAGTGTTTCTTTGTCGTCATCACTTCCCTTGAAAAGTGCCTTTTGAAGCTTGATAAGGTGTTGATGGTACTGTGTTTCCTCCAGAAGAGCTTGCTTCTTAGCATTAAACTCGGTGCTTGCGTTTTCAATTTCCAAAGCAGCATTACTTAATCCTTCTAGATCAAATTTAAGATCAACTTCTTTGCCATTCACAATTGCAGATTGGATGTGATCCTCCTTTAATTTGCTTGACTCCAAGTCACGCAAGTACTTGGCTGTAAGATTAAGAATTTTTGACGTGTCGCGAGACCGGAATGCCGACATGTCAAACTTCTTGCGTGTCAATGTAGAGATGGCGTTGCGACTCTTTTTGCTTAAGTCAAACAACTTGCGCATATAGGGAATAAGTGGCTTCGTGTAGCGGTCCGGGTAAAAAGTCAGCGGAATCTCAATGCCAGCACCAATTCTTGTGTCTTCACGTTTCAGTGTGATGGTGATAATATCGGAAATGTGCGAAAGGTAAGATGAAGGTGGTTCGGTGACACCCCAAATAAGCTCATCAACAAGATCATAAAGAGTATCATTTTCAAGGGCAGCCGAAACATCAATGACAAAATTGGCAAAAGGCTTTTCTGGCGGGTACTCTGTTGTAGTTATGGAGGTATCAGAGTCAGTGGGGCTCTGTGTAGGAATAGTGGCAAAAGCTGTAGAGAGTAGGGGCTGTTTGTCACTGTATTGCAATAGATCAAATAAAATCTGGCCTACTGGGTGGTTCATTGAAGAATCACCACGAAGAGCTGGAACAGAGTCGAAAAAAATACGTTTGGTAAGATTATTAATGCTGGCAAAGGGGCGTCTAGAAGAGCCCTCCAAGAATGCAATTAAACGCTGAGTTTCGAGCATGAGAAGAGCTTTGGCCGAATATGCAATGTCAGGTGTTAAAAGTGACTTTGTGTTGATGATTTCGCCCTTCCACCAGTCATTATCAAAGCCAAAATCTGGGGTAATATCTTTAAAATCGTTTAGGAGGGCCTGTCGAGCCAAGGGAATTTTTTGTAGAATGACAAGAAGTGGAGCCATGTAAACACCAGCAGCATTAGGAATAAGTAAAGGAAATCTAAAAAAAAAAAAAAAAAAGCGTTAAAAAAATAACCAAACTCATTTTCAAACTATTAAAACCACGCACTCATCATTTTTGCGGAACCGTGGAGGTTCATCAGAGAAATTTGTTAAGGATTTTTCGGAAGTCACTAACTGAGAATTCGAATTGCTTCCAGCAGGCACAATCCCCCACTTATTTTCTTCATAGTTATCACGAGTAGCTGGTCCAAACTTGTTGCTGCTCGTATATGTGGGCTGGTTGTATTCATAAGGTGTATTTCGTGAAGGAAGTGAATGAGGTAAAAGAGAGCCGGTTGTGACTCCTGGAGATGCTGGCGGCGCGGGTGGAGTAGATTTTGCTGTTGGGGTATTGTCCGTCGCTGAGAATAATAATCCTGATTGGTTTGGATTACTCTGCTTTGTTTCTGACGACGATTGGGTATTTGTGGGTCCGTCAATAGAAAAAACACCATTGTCTTGGTTTTCTCGTCGGCTAAGGAAATCTTGTGAATCGACAGCTGTGTAACCCGAACCGCTATTATAAGATTGCATAGACTCCTCAATAGCGCGCTGCAAATTGGAATAGCTACTGTTATCGTCATCATCAGCATTAATGTCGCCGTCTACATCGACCAAGCGCTGAGTACTACCTGCAGAGTCAGGACCAACGACTGTTCCACTACTAAGACTAGAGTCAGCAACAGTAGAAGATCTAGAAGTGACTGGTGCTGATAAGGCCGGTTCTATAACTATTGGGGGATTGAAAATGTAGTCCATTGCTTTGCAAATATCATTGTTGGCGTACTGTGATTGTTAGTACCATGAGCTTAAGAGATTTAACAAAAAAAAAAAAAATTGGTCTTTACCTTAAGAGCCTCAACCGCAGCTTCGCGAGCAAACCCCATTTCTTGAATTTGCTTGACGCCGGCTTCAAACTCAGCGGAATAGTTACTCATTTTTGAGATCAGATTATGTTGGTTTGATAGTAATAATTAGTGGTGGTGGCGGTTAGGTATGAGGGCTGAGTTTTGTTTTGGGTGGAAGGTGTGTCTGTAGTTATTTGCTTTAGTATAGAAAATATAATATGGGTTAGGGTTTTCTAAAGTTATTTAATCTCCAACATAGGGTTTTAAGCATTACGAGACAAGAAGTTTTTTGAATTAAAAGTTATTAATAAATTATTCTGTTTTTTAATTATTTTTTTTCATAGTATAATATATATAATACGACATTCTTCACGTCTTTTGTTATCCAAATCCTCCTTCACTTGTTTCTTATTTTTTTTCCTCCAATTAATTACATTTAAGAAAGCCATTTGAGATCAAGAGAACCGCTACCTTCACGGTTGGCAGTCTCAATGTAGCCGTAAATGGTGGTGACGGCAAGAAGAATACCAGTGCCGCTTCCAAGAGTTCCCAGTAAATCACTGCAGACTGAGAGAAGACCAATGGTGGCACCACCAAGAGCAGCAGCGGTAGGGATAATCTTCTTGAGTTCACGGTAAACAGAAGTCTCACGGCGGCCGGCAATGACAATGCCCTGATCCTTGAATTGACGAGCAATATCGCGAGGGCTAGTGCCAGAAATCTCAATCCAGGTGGTACTGAAGACGGCACAGAAACCAAGAACAAAAGCAATGTAGATCACAGTCTTAATAGGGTCCAAAATGGCATCAGTAAGGTTGAGAGGGGGCTGCATATAGTAAGCGATACCGGAGCTGGCAAAAAGCTGGGAGCTACCAGGGCGGGCCTCCCAAGTACCAAGAAGACGAATGAAAATATTGTCAGAGAACTTGTTGTAAAGCATCTGAGAAATGATAAAGATGTTGGAAGTAAGGGCAGACTGGAGCATGATGGGGGTGTTGGAGGTGTAGAAAAGCTTGATTGGGAAAGAACCGTGGGGGCCGCGAGCCTTAGTGGACTTGATGGGGATCTCGACACGGAAACCCTGAAGGTAAACAACGGCAAGGAACATACCAATGGTGGTAATGAGCTGGGACATGTTGGGGTGGTCAGCTCTGAAGAAAGCCTCAATGAGAGCCTGCTTCTTGTTTTTTCTGGTAGCCAAGAGGTGGACAAAGGCAACAACAGCACCCTCAAACTCGTAACCACGACCAGAGTTGACAACGGTGGGGGAGAAAGCTTTCCAAGTGATTTGCTCGCAAATATTGGTGGCGACAAAGAGAGAAATACCGGAACCAAGACCGTAGCCCTTTTGCAACAACTCGTCAAGAAGAATGGCAACGAGACCAGCAAAAACAAGTTGAAGAATCAAGAGAGCGCAAACACCAAAACCAAGTTCGCTGGGAGGGCCATACATGCCGGTAGCGACGTAAACAGTAGCCTGACCAAGAGAAATAATGATAGCAAGAAGTTTCTGGGAAGTCTGGAACAATTCTCTGTCATTCTTGTTTTCCATATTGACATCGAGAATGTGGGTACCAACAAGCAGTTGGAAAATCATGCTTGAAGAGACAATGGGGGTGATACCGAGCTCCATGAGGGTACCTCTGTTAGAGGCAAGCATCATTCTGAGCCAGTAAAGGGGATCACTGGAATCTGAAGAGACAATGCCGTAAAGAGGGATCTCACTCATGACGAGGAATATCAGCAGAGTGACGACTGTCCATATTAACTTTTGATTGAAGGGGACCTTGCGCTCTGGAGCTGCAACCTCAGGAAGAAATGGGGTGAAAGGCTTCACCAGATCAAGAAATCTAGCTGTAAATGGACAGGTGTTAGGAAAAAAGAAGGTTGATGAAGGAGTTTTTTCATATGCTGGGGCTTACCACTCATGTATTATGTCTTTTATATATGGTTATGATGAAAAATCAAAGAGATCGGTGGGGTATCAAAGTCGTAGTTTTGAATTAGAATTGAAAAAAACTAAGACTGCTTATAGTCAATCGCTTGAGATCAAGTGAGATTTGTTTGCGATATTGATCAGAAGGCTTAGATAGATGGATGGGTTAGTTTGAAAAAAGGTTTAGAATCTTTCTTGGGGGGAAGAAAAGGGAAGGGTTTTGTACGACTGTAGCAGGAAAGAAAAAGAAAAAGCGACGTGTTTAGTTAGAGGCGCCCGAAATTTTCATTTACCAGATAGATGTCACGTGAGTAGATTGACACGTCAACGTGTGGAAGATTTGGAAGAAAAAAAAAGATGACTGATCAATTATGTAATTTGACAGTTTTATCCAGAATTGTGCTCTTTTTCCCTGTATATATATGGTGAAAAGAGAAAGAAAAGCTTTAAGAGCTCAAAAGGTTCAGTTAATCAAAGTTTTTTTTTTTTTTTTCAAATAGGAATGTAGTTCAATTCTAATTGAAACCAATTATTTCAAATAATTTCAATATCCATCAAATACTACCTGCCGCATACTTGCGTTTACTTTTGTGCAGGTCCTCACTGGAATCTGCGAGCCGCACGTTTCTTTGTTGACAACTTTCTTCCCCTCAAAAAAAAAAACAACTTTACTTGCCATAAAATATATATTTTGTTCTGAAAAAAAAAAAAAAAAAAATCAACAAACAATGGCGGCTCTCGAGTGGACTAAAATAGCCTTGGATCCAAAGGTATTGTTTCTTCTCACTTTAAAAAAAAAAAAGGCTTACTTGGCTAACCCAGATTAAAGGAACTGTCTTTGTCAAAGGTACTGCGGTGCGGCCAGTCGTTCAGGTCAGTGATCTTTTGGTCTTGATAACCCCAGTCAAGCTTCTAACAAACAGCAGGTGGAGGAACATTGACAATATCTGGTCCATCGGAATCAAAGGTCGGATTCTTTTTCTTAAGCAAGATGACTCTCATCTATATTATAGTAGCTCAAATAGTTCTATTTCACAGTCTCTTTCCACAGGCGATCTTGTTAGCGACTATTTCAATCTGAAAGTCTCTGTGGCTGATCTCTATAAGCAATGGTCTTCTAAAGACCCGCACTTTCTCAAAATGACCACTCCAATAAAGGAAGAAATACCCATGCTAACTTCAACAGCCTCTCCCTCGTTATCTGGTATAAGAATGCTTCGACAAGATCCTTGGGAATGTTTATGTTGCTTTATTTGCAGCTCTAATAACAACATCAAGCGCATTTCCCAAATGGTAGAAAATCTGTGTCGCCATTTTGGTGACCACTTGGGAACCCACGCTGGAATCGATTATTACGATTTCCCCACCCCAGAAAGTCTAGCTCCCAAGGATGTTGAGCAAAAACTCCGTGATCTTGGGTTTGGGTATCGGGCAAAGTACATTCAACAAACGGCAGAAAAGCTGGCCAAATCTGATATCAACACGCTATTGTCACCTCTGGATGACGACAGCAGCGCTCAGACTAAGGTTATTCTGTCTGGCACTGAGTACCTTCATGCCCTGAGACTAGCTCCTTATAAACGCGCGCATTCTGCACTTCTCCAGTTCACAGGGGTCGGACCTAAAGTGGCAGACTGTGTTTGCTTGATGAGTCTTGATAAACACGATTGTATTCCAGTCGACACACATGTCTGGCAAATAGCAAAACGTGATTACAATTTCAAGACGAAAAAAACAAGTGGTGATAAAGCAACTGCACTAACAAAAGCTGAGTACGAAGAAATTGGGATATTTTTCAAGAGCCTTTGGGGAGAGTTTGCAGGCTGGGCTCATTCGGTGCTCTTTACTGCAGATCTCAAGGATCTTAATAATGGCATCAACGGTGTTGAAGAAGCCACAGCAGGCAAAGCTACCAAACGTAAACGTACAAAAACAGAAACTATTCAAAATCCTAGAAAACTTAAAGTTGAAAAGCACATAGAAGATACCCTGGTTGATGAGCCCAAAGTCTCTTCGAGCACTCGTGAGCAGCGACTTCTCAATCGGCGCAAAAACCTATACATAGATCTAAACCCCTAACCCTGAATTTAATAAACCTCCACAAAAAGTAAGAAAAATAAAATATCACCATCCACAAAGCCCGAGATAAAAAAAAAATAAAAACGACCCTCTCTCTCTAAACAACTAAAAACTCAATCCTTAACTCACTCAATGATCCGCTCCGCTTTAATCAAAAGACCCCCACTATTTCTGTCTCGACGCCAGCACTCGTCTGTGACAACTGCAGGCTCTGCTTTGGATGCATATAAAATCCAAGCATCGGTCCCGAGACTCTCACTACACCTGCTTCCTGGCGAACAGGAGTCTGCCGAAGACCCACTGGTGCGCTACGGTTATGTGCGCCAAGTCTCGGCCGGCAGCTACCATCTGCTGCCACTCGCGCACATGGTTCAATCAAACATTGCAGACCTTGCACGCCGTCATATGGTATCTGTTGGCGGTGTCGAAGTGTCGCTGTCTTCTCTCTCGAGCCCGGCGCTCTGGGAACGCACGGGTCGCGCGGCCAACACAGAGCTGTTTAAAATCAAGCATGAGGATGGTACATCAGGTGAAAGTGAATCTGCTCGTGTGCAATATATTCTTGCCCCTACTCACGAAGAAGAAATCACAAATCTTGTGGCTACAAATATCGCTGCATCAAGACGCAAACTTCCGTTAAGACTCTTTCAAATTACCCGCAAGTACCGCAACGAAAAGCGGCCACGAGGTGGACTCCTTCGTGGACGTGAGTTTCTCATGAAGGACATGTACTCGTTTGATGTTACCCAGGATGATGCACACCGTACTTATGATGAGGTTGCAAATGCATACCGCGCATTTTTTGAAAGCATTGGCGTCCCATTTGTGGTTGCGGAGGCCGACTCAGGGTCTATCGGTGGCTCACTTTCCCACGAGTACCATTACCTTTCGCCGGTCGGCGAAGATAATGTGGTAACATGCCACACATGCAAATACACTGCCAATGTCGAGAAGGCTCTTGCGTTCCCACCTGAGGAAGAGGATGGTGCATTTATGGGTGAAGCGGCAGTACAATACTTTTTGAGCGACGATAAAACAACCCTGGTGGCCGCATACTACCCCCCAGACCGCGAGTTTAGCCCTCTGCATTTGCTCGCCGAACTTCCGGAAGATACCATCAACGCCGAGGCCGAGTCGACTGGCATTGAAGTTGCTGAAGAGTTTGCTACTCAAGCCAAGGCTGATGACGACGAGGGGCTTTTTACTCGCCGGTTGATCCGAGTCATGGACGCACGACTCTCGCGTGAAACAAACCTCCCCAGATTGCCCTTCCACGCAAATAAAGGCACAACCACAACCATGGTGGACGTGCCACTGGTCATGGCACAAACCGGCGACCTGTGTCCATCTTGCGATGATGGTAAGACCCCACTGGCCGTCGCCAAGGCGGTCGAGATTGGCCACACTTTCTATCTTGGCACAAAGTACAGTGCCCCCCTCAATGCAACGGCCCGTGATCCTGTGTCTGGGAGCCTTGTTCCCATTGAGATGGGCTGTTACGGCATTGGAATTTCGCGGTTGCTTCCCGCCATCGCCAGTATCACTGCTGACGCTGATGGTCTTCACTGGCCCGTCTCTATTGCGCCGTATCATGCAATCGTCGTATCGAAAGATGCAGAGGCTGCTACAACCATTGTCAAGGAACTGAGGGCTGCTGGGGTTAATGCTGTGTGGGATGATCGTGAGGATGTGTCATTTGGCGCTGCTATGCGCGATGCTCGTGCACTCGGATTCCCTGTGACTTTGATAGCTGGTAAACAGTATGAAAAGAGCGGTCTTGTAGAGCTACAGCCCAGAGACTTGTCTGTGCAGCAACTTAAAGAAAAGAGAGGTGATGCTGCATTCCAAAGTTCTGTGAAAGATTTGCCTGCCAAAATCAAAGAGCTTCTTAAGTTGTAACTTTAACCGAGAAGTTTGTAACCTTTAAAATATTTGGTGGTAATTTTGTAAATATAAAATTTTGATTTAGACTTTTTTTTAAACTATATAATATTTATATTTTTTTTCTTCTTTTTTTTTTCTTTTACGTTTTTTTAACAAAAATTATTTTCAACAAAAATTATAACTTATTCTTTTTTTTTCTTTTACTTTTACTTTTACTTTTGCTTTTCTCATTTCAGTCATTGCGATGCATAACCTCATTAGAATCGTTAACATTAACAGTCGTATTCACATCAGAGTCTCCGAGCTTAGACCCAATGACCCCAGCTCCAGTTGTTGCTCCTACTGCAGTGGCTGCTGAATTAGACGTAGATGAGCTACTCTCCTTTCCATTACCACTGCCTCCATTTGCAACATCCTTCTTGGTCATCTCCGAGTCAGGCTTGGAGCCTTTTTGTCCGTCAAGGCCATTCTGGATGCTCTTCACACTGGGTGATGGACTAGTGCTCCCAGTGCTACCACTGCTCGAGGCAGCAATTGAGTTCCCAGAAGGCGTCGTCATCGTAGTCGTTGCGTTATTATTGTTATTGTTGTTCGTCGCATTCGTGGTCGTGATATTCGTTACAGAGGGAGCCCGAGATAATCCCGAGCCTCCCGTCGTCGTTGTCGTAGAAGTCGTGGTAGTCGTGGTGGGCGTTGCGCTAATGTGCAGCAGGCTAGAAAATGAATCAGTCAAGGACCCAAATCCAGAACCCGCAGATCCGGTAGTATTAAACGACGAAGATCCAAATTGGGCTTGAGGGTAGACTTGCTGTTGTTGCTGTGGCTGCTGCTGCTGCTGCGGCTGCGGCTGCGGCTGCTGTTGCTGTTGTGGTTGTGGTTGTTGTGGTTGAGGCTGCTGTTGCTGAGGAGGCAACTGCTGTTGTTGGTGTTGGTGCTGGGAAAGAACCTGTTGCTGATTGAATGAAGGGTATTGTTGCTGCTGCTGGTTAGGCTGCTGCTGATGCTGCTGGTTAGGCGGAGTATGCTGTTGCTGGAGCTGCGGCTGCTGGTGTCCTCCAAATTGGAAATCATGAGTGGTATTACCAAACCCGCCGGAATGCAACTGAGAAGGGTGAAGCCCGCCAAACTGAGTAGGCTGAGGCTGGTGCAACTGCTGTTGCTGCAAAGTCTGTTGTTGCTGCTGAGGGTGTGGTTGTTGTTGTTGCTGCTGCTGCTGTTGCTGTTGCTGTTGTTGCTGCTGTTGTTGTTGTTGCAAGTAAGGCTGAGGAGACACTTGGTTGTAAACCGCGTATGCACCTCTCTGCTGCTGCAACGACAACGACAAGGGAACAGTAGAAGGAGGTTGTTGAATCTGGGGTGGAGGAGTTTGGGAAGGGAAAAAGGGAGACCCAGTAGGAGTACCTGGTGAAGAAATGGTGTAACTGCTTAAGGGTGCGCGAATGTCAGCAAAGGACTTGGTACCGCGCAAAACATTTTGAGGAGACCCGGAAACAGAATTACCAGTGGGGATTCCTCCAGAGATTGCGTTAGTAGAGCCAAATTGGTGGGGTTGGGTTCCCGGTGGGGCCTGGGAAAATAAAAGGCTGTTGCTATGGGAAGACTGCAGGTGCATAGAGTTTACCCCAGGACTCAAAGGTTGAGGGTGCTGCAGGCCAAGAGGAGAAGACTGGTTAAAGCTGCTCAAGTTGGTGGTGCTCATGCTATTTTGGCCAGAAAGCGAGTGTCCCTCAAAGATTCCGGGAGGAGGAAGAGGGGTTTGCTGCTGCTGAGGCTGTTGTTGCTGAATTTGTTGCTGCTGTTGCTGCTGTTGTTGTTGCTGCTGCTGCTGTTGTTGCTGCTGTTGCTGTTGCATCTGGGGGATTTGCTGTTGCAAAGCTTGCTGTTGTTGGGGATGCGGTTGGAAAGTTTGCGGTTGAAGATAAGGTTGAGGAGTCTGATTCTGAGGAGAAGAAAAAGATTGATTGCTGATGCGACTAATGATAGAGCCACCCTTATCCTGAGTGCTAAAGGCAAGACCAAACTGCTGGCTTAGAATCATGGCACTTCTGCGCTGATGAGGAGACAGAGAAGGGGGGAAAACCAGCTGGGAGCGCGAGCGATCATCCTTAAACAAGAGCAGCTTGGAGTAAATCTCGAGATTTTCTGGGTCATTAAGGTCCACCTTTGTAAGGGATCCCGATGAACCGCCAGAGCTGACAGGAGAAGAAGAAGAAAGAATGCCAGAATTGGCACCAGAAGACAGACCAGGAGATGAAGAGTTCAAAGAATTACCATAAGACCCACCAAGATGTAATTGCTGGGGTTGTTGTTGAGGTTGCTGCTGGGGTTGCTGCTGAGGTTGCTGCTGAGGCTGTTGCTGTTGCTGCTGATGTTGCTGCTGCTGCTGCTGCTGCTGCTGTTGCTGTTGCTGTTGCTGCTGTTGAGCAAAGTTCCCGGGTCCAAGCTGAGGCTGCTGGTTCAAGCCTTGAACAAGAGGTTGTTGTTGTTGTTGAGCCTGTTGAGAATTTGGGGGAGGTTGAGGCTGCGATTGTTGGTGTTGGTGCTGGTGTTGGTGAGAATTATGATGGTGATGATTATGGCCACGAACACCTTTAGAGCTAGGTCCTCTATGTTGCTCCTCAAGCTGGCCTCTCTTTTCACGCTTTTCACGTTCAATGCGCTCCCGCTCGGCAAGGGGGAGCATTTTTTTGTACTCAACACGAAGCTTGCGGCCCCCAATTTCCCTTCCATTAAGGTTACTAATGACAGCACTAGTTTCTTCAGGAGAAGCAAAGTTTGCAAAAGCCAAGCCGCGGAAAACGCCATTGTCAAAGTGGTAGTTAAAAGCATATGGGATGGGAAGATGAAGGTTATTCATTACTTCAAGAAGTTGCTCTTTTTTGATGGCAAAGGGAATGTTTTTAATGACAATAGCGGTTGGGATTAATTCTTCATCAATAGAGCTTGCAGAAGAAGCTGATTGTTGAAGTCCTGAAGGAGAAGGTTGAGGTTGAGGAGGTTGAAGCTGATGTTGCTGCTGTTGCTGTTGAGGTGGAGGAGGGCCCATGGGTGGTGGTTGTTGTTGTTGAAGAGAATTCATAGGTTGTTGTTGAAGGCCATTTCCTTGATTCAAGACAAATCCTTGAGGCTTGAGTCCACCACGATTTGAAGAAGCATTGTCAATCCAATAAGGGGGTTGTTGGTTCGTGGTATTAATATCGTGAGTGTTTGGCCCCCAAGGAGAAGAAGAGATGGAGGCCATATTTGGGTGTTGTTGCTGTGATTGTTGCGGTTGCTGTTGAGGATGTTGAGGGGGGTACTGAAGCTGTTGAGGAGGTGGGAATTTTTGGACCTGAGAATCGTTGAGTCCAATCATATGAGTATTCTTGTCATCCATGTAGAAGTTCTGTTGTAGAGGTTGTGTGGTATTAGCTAGAGGGCCATGCGGGATGGGGCTACTACTATCTAAAGAGGATGAGGACAAGAAGGTATCGTAATAACGAGAGTGGATTCTCTGAGGAAGAAGGTTTGAAGGATGGATGGAAGAGGATGATGATGATGATGATGAAGAGGACAATGAGGAGGAGGAAGAAGAGAAAGAAGAAGGTAAAGATGAATCTATTTGCAGAGCACTTGCAGATGATTCAGGTAACAGATGAAGATCCGAGCTGGGTTCTGAGAAAGCAGCAAGACCAGCGGGGGAATCGGGGTCAGAAATTATGCCAGAAATGGGGATGGGGGCAGAGTCAAGGAAGTTTGGTGGGGCCGAGTGCATAAACGAGAGAGTATGATGCAAAAAGCAGATAGTAAAAGTCTATACTAATGGCGATGATGGTATTATTATTGATAAAGAAGAAGGTTCTTTTTTCTTGGGTGGAGAAAGGGATATTTTAGAAATGCTGTATATATATATATATGTACACGTGCAAAAAAAAAAAAAAAAAAAGGGTAGAAATTTAGGATACAAAGACCAAAAGTCTGAAAAGAAAAATAAGAAACGGAGGGGTTTCTTGCAAGATAGATTAGAATATATGGGAGTGTCCTAAATGTATATAAGCATATATATATTATATATATATGAATATATATATAAATATAGATTGATTGAAGCGAGAGTAAAAAAAAAAAAAAAAAAAAAAGGAGAGAGAAAATGGGATGTTAAATGGTTTAAAAAAAAAAAAAAAAAGTTCAGGACAGGAGAAAAAAAAAAAAATTTTATGGCTTGTTTGGTGATTTGCGGGTGGTTGGTTTTGGTGGTGGTGGTGGTGGTGGTGGTGGTTTAAGTCCTCCCATACAGCCCTACTGCCCTACTGCTGTTTCTACTGCTGCTGCTGGCATTTTGTTTTTTTTTTTAAGCTGTTGGGCTGCTGGCGGTCGGCGGTTGGCGGTTGGCGGGTTTTTGCGCCATTGGTGGTGGTGGTGGTGGTGGTGGTGATGCTGAAAATTTTCTTGTAATTACAAAATATTTTGTAATACAATTATTGCACGGGACCAATCACAGGCACAGGACTTTGGAAGAGCCGCGGTAGTGGACGGTATTAGTAACAATCAATCAAACATATGAAGGAAATCTAGGTCTGAGCATCCAGATGGACGAATGACTCAACGACTAAAAAGTTTCTTTTTTCTTTTTCTTCTTCTTCTTCTTCTTCTTCTTCTTCTTTTGATACTACAGATACTGCTAATGCTGCTACTGCTGATACTGCTGCTATGAATCTTTAAGCATCGACTGGACTTTCAAAGACTACCTAATGAAGTTTATGCTTCTTGTCATCTGCTAATGTTAGCCTTCGGGGAACGTCCCGTCAAGGTCGATTAGGAATTGCTAGTGCTCATTGGCTAGCAAAAAAATCATATCCTCCCCACAGAAAATGTCATTTGTCAGCCTTACCAAGTAACCCTTTTAAAGTTACCTAATATGGTAACCTTACACTAGGTCCGATATTGGGTCCCACAGTTCCTTTCTAATTTCTTTCTTCCTCCAATATCTAATAACTAATAACTTTTTCTTCTTCTTCTTCTTCTTCTTTTTCTTTTTCTTTTTCTTTTTTCATATCATCTTTCAACAATGCTTCTGCGGTCTTCTCATGCAGTCCGACCAGCATTAACTCGCTTCACCTTCTCTGGTGTTGTCAGTTGCCGTCACTTTACAGCATCAAGCGTCGCAACCAATCTAGACCAATCTACCCTCCCCCCTCCACCACCTCCACCCCCACCTGCTCCACCATTCCGCGGCTTTACAAAACTCAATCACCGGTCACTGTTTGCCATTGGTGGTCCCGACTCATCCAAGTTCCTTAATGGCATTGTCACAAACAAAATTGTAGACCCTGAGGAAGCCGAGTTTGACGACACAGAGCCCATCTTTGCGGCGTTTCTCAACTCCAAAGGCCGTATGCTGGCTGAGTCCTTCATCTACCCGATCCACAGTAATACCCATCTGCGAGAGTTGCTGACTCCGTTGCTACCACAAATTAAATCTCATGGCAAGATCGTCGAAGATAATGAGGCTGAGTATCTTGTCGACTGTGACACGGAAATGGCAAAACAACTCTTTACCAATCTTAAGCTCTACAAACTACGCTCTCAAGTTTCCGTGGCACAGGTCCCGGCAACTACAATATCTCAGTGGGCCGTGTGGGATGACACATCTGTAGCCGAAGTATTCCCTCTTGAAGATGCTCGCAATTTGGCTCTTTACAACCCTTCGACACACCACCAGGCTGGATCATTCCCCGATGTGCGCAGCCCAGGGTTTGGTCTGCGACTATTGTTACCAGGCGATCTGACACCGCTTGATGTTCTTTCAGAGAGCTTTGTTAATGCTGGAACTGCTGTTGAGGGAGGAGCTGACGTTCCAGAGCTTAAGCTACAACAAACGACTCTTTCTTCATACCATATTAGACGCATTCTTTTTGGAATCCCAGAAGGTGCTGCGGAACTCACACCTGCTCGTGCACTCCCCCTCGAATCATGCATCGACTACATGCAGGGGGTTAATTTCAATAAGGGCTGTTATGTGGGCCAGGAGCTGACGATTCGATCGCATCATCATGGTGTGGTACGCAAGCGAATTATTCCTGTGGTTCTTTACTCTCCCTCTAAATCTTTAGCAGAGCAACAGCAGGAAGAAGAAGAGGAAGTCGATCTAGCTTATGATCCCGATTCCCCGATCTCCAAAGTGGTCGATACATCACAGTGCCTCATTGGTGGTAACATTATAGACGTCAAGCCTGCACCATCTCCAGAAGAGTCTTCTGATGCTACTGCTGCTGGGGCTACTGGGGGTGATTCTGCCGACGCACCCCCGTCTCCATTTTCCGGGGCTTCGCCGTTTGGTCCCCGAAAACCCCGACGAACAGCTTCACGTAAAACCGGTGCATCTGGAGAAGCCGGTAGCAATGGTGATGATGGTCTTGTTGCACGGTCGCGGCCTGTTGGGTCGATTATTTCAGCTGTGGGGAATATTGGTCTAGCCCTGGTGCGTCTGGAGCAGTTTGGTGCACCTGATGCAAAGCTTGCTGTAAGTGTGCTTGATCCAGTGACACATGAGGCCCGGTACATTCGGGTCCGTGGGTTCCAGCCATTTTGGTGGCCTCAGGAGTAAGTAAGAATGGCATTATAGATTTTTTTTTTTTTTTGTATATATAATAAAGAAAGCTTCTTCTAAATCAAATCCCCCCTCCTTCCCCTCCAAACAAAAGATCACAATGACCACTACCATCAACACGATTTGAGTCTTTTTCTGATCCCGTTTCAATCTGTCTTGTCACTTGGCAAATTCCTCGTCATCTTGGTCAGCATGAATCTTATTTCTCGATCCTTACTGAATCATAATATCCCCTTTGGCCCCTCCTCCTCCTCCTCCTCCTTCCATTATATATATATATATATATATATATACCTCTAAGCATGTTATTAATACCCAATATGGGAGTGGAGCGGTTGCGGAATCTCATTGGCAACTTGCGGCGGCGATGGCGGGTTCCAGAAGAGCGGCTGACGTAAGCGCCCACCCACTCATGACTCTTCGTTTTGTCAGGCTGGGAATTTTTCACACACACACACAAGAAAAAGCTTAAAAAATTTTCCATACAAATACCGAGCCAAGTCCTTCCCACAACTCTTTTTTTCCCATTTCCTTCCACATACATATATATATCGACACACCACATTCCAAAATGTCTTCTTCCAGTCCTGTAGGTCGAATTTCAAATCCCTTAAATGATTGATCTGATGCTAACTCTACCTTAGATGTTCAAAGCCGATGGCATCTCTAGAAACCAAACACCTTCCCAAGAGGAGGCCGAGGATCTCCGTATTGCCGGCTACGACCCCCTGCTGCCTCCCGCCATTCTCCAACACGAAATCCCTCCCACCGCTGTTGGTCTGGCCACTGTTAAGCGCGGCCGCAAGGAAGCCATTGATGTCCTCAAGGGCAAGTCTGACAAGGTCTTGGCTATTGTTGGACCCTGCTCAATCCACGACGCTGATGCTGCTCTCGACTATGCTGCTCGTCTTAAGAAGCTTTCGGACGAGATTTCCGGCGAAGTTGTCGTTATTATGCGTGCCTACCTCGAGAAGCCCCGTACAACTGTCGGCTGGAAGGGTCTGATTAATGATCCTGATGTGGACGAGTCTTTCAACATTAACAAGGGTCTGCGTATCTCTCGTAAGCTCTTTACTGATCTCACCAATGCCGGTCTTCCCCTGGCCTCGGAAATGCTTGACACTATTTCTCCCCAGTTTTTGGCTGATTTGCTGTCGCTTGGTGCCATTGGTGCCAGAACCACAGAGTCCCAGCTTCACCGTGAACTGGCGTCGGGTCTTTCTTTCCCCGTTGGTTTCAAGAATGGTACTGACGGTTCAGTCGGTGTTGCTATTGACGCTGTCCAGGCTGCTTCCCACTCACACCACTTTATGGGTGTTACCAAGCAGGGTCTTGCTGCCATCACCACCACAAATGGTAACGATAGCTGCTTCATTATTCTCCGTGGTGGCACCAAGGGCACTAACTTTGACGCTGAGTCTGTCGCCGAGGTCAAGTCTAAGCTTGGCAGCAAGAACATTCCTATCATGGTGGACTGCTCCCACGGCAACTCCAATAAGGACTATAAGAACCAGCCCAAGGCTCTTAACTCGGTGGCTGACCAGATTGCCCACGGTGAGAACCAGGTTATTGGTGTCATGATTGAGTCCAATATCAATGAGGGCAACCAGAAGGTTGGTCCTGAGGGTAAGAAGGGTCTCAAGTACGGTGTTTCCATTACTGACGCTTGCGTTGGCTGGGACACCACTGTCGAGATGCTCAAGAATCTTGCAGATGCCGTTAAGGCTCGCCGTGCCCTTAAGGCTTAAAATGGTCATTGTTTTTTTGTAAAAAGTTTTTTTTTTTTGATTATTCCTCTATCCCAACCTTTGTATAAATATAAAAATTGAGTCTTTTTTTTTCTTGAAATCTTTTGGTCTTGCTTGAAAAACGTGTTTTAAATTTTTTTTTTTTTTGTGTGAATCATGAATCATTTGAATCAGTCATATAAGTGCCGAATAGCTTTCATAAAAGTCCATGTGAGTCACTGGAAAAATTTTAAAGCATCACCTTGACAAGCCCTTAAATATTCCATTGCATCCCCGAATCAAATCCATCCATCCATCCATCCATCCATCCATCCATCTATTTTTTTTTTTTTTTTTTTTTTTCACAATTACCACCTTTTAACTCAAAACAACTTACTATACAAACATGTCTAAAACAGCATATGTTATTGACGTCGAGAGCGGGAACCTCCAGTCTCTCAACAACGTCATTGAGCTTCTCGGATGGACCCCCGTGCTAATCAAAACCCCAGAAGACCTTGTGTCCAAGCTTGCTGGCCAAGAAGACCCGCGTCTGTTTCTCCCAGGCGTCGGCAACTTTGGCCACTTTGTACACGAACTCAACGTGCGCGGGTTTGCCCAACCAATCCGTGACTACATAGACTCAGGCCGACGGCTCATGGGTATCTGCGTCGGTCTGCAGACCGTGTTTGCAGACTCAGAAGAAGCCAACAATGAAGATACCAACGGCAACAAGGCTCAGGGTCTCGGAATTATTGACCGCTCACTATTTCGATTTAGCGATAAGGACAAGAGTGTTCCACAAATTGGATGGAACACAATCAAGTATGCAAACGCCGAGGACAAAAGCATAGGCCTGTATGGTTTGGATCCCTCCAGCAGATACTACTTTGTCAACTCGTTTGCTGCCATTTTAACCCCGGAAGAGGCCCAGCTGGCACAGTCTGGCCGCATTAACGATGTTGCTGGGTTTAAGGACAATGACTTAGGTCCATTTGAGGTTGCATTGACTACCTACGGTTCTCAAACATTTGTTTCCGCGATTGCTTTCAAGGGCGTGTTTCTGACCCAGTTTCACCCAGAAAAGTGCGGCAAGGCAGGTGTACGAGTCCTCGACGCATTCCTCTCTGGAAAAAAACACACTACACTGTTGGAACGCGCTAAAGCTTCTACCCCCCCTGGCCGCGAAGTCAATGGCTTGACTGCACGTATTGTGGCATGCTTGGACGTGCGCACCAATGATTCTGGTGATCTTGTTGTCACCAAGGGTGATCAATACGATGTACGTGAGCGCCAAGTCGATGGTGCTGGAAACCCTGTACGCAACCTCGGCAAGCCTGTTGAGCTTGCACAAATGTACTACGAGCAAGGTGCTGACGAGGTGACTTTCCTCAACATTACATCATTCCGCAACTCGCCTCTGCGCGACTTGCCCATGCTTACTGTTCTCAAGGAAGCCTCCAAGACCGTCTTCGTTCCTCTGACTGTTGGTGGTGGTATCCGTGATACCCTCGACCCGGAGACAAACAAGGTTGTGCCTGCGCTTGAGGTTGCTGCACTGTACTTCCGCTCCGGCGCTGACAAGGTCTCGATTGGCTCGGACTCTGTGACTGCTGCTGAGGCATACTATGCCCGTGGTGGAAAGGGTGATGGCACATCTCCGATAGAAACCATTTCCAAAGCCTATGGTGCACAGGCCGTTGTGATTTCGGTCGACCCACGCAAGGTGTATGTTACTTCGCCTGAGGCAGCTCCGGCAAACACTCATGTTATCAAGTCCGCATACCCTGGCCCCAATGGCGAGGAATATGTGTGGTACCAGTGCACTATCAAGGGTGGCCGGGAGTCGCGGCCACTTGGAGTTTACGAGCTTGTACGTGCGTGCGAGGCTCTTGGTGCGGGTGAGATTCTGCTCAACTCAATTGACAAGGATGGCAGCAACAGCGGGTACGATTTAGAGCTGGTGCGGCTGGCCAAGAGCGCAGTGAGCATTCCTGTAATTGCATCTTCTGGCGCAGGCAATCCTGAGCACTTTGTGGAGGTGTTTGAGAAGACAAACGTGGATGCTGCGCTTGGAGCTGGTATGTTCCACCGCAAGGAGTACACAGTTGATCAGGTGAAAGAGGTTCTTGAAGAGAATGGCATTGCTGTTAGACGAGATTAGAGAGAGAAATAAAGGCAAGACATAGCTGGATATATATAACATTTTTAAAGGAAAAAAAAAAGAAACAAATATTATAGAAAACGGAAAGACGAAATGTAATTTTGGTAACGAAGGAGGTGTCAAAGAACAAATTTTAGATTTTGGGTAGAATCAAAGGCGATGGAAGGGGGTTGTGGGTCTTTTTTGGAATGATTAACCTAATAAGCTTGAAAAAAATATGGGCATCATCATCAACAATAAGAGAATCCTAACGAGCCAGGCCATTTAACAGTTGTTTCAAAAAAAAAAAAAAAAAAAAAAAAAGAGGGGAGGTCTTTAGAGTATTTTGGGGGGAGAAAGATTTTAATAATTCATGGGAATATTGCAAAAATTATAAAGAAAATATCACAGACAAGATTCTGAAAGAATTCAGAAAGACTTTAGAATGGCGTATTCCATCAAACAATACACATACTATACCATATATAAATTTAATTCCAATAATGTTAACTTAAAGGTACTATGTACTTTTTTTTTTTATTATTTATTTCACAAAAAAAAACTGCTTTTGAGATGCATTGATAGATTTTTGAATTTGATTTTTCTCTTATTTACAAAAACTTTTTTATTTTTATTTTCCGTTCTAATGTAATATGAAAAATAAAAAATAAAAAGCCCATGGTTACGTTGACACTTTTCTTTTTCATATTAGCACAATAATTACGGGACCATGTAAGTTTACAAATTAAAAAAAAAAAAAAAAATAGAAGCATCATCACAAAAATAAATCAGTTATTCAAGTAATTAACAGTATTATATACACTTGAAAAATAAATAAATATTATTTTTTAATGAAGAGAAAGGGAAATCTAATGTTGGAGTGAAAAAAAAAATAACACATGTGTATTCAAGGAGTGGATTTTATGGCTTTTCTTCAATCTATCATCACCATGCATTATAACTTTTTTTTGTTTTTCCCTTTAATTAGAAAATCCATATTCTCTTTTTTTTTTTTTTTTCGTTAATTTTAATTTTTTTTTTTTACTTTATTTCGTATTAATCTATTTTTTCTTTTTCAAATTAAAGCCAATTGCATTCCAATTTTTTTTTTCTTTCAATTGACATTACAGAGCAAGTCTCACTTTTCATTATTAATAGTGTTATGCATTTAAAATCATAAGTTTAATTAGTATCCTATACTCATCTATATATACAGTCAGTTAATTAATTGTCTAGATGCATCCTGGGAAACACAATTCCGGAAGTACCGTCATGATATCCTTTTTTTCAAAGGCATTCACAGTATCAGACATATAGAGATTCAATACGACACTATTACATAAAACAAAAGAAATTATCGGGTCAAGATACCGGAAACAATCATTTAACTTTTTATCAATTTTTTTTTTTTTAAAAAACGAAATCTTTTCTTCTTTACTTCAAATTCAGTACAAATAAAAAAAAAACAAGAGATAATTCAAAATTAATAGTTAAAAATCATAGCATGTAAAAAAACAAACTGAATGATTCAAAAAAATACTCGGCAACGGGGAATTGAACCCCGGTCCCCCGCGTGCTGCTAATGACAGGCGGAAATTCTAGCCACTAAACTATTGCCGATTGATATTTTTTTAAAATATATTGTAAATATATACTATCCGAACATTGCTAAAAATGCTAATAAACTACAATCTAAAGCTTTTATAAGTTTATTTTAATTTTAAACTTACTGAAATTAATTAATAAGTATCTTATTTTTTTTGAGGATGAGCACTATGGCATACTCTTCATCTGAACCCCCAAGTTCATCTGGAAAACAGAAATTCCAACTCTTCCGTTCAGTCAAATTAGATTGTAATTGACTGCAATCATTATTTCTATCAAAAAGGATCGTTAAATACACATTTCCCCCCAAAACTAAACGGAAATTGATTGAGTAGGCTTAAGATCTTCAAACTGGTTTTCCCTACTCGTCATAAGGTGATGTCAGGGCCTTTCTTCTTTTTGAAATTCCAGGCATACAGATCAAAATAATCTAGAATATAACTTTTAAATAAAAAAAAAACAAGAAGACAAACATTGAATGAGATGCAAAGCCAGATGGCTGAATTATTTATTTTATTGCTATGTTAACATGTTTCAATTCACTTTTTTTTTTTTTTTCAGTGTTGCCATATATGTGAGATTAGTCAATTGCGGAAGAATTGCTCGTTAAGGTCTTTGATCCAATTACATCTTGACCTAAAGACGCAGGGAATATACATCCTTTTTTTTTTCTTTTCTTTTTTTTACCACTATCAACTAGGTTGTAGTCAGGTACCTGTCAAGCTTGTTTTCTATAAAGCGTAGCAATAGAGGAAAAAAGAAAAATTTCATTCATCCAGTTTGAGACCCCACGTTTTTTTTTTTTTTTTGTCAGTGAAAAGATGACAAAAAAGTCCCCGCCGGGGGGGAGAGAAATTCTAAATAGAAAAACTTTTTTTTTCTTTTCTTCAGAAAATCAAATTGCCTTTTGGTCCAGGTTTTGGATGGTGACTATGATTCACAAATGAATGAACATGGAAGTATACTAGAGCAACAAACAACCAACTGGACGGAAGAACTATAATTTTGGTTACAACCAAATGGGGGGAAAAAAGACTATTGAAGAGTCTGTTAGTTGCCATGAAGAATTATAATGCATTGGATTTTGGAAGGATATAATGCAGAAGAGGAATATGCTGTACATGGTAGTGTATATAGTTTATGGCTTCATGCTGTAGCAGTCAGATTGTATGCTTACCCGTATGGATGGTTGTTGTGCGAGATACTATAGTTACGATATATCATGGATAATTGCGAAAGAAGAACCTTTTGAAAAAAAAAAGTTTGAATTCCACCAACGAAACTAAATCATCATGTTCACGTTTTTTTTTCCAAATTTTTTTTTTTTTTTTTTCATTCATCAGATATCTGCACTTCAAGTGTACAATTCAATTGACCCTAAATAATAACTTAAAAAACTTACATGGTAACAATATGCTGACGCCAGTTCAAATAAGAATTTTTTTTTTCCTGGTTTCTCTTTCTGTAATGAGGATCCAAATAAAAGGCAGCAATTGCAAAGGCCGCTGTTAGCTTACACGGAACATCGGAACATTAGGAGCAAAGCATGTATTTGAAGAAAGAAAGTTGTGTTGCATTTTATTTCATTAAAAAAAAAAAAAACAGTGTCCATTTGCGTTTATTTGAAAATTTTATTTCATTTTTTAAAAGTTTTTTAATCAATTGATTAAATAGAACTAAAATGAAAAAAAACCAAAAACGATTTGGTATTATTCAAGCCCATTATTTAGTTTGATTAAGAAAGAAGAACCATTTCTTGGTATGATGATCATCTGAAAGTAGTAAGTAGTGGACAAGACATAAATATACTACGGATAAGCTTTAAGCGACGAGTTAAAAGGCAGACATATTTGCAACATAAAATAGAAGTCAAGACAACAAAAAAAAAGGCCTTTTCTATAAAAGTGAACTAAGAAGAAAAAACAAATTTTTTTAACGGTTTTTTTTACTGCAATAAATAATAAATTTCACCGTCGGAATTAAAAAAAAAAAAAAAAGAACCCTCCCAAAAACAAAAAGTCCATAAAAAATTATATATAAATTTCCTAAAATAGGTAAGATAATCTAGATGTGAATAATATGATAAACGATAACCAAAAAAAAAAAAAACACCCACCCCAAAAGTCTTCCAGCAGCAACATCGGTAACAGCAACAGCAGCCAACGAGCGAGCTCAATTGGCGCACAAGCCTTTTGTTAAAAGAAACGTTGGCTGTGTGTGCGCCGTTCCTCTGAATTTGGAGGCGTGCGGCTTTAGACAGTGTGCAACCAGCGATTTTGAAAGTTGTGGGGAGAGCGAGAAAAAAAAAATAATATTCAAGTTTAGAAGAAAAGTTCATTTCTACATATGAATTGAAAAAAAAAAAAAAAAAATAAATAAATTCAATTTAAACAGTTTAAAATGAAATAAAATAAAATAAAAAAATAAAAATTTGGTCGTCATTAGATACTTTTCTTTCACACACCAATATGCCCAATTACTTTAAAGAGGACTTTCTTTTATGCCTGGAAGACCCAAATAGCAAATCATGACTGGCCTCGGACACAGCATGGACAAATAATCTCCACACAGCAGCAACTTTCTCAAAAAAAAAAAAAAATACTTTCTGTCTAACAATATGCTGATCGCATTTGTTTCTAATATAAAAAGAGTCTTAAATATCCTTTAATTGAATTTTTTAATTTATTTTAAATACTTCTTTCTTTTCATTTTATTCTTCAACCAATTCTTCTTTTCTTTTCTTACTCCCATATATTAGATAGACTCTAGACCAAAGTCTCTCGTTAATAAACCCACATTCTTTTTATATATATATTTATAACCATAACTCTCTAATGAAGTTCTCTACTGTTCTCAAGGCTGGTGCCCTTTCAGCCATCCAGCTCGCTGCTGCCCTCAACATTATCCTTACCAACGATGACGCTTACACTTCCTCCAACATCAGAGCCACCTACCAGGCTCTCAAGGACGAAGGCCACAATGTTTTCATTGTTGCCCCTGCCGAGAACCAATCCGGCAAGGGTGGAACCTTTTCCTTTTCTTCTAGTCCCAAGCTTCAGAAATCTTCCGAGTTTGGTGACCTTCCTGCTGGCTCTCCTGCTTGGGGCTACGAGGAGTCTGACAACCACGTCTGGTACTTCAATGGCACACCTGCTGCCTCAGTTGCCTTTGGCCTTGACTATGTCATCCCCAACTACTTTTCCAACATTAACATTGACCTTGTCGTCTCTGGTCCTAACGAGGGTTCCAATGCCGGCCCTGGCCTTTTCACTCTTTCCGGTACCATTGGTGCCACCTACTACGCCGTTGGCCGTGGTATCCCTGCCGCCGCCTTCTCTGCCGACTACTCTAACCACTCCTACTACAAGGATGTCAATGGCTTCCTTCCCAATAAGGACGACGACTCGTTCTACTCTAACATCTATGCCAAGACCGTTGTTGCCAAGCTCGTCGATGCTCTTGCCACTGCTGCTGGTGACAATGATCGTCTTCTTCCTCTTGGTGTTGGTCTTAACATCAACATTCCCTATGTCGGTGCCCCTGCCAAGGAAACCTACAATGTCGACTGCACTGCTCCTCCTCTTGTCTACACTCGCATCACTGGTGGTGCCCAGTCTTACACTGTCAAGTTCAACGAGACCTCTGGTGTTTTCGTTTGGTCTTACCTCGATTCCCAGAAAGCCCCCGGCCTTAACGTCGCTTACAATGGTCCTACTGACCTTGCTGGCGAAACCGATGTCTCTAATGCCGCTGGCTGCCGTGTCGCTGTTTCTGCTTACTCTGTTGACTACACTGCTCCTGCTCCCGTCAATGACGAGGTCCACAACCTTATCCAGGCTGCTCTCAAGCGATAAGCTGGTAGAGAGAACTTTATTTATTTATTGAGCCGCACGAGGCTCTTCCCAAAAGCAAATATGAATTTTTAATAGGTCTAATAGTAATAATAATATAATGGTTCGAGTAAATATAATGGATGAATATACAAAAAATTTCTTTAATTCAATCAATTCTAAAGTAATAAATCTATCTTAATAAAGCTCAAAAGATTTCTTAATCTCTTCAAGTAGCACTGTGTTTTCTTCGTTTGTACCAATAGAAATTCGCAGCGCGCCCTCGCAACCAGGCTCCTTACCACGGAACCGCACCACGATTTGCTTATTTTCTGCAAGATAAGTGTAGATCTTAAGAGCAACCTCGGAAGAGGGCTTTCCCTGCTTATCGAGAAACTCAACCAGCACGAAATTGGCATCTGGGGCCGAGAGAAACTCGCCAATGCGTGGCAGTTTCTTAAGCTCTTCAGTGACGCGTGTACGTTCTTCAATAATTAGCTTGACATTCTTGTGCATCACAGCAATGCCTTCAGGACTCAGAGCACGCTCAGCAAGCTGCGACGTGGGTGTGGAAATATTGTAGGGAGCCTTTAAGTTGTTGAGAATCTGTGCAACGGGGGCATCTGCAAAAGTGCACCCGAGACGCACACCGGCCAAACCAAAGGATTTGGACAGGGTCTGAAGAACAGCAAGATTGGGGTATTTGGTCACAAGTGGAGCAAACGACGATCCAGCCGGCGCAAAGTCAATGTAGGCCTCGTCCACAATGACAATGCCGTTCCATGTGGGGTGGTTAAGCAAGCGCTCGATCCGGGCAGGCTCAATCAGAGTTGCTGTGGGGTTTCCTGGGGAAGTGATGTATACGAGTTTGATTGAGGGGTCTTGGGCAAGAGCAGTTGCAACTGCGTCAGTGTTAATTTGGAAATTGCCCTTGTCAAAGTGCATGTTGATCTTGACAACCTCCACGTCGTTGACTTGAGCAGACACAGCGTACATGCCATAGGTTGGTGGGCATGTCAGCAGCTTATCAACACCAGGCTTGCAAAATACACGGATCAGAGCGTCGATTGATTCATCAGAGCCAACACCAAGACAGATGTTGGCTGGAGTAAGTGGGGCGAGTGGAGAGTCGCTGTCGAGGGGTTGCGGGGCAAGGGGAGTGCCATCAGCGTTGCGCAGGTCGCACAGCAGTTGCTTAACGTGAGGCTGGTGGGGGTCTGGGTATCGGTTGAGATCCTGGGCAGCTTCCTCTGCAGCCAAAGTGGCGAGGGAAGGACCGTGAGTGTTTTCATTAGCATCAAGAAGAATGCCGAGTTGGTAGTCACTAGAGAAAGATGTCAGAAAGAGAATGAAGGAAAAAGGAAAGAGTTTTGAATTGAATAAAAGGCATACTCTCTAGCACATCTGTAGGGCTCAAGAGCCAGAATGTTTGGGCGGACGAGGGTTTCGAGGTTAAAGGAAGCCATTGTTTGAGAGTATTGATGATGTGTGAAAAAAAAAGCGGTTCAATAAAGAATGATGAAAAAAAAAAAAAAAAAAGAGGAACGATTGATGTGTGGAATCTGTAGACTTTTTAAAGAGTGTGAGATTTTTTTTTTTTTTTTTCATGGTAACACAAAAAAAAAAAAAAAAGAGTCACGTTGAAGAGTCACGTTTTTACAATAACAAGTTTTTGTAATGTCACACAAAGATGGGCTTTGCAAAGGGTCAAGTTGACCTCTTTTTACGAGACAATTTAAAAAATTTAAACAATTTAAATGAGTTATTAGATAGTCAGTTCATTGAAGTTTCAAGAGTTTGGATGAGTGTTTTTTTAAAAAAAAATAATGTCTTCTATGGGCGAAAATTAGCGGTATCATTTATTTATTTATTTATTTTTACTGATAATATAAGATAGTTGACAGCTAATAGTAAGAAATAGCGAAAAGTCTCTTTTATTTATTTATTTATTTATTTATTTATTTATTTATTTATTTGTTTATATTTATAGTTTAAAAATATTGAACTCTTATATGGCTTTTTTATTTTTTAAAAAAAAATAAAATCAATATGATTTATTTATTTTATTTTCAGTAATTAATATTTTTGATAAGTTCTCTGAATCTAAAATAAAATAAAAAAAAAAAGAAATATCCATCTTTTTCAACCCGTTAATTGCCTATTTAGTTCCGCCAACAGCCGTTGAGAATCTGGAAAAATCCCACCACCAAACAGATTTCTTTGGCTTCAACTTTTTTTTTTTTCTTCTATCTTTTGAAATTTCTCAGTTTCTTTTAATTTGATCCATTGATTGACTCATTAAACCTCAATCCTCCTTCTTTTTGTTCTCTTTTTTTTTTTTTTTTAACTTTTCCATCAAAACAAACTTATCATCAAGTACCGTCCTGGTTACTGTCAAAGAACTTCCCCCCCCCTCCAACCCACCAAAAATAAAAAAAAATACCCGCGTAGAGCTGCTGTGAGATTTTTTTTTGTCATCGTAACGGGTTCCGTCCATCAACAACTGATAACAATAAAAGGAATCTCAACAACAATAGTTAATCAGTTCTTTCATTCTTAAATTTTTTTTTAAAAAAAAAACATATTATAAAAGCCTTTTTTAAAAATCATCATTTTTTTTTATAAAAAGTCTCTTGTTTTTATTCCCCCTCCTTTTTTTTTTTTTTTTTTTTTCAACGGCTGCGTGGGGGACCTCCAGTTTTCATAACCCAAAAAAAAAAAAAATTTTATTTTTTTATTTTTTTTATACATAAATAAATCACCAGCCAGATCTTATTCCGTACTTTTCTTTCCCTTTCTTTCCAAAATCATCAACGCTCCTCATTCATTTTTCTCTATACCAAACCTTTTTATCAATGGCTTCAGACGCTGATTTAACTATTGGCGATGCCATATACATCAGTATTAAACCGCTCATTAAAATCTTTCTTAACTGCGCTCTAGGGTTCCTCCTCGCAAAAAAAAGTATGCTCCTCGAGATCACCAATGCCCGATCATATACATATACTATATATATAAATATAAATATATATAGAAAACTAACTTCTTCTTTTTTTAGACTATCTTTCACCAGAAACATGCCAAAACCTTTCCTATATCATTGTCAACTTTCTCCAACCATGCCTTATGTTCACCAAAATTGTCTCTTCCCTAGACTCTTCTGATTTGCGTACAGTCGGAGTCGTTATCCTTACTGCATTCTTATTCCAAGCTTTAGGCCTCGCAGCAAGTGCTATAGTTGCCCTTGTTGCGCCTGTCCCCAAGTACTGGCTCGGCAGTCTAATTATGGCCTGCGTTTTTTCAAACACTACAGACCTACCCGTTGCATACATCACCACACTTTCAGGTGGAAAGCCATTCACCTCCGAAGACGGTTCTAAAGGCGTGGCCTATTCCATGATTTTTGTAGCCGTTTTTATCTTTTCAATGTTTAATATGGGTTCGTTCCGGCTCATTGGTATCGACGCTGCGCGCAAAACAAAGGACATTGAACGCGGGGTTTTCTCGCCCTCCGAACCAAGCAACAACCAGCCTGGAGTCTTGACTCTTTACTCACAGGCCAAGAAACGGCTACTGCGGAGAAGGAAAAGACAACAGACACAAGATGAGTCTCTTCCAAGCCCCACATTATCACCCAGTATGGTTGGCGACGATAAAGACGACGACTATGATGATTTTGATGAAAAAAACAATCATCGTCTGCGACATCGGATCGCCGAACAAACACCTTCCAGCACAAACATCAATGACGACATTCCACATAACTTGGACGTCAAATCTATCTCCGACATTCGAGAAACCCTAACTACAGAAACTTTTTTGGAAATAACGCGGCAAGCGACAGGTGCGCATGCCGACACTTTGCTTCCAAAAACATCCGCGGCAACAATAACCGCTGCCAGTGTCGCACTGCCATCCACCTGGTCGAACAAAACCCGCGCCCGGTTCAACGTGTACATTGATACACATCCTTGGGCTTATTTTGGCTGGCAAATTTTATACAACTTTTCGCGGCCTCCGAGCGCCATGCTAATCATATCAATGATTATCACTATGGTTCGCCCGTTGCGTGCGCTTTTTTATAACAATAGCGGTGCCATTGTTGTTTCAGGAATCCCCAACGCCCCCGATGGCCAGCCCGTACTCAGTTTTATCATGGACTTTGCTTCCTTTGTCGGCGCGTCCCAGGTCCCCTTTGGTATGATGCTTTTAGGGGCCTCTATTAGTCGATTGCATGTTGGAAAGCTTCCCAAGGGCTTTTGGCGCGTAGTGCTGGGCATTGCGCTCTTTAAGCTTTGCCTGCTGCCCATCATTGCCATTGTTTGGACCACCCATATGCAAAACATTGGCTGGATTGACCCAGTCAAAAACAAAATGACCAGCTTGACAATCATTGTTACTGCTGGTGCACCCATTGCAACTCTTCATGTGCTTTTCTTGTCTATATTTGGAAAGCCTACCGTGATTGAGGAGGAGGATCCTCAGACGGGAGAAATCAAAGAGGTTTTATGGTTTGAAGAGATGGACTGTTTGGCAATTAATGTCATTTTCCAGTACTTTGTGCTTTTTGTATCCATGGGAATTCTTTTAACCTACACTTTAAAAAAGGTGGTGGTTGTATGAAAGAAAAAGCGTGGGGGGTAAAGATGCTGATTTCCATTTCATTTACATGCACAGTATTATTAAGCATTTTTTTTTTTTCAACAATATTATCGGACTTGTTATTTTCCATTGACTTGACTCTGTTGCTTGTTGTTGGTAAGTACTTTAGTCACTAATTGCATTCATGTACATTTGTTGCACACAGGTAGGTTTGGCCATCCAAAAAGAGACCCATTTTTATTTCAAGTAAATACAAATATTTGCATAGTAAACCCACCTAAATTCTATCAAACATTAAAGTTATACGCTATTTTAAGCTTCAATCTATATATTCTTAAGTCATATTAACTGTTTAGAATACTCAATTGGTGGGGTTTCTATATAAATATAAAATCTTCATATTCGAACCACCGAGTCTGTAAAGACCAGTTGACAAGGGCTTTTAACTTGTAAAAGCTATATGTATTCTAAGCCGCATTTCCAAAAAAAAAAAAAAAAAGACTTCGAAGTCCAAATTCTTTTATCGCGTGCTGATTTTGTAAAAATATTTTCATACTATTTTAACTTCTCCACTAAAAGTGCTTTTAATTTTTAATTTTTAATTTTTAATTTTTAATTTTTAATTTTTAATTTTTAATTTTTTTTTTTTTTGCTGGAGATCTCAGCTGTCCAGTGCTTGGTGCACTTACCGATAATGAAGTCAAAGAAGAACAAAAGCCTCGTTACAGCCACTTTTGCCACTTGCACCGTTTGCGCTATTATTTAAGTATTAAAATAACAATATTGTTAATTAATAATGTTCATTAATTAATCCAAGCATATTGAACCCTCATATATATATATAAAAATGTTTTTTTTTTGACTATTTTGTCTTTCTTTTGATTTTATCATACATGTATGATAAAATTCAAATATACATGATCCTTTTCTAATTCTAATCTCGTCTCTACTTTCGAAATACCCCACCCTAGTCAAGTTCTTTAAACCATGTACCTATTTTATCTTAACCGACAGCTTGAACTTCAAGCGCTGCTAGTAGTCATGGACATTGCTTTTGCAATTTTTACCTATCTTTTACTCGAATTATTATCCATTATCAACAACCCAGCAACCCAAGTTGTTTCCACTTTCACTTCTCTTGGAGGTATCTACGACTACGTTTCCGCTGAGTTACTACGTTGGCGGCTGAGGAAAAGTTGTAAAAACCGTCCATCATACTTTGTTGACCACGATACCTCTTCTTCCACAAATGAACTTTTGACCAGAGATTTACCAGAATCCCATTCAAAGAAAAATGCTGTTCGTTATTTCCATTTTTTAATTTTTTCATTTTGCATCATCGTAGCAACTTACGGTTCTCAAATCATCAGCTTGGTCCTTGCTAATAGAGTTCAACCATCATATGAAAACAAACGTTTATCAATGAAATTTGCATCCATCAAAAACCCAAATACAACTTTTCATAAAGATAATACCTTGATCCCGTCGGATTTTGACATCAACACTGGATGGCCGAGAAATCAAATAATGTACAACCTTAATGTGGATTATAAATATATAAACAACTACCAAGACAATCTTCCTCAGTATACAGTAGAAGAAGTAGGTAATGATGTTTCTAATTACTTAATGGGTGGTCAGTTATTTTCAAAAACAACAAGTTTCGGTAACACTGTGAGTTGTGGGTTTGGCGATCGTTGGTCCAATGCTGTTCTCAAAAAGGGGTCTGAGATCAACAGTTTAACTCTTCCAATTGTACCTCTTATTCCGCAAATTTGGTGTATAGATAACGGATCAAGCAACAATGTCACAAATATGAATATGAAATTGAATCCTAATTTTATGTTTAGTCCTGGTGAAAATTTTACATTTTTCGGAATTGACGAACAGAATAATATAATTTATTCAAGCACACTTTCTTATGAGAAATCAAATTATACACAGATTTCAGTGACTGGAAGTCGAAATATGACACTTGAAAATATAAAAGGCATGTTTTCACATTTAAACAATAGTCTTTTAGGGGTTGATTCCAATGTCGGATTTAATAAGGATAATACTGCTAGTGATTGGGTAGTTTCCCATAATATCACCGAAGCTCTTGAAACTTTTGTATATCTTTATCAGCAAACATCCATCAGCTTCACATTAATATTTTTTCTAAAAGAAAATAGTCCAACAATATTACCAAATGGAACTTTATACAACCGAGTTTCTTTAGGATATCTTTCAACTGAAAATCAATTGACAGTCACCCAAGCATTTTACAGAATTCGAAGAATTGAAAATAACATCACAGATCCCGTTAGTAGCATTAAAAGTCTTTGGGTAAATACAACCACAGAAAAAGTTCGTTTTGCAAATGTGCATATTCTGCCGCTTGTGGCCAATATTAAAACAGGTCCTTTTATCCATGGAATTATTAGCAAAGTACTTGATATAACAGTTGAAGGTAACAACCATCAATTTGTATACTATGGTGAAATTCGTTATAATGTCACTACCATTGTTGCTTCTATTACTGCAGTGGTTACTATGAGCATTATGATATTTTTATTTTGTAAATGTTTGTTATTTGTGGTTCCTCAGGGTATTCCGACATATTATGGTCTCTTGCGTGCTTACCATGAAGAAAGAAAAGTTTCAAGGGGAGAATATCCAGAAAAAATAGAATTTAGTAGAATCCTCGAGGTGGTAGACGAAAGTGCATACGAAGGAGTTGGGTATTATGATCAAAGAATAAAGGTTGGGGTAATCAATAAAGAAACTTACAAAGAGGGTAATAGAAAGTTTGGGTTTTTGCGTAATTGGATGCCTGAGAATATACGAAACAATATGTGATTTATTATTATATTTGTATTGGACTTTTATTGTGTTTTTTTTTCATAGTATAGTTAATGTAAACATGTTTATAAGTCTTTTGATATATCTCCTAAGAAGTTGGAAAGTCCTGTTTTTTTAAGAGCTACTGCCAACAGTTAAAATTGTCATTACATTTAGTGTAATATTAACAAATTACGTAATAAAATGAAGAAAGAAAAGTTTTTTACTTGAAAGCCGCACACACCAAAAAAAAACTTCCCCATTGAAGTTACTGTAAACTAATACAAAGGTTACTGAATATTTCTTTCTGTTCAAAATAAGCTGTTGGGTGTATGAAGAATAATATTTGAATATTCTGGGGTAGAAAACTTTTTTTTATTAAATTTTCATATATTTATTCAAAATAAAAAATAAACCTTTTTAATTATAGATATATATATACATATATTGAAATATCATGTTTTAAGTCCAGCTTTGTTTATTTGATTTTGGTCTCAGAATAGGATAGGAGCCCTCTTTTTTTTAAATTTAGATGATACAGTTTTTTTTTTTAAAAAAAGAAAAAAAAAAGGTTTAAGACGATAAGAAACTTTGTTTTAAGATAGCAATAGTCATTTAATGGTCCTAATAGTCACTTGGAGAAAGAACTAAAAGGGCTTTTATGAGAACCAATCCCACAACAAAGGGAAATCTATACCTCAACAGAATTTTTTTTAAGCTCACTTGAAAAATAATAGCGGCGGCAAATAGATCAAAAAAAGCAGGTTGAGGCGGTCGTTTAATATATACTTAATACTTAAATATATTTCCAAAATGCTTACTTCTTTCTACAAGGTTTAAGGGATTCGTTGCAAATGAAAAAAAATGAAAATAAAAATAAAAATAAAAAGATTCTGAGCGGTTTTCATGGATTATCTTTTAATATGGAATTTAAAAAAAAAAAAAAAACGTTAAGAAATGGTTCAGAGATTATAACATCGAGAAACATTTACACTGCCCATAGTTTTAGACCCAAGCCCTTTTTTTTTCAATTCGTTTTTGTTTTTTTTTTTTTTTTGAAAAAAAATCAAAGAAATTGAATATAAGTTTCATCTAAAAACAATTTCTAATATATTATACTTGTAAAATGATGATTTTTTTGTATAAAGTAATCAAAATATGCTTAGAGAAAGGATTGTATTTTTCTCAATTTCAATGGACCCACTTGTAAATGCAATGGTTTCCCCCTTTTTTTTTAAAAAAAAAATCAACATCTCAAATTTGAGTTTTTTTTTAATTAAAGGGTCCAATTAAAACCCATTTAATTTTAATGAATAAAACTTAAATACATATTCTTAAATGGGGATGTCTCCAGTTACATTTCAATGTTTCTTTTTTTGGTTTTTTTTTTTGGTTTTTTTCTTTCCCCTCCTTTTTAATCCTCAAATTATAAGGCCAAAACTTGGCACCAGATTTTCGTAGGGCTTTAATTGAGATTGGCATGCCATGTACATTTACAAGTCCAGGATAGAGCAGCCAAACTTATACCAAGGCAGTACTTGGGTACATAATTTTATATAAATGATGAAATCATTAAAAGAAAAAAAAAAATTTTTTTTTCTATATACATATTTTTAATTCTCGTCTTTCTTAATACCCTTAATACTTTACTGACGGGAAAACGAGGTCCGGGACCCGTTCCGTTTGGTTGTGTCTTTTTAGGGATTGGATAATTGTATATAAAGGTTCCGATTGGCAGCCATGAATATAGGAGGGATGAAGAGGGAAGTAAATTTGTGTGATAAATGAAAAGTGAATGAATATATTTAGTTTCTACCGCTTTAAACATAAAAACATACTCGGCCAATAATAAAAAGTCACCGGGACCATCTGGCGTGCTTGTTTTTTTTTTTTTTTTTTTTTTTTTCTTTCTTGCTTCTTTCTAAATGGTTCGTGGTTTAGGAAAGACGCCATTGACGAAGTTTTGCTTTTTATTGTGCTGCCTACCATCCATCCCTCACCCTCCTACTATTCTTTTTTAAGTAAAGCACGTAGTAGCTGCTCTACATACTTCTTTGTGGACGAGTCAAAAAAAAAAAAAAAAAAAAAAAAAAAAAGTTGCATCTTTCTCGAGGTTTGAAAGCAAACACAGCCACGATTATAAGGTGTTTTATTACTATATATTAATTTAACATTTAAACAAGTAGCCGCTCAGAAAGCATCTGTTTGGAATAAAAAAAAATAAAGTAGTAATCTTATCTTATATAGATAATAACTGAATAACAGTAATAATGACAATGACAATAGGATGTTATAATGACTGATGATGGGTGGGAAGCCATTCAAATGTTGCAGCTGCCTTTGTGAAATTTTTTTTTTTTATTGCCTCGAGATTCACCTAAACTTTCTTTTTTAAAATTACTGTATATATACATTTATAATATTACAGTAGTCTTCGGTAACTACATAATATATATATATATATATACTCTTACTTTGCAATCAAACAAACCCTCCAAAAAAAAAAAAAAAAAAAAAAAAAATTAAAATTTAAAAAAATTTAAAACTTCCTTTTTTTTTTTCTTCTTTTCCTTTTACAAAATAAACCCTTTATTCGATCCTTTTTTTTTTTTTGTAACTTCTCTTTCTAGAATCTTTCTTTCCACTCTTTTTTTTTTCGCATCTTGTTCTTATCGCATAATAGATGACTTCGGTCTCTACTGACGCTGATGCTGCTGCTACTGCGATACCTGCGGCTCCACCAGTAGTTACTAGCGAAAAGTCACGCGGAACCACCACAACCACCACAGACAATAATAACCTCCCACAACAAAGCACGACCACCACCGTCAACTCTGAAAAGTCCCGATGGTGGCACCGGATCATCCCGCAAGCACCACAGCCCTTTGCGTGCACAAGGTTTATCGACCACATACCTTCAAGTCATGTTAGAGAGTTTTGTCACTTCATGATACGCCAAATACGTCAACTCAACTTCATCAAGATCCACTGTAAGTTACCCAGATCCTTACTTCTTCCTTTCTTTCTTTCTTTCTTCTCTTTAGACTAATCATTTGTTATAGATATTTATATCCTTGTCATCGTCATTATAGGATCCGTCATCATTTACCCTAATCAAAATATTCGCTACATTGATGCTCTCTTCTTTTGCATGAGTGCTTGCACCCAAGGTGGTCTCAACCCCGTGGACCTTAACCTGCTCAACACGTGGCAACAGGTCGTACTATACCTACTACCCATGATCACAACTCCTATCTTCATCAACACCTTTGTTGTCTTTGTACGTCTCTACTATTTCGAAAAGGAATTCTCGGGTATCCGCAAACGGTCCAAGCTCGAGTCCAAATATCGACGTACTCTAACGCGCTCACGTACTCTTGCACGAGGCGAAGAACCAGAACAAAGCGTTCTACAAAAGGTATTTGGTCCCTTGGGATCCAAATTAAAACGCAAAATGACAGCAGAAGGGGCTGACGATTTAAAATACCCGCTGCCCTTAAGCTCAGATCTTAATGGAGACACAATGCGCAACACGCTCTCCAACATGAATTCCAATATGCGGAGTGGAGGATCTCTTGCACAGCAGTTTGATTCATTGGATCTGGAGACTGGAATACCCCAGCAAGCCACTGCCGAGGCTTCAACAATTGGATACGACGACTCTCAAAATGGTCTCAAGTCGCATGTTTCACCCCCACCACTATCCAGTCGCGCCATTTCTTTTAATGATCCCTTCCGACCCCCTAAACCCTTTCAAAATCCAGGAGACAGCCCCACCGCCGCCCGTCGAACACCCCTATCGAGCAGGTCTCGGCCGCCATCATCAGATGGAAATGATGTGGCTCCCAACTCGGCAACGCGCGACATTAAGTTTGGACCTCTGCCGCACCCTCCTCATTACAAAAGACCTAACATTGTACTGCCATCAGATATTGCACGATCTATCAGTTTAATGGAAAATAGAAATCGTGGTAGACTGATAGATGATGATGATGAAGGCCCTGCGCTGGTCATTCGGCGGCCACAGGATATTGAAGAAGAGGAGGAGCTAAGAGTGCAGCATAAAAGTCGGCAGCATCAGCATCAGCATCAGCATCGCGGACGTGGCCGCAAAGACTACCGATACAAAGGACATCGAAGTCACAAAGACCACCACAGTAAAAGTCACGAGAAAAGTCACGAGAAAAGTCACGAGAAAAGTAGTCACCCCCATAATAAGCATAAAGACGAAGACGACGACGATGATGACAATGAAAATGATGGAGACGATGAGGAAGATGAACCTAACGGCAAAAAACACACCCGAGCGAAAACCTCCGAATTTTTAAGAGTCCCCGGCCATATGCGCTCTGAAAGCTACAAGTCAAATAACTTATCTTCATCAACTTATGTGGCCGATTCGGCACCGCCGTCGGCAACCATGGTCGACCCGGAATATGATGAAGAGGCTGTTGAGAGCGCTGACGAAATGTCGCTGCCAAAACTCAGGCGGTCGGCAACGCACAATCCACAGAACGTTAAGGAGAAGACCGAACGCGTATCATTTGGAGATGAAGGCGATCACGAAGGTAAGTCTCCACATGACAGCGGTGGGGACCGGGCTGAAAAAATGGATAGGCGGCGTGCACGATCACTGGATGGTGGAAGTAAGTCCACGGCTCGCCCAGTGTTTCCGCGGGCATTTTCTAATTTTAAAAAGCGATGGAACGAACAAGGATCACTATTATCCCCAGACACTGGGACCACTATGAACGTTGAAGATAATGATGATTACAGTGATGGTGACAGTGATGATGATGACGGAGCCAGCGAGCGCAGCATTAGAAGCCAGGCTCATCGTCGACACAAGTATCGCTCGCAACAATACTTTTTGAGTGCGCCCACACGCACCATGACGATGGACTCTGACGAAGATGGGTCCCAAAACCTGGGGTTAAGACGAGCCATGAGTTCCAACTATTTATCGTGGCAACCAACGGTTGAAGGTAACTCTGTGTTTATAAACTTGACTCAGGATCAAAAAAATGAGCTGGGTGGTGTGGAATACCGTGCACTTAAACTGCTGGCCAAGATTTTGCTCATGTACTATGTGGGCTGGCACGTTATTGCGCTTGTAATTTTTACACCCTGGGGGCTGCATTCTAAAAGCCATAAGGCTTTATTTGAAGAGATTGCTGTGCACCGTGGATGGTGGGGCATTTTCACAGCAGCCTCTTCATTTAACAATCTGGGTTTAACACTAACGCCGGCATCCATGGCTAATTTTTCATCCTCCATCTATGTTCTGATCTTTACACCGTTTTTCATGATTATTGGTAATACCGGGTTCCCTGTGTTTTTACGCTTTACCATTTGGTTGATGTTCAAGTTGACTGATCCTTATGGACGCATGCATGAGTCTCTGGGATTTCTTTTGGACCACCCGCGTCGTTGTTTCACCTTGCTGTTCCCCTCTGGTCCCACTTGGTGGTTGTTTGGTGTCGTTGTTATGTTGAATGTGATTGATACCGTGCTTTTTTTGATTCTTGATCTTGACAACCAGGCCGTGATTATCATCCCCGTTGGATACCGCATTATGTCTGGTTTGTTTCAAGCTGTGGCAACTCGAACAACCGGCTTTGGCATTTTAAACATTGGCCAGCTGCATCCTGCCGTGTTGGTCAGTTACACAATCATGATGTACATCAACATTTTTCCCGTGGCTATGTCGGTGAGGCATACCAATGTGTATGAAGAACAAACTTTGGGTCTTTACCGTGCACCAACAGGGTTGCGTGTAAATGGATCGAGACCAGCAACAATTGCGACAATGGGAATTCCACCTGAGAACAGCAAGGCAAAGAAAATATCGGATGTGTCTACGCATTTGATGCGACAACTTTCTTATGACTTGTGGTTTATGTTTATTGCTCTTTTCGTTATTTGCATTTCGGATGGCGGCAAAGTGACAAGGGCCACTGATTCTGTGCCAATCTTCAATATGCTTTTTGAGGTAACAAGCGCATACGGCACAGTTGGTTTAAGTACTGGATATCCTGACTCCAATACATCTCTGTCCGGCCACTTTTCTGTGATTGGCAAGTTGGTGATTATTGGGCTATTGTATCGTGGGCGGCATCGTTCGTTGCCATATGCGATTGACCGTGCTATTATGTTGCCATCCAAGACGATGGAAGAAAACGATATAGCACAGGAGGTTATGGTGAGCTCGCGACGCAACACGGCTTGGAATGGGTTCCCGCGGTCGTTTACAGAAACTACAACCATGGCGCGCATGAATAGTAACCCGGTGTCGTCATACGACTACACTAGTCGGAGTGGGAGCAGTAGTAGCAGCAGTCTGAATAGTAGTAGTAACAGTAACAGCAGCAGCAATGGCAGCAATGGCAGCAATGGCAGCAATGGATCTGACAGGTATGGTGTGCACCCGACGAGTAGTTACAGGGACGAATTGACTCGAACGTTTACGACAGGGAGCCGGCGGGCATTTGAACGGAATGCTGGGTTATCTCTTCGAACAAATCATAATGACCATCACCAATTAGGGTGAAAGATAGATAGAAGAAAAAAAAAAGTTTCTTAAAAAGTTTTTAAAAAGTTTGTGATTTTTGCATTATTTACGTTGAATATAATAGAAAAAAAAAAGAATGAATTAAAAAAAAGCTATTCTCATTTGAATACGGATTAATCGAATTTGAAAAGAGAAAAAAAATTTTTTTTTTTTTGAATAGACACTAAAGTTGATTAAAAAGTTATTATCCAGTTATACATTGCCAAAAAGTAATGCCTTCTAGCGGAATTGAACCGCTGACCTTTGCATGGTCTCGCCTGTGTACGAGTGCAACGCTCTACCCCTAAGCTAAGGAGGCATAAGCTTAATCATGTGACATTAAGTTAAAATTTTATCTTCCAGATATTAATTTAAAGAAAACTAGAAAAAGAAATTTTTTTCCAACGTTTTTAACGGTTTTTTTTTTTTTTTGATTACCAACTTTAAAATTTTTTATTATTTTTATAATTATTAGGTTATCAGCATAATAATTATTTTTTTATTCTAGAAGAACAAATGAATGGCTTTGTATTTTTCACATGTGTTGTATTTGTTGGTAGCTACAAGAGTTTAATAATCTAAGAGTTCTTGAGGGCTTTTTTTTTTTTTGTTCTTTATCTATTACTTGCTTTATTTCTATCAAATAATCAAGTTTAAAATTACTCAAATAAAATAAACTACTACAATATACTAAAGGATTATCTAGTTTTTTTTAACACATAGATAGCAAGCATAATATAGTAAACATAGTATTCAGTGCAACTCTAGTAGAAACTAGGAGAAAAAAAATATCAAATCAGCAGAATGTGCAGAGCCACGAAACAGTTTGTTTAGCGCATGACCATTCTGGTGGTTTGTTTGCAGCCGATTAAAAGGTCACAAGGTTCATTGATATGAATCAGGAGCAGAAGCATTGGCAGGGGAGGGGGGGAGCTGATGGATTTGGAAAATGCTCAATATGTACTGATGATAATTGATAACGAGGATGGAGATACGTAGGCTGGTTATTGGGCAAATACATTCATCAATATCAATCAACACACACTACTAGCAACAATATTCTCTCTGGTTTGCTATCTTGTTGCAATACAATTACAATACAATACAAATATATATATTATTATTGCGTACAAAATTGAAAACATAAAACACAAAAAACAACGGGATGGTAAACCCCGGCAAAAAATGACACTCCTTTTCCTCCCCTAAATGAATGGCCAGCCGATGACGCACGAGGCAAAGGAGGGACATTGGTGGGATGGAAGCCAACCGACTTGGAAAACACATTGAAAAAAACAAAAAAAAAAGCCCAACGGATATTCCGTCGAAGTGAATATGAAATCAAAAAGAAGGGTCTGTTAGTTGCTACTACTATATTATTATATAAACAAACAATACAACATTGTATTGTGTGTATATATATATATAATTATTATAAAGTAACAGTACTTTTAATTAGGAAGGCTAAAAAGGTTCTGAGCTGGCAAGTTTTTATTTATTTTAAAAAAAAAAAAATTATTGCAAATGGCCAGCTAAGCCCTAATCTTGGGACTCGGGGACTTCTAGAATATAGCCAGGTGGAAGAAAGTCGAGTTCCATTTGGTGCGCTCCTAAAAGAATGAAGAGGGGCTTATCTTTAGGAGGCTATTCGGTGATATCTAGTCCGTTGCTTGAATCACCCGGTGCAAACAGAGTTTCTGGTTAATTCTTCAAGCTGAGATACAAATGGGAAATTTTGTTTTGTTTTGTTTTTTATATTTTATTATTTTATAATTCTTAATTTTAAGATCTTTAATTAATCCCTCTAAAGACTTGGAGATTCTTACCAAAAATGAATCCACCCGTTCTAATGGGAAAAGAAAAAAAAAAAAGCCCTCTCCGATCTGTTGCGACGGCTCGCCATCACCGCCGCTCCATATGACTAAAAGAGTGCGCGGGTGTCTGCGCACGCGCTTGTTGGCAGTTTTGACTGGCTGTGTTAAACAAGTTGGTGGTTGTCGACCAGCAAGACGAACCAACTTTAAAGATGAGTCTTTAATCTGCGATTGCCCGATTAGGAAGCGCAAGCATTCTTTTTTTTTTTTTTTTTTTTCCACTCATCAGTCATAATAATAATAATATTATTATTATTATGTCCAGTAAATCCCGGCATTAGAAATTGATTTTTTTTTATTTTTTTTTTTTATAAATACTCGCATAAATGTCCCTTCTAATCTTGGCTTTTTTTTGAAATTTTCTTTCAAATATTCTAAAATCATTTCCCAAAAAATAATTTCAACATGTTTATATAAATACAGACCAATTTGCCCATAAGTTTTATACACTTTTTTCTTTTCTCTTCATCAACAATAATACAATGATCAATCACTCATCGAATAATAATAATAACAACAATAACAATCATAGCCGGCCTGCACTGAGACAATCTAACTCAGACTCGGACTTTAATTCATCTCTCTCATCGTGCTCCTCTGGATGGAGTTCCGACAGCGACTCATCGGCTTCTTCAGCTTCTGATTTTGATTCAGACTCGGAAACCATTTGTCCACCACCAATGTCGACTCCTCCAACTCCAGCCTTGAGTCCTCCTTCTCCTCCTTCTTCTCCTAACTCTCAATCCTTTGCCGACAAGGTTAAAGAAAATGCCCACGGGTTTCGCGACTCTGCTCTGCAAACATTTGCAGCGCTGGCCAACGACGACCGCGAGGCGCTCATCCTCATGACTGCCCATCTTGCAGATCTCCCAACAAAAACCCCGTCAAAAGACTGGGCCGCTTATGCCCGCACTCTGGCTCGCGCATACGACGTGGCCAAGTTTGAGGACTACCGTGTGTTGACGCTGCGCACTCGTAGTGCTCTCTACTCTCTGACGCATGCACCCTCCTCACACTCGACCTCGCCGGGCTACATCCCTCCGCTGTCACCCGCCGCGGCCTACTGTGCCTCTGGCTTGCGCTCGTGGATCTCGTCCGAACTGGTTCCGGCCCTGCATCACACGCTGGTTCGCATTGGTCCGCAGGCGGCCCAGACAATTATTTCACAGGCTTCTCTTGATGCCATTGCCCAGGAACACGCACTGCTGTCATGCGCATGGCTTCCTGAGTTTTCAGATAAGTTGGTTGCGGCCGGGTGCCGTTGCGATGCGTCTGTTTTTTGCGCCTTTACTAGCACACCAAGGTACATGTTTCTTATGGACCTGAAGCGTGTTGCAGCTGCCGTTTCTGCACAGATTGAAGCGGCCGTGCCACACGACGTGGCTGCAGCCTTTAGACTGGAGCACTCGCAACAAGAAGATGTGGTGAGCTTGGGTTCATGGCTTGAGTTTTTGGAGCGTAGAGCTGCCAGTTTCTCAAATAATGATGATGCCCGTGCTTGCGCTGGTGCTTGTACTAAGGCTGGGCGACGCAACAGAGCTAGTCATGCTGGCATGACTGAGGATCTTTCTACTACTTCTGGTGGCAACTTTACAAGTTCTACCAAACCTTTGCATGCCACTTACCGACGTCGGCAGGTGGCCATTTTGTAATGATTTTTATGAACTCTTATAAATATAATAATAATGACGCATATTTTTTTTTTTAAGCTTTTTCTTTTTTAATTAATTCTCATTATCTTCGGATGCTTGTTGTCCAGGTTGACTTAAAGATCGGATAAATCATTTTGATGGATCGGATTATTTTTCAAAAAATTTTCATCGGATTAATGCACACCGACAACTTGTAAAAAATGAAAAAAATTTAAAACTTAACCGACCCCGGTGAGGATTGAACTCACGATCTCACGATTAACAGTCGTGCGCCTTCACCAGCTGGAGTTGTGTCAAAATCCAAAACGCGTTTTCGATTTAGCCCAATTAGGAAAGTGTACTTTTTTTCCTCAAAATCCGCCTTTTTTTCGTAACGCGTTTTTTTTAAAGGGTGCTTAACCACTCGGCCAGATTTTTTGGCCCAAGCATTTTGAGAGTAACCCAACCCACAACCATTTTTCTTATATTTAAAAACTCCATTTTCATATCGATTTTCAACAACCACAACACCTTCAACTCTCTTTCTTTATTTTATAAATTTATTCTTCATTTGTTAAATTTTATGGTCATATTTTTATTTATTTTTAATTCATCTCCTTAATGTCACCAGATCTCAACCTTATCGACAAACTTGTTTGATCCACATCTACACCAAAAAGTTTGCCTGTTAATAGCGACCCTTAAGAATCAAACATTTCAGATAACAAAGTTTCTGCTAATAGATAACATCATGAAAATATTGATGCGCTAAATGATTTTGTTGTAGGGGTCAACAATCAATTGATTCAGAAAAACTTTTATACGGTCTTTATTCTTCCAAATCCAACAAACCCTTCGCTTTAAAAGTCTATTCGTACGCTGAGAGAAGCTACCAATGTCTTGAATACGACTGCAAATTATATTTTCAATACATTGTCGGAATTTAATCCTTTTATAAGGACTCAATTGATCTTGTTCATTGAAAGGTTGCTGCACTAATTTGTGAAAATCACCCCTTTCCTCTCAAGTATATTAACCCAGCAGATATAGAAAAAAATAAGCCTTCAGCACGAATTAATTAAATAGAATATCAGAACTAGATTTAGAGACTACAGTTGATTAAAAAACAGTGAAATAACAGCACGTTCCGGAAGCGTTGCTTTGCCATGTTCAAGTGCCAAAAATTGACGCTGTCAGAATGGGTGTGATAAATCTTAAACAACAGGAGACATCTATGTATCATGATTGTTCTTATGATTTTACTCATTTCTAAACTAAAGGTGATTTAAACGAGTGATTAGAAAATAGGAAATGTGACGATAAAACATCTAGAGAGGTCATAAAGGCATCCTTAAAGCAGTTTAAGAAAAATCTAATATTACAACCACCATAAATGAAAATAACTTCGGCCATATTGTCACTACATCTATTCACAGAGTTTATGACAGTTTATACAAGCTCACGCATCCTCCCATGTTCTTCATCTGAATCCATTCTCTCGTTGAATTGATGTTGCTGCTGCTGCAATCTACACGATAGCTTAAATTAACCTCCTCTTCTTGATTGATCCCCATCGTTGCTTTCATCTTGATCGGGAAAATAATGATTGAAATTGAATCTATGAAGCTCATTCTGAAAATGTAGTAATTAAAATATTGAAAAAGATATTGTAGATTTTTGGTTGTTAATGGCTCTAATGATTAATGAAAAGATAAAAAAACCAAAAAAAAAAAAAAAATGATTCGCAAACAATCTAATCAATTATTGCCTAAATCGTGTCTGTGCATATTCAGGGTACGGGTAAAAACCCGGATTACAAAAGCGGCCAATTTTTAATTCGCGGATTTATCATGTGACTTTCCGCTTCTTTGACACAGGTGGGCTTGGCCACGGAGTCTAGTAACCTTAAAAATGTAACTTAGTTTAAAATCATAAACCAAGTGTTTAAAAACCCTAACCCTAATGTTTACTTTTCTGGTACTTTTTTAAAATTGTTTATTTTTTTTTTTTTAAATATCCCTTCACCCCCACCCCACCCCATTTTCAGCAATGTCCAAAGAGGTAGTCCAACTCATTTTTAAAATCTCGTCAATTCTTTACTAACTTTTCTTCATTGCTTTTCTTATTATAGGTCACGGTTTTTGCGATTGATCTGAATTCGTCTATGGGCAAGTCCCATAATGGGCGCCCGGAATCGGATCTCCAGTGGGCCATGCAGTATGTCTACGACGTGATTGCTGACAAGATCCTGTCACAGCGTAAGACTGACTGTGTGGGAGTTTTAGTTTACAACAATGCAAATATATCCAAGATTATATACCCTATCAAACAGTGCTTTTTAAATGACATTAAAACCCTTCAAGAAAGACTTACACCTATCAAGGACGCACATGAAGTTAAGGAAAATGGGTTGCTGGACGCCATATTTACAGGGCTGCGGATGATTGTAGATTATACCAATAAAAACAAGTACATTCGCAATTTAGTAATAGTCACCAACGCACGGGGTCCCCAAATCATGCCCACAGATTCCAACATTGACCTGATATCCAAGCACTTTAAGGACCAAGAAATCAACTTTAAAGTGGTGGGCATTGATTTCAGCCAGGGATCGGAAGCCATTTCAAACAACCCCCATAAGGCTCATAATGAAATGATATGCAGGGAAATTGCAAGCAAGATTCCTGAAAACTTTGCAGTCGTGGGCACGGCCGAAGAGGCTATCGAACGCACATGTCGGCCGGTGGCCAAACATACCATGGCCATGAAAAAGTATTCTGGGCTATTGACACTTGGCGACGTAATTACTCACAACTTTGGCGACGATACCATATCAATTCCTATTGACGTCTACACAGGCACACGTGCAACGCCTCCAATCTCTGCGACAGCGACCACGGCCAAAAAGTTTATGCGAGATGAGACTAAGAACAATGGGATAGAGTTGTGTAAGGTGTCATTTGCTACGGAGTACTATATAAGTGACGGCAAGGGAGGTGAGAAGGTTGTGTTTCTGGATGAAGAAGAAGAAGAAACAGACGCAGAAGTTGTTCACAAGAAAGAACGGGGGTACCGCGTCGGGTCCGAGTTTGTTGTTCTTGGTGAACATGAAACAGAGCAATTAATGAAGGTTGCGTCTGGGCCTGATGTCAATTCTGTTCCAGGAGGAGTTTCACGAATGCTTGAAATTGTGGGGTTCATGCCGTACAACACTGTGCCACGCTGGATGGGTACGTCTGGCGTGGAGTACGTGCTTCCAGGGAAAAACAGTTTGTCTTCATCCGCTGCTCTGGCATCGTTTGTGAGAGCGCTTTATGAAACAGACTCTGTAGCACTGGTGCGTGCCAATGCAAGCGGTGGTCGTGGTGGCGGAGGACCTGGCGGTGCCACAAGTTCAAACCCTCCGCGGCTTGTGGACGGCTCTCCAACTGTATCTGTGTTACGAGGTGGACCCGAGATGCGGGTTCTTGTGCCTCAAATTACTGAAGCGTGTGAGATGTTTGTTTCTGTACGACTACCGTTTTCCGATGATGTTCGGCCATATGAGTTTGCGCCGGTGGGATTCTCTGTTGACCGGGCAACTCATCAAGCGGTGTTTAATCGAGATAATGTCCCGAGTGAGGAAATGCAAGATGCAATGGATTCCTTTGTGGATGCGATGGACGTAATGGAAGATGGAGCTGAGTTTGAAGGGGAGGCCACAGAATGGGGAGTTCCAGAGGATATTGTGAACCCACTTGTGCACCGTCTTAAGCAGGTGGTCAAACATGTTGGAATATATGGAAAGCCAGGCGAGCAGATTACAGAGCTGCCACCAATACCCTCAGGGTTGCTGGAGTATGCGGAGCCGCCGGTGCAGGCCATGACTAGGGCAGCTGCAGGACCAGCACCACGGCTGGAAAAGGCATTTAAGGTGACCAAGGCTGTACCGAAGAGTGAGCGAAACAAGGGTAAAAGGGACCTAGATGTTAGTCGGCCAGCGGTTGCGAGTGAGGCGTTGGATCTGGATGGACTTTTGGCTGGTACATGGACTCCGAAGAGTGAGAGTGGGACAGATGGTGGTAAAAATCAGCAAGATAGACAAGCAGATAAAACAAGTGAGCCATGGGGTGATTTGACCGAGAAGAAAAAGAAGAAAAAGGAGACGTTTGAAGAAGAGTACGAAAGACTTGAAGTGGAGATGACAGTTTCTGGAATTACGCCTGAAGCTAAGTATGCTGCAGCGGTTGCACTTTTTGATTTTCTTGCAGCACGGGGTGGAGAATTAGAGGAACTGCGTGGACTTGCGTCTGTTTCTTCAAAGGCACGAAACCAGGCCAAAGAGCTTTGCTGGAAAATGGAGAAAGCTGTTTTGCGGGTTATTGCGTTGGATTTAAATGGAATGACGAACCGGGAACGAGTAGAGGAGGAGCGGGAAGACTTGGAGCCTTGGATTAGGGATTTTAAAAATGAACTGATGTGAAATGGGTTCAAAACTAAGGTTGAATTTGTTTGTTTTGATTCAATGGTTATAAAACTATTAAACATCGGCTTCAACTTTTTCCTTTTAATTACATGACTGTGTGGGCTTGAGACCTAATAGATTGATCTTTTCAGTACAGGTAGTTTTGATATGTGCTCCCATTCTTGAAAAAATATTCTAATATAAGTTGACAAGACTTGGAATCCCCAGTATATCGGTCTCAAGGCTTACCTGAACTTATTCTACTTCACAAACTCCAGTATGTTTCTTGATCATGTTTGTCAAAGAAGCAGCATACAATCATACAATTAATCAATCAAGGGCAATTAGAATAAATGAATAGTCGTCTTTCCTGTTAGCCGGAGTAGCCCGGTGACTCAAGTGAGAAGTATACTGGAAAAAACCTCCTTGCTTGAAGGGCTCTTCAAAGCGAAACCAGAATCACTTGAAATCAAAAAAAAAAAAAAAAAGGGTTGTCCGCTGAATCAACAAGGAATTTTCTAGGTTAAGGTTATACAAGGGTTATTGAATTATATAAAATCAGGCTCTGCGCTATCCTTCTTGTCCATACTATATATCTTTTCATTTTCATAATAAACTTTTAATTTTGCCTTCAACATTGCATCTCCAACAGCCCGAAAATAAGTCCTGATGCCAGCATACGAGGAACAGAGGGTTAAAAATAACTAAACCTTCCCAACTTATCTCCACTTGTCTTCATCAACGCTGTAATTGTATTTCTTAATCCCTCCAAGCAGAGATAAAGCTTACAATCTCTTGTAAGCCAGTTAAACTGTTTAAGAGAGTCGATATGTCCATCTCTGGAGATATTTGTTTCAAACTTTTTCTTTCCTCTTCAAGCAATGGACACTCAACCAAAATGTGATGAACAGTTTCCAGCTCTCCACATTTGCAGTTGTAACTATCCTTTTCAATTCCAAACTTTTTAAACCATGCGCCAAAGTTGCCATGGCCTGTGCAAAACTGAGTGATATTACTCAAGATCCTTTGACTATCTTTCTTCATGATATTTCAATGAAGTTTGTTTGTTTGTTGTTTGTTTTTATTCAAGGGTATTTCAATGAAGGTTACATACAAAAATGATTATTAAACTAGTTGGCGGTGTATATGTTTTTAAAGGAAGGTTTATTTTTAACAAGTCACGTGGGCGTCTGGTGTAGTTGGCTATCACGTTCGCTTAGCATGCGAAAGGTCCCCGGTTCAACTCCGGTGTCGTCCATTACTTTTTTTTTACAAGTTGAGTTCAAATAAATATTTTTTTAAAATTTGCATAAGCTTAAAGTAAAGGGTGAAAAGAATGCCATTGAGATGAAAATTTTTGTTGAAACAAAATCTATCTTGGTTGATTGAAGAAATAAAAAAAATTCACTCTATTCGGCCATAATTTTAATTGTTTTAACAGTTCCGAACCGTGTGATCAAAAGAAATAATTAAATGATCGCTAATCTGTTTAAAATAAAATAAAAAGCGCATGTATTTAACAATGGTATTTGTAGTTCCTAGCAAAATTCTAAGCCGATCCAAAAGTAATGCTAAGATAATATTATCATTGGCCAATTGAAATGAATAAAAAATTAAAAAAAATTGTATAAATAAAATCTTAAACCAAAAACCCAATAAAATTTTAAAAAATAACGTTATAAAAAATATAAGAATATAAGAATATAAGAATATAAGAATATAAGAATATAAGAATATAAGAATATAAGAATATAAGAATATAAGAATATAAGAATATAAGAATATAAGAATATAAGAATATAAGAATATAAGAATATAAGAATATAAGAATATAAGAATATAAGAATATAAGAATATAAGAATATAAGAATATAAGAATATAAGAATATAAGAATATAAGAATATAAGAATATAAGAATATAAGAATATAAGAATATAAGAATATAAGAATATAAGAATATAAGAATATAAGAATATAAGAATATAAAGATAGGTAATCATTATAATGACAGGAATGTATAATTAGAAGTGGTGGTATGAAAAAGAGGGCAGACATGGATAGCAAATTTTATTACGAGGACAGTAAAAATGATGAGATTGGTGTAAAATATAATGTTAACAATATAAAGGTCGTTGTTCCTGGTAAAGGATGATAAAAATGGAATGTTAAAAAAATAGGGTAGGGGAAAAAAAGAAAAGACCGGTAAAAAGAACGAACAAAGTTTGGGAGATAGTTCTCACAATGAACAAAAAAAAGGAAAGCGGTTCGATTGACCAGAACACAATATAACGGAAAATCGACAAAGAGGCTGTATCACATTTTCATCAATGGTGGTCGTGGTTCCTCTGGATAACCAAGAGGCGGTCAATAAGCAGGGTCAAGGTCGGCACTCCTTGATTAATCTGCGACCAACCATCAAAGCATTGAATAACAGAAAGCATAATAAGTCGATTCATCACAACACAAAACAATCGTCAATCAACAAAAATGCTACCTCACACTTTCATCAATAGTGGTCCTGGTTCCTCTTGATAACAATAAGGAGGTCAATAAGCAGGATCAAGGGCGTCAACCCTTCATTAATCTGCGACCAACCATTAAAACATTGAAAAGCTAAAAGTATAATGGGTTGATGTAATGGGGTTATAAGTGGTAGTGAGATAGTGAGATAGTGAAGTAGTGAGGTAGTGAGGTAGTGAGGTAGTGAGGTAGTGAGGTAGTGAGGTAGTGAGGTAGTGAGGTAGTGAGGTAGTGAGGTAGTGAGGTAGTGGTATGTGTATGGGTTGGTGGGTGGGTGTGTGTGGTAGTTGCTTGCAGTGGAAGTTGCAGTTGCAGTTGCAACTTGTCACAAACAATGTTCGCCAATTCCATCAGTTTATCCAACATGTGTCCTCAATGTTGTTTGCCTGATCATTAACGATAGATGGATAAAGTCACTTCGATTGTCATGTCGATAAAGGAACCTATTATGGAGAACCATGACAGTATAGCTTTGGAGTTGAGTGAATCGCATGATGATCTAAAAAAAAATTAGTTAGCTAAGTATTGGGTGCATTGGAATAAGTAAACATACCAAAAGACCACTGCAACAATAACAAAATTAATGGTGGCAAAGAATGGCCGTATAATTGAGGTTAAGTGAATCGCATGTCAGTCTAAAAAAAATGTTAGTTCCATATGCTAAATACTGGATGCATTGGTATAAGTAAACTTACCAAAAGACCACTGCAACAATAACTAAATTAATGGTGGCAAAGAATGACCGTATCTTTGAGGTTGTGTGAAGATTTGTCCACTAAAGGGTTAGATCAATGATCTAAATATTGGTGCATTGGAATAGGTAGACTTACCAAAAGACCACTGCAGCTTGTTGAAAGTAATAACTTTAAAGAAATGTAGATGATAGTGTGTTTGAATATGGGATAGTATAGTATGGTAAATAATAGATCATAGTTGATAATAGAAATTGATGGTTGACAATAATGGTTGGTGGATGGTAATAGTAAGTGATAGTAGTAGATCGTGATATAGTAGTAAAGGTATAGGTTAAAAAAGATAAGTGCTGGGAAAAATAAATAGTAATTGAAAAAAAGGCGAGAAGATCTTTTATTTATACCACCATAGTTCTTTGTTTTTTTAAATTGTGACTTCCTCATATTGGAATTTCTCAACCGAATAACATAATTAAAAGGGGGTCCAATAGGGAAGAGCAACAACGGCACTCTTCAATTGATATTCCACAAACCACCATAATATTGAATAACTGAAACGACAACAGGTTGATTAACACAACACAACAAAATCGACAAAGAGGTTTCATCATACTTTCATCAATGGTGGACGTGGTTCCTCTGGATAACCAAGAGGTGGTCAATAAGCAGGGTTAAGGTCGGCACTCCTTAATTAATCTGCGACCAACCATCAAACATTGAAAAACAGAAAGCATAATAAGTCGATTAATCACAACACAAAACAATCGTCAATCAACAAAAATGTTGCCTCACACTTTCATCAATAGTGGTCCTGGTTCCTCTTGATAACAATAAGGAGGTCAATAAGCAGGATCAAGGGCGTCAATCCTTCATTAATCTGCGACCAACCATTAAAACATTGAAAGGCTAAAAGTACAATGGGTTAATATAATGGTGTTGTAAGTGGTAGTGAGGTAGTGAGATAGTGAGATAGTGAGATAGTGAGATAGTGAGATAGTGAGATAGTGAGATAGTGGTATGTGTGTGGGTTGGTGTGTGGGTTGGTGTGTAGGTGTGCTGGTGTGTGCTGGTGTGTGCTGGTGTGTGCTGGTGTGTGCTGGTGTGTGCTGGTGTGTGCTGGTGTGTGCTGGTGTGTGCTGGTGTGTGCTGGTGTGTGCTGGTGTGTGCTGGTGTGTGCTGGTGTGTGCTGGTGTGTGCTGGTGTGTGCTGGTGTGTGCTGGTGTGTGCTGGTGTGTGCTGGTGTGTGCTGGTGTGTGCTGGTGTGTGCTGTTGTGTGCTGGTGTGTGCGGGTGTGTGCGGGTGTGTGTGTGGGTGTGGTAGTTGCTTGCAGTCGCAGTTGCAGTTGCAACTTGTCACAAACGATGTTTACCAATTCCATTAGCTTATCCAACATGTGTCCTCAATGTTGTTTGCCTGATCATTAACGATAGATAGATGGATAAAGTCACTTTGATTGTCATGTCGATAAAGGAACCTATTATGGAGAACCATGACAGTATAGCTTTGGAGTTGAGTGAATTGCATGATGATCTAAAAAAAAATTAGTTAGCTAAGTATTGGGTGCATTGGAATAAGTAAACATACCAAAAGACCACTACAACAATAACAAAATTAATGGTGGCAAAGAATGACCGTATCATTGAGGTTAAGTGAATCGCATGTCAGTCTAAAAAAATGTTAGTTCAATGAGCTAAGTATTGGATGCATTGGTATAAGTAAACTTACCAAAAACCACTGCAGCTTGTTGAAAGTAATAACTTTAAAGAAATGAGGATGATCGTATGTTTGAATATGGGATAGTATAGTATGGTAAATAATAGATCATAGTTGATAATAGAAATTGATGGTTGACAATAATGGTTGGTGATTGGTAATAGTAAATGATAGTTGATAGTAGTTGATAGTAGTTGATAGTAGTTGATAGTAGTTGATAGTAGTTGATAGTAGTTGATAGTAGTTGATAGTAGTCGATAGTAGTTGATAGTAGTTGATAGTAGTTGATAGTAGTTGATAGTAGTTGATAGTAGTTGATAGTAGTTGATAGTAGTTGATAGTAGTTGATAGTAGTTGATAGTAGTTGATAGTAGTTGATAGTAGTTGATAGTAGTTGATAGTAGTTGATAGTAGTTGATAGTAGTTGATAGTAGTTGATAGTAGTTGATAGTAGTTGATAGTAGTTGATAGTAGTTGATAGTAGTTGATAGTAGTTGATAGTAGTTGATAGTAGTTGATAGTAGTAGTTCGTGATATAGTAGTAAAGGTATAGGTTAAAAAAATAAGTGCTGGGAAAAATAAATAGTAATTGAAAAAAAGGCAAGAAGATCTTTTATTTCTACCACCATAGTTCTTTGTTTTTTTAAATTGTGATTTCTTCCTATTGGAATTTCTCAACCGAATAACATAATTAAAAGGGGGTCCAATAGGGAAGAGCAACAACGGCACTCTTCAATTGATATTCCACAAACCACCATAATATTGAATAACTGAAACGACAACAGGTTGATCAACACAACACAACAAAATTGACAAAGAGGTTTCATCATACTTTCATCAATGGTGGACGTGGTTCCTCTGGATAACCAAGAGGTGGTCAATAAGCAGGGTCAAGGTCGGCACTCCTTGATTAAGCTGCGACCAACCATCAAACATTGAATAACAGAAAGCACAATAGGACGTTTTAGTATAGCATAGTATCGTATGAGTGAGTGAGTGTGTGTGTGGGTGTGGGTGTGTGTTTGGGTAGTTGAAGTCGTAGTTGTATATGTAGCTGCTGTCATCACATCTGAATAACATTGTTGACAAATTTAATTCACCTTCGATGATATCCCAGGTTGGAGACCTTCAGTCGTATAGTAATATTGATTATCTCCTTTACAAACAACTCATGGTAACTAATGCTCAATCTTTAGCATTGAGGTCCAGTCGATCATATGTATTTTCTAGTAGAGAGTTAGATTAAGAGCCTAAGTATTACATGTGTTGGTATATGAAAACTTACAAAAAGTACACTTTAACAATAAAAGAAATAATGATGGCTTAATATGACTGTATACTTTTGAGATTGAGTCCAGGTGATGTTTGTCTATTACAAAGTTAGATCAATAACTTTAGTATTGGGTGAATCGGTATTAGTAAACTTACCAATAGGCGACTGCAACATATTGAAAGAAATAATAGCAGAGAAATGTGAGTGAGAGTGTTTATAGATAGTATGATATGGTAAATAGTAGTTGATAGTAGATGGTAGGAGAGATGGTAGTAGATGGTAGTAGTAGATGGCAGTAGTAGATTGTAGTAATAGATGGCAGTAGTAGTTGGTAGTAGTAGTTGGTAGTAGTAGTTGGTAGTAGTAGTTGGTAGTGGTAGTTGGTAGTAGTAGTTGGTAGTAGTAGTTGGTAGTAGTAGTTGGTAGTAGTAGTTAATAGTAGTTGATAATAGATGGTAGTAGATAGTAGATTTCAATAGATATTTAGAGGTAGAGGTTTAAAAAGTTGTGTAAAAGTGAATGGTAAGAGAAAAGAAATAAAAATCAAAAACACCGGGGGGAAGCCTTTTATTTATACCTCCATACTTTTTTTTTTTTTATTTTTTATAAATTTATAAATTTATTAATCTACTTCTTCTTAAGGAAATTTCTTAACTGAATCTAAGAAAAATAAAATAAAATAAAATTCCCATCATTGATGTTGTTGCGATTTCTTTTTTAACAATTGAGACTTATCACATGGCAATATAATATCTATTTCTTAGATGGCCAATCCAGTATGATAAAATGGTATATACTTTACATAGAAGTATGAATCATTTATGTCATTTATAAATATTTGTAGATTGAAATAGTTGAATTTATATCTCAAAAAAAATTAAAAGTATTAAATAGATTAAATATATCTTAAAATATAAAGTATAGTTGATAGAAACAACAAGTTAAAACTCAAACTGTAGTGGGGTATTAAAGGCTTGTTTACCTAAGTAAATATATATGGTGGGGTTAATAGAGATCAGGTTTAGGGTTAAATGATACAAATATATTGTCACTTATCAGACTTTTTCTCTAACTTGAACTGTTTTTTTTTTTGTATATATATTTCATTTATTTCAATTGTTAGTTTAGGAATAGCCAATTCTTAATTAATTTTTTTATTGTTAGTTAAAATATATTTATTTCAAATGTTCTTTTAAAAGAACAAAACAAATTTGTTTTAGTTTAAATGCTATTGAAGGATTTAAAATCAGCATCTACACTATCCTATTTTTTTGCTCATATCATAAACGGTTCCTGTTATAATTACAATTTTGTAATTTTTTTAATTTTTTAATTTATTCTAATTAATTATAATCCTATTTGTTTAAAATTTTTAGCTCAAATAATGCTTAAAACACTATTTTTACAAATTTTTATTTATCTTAACATGTGTTTTGAATACACAGTCAATTTTAAACTTTCAAGCTATTCCTTGTGGCCCAATGGCAAGGCGTTCGCCTACGATCATTAATGGTTACATAGCGAAAGATTCCAGGTTCGACCCCTGGCAGGGAAGCTTTAACTTTTTTTTGTTATTTTTTTTCCCTTTTATTTTATTTGTTGGTTTTTTTTTTTTTTTTTTTTTTTTTTTGCTGTGTGAGTGTGATAATTTCAGTGCATTTTTAACTTTTTTTATTTTGTTGTTAATATTCCACTTGTGGTAGGGTAACCCATCACGTGGGGTGGCGGCACTGATGACGTTTTTTATTATTTTTTTTTACTTTTTTTTGCTTGTTTATAAGAGATGAGACAGTTTAGCTGTAAGATTTGAATGTTTTTTTTTTTTTATTATAAACATATATATTTATTTATTTATTTATATATATAAATATATTAGGATTAATGACTGGGTCATTTGTTTTTGGATTGTAGAAAAAAAAAAAATAAATAAAAACGGCTTTTTTTTTTTTTTTTTTTTTTTTTTTTAACTTTGATATTTATTTATTTATAATAATAAAATATATTAATTTGGTCTTATAAAGATTTTTATTTAAATTTTGTTTAAATTATATATATAAAGAATTTCTACTACTACTACTACTACTTTGAAGTAAATATTGAATTGAATTGAATTTCATTTAATTGAATTGAATTGAAAGTTGAATTTGCGTCTTTTTTTTTCTCTCTCTCTCTATCAATAAGTTAAAAAAACGTTTAATTTTTTTTTTTTTGTTTATTTGTTTATTTGTTTATTTATCGCCCATTTAAAAAATAAAAAAAAATAAAAAAATAAAAAAAAATAAAAAAATAAAAAAATAAAAAAATAAAAAAAACCTCCTCCTTATAGGTTTTTTTTTTTATTTTTTTTATTTTTTTTTTTTATATCGCAGCCAGCTTGCCAGCAAGTTAAATTTCTTTAGATAACAAAAAAGATTGCAATTTGACAAAAGTGAAAAATTTCAAAATAAGAAATTCTTTTTTTTTTTTTTGTTATTTTTTTATTTTTTTATTTTTTATCACAACCACCAGTTTTCATTTTCTATCAAAAGTCAAGTCTTTTAATAATAATAATAATATTAATATTAATAATAATTAATCTCTTTAATTGATAAATTATACTTAGAAACTTATCAAGGGTTCTTAATATAATCCTCAACTGCTATCTATATCTCTCTATCTTACAATATTTATATCCTACTATAATTCTTAAACACATTTTTTTTTCTTTATTTCAATCTCAATTACTCCCTCACCAAAACAATGACAGCTCAGCTACCAAACTCAGGCTTTCAAGCTGCTGCTGCTGCTGCTGCTGCTTCTTCTACTGCTTCTATTGCAGCTACTACTACTGTTGCTACTAATAATAATGCTTCTCATATATCAGGCTCATCTACCTCTGCTCATGCAATCCCGCTGGCCGGGCCTTCTAGTCTATCTCAACACAGTGCACCAACTCACGGTGCTCTCAGTTCTCTTCTGGCAGCTGCAAGCGCAGCCTCTCAGGATGCAGCCCTGTCGCGTCAAAACGTGCAACAAGCCAATAACAACAGCAATAACGGAAACAGCAATAACAGTAGCACTAACAGTAGCAGTAGCAGTAGTAGTAACAGCAACACTCAAACTCTTTCATCTGCAACCAATAACAACTCAAATAACACGACAACTGGTGGACCCGGCGCAGGCACCGGCCCAGACTACTCGTCATCCTCGTCATCCTCGTCTCCCAACGCTCAAGCGTCAGTAGGGTCTTCCCCAGCCTCCTCAGCAAGTCTTTCCAACCGCCGGTACTCTGCCACCCCAGCGTCAGCAGCTACTAACAACCCTCAAACAAGCAATAATATCAACATTAATAACAACAACAGCAATAGCAATAGCAACAACAACAACAACAACAACAACAACAACAACAACAACAACAACAACAACAACAACAACAACAACAACAACAACAACAACAACAACAACAACAGCAACAACCTCTTAGCAAAACAGTCAGCAGCTATGCTCCCAAGTCCAGCAACAGGAATAACTACACCGATAACCTCCTCAGCTTCAGCCTCTAATAGTGGGGGAACAACCGTTCCATCACTCAAACCTTCAGCTGCCATATTGGCTGCAGCCGCGGCAGCCGCGGGTTCACAAGGAGGCATGGGCTCAACAGCCACCGCACTCCCAGGTGGAAGTCCCGGGTCTCCATCATATGCAGGCCCGCTTAATACAAATTCTCCGCTTGCGCTGGCGGCTGCAGCCGCCGTGACGCCGGAAAAACTAGCTGGTCTATTGCTTTCACAAGGACCTTTGCCCATTCGTCATATTACCAATCACCTGGCCTTGACTATTCCAGGTTTTGGCGAGCTTTCATTATCCAAACAACGCCGCCTTATCATTGCTGCTCTCGACGTTACGGACCCTGTCCACCAAGTTCGCTTTGATAAGGTTGGCTGGGGCCGCTGGGCCGCTCGGAAACTGGACGGAAGTGTACCCGGGTCCACTAGTTCGGCAGCAGCCCCTGGAGGGGCAACAACTGGCGCTAATGCACAAGGAAATGTTGGCGCGCACCACCAACAACAACAACAACAACAACAGCAACAGCAGCCAAATACGGTTATTACAAATACGAGAATTCCAACAACAGGAGCCCGACGTCGCCGCGAGTCTTTGCCGGCACTTGCAAATGCAGCAGTCCGTCCACCGCTGTCACCCTTACTTAGACCTACGGATAATTCGGGTGTTGGCGGGAACAGTGCTCTGTCTACTCCTACACAAACAGCTGGCGCCGCATCGCTACTTGCTGCGGCGTCACTGCGGTCGCAAGCCACAAGCGTTTGGGCCGACGATTACGATGAATCTTCGTCTGCTCACGCTTCGCTTTCGTCAACCCCTGGGTCTAGTGTGGGTAAGCCTGGAGCAATGATGAGTCATGCAGCAGCAACAACAACAACAACAACAACAACAGCAGCAACACAATCCACGGCACAGACACATCGCAGATTAAGTCACTCAACACCTTTGCATCCAACCACTCTCACACGCAACAGAAGACGCCGCCGCAGTAGTATTCACCGCGCTCGGATGATGTTTAAAGAAAATGTTGGTGTGAGTAGTGATGATGACGATGACGAAGATGATGATGACGATGGGCTGGACGATATTGGAGACATGGATGAGGACGAGGAGCGCGATGAAGCTGCCGTTGATGTATTAAGATTGAAGCATCAAGGTTCTCTTCCTAAACAGCAGCAGTATCAGCAGCAACAGCAACAGCAACAGCACCAGCAACAGCAACAGCAACAGCAACAGCAACAACCCATGAGGTCGTCTTTGGTGATTGGGTCTGGAAATAAACGAGTGAATGGACCTCGAGTCAGTTTCAAGACTGAGCGGGACGTGCATGGAGTAGTGGACATGGAGTTTGATGACCTTATGGACTACGATAAAGAGGATAACGACCATGCGATTGTGAGCGATGACGAGGATGATGACGAAAGTGAAAGCGAAAGTGATTTTGAAGGAATGGCGGGACGTATGGACCTTGAAGAAGACGGGAAGCCTCCCAAAAAACACGGGAGCCGAAACCGAGGTTCTAGAAATAAGCCGAGTGGGTCAGTTGGTATTACCGACAAGTACTTGCCTCCACTCCAACCCAAAGTTCCACAACACCAAGCTCAACACATGTCGTCATCATTTTCGTCATTATCATCATCTGGAACAATCACTGCTGCTGCAGCAGCTGCAGGTAAATTACCTGGGTTTTCTGGGTATGCGCCAATTGCAGCAAAACCATTGTCATCATCGCCGACATCTGCTGGGTTTGCTACACGGCAAATGTTTGAGCAACGTAATGGACTTCAGCAACAAATGCGACGGCGGCAAAGTGAGACAGACGAAGAGGATTGGCAAGCAATTGGTGCAGCGTCGTTGAGACGGACTAGTAGTGGAAGTGCAGGGGATGTTGCAGTACGAGGGTTTTCAACATCACCAGGTGGGGCCGGAGGGTATTATTTCAAGCCGCAACATGGGGCTCGCGAGAGTATAAGTAGCAGCAGCAGTAGTAGTGGAGGAGGAGGGATTGGTGGTGGAAGTTTGTTGATGAGTCCAACGAGTGGAGGAGGTCAAGGTGGATTTGGAGGAGCAGGAGGAGCAGGTGGAGCAGGGTTTTACAGTAACCCGAGTCCCGTTGGAAGTTTAGAACAGCACTCGTTAAGTTCACCTGGGTTTGGTGGGTTTCTAGGAAGCACTAGCAGTGGAAGTAGTCACGGGTTGCAATTAAATCCACAACAACAACAACAGCAGCAGCAGCAGCAGCAGCAGCAGCATGGACCACATTCGCAACAAGTGAATTCGTTACGCAGCACGCGGCCCACACCTTTGTCATCTCCACCCGGGTCATACTATGGTAGTGGAAATGGTAGTAATGGTAGTGGAATGCGTGGGACGTCTAGTGGAGGAAGAGGAACAAGTCCTGGAACAATGGCATCATCATTGTCAGTCCAGCAACAACAACAACAACAACAGCAGCAGCAGCAGCAAACAAGTTCAGCGCTATTACAATTGGCTGGAGGTCCAGGACAAGTGACAGATAAACTGCCAGGTGTTGCGGATATGATGCGTGGGGCATCACCACCACAACAATACAAGGTGCCGCTGGCCGGGACAGTAGCAGTAGCAGCAGCAGCAGCAGCAGCAGCAACAGGCCAACAACAACAAACGGGTGCAACAACAGGTATTGCAGATTCGCGGGCCGAGGAAGATGCCATTGCTGCGCTTGTACAACTGCGCACAATTACGTGAAACTTTTTTTTTTTTATTTCAAATTAGAATCAATAGCTCTTACTCTCTTACTCTCTTTGTTTTTTTTGTTTTTTTAATTATACAAAAAAAAACACAAATCAAAGAGGTTTGATTTTCAATTTTTTTTTCATTGTTTGTTTGTTTTTTTTGTTATAAAAAATCAAAATTTTTCATTCATTTTTGTTTTATTTTTTTTTTTTTTTTAAAACACATTTTCCACATTAAAAGTTATTTTTCATTTTTGTTTTGTTTTCATTCTTTTAAAATCTCATCATCCTTTTAAAAAAAAAAAAAAAAAGGGGAGGAGGGGGGGGGAATGGCAAAAGCCTTTCTTTAGGCACCCAAAGTGGGGAACTCGTCAGTGTTGGCAAGGTTGACGGCAGGAGCAGCAGGAGCAGCAGACTTCTTTTGCTGCTGAGCGGCACGGGGGGCCTGGCGCCGGTTGTTGTTGCTGTTGCGGTCACGGGGGGCTCTGTGGTTACTGCTGTTATCTCTGTTGTCTCTGTTGTTATTGGATCTGCGGGGGGGGCGGTCAGATCTAGGAGCAGATGCTGGGGAAGAAGCAAAAACGGGGTTAACCTCGAGAGTGACCTTTTCCTTAGTCTTCTTGGACTTGACAGCCTTGACCTTAGAGGCAGAAACAAAGTCTTCCTCTTCACGCTTGAGAACAGCCTGGTACTTGGAGTCCTCAGCACCTTCATTGGGCTTGCGGGTCTCAGCAGCGGGGCCACCAAGAGCGGCAGACTCAACGCTCAACTCCTCAAAGTACTCTTCAAGAGTCTTGGTGACGGCTTCAGGCTCAACAGGCTCAGCGGGGGTAGCAACGGCTTCAGCAGAAGCATCAGCAGCGGCTTCAACAGACTCAGATTCTTCATCAGCCTTGGCAATAGTTTCAGCAGCCTTTTCATCATCAAGCTTCTTCTTGTCATCACCCCAGCCCTTTTCGACAGTCTTTTCAGTGTCGGCCTTGCCAGAGCGCGAGTGTCTGTCATTGCTGCGGTTGCCAGAGGCACGGGGAGGGCCACGGCGAGCAGGACGACCACCCTCAGTCTTCTCATCAAGAGGACGAGAACGGTTGGCATCACGGCCAGCATTGCGATCGCGGAAAGCAGCCTCATTGCCCTGGTACTGGGGGCGCTTGGAGGGTCTGCTGCCACTGTTGTTGCTGCGGGGGTTCACATCAGACTTCTTGGTAGAGGCAGTCTTCTTAACAACCTCACGGACAGGGCCAGCGGCCTTGGGGTTGATGGAGTTCTCCTCGTCTAAATGAAATTTGTTAGAAAAGATTTTTCTTAAAAAATAAATAAAAAAAAAAATTTTCAAACTGCTTTGATTTGATTAAAAAAAAAAAAAAAAAAAAAAAAGAAGAAGACAACGTACCAAGAACAGCAAAAAGGTTCTATTTAAAAAAAAAAATAAGAAGAAGAAGAAGAAGAAAAAAACTTGTTAGATATTATAATTTGATTGATTGATTGATTGATTTATAAAAGAATAAATAAAATCATTATTATTTTTTTTTTTTGTCAAAGATTTACATACGATAGAAGCAACAGACATGCTTGTTAAATATCTTGCACGATAATAGTGTGGATAGAATGGGTGGGTGGTAGGAAAAAGGAGGGAAAAAAAAAGGAGAAAAAAAAAAAAAAGAGAAAGAAAGAAAGAAAGAAAGAGGGATTTTTTTTTTTTTTTTTTTTTTTTTCTTCTGACTGGGTAGGGAAAAAAAAAAAAAAAAAATTTTTCTTCTTCTTTTTCTTTTTGTGTTTGTGTGTGTGTGTGTGTGTGTGTGTAAGGGAAACCCCAAGATGGTCTTGTGCGGTTAGGCCATTTTTTTTATTTTTTTATTTTTTTTTTTTTTTTTTTTTTTTATCAGTGCGCAAGACAAATAAATTTGTTTGTATGTGGAGGTTTTACTTATTCCCCCCCAACAACAACAACAACAACAACAACAACAACAACAATACTATAATAATAATACTAATAATAATACTAATACTATAATAATTATTATTCTAATGAAATAATAATAAAATAATAATAAAAACAAAGAAAAAAAAATTTTTTTTTCATTTTTTTTTTTGGATGGTGGTAGTGAAATTTTTTTCATTTTTTTTAAAGTATGTAGAAGCAAAAAAATATATATATAAATATATGTTACAATTACATGGGTAAGGGTTATGAATGACATTACAACATATTGTTACATGAAATATTGTTAAAAAGACTACAGTTTAATATTTATAAAAAAAAAATTGACTACTGAATATATTTTTTGTATTTTTGTTTTTTTTTCATGATTATAATAATAACATTTGATTTCTTATTTTTTTTTTATTTTTTTTTTAGTTAAAGGTGGAATTTTTGGTAGTGTTAATGTTGGTATAAAATGTAAGAAAAAAAAAAAATTTTTTGACCCAAGTAGTTATGATTAGTCATTATCATGTAATAACATAGCGCCGTGTCATTTAGAGAAAAAAAAATTGTGGGCTTTAAATATAAAAAGGAAAAAATTAAAAAAAAAAAAAATTTTTTTGTTGCTTTTATATTGAAATTTTTCAACTACTTGGAGAGAAATTTTTCTAATTTTTTTAATTTTTTTAATTTTTTTTTTTTTTTCAATTCTTTTCTACAACTACTTTGGGTTTTTTTTTTTATTTTATTATTTTTTTTAAACCTTTCCCACAAAATATATACAAATTTCAACTTAAAAAAAATTTCAAATTTTTTCAAAATTTTTATCATCTAATAATAATTAAAAAGAAAACCAAGCTAATTTTTTTTTTTTTCTATTCTTCAAAGTTTATATAATAATTTAACTATTGAGTAAAATTAAATTAAATAAAATAAAAATATTTTCAATGATCAGATATACGCATAATTAGGAGTATAATACATCCCAACCTCTTTCCCTTTTGGGCAATCCCTATAATTCTATTCTAAATATTATTATATATATAATAGATTTTGTAATTACACCTACCGAAATTATTCCTTTACATACTTACTACTCCCTTTCTTCCCTCCCCTTTCAGCCTTTCTTAACAAAATACCCTGAAAAGAAATGTGGGGTAAAAAATGAACGGAGTTATGGGAGCTAATCAGCCATAGCATAATTTATTTAGTTGACATATATATATTATGTTAAAGAAGTTACTTCAAACTAAGTTATTATTTAATTAAAGAATTTAAAGAATTTAAAGAATTTAAAGAATTTAAAGAATTTAAAGAATTTAAAGAATTTAAAGAATTTAAAGAATTTAAAGAATTTTTTTAAAAAAAAAAAAAAATTAAAAAAATTAAAAAATGAATCAACCAATTAATGGATTTGCCATCGGCCAGTCGGAAATACCAGAATTTGATTGATTATTAAATAGAAGAAATCAATAGAAGAAATAAAAAAAAAAAGTAAGAAAATAAGAAAATAAGAAAGAGGAGATATTGTAGAGAATTTCCATTTGAGGCCGGGGTTTTTTTTTTTATTATTATTATTATTTATTTATTATTTTGAAATATAAAATAAATAAAAATATGGTCTTTAATGGTTCTTGGCACAAATAATGAGGGAATCAATTAAAAGATGTAAAAAATCAATAATTATATTATTATTATTATTATTATTATTATTATTATTATTATCAAGAGAAATCAATTTTTTTTATTTTTATTTTTATTTTTTTTTTTTTAAAAAAAAAAATTAATTTCTTTAAAAAAAAAAAATTAACAGATTTAAATGATCGGAATGATCAGTCACCATGACCGAAGTTAAAAGGTTATTATTATTTAATGACCGAAGAAGATAGAGATAGAGAGAGCTAGACGAAAAAAAAAAAAAAAAAAAAAAAGAAAGTATTTTTAATCGGATTTTAATCAAAAAAAGAAAAGTTTGTCGGTTTTTTTTTTTTTTTATTTTTTTTAAATTTTGTTTAAATCAAAGAAAAACTTCCCCCGGATATTTCCTATTCGGGACATTTTTCGGATTCAATACACACATATATATATATGCAACCGTTTAAAGGGCCTCATGTGGGAACCCCGACCGGTGGTGGAACAAAAAAAAAAAAAAAAAAAAAAAAACGTGGGGATGATGATGATGATGATGTTCCGTTATGTGTGAGTGTGCAAGTCCGAAAACCAGTCAGTCCGTTTATAGGTTCCGTTCTACAGAATCATGTGATTCGGTCTATATTACAATATATATAGAAGTGATGTTGTTACCTTTCAATAAATTCCTAATAAATAAACAAAATAAACTACCTTACAAAACACCCCACACACACACACATACGCACACAATACACTTAGTTTATATAATATAAGGACATTATTATTATGTCTACTACTACACTGTACCACTATTTTATCATATATATTTTGTTTTTGTTTTATTTTTTTTTTTAATTTCCTGGGCCGGATAGACTCAATTGATGGTGCAAGAATCAATCCCAGGAATGATGAAAATTGGAGGAGAAAGGGAGGGGAGGAAATAAAAAAAAACAACAACAACAAAACATAACATAACAAAACAAAAAAAAGGAGAAATTCCGGATACAAAAGAATAAAGAATTAATGTATATATACATAAGTTTATCAAATTAGATACAGGCAAAAGGAGACTTTTTGTTTTTCATAATTATGCCATTTATATGATATATAATTATAATATAGATAGATTTAAATAAATAAAAATAAAGATATAGAAAAAAAAAAAAAAAGAAAAGGTGGGGAAATCATTTTGACGGAAAATAAATATAAATATAAAAATAAAATCATTTTAAAGTTTTTTTTTTTTTTTTTTTTTTTTTGAAATAATAATAAAAAAAATTCGAGATGGAAAAAGTTCCTAAAAGACCGAGTTTGGATATAAAAAATTTCATGAAAATATAAACTGTGAGTTTAAACTATATCGCATAATAGAACTATATATATATATATATATGAAAGAAAAAGGATTATTATTAGACTCCCCGCTTTTTTTTTTTTTTTTTTCCTTGTGATATTTAGACATTTAGAATAAGTTACTTATTATTACTAGAATAAGTCTGAAAGTCTAGTATATATTAAAGTATAGTACAGTAAAACCAATAGAAAAAAAAAAGAAATAAATAATGAATGAATTTGAAAGAATTTGGTCCAGACATAATTACAACATCAATATAATCAACAACAATAACAACCTATATTTAAATAACGGTTTTGTGAGCGAGAAGAAGAAGAAGAAGAAGAAGAAGAAGAAAAAAAAGAAAAAAGAAGAAGAAGAAGAAGAAAGAAAGGTTTTGTTCCAAGGAAGAATAAGAAGAAGAAATTCATTGATAATTTCAAAAGAAAAAAAAAAAAAAGAAAAAAGAATTGAACAAAATAAAAATAAAAATAAAAATAAAAATTCATTCTACCCCCCTCATTTTACAAGTCTCGGTTTCTTCATGTTCGGACTCTTTCGTGGAGTGTCTCCGGTGGGGATAAAACAGGGAAATAAAAAAAAGGACTTTAACATTAAACACAAACAAACAAACACACACACCACTTTTTTTTTTTAATTTTTAATTTTTTTTTAATTTAATTTAATTTAATTTAATTTTTTTTTTTAAATAGTTATATTTTTAAAATCATATCCCCCCCCCCTCCTCCTCCATAGAAACTACCGTATGCAGAAAAAAAAATAAATAAAGAAAGAAAGATTCACTTGAGTGGGTTCGGCCTTTCTTAATAACCAGTCCGGACATTCTGCCAAAAAAAAAAAAAAATTTAATTTGTAGTAGTAAATTGTGTGGTAAGGAGGAGAAAAAAAAAAAAAATGAAGAACCTTTTAACATTTATTCATTTTATTTATTTTATTTATTTAGCTTACATTATGGTAACATTAACTTTACCAATGGTAACTACTATTGTATTGTTGCCCATATTCTATTCTATATCTTAATCTTTTTTTTATTTTATCCCCCACCCCACACATATACAACACATTAAAAATCACTTTCGGAGCGCTCCGCACAAAACTCCGGGGCTTTATTTTTATTTTCCATAGCTGGCTAAGCTAACAAAAAAAAAAAACCAATGACGGATGTTGAGAAAAAAAGGTGATTGTAATCAGGCTAATAATAATAATAATAATAATAATAATAATAATAATAATAATAATAAACATAATAATAATTAATCTTAATCTTGTATTGTAAACCTTTTGAATATCATATTCAAAAGTAAGTCTCCATTTGCGTCCGACCGGTGTGTCTCCCCCCAAAAAAAAAAAAAAAAAAAAAAAAAAAATAAGTTAACCCCCCCCCCTTCCAGGCGTACTCAAAATCATCCTTCTTTCATCATCATCACCAGCCATCCCCACACTTTATCAAAATCGTACCTTTTTTTTTTTATGTTATGTTATGTTATTCTATTTTTTTATTTTATATTTTATATTTTTATTTCCCCACCTTAAGGCCTCAATGATATAAATACTCGTCTAAAAACCCTCTTTGGATTCATCAATTTTTCTTTCTTTTTTTTTTTTTTTTTTTCTTCATCAATTTATTATATATATATATATATATTTCTATTCTTCACATCACATCACATTATCTCATCTAATCTCTTTACTCACCCCTCCAAATGCTCTCAAACAAATTTCTCTCAAGACGTTCCTCTATGGCAATCCCACGCCTTATGGCAGTAGCCTCCCAGCTCCGCGCAAACTCTACATCTTCTACATCCCCAGTCCTCCGCGCAGACCACCCCCATTATGTCCCACCACCTCCTAACAACCACGAACTCAACCCTGCCTACTTTCTCTACCGCTCATCGCTGCTCGAGCCAGAGGCAAAGGCAATTGTCTACCGCTCTCGCACAAACCGTTACTACACCCGTACATATGCAGAGTTTGCTGACCGTGTAAAGGGACTCGCTTACTTCTTTAAACACAATGGCTACAAGAAAATCGCAATCATTGCTCCAAACACTCCAGCCCATCTCGAAACAATGTTTGCTGCCACCGCTTCTGGAGGTATTGTCGAGGGAATCAATTACCGCCTCACTAAAAAGGAAATCGACTATATCCTCAACTTAGGTGAAGCTGATCTCGTCATTGTTGACCGTGAATTCGCACACCTGGCTGAACCAATCCCAGGCAAGCGCAGAGTCATTGTTGATGAAGATGTTGCTGATGATGAAATTGACAAACTTGACTGCGAGTATGGCCGTGTTGTTCGTGACGGCATTGATCTTGACGCTTTGACCTACAAGCAAGGTTGGGACGGTCTCTATGCTGAAGACATTGATGAAAACTCAACCCTCGGATTGTTTTTCACTTCTGGAACCACAGGTAACCCCAAGGCTGTGGAATACACTCACCGTGGTGTTTACCTGGCTGCCCTTGCCCAAATCTCAGAAAGTCAACTCAACTGCCAGGATAGTTATGGAAACCACAGATGCACATACCTTTGGACCCTCCCATTGTTCCATGCTGCTGGATGGACTTTCCCATACGCTGTCACAGCTGCTAGAGGAACCCACGTGCTGCTGCGCCGCATTGACGTCGATTACATTTGGGGACTCTTGACTCGCGAGCGCATCACCCACTTTAGCGCTGCTCCTACCGTCAACACCATGCTTCTCAACTCTAAGCGTGCCCAAGTATTGAAGCACGAAGTTAAGGTTATCGTTGCTGCTGCTCCTCCTAGTGCCAAGTTGTTTGGTGATATGATTTCTCACAACCTGATCCCTGTCCATAGTTATGGTCTTACTGAGACTTATGGACCTTCCGTTACCAGATTCTACAAGGAGGATTGGAACAAGATGCCAGCAACCAAGATTTTTGAAAACATGGCCAAACAGGGCTATGGATTCCTGACTTGTCAGAACCTCAAGGTTATTAAGGAGGGTAGTGACAATATGGAAGACGAGGTCGAGGCTAACGGCAAGGAGATTGGTGAAATTATGATTCGCGGTAACATTGTGGCCAAGGGATACTACAACGACCCAGAAGCAACAGCCAAGGCATTCAAGAATGGCTGGTTCCACTCAGGAGATTTGGCCGTGGTCCATACTGATGGTGCCATTGAGGTGCTTGATCGTGCCAAGGACATTATCATTTCCGGAGGTGAAAACATTTCTTCAGTCTATGTTGAATCTCACATTGTCAAGTACCACAATATCCTGGAATGTGCTGTAATTGGAATTAAGGATGACCACTATGGTGAGGTTCCATATGCGCTCATTACTCTTCAGGACCCTTCGCAAAACATTGATGGTGAGGATATTCGCAAGTGGCTACGCAACTTTTTGGGTGGTTACCAAATCCCCAAGCGTATCGAGGTGGTTAAGGAGTTGCCCAAGACTTCTACTGGTAAGGTCAGGAAGAACATTCTGAGAGACGAATGGAACAAGAAGGTTCACGGAGAAGTAAAGAAGAGTGCTTAGATTTTTTAGTTTTTTTGTAGAATGAAAAAAATAAAAAAATAAAAATAAAAAGATTATTATTATAATTATTATTACTATTAAAAATATTAATTAGACTACTACTACCCCACAGGACACGGCTGAGGTTTAAAGCCGCACTTCAAGAGCAAGTAACGCAACTAGAATTTCTCAATTTAGTTATCGTTTGCCTCATTGAGAATGCGCAAAATGTACAAAAAGAGATTGATGATATCCAAATAAAGAGAAATGGCAGCCGGGACTTCTTCTTCCAAATGGTATTTTTTAAGGACAAGCTGAGTGTCAATGACAATATAGAGGGAAAAAAGCAAGGCGCCAATGATGGAATAAATAAGTTCAGCAGTGGAGCTATAGGGGAAAAACATCATGAGGAAACCAACGCCAATCATGACGAAAAGAACAGTGCATGCCACGCCTTGCCACTGTGAAAAGTCGTACTTAGATTGGCATGCAAAAATAGTAAGACCGACAAAAATGACAAAAGTAAGGAAAAATGCTTCGACAACAATTTTTGTATCGTAGAGTGAGGTAATAAATCCAACCATGTATGATTCTGCGGCAGTAAAGCCGGCCAAAAACACAAGGTTGATTGGGTACGATCTACTTTTCCAAAAAGCCAATAGCATAAGAACAATCGAAGCTGCAAAACTTGTCCAGAAAGCCCACTGGTTCTGGAGAGCCCAGACGGTGAGTCCAGGGTTAAGAATAAAAATGCTTGATAAGGCAGTAGTACCGAGTAATTGGAGCGTTAGAATGGTGTAGACTCTACGTACAAAGGACATTCGTAGGTCGAGCTCAAAATCAGAAATGGGCATGGTATACTTGATGTCGTCCGGCAGATGGTCATATTGTGTGCGAGCAGAGGATGAAGCAAGACCCGAGGCAAACCCGGAAGCTGCTGTGGCTGCATCTGTATACTGAGGTGTCAGGAGGGGATCTGAAACGGAGTTGCTGGAATACTGAGGTGGTGGGTTTTGAGGGGCTGACATTTTGATAGAGAGGGGGGAGTGTTGTTTTTTTTTTTTAATTTTTTTTATTTAAAATGATAAAAGTAAATAATTAGGTGATTAAGATAGAAATAAGTGGATGGTGATGGTTATTATATATATATTGTTAATGATAAAATGAATGAATGGCGAAAAAAAAAAAAAAAAAAAAATAACTGGGCTGAGTTAGAAGAAGCCAAAAGAAGGATTTTGTGGTGGTGGTGGTGGTGGTGGCTAGCAATTTAAAATTACGGTGGTTTGGGTTATAAAATGTCGTAGGTTATATATAAATTAGTTGTTGGACAAGAATTTCAAAGCAAAAAAAAAAAAAAAAAAAAAAAAAAAATTACAACCACATGGAGGGGGGGCTGCAATGAGGCTGGGTAGATAAATACAAATGTGTAATCATTTGATAGTTATGACTAATAAATCAAATCACGTTAGCTACAGTTAATGATCACGTGAAATGTTACAAGAAATTTTTTGTCATATACACAAGTGTGGAATGGTTTATGAGAGTTGTGCTGTGTAAGTTAAATAGCAACCGTATGTTAATTATTTATAAAGTCTAAGGAGAGCCATTGAATTAGTCAGCTATGAGGGGGGGGGGGAGGAGGTTGGATTAGATTGGGTAGGTAAAAAAAAAAAAAAAAAAAAAAAAAAAGAGAACAATAAAACCAAAAAAATAAAGGCTTTAGGAGTAGAAAAAGAAGAAAAAGAAGAAAAAAAGGAGGAAAACCGCATATTAAGAAAAGGAATTTTTTTTTTTTCTTAGAAGAAATTCTTAAGATATACTCTAATATGAGTTCTTAATAATAAAACAGTAGTAGAAGAAGAAGAAGAAGTTTTAGTTAAAGGCAAAAGTTGTTGTATGTTAAGAATGTGTCAATTAATTTTTTTTTTTTTTTCAAAAGTGTGTATATTTGTAATTTTTTTTTTTTGTGTGCGGGACAATCAAAAATAACCACCAATTTATTTTTTTTTTTTTTTGTCCAAACAAACATTTAAAATTTTTTTAATTTTTTAATTTTTTAATTTTTTCTTTCCATCACCACCACTATTACTACAAACTCAGTTTTAATACAAATATAAAAAAGGGACTTTTCTAATCAAAAAAAAAAAAAAATTTTTTTTAAAAGGATTCGATATAATTATAAAAAAAAATATATATATATATATAAAATTTTTTATTTTTTTTTAAAAAAAAAAGAAGAGCATTAGTTATAAGAAAAAAAAAAGGGACATTAATAAAGCCTTTTAAAATATAAAAAAAAAAAGAAAGAGAGAAACATTACAAAGGACTTTACCGCTTTTTTTTTTTTTTTTTTTTTTTTAGTTCTTATATAAAAGAATTTGTTTTCAATCAATAATATATCCTTCTGTTTCAAAAGAACAGTCTTTATTAATTATTCTTTTATTGTTATCATTCGCCATTTGAAATACCCTACTTGATACCATCTAAACGAACCCACTTCTCTGGATTGCTTCTCTGTAAGTGTATGGTTTGCCATGTGTCCTTTAAGCAACAACAGTGGTAGCAACAACAGCAACAGCAATAGCAATAGAAAATCTCATCAATCAACAGCTTCAAACCCTTCAAAAAGTATAGAATCAACTTTGCAAATGCTTAGAAGCTCTCAGCAAGATTTTATTTCACAACAAGGGCAGCAGCAGCAGCAGCAACAGAGGCAACCAAGTAGTACTAAACAAATTCAAGAAACAACAGACACTAATAATAATAATAATAATAATAATAATAATAATAACAACAACAACAACAGCAATAACCAACTTGAAAAACACCAAAAAACTACAAACGCATCTTCTTCCTCTTCAACATCTTCAGTATCATCAGTATCCTCTTCTACTTCATCTTCCTCGGCAAGCACAACTTCTTTAATTACTCCAGCACCTTCTTTAACCTACTCTTCTTCGGCTACGGTCCCAGCATCAGGATCTCAACAAGCATCTTGTTCATCAAAATCAACAATCACATCCTCACACAAAAAAATGTCAAGAATGAATAATGCAATCGGAACATCTGGCACTAGTAATAATGGTGGTACCTCCTCTGGAAGCATAATCACTACTACTACTACTACTACCAGCTCACTTGCTAAAAATAAATTGCGTGTGGCTGCTGTATCCGCGGCTGCTGCAACTACTCACTCCAATTCTTCTTCTTCCTCATCTTCACGCCAAATGGTAGCTTTAAGAGAAACAACTCCACCTCATTCATATAAATCTCCCTGTGTCCCGTCTTCTCCAGCAACACCAATCTCGTCTCATTTTTATCATTCATCTACCTCTGGACCTTCTTCCAACAACCCTTCAAACTTAAATGGCCATGCAGACAAAAATGATCCCACTTTACAAAACAACCAAACATCTTCAGAATTCTCCGTTGCAGATAAGTCTTCAATCTCAAATCATTTTAAAAATAAAGGCATTTCAAATCAAAGATTATTTGAAGACGATGATGATGATGATGATGATGATGACGACAATAATTTAAATGATAGCACAAGTGATGCTGAAATACGGCAAACCTCCCAGACTCTTTTTAATGGCTTTTATGACAACAATAATGATAATGACGATGACAACAATAACAACAACAACAACGATGACGACGATGACGACAATGACAGCAATGACAATATCTTCAATGATGACCCTTATGACAAATCTAATGACACCTCAACAACCTTCCCCAATGACACTTTTAACGGCTCCTTGCCTTCAACTCCTTCCTCTGCATATTTCCTCGACTCTACTACCACTAATATACCCCCACGCAAACCAAGAAGAGGAAGACCCTCTTCGCGCAGGTCAAATAACAACCACATCCATAAGTCTTCCCCTTCTAATACCATCCCAAGGATACCACTCCCAGTCGATAAAGTCTCTGCTGCAATACTCCCCCACTTTTTACAGTACTCGGATGATGATAAGATTTCTTTAATTAAAACCCTCTTGTCTCACACCACCCGCCCTGTCCTCTCCGCCATTCAAGAACACATCTCACCTCTCCTTAAACGCGACCCCTTTGCCTACCTCCCCAATGAAATCTCTCTCCGCATCATCTCTTTTATCGACGACCCTAAAACCCTGGCTCGCGCTTCCCAGGTCTCTCGCTTGTGGTATCTCCTGCTCTCGGATGACTTGACTTGGAAAGAGCTCTGCAAATCCCACCACTACAGACGTCTCTCAGCTGCTGTTAGTAGCACACCAGTTCTCGCCCGTTCTCACTCAGCTAACGGTGCTGACTCAACTGCTCTTTCTCTAGTCAAGTCCCTTTATAATAACGCAAACAGGGCTCCTGCAATCCCAGAAGACGCAAACGAGCCTATTTCACTTACTCGCGGTGATGTCATTAACGGCGCAGAAGACTTTGTCGACTTTCAGTTCTACCCAGAAGCAACAAACCACCCGGTCCCCACCTCCTACCGCTCCCACTTCAAGCACCAGTACATGCTCAACACGGCCTGGACTTCGGGTGGCCGCCTGGCTGCAAAATACGTCATCAACCATTCCGGTGTTGTCACTTCTCTCATTATGAATGGTCAATACATTGTGTTTGCTCTAGACAATTCAAAGATTTACGTGTTTCATGAAAACGGCATGCTGATACGCTCTCTCTTTGGCCACGTTATGGGAGTCTGGGCACTCACCATGCATGGCAATGTTCTTGTGTCTGGTGGCTGTGACCGCGACGTTCGTGTGTGGAATGTCGAGACTGGTGAATGTCTCCAAATCCTTCGCGGCCACCAGTCCACAGTCCGCTGTCTGCAAATGGCCAACCCAACAACCGCTGTTTCCGGGTCCCGTGATACCACTGTACGTGTTTGGGATGTTGAAAATGGCATTCTGCTTCGTGTCCTCTCCGGCCACACATCATCGGTCCGCTGCATCGAGGTCAAGGGTGACATTGTTGTTTCCGGCTCGTACGACTGTACGGCAAAGATTTGGCGTATTTCCGACGGCCAGTTGCTGCATACTCTCACGGGACACATTTCTCAAATTTATTCGCTCGCCTTTGACGGCGAACGTGTCGCTACCGGCTCGCTCGACGCTTCCATCCGCATCTGGGACGCCCGAACAGGTGCCACCATGGGTGTCCTCCAGGGCCACACCTCTCTCGTCTCACAGCTTCAAATCAGAGACAATATTCTTGTTTCCGGTGGCTCTGACGGCGCGCTGCGTGTATGGGATCTCAAGGACTATAAGTGCGTGCACCGCCTTGCTGCACATGACAATTCCGTGACATCGCTCCAATTTGACGATGACAGAATTGTCAGTGGAGGCTCGGATGGGCGGGTAAAGATTTGGGACATGCATACGGGCCATTTTGTGCGCGAATTATCCAACCCTTATGACAGCGTGTGGCGCATTGCGTTCAAGGATGAAAAGGTGGCAATTCTGGCGTCGCGCTCGAAAACCAACCACTTGACAGGGCAACCAGAAAACCAAATTCATTTCAAGCTTATTAGCTTTTGTCCACCTGGCGATGGAAGTGTAGTCGTGGGGGGAAATGCAGGGCAGGCGATAATTACTCCGCCGGCTCAATCACCTAGTGATGCTAATGCAACAGCAGCAACAGCAGCAGCGGCAGCAGCGGCAACAGCAGCAGCAGCAGCTACGACTTCTACAACAACTGAAAACGACTCTAGCATTGATTCTCGTGAAACTGGCGCGTTGCAGGGCAATGGGCGCAGTGGGGCGGCAGCAGCAGCTACAGGACCCATATCAACATCGTCGCAGATTGCGGCAGCTGCAGCTGCGCGACCTAGCTCAGCGCGACGACGCAATTCGCGTGTAATGCGGGCAATCTATTCAACCAACAATGTCCGATTCCCTGGGTTGACTCGTAATGATGGTGCGGAAGTTTCGGTAACGACTGCCCCGCCGTCGTCTGCCCCGGGCTCGTCGTCATCTGCATCATCGACCTCCACGTCCAACTCACAGCAGCCCAAGCATCCGATGGACTGGAACGAAGGTATCGATCCGTTGTCGCGGGAAGATGGACCATCTGGTAGAGACGCTACTGCGGGTCCTTCATCATTGTCAGTAGATGGGTTACGAGGAGCTGGAGCAGACGTGACACTTTCTGGAACTACACGAACAACAGTGGTGACTGGAGATGTGAGCACGTTAGGAATGCCAGCTGGACTTGCAATGCTGAATGGGCGTGGAGGTGCAAGGGGCAGTGCCTCTGGGATTGATACGCCGGAGCCCATGGATTTGTCGTGAATATAGGAAATGAGGGAGGAAAAAATTGGAAAGAAAGAATATACAAGGTTTAGATGAAGAATGAATGAAGAATAAAAAATTAAATAAAAAACTATAAAAAAAAATAGGTATGAAGTTTATCAATTAAAAAAAAATAGGGATAATAGTAATAAAAAAATATACAGAAATTAAAATAGTAGAAGGCAAATAAAAATTGTTACAAAAAAAAATAACAATATCAATTGATATAAAAAAATTTATGATTAAAAAAGGATATAGTTTTTAAACGAAAAGAAAAAAAAAAAAAATAACTTGAAGAGACAGACTTTTTAGTGATTTTATTAAAAATAAAAAAACTAACATTAACCCTAACCCTAACCAATTTTTTTTTTTTTTTTTAAACTAACCCTGATCATTTTTGATTAGACTACCTCCCCCCCAATTATTTTCCTAAATAGGTTTCAATTTGCCATAAATATGTATTGTAACTGGTCTTCTTTTCTTTACAGTTTTTTTTTGGTTTTAACAACTATCGAATATTTTAAATTTTTTGAAATATATATATGTATTTAATATCTATAATTTTTAAATGTTTATAAAAGACATAAAATGGTCTGTACTTCTATGTAAAGTATAAAAAAATTTAATAATGATGAGTTGGACATCTAAGAAATAGATATTATATTGCCATGTGATAAGTCTCAATTGTTAAAAAAAAAATCACAACAACATTAATGATGGGAATTTTATTTTATTTTATTTTTCTTAGATTCAGTTAAGAAATTTCCTTAAGAAGAAGTAGATTAATAAATTTATAAATTTATAAAAAATAAAAAAAAAAAAAGTATGGAGGTATAAATAAAAGGCTTCCCCCCGGTGTTTTTGATTTTTATTTCTTTTCTCTTACCATTCACTTTTACACAACTTTTTAAACCTCTACCTCTAAATATCTATTGAAATCTACTATCTACTACCATCTATTATCAACTACTATTAACTACTACTACCAACTACTACTACCAACTACTACTACCAACTACTACTACCAACTACTACTACCAACTACTACTACCAACTACTACTACCAACTACTACTACCAACTACTACTACCAACTACTACTACCAACTACTACTACCAACTACTACTACCAACTACTACTACCATCTACTACTGCCATCTACTACTGCCATCTACTACTGCCATCTACTACTGCCATCTACTACTACCATCTCCTACCATCTCCTACCATCTACTATCAACTACTATTTACCATATCATACTATCTATAAACACTCTCACTCACATTTCTCTACTATTATTTCTTTCAATATGTTGCAGTCGCCTATTGGTAAGTTTACTAATACCGATTCACCCAATACTAAAGTTATTGATCTAACTTTGTAATAGACAAACATCACCTGGACTCAATCTCAAAAGTATACAGTCATATTAAGCCATCATTATTTCTTTTATTGTTAAAGTGTACTTTTTGTAAGTTTTCATATACCAACACATGTAATACTTAGGCTCTTAATCTAACTCTCTACTAGAAAATACATATGATCGACTGGACCTCAATGCTAAAGATTGAGCATTAGTTACCATGAGTTGTTTGTAAAGGAGATAATCAATATTACTATACGACTGAAGGTCTCCAACCTGGGATATCATCGAAGGTGAATTAAATTTGTCAACAATGTTATTCAGATGTGATGACAGCAGCTACATATACAACTACGACTTCAACTACCCAAACACACACCCACACCCACACCCACACACACTCACTCATACGATACTATGCTATACTAAAACGTCCTATTGTGCTTTCTGTTATTCAATGTTTGATGGTTGGTCGCAGATTAATCAAGGAGTGCCGACCTTGACCCTGCTTATTGACCACCTCTTGGTTATCCAGAGGAACTACGTCCACCATTGATGAAAGTATGATGAAACCTCTTTGTCGATTTTGTTGTGTTGTGTTGTGTTGATCAACCTGTTGTCGTTTCAGTTATTCAATATTGTGGTGGTTTGTGGAATATCAATTGAAGAGTGCCGTTGTTGCTCTTCCCTATTGGACCCCCTCTTATTATGTTATTCGGTTGAGAAATTCCAATAGGAAGAAATCACAATTTAAAAAAACAAAGAACTATGGTGGTAGAAATAAAAGATCTTCTTGCCTTTTTTTCAATTACTATTTATTTTTCCCAGCACTTATTTTTTTTAACCTATACCTTTACTACTATATCACGATCTACTACTATCAACTACTATCGACTACTATCAACTACTATCAACTACTATCAACTACTATCAACTACTATCAACTACTATCAACTACTATCAACTACTATCAACTACTATCAACTACTATCAACTACTATCAACTATCATTTACTATTACCAATCACCAACCATTATTGTCAACCATCAATTTCTATTATCAACTATGATCTATTATTTACCATACTATACTATCCCATATTCAAACATACGATCATCCTCATTTCTTTAAAGTTATTACTTTCAACAAGCTGCAGTGGTTTTTGGTAAGTTTACTTATACCAATGCATCCAATACTTAGCTCATTGAACTAACATTTTTTTAGACTGACATGCGATGCGATTCACTTAACCTCAATGATACGGTCATTCTTTGCCACCATTAATTTTTGTTATTGTTGCAGTGGTCTTTTGGTAAGTTTACTTATATCAATGCATCCAGTATTTAGCATATGGAACTAACATTTTTTTTAGACTGACATGCGATTCACTTAACCTCAATGATACGGTCATTCTTTGCCACCATTAATTTAGTTATTGTTGCAGTGGTCTTTTGGTAAGTTTACTTATTCCAATTCACCCAATACTTAGCTAACTAATTTTTTTTAGATCATCATGCAATTCACTCAACTCCAAAGCTATACTGTCATGGTTCTCCATAATAGGTTCCTTTATCGACATGACAATCAAAGTGACTTTATCCATCTATCTATCGTTAATGATCAGGCAAACAACATTGAGGACACATGTTGGATAAACTGATGGAATTGGTGAACATCGTTTGTGACAAGTTGTAACTGCAAGTGCGACTGCAAGCAACTACCACACCCACACACACCCACACACACCCACACACACCCACACACACCCACACACACCCACACACACCCACACACACCCACACACACCCACACACACCCACACACACCCTCACACACACACACCCACACCCACACCAACCCACACACATACCACTACCTCACTACCTCACTACCACTTACAACACCATTATATCAACTCACTGTACTTTTAGCTTTTCAATGTTTTGATAGTTGGTCGCAGATTAATGAAAGATTGACGCCCTTGATCCTGCTTATTGACCACCTCTTTGTTATCAAGAGGAACAGCGCCCATCATTGATGAAAGTATTATGAAACTTCTTTGTCGATTTTTTTTGTTGTGTTGGATCGACTTGTTATGCTTTCTGTTATTCAATGCTTTGATGGTTGGTCGCAGATTAATCAAGCAGTGCTGACCTTGACCCTGCTTATTGACCACCTCTTGGTTATCCAGAGGAACCACGCCCGCCATTGATGAAAGTATGATGCAGCCTCTTCGTCAATTATTTTTTATTATGTGATATTCGTTATCCCAGGTCATTTCTTTTATGTTGCACATTATTTCAGCAGCCTGGATTCCATTATCTTTACTTACTTTGTTGCATTAAATCTTTCAGTTTTAAAGATCACCCCTTAAGTTTTTTTTTTTATTTTTATTTTTATTTTTATTTTTATTTTCATTTTCATTTTCATTTTCATTTTCATTTTCATTTTCATTTTCATTTTCATTTTCATTTTCATTTTCATTTTCATTTTCATTTTCATTTTCATTTTCATTTTCATTTTCATTTTCATTTTCATTTTCATTTTCATTTTCATTTTATCCGTCACTATTACATGTAGTAATTGTTTCTACTGCCACTTTATTTATAACTACTTTTCATTTATGACCACCTTAGAATTACTTGAAGATTCGATAGTAATATTGCTCACAAGTTTGATGCTCCTTTTTTTTTTTCTTTTCATTGCTAACCTCTATTTGCAGATCCATCAGATCTTTTTTTCCTTTTTTTTTTTTTTTAATTCAGTTGCAATTCAATCAAAATGTATTATCCTCAATTTTCCCTTTTGATTACTTCGCTACTATTTTAACAAATGCATTGGCCTTTAATTGTTAAATGAACACCAACATTTTTTTTTAATCTCTTTGTGATTGTAAAATTGTTCATTTTTCAATCCTTAATAGTATTTTAAATATTTGCCAGCTATTACCAACTTCTATTGCCCACCTTGGTCCAGCCTAAAATTTTTTGGCAATAACTAATTTTAAAAAAATGAAAGCCATTTAATAAATTTAGTTGCTGCTAAATTTTTTCACATGAAAATTTGAAAGAATCTGTTTTTGTGTTTGTGTTTGTAGCTTTGGGGATCACTTGAGGTTTATATTTCTGTACACTGTACATTGTGGGTGCCTCGGGAATCCAATCCAGTATAATTGGCCGCCAAACAGATGCGTTTCCCATTAACTCCTATACAAGAATTATATATTGTCCTTTTCCATATTTATCGTGTAATTTATTTTTTCATTTTATTTAAGAGTTATATAAATTTATAACATCAGCATCAATGCTATTCTTTTTTGTTCTTACTATATACCTCTTCGGTTTTTCAATTTACTTTTAATTTGACTCCAACTTTTGCATTTCCAATATCCCAAAAATATAATCTGATGCCCGCTTACAAAGAATCTAAGACTAAACTTTACCTTGTTTGTTTGTTTTTATTCAAGGGTTATGGAATTATATAACATCAGCATCTGCGCTATCCTTCTTGTTCATACTATATATCTTTTCATTTTCATAATAAACTTTTAATTTTGGCATCAACATTGCATCTCCAACAGCCCGAAAATAAGTCCTGATGCCAGCTTACGAGGAACAGGGGGTTAAAAATAACCAAACCTTCCCAACTTGTCTCCACTTGTCTTCATCAACGCTGTAATTGTATTTCTTAATCCCTCCAAGCAGAGATAAAGCTTACAATCTCTTGTAAGCCAAGAATTTCCCAAATTATCTCTATTTGTATTTTTTCATATATAACTGAATAAAACCTCTAGATAGTTGCTATACACCACGAATTTGAAAGCCTTGATGGCCAAGTTGGTAAGGCGCGTCACTAGTAATGACGAGATCGTCGGTTCGAATCCGGCTCGAGGCATGGATACCATATTTTTAAAATTTAGTTTTTGTTGACTTTGATTTTTTTTCCCATGTTGATTTTGAAGTGTTGTGTTGGAGGTTGTGTGCTGAAATTTTTGTTAGTGGTGATAAGATACTTAATTATTTTTTTTAAAGTTTACACCGTTGAATTTTGACCCATTTTTAAGTGTTTCCTTTTTAGGAAAGAAGTAAATATTACCTTTATATTACGTAATTTCATATATTAAAACACATGATAGTCCCATGATACTTAAACAAATGGAAACAAAAAAAAAATTATAGAAATTATAGAAATTATAGAAATTATAGAAATTATAGAAATTATAGAAATTATAGAAATTATAGAAATTATAAAATAAAGATAAAAAATTACAGAATCTCGGATATGCGCTCGGTTTTAATTGTTAGTTATATTTGGGAAAGTTTTGGTTTAAAAATTAGCAGCACGATTCTTTACAAAGCTTACCCCGTTGCCCAAAAGTATCTCGTCAATTACGAGATTTACTAATTTTTTCAGCTTCTTCTATTGATTTTACTATCCTTATTATTTCAGCAAATCTTTCCTCCTCTTCTGGGCTATTTGCGTAGGTGCCTTTTCTTACAAAGGCACAATTATCAGAGTTACAATATGTCTCATAAGGGTCTTTTGATGTGTTGAATATTTCATCATCGTCACCTGGTTCAGATGGTAAGGGGCTGCTTCTTGCAATAGATTGCACAGGTGTCAGTATAAGTGGGATTTCCCTAGCGCTTATACGTCTGGGTATAATATAACTTATAAGGCGTCCAAGTTTGACTCTGGCTTCACGACTACTCTAGAACATAATAACGTTAGTGTAAGAAAGGTCTCAATTAAATGACTGTTACTTACATGCTGACATAATCTATAGTTTGTTGTGAACGGATCCAAAGAACCCATTTCTTCGCAAACATAGTTCCAATTTTCAACTACCATAATGTAAAGCAGCTCTGTACGAGCTTCTTCATCTTTTTCAAAAAATTTTTTAAAAAAAATATATCGCTCACTTTCCTCTTGAGTAGCTTTGATACTTTCTTTTGCACGTTCCACACATTTCCGAAAAACCAGCTCTCGGAAAACAGGATTTAAAAATGCCTTTTCATTTATCTTCTTTAGTTTTGAACCATCCACAAAGAAAAAGATGGTGGATACTATTTTACTAACAAGATTCTATAATTTAGGATTAACATGAATTGTTATAATAATCTGAGAGATTGAAGTGTCAACTTACGTTAAAAATCCGTTGAGATAAACTCCCAATTAGGCTTCATTTAGGTATATCAAAGATTTCCGTAAACAAGTTACCCTCTGGACTGATATCATCCAATTCTATAAATTCAATATATGTAGCAAGTTCTTCAGTTATTTCTCCCATCTTAAAACTGGCTGGTAATATTTCAAGAGAGATTAAAAGAAAAAAAAAAATTGGTATGGGGTGGCCAGATACTAAGAGTGATAAGAAAAAGTTTTGGTGGCTACGAGGAAAACTTTTGGTAACAAAAATAATACGCGTATGCAGAACTTTTACTTCAACGTACTGCGCGGCTCAACAAACATCAAAACAATAATCATCGATTTATAAATCATATCTGATCAGATATGATTTTTCGGTTTATCAAACATCTTGGAAAGTGTATTTAGTGAAATTTGGCTATTTAACATCTCTCATTACAATTTCGCTCTTAAACAAGTTTTTTTATACATTTATTTTAAGACGTGTCATGATTGGGATTTTGATAAGATTCTCAAATATATATTTACTATATATATATAGTATCAAAAGTGTGTTTGCCAATGACTGAGAAGTAACCTTTTACATTGATTCTATTTTCTAAAGAAGATCTATGTAAATGATAGAATAAAAATCAATTGGTGTAGATTCAATACCAAAAGTGTCATTTTTTCTTTCCATATATAAGAGACCAGAAGTGACCGTTCCACAATGCTACCCACGGCCTAAGGCTACAGATGGAGTCAGTCTAACGACCAGTGAGACTTTGCCAAAAAATATCTGAGTCTTTAAATCTCTCTCTTTTTTTTAATGGGTATTCGTTTAACAATTTAAACCTCCCACTCATTGGTTTCTATTTCGACATTCCTTATAATCTTTTCACCTTCGCTTAATTCTGGTGTCGAAGCTGTTTCTCTCAGGAAGTTCGAGGTCTACCAAACCAGCAACATCTGCACGGAACCGCTCAAGCTCTGCAGTAGCACGCGCAATTGCATCAAGGTCTGTGATAGATTCCACATTGATGAGTGCAACCATGGTCCATCGCTTAGTGGCATCCAGCAGTCTCAAAAAGTCGCCTTCAAGAATTTCATTTTTTGCAGCCACTGCTGCTGCTACCGCTGCTTCTGGCGGTTGCACATTTTTCTCGGCCTCTCTGATTTGCTCCAATTCATTCTTAAACGCGTGTGCGTCGAACCCGCACAAACGGAAAATCCGCACAACTACGTTACCGTGCACAAACTGATACCCCTTGGTCCAATACTCAGTGCGGAACACGTATCCTAGCTTGTCGAGAAATTCAAAGGGCGTGTGGTCCCCTGCTGGCACTTTGGGCGATACAGAGATTAGTGACTGCGAAATCACAGATAACTTCCCAGCCTCTGGAAGTTCTGCAACGGTGAAGGTCCATGGTCTGGTTGAAAGGGCTGGGTGAGCCGAGATATCAGCATATGGCAGAACTGCACGTTTAACTGCGTAGTCTGGGTCTGTGGCAAGATGTGGAGGTATTTGTTTGTTTGAATTTTCTTTTTTTTCTTCTATTTCTATATCTTCTTCTTCTTCTTCAGTAAGCGAAATTAAATCACAGGAAACGCGAATCCGATACTGTTCAATTTGGTTGACTTGTCCGGCAGCAAGAACAGGCACGTAAGGGTGTTTTGGGGCCCAGAGTAGCGAGTGTTCGAGAAAGGGCTGCGGAGGCATTCCAGCAATGCTGGAAAGCGTCTGAAGGGTGATTTTGAGCTCCGATTCAGGTAGGGAGGCGTAGAGCGAGAGCTGCTGGGGCATTGTTTGGTTGCGTAGGGAGATTAAGCAACAAAAAAAGCTGAAGTAAGATTTTCAAAAAGGGGTGGCTTTTGGAGGTGGGTTTAAATTTTTCATTGTGCAGGAGGATTTTAGTAAACAGCAACGTTTTTTCACCTAAACATCTTTATTCTCCAACAAACAAGAAATGCCAAAACCTAACCGAAAACTGAACCCCTTGACGACCGAGCCTGACTTTAACGGATGGCCAGGTGCCCTCGCAATCTCAATTGGCCTGCCACTTCTGTTTAACATCTTTTGCTTCACGTGCAACGACTTAGGATGCCCCGTGTCATGGACCTCTTTTGAGCCCTATCGCGCGCAGCTCGCCTCGCGGGCACTTTTTTCATGGCACGCTCTTGGTGTTTATGCTATATGGTGGTCGGCTTTGGCAATTTTGGACCGCATTGTTCCTGGCGAAACTGTAGAGGGCACGCTTCTGCGTGACGGTAAAACTCGTTTGAAGTACGTGTTCAACGGCAAACTGGTCATGGTCATTTTGTTCTCGCTGCTGGCTGCGCGTGCAGTGACCACCCGTGGTGCTCTTCCAGAGCTTGTGTATGTTTATGAGCATTTGACAGAACTTATGAATGCATCGTTGTTGGTGGCTTTTGTGGGCTCAACTGTCCTTTATCTTGCTCCTTTGTACTTGTACCGCGAAGAGCCTATTTTGGCTCTGGGAGGAAACACGGGGAACCCAATTTTTGACTGGTTCATTGGTCGTGAACTCAACCCCCGGATTAGCGATTTTGATTTGAAGCTGTTCAACGAAATGCGACCCGGTCTTTTGCTATGGGTCATTATCAACTTGGCGATGATGCACCACCAGTGGCTTAAATACGGTTCGGTTTCAGATTCTATGTGGCTGGTAGTGCTCTTTGAATCATACTACGTTATCGAGGGCACCTTTTACGAACAAGGCCTTATCAACATGATTGACACCACCACCGATGGTTTTGGGTTCATGCTGTTTTTTGGTGACTTGACGCTTGTCCCCTTCTCTTACTCTCTGCAAGCGCGGTATCTTGCCGACCACCCTGTGCACTTGGGCTTTTGGGGAGTATTGGGGTGCTTGTCTGTCTTCACCGTTGGTCTTTTAATTTTCCGACTGTCCAACAATGAAAAGAACGCGTTCCGCAACAACGATCCATCCAAAGCTCACCTCAAGTACATTACCAGCAAGACTGGCAGCAAGCTGCTTGTGTCTGGCTGGTGGGGCACAGCACGACACATCAACTACTTTGGTGACTGGCTGGTGGCCTGGGCGTACTGCCTACCCACCGGGTTTGGCAGCATTCTGCCCTACTACTTTGTGTTTTTCTTTGCAGGGTTGCTCATCCACCGCAATGAACGCGACGAGGCCAAATGTGCTGAGAAGTATGGTGAAACTTGGGTCGAGTACAAGCGCCGGGTGCCTTACAAGTTTATTCCGTGGGTGTATTAAATGATGATATAGGAATAGATATATATATTTAATGAACAGTTTTAATGGATTTTACTTTTCCTTCTTTTCTTCAGCTTCGGGCTCTTCAGGTGGGAGGTCCTCCGAGTAGGCCTCAACCACGTAGCCAATAAGCACAATGTTGGCTACCAGGGCAGCAAACCCCCCAGAGACAATTGCACTGGCGTCTTAAAAAGAGTTAGCATAGTGATTATTGAACAAATGATTGTTTTAGTACTTACTAAATACTTTCTGGACGATAAAGAAGGAGGCCACGGGGGCAATGACCATGGCCGCTGTGTAGATAGCCAGTTTTCGGACGACGGCACTAAACAGAGTCAGAAAAAAGAATTAAAAAAGATTGAAAAACAATACATACGGAGGGACTATAATACGTTTCTCAGACATGATGAGGGATTGTTGAAAGGGTTTGTGAAGAAGGACGTGGGAAGAACAGAAAATTTCAGATCTCAGCCGGTCTTAAAGGCGAAATTTAAATTTTTAAATTTTAAATTTTAAATTAATTTATTTTAATTTTTTTTTTTTTTGGCTGCAACCAACTATACAGCAACAACAACAGCTGCACACACACAACCCACTATACACAGCTCATAATACTTACACATGTCAGATACCAGCGGACATTCAAGTGAGTTTGAAGACGAGTTTGAAGATAGCCAGGACGAGTATGTGGAAGAAAAGCCGGTGCGAAAGCCCATACGGTTTGATAAAGGCAAGAACGTGACGCGCAAACGAGTGATGAGCGATGCTGAAGAAATTGAAGAACCTGAAAATACTGAGGATCTAAAAAAAGGTGGTAACGAAAAAGCAGAAGATGCCGATAACAGTGACTCTTCAATAGAAGAAGTTAACAAATCAGAACCCAAAAAAAAACGCCCAAAGAAAACACCCAAAGAAATTCCTCGGGGAACCCTTAAGGCTGTTAAGACACGAGTTCCAGTACGCGAACACAATATGAAGTGGCCCATAGTTTCAGCGTACGGATTATCTCAAATTTTATCTATTTTTGAAAGCGAAGCAATAGCGTGTTTATCAGATTTACAAGCTCAAAATTCATCTAAAAAGTTGTCAAAAAAGCAGCAGGCTGAAGAAGATGCGCAGATTGCGGACTTTCAAGAAGCTCAGGCAGAGCTTGTGAAACAAATGACTAAAGAATTGCGAAGATTACCTGTACCCCCTTCAACGCGTGATACCCACTACTCGTTGGACGCGCTGGCGCGCCAAAACGAGCAACTGGAGGCTGCTGCGGCGGCAATGGACAAACAGGTTGCTGATCTAGAAGCAGAGATTGCGCAGGAAGAAGCTGAGCTTGCACGCGACGAAGCATATTTGCGTGAGCTTGTATCCAACTCACGGAGTCAGATACGTGCACGACGAGCGCTGGTGCGCAAACAAATGACAACATCAGCGGCAAGCCGTGGAGGGGTGAATTTTCTGGAAGGAATTGAGGTTAGAGGGGATATAGATGACAATGGTGGGGGTGGACCGGCGGCACACTACGTGGACCTTTTGGGCGGGGCTTTGGTGGTGGACGATTCTGTGGATGGGCTCAACATTGTAGGATCGAGCGATGATGATGACGAGCGTGACTCGGATGAAGAAGTGTCATTTGTGGATTCCGACGAAGAAGATGGAGCTATTGGACTCGACGACGAAGATGACGAGCTGCGGGTGTTTCAAGATCGTGGAATGACACATACTCAGCTAGACCGGATCCGCGAAGAATTGCGTCGAGGTTATGGTATGAGTGGTGAGGACAGCAGTGACGATGGCGAAGAAGATAAGGAGATGGCAGAAATGCTGGCCCGTTTGGAACAAAACTTAGGGGAAATTTCCCAAAATGCCTCTTCTGTGGCTTCATTACTTAATGAGGTGACTTTGTGCCACTCAGAGCTGGCGATGCTGCAGCGGGACTCGGGTCAAGACCCGGATGAATGATTAAGCTTATATATAATAGTTATGAAAAGACCCTTTTGATCTGCTACAATAGGTTGTTACAATAACAGCCGTGCATACTACTACCAGCAGCGGATTTGTAACAGCCCTGTGCTGTGCTGGCTTGAAAAATCCCCTGGCGCAAATGGCACCACCACCATCAAATAAACAAAACCTCCATTCCCGTCATCACCACCACCACCAAATCATCACACTTGCCAACCCTTCCAAACCATCAATCCCACCCACCCCTAAAGCGTTTCACAACGCCACACAACTCTCCCTCCCCTCCCTTTTGTTTCCTGCCAGTCTTCTTGACGTTCAGTAGCTCTGCCCGCTCTGTGCTCTTATAGGAATCTTTCTTCTCTCTGTGTGTACCCGTATATATCTATTTCATCTAAATATATATACATCCTAAAATAGTACACGCCAACCCTTTAGTATTTAATTGTGGGCATTTTTATCTTATATAAAAATTTCTCTTTGCATTCTGAAACATTTTATCAATCACCACCCTTTCCCATTCTCAATTACCGAATGGCCTGGTAAGTTTTTTTTTTTTTTTTTTTTTTTTTTTATGATTTGATGAAAGCTAACTTCTCAGATCCATAAATTCTCCAGCGTCTTCTTTTTCAAAAAATGAATTCAAATCGACCTAGAGGTGTGAACAATTACAACAGGGCCAACAACAACAACAATAATAATAACAATAACAACACCAACAATACCAACAACGGAACCTCTTACAGCAATAACCGTCGGTTCAGCAATAACAATAATACTAACAACAACAACAGCAACGCTCCACGACACAATGCCAATGTCCATACCGTTGCAAGCCCCCCAACCAGAAACGCTTGGGGTGTAAACTCCATCAATGCTTCAGTTACTGGCATTGCCTCGCTATCAGGTAGACCTTCTGCCTCTTTGTCAGCTCCTCCATCAGTCTCGACAACACCAACCCCCAAGTCTAATCAGCAAAACCAGCAGCACGCACCCTCTCCTCAGGCTGAGCTTGATGCTCAGCGTCACATGCACGACCGCGTTGTATATCTTCTCGCCAAGTCCATCGGACTTCACGTCATTGCCACAGTCGCCTCGGGTGCGCGCTATCGCGGTATTCTCATTGCAGCTTCTGCCGATGCTGAGATCGGCATTGTTCTTGCCTTCCCCGAAAAGTACTCAGCTGCCCCTGGTGATGAAGACGTTGACGATGCTTTGCAGCTGGCCGATGTTGAAAAACTAGCCTTTTTGCCTAAGGACCTTGTCGACATTGAAATTGAAAGCCCAGACTTGTCAGTCGAGCGTCCAACCAATGGGGGGCAAGGATCTGCAGCCGGATCCAAGTTCAAAACCGATACTGACATTTCCGGCGCTGAAAAAACTCTCAAGGAACGCGATCTTCAACGTTGGGAAGACGATGATCCTTCTACCTCTGTTAGCTTGGCTTTAGAAGACGATTCTTCAAACCAACAACCTTGGGATCAGTTTGCTGCCAATGAAAAGAAATTTGGTGTCCAGTCAACCTACAATGAGCATTATTACACTACAGCCATCAACAGAGACGCCCCTGACTTTAAGGAGCGAGAACGCAGAGCTGCCCAAATTGCAAGCGAAATTGAAAGTTCTTCCTACGGTGGAAACATTCACATTGCTGAGGAGCGTGGCCTTACCGTTGACGATAGTGGCATGGATGAGGAGGACAAGTATTCTGGTGTTCAACGCCAACAACAACAACAAACGTTTGTTCCACAGGCCAAGGGAAACAATAGCAAGTACACACCTCCCCAATATCGCAAGCAAAAGGCTGCAAATATTCCTTATGACCCAGCCATTGTTACAAGTCAGCTTGCCGGTAAGACTCCAGCTACTACCACTACTACTTCTCCAGCCAAACCGCCGGCTCTTGATCATCACCTTCACACACCCATTTCGCACTCTGGTGGTACTAGCACGCCCATTTCTGCTCTTTTCGGCTCCTCTGATGCAAATGCTTCACCTGCTGGATCTGGTACTGGCACTCCTGCTCCGGCCCTTGCTCCTGCTCCTGCTCCTGCTCCTGCTCCTGCTCCTGCTCCTGCTCCTGCTCCTGCTCCTGCTCCTGCTCCTGCTCCTGCTCCTGCTCCTGCTCCTGCTCCTGCTCCTGCTTCTACTTCTACTTCTACTCCATCTCCTGCCCCCGCCCCTGCTAAAACTGAACCCAAGTCTGGTCCTGCTACACCTTCAAACAAAACGCCTCTTCCACCCAGCGTTGCTCTTTCAGCTTCTTCTCGCAAAATTCTTGACAAGGAAAAACCTACAGCCCCAAGCAATGTTGGTGATGTAACCAAGGATCTGGCTGGTAACTTTAAGCAGTTTGTAGACACTGAGGTCGAAAAGGTTCAGCAAAAGAAGCAGTACTTGCAGTACAAGGAAAAGTCTGATCGCATTAATGAGTTTAAGACTTTTTCTGAAAATTACAAGATTAATACCCCAGTGCCCGTCGATCTTGCTCCGATCCTTGGCAAGAAGCATACTGAAAAGAAGCCTGAGACCAAGCCCGAGACCAAGCCTGAGACCAAGCCTGAGACCAAGCACGAGACCAAACCAGAAACCCTCACTGCTGCCATTGACGAAGCGCACGCAAAGAAACAGGTTCCTGAGGTTCCTTCGCCACTTGCACCTACTTTGAAGCCTACACCTTCCGCTCCTGCTGCTACTGCTAAACAGCAGCAACAGCGAGCTCCAGCTTCTCCGCCAAAACACGTCAAACCTTCTCCCGCTGCTCCGGCGCCTAAACTCAACCTTAACTTTAAGGCCCCCGAATTCCGGCCTAACCCTGCCGCCCACTCATTCACGCCGTCATTCAGCTCATCTCCAGGCACAAACCATGCTAGCACTTCCACCCACTCTTCACCTTTTGTCAACCATCCTTCCCCCGCAAGTCACAATAACAGTAATAACCACCACCAACGTTCACGCAACAATAGCAACCCATTCTTTGGAAACAAGACACCTAATGCTAAACCGCTTGGAAACAAGTTCAATTTGTTCGTGCGAATCTACGATGAGCATATCAATGAAAAGGAGAACTCTGCTCCACTTGTGATTGAAAAGTCTTTTGTTACTTTGCCCACTTGGTCAGTCGCAGTTGAGCGTTCTTACACCGATTTGGTTCCATCGCAAGAGGCTTTGACTGCTGGTCAAAATGGTTCTGCTGCTCTTGGTGGACCCGGCTTGGTTCCAGTTGGAGGCATTCCGGTTGGAGGATTGGCTGCCATGGGTGGAATTGCTGGTTTTGGAGGCATGGGCGGTATTGCCGGAGCTCCGTTTGCTTACGGTCGTTCCCCAGTTCTCCCTGGTGGAACCCTTCCTCCTAATCTCGGGGGTCCCGGTATGATTCCTGTTCTTCAAGATCCACGGGCCATGATGCCTTCATCACCACCAAATTACTCACAGGTGGGATTTATGGGGTACCCGCAATACCCTGGGGCCCCTCAGTATAGCGCCGGCGGTCCCGGGCCACAGTTTTATGGTCGGCCACCGCAACCGTTCCCGATCCCCAACATGATGGGAGGCCATCATCATCAAGCTGGAGCTGCATATATGGGCGGATTCCAAGATTATCACCATCATCCTCAGGGACCTCCAGGGCACCACCACCATCAATCCCCACGGGGTCCGCATGTTGCACCAGCTCCCCAGGGTCAGTTTTCAGGAAACAATGGAGCTAGTAATTCGAATGGTGGAGCAGCTTCAGGAGCTGGAAACGGAGCATATTTTTCGCCTCAGCAACAACACCAGTACTTGCGGAGTCCTGGTCCCAATAATGGACATGGACATGGCCATAACCGGCACCGTCAAAACAACAATCAAAACGACCATTAAAAACGTGGTTTGAAAAAAAAAATAAAAAAAGTGAAAAATCCAATTCCAAAAAAAAAAAAAAACAAAAAAAGTCAGACTCAAACCAAAAAAAAAATCTAAAATATTTTAAAATTTAAAAAAAAATCTATAAAAAATAAAAAAAACCCCTTTTAAAAGCTATTTGTATTTATTCATCATCATTATTATTATTATTATTATTATTATTATTATTATTATTATTATTATTATTATTTACACGGTAGAAGAAGTGGTCTGCTCTTTTTTCAGGCTGGCAATGACCCGCCACATGGAGTCGCGTTCCTCGTCGAGGGCATGTCCACAAGCAGCCCAGCGGATTTTGCAGTCCTTATCAACAACATATACGTATCCAGCGTATTTATTTTCAAGATGAATAGCTGCCTTAAGTTCCTTTGAGACGCCCTTTCTATTTGCAATAAAGTATCTGTTTGCACGGTCCGGGTCTTGGAACTGGCCTTTTATTTTGCCAATAAAGAGTTTGACAATAAGCTCTTTTGCAAAGTTTTCGGGAATGTTAATGTCGACAACCTGGAAGCCATCTTCGGGTACTGATACTACAGCGGCGTGGAGGGAGTCGTGAGTCTCCGGTGTGCCGCTAGGGACGTAGAAGTATGAGTCAGCCTGACGCTCACCAGTGACAGCAGTGAAGATACGCACAATGCTAAGCTTGCCAGCCAAGGTAGCCGTGGTGCCCTTCTGGTCAGGATTGGTTAACGTGCGGCCACAAAAGTTAGGCATGTAGAGGGCTTTGTCGCTGCGGAAGTAGGCCTTGGGGGCGATCCATGCTTTGCCAAAGGTATTACGAAAGCTATAAATGTCTGCAAACTGAGACTTTGAGATTTCTTCAGTTCTAGTCCAAGTTAGCAAAAATAAAAAATAAAAAATAAAAAAAAAAAGAAATTAATCCATATATGAAAGACTTACAGTTCTCGACGGCGAGCCAAATGACGTTCGTAATTGGTAAAGTCGGCCTTCTTTTGGGCACGAGTACGCGTATCAACACCAGAATTGTCGGTCGCCAGCGGAACCTTTTCGTCGCCAATGGGCCGGGTCAATGGTGAAGCGGCCACACGCTTGGTAACAGCCTTGGAAGAAATGGCTCGCAAAGCCATGGCCTGGGAGGTCCATAGCGTGGAAGTAGGGCCCAAGACGGGTCGAGTAACAAAAGCTCTGAGGACCATTTTTTTTTTTTTTGTATTATTGAAGAGAAGTTCCGTAACGTGAATAAATGGCTTGAAGGTGGTTGTGAAGGGCCCAGTTAGACAGCAGCCCTAAGAACTTGACCCGCAACATAACGGCCTAGGGCTTAGGGGGAGGAGAGGGCGAAGATCGATGGTAACCCTCAACCCTGAAAAATTTACAGGAAAAGTATAAAAAGCGTGCAAAGCCGCCACCTTTTCCATTTCTTTTCTTCTTTTTTTTCTCCTTAGATCAAAAAACGGAGACTATGCCACGACAAATGGTAGGCTTAAACTACTTTTTGTTGCCAGATGATCATTTTTAAATGACTTCTTTGTCTTCCAGAACAACGCTCAACATATAGGAAGTTTTGCACCAAGAATCTTATTCAGTTAGGGTGAGGGTGTATTAATGCTCAAAGTTGCGCTACAACCGTTGTTTTAAAAGGATAATATTTTGTAAATTTTGTAAAATTTTTTTTTTACCTTCTACATACAAAACTCAAGTTTAAAATGCAACCTGTGGATGGATCGTATCTCCATTCGGTCCTCAAGTCTGTTTTTGGCAAGTCTGCATTTCGCTCTTGTCAAGAAGACATAATTCGTGCTGCTCTTGAAGGCTATGATCTTCTTGTACTTTTGCCTACAGGCCATGGAAAGTCTTTGACATATCAACTTCCAGCGGTTGCAACCAAGTCTCCGTTTGGAGTCACGATTGTCGTGTCGCCGCTTATTGCCCTCATGAAGAGTCAGTTAGACGGTCTTTTGGGAAATGAAAAGATCCATGCAGCCGCTCTACATGGCCAACTCTCAACAGCCGACCGTCAGCGTGTGCTCATGGACTTGACAAGTAGTGCACCGCAGACGCGTCTGCTTTACGTGTCTCCGGAACTCTGTGCCACCCCGGCCTTTCGCAAAATGTTGACTAAAATGGCGGTGCGCGGAGCAGTGGCTCGGTTTGTGATTGACGAGGCTCATTGCTGTGTCGAATGGGGGCTCGATTTTAGGCCATCGTACAAGGAGTTGAGATATATGCGCGAAGAGTTCCCGTCAGTACCTATCACAGCACTCACAGCCACGGCATCAGAAACGGTGCAGCGAGGGATTGTTGAGATGCTAGGGCTCGACACACCTCGGCTCAAAAAGTTTACAACGTCGGTCAACCGACCCAACCTGCACTATGAAGTCAAGTACTTTACAACGCATAATTACGAGCGTGATATTATTCCAAATCTCGTCAAGTTTTTGACAGAGTACAAGGCACGTCGTGAAAGTGTTGAGGCCAGTTTACAGAATCAAGAAGGTAGTACAGATGCCGCAGCTCTTGCGTGGCTCCGAAGGCGAAAATCTTCAGGTGCTGGAATCATATACTGCCGCAAAAAGTCGACTGTAGAGTTGGTTGCCCAAGCTTTGCAATCTGCTGGGTTTGGTGCCAATGCGTACCATGCCGGACTTTCTCAAGAACACCGCGACAATGTACTTTCCGAGTGGCTAGCAAATACACCTGGGTTTGAGGTTGTAGTTGCGACAGTTGCATTTGGCATGGGCATTGACAAGGAAGATGTCCGTTTTGTAATTCATGCTGACTTGCCTGGGTCTGTTGAAAGTTACTACCAAGCATCGGGACGTGCTGGGAGAGACGGCAAGGGCGCACGGTGTATTCTGTATTATTCACGCGAAGATCGAGACCGAGTGTTAGCTTTAAACCGTGGCAAGGGTGTCGGCGGAGGAGACGAAGAGGAGGTGGTACGCAAAAGATATTCAAACACGCAGGAAGAGCCGAGCTCTATTGCTGTTGGATTGAGATGGCTTGTACAATACTGCGAAAATACAAACTCGTGTAGGCATTTGTACTTGTGCGGGTACTTTGAGAAGGAAGTTCCGCAGACACCGAGTGCCGAATGGTGTCATTATGCATGCGACTATTGTAAAGATGCGCGGGCCGTTTCAAACCGGAGCAAGGTTCTTGCTGAAGAGAGTATGGATTATTACCAATTTTACTATTAACTATTAAAAAATAAAAAATAAAAAAAATCTAAACTGCTTGTATACATTTAATCATCGTACATGTTGACGATGGGAGGCTCGGGCTTCTTAAAGTTCTGGGCATCGTCCTTGATGGCCTTACGTAGACGCTCCTGGTCGGGTGCAAAGGCTGCAATAAAGTCTGTTTCAAGGTCATGCACACGGTTACCCAAAATGATGAGCGAATGGAGGGGTTCTCCAGCATCATACTCAGCCAGTTGTTCCAGGGTATCTGCGCGGAAAGCTTGGGTTGGTGCACCAAGTCGTGACACACCGATACAGGGGGTTTCTGGGCCGTAAGCGCCTTCTTTACGAGATTCTTCAATTTCGAGCATCTGCTGGGCTGCTGTGGCAATGGACATGTATCGTGGGGGTTCATAAATGAGTCTTCCGCGGGCCATATTTTCAATACTTTGTTCCTTGACTTTGATGTCGAGCAGCAGCAAAGTGTGGAGTCCTAACTGACGGTTCTCCAGAACTTTATCATAAAAGGATTCAGGTTTCCATGAGTCTGTGAAAAACACCAGCGACACTGTTTGGCCAAAGTTGTAAAGTTGTAGACCGCATGCACCAACGGCGTTCATCACCGAGGCATTGTGGATGATATTGTAAGGAATATTGAGTTCGCGTGCACGAAGAATAAGATCAGTATGAGTAGTAGCACCCAGTGGATCGCCAACTACCAAAAATGCAATGTCGTCTGTCTGTGCGCCAGCAAGAATGTCATCTGATCCGCCTTCCACAAGTTCTCTGTCGGCCAAAATGACTTCACGTCCATAGTACTTTTCGAGTGACTCTTGGTCGGCAGCCATAAGAATACTAGTGTATGCCTCGAGGTACACGCGCTTACACTTGCGGACTGTATCAAGACCACGGACAGTAATGTCGGAGACATCTGAGAGACCGAGACCGATTAGGTAGAGCATTGTTAATGAATGTTTTTAGTTGATTGTGAAGGGAATTTTTAGTGAATTTTTTTTTTTTTTTTTTTTTTAATTTTAATTTTGATTTTGATTTTGGAGGTTTGAAAAAAAAAAAAAAAATTGAGAATAAAAAAATTTCATGTCACGTGAATGAACATACGGCTGTGATATATATATATATATATATATATATATATATATGTACGGCTGGGATGGCTTTGTCTATTTTCTACTCAAAATCTTTCTTTCTTCCCCATTCCATTACCACCACCATAACTACACCACCTTTTTCATTATCACCACAATCTCAACAACCATCAAACCAGCTGTTGTGCTTCTTTATTATTTATCTTTTTTTTTTTTTTTACTTTATTTATTTCTTTATTTAATTTTTTTTTCCCCATTGCTTTCTAAAATACATTAGCATATTATTGATATAAAAGCCTTATCGCTATTTACCTAGGCCGCAGTCTGTATCTTCTCTGCAACCAAATATATATTACTGAGGTTCTTTGTCCATAAAGCTGTCGCTGTCAAACGCCGCCGCCACTACCTCGAACCTAGTTTTTACCCCGGCAGATCTTCCCGGGAACTTAACATCACCTCGATCTTTTAAAACTCGTCCGCATCACCATTGTCGTGCTGCGTCCTTGTCATCTTCCTTATCAAGTAGCCCTAGGCTCGTCACCATGACTAGCAGACCATCTACCAACGGAAGCAATACTTCTGCTGCAGATGGAGGCAAAGGCAAGACTCCTGATCGTCTGCCATTGCTTCCTAAAACTATCCAAGACTTACCTCCAAATTCTTCCACCGAAGAAACACCGACGGCTGATCTTTACGGGTTTTCCTATGTTAATAATAATCTCTCCACACCAGTTTCGCCCAAACAACTTTCAGAAACCGATCACGTGGGCGATGGCCTGATACCAGGACCAGCCCATGATGAAAGCACCCCGTTACTTTCGGCATCAACATTACCGGCCCCTCGTTCGGGTCTCCATTCGTTCCCTCCAGCGTTTGGTCAGAGTGGCTCGCAGTCGCAGGACCATCAGGATCCCAATGCGTCACACAATTTTTGGGACCTTCTGTGCCACTGTATCGAGTCCCTTACCAATGCCGGCACGCTGGGCGTTGTCGGCGCTGTTATTGTACTGATTGTATTTATCACAACATGCTCATCGATTATTCCTGGAGTGCCATGGGCAGGCAATGGTAATACTGGCGGAATTGCAGGGTCCATTCAAGGGTTTGAGGACCGCTTTGCACAGGCTTTACAAAAATCTGCATCAGCCAACCTCACCCGAATTGCACTGGGGGGCGTCTCAGATTCTCAGATTACAGTCTATGTGGGAGCCCAAGTTAGTTTTGATTACACGCGGGCCGAGGACGCTACTGCTGCCTGGCTGCTACGTGCGGCTGGCGGTACCTTGGGGTCGATATCTGTGGCGGAGTCTGCAGCCCAAGTTTATGTGAAGCAGGAGGAAGATAACAATGAAGAAGATAATGATCCATATAAGCTTGCATTTGTTGCTCATGCTCCACCGATTGATCAATTTTATCTTCAAGAAGGCATCATTACTAACCTTTCAATGGGCATCAACCTGACGTCGTTTGACCGGCCTGGGTTGCTGACAGATATAGCTAAGCGATTGCTTTTAGGAGACCCGATACCTGTAAGATTGACGACGGTGATTACCCTGCATAAGTGGTTTATCCCCTTTGGGTCGTATCCCGTGACGATTGAAGCCATTATTAACGAAAAGAAAAATAGCGCGTTTAAGGATCTTGATAAGATGAAGCTTGCCGAACTTGAGATTCAAAACCCCCCCGGCGCAAAATCACTCGACTTTGCAGCACGGCTACGGGCCGACTTTAAACCCCCGATTTCCGCTCACGTTCCGCAAATCAACTGGGACCTGGCGATTCCTGGTTGCAACTATCCTGAGCGCCAGCACGATGTTGTGACAATCACAAGCGTGCACAACTTGCCAGTAGATGTGAGTCCGCGCCGGGCGCTGGAGCTTAAAGTTGCAGCCGCGATAAAGGCTATTTCTGATAAGATTAGCGAGATTTGTCCAGGGACTGGACATTCTGTGCTTGATAAGTTGTTACAGGGATATCTTGCAGGGGAAAGTACCCATTTAGTTGTTAAAGGATCTTGTGATCAGTCTGCAGCTTTGCCTTGGTGGATGGCTGAGGTACTACAGTTTGTGCAGGTACCTATTCCTATTCCTAAGAAGGGTGATGATGGCGACAACACCAAATTGGTGGAGGAGATTGCGTTTTCATCAATGAAGATTCAGTTCCCACCTCCACGGTCACCTTTTGACCGAGAGCCCGCCCGACCTACGGTTCCACCCAAGATTTCAGGACATGTTGCGGTGACGATTGATCCGCCGAAAATTTTGAACTTGACTGAAGATATTGGTCTTGGAGTGGATAAGATTCGCGGGCAGGCGAATTTGATTTCGACAGAAACCGGGGTGCTGTTTGCCAAACTGAATATATCTGAATGGGTAGCGAGCACGACATGGGCCAAGAAGAGTGATCCACGGCGGATTCCCGAGGATATTGGAGGAGGAAGAAAAGAAGGAGAAGAAGGAGAAGATGAGGAGAATGATTTAATTGAGTATGTGATTGAGTTTGACTTGACGGCAGTGCCGTTGACTGTTGTGGACGAAAAGACTTTGTCTGGGATTGCGACGCAATTTGTGATGCGAGGAGAAGCTGCTGTGACGTTTGATGCTGTAGTGGACGTTCATTTAACCACTCCTGTGGGGGCCTTTGGATTGAATCAAATTCCTGTTCATGGAGATACCATTATGAGGACGTAAGTTATTGATACAATAATAATAATAATAATAATAATAATAATAATAATAATAATAATAATAATATCAAATGAATCAAGTTTGGTCTATTCAAATGTTTTTTTTTTTTTTTTATAAAAATTGTAAATTCAAAAGTCATTCTTTTACCCCATATATTGGTAAAAAAAATGATTGTAATGTAACATGAAAGTGAAAATTTTTTTAATTTTTTTAATTTTTTTAATTTAATTTTTTTCAAATTTCAAATTTCAAATTTCTTTTTTAAATATCAATAGAAAAGAAAGAAAGTAAGAAAGAAATAAAAATAAAAAAAAAACGTCTCCAAGTATATTAATTTGTGTGTTTGATTTGTATGTTTTTTTTTTTTTTTGTGTATATACAACGTAAAATAATAGTAAATTGTTTAACCAGGAGGAAGCTGAGTAGCATCGACAATCTCATCAGCGTCCTTGACACCCTCATCCGAGCCGGCCGAGTCGAGGGGAGTACGGGGAAGAGCCGTCATGCCTGAGCGGGCAAGCTCGAGAATGCCAAAGGGCTGGAGCAAAGAGATGAAAGAGGTAATACGATCGGGCTTAGCGCAGAGCTCGACAATACAGTTACGGTCAGAGATATCAGCGACCTTGCCACCAAACTGGTGAGCGAGGGAGGTAATATTGCGGAGGTGCTCATGCTTGTGGCGGAGAGCCTCAGAGGGTGCGAGGTTTGCTGGGTGGAAGAACTTGCGTCCAGGGGCAGCAGGAGAAGCAGCACCAGGAGCAGCACGCTTGTAGATCTGGCCATGGTGATGAAGAAGCTCTTCAAAGTATTCAGGACCAAGGAGTGAGACGCGGGCCAAAAGAAGTTCACGGGCAACAAGGGGGGCATGGGTATAGTCGAGTACAGCCCAGACGGGGACAAGATCCTCAATCTGTCGGCGGGCCTGCTCAATGACACCATCAAGACCTTGAAGAACAATGGTCATACGGGACAAATCCTTGACTTCAGTGTTTGAGACGACAAGAGAATCAATGTTAAAGCCGCGGGCGGCAAGGGTTCCTGAGATACGTGAGAGTACACCGGGCTCGTTTTGGACAAGACAGTTAAGGACGTGAGGTTTAGCGGCAGCGTTAGTAGAGGCGACGTTAGGAGTCTCGTAGAGAATAGAAGAGATGGCAGCATTGGTAGACCAACTGGGAGTCTCGATTGTGGGAAGTGGGGGTTGTTTGCTACCGCGATGGAGAGTCTTGTAGGCTAAAGCAGAGATGGAAGAGGCTGAAGAGTTTGCACGGGTGGCTGGGCGGTTTGCAGCAGTTGCGAGGGCTGCAAGGGCCTTTGCCATGCTACGGCGTGGGGCCGCGGCAGTCGAGAGGGGAGCCATTTTAGGGTGGGTAGGTGTGATGGGAGGGAGGGGGGGGGGGGGGAGAAGTTTTAAAAAATTTGGTGATTTGAAAAAAAAAAAAAAAAAAAAAAAAAAAAAAAAAGGAAGAAAGGAAAGGAAAGGAAAGGAAAGGCTGGGAGGAATTTTTTTTTTTTTTTTTTGGTGGTGGTGGTGATGGTGATGGTGGCAGGTAGTCAGCCAGACAAAAAAAAAAAAAAAAAAAAAATTTTTTTATTTTTTTATTTATTTTGTTGTTGGTTGGAACAAAAAAAAAAAAAAAAAAAAAAAAAAGAGTCACGTCACATGATATTAATAAAAAAAATTTTTTTTTTTTTTTTTTTTTTGGCGGGATCGGCAAGCGGTATCGGGTAAATGAAAGTTAAGTTGATTAGAATTAACAAAATGTAACTGAATGTAAATAGTTAAAAGAAATGATTAAATTAAATTAAATATTTAACTAAAAATAAAAAATGTTTGGGTACATAGAGGGGTAGTTAATTGTTTTAGAAGAGGTATTTATTATATGAGATAAATTTGTCTCTAAGAAAACTTTTTATATAAAATTTCTTTTTTTTTTTTCACTTTCTATAAAAAATCATCAGCTCATATATATATATATATATATTAAGAATCAGGAATGACTGGAATGAGTGAATAAGCAAAGAATTGAACGGATTGAATGGGGGTTTTTTTTCTTTTTTTTTTTTTCTTTTAAAATAGGACTTGAATTTCAACAGATATTATATTTATTTTTATTTTTATTTTATTCTTGTACTTGTACTTGTACTTGATACTAGTAGCAGTTGTTGTCAAAAAAAAATTTATATTATAATTAGTATTATTTTGGTATAATATACCTATATAGGTATATTTCTAGAGTAATTGATTGATTAATTGATTGACTGATTGATTGATTGAAAAGTATATACTTAACTAGTTGTATTAACTAGTTGTATTTGAGCAATGTATTTTTCTTTTTTAAAAAAAAATAAGTTAATAACTACCTTGATAACTGTATATATTAATATCTGAATAAAAGAAAATAAAAAAAAAAATTAAAATTTTACTTCAAATTCAAATTCTTTTTTTTTTTTTTATAAAAAAAAAAAACGTGTTAATTATTTAACAGCATGATTAAACAAAGTTCCATAAAGTAGCAGGTTAATTTTTTTTATTTTTTTATTTTTTTATTTATATTTTTTATATTTAAGTATTTACATTTAATGGAAACTATTTAATTGACTTTTTTTTTTTTTGTATGTTTGAATGTTTGAATGTTTTTATAATAATTTTAAAATATCATTATTATTATTATTATTATTATATAATTTTTAAAGTAGAAATTAAAAAAAAAAAAAAAAAAAAAAAAAAAAAAAACATGAGATTTTTCATAAATAATAATAAAAAAAAACAAAAAAAGAAATTTAAAATATTTAAACAATATATATACTAAAAAGATATATATAAAATAAATTTATGAAACTACTATAGAAATAAAGAAATTTGTTAGTCTTTAAGTCTTTGGCAGTTTCTTAAATTTTTATTTTGTTGTTTCAAACATTTAAACAAAGCCTTTATAATAATAACAATATTATCATTAATGATATATAAAACAAAGATCTTAAGATGATCCTTTTTATATATATATATATATATATATATTTAAATAATTAAAAATTTAAAACTGTTTTTTTTTAGTTATAACTAAAAAAATCTTCGTTTAAGAATAAGAATGGAGGGGTTATTTTTTTTATTTTTTTTTTAAATAAAAGATAAAAATATAAAAAATAAGCGAGATTTTCTAATTTAATTTAATTTAATTTAATTTAATTTAATTTAATCATTGATTGATATTCGTTATCTCGGTAAATGCACATCTACAATAAATCAGTGCAACCCAACTTTATCGGTTAACTCGCTTTGTGCCAAAGAAGGAAAAAAATCTCCAAAAAAAAAATCATCTTTTTTTTTTTTATTTTTTATTTTTTCTAGGCATAGCCACATTAAGAAAGAAGGAGGACGTATTTGAATTGAATCAAATTGAATCAAATTGAATCAAATTGAATCAAATTGGATTGAATTAGATTGAATTAGATTAAATTAGATTAAATTGGATTAAATTGAATTGAAATACATTAAATTGAAATAAAATAAAATAAAAAAAAAAAAAGTTCTAATTGTAATGTTTGTTGATGAGTGTTTAACTATGTTCAGGCACAATAGACTTTAAAATTAAATAATAAAAAAATAAAAAAATAAAAAGTCACAGAATGGCCCATTTGATAGTTTTTAATTACTATCATTGAATTGAAATAAATAAGTTTCTTCTTTTATATATTAAATACAAATTAGAAAGAAACAAAATTTTTCAAGATAATTTTTTTTTTATATTTTTTTTTTATATCTTAACAGTGGCAAAGTCTTTTACTTTTGTTTTTTAAAAACAAAATTAATTTTTTATAAATTTAAAATAAAAATAAAAATGGCCCATTTTTGAATTCTCATTTTACCTCACTTTATTTCACCCCCCCACACATACACACACATACACGTAAAAAAAAAAAAAACCAACAACCCTTTTAAGGATTTAAGCATAACTTTTAAAAAGTTAAAAAAAAAAAATTACAAACTTATTCAACGGTTGGACATTTCAATCATCAAAATTTATTAAAAATTTATTAAAAAAATTTCAAATATATTAAATATCAAAAGTTCTTTGTACCAAACAAACAAACAAACAATTAAAAACTTTTAAACTGGTCTTATTTATTATTATTATTATTATTATTATAAAAATAATAACTTTGCATATATATATATATATATATATATATATATAATAAATACAAACATTCATTCCCCTTTTCAGATTATATACACACACAAAAAAAAAAATTACTTGGACTTTTTCCAATCCATTGGAACTCACCTTTAACCATTATTGTCTGCTGATCAAAAAAAAAAAAAATTTAAAAAAAATTAAAAATCCACCCATCCCTTTCATTTGAATTTATTTTATTTTATTTTATTTTATTTTATTTTATAATAATAATAATAATAATTCTTCTTCTTCTTCTACTTCTTTTAATTCAATACAAGAATGTAATCATTTCTATATTACACTGCTCGTTTTAATGGCTTTAATCTTTTTAAATTATCAATTTGTTTAAACTTCATTCATTCTCATCCAATCCAAATCTTTCCTTCTCCCTTCCCCCTTTCCCCCTGGACTTTTCAAATACTTTGTGGTATAATAATAATAATAATAATAGTAATGTATATCATGGCACCATGCAGCTTCTTATAACTTGTTTTTATAACTTTGGTCTCCATTATTCACCACCATAAAACACTTCTTGTCAAGACATAATAACCAAATAAAAAATAAAAAAATAAAAAAAAAGTATATAAAAAGGTCTTTTAATTCCAATATTCTTTTAATTTTGTTATTTTTTAATTTCTCTTTCCTTTTTTTTTTTTTTTTTTTTTTTTTTTTTTCTTAATATCATTCTCTATCCCCATCCTAACTTATCCCATCAAACAATGAAACTCTCCGTAGCAACTGCCTCCGCCGCTATCCTCCTTAATGCAGGTATCACCTCCGCTCATGGTATCGTCCAAAACCTCAAGATCGGCAACGACTGGTGGACTGGCTCCCTAGTCTACCAAGACCCTTACAAAAATCCAGTCCCTTCACGTATCGTCTGGCCCTTCTTTTCCAATGGTAATGGCCCAGTAAAGGATGTCACCTCCTCATCAATCACTTGTAACGTTCTTTCTGGTACTGGCCAGCTCACTGCAGAAGTTGCCGCCGGTTCCTCAGTCACCTTCTACTGGGATACTTGGCCAGAATCCCACAAGGGTCCTGCAATGACTTACCTGGCCTACTGTGGTACCTCTCCATGCTCATCCGTTTCAGACCCTTCTTCTCTTTCCTTCTTTAAAATTGCCCAGGATGGTTGGGATGGTAGCTCTTGGATCAGTGATAGACTCATCGCAAACAATTACTCCGTCTCTGCAACTATCCCTAGTGATATCAAGCCAGGGTATTATCTTATGCGTCATGAACTTCTTGCTCTCCATGAAAGTTACATGTCTGGTGGAGCCCAGTTCTATCCCAGTTGCACTAACCTCAAAATTACAGGCAGTGGAACTGCAGAACCAAGTGGTGTCTCATTCCCTGGTGCTTACTCGGCTTCTGATCCTGGTATCTATGTCAACATCTATTCCAATTTCAATCCCAGCAATTATGTTATCCCTGGTCCTGACGTGTATGTTGCTGGTTCTGGCTCTGGCTCTGGCTCTGGTTCAGGCTCAAGTTCTTCTTCTTCTTCTTCTTTCTTCTTCTTCTTCTTCTTCTTCTTCTTCTTCTTCTTCTTCTGCTCCTGCCTCATCGTCTGCTGCTACTTCTGCTCCTGCAACTTCTTCAGTTGCTACCTCGGTTGCTGCTACCACTTGCCCCACTTGTCCCGAGGTCACAACATGTCCTAGTGTGGACTACGAAGATGATGTCCAGACTTTCACTCTCAGCCAGAATGGTATCGAAATCACAGGTACTATTACAGTCACAGCCAAAGTTACAACTGTCACTGTTACTGCTTAAAAAAAAAATCCACTTCTCATGGTAATGCTGGACGTTATGTCATGGAATTTAAAAGAATTTAAAGAAAAAAAAAAAAAAAAGAGATTGGTATTTTTTTTGTGTATAAATAAATAAACTTTATAGGTATTAATTTTTTTTTAATATAAAAAATTGTAAAAAAAAAAAACTGGTATATTTGAAAAATAAAATTAAAAATAAAATTAAAAAAAAAAATTAAAAAAAATTATAAAAATAAAAATTCCATGAGCAAACCATCTGGTTTATATAACTTTCAAGAAATCTTGAATTTACAAATTTGTAAAACATGAGTAATGCTCTCTCTCTCTCTTTATATATTCCTTTCAATTTTTATTGAGCAAATTCTCCTGCCATTTTAAGAACTCTTTTTTCTTCCCTCTCTCTCCCCTCCTTAGTACAAAGATTTTTTTTTTTAATCATCTGTTTAATTCTGAACTAACTAACTAACTAATTTTTTTTTTTTACTGAACTACTTCAATCACCACCTCCTCCCCCCCTATTTAAAGTTGAGTTTCGGGTGCAATTCCCGGGTTCTCTGTTGTTTTCTAATTTTAATGACCCAAAAAAAAAAAAAAAAAAAAAAAAATTGATCCCAATAAACCTTCGAAAGACTTAAACCTAATGTCTCATCTTGAAAAGAATTATGTAATCAGATCATGTGACTAACGAAAATATTTTGAAAAAAAAAAAAAAAAAACTCTTCCATCTTACTTTAAACATTCATCATCATCATCATCACATATACTCAAATGACTACAGAACCCAACAACAAGCGGAAACAAAATAACAAAAATTCCAACTATAACCCCAAGCGACAACGTTATAGTGGAAATGGTAACTCAAAGCATCATGGCCCACGGCGTGGAGCTGCAGGCAGTGGCTCGTACGAAGTTCAGGCCGTAACAGGGACTGCAGGGACCTCGCGGTTACGGCGCAAGATCCGCGACACTGAGCGGCTGCTTCGCAATGGAAAGTTTTTGGAAAACAATGCAGAAAAGCGGGCCGAAGTTGAGCGTGCGCTTGGGGCTCTTCGTGCTCAACTGGAGGATGCTGAGGCGTTGCAGCGAGCTCGTGAAATGGCAACCAAGTACCATAAGATTCGCTTTGTCGAGCGCAAAAAGGCTCTAAGACGTGTCGTACAAGAAGTCAAAGCGATTGCTGCTGCTGCTACTGCTGCTGCTAATACTAAAACAGATGACGAAAAAAATAACGAAATTAAAAATCAAGACAAGTTGCGTGCATTAGAGGTTGATCTGTATTATACCATTGTTTTCCCACGCTCAGAAAATTACGTGTCATTGTATCCTACATCAGATGAACCAGAGGACGCCCAGGTACGGAACAGGGTTCGTGAGACTGTTCGTCGGGAGATTCGGAAAATGATGGATGTGGAGGTTTTGCCCAGCGGGTTTGTGATTGTGGAGGAGACTGGGGAGGATACAAAGCCAGAAGTTTCTGAAGATGGTAAGGATACTAGAAACGAGGATGAAGAGGAAAAAGATGAAGAAGAAAAAAAGGATGAAGAGGATGATGATGAAGAAGAGAAAGAAACAGAGAAGACAAGGAAGGAAGTCATGTCTAAGAAAAAGAAACAAACAGGCCCTCGGCCTTCTTCCCGAGCAATTGAATATGCAGACGAGCTACGTCGCAAAGTTGTGGATGATAGCCAAGTGTTTATTTCTCCTGAGATTGTGATTGCTGAACGGAAAAAGGAGGGCGTGAAGAAGGAAAAGAAAAAAGAAGAAGAAGAAGAAGATACTAAGGATATCAAAGTTGAAGAAAAGGTCAACGATGAGAAGAAGAAAAATAAGAACAATAAGAACAATAAGAATATTAAAAAGGAAAAGAAAGAAAAGAAAGAAAAAAATGTGAAGAAGGAAGAAACGGATGCTGGGGAAAAAGAAAATGATGAGTTTTTTGAAAAACAGTGAGAGATAAGGTATATTGTTGATAGAGAAAAAAAAAAATATATATATATACTAGAATTGAAGAAAGGATATTCAAATATTATTGTTTAATTTCAAGTATTTGGTTGGTTTTAATTTTTTTTTTTTTCACAAATAAATAAAATCTTCCATCTTTAGAACATTTGAAAGTTTTTAAAAAAATTCTCATTTTCGTCTAGTTATGACCACCGTATCTCAAAAAAAAAAAAAAAAAAAAAAAAATTACGTAACTACTAAACATTATAATCCCATGTAAATGGTTCACTGGCCATTTTGGTTTTCAAAGAATTATTAGAGGTCATAAATATTAAAAAAAAAAAACATCCGCTTTCTATCTAAGTATATACAAATAACTAGTTTAATTGTTAATTAAAAAAAAAAAAAGTTTAAACGAAAATAATATGATATAAATTTATATCATATTATTTTCGTTATACAAATAATTTATTAAAGCTTCTACACCATCGTATGTATCGTTCCCAGTAATTTCAATAACTTCGCTAATATTATTTTTAATATTTAAAAAGTTTGTTCTTCTTTTTAAGAAAATTATTGAAATCAGTTTAGAACTAAATAAAATAAAATTAACAATCACAAATAACAAATTATTCCAAATCTCATTGAATTTAAAAATATAAGAAACTTGTGACGTATTATTATTGACTTGAGTAGCAACTTGAGGAGCTGTAGGTGGAAGTTCATTTAATTTAAAACCTTTGAATTCATTGGCATAAGGTGAATTGGTTAAAACACTTGCTAAAATTGCAGCACCTGTAACTGCTGCTTCTTCAGAATTGATATCCATACATAAACTTTGATTAGGGAAAACCTCAGAGAGAAGTTTCTTAATTCCAGGAGTACGGCCATACTCACCTATCAAAACAATATTATCAATATCTAGCTTTTGAATTCGGGTATCATCCAATACTTTGTCCACAATATTAATTGTAGATTGAAAAATATTGCTACATATTTCGTTGTATTGGTCAATGGTTATTTCCACTTTATAATTATTGAATGAAACTTTAGTGCTTTTATTTTTTAATAATGAAACTCTGATATGTTTCACTTGTTTGCTTAACTTTTTGATTTCTGTTGGATCCCCCTCCAAAACATTTTCTAAATAAAGACTTTGAAATTGCTCAATAATGAAATTAAATAATCGATCATCAATATTTTCACCTGTTAAATTTTCATCTCCCTCTCGAGCCAAAACTGTGAATTCATTCCCTTCTACTGAAACAATAGCAACATCAAAATAATCAGTATCTAAGTTGTAAATTAAAATGTTTTTTTTCCCTTCATCACTATCAATTGATTCATATGCATAAGCAATTGCACAAGCTGTTGATTTGTTTAAAATTTGTAAAACTTTTAATCCTGCAAATTTAGCAGCCTTATTAAAACTTTGGCGTTGACATGTATTAAAGTAAGAAGGAACCGTAAGAACTGCTGCATTAGAACAATGCATTGCATCTTGTTTTAGTTTGTATAAAAAAAGAGAAACGATAACTTCTGGTTCAAAAATCTTTTCTTCACCATCAATTAATATGCTGATACCTGGCTTACCCTTTAAATTGACTATTTTGTAATAATTATTCCCAAGAGTGGTGATTAGTTTTTGAACACCAAAGTCATTATAATTTAAACCAATTAATTTCTGGAAACCGAAAATAAAATTTTTAGTTTTAAAGTATTCCTCCTCATTTCTATCTCCAATTTTAAGATAATCATCTGCAAAATATACAACAATGGGGGTGGACTTGTCTTTAATGTTGCCTGAAATAATCTCAATTTTCCTTTTTAAACATGCGGTTCTAGAAGAAAGAGCTCCCAGATCTATTCCAATTGGTATAAAAGATCCCATTATGTTTTTTTTAACTATAATTAGAATTTGTGTTGTTATATTTTTCAATAGAGTATTTGTTTTTGTTTTTAAAGTAGAAGAAATTTCTGCTTTATTTAAATGTTAAAGCAATGATATCGATATTTATATATATATTGTAAAAATGAAGAGGCTTAAAGTCTTGGTACATTTATAATGCAATTATAAATGTACCAAGACTTTTAGCCTCTTTTTTATAAGTAATTACTAATCTTTATAGTAGGTTTTTGTCAAATATCAGGAGGAAAAAAGATAGAATTATTACTCAAAATCAAAAACTATACAAACATTGAGCAGCATTTAATTATAAAAGGCTCAGAGTTATTTCTTTTTTTTTTGAAAATAAATAAATGCTAACAAAGCCTCATCTCAGCTGGCTCTGAGCAAACATAAGACCCAGTCCTGAGTAGTATGTATTCCCATGACTATGTCAGCACTTTCAATCGGATGATCCTTCATACCTAAGCCCCAGCAGTGATATTAGAATATAACAATATATTGTTGTTCTCAACTCATACTCCGACATTTAACCAAGGCTTTACACATATCCAGTCTAAGCCTTATAAAAGTTAAAGCCTGGAACTGATAGGATCCCAATAAGATCTAAAAGCTAGCTAGAGGGGTTTTGATGTACTTCACCAACATCTCACAATTTATTTATTTGGATTGCTACAAGTTATTTCTAAATGATTTCATTTTGATATCTCTTTCTAATTGTTTTCTTTTCTTTTGTTTTCTTTAATGTAAACTATTTATTTTAAATACTAAATTATATAATTTTTCAAATCAGCATTTTGGCTATTCTCTTCAATTGAATAACTTTTGTTAAAATTAAATGTTAATTTGAGGCATTCAGCTTTATTGTTCTTAATATCGTTATCCGTCCCACTTATTTGAATGTTAGTTATCCCACTTGTATCAATAGTTATTTCTATATTTATTTTTCCTTCATGTTGAGAGTCTGATTTTCTTAAATGATTTATTGGATTAAATGACATAAGAATTTCTTCATAGTTTGACTTAACCACAAAGTAAAACTTTTGGTTATTTTTAAATGAAATTCTTGATTCAAAGCTTTTCTTATATGGTAATTTTGTATTTTCCTGGGTTTCCCAAATTACAGTGTTATCAGGACCTTTCATAAAGTATATAAAAGGTAGCGTTTCTTGTAATTTGAAATTTGAAAATTCAAAAGAATAACGTGATTTTCTAAGAATTCTTGCCAAAATCCCAGCTCCCATTGAAGCAGCTTCTTCCGGATTAATGTCCTTGCAAAGCTTTTGGTTAGGAAATGCTTCCATGAGTAACTGCTGAATTTTTGGCATTCGACTGCATCCTCCAGCTAAAACAATGCGATTAAGATCTGATTTTAACAACTTGGAACTTTTAAATACTTCCTCGATTTGGTCCATTATTAATTTCAAAGGTATAGCACATCCGTCTTCAAAATATTTTCTTTTTACACTTAGTTCAACGTTTTTGTCTTTTAAAATTCCACCTAGTGAAATAGTTGCTTTTTCACTTTTCGTTAAAATAATCCTTGCTTTCTTAGCTTGATTTGATATTTCGCTCATGATTTGGGTATCAATTAAAACATCTTTGAAAGTTTTTTGAAGTTTCTTCACAAAAAAGGTAGTTAAAATATTATCAAACTTTTCACCACCTAAATTCTCTCCCCCTTTGCTAGCTAAAACTTGGAATTGGTTTTCTTTGACAGCTATCACAGACACATCAAGATAATATTCTCCCAAATTAAACACTAAAAGATTTTCTTGTGTTGATCCAGAAATTGATTCGTAAGCATAAGAAATAGCAGTGGCCGTACTTTCATTTAAAAGTTGCAATACATTTAATCCAGCTAATCGAGTTGAATCAACAAGTGATTGACGCTGTTTAGTATTAAAACAACAAGGCACTGTAATCACAGCATCTGTAACTGGTGTTTCTAAAAAATTCGATGCATTTTTTTTGATTTCTTTAACAATAAAATAATTAATAACTTCCGGTTCAATTAATCTTTCTTTGTTGTCTATAACTATAGAAATATAAGGCTGTTTCTTTTCATTAAAAACAATTTTGTAGTGATCATTTCCCAATGATTGTTCAAATCTTTTAATATTAGAGCTATCAGAAAATTGGCCTATTAATCTTTTAAAGCCGAAAATAAAGCGTTCAGGTTTTAAATATTTGAAATCAAACGTGTTTCCAACTTTTATATAATCATCGCCAATGTATACAACGGATGGAAGATAGTTGCTCTGATTATCGTTTGAAATTATAAAAATATTCTTTTTCAAGTAAGAAACTGCAGAACTTTTTGTTCCTATATCAATGCCTACTGCAGCTGAAGTCTCCATTGTTTGAGAAGTATTATTCTAAAGTATAAGTGATGAATGAATAAATAAATTTAAAAAAAAATTTAGGACTTTGGGTATTCAAAATATGAGCATAAGTGTAGACAAAGTTTATTTATCGTTAAATTTTTGAGAATTTAGTCCAAAGCTTTGGATTCAAGTCTTTTTTTTTTTTTTTTTAGAAGAGGCTAAGGTTTTATCGTTATTGCCTAGATTTATTTATCTAGATGACATAACAGATTAAGTAAATTTTTAACTATATATATAGTTAAAAATTTTATATTCACCTTTGTTATTGTTTTTTTAATCATTATTATACAAAAACTTTATTTAATATATATATTCATGTGTACAAACCCGCAAAAATCAAAAACAATTTAATAAAATACCCGATTTATTTCTTAAAGAACTTGTCGTAGTTGACCATGGTAAAGCGATAATGGACATCGCCCTTTTCGACACGTTCCCAAGCTTTACCAAGATTCTCCTCGTTAAGGTCAATCTGCTCAACCCAAGGCTTGATATTATGCTTGCTAGCAAAGTCCAGCATAAATTCAATTTCTTCAGGAGAGCCAATACCTGAGCCCTGAACTGCAATGTTTCTGGAAAGCAGCAGAAGAGGAGCAATCTCAATATTCTCATTAGCAGGAGGTGCAGTAATGAATACCAGGGTGCCGCGGGCAATTAAGAGAGAAAGGACAGCAGTAAAATTGCTCCCAGAAAAGGAACTTCCAGTGTTGACTATAATGTCAAGAGTATCCTTGTGCTTTTCCAGGTCGTCAAGATCGCTAGTTGCAACATAGTGATCGGCTCCTAGCTTCTTAGCATCAGCTTCCTTAGAACGCGATCGTGAAATGGCAGTGACTTCGGCACCCAATGCCTTTGCAAAAAGAATAGTCATGTGGCCAATGCCACCAATACCAACCACACCGACACGAGTGCCTTTGCCTACCTTGTGCTGGAGAAGAGGGCTAAAACCTGTGATACCACCGCACAGAAGTGGGGCTACATAGGCTGTTTCCAGGCTGTCGGGGATCTTGAAAGCAAACTTGGAGTTGACGCGAATGTGTGATGCATTACCACCCATAGTATTGATTCCAGTTTTGACATCCTTGCCAAAGTAGGTCCAAATATTTTGGGCACAGTTGTTTTCGAGACCACGGCAACATGTTTTGCAGGTGCCATCGCTATCGCATTGAGCACCAACACCAACACGATCACCAAGCTTAATTCCAGCCTTAGCATTGGGGCCAATCTTGACGACTGTGCCCACAATTTCGTGGCCAACAGCAACAGGGCAGTAGGGACGGCCCCAGTGGCCGCCAACTGCGTGGATATCAGAACCACAAACACCGCAGGCTTGGATTTCAATGTCAACATCAGTATCGCGGAACTCGCGAGGAGTGAATTCAAAAGTCTTAGGGTGGAGATGATCGTCAAAGTCGACGACACCAAGACCAGTAAAAGTTTCAGGGTAGACCATTGTTTAATATGTGTTTTTTTAAGAGCTTTGTTATTGATTGATTAGGATGAATTGAGATTGAAGAATGATTTATTGAGTGAAATTAACTTCATGAAGAAATTCTCTTATTTATATACTTTTTTTTTTCAAAAATAAAAAAAAATAAAATTATTAAATTTGTTATTTTTAAACTCCGCCATTGTTTTTTTCCATAGTTTGATTATTGATGATAATATCTTCTATCCAAAAGTTTCCATTATAGTCAATTAACTATTTCCGAAGGCTTTACTTTTTGCCATTTCTAATTGCCGTACAACTGTTATTATATAATCTGTCTCCGAAATAAGATTCAAGGAAACAATACGAATCATTCTGGCCACCTTTGCTTTGAAAAGTTGCTACACGGCTAATGCTTAGCCTTGGTTCGCTCCAATAATTCATTTCCCCCCACAAAATGCAACATTTATATCCGCTCCGTCTACTCCGTTCTAGGACTTAAGCTTATAAGTCCATAATTATGGACTTTAATATAAATAAAGACCGAAGCCTATCACTTGTGGCAAAAAAAAAAAAGAAAAGGAAAAAAATTCCCGTTTTTTTTTGTTTATTCCATTCTTTTCCTTTAATCCAAATGACATAAGATTATTTTGTTTGATAGAACTTGAGAGAATTGTTAATATCATTAGAACCGGATTTAAATGGTTATGAAAAAAATAGTTAGACGCTTTTTTTTCTTGTTCAATTGATGAAATGTGACGTCAAATCAAATGGAGAAAAGAATCTAGATCATAAAGCAATTCTTCTAAGCAAGGTTTGATATAAAAAGTTGCTGTTAGCTTAAAGTCCATGTATCTTTATGAATAGTTTTTCATCCGTCAAGTCATCATCAGATACCAAAATAAATAAAAGACTACTCGTGGGTAGGGGTTTTTTTTATTTATACCAAGCTAAAGGATTAAATATTCCAAGAATAATGGCAATGTTTCTAATTTTAAATGTTCTTGTCTAATATCATTGATAGCTTTAAATTGAGTTTTGACTTTTTGGTCAAGGAAACAGTTGGGTTTAAAATTTTAAGTTTTCCATACATATAATAAAAAGTTAAAAATTCAAATTTTGCTATATAAAATGAAAATAATTAAACATATTTAACTGTTTATCTTTACTATTCTAAATAATTAAATCCTCCAACGAAAATATCAAGTTTTTTAAGCTTACTTCCTCTCGTTTGATATCATTAATAGTAATATCTTGACTTAAAATGTTTTTGGAAGCAGCTCTGATACGTGCATTAATTTCTTGAGCCCCAGTCAATTTTAAGTTCTTATAAGTATGTTGTTTGTTATAAAGAAAGTTACTGAAATCATTTTTGGCCTTCATTAATTCCTTTGCATCATGATCTTGTTTAATTGCTGCTTCTGCCTCTGCCTGGATTTGTAACACTTTTTCAGGAGATATGTCATGACTATTAGAGATGTTGATATGGGCTTGTTTCCTGGTGCTTTTTTCATGTGCCTTGACTGTTAAAATTCCATTTTCATCGATTGAAAACGTAACTTCTATAATTACTTTTCCTTTGAGTTTAGCAGGAATCCTATCAAAAAGGAATTGCCCCAATAAATAATTGTCTTTAGAGGTAATACGCTCGCCTTGAAAAACTTTGAAATTAATCACAGTTTGGAAATCTTTGCAAGTTGTGACCATTTTGGTTATTGAGATTGGAATAGCTGTGTTTTTTTCAATTATTTTAAGAAACTCGCCAAAAATAACTTCTATTCCCAAAGACAATGGCGTCACATCGGAAAACTTGATTTTGGAAACATTCCCCTCAATATCATCAGAATAAACAGCTGCCAGCCATGCGGCCCCAAAAGCAACAGCATGCCCAGGATCAACATCTTTGCATATTTTGGAATGGGGTAAAAGATTTAGAATCATATTATTAAAATAAGGAATCATGCTTGAGCCTCCCACTAGAACAATGAAATCAATATCTTCATTAGTTAAGTTTGCAAGTTTAATCGCATTCTTTATGGTATTTTGGGTTTTTTCAAATAAATCATTGCAACTGGATTCAAACTGCCGACGAGTTATAGTAGACTTATATTGAGATTGATTTGTGATCCCATGAACAGAAATTGTAGCCTTATGAAAAGCGCTTAGATTTTTTTTAGCTTCTTCACAAGCTCGCAAGAGTCTAAATTTTAAGAAGCGGTCTTGAGAAACATCAATGTCATGATGTAATTTTATTTCTTCGGTAAAATATTGAAATATCCTGTTATCAAAATCGCTGCCACCCAAGTGCGAGTCTCCTTCTGTCGCAAGTACTTTGTAATCGTCATTTAAAACATTGACAATAGAAACATCAAATGTACCACCACCAAGATCAAATACAAGAATATTTTTCCCCTTTTTAGGATTTGATAAATGGTCAATTTTTTCTAAATCATTGTCAAAATCTGTTTCTATCCCGTATGCAATAGCAGCAGCGGTAGGTTCGTTGATGATGGACAAAACTCGAAGCCCAGCAGTTTCTGCAGCAAGTTTAGTTGCTTCACGTTGCATATTGTTGAAGTAAGCTGGGACTGTAATAACTGCGGATTCTACTGGTTGCTTAAAAAAGTTTTCAGCATTTGTTTTAATTTTGGACAATAGTATGGAGGCCACTGTTACTGGGCAAACTATTTTTGTGTCGTTGTCATTGTCAAATTCAAGCTTAAATGCTACCTTCCCGTCTTGATTAACAATTTCGTATGGAATAAATTTAGAATCTTTGATAACAGCAGGATCATCTTTACACAAACCAATAAACCTCTTTGAGTTAGAAATAGTGGTTTTAGGATTCTCCACTGATTTGTCCAAAGCATCCAAACCAATATGTACTCTATCTTTTGAAGAGTATGTGACAACCGATGGAAGATAGACGCTTGGCCCGTGCTCTATAACCTTTAATCCTTTGGAATAGTAAGCAACACAACAGTTGGTTGTTCCTAGATCAATTCCAATAGCCTTTCCCGTCATTATTTATTTTCTTTTTTTTTTTGAATTTTCAATAGATTAATTGAAGAATATAATGATAAAATACTAATAAATATAATTAGATGTTTGAGATTTATCGTTATTTCCATAAATATCGATAAAATAAACTCTTCTGCCAAGGATGTCTTAGTGATGACTAAATATTTAATAATATTGTGCTTTCAATCAAATATCTAGATTAGATTAGATTAGATTAGATTAAATTAAATTTGAGTAGATTAGATTATATTAAACTAAATTAATCACAATATTTTATTAATTGTGAATCGAAAGTAATATATATACTGATTTATATAGTTGGTTGCTATTAAAGGAACAATTTTTTATCTATAAAGTATATAATTTAATGAAATTAATATTTTTTATTCATTTGAAATCTCTAGGTATTTAATGTCTATTTTTTTTTTAAAGGAACCCCGATTCTGATTTTTTAATTTTTTTGTCAAATTATTTATCTCATTGTTAACTTGAGTAGAAGATTCAAATGTTAAGTTTTTACTCTTGGATGTATTTAGTATTTCTAAAAATTCTTTCTTTTTTTTATCTTTTAAATTCGAATTTATGACTTTGTTTTTAGTCTGGAGAACGTAGGAATCGAGTTCATTTTTTGTATTTAATAATTGTATTGTTGCATTATCATTAACTTTATTTGATTCTGCTTCTTGTTTTAAATTCAAAACCATTTCATCTGTAGCAGTTTTGTCGATGATAATAATTCTTTCATTGCAAGTAATATTGTCGGTAACTTTTACTGTTAAAATTCCATCTTCATCTATTAAAAACCTCAGTGTAGCTTTTGCTTGGGATTCAGGCAAAGGAGTTACAGAAATACGAATACTTCCAAGAAAATAGTTATTTCGAGCATAAGGTCGTTCGCCCTGATATATAGACAATCTTAATTGTTGTTGATTATCCATAACAGTTTGAAAAACTTTTGATTGCTCTATTGGATATTCTGTGTTTTTAGGAACAATGCAAAAAAATTTCCCATGAACAACACTCACACCAAATGAAAGTGATGTCTTATTTCTGATTTTGATTTCCGAAATATTGCCATGTATGTTTCCCGAAATAAATGCTGCTTTCTGTGCTGCACCTCGAGCCACAACCTCCGCAGGGTTGACATCATTAGAAATTTTACTATTGGTAAACTTTTCTCTTAAAATGGACTTAGAAATATATGGTATTGAGCTTGAACAACCCACAAGAATGATATGATTAATACTTGAAGATTCAATATTGGCTAGTTTTAGTGCCTCATCAATAGTTTCTTTTGTTTTTTCAAATTCTTTTTGGCATATTTTTTCGAATATGTCACGGGTGATTTCAAGGGTACAACAATAACTTCCAAATTGAATGTCAAATTCAGCTTTTTTATTCTTGCTTAAATTAATTTTTGCCTTCTCACAAGCATTAAGAAGTTTGGTTTTATAAATGTTATTTGAAGTAACATCAATTCGGTGCTTTTTGTTTAAATCATTTTTAAAGTATTCAAAAAGACAATGATCAAAATCAGTACCGCCTAAATGTGAATCTCCCGTTTTTGCAAGTACCTCGTATTCATCACCATTTTTAACACAAACAATAGAAACATCAAAGGTGCCTCCACCAAGATCAAACACAAGAAGGTTGCAATCTGAATCTGTGTCAAAATCAGTTTCATATCCGTAAGCTAAGGCGGCAGCCACAGGTTCGTCTAAAATATAAACTTCATTGAATCCAGCCCTTTTTGCTGCCAATTTTGTTTCATTTCTCTGATTATTATTAAAATATGCAGGTACAGTAACAACAGCTTTTGTAAAATTTTTGTTTAAAGTATTATCAGCATTGTTTTTAATTTCTCTCAGAAGCTGAGTAGCTATTTCCGTAGGAGTAAAGATCAATTTGTCCTTATTATTGTTAAAAGTTAATTCAAAACCTACTTTGTCATCTCGGTTGATAGTTTTGTAAGGAAGAAACTTGGAGTCATTTACAACACCTGGGTCATTGAACGAAAGCCCGATAAACCGTTTTGAATTTATGATAGTCGTTTCGGGGAATTCCACTAAACCGCCTTTATTCCCAACAGATGGTTCTCCGTTTTTGGAACTATAAGTGACAATGGATGGAAGAAGTGGGCTGCAGTCACCATGCTCAATGATTTTGAAGTTAAGTTTGTTTGTATACCAGCAGTAAGCCGCGCAACAATTTGTTGTACCTAAGTCGATACCTAGCGCGTATTCTTGATCTTGTGCCATTATTATTATGAATTTAATTAAAAGGTAATTTCAATATTTTGATAAAGGTTATAAGTGAAAAATGGAAAATGGAAAAAGGAAAAAGGAAAAAAGAGATTCTTAACTTGATGATTTTGCTTTTTATATGTTCTGGGATTTACGATATTTTGACCATTCCACTGCAAAATTAAATCTTAGCGATAAAGCGGCTAAATTTTGTTTTCAATTTAACGATAAAATACACTAACGGGATTTTATCTGATTGACAAAGCCAGAGGCATTGATATAATTAATTAATTAGTTAGTTAGTTTAAATTTAAAAATAACAAACATTTAAAAGTTTAAACTCAATTGAAAATCAAATCATTGTTTAATCATACAGCTCAAACCATCTTTAAGGACTTTCCAAACATTTTGAATAAAAATAATAAACGGTTTTCAAAGTTTAATTCATTTATTAAAGATTCCTTCGGACTTAAGTCTGAATCTTTTCTTTTTTTCCTTTTTTCTTTCTTTTTTTTTCACTTTATATACTTTCATGTTTCATTTATATCACTAAAATACAACCTTCTGTTTCTCTAATTCATTACTCTTCGTCCTCATCATCATCCTCAATCACCCGACGTTTCTTGTTGCTTCCACTACGCGCTTGGCGTCTTTCTGCCCTTTCTTCTTCGTCTGTAAACTGGGCCTCTTCTTCTTCTTCAGAATCAGGTAATCCGTCCTCAAACTCCTCTTCTTCTTCCCCTTCCTCGTCTTCCTCATCGTCATCGTAATCCCGCTTCTTGCGGTACTTAGCTGCACCTTGACGTTTCAAGTCTTTAAGACGACTAGCCCGTCGTTGCTCATCCATCTCCTCATCTTCATCTTCATCCTGTACAACAAATCCGTCATCATCTTCGTATTTGTCATATCGCGACGACCCAGCACCGCCACCACTACCAGCACTTGAAATTGCACCGTCGTATGCACTGCTTCCTCCAGCACCACGACGCTGCGATCCAGCACCCATGGAATCGCCATAACCCTCGCGCGCTTCCAATTGCCGCCGTTTTTGTTCAAGCTTACGGCGAGCCTTGAGGTTCATTTCTTCAGCCCTGAGCGCGGCAAGTTTTAGTTTTTCTGGGTCGTCTGTTGTTGCAATATTCCCCACCGTGTTACTGCGGTTACTGTGGCGCTTCAGTTCTTCAGTCAACCGGATATGTGTGTTGGATGAAGTAGAGTATGGAATGAAGGTCATTGACTTGTTAAGCAATGAGGTGGTTTGCAAAATCTCTTGTTGAGGATGTGACATGGTCAAAAACGTGTCTGGGTTATCCTTGACCTCGACCTCAAACATTTCTGCACCCAGTTGTAGCGAAAGAGATCCATCCGACCACCGAATGAACCGTGCATTAGATTGTTTAATCATTTGGCCAGTTTCCTGGTCACGCGCAAATTTCCAGCGAATGGTGTTTTCATTTTGGAGTCGGAACGCGCGTGAGCGCTCAGCTGCACCCTCGACTCCTAGCCCATCTTGTTCATCTTGCTGTGCACGCACTTCAGCATCCCGCAGAAACGCGCTTGAGTCAAAAGCATGTGCCTCGACTGTAAGGAAAGTTGGCATGCGTACAAAGTACGTGTCTTTATCAGGAATGTGTGACGAGGGGTACCGGGGGACTGTGATTTCCATATGTCGTTGTTCAATTTCTTCATCATCTTCATCATATCGATCTTCGTCGTAGTAGCTTTCATTTGCTTTTCTAAAATCTATGCGTTAGTAAAAGTTGTTTTTTTTTTTTTTTTTTATATATTTTCTTGTTGGCAAAACTTACCTTTCTTCGTCTTCTTCATCTTCTTCCTCTTCCTCTTCTTCGCTGGCAGCTTCCCGTCTTTCTGTAGGTTTTTCTACCTCTTGTTCTTCTTGTTCTTCTTCTTCATTGTCTTCATTGTCTTCATCACCATCTCCAAACAAGTCGTCGTCGTTGCCATCATTGTCTTCATTATTGTCGCCGGTCTCGTTTTCGAGTTCATCAGCATTGTCTGGACGTTCTTCTTCCTCCCAATCATCAGCATTGAAAGGTTCGCCTGCACCTGCATATGTTTGTGACTGTTGTTGCTGTTCTTCTTCTTCTTCTTCTTCTTCAGAGTCCATCATGATTTTCTTGCGGTGCTGTGATCCGCGCTGTTCTTCAGACATTTTGTTGATTGTTGTGTGTATTGTTTGTTACTGGGGATCTTTTTTTTTTTTTTTTCTTCAATTGGAGGTTTGGAACTCTTTTTTTGTTTTTTTGTGAAATTTCTTATTACAATCATACGTGACAAAAACAAATGTAACAATCCACGTGATTTACCTCAAGTTGCCTCATAAAGTATTTTTACAATCGATAAGGTTTTTTTTTTTTTGTCAAGATACTTTCAGTTATTAGAGGGGGGAGAAAAAAAAGTTTCAACGTCCATTAATACACCATATTTAATACTTCATAATTTCATTATATATCAGCTGTTTAAGTTCCTTTGTTCCCAGGTGATCCTTTTGCTTGTCAAAATCAAAAAACTCTTCGGGAATGGGGGGCGCAGTAGGCTCATCATCGGGGTCATGATATGAGGCAAGGTACGGGTGTTCGAGCGCATCTTCAACAGTCAATCGCTTTGTGGGGTTAAAAGTCAAGAGCTTTTCCAGCAAGTCAATGGCAAGAGGATTAGCTCTGGGGAAAAGCTCAGCAAAGGAGCGTTTTCTAGTAAAGGGGAGAGAGCGAATGTAATCACGAGCACGGCGCGACTTAATATTGTAATAATCCTCCATTACTGGGGTACCCAAAATTTCAATAATGAGCGTAAGTTGGTTATGGTAGTCCTTGCCAGGGAAAAGAGGTTTACCCGTCAGCATTTCAGCGAGAATGCAGCCTACCGACCACATGTCAATGGCTTTTGTGTATTCTTTAAAGGTAAGCATGATTTCTGGGGCACGGTACCAACGAGTGGCAACGTATTCTGTCATAAAGCCTGAATTATCATCTGAAGAAGCTGCTGAACGTGCGAGTCCAAAGTCGCAAATCTTAAGGTCACAGTTTGAGTTGAGCAAAAGATTTGATGGTTTTAAATCGCGATGTAAGACATTAGCAGAGTGCAGGGCTTTAAGTGCGCGAAAAGTTTGGTATATAAAATATTGGCAGTGGTCATCTGAGAGAGTTTGTGTTCGGATGACTCTATGCATATCAGTTTCCATAAGTTCTTGAATAAGGTAAACATCTGTGAATTGTTCATATGATATTGGTTTTTGAATGTCGACTATTGAGATAATCTAAAGCGAGGGGGAGTGAATGTTAGAACAAGGGTTTTTTTATTTTTTATTTTTGACAAGGGGGGGGGAGAGGGATAAAAAAAAAAAAAAAAAAGTAACGCGTCACTTACATTTTCATGAGAAAAGTGGCGTAAGAGTTTGATTTCACGGAGGGTTCTTAGACAAAACATTGTTCTATCAAAGGGTGTGATTTTTTTAATAGCGACTTGAAGGCCAGTTTCTTTATGGACAGCAGAGCTAAAATGATGAGTTAGAGAAAGTAAAAGTAAGATTGTTGATGAAAAGTATACTTACCAAACAATGCCATATGCACCTTCGCCTACAACGTCTTTGATCTGGTACTGATCAGAGACATGGAAGGAGATTTTCCGGGGTTCGCCGTGATGAATGTTCATTTTGTGAAGAGTTTGTTGTAAAGAATAAGGAAAGGAAGAGAGGTAAAGAGGGGTGTGGTATTGTATATAAAATCTGTGTGAGTGTTAATATATATAGTTATTATAATATAAAAGAAATTAAAGAAAAGAAAATGAAAATTTTAAAATGAGAAGAGAGAAGAAAGAATTAAATAAGGTTTTTGATATTAATAATAGTTTGCACCATGAAAATGAGAGAAGGAAGGAAGGAAGAAAGAAAGAAAGAAAGAAAGGAAACTAAAGGAAATAATTGGGTATTTATAAAAGAGCTTCAAAAAAAAAAAAAAAAAAATCTCAAAAGCTTTTTTTTTATTAATTTATTTATTTATTTAATTTTTTTTTTTTGATGGCGGTGGTGATATTATTTAAATTATTTCTTAGTTTTCCCAAACAATCCATAGAGATGATACAGGTGGACAAGGGGTGTATCAGAATGACAGTTTGAGAAAAAAAAAAAAAAAAGTGGAGCCCACCACGATGGACAAAGTATTTTTAGTATTAAAGAGCGATAAGGGTAGAATGGTATTAAGAAATTAGGAATAAGAGAATTTGTATTTTAAAATGAAATTTATCATATGAACTTACCTAGTATATGAATTAAATGATTATATTAATTGAGATTTGTGATTTGTGATTTGTGATTTGTGATTTGTGATTTGTGATTTGTGAATTATAAATTATGAATTGTGTTGAAGATTTCGTTGAAAATTTTAACAGAATTAGACTTGGTTGGTGAAAAGATGGGGAATATGAACGAAGAAGGTAATTTTGTTTTTTTAAAAAAATTTTGAAATTGAAAATATCTTTTTTTTAAAAAAAAAAAAAAAAAAAAAGTTTGTGGGAAAGGTGGTTTATTTATACTAATTAGGGATTTTAGTTCAAGTTAATATTTCACCATAGAATATATATTAATTTAAAAAAAAAAAAAAAAAAAAGAAAGCCTCAAGATCAAAGACTAGGATTTTTTTTTTTTTTTTGATATTAGAATTTTGATTAGACTAACCAACAAAAAAAAAACTGGCCAACGTGGAATTCAAAGTGATTGTCTTTCTTTATTTATTTTATTATGAAATTATGAAATTATGAAATTATGAAACTCACAACATAAAGTGCGGCGCATGCGCATAAGTTTGTGTGTTAATAATATTTGGAAGAAAAAAAAAAAAAAAAAAAAAAAAAACAGATGAAACAAAAAGTTGTAACGTTACTTGATGTTTTGTAATGTAACAATAAAGTTAGAAGGTATGTAAATATTATATTTAATATATATAAATATAAATATATAGAAGAATATTTCAAAGGTACGTTTCAAAAGATATATTAATTGAAATTTTTAAATGAAGTTTTTTTTTCATTTAATTGTAATAAAGATCACAAAATGAAAAAAAATAAGAAATATAAAATAAAAACAAATTCATTATTTAAAAGTATTTTGAAAACTATAGATTTAGATATATATATATATATATCAATAAAAAACTTTTAAAAAGTCTTTGCTGGGTCAATTTCTATTTTATTCTATTCTGTTCACAGTTTGATTTGTGTGAACTTGATGTTTAGTTGTCATAAAAATTAAACTTTATACGGCTATGCTGATATGCTGATATGCTGATATTCCAATAAACCATTTAACTAATTTAATTAAGTAATAAAGGTGACACATTCAATTCATTTAAATTTCATTGCTACAATTTACCCTGGTAAAGAACCTCACAATTCACAGTAAACTATATATATATATATATATATATTGTAGTTAAAGCAATTTACTTATAAGTAAATTAAATTACTTAGTAAGTAATGCAATTTTTTTTTCTTTTACTATCCCCACCATCACCATCACCATCACCACCACACCCTAGTCATCTTGGACGTTTTAACTGTTTTGGGTATTAACTAATACTTTTAATGAAGTTTTAAGGACTTGTCTCAGAATTCCTAAATGAACATTATCAAAAGGAAAAAAAATAAAAAAACTCATACACTCTCCTTAACACTTTCTTTAAACTGAACTTTACTAGATGATACTACTACTAAGTAAATATTTCATATAATATTACATTAAAACATTAAGGAGTAATAACAGGGAAAACGGGGGGGAATAGATGAAAAATAGATGAAAAAAGGACTTGTTCCAGATGTTGTTTTAGATCAGGGTAGACGCATAGAATATCAAGTAGATAGATGGATTAAATGGAATTCTATCGATTATAAGAGATTTATATATTTATATATATATATAAAGATAATAATCGGATAGTAAAGAATTAAAAAATAAAGATTAACATTTAAATTAATAATGTTGTTTTTTTAAGAAGTTTTATTGGTATATTCAAGAGTGTTAATAGTAAATGAAATGTAAAAAAAAAAAAAAGTTTCGTAGTCCTGTTTCTCCGGTTTAAACATGATTAATGATGGAGAAATATAAGCTTATATGTGTAATTTGGATACAAACTAAAAAAAAAAATAATAAATAATAATAAAAAAAATGATAAAAATAATAATAAACCCCATTGAAATACATTAAGCATTGAGCATTGGGAACTGAGGTTTAAGCTTTAAAATATAAGCATTAAAAGGTTTGTTTTAATACCTAGTTTTTAAAATTCAAGTCGTAAATACAAAACTAAAAGAAACTTGATATCAACTCATGAGTTTTTTTTTTATTTTTTTCCGGTCAAAAGTGTTAGTCAAAATCAAGAGTCAATGGGAAGGGGTATTTATTTATTTATTTATTTTTTTTTTCCCCTTACAGGCCCTCCCTCCTATTTTTAAATGAGCCATCAACCAGATCAAAATATTTCAGAATTAAATTAGTCATATTAAAGAAGGAAGAAGATGAAATAGTTTCAATAAGATTGATATAAGGATTAAGATTTAGAAATTAATAATAATTTATTAAAGTGAATAATAACCCACCACGGTAATTAATTCCATTAATTAAATATTAATGTTTCTGATATCATTATTGTTTTCGATATATTATCAAAATATGGTTCTGAGCATTATTAATAGACATTTCGGAATAGAAAAAAAAAAAGGAAAAAAAAAAGAGTGGTTGGATAGTACAATTGATTTGAAATAATTATGATTTTTTACAATATTATTATTATTAAGATGATCATCTCATGATGATGATCTTACTAAAGGGTCTTGTGTAAGAACCTTAAAGAGAGTTAAGAAAGTGGTATGAACAGCGCAAAAAAAAAAAAAAAAAAGTAAACATAAAACGATAATGACAAGGCTACTACTAATATAATCATTATAATGATAAAATAATAATAATAATAATAATAATATTAAAAGCGCGTCAAAGGGGTGGATGGTGATTTATTCATTATTATTATTATTATTATTTTTTTTTGTTCTTTATAGTTAATGATTTTAAAATAAGTTGGTTCATCATCCCTTTGGAAGTGGGTCTTTGACAAGTCAAAAAAAAAAAAAAAAAATAGTAAAAAAAAAAATTATGGACGGGTGATAAGGGAAAGTTTTAGATGAGACAAAAAAAAAAAGGGTCAGGAAATCAGTTTGTTATGAAGGCAATCCAAGTGGTGAAGAATGGGAGGATGGGTTTCAAGAGAGATAGAAAGAGTTAGAAAGAGATAGAAATAGTCGTGTCAAGAAAGAACAACATAAAGATCAAACATTACTAGAAAAAAAAAAAAGTCAAAAATAAAGAAAGAATGAAAAAGAAGCTTTTTTTTTTGCAGATAAACGAAAACAAATAAGCATATTGATGAGAAAAAGGAAGAAATAAAATAAAAAATAAAAATATATGGAAAAAAAAAAAAAAAAAAATAAGAATTGAATGACGCGTTTTATTTTTTTTTTTTTAGGATTAACAAAGTTAAAGTTTTTTTCAGCCAAAAGAATTAGGATATAATTAAAGGGATGTTGTTTCCGTTAGTTAGATAGATAGATAGATATAAAAAAAGAGATGAGGATTAAACTTTATAAAGAGTGATGATATATATATATAAAAGTAAGGGTTAAGAAGAAAGAAATAAGTTTCAAGAATAAATTTTTGTCTGGGATAAAAGTGTGGAGAGAGAGAAAAAAAAAAAAAAAAAAGAATGAAAAGAGAGGAAATGTGTAGATTTTAAGAAACAAGCTTATATTTTGTGGATGAGTTTTTTTGAAGTTTCCTGAAATTCAAAAAAAAAAAAAAAAAAAAAAAAATGAATTGAAGTTTAGTAAGAAGTTTATTATTGAAAGAATGAAAAGAGGGTATTACTAAAAAAAAAAAATAAATAAAAATAAATAAATAAAAAAAAATAAAGGAAGGTTTAGAAAGTTAAAAAAAAAAATTAGTGGTAAACTTTAGATTTTAACAAAAAAAAAAAAAGGAAGAAAGTAAGAAAGAAAGAAAGAAAGAAAGAAAGAAATAGGATATAAGATTTTATTTTATTTTATTTTATTTTATTTTTTTGAAAAGAGTTAGTGTTGGATTGGATTGGATTGGATTGGATTGGATTGAATTGAATTGAATTGACTAAAATTTGACTAGTCCGTATTGTGTAATGCAATAAATCCGCAATAGGTATTAGGATAAGTAAATAAAATATCAAACTAATTTACTAACTAACTAATTAACTAACTAGTTCTATATATATTGTTAGAATTACGTCTATCAAATCATGATGTCAGCCTATTTTTTTTTTTTTTTTTTTTTTTTTTTTTCATTTTTGGTTAAGTTAATTATTATATATATATAAGTCTTTAAATATATAAATTAGCCACTTGAAGACACAATTCAGTGGTTTTCTATTTGTAAATTTGTAAAGTAACTTTTATTTTATTTTATTTTATTTTATTTTATTCCGTTTATCACATGGGAGAGGACGAGGACGAAGAAAAAAGAAAAACATAAAAAGAAAAATGAAAAGGGCTTGTCTATGCATGCAAATAAATAAATAAAATAAATAAAATAGAAAAATTTATTTTATTTTTCTTTTTCTTTTTCTTTTTTATACAAAATCTTTATATTAATATAGACAATTTGTGGTGGACGATTCAAGTCCGAATATTTGAAATTATAATGAAGAATATATGCAAGATCTATATCATACATTTTTAGAAAGAATAAATATCAAGAAGAAATACTTTGATATATATATATATATATATATATATATATTTGCAGTTTTTTTTTATTTTTTTTTTTTGAATATACAAATGTTTTAAAAGTTGAAGTTAGAAAGAAAAAAATAATTATTATTAATATTATTAATATTATTATTAATATTGTCTTGGTGATAATTAAATAAATTTTTTTAAAAAAAAAAAAAAAAAAAAACTGGTTGAAGTTGTGCGCACTTGTAAACCAACATTGTGCGCATATGAAGACGTATACTGAGAAGATTTTACGACAATTAAGAGTAAATTGATTGATTGATTGAAAAATAAGAATAAGAATAAGAATAAGAAGAAGAAGAAGAAAAAAAAAATATGAAAGAAAAATTTTTTTTTTCATTCAATAAAAAAGAAAGGTAGGAAAGAAAGAAAGAAACGATGAAAGATAAATTTTTTTTTTTTGTTATTTTTATTATTATAAAAAAAACAAAGTTAATGTTTAGATCATGTTGAGATGATTGATGATGATGAGGAATAATAATGCCCTTTAAAATAAACTTTTATATAGATATATATATATATATATATATATATATTGATAAAATTTTTAAAAAAAAAAAAAAAGATCAGCATAAACTTTTATTTTATTTTATTTTATATAAACGAGACGTTTCGCATGTTTCTAAGATATTAACCGATAAAAAAATTGACTTTTAGCATTAATTGAATGATTGATTGATTGAAGTATTAATATTAATATTAATAATAATAATAATAATAAATATATATATTTCAACACGAGTATTATAATATAGTTTTTTTTTTAAAGTCAAAGTAATTAGTTACTAATGATAATAATAATAAATAAATACAACGACGATTACGCAAAAACCAATTTTTTAGAGAAAAATAATAGCAGTAGTAGTAAACAGCAGTTTGTAACAAACACAATTGGCGCATCATCATCACACAACGGGGCAGCAGCAGGAGCACCAGCAACAGCAGCAGACCAGGCGGGGGGTTTTTTTTTTTTTTTTTTTTTTTTTTTCTCAAATTATTTAAATTATATATATTATATATTTTGCGCATTGGTGAGTGCAAACCTAGGGAAAAAGAAGAAGAAGAAGAAGAAGAAGAAGAAGAAGAAGAAGAAGAAGAAGAAGAAGAAGAAGTTATACTTTATTGGTTGATGCAAATCTGTAATAAATAAATAAATATATGAAAATCATTAAAAAGAACATTTTCTAAAAGAATTTTATAAAAAAGAATTTATATAAAAGAACATTTTCTAAAAGAATTTATATAAAAAAAAAAGTCTTTTAAATTTTTTCTGGGCTTTAAATAAAAAATAAAAAATAAAAATAAAAAAAATTCATTTTCAAAATGGCAGCATTATGACATAATTGCTGACTCATTTTATAATATACTTCTATTGTTAAAGCCAAGAAAATAATTACCTAAGTACTTACTTAATTAAGCAGCAGTAGTAGTAGTAGAAACTAATTAAGAAGCCTCCAAATCTATTAATTTTTTTTATTTACTTGTTAATTTGTTAATAATAATAATAATTAATTACTGCAAAAAAGAAACGTTCACGTCTTTGCTTCAAAAAAAAAAAAAAAATAAAAAAAAATAAAAAACCGCTATTTTATTTTATTTTATTTTATTTTTTTTTTTTTACTTTATATATAAAAATCTCTGCTTTCCCACCCTTTTTTCTTTTCTCTTCTTTTTTTTTTTTTTTTTTTTTTTTTTTAACACCATCACCAATCTAACCCAAGTCATTCCTTTTTTCAACTTTTATTTAATAAATTTTTTTTTTTTTTTTAAAAGAAAACTTTTATATACTTCTTTCAACATCTTGTGTGTATGCTGCATTGACTGGCTCAATTCCCATAATCGCTTATCCAACTTGTTGTCTTTCCTTCATTAATAAATTATAAGTACGTCTTATCATAATCATAATTATATATAGTCATAATTATTATTATTACCTCCCTAATTCATTCATTCATTCATCCTAACCATCTTTCCAAGAGAGCAGGTATCTTTTTAATTTTTCTCTTCACTCATTAAAAAATCATTTAAACACTCCCTTTTCAATAATCAAAAAAAAAATGTTCTTCTCAAAGACCGCCGTGGCTGCTGCCATTGCCTTCTCCTCCCTCCTCGGAGCAGTCGTCGCACAACCTATCCACCACGCTCACAACCTTCACAAGCGTGAAGCTAACCCCGATGTTGTCGTCGTCGTCATCACCAACTATGTCGATAGCGAAGGTAATATCATCTCCGTCGGTACTGAAGGTGTTGCTGCTCCTTCTGCTACTTCTAGTTCCGCAGCTGCCGTCGTTGCTCCTTCCTCTGAGGTTGTCGTCGTCTCTTCTTCTACTGCTGCTGCCGCCGCTCCTTCCTCCTCCTCAGTCGCTTCAGTTGTTGTCCCAGTTGCTTCTTCTTCTTCCTCCTCCTCAGTCGCAGCTGCTACCTCCACCGGTTCCTCAGGTTACACTTCCGGCTCTACCTCTTCTGCAGGAGCTAAGGGTGTTGTTTACTCTCCTTACAAGACTGGTGGCTGCAAGACTGCCGATGAAGTCAAGTCCGACCTTGCCCAGCTCACTGGTTATGACGTTATCCGTCTTTACGGTGTTGACTGCGACCAGGTTACCAATGTTAAGGCTGCTCTTGCCGATGGCCAAAAGCTTTTCCTTGGTATCTACGATGTTGCTAACCTTCAGTCTGGCCTTGAGACCTTGATTGCTGCCATTGGTGGTGACTGGGATCTTGTCCACACTGTTTCCATTGGTAATGAGCTTGTTAACAGCGGTTCTGCTACTGTTGACCAGATTGCTTCCTACGTCTCTGCTGCTAGACCCATTCTTACTGCCGGTGGTTACTCTGGTCCCGTTGTTTCCGTTGACACTTTTATTGCTGTTATCAACAACCCTGGTCTCTGTGATATCTCCGATTACATGGCTGTCAATGCTCACTGCTACTTTGATGGTGGTTACTCTTCTTCTGAGGCTGGCTCCTGGACCCTCGAGCAAATCCAGCGTGTTTGGACTGCATGCAGCGGTAAGAAGGATGTCTTTATCTCTGAGGCTGGCTGGCCTTGGGCTGGTGAGACCAATGGTAAGGCTGTTGCTTCTTACGATGACCAGGCTGCTGCCATTTCTGCCATCAAGAGTGCTGTTGGTACTGACACTATCCTCTTCACTGCCTTTAACGATCTCTGGAAGAGCCCTGGTCTCTACTCTATTGAGCAGAACTTTGGTCTTTACGGTACTTCTAATTAAAGTGCTTGATTGTTGGACTTGATTTGTTCATATATATATATATATATATATATATCCTTTATGCTTGATACCATTTTGAAAAAAAAAAAAAAATGTCTTGACCCCTTGTATGATACAAGGAATTTAAAAAGGGTTATCGATATATTCAAGTATAACTTTGAAAAAAAAAAAAAAAACTAAACAAAAAAAAGAAAATTATTATTATTATTTATTAAAAAGCCTTTCATAAAAAAAAAGTTTATTTATTTATATTTCATGTACAAAAATGAGTCTGAAAATAGACGTATTTGGTTAATTGTTTGTTTGTTATTTATTTATTTATTTTTATTTTTTTTAGGCGACTGGGTAATAACTAGTTATTTTAAAGTTTGGAATGTCTTGTATATATTTTCATTCATTTATATAAAAACTTTTTTTTTTTAACTTTCGTGTTTTTTTTTTTTT